TTTTTCTCGCGACCAATCAAGCATGTCCACGTCGACCAAGCACCACCATTAGATTTCGCTGTGAGGGGAAGCGAACAATCTTTAGAGCGATAGACTAGACTAAACAAGCACCAGTGGAGTGACCGAAGCTATTGAAGAGTTCCTTAGTGATCACCGAGCCGAAGAAAAGCCTGCCGGTTTTATTCACACATTTTTGACCATTCGGAAAATTCGGCGGCAGCTTGTCGAAGCCTTGCGTCTTAGATTTTCACAATTTTTTTCTAAGAAATCTAGGTACTTTCTTACGTATCTACCTACATATCTACCTACATACATACCTTGGTAAGTAGGTACATAATAGGTAATTGGCCATATGTGAATTTGTAACACTCTTTCGAGAGCTCCCTGTACGCTCCCAATGTGAGAAGGCGTCTGTGTTCCCATCGCCGCCATAGCAAGCCAGTGTGGCTTGCCTAAGATTGGCATGTCGAAGAGAACCACAGGCTCAACAGGAGTGGACACAAAGCTGAAAGGTTGGGTAGGTGTTGAGCTATAGCATCGAGATGTCTTCGAGCTTACGAGATTTCCCACTTCGAAGTCCAATCGCTATAACGTGGTTTCTAAGCCGACCATTTGCTGGCCCAATAAGGAATTAGAACGTGGTTGAACTAGACTACATAGTTCCAACACACTCTTCTCGAACCCTTCAAATAATGGACATAGTCTATAATAGGACTACCTATGTATTTACTAGTAATCCGCGTGGAGTTCGTTTTGATAACGCTGCCCTACGTATTCGGTCTCCGAGGAGTATACCCATCAAGTAAACATTATCAGACTATCTGATCATTAATGAACTTCCAGCGTCAGCAAAACCTACCTACCTACCTACTCGGTACCTAGGTAGCCAAGCTCTTCATCGTACTAGGTAGCTTACAACTTCTATCTAAGCAGTTTTGAATAATAGGTAATAATAATATAATATAACAATATCGGCGATATAAATGGTTAATTGTTAACGTGTGTAGGACGTCTAATGCTACTTAGGTAATTAATAGCCACACCGTATGAAGAAATATTCAAACACCCGACAAAACGATAGGCCAAGCTTCTTTCTGCTTGTAGTTATTACGTCTGTCTCTCACCGCTCTTTCGCCAGGAGGTCCATGTCCATGTCCAGATCTTAACCAAACACCCCTCTCTCTTCTTCACCTCCACTCTCACATCTCATCCTTGTCGCCGCAAATCCTTGCCGATGGCTCCATCGCGCTTGTCCGATGATCGCCGGTTATTGGTTTCGCCATTTTCTTGCCCTCTTGGAACTTTATAGACACAGGGTCTTTTTTCTTATTCAATACCATTGCCCAAGTCGTAGCCCGTTTTTAGAGATTTTAATGCCATGTCATGGCTTTCACGTGGCGGTGGCTGGTCTGAAGCAAATAGTCTCGAATCTCGTCTCTTCGGAGCGGTCTTGGCCATTGCGAATCTCGACCGGTGTGATCTGATTGGGATGCCGGTCCACAAAGTTTTCCGAGTTTCTTGTCGGTCTGCCGGTTTAGACCTAGAAACATTCTTCAACCTGCTCACAAGCATTTCCTTGACGCCGGATGCATATGGCGGTCACAAGAGCAACCGGACCAAGAACTCGGATTATCTAGCTAACAATGCTTTGTTACGCGTGTAGCACAAGCCATCATACTGTACGTACATAGTAGTATGTATAATAAATAATTGCCATACATCCATAGGTACGGTAATAGACACAACGGTCCTGCGTACGGACCCATTCCCCAGTCCTGTGCGCTTCTTTCTCGCATGACTGTCCGGTGTACTATGTATGTAGCAATTACGGAATTGTCGATCGCCGCAAGAAATATCTAAGACTCTTAAGTTGATCTAGCTTCTGAAAGGTCCGGTAGGTAGCTTGATAGGTAATTGATAAAATGTGATCGCCGGCAAGGATTTCGACGGATTTGCGTGTATGTATCTCTATTCTTATTCATCATTAAGCTTGGGTTCTATCTCGAGATATCATGGATGTACCAGCAATGATACCCAGTACGTACATGCGAAAAGTCACATATCTATTATCTCTTAAGGGGCCACCGTTGATCTGAAAATCAATCTTACATCGTGCATGCACCGTGGACCACACCCTGTACTATATCCCTACTTATTAAGTAGTTAAGGGTCACCTCTGACTACTTGCGATGTCGTGGATGCTTACATAGATGATAGGTATCGTTATGTACGTAGCATTATGTACTCTCTAGTACGTACATACTTATGTGCGGCGCGGCATCGTACTACTACAGCACATAACCGCACTTACATATCTAGCGGGAAAAACTGGACAGGGGATAGAGACAAGCAATTGCTGCCGCTATTGCTGACAATGCTTATCCTCATCCACTATTACTTCTTTCCAGAAGATCAATGTCGGCAGCGGCAGCGAAACAAGAAGACGGGGTGCGGATGATAGCCGAGGAATTTCAAAAAGCCGCACTTTCGACCCATACATACTACAGGGACAAGATCATCATCGTATGGCGGGAAGCTCCTCTTTAGTTTTGCCCCGTGTCTGCCAGCCATTCGAGCTTGTTCTTCCCACGGTCTTCTTTTTTGTAATATGAGAATGATTCATCCTGGGACGGTCAAACCCCCCCTCCCCTACCCTTCCCAAGTTACAACTCCCCAGCCACCCCACGTAACAAGCAGCAAGAGTCGAGCATGGCGGGCGCGATGAGGGGCATCCGCCTCCGCTGCCGCAGCAGCACAAGCCGTGCCAGCCAAGCAGGGAGCAGAAGCAAGTATGATCCGCATATGTAGCCTAGTGACAATCTTTCGATGCCTGTCTGTACGTATACCCGTATACCCTCCCTTCGCAAATACGTGTATCCTATTTATGATTATTTTAAGGGCTGGCCTCGACTCGATATTCCTGCCAACCCATGTCGCATCGACATTGTGCCACCCCCATTGTTGTGGAGAGCGTCAACCCCCCACCAGTATACCAACCATCCAGCTATCCTCGTTTCGAGTAACTTTTACAAGTCTCGTAACCAATAAAGGAATTCATTATAGAATAGAGTATTAAGTAGTAGGATTTATGCTCTTATATATATGAATAGATGAAGGAAGAAAAAGAAAAACAAGTCAGTTTCGGAGTTCCTGTTTCGTCCGTGAATCGCTGTCATGGTTGCTGGATTTGCCGAATATCCTCTAGTCTAATAAATTTCAGGGATTTGATAGAGCCAAGGGTGAATGGATGATTACTGAATCAAGGCTTCTATGTACAGTATCTTGAGGGGCAAAAGGCTAACTCCGGATCGCATCGTAGCCGGGCTCGGCCTGAGTTTAGGCAAGCTCATCGTCTTCTCGAGCAATTCTAAGCATAGCAACCTCATATCGGGTCTTTGCCCGCCAATCGCCGGAAACACAAGTCAATTTCTCTAAAACATTTCACATATCGGTCAAGACCCAACAGGAAGGCCATTGCAACGTAGTCGGAGAAGCAGTATGTAGAAGAAGAGCAAGCTCGCGCGTCGAGGCAGCAAAAAGGGTGGCAATTGTTCATGCCGGTAAAACGTAAAAACGCTGCGGCTGCACAGGAGAGAGGAGGCACGGGTCGGGAATGCAACCCGACTCGATAATATTGAATCATGGCACCCCATCCATTGTGACCTTAGAGTGGATAAGCAACACAGCATAGCGAATACAGGCTGGACAAGAACGACAGCGGCCCCAATCGCCAGGCTGCATGAACGCCTGGCATGGGGTCTAGCATGCGCCGCGGAGCCTATGTATGTAGGTATACATACGTACATACACATATGTACATAAATCCGAGGCCTGGGTTTGCACCCAGGTACCGTATGTGTTCTCGGCTCCTAGAGGATTGTGACCTCGATCCAAGCTCGTATGTAAACAGCGATTATTAACTGCTTTCTAGAGTTAAAGATTCAGTATGTACGTAGTTACATACATGAATCCTTGGTATGTATGGGAAGCAAGGAAGAAGCTCCCGTCTGTGGGCTGGCCGTTGTGCAGATGACAATCGGGGCGTATCATCAGCCTCCGATGACATGATGAAAATGTGAGCTGTCAGCATCTGAAGTCGTTAAAGTTGGTACCTACCTAGGCTGTTAGGTACAGGTATCAAGCAGTCGAAGTTGGTCCATGGCATAGTCCCCTAGTCCAACGATGTCCAATGATGTGCATCGACTAGGTACACTACAAATAACCTGCCTTGCTAGGGTATAGATGTATGTACATACATCGTACCTCAGCTATGCTTCTCCCCAAGACTAATGACGAGAAAGAGGGTTGCATGAGAAACGATGACGGGAGATGTGGTGGGCTACTTGCATGAATGTGCGGGGGACAGGAAATCGAACCGGGACCGATCCCATGGCGAGACAAGCAGGTGTTTTTTTCTTTCCTTTTCTTTCCCTTCTCTCGCTCTAACTCTGTCTTCGATATTGATACATATCTGTCGCATCTTCGTCAGGCCAAGACAGGTCCGGTCGAGGCTAATTCTACTTATGGTGTGGCATCCAACCAAGCGAATTGCCGTCCTCGTGACTTGGGATCCTTCAATTCAAATCTGACATTTTTCATCCTGCTAATGAATCCATTCATCCCTACCATGTATGTACATGTATGTACGTAGGTCCCTACGACTGCTACTGCAACCCGCGCTGGGCGCCAAAACCAGTCTGGCTCGGACCTTTGGTTTTGAAACGATCGCACCCGATTGGTTCGTTGGGCGCCTCCGTCAGATGTCGTGATATGATGTCCCCGTCGGCGGGCGAATCTCGTAGCCTTTTTTGTGAGATATCGTAACGCGGCCTTGGCACAAATGCCTTTTTTTAGTTATTATATTGTATTTGTTATGGAGGAAAAATAGACCAATGAAGGTAGTCCGTATAAATATGCAAATGTGGTTACTAAGTAAATATGTACCTAGGTACATGCATACTTACATAATCCAAGTACTTCAATCAACATTGAAGTTCAACCTTGAATGTTGGTGCACTTATGTACCTAAGTACCTACATACATAGCATTCGCCTCCGAGGTCTGAATAAATTGCTGCCTTCCCAACATTGAAGGTAGGTAAAATGTAAGGTCGAGTTTAGGTTGTACATAAATGGGGCATCACGTGTCACTTGCCGGCATGTCTTCTGCTGTGTTGCCCGGTAGCTCAGTAGTTCAGTTTTGGGTTTCCGTTAGCGTCGAGTCGAACGTACTTTTAGGGTGAATTGGGGTGAATGTCTCATTCGAAGGAAACAGCAACAAAGGTCGTTGTGCGAGGGTGGGTGAAATAATATCTCTCTCACCTTCACAATGACGTAGTAATCACGCGTTTCCGATTCCCAACTTCTTTCGTTCTTACCTTCGTGTCACTGATTCTCTTCCTTTACCATGTCACCTCCATCGACATCAAACACGTCAAAACAGGCCATAGCCAAAGCCGCAGACCCTAAATATGGTCAGTCATTCGATCCCTGGAACTCGTCGGCTACTGGCCACCAGCGCGCCGATAACCACCTAGGGAGAAGTACGGGATGGCGCCAGTCCCGGAACTTAAAGCTTACGAGTCAATTCAAGGGGGGACTCGGTGGCGGACAGCGAGTATCAGACACAGTTGGTGCCGGATCGAAAGACTGGGATCCTAAGTTGAAGGCTCTCGTTACACCTGAATTATGAACGCGCGCCAAAGTTTCCGTCGCAGACATGCTAGTGAAGCCGGGAGTTATGGGAGCAAACATGTCGTCGTCTGCTTCGATAGTAGGGGATGCGAGCTCTAAGAGAGACTATAAAAATCACAGAGACTTTACCGCCGAGGAGAAGCTTATGGCTCGACGAAAAGACGAAGACGAAACTCGAGAGGCTGAAAGAATACAATCTAGAGGGGCAATCTTTGACGGCGTCGTGGTCTATATCAATGGTAGCACACATCCCTTGATATCAGACCATAAGCTCAAGCATGTGTTAGCGCAACATGGTGCCAGAACCTCTATCAACTTGGGACGACGACAGGTAACCCACGTGATTCTAGGCCGATCAGCCAGCGGATCAGGTGCCGGTGGAGGTCTGGCGGGAGGAAAATTACAGAAAGAAATTCAGAAAGTTGGCGGCTGCGGAGTGAAGTTTGTAGGCGCGGAATGGGTCATCGAAAGCATTAAAGCCGGTAAAAGGCTTCCAGAGGCGAAATTCAGCAATCTTAAAATCGCATCAAAGGGTCAACAGAGTGTATACGGCTTATATTCAAAACCGAAGGCCTCGGCGGAGCCATCCACGACCCAGTAGACAGGTTTTGTATCATCCATAGGTTGGGGGGTTTACAATGTTACTGGCATACGACACGGTCAACGGGCTGAACGGGTTGCATTAGGGTTTGCGGCATTGCGTTATGAATTACATGCGGGTGGGTGGTTACTTTGCATGATACATCGGCATGAAGCATTAATTGCATAGGTGGTCGGTACTAAGTGCGCCACCAGGCGTTTTTGATTTGTGTACTTCGTGGAATGACGACTACTACTTTTGTTAGGTACAATTTATGTCGATCGTGGTGTACGGTTCGTCCCGTACCGGAATAGTATTATACGCAACTAAGGATAAGATGTAGGTACTTACCTACCTTCAGGTACTCATCCATCTATCTATAAACACTTAACGTGAAACATTAGGTATTCGGTAGTATATATACACGGTATGGCTGCTATCATTGATTGTACGTGCCTACATATGTAGTTCCAGTTGTTTCGATATGGGACGAAACACAACTACATATATGACATCATCGGAACCAGTATATGCATATCTGCATAGCACTCGAGATTCGAGCCTTTGATATCGTTAAAAATCGGTACAATGGGGTCAGGTAGGGCTTACCGAGGATGTCACCTAGGTATGCAGATATGCAGGTACTGCCAACAACATCTTTCCCCGCGGGGAAATCTTATTACCGGTCTTACTAAACAGGGGTTTCCTTTCACCGCAGGTCGAAGTCATTGTTATGTTGATTTCTATTACTATTTCTATCTTATTTTTAAATACTATATAATTTCAATTAAGAAATTTATTTACAGTAAATATTGTCATTTAAAAACAAAAAAAAAAAAAAACAGAAACGCTCAATAGGCGATATAAGGTACATGACTTTGATAGAGAAGCGTTCAGGTCATCGTCGGCACATACGATGACGGGCCTTCATCTGCAAGATGAAGTTCATCGGCGTTCGTTGGAGAACCCAGAGTCTTTTTGGGCAGACCATGCCGCAAAACTCCACTGGCATAAACCTCCAAAGTCCATCTTGACTAAGACAACGAAGAAATTCGGAAGGGGGGTCGAGTATCCCCATTGGGATTGGTTCACGGGCGGTGAAATATCGACATGTTTTAACTGTGTTGACCGTCACGTTCTTTCTGGCAACGGCAACACGCCTGCCATTTTCTACGACAGTCCTGTCACAAAGACCAAGAGAGCAATCACATATGCGCAACTACTCGAAGAGGTTGAGGTTACGGCTGGTGCCCTGAGAGAAGAGGGGGTGAAGAAAGGAGATGTCGTATTGGTTTATAGTCAGTCTTTCCCATTGTCTCTTTTTATCAGAATAATAAGTTGTCTGACAATTACCAGTGCCAATGATACCTGCAGCTTTAATTGGTATTCTCGCTATCAACCGACTCGGTGCAATCCATGCTGTTGTATTCGGTGGATTTGCCGCTGCTTCCTTGGCTCAACGCATCGAAGCATCCAAACCTGTGGCCATCCTAACAGCTTCGTGTGGAATCGATGGAGCTAAGCCAACAATGAGTTACAAGCCTTTGTTATCAGAGGCCGTTCGAATATCTAGCCACAAGCCAAGTCGGGTCATAGTCTGGCAGCGAGATGAACTACGGTGGGACCCATTGGACAGGTCCACGGGAGAGCGCAATTGGTATAAGATAGTACAGAGCTGTAGAGGGAGAGGCGTGAAGGCTAGCTGCGTGCCTGTTGGTTCTGCCGATGAGATCTATATTATCTACACTAGCGGAACAACCGGGTCCCCTAAAGGTGTTGTACGTCAAGCAGGCGGCCACGCAGTCGGTCTACACCTTTCGATAAGTTACCTTTTTGGTGTCCATGGGCCTGGAGATGTTATGTTTACAGCGAGGTGAGCATCGCGAAAGCCTGACAATAGTTAAACGAATATTAACTTGATACGAAGCGATATAGGCTGGGTTGTGGGACATTCCTACATCATCTACGCACCTCTTCTTGTTGGGGCAGCTACGGTTCTTTTCGAAGGAAAACCTGTGGGAACACCGGATAGCTCGACGTTGTGGCGCATCATACATGATTACAAAGTAACGAGCCTATTCACTGCCCCAAGTAAGTACCACCATAAGACTACACTAAACGTGGACGCATAAACTAACGATCCTAGCCGCTTTGCGAGCTATTAAGAGAGATGACCCGGAAAACAAGTCTCTCAAGAAGATAGGTGAACAAGGTGGACTAAAAAGTCTAAAGGGGCTCTTCCTTGCCGGAGAAAGATCAGAACCATCGATAATCACTATGTATCAAGAACTCATACGGCGGTATGGCGCCCCTGACGCTACCGTAGTAGATAATTGGTGGTCGTCAGAATCAGGTTCACCAATTTCAGGCATCAGCATAGCTCCACACGCGGCCAGCTCCAGAGAAGGACAGGCCATAAATAATATACCTTTACCCGTCAAGCCCGGAAGCGCTGGCAAGGCGATGCCTGGTTTCGATATCAAGGTAGTTGATGATGACGGCAACGAGGTGAAAAGAGGGAAAATGGGTAATATTGTTTTGGCAACACCACTTGGCCCAACTGGCTTCACGATGTTGTGGAACGATGAAGAAAGATTTTACGGTAGTTATCTTAAGAGATTTGATGGGAAATGGATCGACACCGGTGGTTCGTTATTTAATGGCACTCACTGACCTACTTGGCTACCTAAACTAACACTTCTTAGATGCCGGGGTTATAGATGCGAATGGATATGTCAGTATCATGAGTCGAAGCGACGACCTAATCAATACGGCAGGCCACCGCTTGTCGACTGGTATGTTCAATATCTCCCTTTTGTATAGGTAAGTTACGTTAACTTAGGTGGATAGGCTCTATCGAACAAGCCATAACGAGTCATCCTCTAGTCGCCGAAGCTAGCGTTGTCGGCATTCCAGACTCCCTGAAAGGCCAGCTTCCCTTCGCTTTTATAACACTGTCAATTCCCGAACATCCTACATCCGCCGTACCAGAGGAAAATTTATACAATGAGATACAAAACCTAGTTCGGACCCAGATCGGAGGTATTGCAACTCTTGGAGGTATAATACAGGGTAAAGGCATGATTCCCAAAACGCGATCCGGCAAGACCCTTCGGAGGGTTTTGAGAGAACTGGTCGAGAACGCGGTTCATGAGGAGCTTGACAATGAAGTACAGTACCCAGCTACTATCGAAGATGTATCTGTGATTGATACGGCGAGATCTAAGATTGCCGAGTATTTTAAGCACAAAGGAGATGCGCATAAAGCAATCGAGGCGAGAGCAAAGCTGTAGGACCTGTTCCGTTACCCAAGCCTCAGCTTCGAAGACTGGATCATTACTATTTTTACTGTCGGTGTCTCGGGTTAGGCGCAAACAATTGTCGCACGAATATGCGCTCGAGGCTTTGAAGTCTAGGACTCTGGCGATGCCCCGATAGTTTCAACCTCGGAGTGGTCTCATATATCCCCTTCTTCGCATCATTATCTAGATCTTGACTCCGAAGGAGGATCTTCGGGCTCGGGTATAGACTTGGGCCTTCGGGTTTGTCATCCTTATCTAAACTCTTTGATATTTCGGTCTGCCAATCACATTGGTATTATACTAGATGTCATAATACTATTCGCTCAAAAAGAACATTTTGGGGAGAACCGACTCTATCAAGACTTGGGGGTCGATCGCTCATGTGCCTTAGATATATGGTGGCGAGGAATATGCCTTATACACAGCACCCACCAGAGACTTGACTACAACGGCGTTTCCGTATTTCTCTGCTCCGCTAACTAATATCATTCCCCACGGAAAACATGGCCTTTTTGCAGATAGACAAACGCGTGGACTGCCTTGCGGTTTCATGGTAAATGACTCAGCTTATGATGGAGTCGTCACTCAGCTTCCGCAACAAGCTTCTCAAATAGGAAACTCATGTATCTGTGTATAGCCTCAACATCTAGGACCAAAACGTGAATAGAAACTCAATTGATTTATATTCAAACCGAAAATGATATAAATTGAGTCTGTTTGCAAGACAAGATGAAGTTCTCCTATGTTGAGTACAGCACAGTCGACAAGTGTGTTCTAAAGCCAGATAATCATTCGCAAAATGTCTGAAAAGGAGATAACCATATCCTGGGAAACCCATTGTAAGTTTTCAACTGAAATAAAACTGTTTGATAGTTGTGTTGACAGATATGAGTTACTGTTCGATGGGATACCTCGCAAATCACCAAATGTTGTTCGAACAGCAACACGACATTGCAGGTAGTCGACCTTCTCTTCACGACAAATCATGTGCCGCAAAGTTCAGCAACTCAGAAACATCCAGTAGACAGTTCAGTGTGGTATCTTGACAATGGAAAAGAACCCAAACTTGCCAGCGCGGAAGTTTTCGGTTCTCAGGAGGCCTTCCGGTTTCTCATAAGTAGTCTTGAAGCTACCAAATCATCTGGGAATAGAGTCGTTAGGCTTATCATTCCTTTAAACAAAGGGGTAATCGTCAGGTCGGATATCATCCCTCTCCGTCTCGGGGATGCCATGGGAATCGAGCACGTTGCATCTTTCGCGAAGCCTCTTCAAAGTTTCCCCGGTGATGCCCTGCATCTAGACGCGGTAACGTTTCCTGAACTGTTTCGTTCTTCTGCGGGAGGAATATTGCTACAGCACTCGCCTCCAACGGCGGGACTTACATCTGGAAAGTTGGCGGTAACTCCGGAGTTCGAGGCCGAGTTTGAGAAGAAGTTGTCGATTCCATTGGTTGTACCAGCGCCAGCCGCTCGTAAACGCATCGTGCTTGTTGGTTGCAGTTATCGCGACCCCTCGTCAGGAGCATGGACAACATTCGCGTGTAGCGCCGCTCGTGCGCTTGGGATCGACCTCGTTATCATCGAAAGGCCCGGGTGCTGGATCGAGAGAAGCGAGTACTCAGATTGGTACGAGGCTCTCTTACCCGCTGGTTCATGGTGGTCGAACCCGCCCAGTGATGACATGGCAGACCACATCGTCGCAGCAGTCAGATCCTATGGCAAAAAGGTCGACGGCATTGTTGCCTTCTTAGAACCATTTCTCGCCACTGTCAGTCGAGCAGCCCAAAAGCTCGGTCTTCCATGCCAACCAGCCGAATCGTACGAGATTGCAACCGATAAATACAAGTTGGCTATGTTCGAAGGCCGTGAACCCTTCTATGGATCTACGGCTGAGGATGCGTTGAATTTCGTGTCTAGCGAGAAGCTCAATTTCCCATTGATCCTCAAACCACGCCTAGGTCTGAATTCGGAAGGCGTTGTACGAGTAGATGATGCAGCAGGGGTCCAACCCGCGGTAGAGATGATCCAGAAGACCTTTTTCAAATCATTCACGATGGAGCGATACTGCGACGGGCCAGAGGTTGACGTTAATGTTGTCTTACTAGATGGTGAAGTCGTCTTCTGCGAGATCTCTGATGACTTCCCCAAATCAGGAGATAAGAGTGACGCAGGAATTCCCGCCTCGCAAAGGAACTTCTTGGAGACCTATATTGTTCACCCCTCCGCACTGCCGCCTACCGAGTTGGAGATGTTGCAGAAAGCCATCAGTATGACTATTCGACGGCTAGGGTTCTCCAGTGGAATAATGCATGTGGAGGCTAGAGTTGATCAATCATCGGTTGAATATCGTCCTATTGGTACCATTATGGATCTATGTCCGACCGAAAAAGTCGCCAAGTCGAGTCTCCCTTCTCCTTGGGTCCTTGAAATCAACCCTCGACCTCCGGGTTTAACTGCCAGTCGCATTGTCGAGTCTGTGTACGGAATTGATTATTTCGGAGTTGCGCTGACCTTAGCTATTAATGATAAGGAACGGGTCAGGGCATTAGCTCGCCCATTTCTGAACGGAGCCCAACACACGGGCGCTATGGTCTTAATCGGTGCCGAGTTTGATAAGGAATGTGAAGGGATCTTTGATTCGGATGATATCTGCGAAGAGCTGCTGTCCCGCAGGCCAGATCTGGCACAAAACAGTAAGTAGCCCCTGAAATGTAGACAACTACTATAACTATTCGGACTCTTTATGGAATCTTGGAGAAATATGCTGATATTGACACTAGTTAACCGCTACGAATGTCTTGCGAAAAGAGGACAGAGAATTCCACACCCGAGTTCCGGCGCAAACACATTCGTGGCTTATTTCAATGTCTTCTCCAAGTCGAGAAAGGAGGCGCTGGAGATAGCAGCTGATGTGCGGAAGGAAGTTCGATACTCGATTCGTTGAAGTAAGAATACGCGATACAGGCATTACCACTTGGAGCTCTGCGAGTTCATGGTTAGCCACTCTTTAAGTCCCTGTAATTTTATGCTCACTCATTTTCTTATTTCAAAGGCGTTGGGTTAGATTGATAGAATATAGACATGGGCAATTAGATAGACATAGACAGGATAGGCAGGATAGACAAGATAGACAGGTATAGACAGGTATAGACAGGTATAGACAGGCATAAACTAGATAACTTACTGATCAGATCTCATATATCAAAAACATACATGGACAGTTAAATTGCAAATTTGCTCCAATGATTGTCGTCCACATAGCTGATTGTGATTTATTTTGTATGTTGAAATTAGCTGTGCCGTTACTAATATGCTATAGGTACATTTCGTCTGAGTCAGAAATGGGATCTTGCAACTTATGGATATTTGGGTACCTTACTCTCAGAAGCTTGTAATGTTTTTTATCGTTCTTTTGCCACTCAGTCGGTATGCAGTATACTATGTTTCTAGGTATCCATAATAGAAATATCCTGAGCTCCGAGTCGATGTCTACCCCCTTGCTGTCTTTCACAGACTATATATGAACTCGGGGTTCTCTCTGTCCGTCAAGTCGAGAAATTCCTGTCCGTCCAATTTTGTATATCCCGGGGTAGCGCGTATGGCTGCCTTTATCCTATTTTCGCGCTTACACCAGAAATTGATGAACAGCAAGATGGCGAATGAAACACACATACACACAAGGACAACTATGTTCGCGTTGCGGTATCGTGGCGCATCATTCGATTGGAAGACTTGAGGTCCGATGATATTGCCGACGCAGTAGGCAATCAGGTACATCGCCGCAGCCGTCGTTTTCTTCGTCCAACCTGCCACATTCGTTGATATCAGCCCCAGCAAGGCAACGAACCCGGTCGAAACACATTGATAGAGATAATATCCTGCGAGTCGCCCACCACTATTACTCAGCGGCACGAGGAGTATAAGGAATAGGCCAAGCACGGAAACCAGGACCCCACCGGCACCAAATAACTGTCAAGAAATGGTCAGCTTAAGGTACAAAAGGTACATGTGCTAAGGGATCCTAACTATGCGACTCTTGAACCTATCACCCAAGTGTCCGGTGACGAGGAGGGAAATGACCTGAACGACACCCCCGGGGACTCCTAGTAGTAGAGATGTGTTCTCCGAGAATCCAAAGGAGACAATGAGTTGCGAGAAGTAATTCGACATCCCGCCTAGTAAAAAACGTCAGCTTCTCATATCAGATGTCGGGGATCATGCAGCTTACCATTGGGGATCGAGGAAATGACACTATAGAGGACGAAAGCCCAGATCATGGGATCTGTGAATGCTTCTTTGCATTGATACCATTTAAAATGCTTATTTCCCACTCCCTGTTGGTTTATACGGATACGTTCGACGGCCATAACGCGTTCGCGTTGTGTTAAGAACCGGGCATTCATCTGGCTATCTGGCATAAGATAGAGGAATAAGAAGCCCATGAACGCCGTAAAAAAGCCAGTCACAAGGAATACCAGTTGCCACGACTTGATTGCAATGGGATGAGCCTCTGTGCCTACGGCAATACCGTAGGCTACGCAACCCCCAACGACTTGACCCCAGCCGTTGAAGCTGAACCACCAGCCTACTCTCGTGCCCTGCTCCTTTTTGGTATACCACTGAGACGTGAACAGGGCGAAACCGGGACTGACGGCTGCCTCGAAAGCGCCGAGGAAGAATCTCACTGTCATTGCTCCGCCGAAGTTCTTCACGGCTGCCAAACAGCAAAGTGTTAGACCCCACATTATCACGTTGAAAGCTGAATATTTCGCTAGCGGTAGTCGTTGAAGTAGACGATTTGTTGGCCATTCCCAGAAGAGGTAGCCAAAGTAAAATATCGATGCTATCCACTGTGAGAAGGTAGAAATTAGTTACCTATACTACCTAATAAGTACCGCTAGAAGAACGGCAGTAGGTAAATAAAGGTTTGACGTCGATACTCACCGAGTAATCCTGACCTTAAATTACGCGAAACAGATTAGTATCTTCTTCGAGTAGGTATAGTATCCATTCTTAAAAGACTAACCTTGCAGATTGAGGTCTTTCTTCAAATGGCAGTTTTAGCAATGTTCTGTCTTATTCTCGACATGAAATATCTTACTTTAATTCCCATGATAGAAGCATATGATAGCGTAGTCTTATCCAGGTAGTTCAATCCGTAAACAACACATAGTAGAGGCATCAAGTGAAGGTCGATCTTTCTGAGCAATTTCTTCTCGTCTTCTGGAGTAAGAACGATGGCTTCTGCAGTAACGAAATTCAAGGCCTCATCGGGATCGTTGTTAGCGATATGTTTGCGCATGGATTCAATAGCTATCTCGTCAGGTGGATCTACTGCTGCTTTCTCAACATCGCCTGATGAAGCTGTTACCGATGTATCTTTGGCGTCAGGCATGGTGCTTGATGTTCGCTCAAATTTCACGAGCCAACGTATGAAGTGAGGGGTTGGTTGGGTTTGCAATTGGAGATGGACGATGGACTGAGAGGGGAATAGCAATTGAAAGACATGATGTTGATCGTCAGCTGTTTTCACTGATAAGGTACGGGTTAAGTAACAACCGTCAAGGATGGACGTCGGGGTATAGCCAATCAAAGACGCATATAGTTATCAACAACAGCTCTTTGTGAATGCGTAACAGGGCGAGTGAGTCGCAAGAAGAACCCTATTTTGGGGTTAGAAACCACATATTGGGTTATATATGTGTCTTGATATAAAGCCAACTATTTGTCAAACGACAGCATACCTACCTTGGTAAATACTTAAATGAACGTAAACGCAGTTTCGGAATATCTTCACCAGGTATGAGAGGTGAAGATTAATACTTATATGAGAAGTGCATGTAGTGTTAAGTTTTCAACTTTGATGACTGACATTTCGCGATTAGCAGTAGGTAAGTACTACTGTCGCCGAAATAACCTACCCAGCAAGAAGAAGGGAGAAAAGTCATCATAACAAAGTTCAACTAAAGGAGGAGCTTCTTAATAGTCCAAAGTCAAAAGATTGACGATGCCTATCTGAGCAATAGCTCGAACATTGAAAATGGGGTGTTCTTTCGGACCGACACGTTAGACGTCGGGTTAATATAAGCTTCTCTAAAGCGCAACCATACAGTACACAGCATGTGAACTTCGTCTCATGTATAATGTGCAGCAAGATCGGATAGGCAGGTAACCGTCTGGTTGGTCGGTTGCCTGGTTGGGTACAGCAAACGGTACCTACCCATGATTCGTTGGTAGTTACGTTGCGCTCACAGGTACATGGCACATGGAGGCCACACCACCACTACAAGTCTACAACTCATGTGGATGTCTCGGAGCCATAAATCTCACACAGTGAAACTTGTTTAACAGTAACTTACCAGCTTGCCAATGATGTTTATGGAGTCCAAGAGTTCTAAAATAGGATGATCTTCATCTATTTCGGTACGCACAACCTAGGCAATCGGATCGTCAGTGATCAACAAGTTTGCTTGCGCAATCAATGATTATCGATCCAATCTAACCGCGCTACCTGTTGATCGTTTCTTTCTTATCAAGCCACCGGAATACTAGATACAGCGCCAAATTTTCATGTCAGCCGGTTAACCGATCTGCTAGTAGGTAGCCAGTTTAAAAAACGCAGAAGAGTGCAAATTATTAATAGTTACCTATTGAGTTTAAGTGCTACGTGAATACGGAATACATTACAGAGGCATTAAATAGCGTGGCGTAAGTGCTGGTACAACCCAAGATCCACCAATTCCACGATGCTCTTTATCAGATAAATGATTCTACATTTTCCAATGAAACGTCATATTCAAACATGAAACTTCTGTAAAAATTATCATATTAGATAGGTTCTACTCTATCAGCAACATTAAGACTCGGAAACACGTGAAACAATGACTTCATCACTTGAATCACCAACAATGAGAACAAGACCAGATAATGTATAGGCGCCAGACCAAAACTTGATCTCCCAGCCGCGTCGACGTTGCCATTGAACTATCGTACAAGGACTGCGCAGACACGCGAAAGGAATTGTCCAGAGACCAATAAAACATCCAGCTAAGACTGTAAACTCTTGCGAAGTATTTAACAATCGACTCCCCAAAAAATGAATTTGTACAAGAGAAGCCAACAAGGGAGCAAGAGCACGAATCGAATACTTCTTGGGTGACGGGACGGAAGTAGTTGCAATGGTTTGATTTTGTCAGAGGCTCCCGAAGATAGCGAAGTAATTCTCCATCCAAATTCCGGCAGGTAAATATCTCCTCTACATCCGAGAAAATCCTCCACGACCATTCCAACTACCAGAAGACCTCACACATCGTAATCCTCCATGGCGAGATTGATTATTTGTCCGAAACACCGAGACAAGAAATTACAAGAATCAAAGTCAGATCCTGCATGCGTGGCCGTGATAATACTCCATAGTGCAATGCAGAACACACCCGTGAGCCGCTAACAGTCCCAAGTCTAAAACACACGCCAGCCATCCCAGTACAACTCCAGCTTGCTTCCCGTCATGAGCGTCGAAAGCGTTCCCTCTCGATCCCCAGAGATTAGGTACTATCGAACAAAGGAGAATCGTAGGTCATAGACGCGAATGCGAAACTAGGAATTGATTTATAGGGCGGCAACAGCAAGGCCGAGAAGACCAGCGAGGCCAGCACCGGAGAGAGCGGCGACCTTGCCAGCACCAGCGGTGGGGATGGTGCTAGGGGTGGTGCTGGTGCTGGGAATGCTGCCGGTGGAGTGGGCAGAGCTGGGGGTGACGGCCGGAGCGGTGCTGTTGGGGTAGACCGGGGGAGGAGCCGGGGCCGAGGTAGGGTAAACAGGGACCGGGGCGGAGGTGCTGTGAAGATGTTAGCCTATTTGATTCTCATCTAGAGGACAACACTACTTTCTTACCAAGTAGTGCAGGCGACGGACGAGGTGGTGTAGACGGGCTTGCTGATGGTGCAAGGGCAGTCAGTGATGGTCAGGGTAGTGGCCTATAGAAGTAAATTTGTTAGCCGACATGCGCTTTGGTTTTTCCTGTACAAGATATTCAGGTATCTTACCTCAGTGACGGTGTAGGTGTTGGAGCCGTAGGTGATCTTGGTGGGGCCAGGGCAGTAAGTCTCGTAGGAGGTAACGACCTCGGTGGTGTAGGCGGTAGCGGCAGTGGTGGTAGCGGCGGTGGTGGTGTTAGCGGAGGCCGAGTAAGAGGCAACCGGGTAAGAGGCCGAAACGCCAGTGGCGAGGGCAACAGCAGCGATGGTGAACTTCATTTTGACTGATTTGTCTGGTATTAAGTGACTCGTGGGAGTTTAGTTGTCGAGGATTATTATGTTTAGTCGAGCAATTAGGTATGCTTGTTAACGAATGAAATTGACTGAAAAGTCAGGGTGATATTTGCAGAGAATGTGTGTGGGTGAGGAAGGAAAAGAGAGGAAGGATTGTCGGTCCTTGGATGTGTCGATTTATATACAGAATGAACAACATGGGGGAAGGTCGCTTCAGGGCTGCACAACCAGCACAACGCAACGTGAACTTCACCTCCCATGAGCGCCCAGGTGTTGATAGCCTAACCCTGGTTTGTTCATGGTCCATAAACCCATGGGTAGGGTCCGCGGCGCTAGGATAGTAGGGTCGACTGGGTCTCCATCCATCTCTTCTCTCCATATTTATTTTTTTCCTCATCTTATTTCGCTTTCCTATCCAATCATAAGCCTCTACGTCGAAGAATAAAAGGAGCTGATGTATACTGTACATAATGTGTGTATTTCTTATGTAGGTATGTATGTATGTACATACGCACATAACACATACGTTAGCATGTCAGGTAGATAATTAGTATAAATCGCCCCAGGGAGGAGTATCTATGGGGTCGTTCTCTCAATAGTGAGTGATGAACGTCAAATCGACCCCTTTTCGGGCGGAGTGTGGGTTCTCCTCTGTGACTTGTTCGCCCGTCAAGAACCGAAATGGGTAGCGCTCAAGATACTGACCGAAAGGGGCGAGTACCCTCGCTCAACGATTGTATATTTCTGCTAGGGTCTTATTGAGGTATATTGGGTTGTAAGTACCTTAACTAAGTGTTTAGTATTACCGAGTACAAGACGCATGATGAATCATTATCATGTAGCATAACAGGAATACGAGATGGGTCTTTGGACAATAGTTCGGGATGCACTATTTTGGATCTGGCCGCTCGTTGGGTGATGGGGACCGGGGTTGTGTAGTAGCATCGACGCATCCTGCAAGGAACAGAGCCAGTCAGCCGGGGTGATAATAGGCCAGCGACAAGTCTGGCGATGCGGAAATTGGAACGCCACTAGCGTCGTTTATTCCTTGGCCTTCTTGGCTAAGAAGATCACGGTAGCCCTGGAGGTCTTTAACGCATTTGTGATACCTCTAAGTATGGGTATTCTGCAAGTGAAGCTATTATTGTAAGTATCGACATGTGTTGAATTCAAATTTAACTTGATACATTCAGACTTGAGACGTTAGGCTCGACATCTTAGGCTATTCGATGGGGTATGATATAGTTTCATAATGTGCAATTCAGCAAACGTTCAACTCCTAGAAGATAGAGGTAGAACGATAGAGGAATTAGAAAAGAAAGGCAAAGCGGAGCGGTTGCTCCAAGATTCTTCTTCTGAGTTCAAAGGTTGGTTCCATTTCTATTTAGCACTTGCCACTTGCAGATGCAGGAACAGATTGCGCTTCTGCAGGAACCGCCAATTGGGCGCGATTCAACAGCTTACACCGTAAGCAACTTGGCATAACAACGCGCACAATCTTACCAACGGCAAAATAAGAATTGAGGATTGGCGCCTATACTTCCAAGAAGATAAAAATAATCAATACTTGACTCAGTTGGGTAAATAGGTAAATTACCTGGAGAAATTTCTTTCGCAGAAAAGGGAAATGGAAGGGGAGAGGAAAAAAAACCAATTCGGATAAGACAATAATAACTCCAGCCTTATCTCGTATCTTGTTCAGGGGCACTTTCTCCATAATATGTACCTACCTAGTAGGTAGTCAACGCTAAACTCCGAATCCGGACAAAGCAACAACTTGAAATTAATGGTGTGAAGGAATTTATTTCATGTATTAAGCCTACAAAATTCATACTGCATAGTACGATAGGGTATGTCCAATCTTGAATACCCTAGGTACTACTTAGTAGGTAATTATTAGTCAAGATAACAGAGCACTAAACCTTGGCTAGGAAGTTACTATGCGTTTAGCATTGACTGATACTATTGTTATGGATTATAGGGCTGCCCGTACTGCGCTGTGCGTACGCAGTACCCTGACAGCCTGATACTTTTCAGGCGAGTCCGGAGTAGGGACGAGGATTAACCCCTGAATATATCCCTGAAAGAACCCCTGAATGACAAGCCGCCGCCGACATCCGTTCGGCCATCTCCAGAATCTCGATTTCTGGATTGGTTCTTCTTGCATAGGACCTAGTTCAGGCGGAAATTGCTAACCTTCCTTTAAGCCTTCTGGAAGTCGGTCAAGTCGGTCAAACAGTGACTGATAAGAGCCAGGGCTCTTTATTATTCACCATTCTAGATCTGGCAGCAGGACACGACAAGCTATCGGACGATATCGCTACAGCGTACACGTAGATTGCCACCTCGTGTCAATCGATCGTTACATAAGAGTCAAGGACATGGATAGTTCTACTAAGTACTGTATAGTGTTTTATGGCATAAAATACTGTAAAGATACACTGTACGAACCTATTTTGGCGCCGCTCTGACTTGGCTGCTTGGTATTACCCACAGGGCAGTCTGCCAGTCTGCCAGTTCGATATTAATGTCTCGTATCTAACAATACAGCGTATGAGAATTTTCCGAAAAGCCCCAGCCAAAATCGCCTTAAGAGGGAGGGGAGGCCGATCATTGCGGGTTAAGCCCACCAGGTCCAATCTTTCTTCGCAATATTAACCGATCGCATCTGTGATTCACGAAAATCTCTTTGGGCTGGATCTGGCTTACGAAAAATACGGTAGTCTGGTAAGTCTGATAAGTCTGGTAGTAAGTAGTATGGATGTCACATCTGATTCAACCATCTTCCTATGGGATTTGACCAGCCTTACCTACTTACTTGCAATATTTAATTAAGGTCGAGCACAAAGCAACCATTACAGTTCCTTCTAGCTCTCAGCTGAATTGATATGCTCGCCTATGATGAGAAACGGCTTTAAGGACCGGCACAATCATGCAGGTTTTTATGGATTTCACCGCTAACTCTCGTAGCGACAGTCATGGTGCCAAAACTAGCAATGCTACGTAGGTAGTTGAGGCTCGTCCATGGGGTATCCCAGCACCTCACATGCGAAGTTCCGAAAGGATAGGCACTCGAGTGTGTTGCAGTATACGCACGGTAATATTTTATTAGTATTTACCTACTCTTCTACATAGTATTGAGCTTACATCGGACCATCTAATCTCTACTATGCCTACGATGGATCGCCGATGCAACCACCATGATGGTAATCAAATACATACGAGATATTATTTAACGATGCGAGATTACCAGTCAAAACGCGCTGTGCGTGTCGCTAACTTAGGTATATCTTACGGATTTAAACCCATCAATTCTGTCGGAGTAATTCCTCCGTATAGAATTCTATCGCCGTCAATTCGATGTCGCTTCGCTCTAACTCTTCGCTGTTAATTTTCGGTTCACGATAAAGTCTTCAAGTTTTGTCAACATCAAGATGATAACGAGTTGAATATTGTGGCAGTGGTGCCAAAGCTAGGTAAAAACCAAGAACCAAAGGTGTCTACCTACCTACCTAGGTAGGTAGACAACTTAAAAAACAGCGTATACTTGTGCGAAATGTCTAGAGCCTACCTAATCTCTATTTTCATTCTCTTTCATTCTATAGAAACCTTTTGGGCAGATACTAGGAATCGTTGCTGACTGATGCCATACGGAATCGGGATTCGGCATAGACTAGAGGGTTACATGTGATTGGCACAAGCTAACAGGAAAAGTTTCAGCGGCTTTGATTTCAAATCGTCATTGCATCGAAACTATTTACGTAGATGAGATGGTATAGTTGTAAATATTTAGATACTTGTTACTCAACCCACCAATCCTCCAAAACATTTTCTCGATCTCAAACATAAACCTACGAAGTAATTAACGTTAGCTTCAAAATGGGTAGCGTAATGAAAGCCGTTGGTATGTGGATAGCAATCGATGTCTACCTACCTGAATAGTATATTTCGCATCAGCGACACTTAGCGCTAATCGGTCCAATCCAGACATCAAAGGCGGCAAGGGGCCTGCTAATTCCCTATTTATCAACCATCAGACGCCCAAGCCCGAGCCCAAGGAGGGGGAAGCTCTTGTGCGTATCAAAGCTTTCGGGCTGAACCGCATGGATCTTATCCAGCGCGAAGGACGGTACCCGGTGCCGCCCCAGGCCCCGTCCACGCTCGGCGTCGAGTTTAGCGGGACCATCGATTCGTTCGGGTCCGGTTCACACGGCGATTTCCAGATCGGAGACGCCATCTTCGGCCTTGCTTACGGTGGCGCATATGCCGAGTACGTCGCAGTGAGTTCTAAGATGCTGCTGCATAAGCCCAGTAGCTTCACCTGGGAGATGGCTGCCGGAATCCCCGAGACGTGGATTACCGCAACTCAGGCGCTTCATCTTGTCGGCGAATTCGCCCCGGGAAAGACTGTCTTGTGGCATGCTGGTGTATGGTTTACCTTCTTCTAGCCTGTCCCTTCTAGTCTTGCCATTAACTGACCGTATCTCTTAATAAAGGCCAGCGGTGTAAGCATCGCCGGTATTCAGCTGAGTAAGGATAGCGGCGCCAGCGGTGTTTATGCTACCGCTGGTACAGATGAGAAGTGCCGATTCATCGAACGCGATCTCGGCGCTACTAAGGCCTTTAACTACAAGACGCAGGACTGGGCACAGGAAATTCTCGATGTGACCGGGGGTAAGGGTGTAGATCTTATCGTAGACTTTATCGGCGCAAGCTATTTTCAGAAAAACTTGACAGTTGCGGCGAGAGACGCTAGGTGGGTTACGTTGGGTATGATGGGCGGTACGAAGCTCGATGGAGTAGATTATAGTATGCTCCTCTACAAAAGGATCCGGATAGAGGGTAGCACTCTACGGAGTAGAGACGCCGACTATCAAGGCCGGCTGAGGGATAAACTGGCCGAGTATATCCCCCATTTTGAAAGTGGCAAACTGAAAGTACTCATCGACACGGTCCTGCCCATGGACGATATCATTAAAGCTCATCAGTTGCTGGAGGAAAACAAGACGACGGGAAAAATCATTTGTACTGTTCCATAGGGAAAACAAGCATACCAAATGATCTTTAGAGGATACTGGTGTCTTCGTCTTCCGTGACCGAAATCTGCACAACTATAGGACTCAAAACCTTCCAGTACCTAAATCATGATCATACCTCCCACCTTGAAGGTAATATCCAGACAACGCCATGTGACTAAACTTATTTGCAACCCGTATCGTTAATGTTCCTTGATCCATCTTAACATCTGGTCAAAAGCAGTTTCTTGTGCGCTTTTGATGTTACCGTCGTTGTAATCTCCGATAACAGCAAAGCCATGAGGGACGCCGGGGTAAACTTGAACCTCATGCTCCACATTCTCCTTGGACATTATGTTTTCTCCGGTCTCGCGGACTTCGTCGGGGAACATAGGGTCACTTTCCACGCATACTAAGCTTACCGGTACTTTCAGTCCTTGGAAATCGTCGGGAGAAACTAGAGTCGCATGCGCCAATGCGCCCGCCTTGATATACGGGCCCTTTGTTGGGGTTGCCCCTTCGCCCGCTTCTTCGTCAGATGGCTTCTGAGCCCCGCTCCAACCTGTTTGTACCTGACTGCGCTCACTCGCTAGAAGTAGGACATATCTTCCACCGAAACAGTAGCCTACTGCATAAATGCCCCCTCCGTTGCCCACCGCATCGGCGAACTCGCTCTTGCATGCGTCGATAACCTTTTCGAGTATCGGCAGAACCTTTTCTTCGGTATGACGCGCTAGCCATTCATCGATCACGAATGACTTTGCAATTTCAGCCGCCTTTAGTTTGATCTTGTCAAGGAATGATGTCCCCTGTGCCTCAGCCTCGGAAGCCAGAGAAGAGTTGGGTGCAGGGTTTCCATCGAACAGGTCGGGCATTACAACAACACTTAGAATGAGTTTAGTATATATTGTTTGTCTTGCGACTATAGATAAGCCTAGGAGTGCGATCGATGTGTTATAGTATGGGCGAAGAAGGAACTGGACATCCTGAGATATACTCACAAGCCTTCATCCGCAAACTTGTCGGCCTGGATCTGATTGTTCGTCGATTTTACGCCGGTGCCGCTGGAAAGGAGGAGGAGGAGCTTTGAAGGGTTTGTCGGGTAGGATTCTGGCTTGGAAAGATATATCTAACACAGTAGTAGTATAAGTATGTGCGATATGTAAAATACCTATTTTGTAGAAATACTAACATCAACTCCACCAAGCTTCCTTAATTCTCCCTTTGGTGTTAGGCCGGTAGCTATACAATCGACGTCAATGTCGACACTAATCATGATGTTACATGAAGGGTAACCTACGAGTCGGCCTGTCGCTTGTGCAATGCTCGCCCATCGTTGGACCAGTCTGCGCTGGGGTATCCCCCGGGATGATGTCCTCTTGAGCATCACTTTCGGGGGCTTTCGTTGCGACGTCCTCTTCTGCCATAGTTATGAGATTGTTTAGTCACAGTAGCTCCGTAGGTGAAACGAGGAATTATGAGAACAGATACTAGTAGGGGGAATAAAATGTAGGAGAATGTTGAATGAATGGAAAACTAAGTGTGTACGGCAGACAGGTAGGATGATGTGCTTGGCAACATGCGTACGAAACAATGTACGTACCTACCTAAGTAGATATCTGGAGCAGATGCAGGTAGGTAGTACGAGGTCTTGAAGAATGACGTATAAGGATTGGCTAGATTCGTTGCAGCTTGAAGCCCTACGTATAATGGTACCTACCTAGGTACCTAGGTATCCATAATTAGGATAGAACCCCGCATTTGAGGGGCGATTCCATGCTACATACTGCCACACACCACTTTAACTTTTGACGCGACTTTTAAACCCGACGCGTTTGTTAGATGATTTACCCTTTTTAATCAATACCTACCTCATATCACAGCTTTTCGCCTTCAAGAGACGAAGCGATCTACCAAGGTACAAATCTATTCAGTATGTCGGTTGCGTCAGCACAACAGGCTATTACCCAAGGGGCCTTAGAGTATGTAAATTCTATTTATTATAGTATTTACACGAATTGCTTGACAAGCTAATCGTCGCTTCAGTGCCATCTTCAACGACCCTAATCACGTCGACCAGCGCTTCCCAGTTCCTATCTTGCAATGCTTACAGATCAAGCCTCTTGCTGCGCAACAAAATGCTACCGGCCAACAGCCCGAACGTTATCGAGTCGTTTTAAGCGACATACGCAACTATGTCCAATGCATGTTAGCGACTCGTACGTATCATAACCCATAACCCATAACCTATTCTATTTATTGCTTAGGTAGACGGTAACTCAGTCTCACTGACAATATACTCAGAGGCAAACCATGTCATTCATGATAGCTCCCTTGTTCGGGGAGCTCTCGTTCGAGTCAAATCTTATCAAGCAAATATGGTCAAAGGAAAGAAGTGCGTATTGAGGGACTCCGCGGCTTACAAATGACAGTAGTTGGTTGACAGATCGTAGTATCCTAATCATCCTCGACCTCGATGTTGCTTCGGAATTAGGTGTCCATGACCGAATCGGCGAACCTCAAGCATTTGAAGCTAAGTCGGAGTCGGCGAACACCGCCATCGGTGGTACGAACTTTTACGGTGCGAAGACGGAATCTTCAGCGCCGGTCAAATCCGAACCGATGTCGTCGCGTATGGGTGGAGGTGGTAGCACCGCGAACCATGGCAACGGAAACATTGTCATTTACCCAATCGAGGCCCTCTCTCCGTATGCGCACAAATGGACTATCAAGGCACGCGTATCACAAAAATCAGACATTAAGACCTGGCACAAGGCATCTGGCGAGGGCAAATTATTCTCTGTCAACTTTCTCGATGAAAGTGGAGAGATCAAAGCGACCGGTTTCAACGAGCAGTGCGACCAGTATTACGACATGTTACAAGAAGGTCAGGTTTACTATGTCAGCAACCCGTGCCGTGTTTCTCTCGCGAAAAAGCAGTTCACCAACCTACCAAATGACTACGAACTCACATTCGAGCGTGATACCGTCATCGAGAAGGCCGAAGATCAATCCAGCGTGCCTCAGGTCCGCTTCAATTTCGTCAATATTCAAGAGCTTCAGTCTGTGGAGAAAGATTCTACCGTTGATCTCGTCGGTGTTCTGAAAGAAGTTAACGAAGTCTCTCAGATCATTGCGAAGAGTAGCGGCAAACCATTTGACAAGCGCGAGCTAACCGTAGTGGATGATTCGCAATTCTCCGTCCGCGTCACAATATGGGGCAAGACAGCCACGGCGTTCAACACCCAACCCGAGTCTATCGTTGCTTTCAAAGGCCTGAAGGTGTCCGACTTTGGTGGGCGATCGCTATCGTTGCTTAACTCCGGTACCATGTCCGTCGATCCTGATATCGAGGAAGCTCATCGCCTAAAGGGCTGGTATGACTCTCAAGGTCGCACCGGAGACTTTGCCTCTCACAACAACATGGCGTCGATGGGCTCCGCAACAGGTCGTGTAGATCAGACAAAATTCATTTCTCAGGTCAAGGACGAAAATCTTGGAATGGAAAATACGGACTACTTCAATCTAAAGGCCACAATTGTCTATATAAAGCAAGACAACTTTGCCTACCCTGCGTGCAGCAGCGAGCAGTGCAACAAGAAGGTGATCGACCAAGGCGATGGCTCGTGGCGATGCGAGAAATGCAACATAGTGCACCCGCGACCTCAGTACAGGTACATCATGGCCGTCAATGTCAACGACCATACCGGGCAACTGTGGCTGTCGTGTTTCGATGACGTCGGCCGTGTCGTCATGGGCATGTCTGCAGACGAGCTGATGGAGATCAAAGAGAATGACGAGGATCGATTCCCCGCCATATTTGAGGCTGCCAACTGCACCAAGCTATATTTCAGATGCCGTGCAAAGATGGACACGTACGGTGAAAACCAACGGTATGTTAATTCACCCCGCGAGCGAGCGATGCGACAACTAATAAGATGTATAGAGTACGGTATCAGGTGATGAGTGCCAACCAGTTAGACTTCCGAACCGAGGCTACGAAGCTGTCCGACCTGATCAAGCAACTCTCTGTTGGTTCGTGATCGTCGTTACGGGACCATCTCGGAATTCGACCTGATCGCAATCTCTCCTGAACTTGCTATCATTGCATGACAGCTAGGCATAGCTTGCGTCGTATGAAATTAGGTTAGGGGAGGCAAAGTGATGTGTTATCCAGCTGCCAACCCCTATCAGCTCGTGGTTAATGCTCGCATTTGTGTTACGTAGATTTCTTGCTGATAAGGCATTCTTCGCAATATTGCAGAAAGTTCTGCTGATGCTAAAAGCTAGGGGTGCTAGTGAAGGGCGAGTCAATTGTAAATTACGTGCTACGAGAAATTTGCGGTCACGGCATAGCATGATAATGGACGATGAGTTGCAATATGGGATATCAGTGTTTATTCTTGATTCTCCGCCGCTATTTGCCCAGATAGGTAAATAATACGCAGGTCGGAAATCTTGATGGTTCTTAGCTATCGTCTATTCTCTAGCTGAATGGTATTCCTCAAGCCATTACCTAGGCATTATCGCCTAGGGGTACAGATATTCCCTCTGAACGCCTTCGCCTAGGGATGTGCAAGTAGTCGTGATAACGTGAGTTTCGGTTGCTTCTAATCAGATTAGTATCCCTTCCCTAAACAGGGAAGTTTCAACGGAAACTGAACACCATCTGAGACCGGCTGATGACAATGAAGTCTAATTCCCCAGAACCGATTCAATGGGTGGCAAATAGACTCCCCTTTCCTAGCCTGTTGCAACTACGCCACCCATCAAATCTTCATCGTCAACTTGGGCATCAAAGCCAATGGTAGGATCAGGCTCGTTCTTTTCGATACGCTTCTCCTCCTTAATGATGTATTTAATGTATTCCTTGCTAGTGCCCAGGCGCTCCCTAGTTGTCTTGAAAAACGAGTGCAGCTGCTTCAGCCGCAGCGCCGTACTGCCAAGTTGACTCGCGAAGTCCTCTTCCGAGAGTAACGTGGAGGGAGATAGGAAGGTAAGGAAGCTTGTGCCGTCGTCATTCTTTTCGATGACGCCATTTAGCATGCCAGATATTATCATGTTCTGGATGAGCGTCTCTATATCCTCGTCTTTCTCAAGTACCTTGCCCGTCTCGGCACTGGTTGTCTGCTGTCGAATCTCGGGGAGGGAGACTTTGGAATAGATCTGTTCTAGTCCCAGAACTCGCCACTTCTGATAAGCTGCCAGAACCTCTTGAATCAGTCCTGTATTTCCATCTTCTGCCCAAAGCTGATTATTTTTCTCCACTTCTGTCTTCAATGCCTGAACGTTGTCTGTCACAAACAATATCGCGACCGCTTGATAGGGTTTGCCCAAGTTTCCATAAAGCTTGCTTGCAGCGACTCCTGTATATGATTGGGGTTCGTCAAGCTTCCCTTTCGAGAGTAAGCTGACTAGCACCCACTTCTTGTATGCATCGATCATGATCTTGCTCGTGCCTCCCTCGCGAGTAGGGAACGATACGACTTGTTCAAACGCATCGAATGCTTTTGTCCAATTTCTTTCAGAGCAGTACATCATTCCACGGAGTAGGTCATACTCTAGCACTAGAGATGGCTTCAAGGTACCGGTAAGTCCAGTCTCTCGTGAGAGATAGGCCGGTGGCGGGAGGGTGAGGTCACAAAGGTATTTAGGCTCTCCATAATTAGCCATGCCAGGAAAGAAGACAATGTCCTTATCGATTACCGGTAGGGAGGGCTCGATGATGTTGGTGCTGTAGGCGAGTTTCGTGAGGATGATATGAGAGGTGGTGAGTAGGCTGCCGGTAGGATCGAGTCTCAAGATGGCTGTCGCGAGCGCTTCGACAGCAGCTGAAGGCTAAGAAGTTAGGTTAGCAATGTGCTTAAAGATATCCATGGACGTATCGAGAGATGTGCGGTTTGGTGACTTACAGGTAAGTATTGGCCATTCCCAGCCGCAAGAAAGACATCATGCAAATGGCTTCTAGCATATCGGCATTGTCGTGCATCGAATGTGACAAGAAACAAAACCAACTTCTCCAGGATGAGATCGCGGGGTACAGAAGCGACTAGGCCAGGGAAGACCAGGGTATGAAGGACGGCTAGGTAAGAAAGTGAATTGATTGCAGGATCGAGAATGTCAAGAAGGTCAGGGCCATGATCTATCAACTCGGCATTCTGATCTTGAAGTAGCTTAGAGAGCTTGGAAACGTGGGCCTTAACACTCGTATTGTAGCTCGCATTATCGCCGAAGCAGTCGAGATTGGCTCCTGGCGGAAATGCCAGGAGTGTCGATGCTATCATATCCATGGCGGCAACCGCTCAGGATGGGAAGGGCGTCGAGGAAATGATATCGTAACGATGTCCGGTTTCGCGTTTGCACTTGGTAAGTTATTAGGTAGCGTTAGGTGGTTTGTAGTAATGGTCTTGGGGTGGACATGGAACATGGGACGCGGGACATAGGTAGGAACCTGGAAGCTTTAAGGCGGGGCTAAAAACGGCGTTAACTTTGACCTGCGGCGTTCTTTACATTTCTGTTAGGTAAGTTCAATGGGGGGGTTTTGGCCCCCATGAGTTTTCGCTCCCTGGTCAAAAGTGGGTGTTTTGGACCAATCAAACGCTATTATTTCCTCACAGACCACTTTTTCGAATATGGATTTGATGTATTTCTTTTAGACCCTCCAACAGCTTTTAAACCAATCAAATCTCCTTATCGATTTAGAAACTCCTTTGAGCCAATTAAAACGCTCTATGCTATTCGACCCAGTTTTAGTAACCAATAAAAAACGCAAAGTTGGCTAGGATTAAACCAGACCCGAATAAGTGTCATGCTCGGTTTAGAAGGAGACTAATCCCAACTAGATCAAATGGCGTAGCTCAATTGGCTCGTTTCAAAGAGTTATTCTCAGAATGGCAGTTGAAGACTTCTTAGCCAATCAGAGCCTAGTGTTTGATTTTGAGTCTTTCAATGTACCGCGCTATACCCAGATTGGCCGGTCTATACTCAAAACAGTTAAGCCTTAGAGCCAGGGAGCGAAAACTCATGGGGGCCAAAACCCCCCCATTGAACTTACCTAGGTACCTGTATCTACTTAATTCAACGCGACTCTGCGGGGGGCATTGACATTAAAGTTATTCCCTGGGGCTATCGGAGGTGGGGTAAATAGCCCTAGACCCACCGGTAGCAGCCCTAGAGGTGTTCAAATATAGGGCTGCTATCTACCACCTATTACCACCTATCATCTAATGGGTTTCCCTGCGGACTATATGTCCATGTTTATTCTCATCGACGACATACCCAACTATTATATTACATCTTCATATGTATATCCATATACGACAGATGTCTCCTCATCCTGGCATTCGCATTGGAATACATCTAATACCTCTACTAGGTAACGAATATTTTAAGTCTTAGGTACCTACAAGTATAAGTAGAGGTAGGTCATGACCAGATGGACTATTTGGCAACGTCCTATACATATACCTACTAGGTAGGTAGACTAGACAAAACAGACCCGGGAAAGAGAAGAAAGTTCACAGTAAAGTTTGTAAGACAAGGACATGGCTAGATACTTAATTTGTGTATCACATTAGCATCCTATTGGTTGGGCTCTTATGCCACACGTTGAAGGTGACGACACCATTGTCCGTACATTATTCATGGCTGCTTAAATTCCAGGTGTAAATCAAATATCTTCTTGCCTTTCCTCTGTCCTCTTCTCATCTATTCATCAACACATCAGAACTTATGAGACGATATCAGTATCTTCTTTACCTACCTATCTATCTGCATATCTAGTTAAATCAGGTTCTTCGATTTGACACCCTAGATCACTTTGACTATACCCAGGGCCAGGGAGTAAAGTGAACTCGATATCACTATGATTATTCCTCAAGAAATTTCCGAGGCTGCCACTCAGGTGGCTAACAAGCTACTCCCTCATGAGACTAATCATACACCGTTGCCGACTGTGATCCCGGATATCCCTCGTGTATACCACCAAACTTCTAGTGAAGTAGGTCACAGAACCTTGTGGTAAGTAGTCTCGTTAAAACTCATCTTCATATAACTACCTAGTACTCATGTAATCTCTACTAGGGCTGTCTGCGTCCTAATGGGTTTGTCCTCACTAGCCTTCTATATGATGGCTATGAGAGTTCCCGTGGTAGGAAACAAGAATCTGGCGAGGCGTACCAAAGAACAGCACAGGACTAACTGCTACAGCAAAAACGCCTCTTTCATGTCATAACAGCATTGGTCACGACTTTTGCTTTCCTCTCTTATTATGCAATGGCTACAGGCGATGGCATAACTTCGCATTCTTACGTAACTGAAAGGTCAAAGCATGGAGCTGTCACGGAGATTGTCGAGCGTGACGTCTATTGGGCTCGTTACGTTGACGTAAGCTATTTGATATTCATTGAACCTACCCACTCCGCCAAATATTGTCGTCAGCTAATAATATCAGTGGTCTCTTACTACTCCTCTCCTACTGCTGGATCTATCCCTTCTTGCCGGTCTCAATGGCGCAAGTATCTTGGTGACCGTTGTATCAGACGTGATCATGATATTAGCTGGCCTTTTTGCGGCCTTTTCAGAAGATGAGGCTCAGTCATGGGGATGGTATGCATTCGCTTGCATTGCATACCTCAATATCATCTATCAAATTGGCTATAAAGGGCGACACGCAGTATCTGCCAAGGATAATAAAACGAAGGCTTTCTTCGGTGCTATCTCTCTTTTCACTCTCCTTTTATGGACTGCATATCCAATGTAAGTTGTCGTTCTTACGTACCTATAAGTTGAAAAATAATAATCATAATTACTAATCCTTCTTAGCGTATGGGGAGTTGCTGATGGAGGTCGCCGTGTAAATGTTGACGGCGAAATTATCGCATACGCTGTCTTAGATGTCCTTGCAAAGGGTGTATTTGGGTTCTGGTTACTCATAACCCATGATAGTATGGCCCAGACAGTGCCATCCATTGATGGATTTTGGTCAAATGGCGTCTCTCATGAGGGAACCCTTCGCGTAAGTCATATCCCTGCCTAGATATATTTTCTGTGTTTGCTCACGGTGAATCAGGTCGGAGAAGGCCGCACACTAGGAAATAATTGAACAAGTTATTGATGTGACCCAATGTCGCATAATCGTTAATGGAGTTGACTCACTTGCCCTCGCTCTTAAAATTCATTCACTACTATAATTGGAATTTAGAGATATGGAAAATTATGCTCTGATATCATACATATAAACGTGTAATGATCCGAAAATATAGGATGGATGAGATAGGATCGAGATATTGCCCCTTTATTGAAATTGGTGGGGTATATTTTCAAATATCAAAATGTCGTCGTTATCATAATAGACTTGCTCGAATTAATCAGCAGCGCAAGTGAAGCAGGCAACGTCCGCTGGATTACCGCATCCCTCGATATAAACACCTGTTTCGGGATAAGGGCAAATGATTCTGTTATTTTTCTCTCCATGGACATCGGTTAAGACTATGGGTAGAGAGCTGGGCACTGTTCCATTCTCTACCCAGGCTCGTAGGGCATCGAAAACAGTCGTTGGCTGTCCATTTCCAAAGCAGTGCGAAAGTCCAGGCACTTCATAAAACCGGTAGAACTCTTGGACGTCGGGCACAAATTTCCTAATGTCATCGTAGTATTGCTCTGTAGCTTGTATTGGTATGACCTGATCGTACTGTATGAGTCGGTTATAATAGTGAGCTTGGTCATAATTCAAGTATAAGAGGAATAAGACGCACCAGTCCATGATATGTCATCATTTTCCCACCGACTCTATAGAATTCAGTGAGATTTGGGTTGCCGCTTGCGACTATAGAATCGTATTCTGCCCCCGAGACACGCATTATTTCATCGTAGCGCTCTCGAGTAATAGTCGTATAATCATAGTCTGGGTTCTTCTCAACAAAGAGTTGGATCCATTGGTACGCGAGTGGTACTGGATTGCCCTTACACGTACTATTCGTACATGTTATGGCTGCAATCCCCGTACCCGTAAAATCACCACTAAGGTCAGTGCCATAACTCAGCCCATACCAGATAAAGTTGCCATCAGAATCGGTCGGACCAGTCCAACTAGCATTCGCAATGACGGCTGCGGCTCTGCTCAATTCCATGGACCTACCCTCAAGAAAGCAGGTGAAGTTAACCCCGACATGTGGAAAAGGATTGAATGAACACCTTTTGGGACTAGATATGATACCATCAACTATCCCGTCATCTCCATCACATTCCTGCACCGCCAGAGTTGTAAGGAAATCCAACTCACAGCCATGGGGATATTCATTCATGGTGTTCATCAACATCTGTGGCCAGAACATAGCAGGGGCCCATTGAGCCCAGTGAATAGCTGGGGCAGAGGCTGCGATTCCATCATATGCATCAGGATGATTCTGGGCCAACTCGAAGCCCTGACGACCACCCTGAGAACAGCCGTTGAAATAGGAATAGTCTGGTGGTCTTCCATAGAAGTCTTGTATGACACTTTTCGCGATGACTGCCTGTTTATAATATTAGATTGTATTTCTTTCAAGTATGCCTCAGCGCTTTTGATACCATATCATTCAGGATGTCACCACCCCAATGCCGGACTAAGACTTCGTCGATCTTACCAGGACTATCCAATACCCACGAATACGGATCTAAAGGGGTGGCAATGCCGGCATCCGTACTGGCCGTAGCATACCCTTCACCAACGGCCCCTGCCATGTTGCCATAGCTCATGTCAACCCGGCCTGGACCAAGTCCACTGCCCCCGGCAACTTGCAGACGCCCATTCCAATTATCTATCGGTAGCCATGCTTCTACACTCACAACATCACTTTGATCGGGGTGGGTGTAGGATACGGTAATATTGCAGAAGCTCGAATTTTTGACATCTAAGCCATCGTGATTGGGATAATACACTGGAGTGACCTGGCGGCTGTAATTTGTCACTAACTGCGAAGATATTAGCAGGATAACAGCGCCCGAAAGAGTAGGCGGATCGATAATCGATGAGTTGCAATTAGACATTCTATTCAAGGTCGTGAGTCCGCAAAAGGGCGTGGCTACAATGCAAAAACCCGTAAAAACGCGGCGGTAGGAGATATATCTTCGATATTCGACATCTCGCAACCTAACCTTCCGAAATCTTGGCCGGGCTTAGGATGATTGGTCGGCAGATGTATGATATGCGGACTTCTGAGAGCACTGCTGGGAAATTATTATAGAACCGTGCAGGTGTGTAATGCCTAGTCGATCTTTCTATTTTGTGAGAAGTATGAAGGAATTTGATATAATATACTCTTGGTATCTACTGTAGTGAGGCACACGAAACTGAGAGGATCTAAGGAGGGCTCTGAAATATCGCATATTCCTCTCTTACCTAGAACCTAGGATTTTTGACTCGGCTAGACTAACAAGTAGCAAACATTTTGCAACGTTTTCAACGAAATGACTTATCTACGAAGTACCATTGTCGTAATTAAAATCTATGAAATGATCAACATGACGCGAATGAATGCTCAGATGATTGATTGATGGATCTGAAAAAAGGAATGTGGCGAAACGTCGTGTTTGTCAATGTCTGCGTAACGTTTAAGAAGAGTAGGTCGCAAATAACTTGTTACAGATACTGCATTATGTAAAGGTTGGAGGATTTAGATTTGTGTCTCATCCGCTTCTTGTCCTGCTCGTTCTTTTTCTTTTCTTTCATGAATCGAGTACCTTCCTGTTTATGATGCTAAGTATAAAATAAGATTAAAAAATCAAAGCTTCGTCCAGACAAAATGTAAGTTTCCATAGGTCCGTGCAGAAATTATCCAGATGGAAGCCACACTGGTCGATAATGCAGCCAATTCGGTTGCCATGATAACAGATTTATAAGGCGAAATTACATCCATATATCCTCCACTACTAGGTACCTCAGATTATACCTACCTACATATTAAATGCCAAGTACACATCCATGGATACCTAGTAGTAGGATGTGAATATTGCATACTACTGGGTAGGTAGATATACATTAGATATATGGAATTCCTATGAAAAATAGGGATATCATAGAATACCTACTAGGTAGCACCTACATGTAGAGAGAACCTTAGATGTTGAGAAGTTACCGCCCGTCCTTCCTCCACCATCTGGAGACGCCACACAGGCCACCTCTACCTACTTTGTCATTAGTTAGGTCCACGGGTACTGCCCGGTTTCCAGTACAGGTAGGTACAGCGTACTTTCCCCTCCCGCCCCCTTCGAGTCCTGGAGCTTCCCGTCCGCGCTTCTCCAGCTACCACACACCCGCAACCCCCGACATGCGACATGCGTTGGAACTCTCCAGGAATTGGCTCGATCACGTTAGCCTCGCTATTAGCAATTAGCAATAGATTCGAAATTACATAGTACATAAGTAGGTATGTATTCCACGGCAAGATATCCCTGTGACACAACTATCTTTGCATCCCTGTCACACTTGGGAAAGCTGTCGCAATAGTCCTCTCTCATTGGTTAGATCTCGTCGCAACCTCCTGTTTACCTGCAACCTCAACGACCTCAACCTTCAACTTCACCCATCTCTCGTCCTCTTTTTCATCACTTCTTCATCAACCTCCACCCAAATTTTCTTCGCAATTACAGATTCAAAGTCGCCATCATCTAGCGACTATACCCGAATACTTTTTATTTGCTTCTGCCGTCCGTCATTTTCATTATTTAGCTCCCCACAATAACATCATGCCGGTTGAGCTCCGCAAGCGCAAAGCTCCTGCGCCGGCTCCAGAGCCTCCGACCAAAAAGCAGACCAAGGTCTCAAAGGTAGCCGCTAAAGTTAAGGAGACTGTCAAGGGCAAGCCTGCGAAGCCTGTTAAATCTGCCAGTGCCAATGGCTCGTCTAAAGCCGCAAAGCCCGTTGTCGGCGACATTGTCGCTCTCGACGGCTTTGGTGGCGAGATCGAGACTAACGATGGCGAGAAGACTACTCTGAAGGCTCTTGTTGACGAGAGCAAATCTGGAGTCGTGATCTTCACATACCCCAAGGCCTCTACTCCGGGTTGTAAGCTTGTTCCTACCCATTTCTAATATGGCGCTCGCCAAGTCTGACCGGATTTATAGGTACCACCCAAGCTTGTCTCTTCAGAGACTCCTACGAGCCCTTGACCAAAGGCGGTCTCGCCATCTACGGCCTCTCGTCTGACTCGCCTAAGGCAAACACAACTTTCAAAACCAAGCAAAACCTACCATATCCGCTTCTATGTGATCCCAGCGCTACCTTGATTGGCGCCATCGGGCTCAAAAAAGCACCCAAAGGCACCACCCGTGGCGTCTTCGTCATAGACAAGGCTGGGAAAGTTCTCCTAGCTGAACCAGGCGGGCCAGCTGCGACTGTTGATGCCGTTAAGAAGCTGGTCGCTGAAGACGAAGGCGATGATGCTGCGAAGGAGGAACCGGCCGACGAGAAGCCTGCGGAAAAGTCGACAGAAGAGGCCAAATCTACTAATGGAGAGGCCACCGAAGATAAGAAGGCCGATGGTGCCGATGAGTGATAGGATAAAAGCTTCATTGCCTACCTTTGCCTACCTGGTTATTTCTTGTCTACTTATTACCATTTCTTCGGTTTCCGGTCGCAGCGCAATGGTGTGACGATATGCTGGTATCTAGGTAGCTTGATTGTTGATAATGATGTATTCCGTAGATTGATGGAATTTTATTCGCTGGTGTATGTGATGCATGTATTTACTCTCCATCGTGGGACTGTGAAGTACATTTCAAGGTACCTCGACATATCGGACATGCATCCATGATGTGTAGGCAATTGCCTAATGTTAAGGTTTATCTAAAAAATTCGTTTAATTAACGCAGCTGTTCTGGTGTTCTGGCTAACAGTGGAGAACCCCGGAGTGCCGAATTTTAACCGTGTGTGGATCTTACTTTGACCAACACGATTAATCTGATTGGATCTAAATGCTCAAATGTTCATCATCGTCGATTGAAACCTCAGCACGACCGGAAATGCCCATAAACTTCTCTTAATTGAATCTACATCGCATTCGCCATGGCGTCGAAGCTCGCCCCGGTCCTTCTTAGAACGGCAGCTCGCTCAGTATGTCGAGCTCCTCGGCGATCGCAGTTCCGGGCTTTCACTGCCAGCAGCTCTAGGAGAAGTGAAACCCTCGCAGTGGTATGCTCTCCTCATTTCCTCATCACTTCATCTTGTTCCTCTAGGTCGATCCGAACTTGGACGGATATGCCGGGTGTCGGCAGATAGCTAGCTAGATTGATTGTAGCCTCGCCGTTGCTATTCTCATATACGTCCAAGCATCATTCCAGATCCCGGAATCGATAACTAAATGTGCCTCAACTCCCAAAGCTCGATTGCTAACGTTTGCGATAACAGCACCGGAATACACCCGATAACAACCCTGGCCTACCTTTCAAGTTCTCGGCCCAGAATGAAGAAGTCATCGCAGAGATCCTCAAACGATACCCTCCCCAATACAAGAAAGCCGCCGTGATGCCGCTGCTGGACTTAGGCCAGCGTCAACATGGTTTCACATCTATATCGGTCATGAACGAGGTGGCGCGACTCCTCGAGATGCCCCCTACGCGTGTTTATGAGGTCGCTTCCTTCTATACCATGTATAACAGAACGCCTGTTGGCAAGTTCTTCGTTCAAGCTTGCACTACGGTAAGTTCTATCGTCTTACTTTCTAATAGATGCTATGAGGGGTTGTTCATTCCACTAGTCCTACTGCCTCCAATTGAGAGATTAGAGCACCAATGCGATATTTGTTCTACTGTCTTTGAATTGGGATACAATATGATCACCGTAAAACGGATTGTATGCTAACGAGAACCTCTTGTGATAGACACCATGCCAACTCGGTGGCTGCGGTAGCGACGTGATTGTGAAGGCGATCAAGGAGCACCTAGGCATTAAGCAAGGCGAAACGACAGCGGACGGACTCTTCACATTTATCGAGGTAGAATGTTTAGGCGCTTGCGTCAATGCTCCTATGATCCAGATTAACGACGATTTCTACGAAGACCTGACCCCCGAATCTACCAAGCAACTGCTAACGGCGCTGAAAGAGAGCGCCTCGTCGACCAGCTCCAAGGTCAAGGTGCCCGCACCCGGCCCTCTTAGCGGCCGCCAGACTTGCGAAAACAGCGCTGGCCAGACAAACTTAACGAGTGAGCCATGGGGTATTGAGACTACGAGGACGGACCTATAACCAAGGAGAGCATAGGCATCGACTTAGACACTGTATATAAGCCATATCTGTACTGATTCATGAACGAAAAAAAAATTACATCACCCTTTGTAATGATCCACCAACGTGCCATGAATAGGATCTCTGTATTAAGATCTACGTATATGGTTAGACTTGGTTAATTGTGCAATCAATCCCGGGCCACTGCGATGTGTAAAGTCTGAAGGGATGAAGAGTAATCCGAACCCAGCTCCGGACTTATACTACACACCCAATGTTTTCGAATGCTAGACCTGGCAATGGCACTTCCTGCCATAGCCCTTGTGATTGAATATAAACAACCTAGCAATCTCTCGGCGATGGCTACCAAAGAGCAAGTCTTCTCACCTCCATCTCTACAAGGTATCTATACATTAAGGTTTCTCCGGTGCCCCTCCCCCCTTTCTTTCTTTTTTTTTTCTTTCTTTTTTTTTTTTTTTTATTTTTTTTTTAGCAACACAGTGACCTTTTGATATTACAACACGGTTGGCTATTCGCTTTAGTCTGATTGTTAGGATAATAGCATAGGGAAGCAAGATTAAGTAAGGGGGCAAGGGGTCTCATACGGGCGTCAATCAGGTTACAATATATCATACCCATACCATGATCAAAGGTTTCGGGTGAGTTCTCACTCTATATACGCCGACTTATTGAGTACCTGATATATACCTGATATATCCATGGTACCTAGCTAGGTAGTCGTAACTATCATCGATGCCATCAGAACAAATGATCACTGCGCGCAACACTATGTTCATACATCCCAAGTACTCCTCAGATTATTACCCCATACATATAACCCCCATATATATTTTAAGCTTGCTCAAGATGATATAGTAATCGCAGCAGACCATAATCCTTCAACGTACCGCAAATCGCTTCGATTCTATCGCCGTACACATGTATCATGTGGCCAAAAAAACTTGAAGGGTCTAGTTTTTGGTATTTATAAACCGTCCTGTCGCTTCCGCGTCTTACCTTTCGGCTTCGGAGGATCGATAATCGTCCAACCGGGAGGTCGGGGAGGTAGAGGCATTCCTCTTCCCCCACCACGACCCCGACCCCGACCACCCACAAATAGTGGAAATGGTGGTGGACCAGTATGCGGAGGCGGTGGTGGCAGTGGTTGTAGGTCCATAGGCCACATTTGCATGAAGATACTCATTCCTGGCTCAACTAGATCTTCCCAGAGTTCGGGCAAGATGATGTTAGCCGGTTCTTGCTGCGTGAACACAGATGGGGCGACCGGAGGCGGAGTCGGAGTTTGCGGAGGTGGATTCTCATTCGATGGTTCTCCTACCGCAGGTAAGACAGCAGGTCCTGTTTCTAACCCGATACCAGTCGATATCGAGGAAAGGAGAGAAGTAGTAAGAAGGTCGTAATGCCCTGCGTTCACGTGTGATGCTACGGGGTTGGGCACATGGTGGAAGCAAGTTCGTATCAAACATTCCATCCCCTAAAGCCGAAGTAGTTAGTTAGTTTTCTGATATAACAACAGCTAGTGTGTTAATGGTGAATGTCGATATCACGTCCTTATCATGGTATTTATCATATATGATTCGGGAAGTGTTATGTTCAGGTCAACTAATTCAGCAAAGCTGCTAACCGATGACGACGGTTGAAAATATCGAAAATCGACTCACCGCCCAATTTTTAGCCTTCTCCCAGGGGAAAACATAATTGCGCCCTAAAGCATCTTTGAATCGGATAGGAAGCTTCTTTGGAGGTCGACCTGCCGACTTCTCCCAACCGGGTTCCCCATACTGAGGCGGTCGAAAAAGCTGTGATTCTGATCCCTCATTGGCATTTGAGTCGGTTATGGTTGACGTCGATTTAGTCGGCTCGGGCCCCGACTTTTGTTCTGATTTAAGAATTTGTTTATGGGATTGGTTGTTATTTATATGTGGCTTTGGTGATAGCGCGCTGCAACTCTTCTCTTCAGACTCTACATCGAATATCTTAGCCGTGGACTCGGGAGAGGACGATCGGGTCCTCTGCTGATTGCAATTCTCAAGCAAGGAACCGTCAAAACCTTCCTTGTTCACGGCTTCTATGCCTGGTGTAACAGGGAGACCGGGCGGATCTAGATTCTCGGTTATGCTTGGGGGACTCGTGGCATGTGCCTGCAGTTGCAGGTTTCCATCCGGAACCCGTTCATTATCAGGAAGTGATCTGTCAGAAGTATCTAGACTAACCCTTACGGGTGTCTTTCCTTTATCTTTAGAACCAAGTATCGGCTGATAGGTTTGTCTGTCGTCATATTGAGAACCACTCTCTGAAATACGTAGACTTGACTCCGGCGCATTGATAACTGTCGATCGAGCAAGTACTTCCTCGTTCTCCTCGTCTTTCCGACTTAAGGAATCATCAGGATCTATATTTTCATTTATGAAAGGAAGGTTAGTTGATGCGAATAAGTCTGTATCATTGTCAACGAGGGATGATTGTAGGTCCCCATCGACTTGATCTCGATCTCGGCTAGCCATTCCGCTTGTAAGAAAATCTCGAAGCTGTGACGAGACCCTCAAGGTACCCTATCAACGGCTGTTACGTCAGTTCTACCGTATAACTTTTAATTATAGATATATCGCGATCCAGGACCGGAGAAGAAATGGATGGCCGAAGAAGTGCGGCTGAGATTTCGTGCAACACAGTCTACAAAGTAATACAAGGTATAATATACATATGTACCTAGGTAGGTAGGTGAGCACTTACGGCCGCTAAGACACATAATTGGTATAGCCAGCGCTAGTATACTTGTCAAAAGCAAGAGTAGGTCCTTCCGAGGTTCTTTGGAATACGTATATGTAGTAAGTATCCATGTACACCTACTAGTATCGCGACTAAGACAATTATGTACGTGGAGATTTGGGGGCGGTTGATGTGTCAGCAATCTCCAGCGCTATTCGCGGGAACTAAAGATATCCATTTACAGGTAGGTACCCAGTCTTGAACTTTGAAGAAAGGTTTTTCTTTTTATAAAGTAGTAGGTACATGCCGACACTTGCGCAGGGAATGCCAAGCATGTTCAAGGACATTTATCCATAACTACCTAGTACCTAGTAGGTATGTAATATATCCCCAATGTTTACCGAATATTCTCTAGGCTCGTATACATGCCCAGGTGTTGTCGACGTACAGGTTGTTGTCATCGTCATCGTGGGGGCATATGTAAGTAAGACGGCTATCCTACTCAATCAAGGTAGAAAGCCTAGAAACAAATAAGCCACTGTTTCCTAAAGACTTCCATGCAGTGTAGATCTCGGCCCCGAGTTTGTGGTTACTTTCGACCGGTCAAGAATTGAGATCAAGAGAACCTTGAACAGCCCGCCTGTCTGCCCAGGTACCTACCTAGTAGGTATCTATTGGGTGCTACTTACCGAAGTATCTTTACGTGATTCGTTCAGCTTCGCAAAATGTCTGTTCGAGCGCAGTGGTGTAGTTACATCATCATGTCATTGATACCTAGGTAATTACGAACGCCGTCAAGCTTGACGATTCTAACAATCGCCGGCCTTTTCCCATGCCCATCAAACCCGATATATACCATAATCATTACAAACCCTTAAACTATCAGAAACATTCCGTCCTATAATAAGCGTGTCTACATGTCTACTCTACCTAAGTTGCGTTGCCACCAAGGCCCAAGGATATTGGGGGTATTTTAACAAATTGTGAAACGAATCGTGTGTCTTTAGAGCCATTCACTCGTCAACCTCTTCGCCCTCGGCATCCTCGTCCCCCTCTGCGCTCGTGTTCATCCCCGCTGTCGGGCTGTTGCTGGGCTTTAGAGGGTTGCGTAGTCTCCATTTCCCCTTATCTCCTCTCTCGATAATGGCAATGTCGGCGCGCGTCGCCCAGTCTATGAGGGTATTGTCATGTTCTCCGCCAAACTCTATTGGCTGCTCCGAGCCAGTGACGGCTTTCTCTAGATGTTTAGCGACGTGCTCCATCCGGTCATCCCATGCATTTGGCCCATCAAAACGGGCACCGCAGCCGAAAGCCGGGCATCGCATGTGGATCGGGAGGTTGCAGCGCGTCCTCTTTGCTTCATCTTGGTGGGTACGCTCGCGGAGTTCCCATTCGGGGGCTGGCTTCCTTTGTTTGACCTGCTTCTTAAGGTTCGGCGGGATATGCATGCGCCGAAGATGCTGTGTGTAAAGGTCTTTGCGGTTGAATATAGTCCCACGAGGAATGCTAGTTAAGGAGCTATATTGGGGACAATGTGCGGTGGAACGGTTGCGGGCAGGAGATGATTTACTCGAAGTCTTGGAGCATTGATCCTGCTGGCAGATCCAATAATTCAAAACAAGATGTTGCGAAGAACAGTGTCGCTTCCATTCATTCTTGCTAGCAAATGTTGAATTGCAACCTGCGAAACCGAAGACGCAGACAAATGGTCGAGTGTGTTGCTTCTTGATGTGGTTTTGTAGGCCGTTCTCATCCTTAAAGAAGACCTTTTTGGAGCACTCTGTGCAGGAGAAACTGCCCTTTGCTCCTTGAATCATAGGTTTAGTGCTCGATCTACTAATTGTGTTGGAGCTACCGAACTCCATCTTGGGCCGTTTCAATTCTGAGCAAGATGCTGAACTGCTATGCCGCTTGCGGTTCCTCGTATAACGGCTTACGCTGGGTTTCACCCGCTTTTGTCTTTGATTCGGTTTATATTCGTCGTCCTCCGCTTCTTCGCGTTTTACATCCAAATGAGGTGCCTCCTCGCTAGAAGTCATTTCATCTTCTGATTCGAATGCGGGATAAGTCTCAATAGATTCAGGAATGCGTATTTCCTCTTTCACAATCGGAGTGAACTCATCGGGGCTCATCGGTTGAGCGACTTCGGTCTTCTCTCGTCTACAGCACATGTCCGTGTGGACACCACTGTCATCGCTTGACATACTGTATCCCCTTGAAGGGAATTCCGCCCTCGGGTTACCGTCATCGCAAAAGCTCTCAGGCGTTTCTTGATATGGGTTAATATCAATTGGCTTCACACAGTCATCGGCAAGACCAGTGAACTGATATAATTGAGCACGGCAGTTAGTAGTCTCATAGTGGGCGAAGAATGGAGACATCAATGTCGTGTCGGGGGGCGTCGATGGTGAATTTGCTTGGTAGTAGTCAAGCTCTCCTTGTGGACTTAACATACTACTACACGTCGATGATGTATGAGAGAACGAGGGTGAATCTCGACGCTGGAGTAGACTGGATGGAAGCGGTGCCACACCATCATTTCTTCGAGTGACAGCCTCGGTGAAGGCAGGTCCGGCCATTTGATAGCCGACTTGTGCAGACTTATTGATTTCTGAAAGGTAGCGCCGCATCTGCGGGGCCCAAGGAGAAGATTCCGAAGGCTTGAGACCCTGATCAACCGAACCATCAACCGAGGCATCCGTCAGCGGGCTATCCACATATAATGGAAATTGCATGTTCTCCGAGTACGTATAGTGTTGGTAGTCCATCTTTGCTAAGCAGTCTGGCCTGGGTTGTCGACTGGGCAACAGCAGCGTACACAGACCGCCAGGTCTCTTCGTGTTTATTTAAAGTGCTTATTAGGAGAGATGAATCTAGAAATATAATCCTGCGGCGCTGCGTATTAACTGAGACCTCTTTTTCGAAGAGAAGGACTTGTAGGTAGCAACCACCAAGAGAAAGGGGGACAATGATATTCAAAGAAGAAGCTCGCAAGGCAGACTTGTAAAAAGGGACTCCAGGGAATGGCGTGACTTATGGAAGTAAACTTGATCTCGCATGTGTTACAACACACGCTTCTCAGGCAACAATGGGGCGAAGCAAGAAGTATGAAGCAACTTGCTTCTAAGAAAAACAAAGAAGCCATGAAGAAGAAATCGACTTAACTAATATGCTGCCGGGTGTGTGTGTTATGGACCGCACATGTTTCGGGCATCCTGCTTCCTTCGAAATCTGAAGAAGAGAGTATCCACGCGGAGCCGCAAGAGACATGATGGAGGTGTAGGGGAGCGGCGTGGCTGAAGGCCATTGCGGTCATTTTGGTTGCTTGGCATAAACCCCTGCAGCGTTTATTGCACTACGGTATGTATTATCGAGACATACGGTACCTACCAGTGCATATACCCCGGCCTGCGAGCGTATGAGGAGCAAGTTGATCTCCTAGCTATTGGGGGGAGGAAGGTCGAGTAAGATCAAGAGAAAGTACCTGTTACTTGTGGTACATGAAACAGTCCTGTACGCGAACCAATGGGTTCTTGTGCAGTAGTTCGCGATCCATCGCAGGGAACATTTGAGTCATTGGGTGTTAATAGTTAATAACGAATAATTACTTCGCATACTTCGCATACTTAGCGGCACCTGGGTCCTAGGCTTCTAGGTAGATGGAGGAAACGTAGTTAGTCTGAGAAGCCCACGATAACTACCTAGTAGGTGGTATATAACTCATCCCTATAGGTAATGATATAATGATAAAACGAAGAAAACAGGTAAAGACATTAGAATCCACCTACCACCGTAATATCCATCATAGGTGATATATTTAGATTAGGGGCGTGATGATTAAAGATGTGTAAAAACCTCTCCTACGGGCGACGATGTTCAAGGTGGAGAAGGTATTGGAGGCTTGCCGAGTCATTTATTAAGGCGTCCACCTAGGCACAATAGCGACAACACCAAGGCAGAAACATAACCAGACCACCCAGCGCCATAAACGGCAATCGGGGTTGTACAGAGGGAATGTTGTCTGCGACGTATTTGATATTTCCGTAGTCGTTACTTTGCATCTCGGAGGTGTCCAGTAACATCGTAAGAGATATTAAAAAGGGAAAAGAGAGGGAGAGAAAAAAAATCGGTTATCGCTTCGTCCTGATGTTGGCTCTCTACCTAGGCTCTTCATTACTTTGCAGGGTCGCCCGACTACTGTTGGAACGCTGAATTTTTCTCTTCTCGATGAGCTGGCTGCAGGGGGGGCCGGACTCGCACTAGACCACTCAGAAAGACGCGAAATAATGGCGTCGTATGAGGGCAACTTTGGACGATCCCATACCGGATCCTTAAATTGGGGGATTGTAGCCATAGCAGCAATAGGTTGACCGCCTTCTCGAGCTATCAGGACAGGACGACGAGAAGAATCAGGACAAGGGCTCTCGGGCTGGACTGAGCTAGGACTGATGTATCATTGACCTTTTCGCAATTTTCAAATGTCGGACTGCCCAAGGTATCCAAGACTCGAGCACGTAATCCGATAGTATTTTGCTTGCATAAAGCGTCGAATCCGACCGACGCTTCGGGCCAGCCCCTCCCCACCTCCCTCTCCCATTAAGACCAATCTCTGCCTAGTGGCCTTCCAGATTTGGTCCAACAAGAAGAAGCTGAATGCAAGCGCTGGCGGCTACGACGTCGCGGGAACCAATGGGTATCTTTCGATTGAGATGGTTGTCCCTACAGCGTACATGTGAAAGTAGCCAGCTGATGATCATCACTTCCATGTTTCGTGAGGTGAATATAACAAATTTATAACGGGCAGTTACAGTAGATGCTACCCGTAATTACTAGACACGGGATCTTGGATATTGGCGTTGTCTTGCATGTAGTCAGATGTGCGAACGAGGCACGAAATAATACATTTGAGGGGACAACCTGCGAGATGCGAGACGCTACGGCATATGGGGGACGGGGGTGGAACGGGTAGGACGGGCAGAACTGACAGAACGAACAGAACGGGGCACGGGAGACGGGAACGGGAAACGCTAAACTAAGGGCAACTATGTACCTAGGTAGGTAGGTATCTTAAGTACCTAGTATCTATGTACCCTGTAACTTTCAAGATTCAGGTTCTAATACCAACTTAAAAATTTGGTGGGGGCTGTGTACGTGATGGCTAGATTGGAAAGGTGGATCACCAGCATCCATGGATATCCAAAGAGAGCGAGAATCACTACCTGGACCGTGCGTCACCGAATTTGTCCATAGTTGGGGGCTATTTATACATTTGGAGTATTACTATCATAGTATTAGATAATACGCCACTGTCACCACTGGGCGGTATACATGTAGGTATGGATGTACAGTTTACAATTTGGGGATGGGGAAGTACAAAGCTCCACAAAAAGAAGGCAACCTAAGGCTTACATCAAGTACACTATATCCAACTGAGGTACTTGATACAAAAAACTCGAAAAAATAAATAAGGCGACCGTCGGATAGCTGATCTCAACACCGCACCAATCCCACGCTTTCAAAAATTTTATCCTTTCCCTTTTCCCCCTTCTACAATTGCCGGAGGAGCTGCAAGTCAGATCAAAGATGGTGTCATAAAGTAACCACCTGGAATTTGGACACATGGACTCTAGATCTCTAGGCGACCAATTGATTCATCTATTCATCCCACCGTCAAAAAAATTCAATCATTTACCGAAGAGGACCAGAGCCGCATTGAATTGTTGGCCGACGTACACGTGTAGGACCCCGAAGGCAACCAAGGCGTTTAAAGCTTTAGGTAAGCCTATCAAAGTTCCGCTCTTCTCTAAGGACTACCTAGTAGGCAAGAAACGAAGCTTTGTCCTTGAATCGGTGGACGTCCATACGGCAAGCCAGGTCTTGCCGCTTCCATGGAACTTGGATACCTAACCATGAAGTGATTACCTGAATACTGACCCATGGTCCCATGCAGTACTTCAAGACGTACTATGTAACCAACAAGCCCGACCAACAATCTTAGCTTATTCCAGGAGCTGTCCAGTCACGATCCCGCATTTAAGAAATAATGCCCTACGTTAAACGTAGCTCAGAACTTAAAGAGCTGAGCCCCCATGATACATCTGCAACTGTCTCAGACTTTGAAGATTTGTTCCTTGTGCAGACGGCTTCCATATTAAGCTCCTAACCTGCGTTACACGCGCCAGTGGCTCAGACATCTGCCCATCATCCGGTCTTGATCTGCTTCCACGAGTCTCGACGTGATAGCTTCGACGTTAAGTCGCCGTTTTAAGTTCCATGACAAGGAACATGGAGCCGGGCGTCACAGACCCTGAACTTATGAGTTACTGTGCGATACGACCATGTCATCAGATAACCACTTGGTTATACCCCCTTTTTGGTGTAAAGCTGGGACGTATAGACAAGCATGTGAGTACATATCTAGAACCACGAAGCTGGTTCTCTGTTGGCAGTTGGAACCCGAAAATGCTTAGTACCCCTGACCCATTACCGCCTACGATTAGCGACATCAAATTTTCTCTATGATCCTAGTCCTCAGTTTTATCATACGCTTCATGCTCCTTCATGGGCAATGGACTGGTTCTTTTGATACAGCTATCCTAATAGTTTCTATATCCAAACTAAAGTACCTAATGCTTGGTATGGGCTACTTTGATATATCTGAGGGCTGCTAGCTCGTGATATATAATATGGTAATCACTAGATACGATTCCAAACACCAGCAAAGACCCTCAACCTCGATTAATCATTAGCTGTTACTACTACCCAAATCCCGCCGTAGTTCCATCGGGACGAAAAAGAGGTTTGAAATGCCGAGTCTAGATTAGTCGAGACCAATTGCTATAATAATAAAGAAGACAAGTCTAGGTAGGATTCTCACTGATGCCAACACCTTCGCGCGGATCAAGTTATCCCACGGGGAATTCCATGATGCTATCCGACCAGACAGACTCCACACCACCACCACTCAGCGTTTACTTGGATTTGTATCTATTCAGATTAAACGCTACCGCGGGCTAGTGCCATAGGAACTATGTATTAGCCGTTTGAAGTTGATTAAAGTCAGTACCAACGATACAACCATGATACATCCAACAGATCATTCACTCTGTCGAAGCATATCCATCATTTATGAAAACGTCAGAGAGTCTGGTTAAATTTAACAACTATCTTAGTAAGTGCTGTTTTGTTTCTCGGTCCGTTTTATTGATACCCCAGTTCCGTCATCTAATCCCTATGATCCTTTGACGGATAATGGGCGTACTCCTTGAGGGGTGTAACCAAGGGCTGGAAGATTTAGCTCAATACGTCGCTAGGTACTAGGTAGTCATTGCCGCCCGACCTAAGGAAAGGCCCTTATAATGGCATCCATGGATATGAGAATCAACCCTCCCCCCCTACCTAGATCCATCCATGTATCACTAGCCCAGGGGTAAAATTTACCATGACCCCTTTTAATTAACATCATGCTACTATCTTGTAGAAAAAGACCTCGACAACTGAATTATTTGAATGCGATGATTATAGTGGGTAGCGGGCGACTTTTTTATGCTCGTCACCTATGATCGTTATTCATATTAAGCAAATATCTTGTCGAATTATGACTGCTTGGTACGTAGGTAGGTAGGTACCATGTAGGTCCAGGTAGCCACTATGTAGAACCAACGCTGTAAATTTCCTCCGAGCAAAGTTTTGAGAAGACTACCTACCTACTTAGGTATGTTTCCTAGTGAAGTTATAGAGTCTGGTTTCTTTCAAGTGGCTAGAACCGTATGATGAAGGTGGAAAGAAGCGCCACCATGCTGTGCAAAGTAGGTAATTACCGAAGACGTAATGTAATTATTTCCTACCGACAACATTGAACATCGAGGTAGGTACCTAGATAACATGGATGCGTGACGTGTATCGCGTACACCAGATAATTCGCTTTATTTTCCAACTTTGACGGCCCCTACCAAAACACATATTTTCCTATCTCCCTAGGTAGGCGAGCCTAATGACTTATGGCTAGGTACCTACAGGGCACTTACCTAGTAGTTACTAACTCTAGAAATGTCGAAAGAGAAGCCAAGATTGGGCATTTCCCCTGACCCAGTTAGCAGTGGACATGGACATGTATTTCGCATCCTGAAAGATACTACCTAGATTTCGTATATTCTACGTATGCAAAGGATATGCCTTGCGTATGCGAAAATGTCTATAATCGTGATCGGACGTCACTGGCTCGTATGGCATTAATACGTACCTAGGTAGGTACGTATAGGGAGGGATAAGTAAACAGAAGTTTTGAAGGCGAAATGTATAGAGGATGTAGAAACATCCTACAAAAGTACTAAGTAGCACTGGTACCTGTATGCGTGCACCAAAAAGAACGTTACAATTTGCGCAGAAATATTATGATGCAATCTACCTAGTAGGAGATTAAAAGAGTTGATTAATTCCTTGGGAATACATAAAATATAGTAGTGCCTGCTAGACTCCCGGCCTGCGTTGGTAGGTACCTAGTAAGGGGATATCTCAAGATTCTATTTCCATTCATGACCACCTAAACAGAGGTACCTATTCAACACCATCATAATGCGACATTAACATTCATGACATTAGTAACAATTCTCGCATAACTTGTGATCACATGGGACATTAGTACACTGTTTGCTCGTCACAGGCATCATTTCTGTACACTGGCACTGCTAACGTGTTAGAATTTTGGCAGTAACGAAGGCAGGGATCACATACACAATGACGCCTGAGCATCTCCTCTACTTCGTGACGCTTTGCAGACTCGTCGCAGCCGTCGTCTCGCTTTCTCTTCTGCTTCGTAGACCGAACCTGTCGCTTCTCAAGCCGGGGGTGGCCGGGGGTGTCAGAGCTATTGGTCGAAGTAGCTGGTGTCGACGATGTAACGCCGCAATCCTCGGAATTATTGGCTGATGACTCAACTCTAGTATTAGACGGGCATTCGTCTTGCCAGTCATCGATCTTCTTCCTTTCCTGATTGTTACGGCCATGAAAATGATCGTCAATATGATTAAACCGCTCAGTCCAGGCTTCTATGCCATCCTTCTTGACTTCAATTATTTCCCGACAGAAGCCACACCAGAAACGGACCTCGGAGTTCCGCCCCACGCGACACCTCTCAATCTTAGTTTCCAAAATTGTTGAGTCTTTGATGTGGTGATGTACAACCAAGTGTTGCCTAAACTGCTCCCGCTCATAGATCATTATGCCGCAGATCTCGGCAGCGTCGTTAGCCTGCTTCTCATCACACCTCCAGTGTTCCGCCATATAGTGCTGGCTATTCTCATGCCGCTTCCAGTCGTTTTTACTGCCAAACTTCTTCTTGCAGTGCTGGAACGTGCAGCCGTATGGCTTCAAATGTCGTTTCTCATGCTTTCTATAGGATGATTAGCCCCTTAGGTGCATGGATTGCGAGAAGATTGGATAAACGGCTTCTTACTTTAATTCACAACGTCGATTAAAACTCTTCTGGCATTTGGAGCAAATGTGGGCTTGCTCAGGAGCGGTATTCCGGGCTGGCTCTTGTTTCATCACCTCTTGTTCGGGGGAATCATCTTTTTTGTACCCATGTTCTCTAAGAAAACTATGGAAAACACTATTGTTTCGAAGTTCCTCAAGAAGCTTTAGTAACTCATCGGGATCTAGGTTTCTCGTGTCACTAAGGGCCCCGAGTTTAGTCCGAGTATTGGAATCCATATGAATATCTGTTAGTTCTTCTAATTGTCTATCAGACTGAGAATTTTCGAGTGATGGCCCATTATGGTGATCTTGGGGCTCTTTGGGTTCATCCGCCTTGTCATGGTCCGGAGAACTTGGGTCGCTGATTAATTTAGAGTCCGTTTCCCCGTAATCGAGGCTGTAGTTTCTGTCATGTACTTGGCCGGACTTTGCAAACTCGGTATTATCATTAAATGTGGAACAAGGCTGAATAGATGGGGACTGGGGTGTTTCCGTCTGTTCATCAAGCGAGACATCGTCTCTTTCCGGGTGTACCTCTTGTACGTGACCGCTATTGGCGGTGCGCAAGTGACATTCGTCGCCCGATTCATTTACCGGTGGCGCCTCTTCCATCTCAACTTGGCTTGGTCCTTCCATTGGACTTGTTTCAGTAGATAGGTCTATAACCGGATCCCGAGGCAATGTCCAATTTTCAGAACCAACAGGAAACATAAATCCGTCAGACGCAGGGGCCGCACTATGGTGAGTTATGTCCGTCGTGGCCTTGGATGAAGTCGCTGGACTATCGAAAACAATTAGAAATCTCTTCTCATACATTATAAACGATTGATCCTATACCTAAACTTATATTGATCCAGATCCTCATCTGTTATGGATTCCTTTTGATGGACACGTTTCATGTGAGCTCGGAAGTTGTCTGCTCGTGGCCAAATCTTATCCTTATTTTTACAAGGTCCAATTGGGCATTTGTAGCGATTACCTGTGGCGTCTTCCTCCGGATGTAGGCTTCTTATGTGTCTGTCAAGGTCGTTTGGTGTGCTGAAACCCTCACTACGAGGACAACTTTTCACACTACACTTGAAAGGCTTCTCATGCCTTTGCTTGTGTTTCCTAGGAGGTAACATATTTCAGTGATAGCTCCCCACGGCGAGCTTTCAATCAATAAGACTTACTTGAACTCGGATTTCGTTTTGAGAGTTTTCTTGCATATCTCACACGTCTTGTCCCTAGAGCTAACCTGCTGGCCAAAAGCTGACGAGGGAGATGGTGATTGTTGAGGCTGAGACCAAGGAGCTTCCGGATTCACTCCACCTTTGGGCATGATATCCTGGTTATAAGAGTGGAAGTTCAGGTCACCTATATGTCCGACAAGGCTTTGGGTTTCTTGGTTCCGGTCAAGAGACTCGTCGCAAACAGAACCGTTGGCAACGCTACGCTTGGCCCCATAACTCCCGCCGTATCCTGAATCAGAAGGGGGCACTACTCCAGGTGCAACCGTATCGCATTCCGAAGATACTCTACCCTCCCGGTAATGGGTCGAGAAAACAAATTGGTTTTCCCGCAGGCTGCTTGAGATAGCCGGATTTCTGAGGTCACTTTGGGGAGGTGTCAAGCCGGGGGGCGTCCATGGCCCATCATTCCTTTGGTACCATGACTGTATACGATCCCTAACCCGCCCGGATCCATAAGGATCGGCCAGACTCCGGCTGGAAGGAAATGGTAGGTTCATGATAGATATATTTTCCAAGGTGGCAAGATTAGGAATGTGAGCAAAACTGAACGTTGCTACCTTAGCGGACCGGGAATGACCCTCTATCGCAGAGTCCGAAGATGCAGAAGGGGTCAAGGCTAGGTGATCGGCCATTATAGAAAAAAGTCCACGAAACAATCCAAATATCCGTAGGTGCCTAATATAGGAAGATAGAAAAAAGATATAAGGAAAAACAAGGCTGCAAGGCTCAGGATCGCAGCTACTCGTCAAGTTTCTCTCCGATTTCCAAGGCTAAGTGGTGAACTTATTTATTCCAATGTATCCCCAGGTGATTTCGGTAGACTTTAATGGGCGAGTTAGTACTAAGAACTGTGAAGGATAGGGACGTCTTTTAAATGTCTTCACGGCGTGTATAACCTAGCTCTAGGAAGTGCGAGCACATGGCTAAACTAGAGCGGGAAATATGAGTATTATCGAAGGACTAACTAACGAGTAGAAAAACGAGATTAGAAACTTGGTTAGGCAGTATTCCAAGTTATATTTTCCTCTCGGAGAGCAGTTAGGTAAGTAAGGCTACCCAAGTAGGTTATAGGGAGATGAGATTTGTAACGTGAAGGCCGCTTGCTTAGCCCAGTAAGCTAAAAACAATGTATTTTTGAGGCTTCAGATGAGCGGAAATATGGCTTGATTAAATCCGAAACTCGATGAGAACGGGGTGAAATGTTGTATGCGACAAGGAGCACATCGCTCTAAAAGCGTCTTTAATCGTTGTTGTTAAATGCGCCCGTTGCTTGAATTGAAAGATAAAGGATAAAGAAGTGAAGATGTGATGTTTAATGGTTGGAGGGATGGGAGGAAGAAAAAATGTGTGCGGTGCTGGTGGTGCAAGGCAATAGACGATTTGAGAAGGCAACCATCAGCTGTCAGTCAGTACCTTACTGCCAGAACTTTTTCTCGGTCAAGGCACGGCCTAAATGGTAAAAAGAAAGTGAGGCGGACAAATGCACAAATTTACTAATGCAAGATAGCATCTACCTATTATCTTGCTAGAGGTGTACTTGCTAACCCACCCAGATTCTATATCGAATTCAAGTACCCACATATCTGTGCATGCATAGCCACAGTCTTTGTCCTAGCTGCATACTTGGGTTCCATATAAATTTTCGGTGTGCAAATTTAATGTTTAATGGCAGTGTAGGTAAGATGCCTATGTACCTAAGTACTTGAGTAGATGTACGTCATAAATTAGAATTTAGAATTGACTTTGAAGGTTCCAAAACTGTAGGTACATACATATTATCTCTAATTCTGATTCTTGCATCCTCAACTCACGTCAATCTACTGTGTTTTATCATTTATCTCTCATAGTAATGGTTTCTTGGAAAGGGATGCACTTAATCAATCACCTCTTGTGGCTAGGAAGATTACTCTGCATGGAAGCAAGAGAATTGAGTGTATCCATGAATATTTTTAAGCCTAGGTACCTAGTTGGAGGTCTTGAAACGGGAATATCTGCCAACTCTAGTTCTACCTAGTACTATCCTCTAAATTTCGTCACACAACTCTCATTCATACACCTCAAGCCTACCATCCAAGAGGTGGTACAAGGATAAAGCGCTCTGCCTCTAATGCACACACAGCTCGGCTATTTGCATCTACAATAACGGTCGACGGCCAGAGTTCTTGTGCGACAAGATTATCAATTGTCCGGTCAGCTTTCAGCCCTCCCGAAGAATCACTAGCGACGAATATCAAACGCTAACGAACTATTCTCTCGGTAACAATCCGCTGATGTACTCGTTACTTGGAACCTACCAGCTACCCATGGATATGGATGTACGCCCCTAAGTTGGATTGTTTGCTTCGAACTATAGTGCTCTTCGGGCCGCGCCGTTAGACCCAGCATTAGCTCAAAGCAGGTGATATTCCACGGCTGCTTGGCTGCTTGGTTGCTTCGAGGCTCCATTTTGTATGGTAACATATACCCGGGTCGATCTACCCGGCTACTAGTCGTTCGCTAGGCCGCAGCGACTTTGTCATTATCAAGCGGTAGCAGACATTTTTTAAGCCCTTATGCCAGGGTGGACGGTTAGGCGTATCTCCGTCGCTTTTCCTAGGAAGTCTTCACACGTGCTTGGACGTGTTTTGATCAGGGCCAAGGTAGTTCTATCCACTAGGGGACCCCTGCTCAGCCTCAACTTCTAGCTTCAACAGCAATCAAGTTGCCCAATCTCATGGTTAAAACTTGAAGCTAATGAATCAATCTTTCTTATTTCGCGATATTCCAAGATGCCATGAAGTTCTCATCAGATAACTATCGAGCAGATATGTTTCTTAGTAGTATCACATGATGATCCTTACATACCTACCTAGGTACCTAAGTATGTAGATTGTACAGTGAAAAGAAAAAGTGACAGATCAGAGCATTGGTCCTTGATGTGAAATTATAGTAGGATTTCTGTGGCTAACCTAATGCGAGTTTCCTCCTCGTGGAGGCAAGCTGCGTGAAATTGGGTACCTAGCTTACCTACATACCCAGGGTATATCTCGTCGTCGCGATCAAATGCCCTCTTGGTTATAAAAAGAATGTTTGTTTCTATCATTGGGTTACTAATAGTTAACCACCTCTTATAAGAAAACAAACGTAGTTGATATAAAGTAAAAACATCGTCTCATAAATCAGATGTATAAAATGATTGTTATCTGGTATCACCCTCACCCTACCTTCCCATAATTTATTCTAGGTTTATTTTCTTCCTTTCGAGGTAAGAATAAAACACTCTATTCTACATATGGGCTATCTAACTTTGTAAAGCATCACGTAGTGAGAAGAAGAAAGTGGTGTTTGAGTGAGTACCCGCCGATTCAAAAATCTTGAAAGCTCCCTTAGGAACTCTGTATTGACCAACCTTCTTTAAGCTTTATCCAACATCAACGATGTGCGACTACGATGAATTCCGCTTTGAATGCAACCATTCTGTGTGTCGCTTGAAGTCATATTGTCACTTCGCACGTAATGACCCTAATCATGAATGCCTTGGAGTCAAGAAACTCCGGGATTCTTGGTTTCAGACCGGGCAACTGTGCGAAAAATGCGTCGAAAAGGGACTCCGCTTAGTTAATGGCAAGATATGGTCACCTCCGCATCGAGTACAATGAACTACACGCATGATGTAGTATGCATTTGGTTTAGACATCGACCATTCGCCACATAGCTCGCTTCAAGTCTCGGTTAAACCAATCAACACAGTCCCAATAAGCCACATCGAAGTGATCGCATACAATTCAAGGATGTAGTTTCCAGATAGCTGGAGCAGTGGATGTAATGCGTCAGGGAGCTTTGTATGTTGCTTACCAACTGTTACAATTCTGGTCAAGTGTTTCGAAAGGGGGGGACAAGTATGCAAAGATAGTTGTCTGTAAGACATCGTCTTCAAGTTGAGAACTTCCCTGTGTATTTTTTGGTCCACAAGGTCAGTCATAAGTAGATGGATTACGGGCGAAAGAGTAAGAAATAACCTGTGCTTAAGTCAAATCCAAGGGGTAATTGGCATACCTACTAGGTACCTAGTACTTCAAGGAGTTCTGCTGGTGACTCACTATATCCATGGCTTCCATAGAATTCATTATTGCTGTCACGCTTGTCAACATTTGGCCCATTAGAAAGGGGCTCGTTGATAGAGAGTATTTTTCTGAAATCGGTAACATAACCCTGCTCGCATGAAATCGCCACCAAGACATGTTCATATCCAATCGGGATCCTGCACCAACCCCTGTCAACATGTCAAAGGGCTGCAGGCAACCTAGCATGCGTGAACCATCATGTCATTCATGAGCTAGATCCATTGTTGTTTTTTTTTTCGCTCGGGGCAGCTTGCTCCTAAGACCGAGTGATGAGGCTAAAGGAAGGGGTTGGAAATCTCGGAAAACATGAGGTAAGTACCTAGATCCTAGCTAGGTAGGTAGGTATATAAAGAGATGCTCTGTTCAAATCCATTACTTATCATAGTAATATCCCCTCCGTACGACGAGGAAGACCAATTTTATGCTGATGAGTAGAAACTGTTCTTTCGATCTTGCAAATACAGTATACTGAGCAGCAACCCGGCCCGTGTGTAACTCGGAAAGGTAACACTTGCTCGAAAGCTAGAAGCTTACTTGAATCGTGAGAAAAGGAGGAATAATATTCTGCCTGATAACCCCACACAACAGAAAACAGGAAATGAGCCCTGTTTAATTCGATTGATGAAGCTTCAGTTGATGCCTCATCATAATTATCTCATACCGAGTCACCCTGAGACAGTTCGTCCATTCCTTGTAAATACAATACACTTGAGCTAGATGATTCGCACGGGTTATGCCATGTTCGTCGCACCTTGAACGATGCCGATAACATTGTAGCGCTTGGAGAAGAAAGTGATCCAGTCGTCAAGTGTTTGTTTTTCCTTGTCATCGAGACTCTGCCATTCTGGGCTTACATCCTCTAGTTTTGTAGACGTCTTCCCCAGCGCACGAGAAGCATCCTTCCCTGCGAAGACTGAGGTAGTGTTAGCAAACACGCCGTCTCTATGTTAAGCTATGAGATAAAATATCATTGGTGAAGCAGCAGTTCAACGTGAGATATGGACAGAAGCTGATAGCTCACTGAACAACAAACAAGAGAGTTCTATTTGTTCTATAGAATCAAACTTTCGGGAGAGGTAGTGATACGCGGTGTCGCATGGCTTTCTAGTGCGAGGGAAGTAAAATACCATTACATACCATGATACGATCCACCCTCTCGATAGGCCTTATTCCCGCTTACATCATAAACCTTGCCCTGATAGATAAATGTGAGAAGACATTTAATAAGTATGAAGAAAGGAGGATATGATAAGGTGTAGCGTAGAGGAGGGGGCGGGGTCTAAGCGATCCATGAAAATTAAAAGGCACACCTTGATTGCTACATAGGCCTTTTGCCCTTCGGACCCTATTCCGAGATGGTTAGTAAGATTTATAAGTATAATACGAAAGTAAGTGGTGGAGTTAGATTTGATGATATGATATATTCGTAGTGATTGAGTATGTCGTCCGAGTTATATAAGGACAACCCACCATCGGCTTTTGCTAATTCCTCGATTGAAATAAGATCGTCTTTAGGAGGATCCAGATTTACAGGAACCTTGGGCTCGAATTTGCCCGACATTGTCGTTAAACGATCGATGATTACCTGGGTGGTAAGGTATTCTTATTTATTGTTAGAAAGAATTATCGAACAAAGAGAAATGGAAGCTTGAAATGGTCGTTTTTAATATTACGTGATAGGAAGGACCTCGGATCTATTAATCAATTCAACATTTGGTTCCAACTTCCGAGTCAATTGGTGCGGGCGGGCATGCATGTGGACATGGACACGGACCAGGTACATAGGTACTAAGCTCATATCGGAGTTCAGATAATGGAAGCTCCAGTAAAAAAACTCCAATTCCCGAAGATAGAAACGTGAGAACGTCATTAATTTTAACAATTCGAAAATTACTAGGTACCAATGTAATCACCAGATGACAACTCTTCGATACCTAAACTACCTATAATGTCTGCTTCGCGCGCTGTTGCAATAATAACTCCTGGCAACAACCTCCAACATGTTCGGTATGCCCACAAGAGGCTATCGAGACAACTCGCGCCTCTCTCCCCCGCGCAAATAGGACGAGCTACTACTAGATCTCATATCGCATACTCTATTCAGCAAACCCGGCTCCAATCTTCAAATTCACACGAATCTGATAAGCAGAAACCGCCGCTTCCGCCCTTAAGACTACTCCTTCGAGCCTTAAGACAGAGCTTAAGTCTTCGCCCTATAATAGGCGCATTTCGTGATCAGAGTCTCCGATCACTATTTCGGCAAAGCCCGGAAGAGCTTGTTCTTGCGATTATTCTGTAAAGAGACATCCCATCATCATGCCCATTCCCAAGCATATCATACTGACCTGGTGGGCATATTCTAAGTTTATGTGTCATATTTGGCGCATGCGTCTATGTAGTTTATGCCTATTTTAATTATTTTCAGTCTGAACAATTCACGAAATTCCCGCCCGAAATAGCAAAGTCCCTTCGCCGTGCACTATATTATAGCAACTATTCGCCCGATCCGAAGCTAGCTCTCAAGTACTACCGTCTCGCCTTGGAACAATGCTCCAAAGCTGGCCTCGATCCCTTTTCCGATGAAGTCATGGGGCTCCGGATCCAACTGGCTGCGTGGTTCGAAAAAATTGGTAGCTACAAAAACTCTATCCAAGTCTTAGAAGCGCTGCTTCAAGACAGTAAGCAATGGGTTAAAGTTATGGAGAAGAGTGTCCGAGACGGGTTGATCGACAAGTCAGGAAATTTGCTAGGCACATCGAAACCGCAACCTCCTACGAAAGAAGCCGGTAGCGATCCCGAAATGCCCACGAATGTAGAAAACATGTGGGCCAAGAGGACAAGAATTCTCGGGAAATCGGTCGGAATAAGCGTCAAGCTTGGAGAACTTTATTCCAATGAACATGTTCTCCAGAGTAACTCTGCTGGTGACCACTTAGTATGGGCAGTCGAGACCGTCTTGAAAGAACTACAAAGACGCCAAACTGAGGGTGTCAAGGTGGACGAGGGCGACTGGATGACCCCGGAACAGATTGGGGGCGCACTCGAGGGTATGCTACTCTAATTCACTCGTGGATCCAAGACTAGGAAACTACTAACACAAAAATCAGCGTTGGGGAATCATTATGAGTCCAAATCGCAGCATTATCTCGCAGCACCGCTCTTCCTTCAAGCAATCTCGCTTTCGCCCCCCAACAGCTGCCATACGGCTGTCCTGAGTAAGTACGGAGATCATATTACGCCCCCAGATATGGCCTCCCCCCTATTCTCTTCGTTATGAATAAGGTTGCGTTAGGATATGTGCTTACTAGGGACTCGCAAAAGTGAACAACCTGGCCACCTCTCTGGCGCAACAACCCGTCGAAACATGGTCAGAATCTAGCGAGGTTTCTCAAGCTAAGGAACCTAATGCGGCTGTCCGTCCGACACGGTCCGCTCTCCTAGCTAGTGCCCGTTCCTGGGCCCTGCATGCTCAGAAGACGGCTGAAAAGGTACAGGGCGAAGATAGAACTATCGAATGCGACGAGACTTGTGCTGTAGCACTCTGCAATCTTGGAGATATCGCGGCTATGTCTGGAGACACCAAGGAAGCCAGTCTAAGGTTTAAAGAGAGCTTAAGTTTAAGCAGACGAATTTCGTTTGAACCGGGTATCCAACAAGCTGAAGAAGGTCTTCAGCGTCTTGCTGCGTCACCATCCTCTAGGGCTATTTGATTAGATACAGTCCAAACGTATAGTTAAGGATGACTGTCTACTTGTCTCTCAAGATAGGAGCTTCATTATATGGATGCGGAATAATTCTATCGACGAATTATCCGCAAACTCTATCTAGAGTGACACACGACAGAAGTCAACAAGACTCTAGACTTTTCCGTCATGGTGTAGTGCACAAGAGCTTCTATTCGTAACAAAGCTGGGGATAGATCGCTAGTGAAACATCTCTGGGGCCGCTTCGAATTGAATAAACATTGGTGATATAGATGTAGCTCGCGCTAATAAGCCACTCGACGTATACCGATCTTTCTTCAACGCCTTACCGAACTATCGAGGCTATGGAATGTTACGATGACACCCGTCAATATCGGCTCTCGGAGATTCTTCGCATATGATTTAGATTGTTTTATATGAGTCATTCCTGAGTTTCGCCACCCGAAGCCGTAGCCGCAGCCGGTAAAGGCCGTAATGCGGGATACCGGGCGGAAAAGGAAATGGAAACGGAAATGGATAGGGACAGCGAACTCGGCCATCGGGAGCAGGAACAAGCTACAAGTACTCGGGTTGAATGACCGCGTAACCAACTTCTATTTTCGGTATGACGAGTTAGTTGACGATTGAAAAAGTCCCTTTTCCGCCAACATTCACACACTCATCAACATCGTTCTACGAGCTAAACCCGTACCCTCGGGATTATAACCCGCGTATGAAGCTTAATCCGACCCTCGAAATAGATATTACGTTCTAGAATAGCACGAATGTACATGTTGGTACCACGCTATATCGCGCTCCTCACCTCCGCGGTTGCGCTCCTCGCAAAAGGGCCGCGGGGAACGGCGGAGTGCATGTCCGCTGGCCTGTCAGAATCCCGGATTAGACTGTGCGCTTAAGGAGCAAATGTTACCCAGTGGCTAACAAGATTAGCCTCATTGGTTTCTTCTATCGGTCATGAGCACGAGCGATGGACGGTCTCGCCTGTTGCGGTGCATATTTAAGTCCGATATTCGACGACCTGTTCGAACAGGAGTCACGAATTCAGCAACTTTAATCTGACATACATGATGCTTAAGGTTATTACATATCTCAATCTATTGAGTGACCAATCTGAGAAGTCTGGTTGGCGGTATCGTCCTATAACCATATGGGACCCGCTAGTATTACGTCCTCATCTGAATCTATGCTTCTCGAACGTTGCCTCGGGACCTCTTGGCAGGGTTTAAAGCCTATCCCGTTGGGAATCTTCAAGCAGTCAATGAACCTCACGTCGTCTTTATGACATATCATCAAAATATGCTGGGGAAATCTAGGGCAGTTTTCTGGCCTAGCTATGCCAAATATGCATTCGTCGTAGGATTTATTGGCCGCGCGGATGATCTCGGTTTGATTGAATCTCTCTATCTAGTATGGATATTACCGCAGCAGCGCGAAGACGTCTACAGAAGTTAACCTAGTCGACGATCTATTCGCCCCGGGCCAAAGACATCTCGGGGATAAAACGTGCGCGTCGTATCGTAAATCATATTAATACGATGGTTTCTATGCTCGATGACCCCAGCCGGCCACTAGGTTTCTCTAGTAGTCCAACGCTGGAACGAATTCTCCGGGATAATATTTGGAGTTTACACGATCACGTCCATCGGACTTAGGTTCTGGCTTATTTCTGGTATCCCGACGTAGACACATGTGGTGGTGAGGTGAAATATCTGATGGTATTCATTATATTTTCCCCTATCTCCGAGGACCCTAATTCGTATTGCTCCAGTTATCAGATGCCGATAATTGGAAGCCATGATCAGTAATCACAATATAAAACTACCGATTAGCTAGAGCGAGCATGCTTCTTTCAACAGTGTCTTATGTAAGATCCGGAAATAGTCGGCTCTTAGAAATAACTATTTTAAACATCTAGCTGACCAATGTTAGTCATTCTGGATATTGTTCTTTTACAGAATTGGCCTAACCAGCTTCATGAGATCAAACAAGGGGTTTAGTCGTCGATCCCTGCAAGCACGCTTACGCGCTAGACTACCTAGGCATGTACATATCGTGAAGATTCTGCTTTAATCTTGGTTTCTTAGGTACCTAATTACTTAATGGATTCCTAACATCTCAGAATTATATTAACCTTTTATATCTAGGAGGTAGGTAGATATGCGAGTCTGTCGAGTAGTCGACTAAGGTAGTAAAATATAAATTCAAACCTGCGGCTCAATATAACCTTCTCTGCCGTCATATGTATGAAAATGGGTCTCTCCGCCATGAGCACGGTACGTGGGGTAGGTCAAATGCAACAGAATGTAAAGATGTATGACTGTATAGGTAGTTTAGGTGCTTACAATGAGTGATTGCATAGGTACTTAGTAGGTACATGTAGCATCAAATTCCCAATACGTTCAACGAATCCGACATAGTTGGTAAGAAGCTGAGGTATATGGATAACTAACATAGGTATTGTTACTCTAACTCTATTACCTAAAGCACATTTTCGCTATGAGATAGGGTATCTACCTAGTAGGTAGGCGAATATTATTAACTCACGATCAAACTCTATAAGCCAAATGCCGGACCAGGCCATCTTCCAAAAACCTCCTAACAAGGGGTTGATGATGAGAAGAAGGAATAGTTACTTATATGTATGTCTAAGCTTCCCGTTCTTAAACTTGGGCTTAATGTGGAGAAATCGCAGAGCTGTGAACCAATCTGCTGGGAACGTTAGGTATTGGCGCCATCGCATCAGGTTACCAATCTAGCTACCTTCCATCAGCACCTAAGTAGGTAACTGATGCGCAACTAGGTTCTAACGACAGGTAACAGCTGTCAAAGGGTCCTCTTACCGAATTATGCTAGGTACCTAGTCATGAGATGCAATGTATGACGGGGTTAAGCGGAAGAACAGATCAGCATATTCAATAGCACTCGAGGCCAATTGCGAACATACTGCGAGTATGTGAACAAGCTAGGAAGTCGACGGGGTGGGCAGGTATTTGCGATCGTGCACGGCGAACTTTGCAACCCCCGCCGAAGGCCCCCCCTATTTTGACGTCAAGCATGACATCAACCTAAATTGAAGATGCAAGTAGGTCTTGGTAGAAGAGGCGCGTATGGTGGCATATGTTGGTAGAGTTTCTCGGTATCTAATCTTACCGAAAAAGAAAAAAAAAACATATACCTGATAGATACATGCGTCAATACGTTCCTGACAGCATGTCTAGTTTGCCTCCGAAGTACCTACCTAGGTACAGACACCGCCATGCCGCCATGCCACGCGAGCTGATTCTGCTTTATTATGTAAGCATCGTTTCCGAATTTCCTGTGTCCGAAGAGGGCGTATTTCCCGACAAAGACCCCGCTCACTCACAAAAATTGCCGGGTCTCGGATTTCCCTGCCTTTTACTTTGGGCAGACTGGATCTCGAACTTTCAGGTCCCGACTTATTTACAGCAGAGGGATGGACCAGTAAACCCGTATGCGGTTAGACGGCAGCTCCGCCTGCACGTCCAAGGATGAGGAAGTACTTTCTAATACATGTAACATTGTATGTTGAGCCGATGCATCTCTTGCAGCGCCCTAAGTTGACGATGCCATACTTTCACCATCCGGGCTCGGCGAGCTGTTGAACAAGGATGCTCGTGAGTAGGTGAGATTTATATAGAGGTAGGTAATGTTTGGTTGATCATTGCAAAATGATGCCCGCAAGACTTCCTCGGTTCCAAATCAGAGATAAACGCAAGATATATGCTCTCGATGCTCCACCTCATCACCTTCTCTTATTTTCCCTCTTCCTAAAGATCAAACTCAAGAAGCCTTGTTCTTCGCTTGCCGCTACCTTCGCCGAGAGTAACATTCGATAGGAAGAAGAGAAAGAAAAGAAAGAAAAGAAGAAAGAATAATAATCATAGAAACAACTACTATATACCTAGCTATGGACGAAGTCGATGTAATTACTACTGGTCTCGCATCTCCCTCGAAGCCGATGTCGTACATTTATGGCGATACGGACTTGTATCTCGATTCATCGAACGCTTCAACAACGTCCAGTCCAATGGATTCGCCGGTACGCTGCTCATGGAAGAGCTTCTCGGAACGGCAACTAACAATACGTTTGCAGTACGATATAGCATTTCAAGGAATGTATCCTAGCCCTGAACACACAGACGGTTCAGGGGAAACGACGCAGTCCTCTCCACAACAGCCCACCTCTAAACCTGCAGCAAAAAGGAAACGCGAGAACAGATATAAGAATGCACCTCCATCTGTCTTATCAGTAAGCTGAACAGCCCACTCCGGAGTCGTGGTTATGAAACAATCTACTAAGTTGTTCGTTGCAGCGTCGAAGAGCTCAGAATCGTGCATCACAACGGGCCTATCGAGAACGGAAGGACCAGCGCATCAAGGATCTCGAGATTCTACTCGGCGAAGCCCAGAAAAAAAACGATGTCCTCAGCCAAGCCTATTCCAGCTTGCAAGCAGAGTATGTCAGACTCAAACGCGAGCAAGATACAGCCGATCAGTACCAACAAGGCAGCCTGGTATACGACCCAACCATCTCATCGTCGGGAGATATGGATCTATTCCTCTATAACAATAGTTCATCGAGTTACTCCATGTAAAACAACGAGAATGCCGGTTTATTCTGATTAAGTACTAGACACTTCTAAACCCTTAGGTTTGGAGTAATGCCATAATCAACGCACTTCGTCTAGACCCCGATCATCGTTCCCGAACGAATCGTATAGAGCAAGGCGGAATTCGGTCAGCGAAATAGACGGCCAACATCGGCGCCTGGCTCGCTCGAGGATTGTTCGATGACGTAAAGGCTCGACGGCGATAAAGGTCTCCGCGATCGGTGAAGGCACCAGATATGGATCATCACCCTCCCTGTAGGCAGACGGGGAGTAGAATCTCTGTTATTCTGCATCTTTGCGCAACCTCGTTTATCTTGAATTGACGTTTAGGTGGCCGTGTGTGGGGTTCAATCAAAAATAAAAGCATCTTATGAGAAGCATATGAAGAAAGGCATTGGTTGATTGATTATCTCACCAATGACGATTTCTGGTCCGGATAGGGGTTTAAAGGAGGGGGCACTGAGTTTTGTCGCCATGTAGGGAGTTTTGCTGAATAGAATTACTGATACTCAGGGCAAGACCGTGTGAGTTTCTGTTTTTGCGCTACTCTATAGTGATCGTTGCCATTGATAACGAATAACGACGGCTCGATTCGCTATTGCCATTGCTATTACCATCGACTTTGTCATTGGTAAACACCACACCGACCGATGAGAAGGTATAAGTGTGATACGAAGATGCTGCCTAGATATTGTGAGAGCCACCATTTTTACGCTGGTGCTGTGGCAGTTCAGCGGTTGATTTACGTGCCTTGTCTCCACGGCCTGTCCTTGATACCGCGGCAGGCGTACGGTGTTTGTTACGTGGTGTGCTCCACGGCTGTGCTTCGCGTCAACGGGCGGCCTTTTTTAACGTTACATAAGGACACAACGATGTCACATTAGAAGCCTGACATTGGCTTGAGCCCTCAATAATGAAAGATGATGACAATATCTTGTCTCACTACCCATATGTAGAGATGACTACTACCCAGTAGATACTAGGTAGGCTTCTCTTATGTATGGAGAGATGCAGAATCTCCGCAACGAGAAAAGAACAAGTGAAATTACTTTTTATGGTGCTAGAGATTCAATTAGGGTTTTTCCTTTCATATAAAGTAGGTAAACTTCAATATTCTTATTCTCGTGATTAGGGCAGCAAGCACCTAGGTGCCTACCTAGTAGTAAGGAACTACCTAGGGGTAGGTATGAAGGTAATGGATATGAGATAGCACTTTCCATGTAGCTTATAGGACCTAACTACTAGGTACCTACCCTAGTAGTAGTCAATTCAAGCCATGCCCTTAAGATGACATAAAACATCTTACTCAATACTACAGACATAAAGAATCATAGGAATGCGTGAGCAATATGCTAGTATTGATGTTATTATCCCTGGAGGTTATCCTCACTTGGTAGGTAGGTATGCGCTGGTTGGTTGATCCCTTCCTAGTACCTGGCTACCTAGTAACTAATGATCTATGCAATTTAGCCAGATTTTCGACCACACACGCGATGGGCGATTAATATGTGATTAGCCGAAGTTATTTCAATATATCAATGTAGCAGCGATGCCACGCTATATATGATTCCTCTTATACAAACTTCGTAAGACCAAAGCCTTTCGAAGACGCCCCTGAGACGCGAATACTAGCATAGCACAGACTGCCCTTACTTACCTAGGTGCTCAATCTGTCGGACAAGAAGAAGAAACTGATTCATATGGGATAGGTGTATGGTATCGTATCAAATTCATAAGCTCTAGACGAGAATGTGAGTGAGTTAGGTTGATATTAGAGACGGACCTTGACATGCTCCAGTTGGAGCGGTAATTGTGCACTATATCGCATTACATGTTCCGTATCTTGGCTATATTCAAAATATATTGATATTGACCCAGTTCTATGGGATCTTAAATATGTGCCTGCTTCAATTATCTAGGTAGGTAGGTACCTACCCACCTCTGTTTTGATTCTTGTCTGAAATCATTTATATCAATGCTGTTCCATATACCGTCTGCGATACAGTTTAGTAGAGAAATTGGAAATGAAACAACTCAACGTTTCGATTCTCTTGATGCTCGGCCATCTGTTGAGATTTTCTGCAGCGGGATTTCAAAATGAATTTAACGACATCACTCGTGGATCTGATCTCTTATTGAAGTGGGATCCGATCAATTCGACCGACTATCCCCTTGTAGTCCACTCCCGGCTCATCAACCAGACCAGTCAATACGGGGCAAATTCGTTAGAGGTTAACATCACAAGTAGGAACCCGTGATAGCATCATGCATAGGGTCTTATCTCACGCATCTTACCAGTTGGGCTCAATGCTTCCTCATTTATGTGGAAAAATATTCCATATCCGCTCCCATATCTCGAAACGGCTAAATATGAAGTAGAAGTGTGGCCTCGGGATTGGGGGCAATCGAAGGCATCGGTTTCGGCTTTTGCTTCCTCTTCATATTTCACAGTCTCTCAATCAGAGGAAGCTGAGATAACGGATAGTCTGGGAAGCGTCAGTCATTAGATTCTTTGATTTACACCTAATGCGCGTGTACACTAATCTAAAACAGCCCTTTAATGAGACGATAATCATACCATCCAAACCCACGACTCAACCAACTTCCAAAGGAGGAATTAATAACAATACCGCAATCGCAGCCGGATTGGTAGTGCCTATCGTGGTGCTACTCGCTATCTTCGGGTTCGTGTTGACGCAACAACGACAGAAGAGAATCCTCGAGGAAAAAAGGAAACAGAGGGAGGACCTCTATATCGATTGAATACACTACACGGCGGAAATAGTCCCTCTCATGATATGGAAGATCGCTGCGTAGAAGCAGACTTAAATGATAATACCGCAGCAATCATCCTAGGTCAACTCCAACTTTTAACGTTATCTGGTACCTACCTAGGTATTTAGTGTTCGTTGTTTGGAAAGTATTTCGGGAGCTGGGGGTGATCATGATTGACAATTGGGTGGGTTGAAATTATAGAAGAGATGAAGAGGGAGCTGGACTGCTGGGTTTCCACGAACATAAAATACTAGAAAAAGCCCACTTTTAGAGGCATATTAATCGACATAAGAGGAATAACAGGACTTATAATGTCGTTATTACATATATTAGCTTTTCTAGGCGAAAACTGCCTCCGTCCTTGATACCTATAAATTGGCGTAGGGATTCATTCGAGAAGAAGTATAGCAGTACCTTTCATGGACAGAAATTGGCAGCGAATATTTAGTGGTTGAGAGGATCATCGCCTGCAACACGGAATTTGTGGCTTAGGGGATAGGATGAATGAGTAGGTACCCAGTACCTAAGGTAGGTAAGGATACGTCTATTTTCAGATGGTGTGGCTGATGGAGATCGGGAAAGAAACTTGGTGGAAATTATCAAGGTTCGTTTTTGATAAATACTACAAAATCTCAATGTCTCGGACAACTCGGGTCAGAGCGAGATGCAGGTAGCCTTCAAAGATCGGCGGCGAGCAGCACGGGCAGGCGGGACGAATATGTACCCCCCGCCAGAGATCTTGATCTTCAGGCTGATCCTACATGTAAAAGGTTAGCGGCATCGCAAAAGCATCGGCCGAGTTGAGATGTTGGCTGGTCGGGTCTAGACCCCAAGGATAACGTTCAGCTGAATGATGATGTTGCGCTAGCATAAATGTCATGTCATTCAATCGCTCTAAGAAGGACGGTTTAGAGGAGAATTTTCAATAGCTTAGGTACGAATACTTACTAAATTCGAGTGCTATTCTGAAACAGGAGTACTTCGCGCAGAGAGCTAGATACCATACAGCACGCCAAACTGCTAGCCACGGCACCACAAATAAATTAAACCTCCGGATTGATTGGATGTTGAACAGGTGAATCTCCTTACACGTAAGTCAGCCCTCTCGCTATACCATGCAGATATTATATACCTAATATCTTGCGTCGTAATGAGTAACGTCAGTACCTACCTAGCAGCCTAGGTAGTAGATAGGTAGATAATGACCCACTTCGTTCCTCAGCCACGAGCTAGAAGACGAATCTGTGTATAATACTGCTTACCTGCCAGCCTGCTTAGGTAGGTACCTAGATAGGGTGAAGAATTAAGGATTTGCTTACTTGCCTAGGTGTTTGAGAAAAACAACATTGTATATTGTATGAACCACACCTAGATCACCTTTGGTCTGGATAAAAATACCCTGTGGAGATTTCAAATACATTGTTGAATCTGATAATCTTGAAATTATTCCAAGATCTTTGGGTATGTAGGTACTTTTCAAATAGTTATCGCAAGTTATTAGGACTATCAGAGAGACTCGTATATTGACTGGGGAAAAACCGCGTGGCTAGTCCCACATTGAACCCCTTTTTTATTAGTCCAGGTACCTGGGGTCTTAATTATTTTATGCTTACGGAGGCTGCCCCTTGCTAACCGCGAACCGAAGGGGCTAAGCCAAACTAATGGCCAACTTTTTGGCGCCGTCGCTTCGTTTAACGATCCTATATCGGTCGCTATCTTGTTTTCTACCCAGGTACTTGCTGCCAATCCAGAATTCCTCACGATTCGGCATTTTCCCCAGAGAGGAAATTCGTTTCCGTTGTGCACAAGTATAGATCATGACATAGAGTGATTCTATCCAATGACAGCATCTCCTGTTAAGCGAGAGGTAAGCCCACCATACAATCGTACGTACATATTAGGGAAACTTACATACTACCTAGGCATGGACGCAGGAACGAGTAGCAGTGCCGCTAGCTGGCAGAATCTAGGCATGATCCCATGTTTAGGAACAATTGGCCCTCAGTGGCCTTCATGTTCTTTCTATCCAGGGGGGCTCTTAGTGATTGGATTTTAAATATGTTACGGCCGCCAGTTCGGGTATGGGAGGTCTTCCTTCTTTGCCTACCTACGCGGTTCTCCTATTCTCAAGATACTATTCTGAACCTGTGGGCTTACTACCCTCTTTGACGTATACTACGTCGTCCTTTCGTTTACATACACATATACTATAGCTATAGCGATGGCTCCCTCATTCCTGAAGAGCGTTGGCGTTGCTGCCGTTGCCTTCGCTGCTAATGCTGGTGCCACCCAATCCTATCAGGTTTCCGAGGTTTATAATTCGACGAATTTCTTTGACAAGTTCAACTTCTACACAGTGAGTGAATACAACAAGGTATGCTATTTGACTGTTGGGTTAACATTTGTGGTATTAGAGCACCGATCCTAATGGTGGTTACGTTCAATTCCAAAGCCAATCTGCCGCACAAGACCTCGGCCTGGTCAAATATAAGAACGGCGAGGTATATGTTGGCGTAGATACCAACAGCGGTTACAGTGCATCGGGGGTTGGAAGAAAGAGCGTTAGATTAGAGAGTAAAAACGTGTACAACCACGGTTTGGTCATCGCCGATTTCACCCATCTTCCCAAGCCCGTGTGTGGCTCGTGGCCCGCATTCGTAAGTCTCCCTCTATCAAAGACATTATCTACGTCTTAATATAAACTCTAGACGTTCGTATGTTATTAAGCAACTGATGTAGTTTAGTGGTTCTTCGGTGCGCCATGGCCTACTAAAGGAGAGGTAGATCTGTACGAAAATTGGAATGACCTTACCTTCAACCGTCATACTGCCCATGTCGACTCGCCAGATGTTGTTGGGAGCTGTGCGCTTGCGGCGGCTGACATGACCGCGACGATTGACTCTCCGAATTGCTACGATTTTGCTCAGGGGCAATATAACTACCAAGGTTGCTCAGCTTCAGAATACTCAAGCACTTTCGGTTCATCATCTGGTGGTATCTATGCAATGGAGTGGACTTCGGACTACATCAAAATCTGGGACTGGACTAGAACAGGAGCGCCATCCGACATTTTGAACGGAAAGCCGTCGCCCAGCTCGTCATGGGGCACCCCTTCCTACGCTATTAAGCAATGCAATATCGACAAGGCCTTTAAGGACATGAACATGGTCTTAAACATAGATTTTTGTGGTGTTGCCGGGCAGACCGACAAGTGGGGTGCAAGCTGCCAGGCTAAAACTGGATATTCTACTTGCGCTGAATATGTTGCGAAGGGGAACACTGACTTCGCTGATGTCTATTTCCAGGTTGAGGATATCAAGGTCTACCAGCTCGCGGATGTTCAGACTTCGACTTCATCTGCGATATCTAGCACTTCAAGCACGCTAAGCACCTCCAGCACCGCTAGCGCCTCAAGCACCTCAAGCACCTCAAGCACTTCTAGCACCTCTAGCATCGCTAGCTCTTCTGGATTAAGCTCTTCCGCCACTACTTCTGGCAGCAGCTCAGTGGCGACAACATCCTCTACCACCACTAACAATGTATCATCGATTATCTCGTCAACTGCGTCATCTACCGCGTCGTCAACTGCCTCTGATGACGATGACGATACCTGTACCGACGATGGAGAGTCTTCAAGTTCCTATACGGCATCTTCTACTGGGAGTGTGTCAGCTACGACGACCGGTTCTGCTAGCGGCTCGCTCGTGACTAGCAGCGCATCTTTCACATCGGGACAGAGCACGACGACTTACCCCTTTGGTAACTCCTCCTACACCGGATCTAGCTCTTCATCCGAAGCGACAGAATACACGACGTCGACGATTTATGCAACTAGCGTCCACACAATCACATCGTGCGCTGCCACGGTGACCAATTGCCCTGCACGCGGCTACATCACGACTGAAATCATCTCCATTGGGACTACAGTATGCCCTGTAACAGCTACTGGCTCGTCCCCCAAGCCGACGACGACTGCCAATGTTCCTGAAGGTTACACAACAAGCACCGTTGAAGTGACCAAGACATACACGATCACCTCGTGCAAGCCTACTGTTACGAACTGTCCCGTAGGCGCCGTCACTACCGAAATTAGCGTCACTACAACCGTGTGCCCCATCGGTAGCTCTAGCCCTAGCTCCGGCAAGCCGGTCGGAAGCACCGGTACGTCGAGCCAGCCCGTTAAGAGCACCGGCGTCGCAAGCCAGCCTGAGACTGGAAGCACAGTTACGAGCGGAGCCTCAACTTCGCATCCCGTGACGACAAACAAGGCAGCCACGCCGTCGACAACGGCTGGCAGCGGCAACAGTGGAAATGGAAGCGGAAGCGGAAGCGGAAGCAGCGCCAGTAGTGGTACCAGCGTTCTCTTAACGGCAACCGTCTACCCTATCTCGAGCGGCAAGGTGAGCTACAACGCGACCCTGACGACGTCCTTCGCGAATACCACAAGCGCAACAAAGACTGGTTCTACAGGAGCGTCAACCAGCAGTATTGTAGAAGTTAGTGCCGGTGATAAGATGGGCGCTAGCTTTGCGCTCGCGGGTTTGGCAGCATTTTTCTTCTTTGCTATGTAGATTGATTAGATGGGGAAATGTAATTTAGGATTGGGCTACTGTATGGTGGTAATACCTAGATACTCTTAAAATTTACAATCGTATACTGCATTTTTTTTAGCCTTAAGAGAAAAGAGTTGATACTTGAAGCGTTGGACGTGAAGAATCATTGAACCATTCAAACAAATCTATGTACACAGGTACCTAGATGCCAAGCCTACCAAACTCCGATATTACGTCAGTACAATATCTACCTGCATATAGATAGGTACGTACCAAGGTAGAGTTTATAATTCACACATGTGCGCTTCTTTTGGTAGGACATGAATGTTATTTTCCGTCTCACGCGCGCAAGAGCGAGCGCATAGTTCAACATGTTGTCGCGTCGTTTTATACGACCATCATGTCACTCTCTAACGATCCGAGCAACTTCCCAGATTACCCTAGCCTCCCACCTCCCTCGATTCACCCGACCAACTCGACCGTTCTCTCAAACCCACCTCCGAAGAAACAACTGGCCCGGTCCTCGTGAGACGCGTAATTACAACCACGATCCTCGCTACCGACTCTCCCAGGCTAAGCCTCTTATAACATCTAGCCGTCTTGGAAAAGTAGCTCGCTCGCCGAGTCTGCACACCGTTATCGTTCTATCCATCCTCGGTGCTGTAGCATTCTACTTCAGCAATATTCAAACTGTACCCGTGTCGGGACGGCGGCGCTTTAATTGCTTTAGCGATGAGACCGTAGAGGCGGCGAGCGAGGCTCAGGTTAAGAGGCTGATTTGGGAGGTAGAACGCTCCGGTGGCCGATTCCTGGGTGATTGGGATCCACGAGTGATTATGGTAAAACGAGTGATGAGAAAATTGATCCCAGTATCGGGCATGGAAGGAGCAGATTGGGAGATCAGGGTGATTGATGATCCTCGTACGTGAATCTTGGTGCTCGGGTATAGGTGCACAAGACACGGTAAGATATACTAACATGCCAGTTGCTGTTAGGCACCGTAAATGCCTTCGTCCTCCCCGGCGGTAAAGTCTTCGTCTTCAGCGGCTTGATACCTCTAGCAAGGAATGAAGATGGCCTTGCCGCCGTACTGGGTCATGAGATCGCCCACAACCTCGCCGGGCACGTGGCCGAGCGTATGTCGGGGCAGATCGGGGTAAATATTTTACTCTATTCTGCCATCCTCCTTACAGGCGGACTAGCAATGCTTGGTACACATTTTATAGGAGGTGCAGTTTTAGATCTACTATTTTCACGGCCGATGGGTCGCATGCAAGAGAGCGAGGCGGATTATATCGGCCTAATGATGATGGCAGAGGCTTGCTATGATCCGCGCGAGGCACTTGGATTTTGGAAACGCATGGAAAGGGCGCAACAGGGAGAGCCGCCCGAATGGCTAAGCACCCACCCGTCCGTATGTCAACATCCCCCCCTTCCCTTTAAATCTCGAGTTTACTCTGCTTGGAAACTAACAATGTACAGAATTTTAACCGAATACAGAAGATAGGAGAATGGATTCCTAAAGCCCTAGAGAAGATGCAGGAAAGCGACTGTCGGGGGTCCTTAGGGTTTGCCAACTTATTTAAAAAAGCTATGGAGAGAGGTTTATTGATAGAGTAAGATAAATCTGTATATACATAGTACTGTACATAAGTTATGATAAATGATACCTGTGGACGAGAGTGAAGGTGAGCTATAGCGCACAGTTTACTCCACCTCGGTGTGTATTAGTCCATTCGGAGGCGTCACTATCCCGGAAATAGACTAGTGTTTGCGACGTCCTTGCATATGACCAATGACATCAAGCGTAATCCAATGAACAATCACCGCTTAGGTCCGTACTACGAATGTACTTTAGGGTCTCGTGCCGAGGTTCTTTCGAATTGGATCGGTCACGGTCGGTCTAAATGTAATCGCATCGCATTCAATCGCAGCTTACATCGTGACAAAGCCGGATATACTCAACCAGCCAACAAAAAGAATACATACCTGGGCAACATCAATTGGTAAAGCTACTTGCGCTCAATTGCCAACCAAGCATTCATTTCCCCTTGTCGTTTAATAGTATCAAACTCGGTACCTAGATTTCACCATGTCTAAGACATTTACTGCGAAGGATGTCGCCGAACATAAGGACGAGCAAAACGGCATATATATCATTGTAGATAGTGGCGTCTATGATATAACGAGTGAGACTTTATCTTCACTAACATACCTATATTATCTTTTTGGTCCTTTTAAATCTATAGAATGAACAACTAACTTCTGTATCGCGTAGATTTTCTCGAGGAACACCCGGGCGGAGCGAAGATCCTGAAACGAATGGCCGGCAAGAACGCGACGAAGCCATTTTGGAAATATCACGGCAAGAGTGTCCTGGACAAATACGGCGACAAACTAAAGATTGGCGATTTGACAGAAACAGCAAAGTTATAAGAGAGCTGGTTATGTGCAAACCAAATCCGACAGGAAAGGGGTCGCAATCTCTGTGACCGACGACATGGCTATCTAACTTATAAAGATTCCCATCTGTTGAATTGGATGTAGTCTTGGCCATCCCCCGCTATACGGAATCATGTCACGACGAATAACAGCGGACTTATATTTAATACAGTACATACCTGCTTTACGCCGGAGTTGAATTATTTTCATACCATCGAGGGTTTACATTGAGGCGTCAATTAACTTGCTCACCACACACCTGGGTTTCTAGCTTATCCTCCCAGACTCTACTGATCTATAAAAATCACCCATTCCATTTCGAACCACGACTCTGACATCCAGGCATCCTCCAAGACGTACAGCCGTTATAAAATTCCTGTTTGTTATTATATGCACCTTTTGATATAGCTCTGTTGTTCGGCCCTCTTTGAACGTAATGAGAATGTCGTCCAGGCATGTGCGATCTTGTCGATGTGTAGCACCATGCTTGCATTTAGGTGATTAAGTTCCTAAGTTGCTGGTAATCCATAACAATAAAACATAACAGATTCAAGCCCAGCCCTCGACCCAGAGAATAGTGGCCTATCGACCAACGAACATCTTTTGATTGTGCTTAATGGAGGGGTTTTCCGTGTTAGTAGAAGTCATCCATACCTACAGGTACCTAGTAGGTAGCCATGTATTTCTCACGTGGTCGTTTTAGCGGACAATATTATCGTTTCTCGACGAGCGTAGGCTTGTTAACATACATCACAATCAATTTTAGTCGAATGATTAAGTCATGTTTAGGATGCATTTCTACGATAGAATCGTAGGTACTACCTATTCTCATCTATCTCGTAGTAAGCATTGTATCTGGTGATTTAGACAAAGTATACTTAAGACTCATCCAATAGCTTGAGGATAATGAATAAAAATTCATTCCCAACATATAAATTTGGCTAGTATTTGCCAACTACCTAAAAGTTAAGCTATTGTAGGTACCTAGCGGATTTCTGGAATAAAATCATAGCCGGAGAATCGACTCAAATTCCAATATCCTTTTCACTTATTACTTACAACTCCACGACGGGCTACTAGTATTCGTTCATATTAGGTGTTTATTCACCGTATAATGCTTTCAAGCATTATGTGCATATACGCAGTAGCCTGGCAACACCAACCTGGGAAGTTCTAATTATCTTATGATGTTTAAATGTTTGAACTATATTCATGTTGAACCTACGTAAGGATAGGTAGCGAATCAAACAAAAGTAATTGTGAGAGATTAATAATATTATGATAGGTAAAGGTCTGGACGCCCGGACGGTGCGTTTCGCGACTAAGAGATACGCATTCTCGGTACCCGCTGAGCTTTTTAAGGAAAGCCGAAAGCACGATACTTCTCCACGGAAATTTATGTACAGCGCCTAGTACAGCCTAGTGCATTACAGTAATTTATACTTGAATAGGTACCTACGATGTCCACAGCAGTGACAGCATGTAGATTGCATAATTCAGGGCTCTTATGTATTAGCTTCTGTCTAATGGATATGCGTTGTCCTTGGCTACTTGCCCTGTTACTCAATTGTCAACAATACAATTCTTACGCTTAGGTACTTTGTAAAGATGTATGTAGGATTCATCGACGATTTGCGTCTTGGCTTTGCCGGGATCCAGGAACATCCATCTCGATACCTCTAAGCAAGTACTTAGGTACTGTTATTGATCAATTTCAATGTTTCTCTGATGTCAAATGGTTGAAAATTCACTCATTTTTACTACCTTGCTTCCTCTCTTACTGTAGGGGCAAATTGCAAGCCTCTGATGATCAAAACAACAATACGAACAATCAAATAAGAGAAACAGACACTTTTGAAATGCTCTTTCTTTCTAACATAGATTCTCGGAAGCTCATCAGGAGTAACTACAGAATGTAAACAATACTTCTCTTTAGCACAGCTTCCTGCTGTATGGGAAAGGTACCTTTTATTATCGCATACCTGTTACGAAAAAGGTTTAGATCGGTTTAAAACGGAGCGGGCTAACTCTGTAAAGGGCTAGTGCTACACTACGCCCGGACCGTCTGCAAGCCTGACATCACTCGCACCTGTCGCAGCTGGAGACTTGCACGAAAACAAATCCCTACCTTAGTAGCGACTCCACATCTTTCTTCGACTTTTCTCCATTTGCACTTCAAGGTTCCTATCTAACTACCTCCTAGTAAATCCTACGATACCTTACCGACCTATCCATAGCCCCAGCTAAAGTCTTTCGAGTAAATTCTATACTGGATCAATTCGACCGTTCAGATACGTATATTGCGAGTAAGTATGTGCATCTTTTCAATTGATTCTCTAGCATTAGATTTCATACAAAATATCATCATCGCGTGCCCAATTTGGTAGAATCCTTTGGAGGCCATTGACCTCTTCAACCCTCGTCGCATTCCCTCATTGCGCGCAGATCAGATGTTCGTCTGCTATCCAAAATGCGGCATTACAATAATACAGCTACCCACCCTGTGGGTCCGATGACCCCGGTGCCTGTTAAACCTCCACCTACAAAATCGCGCAGAATCCAACCGCCCTGGCCTACAGTGGCTCTGAGTGGCCTACCAGTACCACTTACCGAGCTCTTCCGTGGACCTGTGCCGGAACAAGCTTTTTTGTTTCCCTCTCCAGTCTAACGCCGAGTGCTCATCTTATTATTATTTCCTTTTGACCCGAACCTTTCCCACCTTTCTTAACTTCTTCTTCTTGCTCTTCTTCCCCCAACTCACTCGTCCTTGCGAAGAACTCTCCTCTCTCGATCTCGATCCTATCCAAGGACTTGTGTTGTTCGCACATTTAAGCTTCTCTGACCGCCAAGCAAACAGTTAAGCTCCACCATCACGACCAGTCAATTCTTTGCCTTCCACATACCAGCCATAATACCCTCCTGACCGCTCGAGAGGTAAGCTATATTTCTATCAATTGGAAACTCGTCTGCAGCAGCATCGTTTTGAATTGTATATCGATTCATCCCGCACCACCTTCTGTCGCCTAAAAGAGCTATCGGTGCCATTAGCCAGATTGAATTCAAGTCGTATTGGACCACAAGATGCGCCTTTTTTTCAGATCACATCCGGATCGCGACAGACAACTTGGGTGGCAAGACAAGTGCTTGGTGCTTCAATTAGCTTGCCCAATTGCCCTTTGGGCAGTTTGGTAGTTATTTCACTTTAATAGCTCTTGTGCTAAATATCCTCACAGACTATCAACATGCCTGCAATCAACAAATCCATTGTCGCACGCGACACCTTCGGCCACATTGTCCGCCGTGAGAACTGGGCTGTATGTGAAAACCCTTTCGCTACCCTATGGTTGTCCCTCATGAAATGTTGGGCAGCCATTGGATACATCAGTGATTCCAATTTTAGAAATTTGCTAACAAATAACAGCGTCAAGAAGCCGGTGTCGTCGTCGTGTTCTGCATTGTCTTCGTTGTGGCTGTCGGCCTGATTGGTTTATGGATATCCAAGTGCCTCGCAAAGCGAAAAGCCCAGAAGGCCACTGTGCACGCATAAATGACTTGAACGAGAGCGAGCGGGGATCCGGGGGACTTGGGGGGATGGGGTTGTTATGGACGACGAAACGAGACATCAGTGACGTGCTACCTACTTCGATTCGGCGACACGTCTATCCCTCACGGATACATTGATCAATCATGTTCGTATACGAGAGGACCTAGGAACTGGGGTTGGCTGTGGTTCAAAGAATGTTATACATGTTGCGTTTCACATGTTTAACACGCCATTTATCGACAATCTCTAGTTAAGAGATGCCAGTCTCGATAGAGTTTCAAATGCTCTAATTTTCTCTAATACCAATTACTTTTGATAATTCGTTCATGTCTAAGAGCTCTGAAGAATTCATAGTGACGTGCTTTGCCCCATTCCTAATCGGACTATGTTGGGTATTGTGATCCCATAACCATAGCTCTGTTGTTCTGGATGACTGCAAAAGTAGGTACCATCCAGCATGGTCTACTCTAGTAGAGATCCATCTTTTCTAAATGAACTAACCCATTGGCTGGCTACAGTGAATATTAGTACCGATTTACTGACACGATTGTGAAGCGATGGAGGAAACATGTACTGACCGGAGAGAATTGTCTTAGTTTAATTCCAGCATTTCTGAAGACCTGGGCTGTTTCTGTATCCATGCTATACCCTTGGCTATACACTACCTCACTAATACCGACTTGCACGATCTTGATACTACACGTCAGGCAGGGACACGTATTACAGTACAAGATGCTTCCATCGCGAATCCTCTCACGACCGGCCTCTAGCAACGCATTTTCCTCGGCATGGAGGCAAAGGCAGGTAGACAGCGACACCCCGCTGCTCTCCCCTGCATTGCACCGCGGACATCCACCCTCTCCACAGTTTAACAGATGCCTTGGCGTGCCATTGTAGCCCGTGCTAATGACATGATGTTTAGAGTCCACTAACACGCACCCTACGGCCCGTTTCATGCAGTTACACCTATGCGCTGCCAGAGATGCCAACGACATGAAGTAACTATCCCAACTAGGCCGTAGACGATCAGGGTTCGTCAGGTCTAGTTTACCCAGCGTCGCATATAAGTGTGCTAGATTTGAAGAGGTATTCAGAAGCCGGATTGCGGCCCGTGACATGAGCGGCAGGACACCATAAGTGGCATCGTACAGATGCTGATCAGATTGAGATACAAAATCTTCAAGCGTAATGAGATCTTTGCGTGCCGTCTCTTGCTGCTTGCTGGATCGACGTTGGTAACGCTGCCAGCGCACAGTAAGTGGCGCGTCAACACTAATCAAGATAAAGAATGGCCGCCTGCTGAGAGTCTCGAGAACGGTTTCGTCGTGGATATCTGTTGTTACCCAGCGAGACCGCCAATATTTGGTGACAAAGTCTAGAAGTTCTGTGGTCTCCGAAAAGGAATAAGGCGCTGATGTCTGCTTTAAATGCTGAGGGGGGCTTTTCTCGGCGGCGTCAGGGGTGGCTGCATCTGTCTCGGACCCAGAAAGGCCTAAAGAGGCATTGCTTGACGGTGCTGTTATCTCTAAGTATAGCTTTTTGAAGCCATGATGATCTATTAGGTACTGAGCTACTGTGCTCTTACCGGCACATTTTGCTTGTCTTCAGTGTAAGTGAGAGCTTCATGATAAAAGGGAACGGTGTGTCGAGATTAGGTACTTTACCTCCACAAATCCCAATAAGCATCTTTCTCCCCCCGCCGACTGTTTCGTAGTTGAATTTTTAGTTGCGAGCAAGAACGGGAGGATTTTCGTATTCCCACATAAGCTCTTGTTAGGTACTGTCCATGGATGTAAAAGTAGAACTACTAGGTAGGTAATTAGCAAAGTACCTCGGTAGTCTACACAGGTCCTCTCATCCATCCATTAAAGACGCGTCGCGTTGAAAAAGGAAAATAGGGCTTACCGATAATTATCCGAATATATGGATCAAATACATACATAAACTCCGTTGCAACTCCATAAAATATACAGTGCCAAGAGAAGCCTAGGAGGGGCACCTGCAGATATCCGTCTCTCAGGCGTCCCTGGCATGGCAGGCAGGCAGGCTAGCAGGAGAGGTCGGGTGTTGCCAGCCCTAATGCGTGGGATCATACCAGCTTCCTTTTTACACCAGCAACATCTCACTGCCTTGTGGTCACGCTGTGACTATTGGGACGTGGGACATGTGACCATAATAACTCATAAGACATGATTCCTAATACGCACATGCACATTATATAGAAAATAATATATAAATAGAGCGAAACCTATGCGTCTTTCATTCATCTACCTAGGCTGGTATTTATTCCCCGATTTTTATACATATCCGTCCCAAACGCCAATCTACCTAAGGTACCTGGTACCAGCACTGAAACTTAGTTGAATTCAAGGTTCCAAGGTTGTGAATCGTCATATGTCATCCGCATCCCTTTAGAAGCTCCAACCCACCAGCCCACCTGCACCGTACTGCCCCGCTCTTAATTGACTTCACCTGCCCCTCAAGCTTTCAAGCTTAAGCTCATTCACATATTCCGAATACAACACTTCAAAGTTCAAACGAGTACTTCCAAAGTAGTTTATTTTCTCTTCATACAACTTTGTCTTCTCTGGTATAGAATATCTGATAAATTGTTCATTTGCGATAGTCCATTACTACTTCATAATTCCCGCAACTTAGGCTAAGTGCAACTTTGACGTCTCTATTCGTTAACGTCGACGTTAACGCTTCACTCATTGCCTACCATCGCTTCGGCAATATGGCTGCACTCAAGTTTGCGCCATTCGCGTCTGAGATCGAACTTCCCTTTTATTCGGCCTTGTTTGCATCAAAATTAGACCATGACAAACTCAGCGATTCTGCACGACCAGTATTGGGGCTTTACGAGCCTCGTCCCGGCACTACTCCAGACGACAGTGTGAGAATGCAGATCTTAGCCAGCGCACTTACTAGTAATAAGTACGATCTCATTTTATTATGCTCCTCTCGCGTGCCTAGGTGAATATTATATAATCTACCTACTTTAACTAATCATGCTATCCTCAGTGTGCCGTTGAATGCTGTGAGGGCAGAAGGCATCATCAGAAACACAAACACGTTGGACGCTTTCAAGCAAGTAGACAAAGCCGATATGATTAATCAGGCTGCACGTCAGGTTTGTCTTGGGCTCTGTTCGAATATGCAGACTTGTCTGTAACTAACGAAGTAAATAGATATGGGATGCGATTAAAGATGGAACCATCTATTCAGTTCCCTCACTCCTTTCCCATTACATCATACTCTCTTATGCAGATCTCAAAAAGTACCGAATGACGTACTGGTTTGGATTTCCAACCCTGCATTCTGATCCACAATGGAAACGAACCGGAGACATTCTTCATTTTACCCCAGATGAAGCAACTGCCCTAGTCGATCGAGTGGGAACCTGGCGATACACCATTGACCCCAGAGAGCATGGATTTTTCCTCGCAAAAAAGATTCACGGCAGAAAAGCGACTCACGTTCAACTCCCTTCCGATCCTGCGACGGACGAGATCGGGTATAGGTGGGAAGTTGGTTCCCTTCGCGAATTTGAGGCTGGTTTCTTTCGTGGCGTCTCTGAAGAAAACAAATACGTAGCATTTGTAGACCCATCTACATACGAGGAGCATCCAGCATGGCCTCTCAGGAATCTTTTAGTATTGGTGAGGCAGCGATTTCACCTAACCAACGTCCAGATTCTCTGCTACCGGGATATTCAATCGCGCAGACACGAAGCTCGCAGTATAGTTCTACCGCTTGCCATGGATCCAGTTGAGAGCCTTGAAACAACAGAGATGCCAAAGGCTACCGGCTGGGAGCGAAATCCGGCTGGAAAACTGATGGCGAGGTCCGTCAGTCTAGCAGAATCCATGGACCCTACACGTTTAGCCGACCAGTCGGTAGATCTCAACCTGAAATTGATGAAGTGGCGGATTTCCCCGGATCTCAACCTCGATATAATCAAAAATACCAAATGCCTTCTCCTGGGGGCAGGTACGCTTGGTAGCTATATTTCAAGAAATCTAATGGGGTGGGGTGTTCGCAAGATTACCTTTGTCGACTATGGAGCGGTATCCTTCTCGAATCCGGTGAGACAGCCGTTATTTACTTATAATGACTGTCTGAAAGGAGGTGCTCCAAAGGCGACTCGGGCAGCGGAGGTACTTAAGGAGATTTATCCGGGCGTCGATAGTGAGGGCCATGTTCTTTCGGTCCCGATGCTGGGTCACCCCATAGTAGAGAAAACACAGGGCGATTTCGAGAAACTGAAGTCTCTGATAGATGAGCACGACGCAATATTCCTCCTAATGGATAGCAGGGAATCGAGATGGCTCCCTACGGTGATGGGTAAGGCAGCAGGAAAGATCGTCATGAACGCGGCCCTTGGGTTCGATACCTACGTAGTCATGAGGCATGGTGCGGAACCAGCAGATGGCAGCGAGGAGACACTAGGGTGTTATTTTTGCAACGATGTGGTAGCACCAGGAGATGTAAGTCCGCAGTTTTGTAATCAAGGTGCTTAACTAACATTGGATTAGTCACAAAAAGACTTGACTCTCGACCAACAGTGCACGGTCACGCGACCCGGCATCGCTGCGATTGCGTCAGCTCTTCTCGTCGAGCTTCTAACAAGTCTTCTACAGCACCCACTCGGCCATCACGCGCCCGCGCCCGCAAGCGGTGCTCCGTCGGGAACCTTTGAAAGCGACCCTAAGGATGAGTATGCCCTTGGCATAGTACCGCACCAAATTCGTGGATTTTTGAACAGGTTCCAGAATCTTATCATTAAAGGTCATTCATACCCATGTTGCAGCGCATGCAGCAAGCCAATCATTTCAGCATACAGGACTCAGGGATGGGATTTTGTAAAGCGTGCTCTTGAAGATAAGGAGTACGTGGCTGAGCTAAGCGGCTTGGCCGAAGTTCAAAGGAAGGCCGAAGCAATGGCTAATGAAGTGGATTGGGAAGAGGATGAGGAGGGAGAGAAGGAAGGAGATGACGAAGGAGTTCTCGTATAGAGCCTTCTCCCTCACATTCACCACGATCGCCGCAGACGTTTAAGAAAGACACGTGCTAATCGCTTCGAGCTCTGGAAGTGACCGCGGTGGTCCAAAGTCAGTTGGATTGATAGGTCGACAACACTGAGCAACTCGCAGAAGCCATCGATTCGTGTGATACCCCACATAATTCCACGCGACACGTCTAAGGAGGTAAAAATCTTCGGCCCAAGGCAAATGCAGCAGCATACACGTTCGGATGGCACGGTAGACACGATCATATCCATCGGAGATATTTTAAAGGGGGGCCGCCTTTGGTCTCATGGGAGGTATTGCTTTATAATTCACCGGGGAAAAAGAAGAACTTTAATGTAGCTTATGATTCTGCTTAATCCTAGAGGAGTAGGGCAAACATGGTTTGAAATACCGGAGTTAAGGATAGGAAAGAATCGAAGCAATTCAAGTTGGGTTAGGTTGATAACCTTGGGAAGTTTAGGTTGGGGGGCACCATTAGACTAACTAAGATGTTTCTACAATTTTATGAAGGAATGCGAATATGACTAAATGCACAGCAGCTGGTGTGGTATGATAACAGAACCATAATGAAAGAAAGCATTTCGTAAATGAGAGGAATGCTTTTAATCAAATCACCAAGTTCTTCAAGTCGAACAGGGAATTCATTGAATCAAAGGTGCCTGGAAACATTATGTACTCGAGAAGGTGGGGGACTCATCAAGGTTGAATAGGGGGGCTTAGAGTATGACTCGGCTAATGGATCGATTAGACTGACGCTATATGTTTAAGGAGACGCCCGTGAATCGGTAAGAGTTTCCTTAGGTACCTAGGGACAGATTTTGTTGAGCTTCTAGGCCATAAAGTTCAGTCCGCTCGACCCGAATCTCTGGGGAATCCCCGTAAATCATTCTAAACATCTACTGAGCATTCCAGAAAGCTACCTAGGCTTTTACCTATATAGCTTCAGTTACAGAATATGCTAAGGTAACTACCTACCTACGAAGCAAATACATATATAGCTACCTAGGTAGGTAGGTACTATATAAACTTACAAGATATTTTTATAAAGAGTATTAATATAACAATGGGAGGGAGTAGAATTAGGATGATGCACTTCGTTGGATTAAAACTAGGTACTTTAGAAATCTCTTATAGGGATTTCATGTATAGGTAGGTAATAATTCAGTTACAAGTGCTCAGCTACTACCTATCGAATACTTTCAGGGATATGAGCTACCCTTTCGGCCACCCCGCAACCCCAGAGAAAGCACAGCTTCTGTTATCTACGATGAAAACTGGAACCAGCTTGTCTAGATCTTTTGCGAGCTCATATAGCAACTCCGTTGGCGGTTATTGCTCACTCGAGTCATTAGAGCTCCTAGGATAAATATAATGGGGCATGCGGTCGAGAACCCGCGCATTAAGAGAGGAAACATTAAACGGCGTGGCGGAGATGACACATGTAGTGCCAATAACTACCGATGATCACCCTGCAGCCTATAGTCCCGCTATCCGCCGCTACCTCTCTCCGGAAGATGCCCTAGAGTTTCATATATTAGTGCCGTCGCGAATTCCACCCGATCTATTTAGTACCTATGATGTTGTGGAGTCTTGGTATAACTTGCGAGTCGTGAAGCTTCGATACTCCTTGCTCGAAGAGCACGTTTGGGATCGATTCTGCGATTTCGAACAACTTCCTTTCCCACCATGTATTTCCTGGGTTAAAAGGCGGTCTCCAGTAAAGTAACCAGAGTTGTATAAAGTAGTGGACGATCTCGCTTTTATGAGATCGACAAGACATCATCAGCACCTCACCAGCGCCAACTTTATTCTCTCTCTTATCCACTATACATCGTCTCGACCTTCCCTTGACCCGTATTTCATCGATATTCTGGTTTTCGTCGTGAATTCTCGACCAAAATCTTACATCTTCACCTTCTCCCATCAAGGTTCCACTAGCCAACATATATGTTAGCAACATGGCTCGATTTCAGGAACTTGAACGAGCTGCATGTGACGTTATTCAAAATGTGAAGGAAATTCAGGATCTCAGGCATGCGAGGCTTTCAGTCATCGGTGGCCTAGCCCTATGGCATTATCTTCCTGAATACCGCTCGACGGATGTGAGGCAACCCACTCCAAGAACGTTGATGAACGTAAGCTAATGCGACAATTTAAGAATATCAACTTCATAACGAACATATCGACGTCGCCTAGTTCTCTAAAGAAACGCTTGCTAGAACGACCGGACTCACCCTTTTTCCAACGTTCGCAAGCACTCTTCTATAAATGTCCCAATGGAGGAGAAATTCGAATCGACATCAGTCCCGAGTGGCTTGTAAGTTTTGCGTGCTCCTATGTCAACGTTGATGGTAAACTAACAAGCGAAGTCGCCGTACCTGCCAGAGTCCGCCGTGAAAGTACAGGATATATCACAGGACGAGATACCGTACATCTCCCTCACCGACCTCATCGTTTTCAAGCTCGACTCGAGCGGGCTAAGGTCAAACCCTGCTAAGAAGGAGCGCGACGCATGTGATGCCGCGGCGTTAGTCGACCTAGCATGTTCGCGTCGAGGATCTATAGACCTCTCCAAGAAGCAAGAGCAAGTGGTCGAAGAAGCACTCTGCGACGTCGCAAAATGTGGCACGAAAGAGAAATGCTGGTGGGAGGAGCATATGGGCTTAGACAACAAAACCCTCGAGGTTCCAGGCGGCAGATCGCAGCAGAGACAGGGCCGCCCTCATTCCAAATCGGACCCTTCGCCGTCTCGGACGCCGGTGACCAACGACCCCAACGCGGCGTGGCATTACGAGAAGCTCGACCGGGCGCATGTGCGGCAATTCAAATCGATGCACAGTAGCCGGGCGAGCGGAAGGCCCGGGATGATGCGATCGGCCTCACATCGGATGATCAGGGATACCGGGCTGATACTGACGCAGCCGAAGACGACGCACGCGAGCTTCCAGAACGAGATAAAGCGTTCTGGTTTAAGCAATGAAGTCGGCCCCGAGTCGCCATACTCGGACGAGCATGACGAACAGTACTACACGCTTGAACCTAAGGGGAGCCCGCTCCAGGGCAGCCCAGCTAGGAGTGGGAGGGGATACTTCGAACTCCCGCGCACACCTCTGGGCGGCTTGGGGACGGTGACGGAACACGTGGGGGCTGTGGGAGTCAGGAGAACTTCCAAGGCGGGATACTTCGACTTAACTCCGACAGATACCCCCAGCACGGTGGTACAGCCGAGGAGGCGCCCGGGGATGGACAAAAGGAGTGTTACTTTTCTCTTGTAGGAGTCGTGTGCTGCTCGCAACTTGGTAAGGTCGCCAGCCATGTTTCATAGGTTTACGTGATACCATATCCCAGTCCGAACGGGGAGTTTCTCTGGTTATTTCTATTATGAACGTTGGTTTCTCTTGATAGGTAGTTTTTGTATAATATTGATGAATGTTATATCTTGGAAATTCATATTAATCCTTTTAATTTTTATTAAATTTTGTTATGTACGAAGCCGGATATCGGGTACTAAGTTGAAATGAGAAAAATAGAATGATGTAAGTGAATTCCGTAGGTTTAGCGCATTTGGGTAATAGAAGTTACCGCATAGCCCGTGTGGGGTAGGATGTTGGTTGCTCTAGGCGGGGGAATAGGGGGTTTGGTGCTTGGCAAGCCTGGAAATGACCTGTAATATTGTCGGGTTCGGATGCTCGTGGCCTGTGGCGCAGGGAATAACGATCATCTGTCTGTAACTCTTGAACACCTGTGACACTTTGCTTAAATACAAATGTTTTACTTTTCAAGACAAGTTCTTCAGACACATGGTTATAATTTACAATTACACTCATCTTCTTCTATTTCTTACTTCTTCAATGGTTTCTGTGGAATATAATACTTCGTCGGAACAAAGGGAAGCGAAGAGTTGAAAAGCAAGAATTCCGGGTAGTCGGAGTAAAGAAACAGGGATTCCATTTCCTTTTGGAGAAAGTCGGCGTCCGTCTTCGTTCCCGTCTGGTGTCATCTCAGCCAGCCAGCCATCAGCCATAAGTCATCACGTGGCTTGGTATTGTAAGACAACTTTGCAACTTTTTTGCTTGGTTTACTTTACAGGAACTTAAAATATTTCAGTTTTCATCTTGCGGAACTCATCAATCGCATAAATAACAATCCTAGGATAAAGGCCTAGTCGGTCTTACAAACTGAATGAATGGGGTCATAGCGTTGTTCAACGTCCGCACTTCCGCCCTATCCCTTTCCCATCATGCGGTTTCCCTTTCGAGCCCGCAGGCGCCAAGAGTCTGTCCACGACTATATCGGTGTCCTAGTTCCGCTCGAGGAGGCGCACTTACATAGCCATTCCGCTAGGTCAGGCAGAAGCGAATTTGAAGAAGTGAGGACCAGTTCCGACGACGATGAACCTGAGTCCGGTCTACCTAAAGATGGAGACAGCGAGCAAACTGGCATGTTACAGATGAGTGCTGCTGAATACACTATCGAAGGTCTCAGGAGAGAGGTCCGTCGAGGTGATAGGCGGCACCAATGGACCGAGTATGAATGTGAGTTCATATCTTCATATCCCTTAGACAAATGATGACCATGTTACTAATAAACCATGACAGTAAAATCCAAACTCATCAATAAGGCCATTCAGGACATAGGAATGGGTCGGTATAATTGGCAGTTATTTGTTTTGTGTGGGTTTGGTTGGTTTGCGGATAAGTGAGTGCCCTTGCTTTGAAAGAGTATTACTCATTTTTTTTTACTAATTCGGTTGGTAGTTTATGGATGCAAGTGAGTATCTGATTTACGACGGCCTTTCTAAACCATCGGTTTGAAATCAATATCTTACACGTGTATAGGGCGTCTCATTGACTCTCCCATCTCTGTCCGGGGAGTTTGGTATTTCGGAAAAGCAGGTCAGATACACTACCAGTTCTCTCTTCCTCGGACTTTGCATAGGGAGCTTTTTCTGGGGTATCGGGGCCGATATTATGGGCAGACGTATCGCCTTTAACGTCACCCTACTAATCACAAGCATCTTTGGCATCTGGGCGGCGTATGCACCAAGTTGGGGGTGGGTTTGTATTCTATTTGCTTGTATGGGCACCGGAGTTGGAGGCAATCTGCCGGTAGATGGAGCACTCTTCCTCGAGTTTTTGCCCGACTCTTCGAGTGCATTATTGACCCTCTTATCTGTCTGGTGGCCAGTTGGTCAGCTTGTCTCATCGATCTTTGCCTGGTACTTTATCACACGATGGCCCGTTGAACAAGGATGGCGCTATTTCGTTATGACGATCGGACTAATAACATTCGCCATGTTCCTTATTCGATTCGCTATCTTCCGTCTGTTCGAGTCGCCAAAATACTTATTATCTCAGGGGCGGCAATCAGAAGCCGTTGCGGTTGTTCATGGCATTGCTTATCGGAACGGGAAGATGACCTGGCTGACTGAGGAGATATTAGACGCTGTTGCTGACATGGAGGGTGCTGAACGGACCCCAGGAAGGGTTTCCACCACCAATATTATCAAGGAAAACCTCACGTCTTTCTCGTTTGGTCGTATACGGCCTCTTTTCCAGAGTCGCAAGCTTGGCACGGCAACTCTATTGATTTGGTTTTGTTGGAGTACCATAGGTTTAGGTTATCCACTGTTCAACGCATTTCTTCCTCAATACCTTTCGCACGGCGGCTCTGGCGCGCCAGTAACCGACGAGAGCATGATGGCATACGATGCCGCCTCGTCAGAAACGTACCGCAACTATGCCATAATATCTGTAGTTGGTGTGCCGGGAAGTCTACTCGCCGCGTATACCGTCGATCATAAATCACCATTCCTCGGGCGGAAGGGGACCCTCGCCATCTCCACGCTGGTGTCTGCCATCTTCCTATTCTTCTTTGTCAAATTTGGCACAACACCCAACTCGCAACTCTTCTTTACCTGCGTCGAGGCTTTCTGCCAGAATATTATGTATGGTGTCTTATATGCTTTTTCGGGTATGTATGAAAACACTTCTGGTCGAAATTTTAGATTTCCCCTTTTCGAATCATCTCTAAATTTCTTTCTTTCCCTTTAATTAAAATAGAAGCTAATGTTATTACAGTGAGTGAAACATTTTCGTATCCATGTAACCAACTACACGGAGACAATATCAGGTATGTTTTGGTAATAAATGGCAAATGCTAACCGTATTTAAAAACACCAGCCCGAGATCTTCCCTGCACCCGTTAGAGGAGCCGGGACCGGTGTGGCTAGCTTCTTGAATCGCGTGCTAGGATTAATCGCCCCGATCATTGCCGCTAACATCCCCGGCGACGGTACTACGGCTCCGATTTATATGTCCGCAATTCTAATCTTGGCCGCCTTTGTAGGGATGGTATTGATTCCTATTGAAACGAGAGGCAGGCAGAGGCTTTGAGTGTGGGACTTCGGACATATTCCTAAGAAGGTACCTACAATACTACCCTACGTGTATCAATAGAACTTGTATAAGGATGGCATGCTCACCTGAGTTGACAATTCCATCATGGGTTATTAGTTAAATCACTAGCTTACAGTAGTTATGATAACATAAGAATGGCAGTAAATCAATCATGTAGATTCATGTGTACAATCGCTAACTAAGTGAATACTCGACTTATGCTTCATCACCTATTACCCTTAGCCCCAGCAGGCGCGTCTACTCTCCGCTTCTGAAACGATCGCCCCAAAGCGTCTTTCACCATTGGATCAGCCCGGATCGTGTTCTGAACAAGCCATTCCTTGAGCTTCATTCGCATGGTGCTTATCACCTCAGGGTCGCCGGCAAAGGGCGCCATCTCCAATTCCATGAGCCGCGTCACATCAACATCCATGCTGCGCGCCGTGTGCTCAAGCCTGTCTATATTCTGTAACAACTGCTTCTCCGACGCCTCGCCCGGCTTCTTTCCCCGCTGGTCTGGAGGTTGCAGTAATGGGCCTATTTGCGAAAAGGCTATGTATAACGTAATACTCAACTTGCGCGCGAGGGAAATGACTTGGAATGGTAGGTAAGGCGGGTGGGTGGTAAAGCGCGTGAGAAGTGGGTTCACAAGGTTATCTAGGAAGCGAGGGAAAGATGGGCGCGTGACGGTGTGCAGCTCAAAGACGCATAACACGATTAACGTCAACCATCGCCAGTATCGTCCCCAGTCAAGGTAGCCCAAGAGCCCCAGCACGTACATAGCTACAGCGGCGAAGCCATAGTAGGGTATCAAGACCTGAGCACCACGGACGACGTAATCGTGCACGGTAAGGCAATGTTTCCAGCTCACAACGTCGGGACCGAAGCGTTCGTATGCGAAACGTCGAGCGGGGTCAACGAGGGTGTCGGAGGCTGTCTTAAGATGCATGAAGAAATCTCCTTCAGTCCCATCGGCGGTTCCAGAGCTCATCAGCTTATCCGGATGGTGGAGGGCAGCGAGACGGCGAAAGCGGCTCTTGATGTCGCGCTCGGAGGCGGAGAAGGAAATACCGAGGTCGGCGTAGTAGTCTGAGGCGCGGCGCATCTCATAATCGGCTTCGTAAATGGTGTAGAGTAGATACAACGATACGACAAGGATGTGGATACGGCGACGGTGCTCAATATAGCGGGGTGTACCAGGCGCGGGCTTGCGGTCGCCCGCACGGATTGTTATGCCATAGTAGATAGACTGCACCCAACCTGTTGCAAGCTATGTCGCGTTGATCTTAGTATGAAGCCTCTTCTGAGAGAATGAGAATGTGGATGAGGAAGGAACTAGGGAATCGTGGAACATACATTTGGGAGGAATGTCCATCCCAATAGAGAGAGGACGTTGTTGCTGGCCATGATGGAATACAGGCTATATCATGGCTAAGAAATAGTATAATTACTCCAATGACTTAAACGGACGGGTAAATGTTGTATAGAAAGAGTTTGTAGGAACAAATGATGTCCAATAAAGATTCTTTGAAAGCTCGCAACTACATTACGTAGCAAGTATTATCGCACTACTGAACAGGTGTGCATTCCCCGAGTTTAAAGATGTACATGTGGGTACCTAAAAATAGGTACATATCTATCTTGGTACTGTGTGACAGGGTCTTCCCTCTTAGTCAGTCGTACAAAATTCAGGTTCTTAAAGTTTATTATATTACTTCTATGTGGATATCTTCTGCATTTTCTCTCGAATTATTGAGATTTCGTCTTTTTCAATTCTCCCAAGTCATTTCTCAAGTACGGGCAGAGACGATTCATCGCATCTTTGGTGGGGGTTTAATGACAATTAGTTCCGCGGGCTCACGATTATTGCGGACAGCATTTATTATTGAGATATTCTCCTCTACCTAGGACCTAGGTATGTAGGTAGGTACTCGCATTTGCCAACAAACGCCTTCATGTTTGCGCTGCTGTGCTGATCTCTTCATGCAATGCATGCATTGTAAGATTCTACACCAACAAAGCCCGTCTGACCCAGTTAGCGATATTTGGGCTTCAACGCTGCGTGACATCATCATCACTGCTCTCTCCCGAGATTCCATCCTTCATTATTATTCTCAAATCCATGCCTTGCTCTTACGATCACTAACACAATCCTGATAGCCACCCAGGCATTCGCCACCAACGGGCTCTATGTATGTCATGAAATCTTCTCAATGCGCATGACTCGGCAGGCAGCGGAGTAAGATACAAAGTGGCATGAAGAGGCGGTGAGTTATCTGCTTCTATTACCCCGTACGGGTGCTCTGTCCATTTGACAGGCTTCTTTTTTGCTCTCGTTCAAATTGCTACATCGTAGGCAGGTGAGCTGGCTGTTTCAAGATCACAGCTGAAAGCTGAAAGGCATGGAAGAACGTACAGCATTCCGTTTGGCTTCTCTCATTGAAGATCGGACGTAACTACCAGTATGACTTAGTCAATGTGTCACGTTGAATGATCACGAACTGAATTTAAGCCATGTCATTTACGTTGAAACCAGGAGCGACGCCACTTACACAAATAAAATGCAAGCCATCGTGAAAGCAGCTGCAGGCGCCATGATCGTCTAGATCAATCAGATTCAAATTAGCTCATAACTACAGTCAGATAGACTGGGACCATAATCGCACCCGTGGTGTTATATTTCCGCGGCTAGACATGATTGTTCTCTGTCAAGTCCAGCTCAATCTCATCGGATAACGAAAAGTAAATGAATAACTTAATAAGTCGTCTGCCTGTATTAGATTGTCGATTACAGTTTGTCGAATACGATGTTTGTATGTAGTTGCAATTGAAGAATTAAAATGACGGGCGAAATTATCCGTTTGTCAGCTGTCCGCCAGTGCTAGTGATTAACGCATCATACGATAATTGAGTTAATTGGGCTAAAAGGAGACATGAACATCCCCGTTCCTAGCTTCAATTTCTTGTGTGCACATAACCTTAATTGCGTACCTGTCTGCCTGGGTATTTAGTAGGTAGGTACATAGGTAAGTCTCACTCAACTCATTTGATAAGTCTATATGTCAAGTGCATACTAGTACCTAGGTACCTAGCTACCTAGTAGATAGGTAGATATAGGCAAGTACCTGTATATACCTACGAAACGGAGTAGAGTTAACGAATGTTTTCGTTGGGGTTAAATAAAACCCCCATTCATATGTGCGAATTATCCAGAGAAAAATACCATAGATATTTATTCTATCCTGATAGCCTAGATGTCTAAGTATATAGATGTTCTTTTTCTGGATTTGACGTCATGGTTGATTGTGGGTTACAGGAGAAAAACATTACTCAGCATGAAATCAAGCCAATCAGAATAGCCCTATCTACCTAAATGAGGTGAGTGTGAACTCGATTTAACCATTCTTAAACTAATGTCATATATCCATATTAACATGAATTTATTGAAAATAATTATGTAATTATCGTAAGATCTATATTGAATAGATAAGCAGGCATGTATATAGGCATGTGCAAGTAGAAAACCATACGTTGATTGACAAGGTTGATATGAAACGGGGGTTTAGAGTAAAAATATCATTATACCGTGCTCAGAGTACCTCTGAAAACTGATTTACTTTAATATCAACATTTAAAATCTATACCACCGAAATGAATATTGCTCCTAGACTAACAATTGGTATCACTGTTACAAGACTCGGAACTCCCGCTAACGGCCTTCATCGGAGGTAATTTTCATCGATTGCGTTACGGTTAGACGAAAACTACCCAGGTAAGCTTGATCATCAAATCAGCGAGGCCTAATGTGGTAGCCAATATATCAACATACCACATTATGCGTGCGGCCCACAACCTCTGTCCACAGAAACCAGGTTCTTGTGAATATGGATTCAGCCTCATCATGCAAGTATGCCCGAATCATGTGGTAGATCATGATCTAATCCCTCCCTGCGGCCATTAGTGGAACCCGTCGCATGCGGAACTTCAACATCGTTACTTTCTTGGCTTCGGGTTAAGTCTTAATAGCCTGGCATTATACAACTCGTTAACTTATTGGATGTGATACCGACATCCAATAGTTGAAGACAACACCTCGACTATTTCTATCCCCTCTAAGCGCTGACTCATTCTAGTATCGGCTAGGTTCTGTGATAGTGCTGACGTATGTGGACCTATACGGAAAACCGGGCCTGAAAGACCTCGTGAGCAGATAATTTAGTTATCGGCGAAGTAGGAGTGGACTGCTAAGATTGGTCAGTACACAGGCAATCTAATATGGAAGACCAATAATGAATAATACGGTAGGTTTCTGAGCCTCGAGCATAGTTAAGAAACACTTGCCAATGGTAACAACCCTATGATATCTCGAAAATCATAGATTGGTATGCTTCGTGATACTCTACTAACCGTATGGGATATGCAATGTGGCATGCATACCTCTCGGCGAGACTTCATAAGCTCGGTATGTGGTCAGATCCTCACCGCAAAAGTGGCAATTCTAGTCCGAGAGAGTCTAGCTACCACATGCTGTGTTCCTGTTCAATATTCCAAAAGTATTTAGCTTAGACGTACTTAGTTGCTTAGGGAAGGTCTTACAGCTACGACTCTGTAACCACCGTACGGTCGCAGCCGAGGTCTCCTAGAATTGCATACCCAGGCCCCAGGTATGCCCCGAGAATAATGGGCGCCATCGGTCGATGAGGAAATCCATCGATGATATGCCGTACTGGTGTTGCTGACCGCACAAGGCAATGCTCACCTGACCATCAGTTATGTATGACTTTGAACAATGGTTGGGTAGAAGGTGCCTCGACGCTTTGGCAGCGCCTGCAGCGACACATGGATCATGACCTAGTACCCGTCAGTTAATGTGCCATCGCGGAACGGGTTAAAGTGGAGAGAAAGGTATAGGAGCAATCAGTTCGTTGAAATAGATGTGATCTGTCCACATCTTGGATTTGTTGGCTAGCTTAGGATCGTGATGAGGAGGGACATTGGATTTGCGACATGTATTTACCTACCATTTCTACACCATAATATAGTAAGCTCCAGTTATCAGAGGCCGGGGCAAACCCTCATCGACGCCTACGTGACATTGGAGCTCGTAGTATTGCTCTCTTCGCCGCGACGCCAAAATATCAGGTCTCATTGAATATGTTTTCCGAAGAGTTGATGTATGGAAAGCCAAGGGATGTATACAGTCTACCAAGGTTCCCTTACGATGAACTGGCTTCCATCCGTGGGCCTATGGCGTACCTTCAATGTCACTTTATAAAATAAACATAGGTGGTGCATATAACCTCGTAATAGTCCGGGAGACATGTATAATTTCGAACCAAGTTGACAAAATATATCAGCATGGGAAAAGTAGGCATACCCGACGAGGCTGGGACGTGGTAGTACTCAATTACAGCGCCACAAGCACCTAGGTCGTGAGCTTGTAAATCAGTGTAACATCTCAGGATGTTGACTTTCCGGGTAGTAGAGCCGCCTGTAACACTCGGTTAGAAGTCTAGGCAACATGTGTGTAAGCGAGGTTCATAATACCCCCCAATCCGACTGTATAGTCGTAATAATGGACCATTGGTCATATTCATACACGGAGAATCATACGAATTTGGTAGGAAAATACTTTGCGCTCCTGTGATGGCGTTGTAAGTACCTATGTATCGGCATGTAGGTATCATCGAATTAGGGATGGTATGAGAAATCGCCAGATCTCGGGGCGTTCCGCATGGATTACACCACAGAACCAGCCTGCTCATTTTAATGTCTTCCGGTTGCCGATCGGAACGGTCTCCCATTTCATAGACATCCCCATCTATTTTCGGGAGACATTTGGAATAGGAGGACACTGATCCGTAAGCTATCGGGTTTGGGAAGAGCTCCCTTCAGGCATTGAACCCTTCCACAACCCATGCATGAATGACGGCCTAAGCAAGCCATGCTCTTTAACCAACTCGAATGTGATTCGAATGATGTAGCCGAACACAAGCCACCCATATCTGCGAGAAATGATCTTGCGGGCCTAGCTGTCGTTAGACCAGTAGGTATCATTTTCTTACATGATTGGGAGAGGTCGAGAATTCCTTATTGCGCCTATATTATAAGTTAAGGTAAACATTTTTGCCTAAGCAGATCTGAATAGCTAGGCGCGCTCATGAATTGACTAGTGATGCGTCAGGTTTAGAGAAGATGAATGAATTAGAAAATGCAAAAACAAGAAGTTGGGGTCCAGAAAAGCAGGTATACCTAACAATATATATGGTAGGCATATATATGCACCTTTCAGCCCCTACCTGCGGCTTTCCTCCCCATTCTTATTTATCCATTGCCGCCATTAAGAAGTCGAATATAGCAAACCTATCGGAATTACGCAGGTACCTACTAGGTAATATCGATGCACATGAAAATAGTGGACTCGATATATTGGGGCCAGGAATTGAGTTGGCGGCCAGTAGGTCGTATGCGTCTTATGCGCCTCCTACCTGGTACATATCTTAGGTAGGTAACGCGAGAAGGGATTAGGAACTTAGGTATCTAGAGGCTGAAAAGAAGGGAAAGTGTTGGAGAGAAAAGGTGTGGATTGAGTCTAAACCATGAAAATTGAGGCTCTGCTGGTTATTCTCCCATAACCGGGGCCAAGAAGAAAAATTAGGTCTCATACTGGGTCCACTAAATTAAATTGGGATAGTGATGTACATAGTGGAACAGGAGCGTACCTAGCGGAGATCCCCAGAGCCGGTCCCTCCTCCCGGAACAAACCTAACTTAAAGAGGTCGCCAATCGTACCTAGGTACATGTACGTAAGCACTGCAGGTACATACAAACAAATGTACTTACCTCTCAAACGTTTACCTTGTGCGTGGATATTCCCAAGGTTGTTTCCAAGGCTTAAATCCTTGAAGTTATCCATTCTAATGCTCTCTAGGATAAAGTGGATACATCCATGGATCATTCCTACCTACCTTACCTATCTAGTACCTAGCCAACATTAAAGTACCTGAGTAGATTATCCCGATTCCTGACCACTACATACCCAGTACAATCCTAGTCGACTACCTGGTAATCTCTTGCAACTTTGAGCCTCAATGTTTGGACTTTACGTACTATGCGTACATCCTAAGTCCAAAATGACCCGCTCTCGTCCGTTCTTTCACGAGATCTTCGGTAATAATGAACAATGACAGCTGAACAAGGCTGCTCGTGTAGCATTCGGTCTACACAGCCTACATAGTACTTACTGAGGAGGAGGTACCCAGGCCCTAGGTCCTACATAGGTAGGTCTTGAACTTCTTCAGTCTTGAGAGCCTTATCATGTACTAGCTGCCCAACCCCCGGAATATACTACCATTGCATCTATCTGAACATGATCATGGTCGATGCGGCTTAAAATCACGAAAAGAGCCAATAAATACATATTCAGAACCCCGAAATATCGACATCTATATCTCGTTTGCCTGGTTTTCGGTCTTAACAACTTTCCTTTCAAGCACATACGTTATTATGTCCAATCAATGGTTTCATCCTCGTCACGCCTGATTTAGCCCCTTTCATTGAATCGATAATATTAATGCATTGCTTTAACCGAGATCGATGTGGACGTCGAAGAAGTTAGTGGTAATACCGCAGAGGACATCAGGGCTACAGCGGCTGCCCTATGAAATAATAGCATATATTGTGAAGTACCTAGACATTGATGATGTTTTTCATTTATCATTATGCAGTCGCCACTTTCAGTACTTAGTGCGAGAAGAAAGGTTTTGTAAAACCCTCATTAATGTAAGCTATCAACCTGACTAAAAACCGGAGGTTCTAGCTAGCAGCTATCCAAGGTACCTACCTGGGTACCTACTTATGCGTATGTTTACTGACATCTCCGCATAGATCAAAGCCTCCTATACAATTGAAGCAGACGAGGCTCGGAGAAGTGGTCAATTCGCGCGAGCTCTACGGCGGGTTGCGAAGAGACGCCAAGCTCTTTCCCAAGCATCTCCGTATGTTATAGGAATCGTAGGCCTCGCTGACTCATATGAATATATTCATGGAGTACTTTGCTACATCATCGAGGCACGGCCTCAACGATGGCTGCGAATTCTCGACCTTCACGGTTCGGCAAGCCACGAGATGGTCGTAGATATTCCAGCCTTGATCCGCGAGGCCGTGCCGAGATCAGCTAAAAGCCGTAAATATAAATTTCGAGTCTTATATCATTCGAATGGTATTACATCGTGTTTGTTTTCATTCGCGCTACCAAACACCGAAAACTGGCTATTGATATTCCAAGCCGAGGAGAAAAAGATCGTGGCCCAAATCCCACTAGAGTCTACGGCTAAGATATTCGTGCGAAACAATAAGGATTTTCTATATTTTGGTACGCACTCAGAAGAAGGCGCGGATGGGTTTAAATATTGGGTCCTTACCGGATTTCGTATCGAGGATCGCTCCTTGTTCCCTCGGAAGATGCGCTTAACAAGCGTGGTCGGGTACGACATCGGCACTACGGTCTGTTTCGAGATCATAGACAATTACTTCTATGTCCTATCGAATCAGACAAACTTCGAGCTCAGGGAGACTGATTGGATTTCCTATTACCATTGCTTACGCTTCCCCCTGGACGATCCGGATCGCAATAGGGCCCAGGTCATGCATAAGGATGACAGCTGGAGGAGAAAGCATGCCGAAGGTCCCATAGACGACCGCTGGGGATTTCTTAAGCTAGATAAAGACGAGGCTTCCGGCGTAATCAATATAATCGAATCCAGGAAGGAATGGCTCACAGGGAAGAGTGGTAGTCGACGAACTTATTATATGACTGAGGTTTGTTTCAATGAAAATTTGGAGCTGGCTGATGAAGATAACCACCCAGCCGTTATACCGCCGGTTATCATGGTTGGTGGGAGATCCATCAGACCTATTAGGGTTGGGAACAACGCAGTTGACTCGGATGTGCCAGTTCGACAACCCGAAAATGTTCACCCGGGAGATGATAGTTCTACGACGCCAATGTTCACGCGAACCCAGACTCACTTACGTTCTTACCAACGATGCTCTAATACGTACCTAGATTTAGTTGATGATACTTCTAGCGGGTCAACCGGTCGACATCTACGTTTACGAACCGGACATAGGAAGCCGAAACCGAAACCGGAATCAACCCCAAACGCTCTTCCAACCTTGGAAGTATCGCCAGTATCCGACGAGAAGATAGATTTAGACGATATCATTAAGCAGTGCTATCACCCTAACGAGATTTATTTCTGGCCCCCGGAACGACATCAAAACCAGGAATTATTAAATAAGGTTTACGAAATACTGAACCCACCCGGTTATCTAGGCAGCATCACCGCCTTTAGCGATGAGCGCTCAATAGTCTACGCTACTGGGGAGGATGTAAATGGACTCAAGGTTTTAATCTATGTCAGCTTTGACCCGGCAGCTAGACTGGCTGGCATGTTGCGTGAGGGGTACATACTGGGGGAAAAAATATCAGCCCAATACGATGAGATGACCGGTCAAAAGGGTTACGGTTCGGGTGCAGAAGCCGGTGGCAGTACGAAACACGTCAAGGATATAATGGCCGAAGATGAGGGAAAAGGGAAAGTTGAGACTATTGGCGACCAGTCTCGCGGAGCTTTGCCCTCCTATATTGCAAATCCTCCGGCCCCGGAGGCAGTGAGCGAAGACTGCAAGTCATGGTCTTGGCTTGAAAAGGCCATGCATCAAGATCTCACAGGAAAGCTATTTACTTTTGCACATTGAAAAGTAGCAGAATACGATGCAAGTCAGACGGCGCCTTTTCCTTGACCACTTAATTTTATCTTCGTGGGTTGCATTCTTGTGTGCCCAGTAGGTAGAGCACTTTCCTGCAGACAGGCTATGTAGAGCAAGAGAAGTTATGGATTGGTGAGAAGGAGGTCTAGATTGATGGCCTAGCTCATCCGCCTCTGTATATAAGTATTTATAGGTCTTATAGAAGCTTGCCGACTAGGACGACTATAATCCCTTAAGTGTGTTAACAATTATTCGAAATTGATTAGATGTTATTGAGGCTATCATGGATACATCGTCGCATATCGACCCCTATTGTGCTACACGACTCGTAGAAAACACCCATATCGTATTCTCGATGTGCACTAATATTGGGGGCTGCGATAGGCTCTTATTGGCAATTATTATATACACCCTTGTAAGTAGTTCGCCCTGCCTCAGTGTCTGCCTTACGATTTCGGTAATGTCATTCATTTCGACCCCATTTCGACCCCATCAATTTATAGCCGTCCATTCTCTGATAGGGCCATGAATCGGTCAATCTGCTTACTTAGGACCTAGGTAACTCAACAACATGTATCTATCGCATAGAGTCGCGGCCACCTGACATTATCTGCAACTCAAAATGACAAGTCATTAAGTATCACGTCTATTTGGGTATAGGACGGTCTCACCGGCGTTCCATTGATAAGTTATGTATGTACACGTTAGTTACCTAGGACCTAGGTATGTTTGATGTCATCAATGGCCACCATATCCCCCACCCCCATCCAGACCTGGCTTACAATCAGATGCGGAAAAAGATACACGGTAGACTATCCTTACAATTTGAATCTTCTTAAGATGCGGCTACGGCCGGGTCCTCCCGAGATCTTCATATTAGACGAGGTCGGATACTACATCCGATTAGCTTACTACCTATCTACCTAGGTAGGTACTTATAGATGATAAGGTATATACAAGTAAGCCTCACAGTCTATTGTATTGGGCATTTGGGAGTTTTCTGGGATATTCTTACCTATTCTCAAATTCACTTGAGTTGTCACTGTAAAAAGATGAGTCAAAAGCCAGCGATAGGCTACCCCCTAAAACATCCTTTTCTTCGTCATTTCGTGAGTGTTATGAGACAATGAAAGGTGATGCTAGAAGTATGCTGAACATTACAACATCTAGCTATCCGCTTACTCTGGTCTGTGATAAAGGGGGAAGCTTCTCATCTACAAACAATGCTAGCCTCTCCCTTGAAATTTGATAAAAAAATCCGAATATTCCGATCCTTAAGGATGTCTAATAATAATTTTCATAGTCGGTTAGACTAGACGCCATGGAATCCCCTAGCTACCAGGCAGATGAGAGGTAGACATGTGCATTCTCTTCCTTCCTAGTACACTAAATTCATATTCGCACGAGAGCGTTAAGCTACTGTACCACAAAGATGGACTTGACTAAGAGATCCATTAGCTACGTAGGGTACCTAGGTAGCCTCGGGGATAGGACTCCAACCACCTTCTCGAGAGTACGTCATAGACACGAGGGTTGTAAAGGGCACTGTCTAGGGTGGCCATAGTGATGAGGTACTGTTCTGTCTGAGGCGTCAATGGCCCCCACGAGTTCTTCCCGTCAATTACTATAGATGAGAGATCGTACAACTTATCTAGTTTAGTCTCACAAGCCATCAACTGGTGTACCAGTGTCCACGAGTGTGAGAATCCCCTGCATATGTGGCAAGGAAAGATACCTAACCTTGAAACCTTAAGGATTAAATTCCTAAGCCTTCCCAATGCTTTTGTCACTTATTTGACGTCGATGGTAGCCGCTGTCGAGTGGCATAGCCGAGTAGAGTAATCAGCCAATTCACTACTCGGAATATGCACCAATACTTACCGTACTTACTACCTAGGTACGTATGTGTAACTATTGGTCGAATTTTAGTTAGCCCGTCCACCTTAAAAAGAGGTTAGATATCAGCAATCATATGAGATGACTAAACAACTAATGTTTATAAAAGGGGCGACCGAACCACCATCAGTTGATAAAGTCATAATGGCAGCACGGTAAATGGATTTTCCATTGCGACTTGCGGTCGATGAATTTCTTGGCAGGGGTTTTGGGGTAGGTATTATTTTATAATCACGTGGGTAAATATCCATGTTCATGTACAAATTTATCCATCATGCTAATACAACTTCATAAGCTCTACAGTTGTAGATACTGCAGGTATTGACCTTGGGTCCGGTAACACAACATGGGAAGTTATTCCATACCTACCTGCCTACCTAGTACGTAGTACATACTACTACCAGGGTACACCGTGAAGAGAAGGAAGGTGGGGGGACGCTTCCGCCCCTGTGGTCTCAACGTTGAGGATGATTGGAGGAGGATCGTCAATTAAAGACCCCTAAAAACATACTAATTAGTCCGAATTAGGCTTAGCTCGTGGTTCTACTCACGCGTACTGCTCGTACCACATACTCTCAACTACTGCAGACCAAGCCAGTTAAGTCTTCACCGCAAATATGGAGACGCACTGCTATCTCTATCCCCTTTCAATTTTTTATCCTTATGCCGACGTGAGAGGCTTGTCATATTGATTTCTTTTTTTTCTCTTTTCCTTTTCTCCCTCTTTCCCTATTTATTTCTATAATCATAGGGAGGTAATAGAAGAAAATAGGACTTCGAAGAAAAGGAATTGGTGGAAAATGGCACGCTCATCGGCTTCAACCACGACCAGCATCCCCGAGGCACCTAAGCCGCAGAAGACGATCCGTCTCAACGGTAAAGGCGGGGAGCATGTTCCGCAAGATGGAACCTCAGACCTACAACGAGATCCGATCGAGGTCAAGTATCGTGACTTCTTCTGGACCTACACCGAAGAGCCGCATCGGACGAGACGCCTGGCCATTATCAAGGCACACCCCGAAGTGACCAAGCTTTGCGGCCCCGAGCCCCTCACCAAATACGTCGTACTCGGCGTCGTAGGCCTGCAGATTTTATGCGCCTACGTTCTCCGCAATACTCCCTTCTTCTCGGCCCCTTTCTGGCTGCTTGCCTACGTTGTTGGCGCCACCGCCAACCAAAACCTGTTCCTGGCCATCCACGAGATCAGCCACAATCTAGCCTTCCGATCCCCCACCGCGAACCGCCTCTTCGCCATCGTCGCCAACCTACCTATCGGCATCCCCTATAGCGCCTCATTCCGCCCATACCATCTCACCCACCACAAGTCTCTGGGCGTCGATGGCCTTGACACCGACCTACCCACCGCCCTCGAGGCCATCTTCCTCGACTCTATCCTAGGCAAGGCCTTCTTCTGCACTTTCCAGATCCTCTTTTACGCCGTGCGTCCCATGTGCGTCTACAGCGTGCCCTTTACCTGGGTCTCCGCCACCAATGTAGCCGTCCAGGTCTCCTTCGACGCAGTTATCCTCAAGACCCTCGGCACCCAGGCCATGCTATACTTCATACTGTCGTCCTTCCTAGCCGGAAGCCTGCACCCGCTAGCCGGCCATTTCATCGCCGAGCACTACGTGTACGAGACCGTCACGCCCGCCCAGGCGAACCCAGACAACCGCGTGGCAGTCCCGGAGACGTATTCGTACTACGGCCCGCTCAACTTCCTGACATACAACGTCGGCCTCCACAACGAGCACCACGACTTCCCCGCCGTCCCCTGGACGCGCCTGCCGAAGCTAAACCAGATCGCCAACGAGTTCTACGCCGACCTGCCGTACCACCGCAGCTGGACCTACGTCATCTGGCGCTTCATCTTCGACGAGAACGTGGGCATCCGGTGCAGAGTGAAACGCAGGGAAGGCGGGAGGCTCGTCGGTCAGAAGGCCGATTGGAAGCAGGACGAGATTGAGGCTTAGAAAAACGGCACGGGTTACATATGAAGTCATATGTAGGTATGTTGAGGGTAATACATAGTACTTCATCTAATAGGAAACTGTATATTTACTCCCGATGGTGCCTCTTATTTAGGTGTGGCTTGGCGTTCGGCATACGGAGGCAATGGTAGAGCTAGCCTCGTGAAGTATAACATAATTATCTCTAAATGGGTTACCCATGGTTTCTACACACGTAGCTTAGGGTTCGTGTTATCAGGGGCAACCAAGCAAGGATTGGGTTTATAAGGAGGGTATGCCATTAAGAGCTACGAGCATCCTTGGTGATCATATGTTTGCATCGATCGCTTATACTTCGATAGCATGGGATGAACTATGAGCATGTGGAGCTTAGGATTTCACGGCGATCATATGAGGATCGCATCAATTTCATGCAAAGTATATATCAGAATGCTCATGCCTCTCAAAAACCAACGGGTGAACAAAAGGAATACATGCTAAAGTACAATGTGTTTACCATGACGAAGGCGAGTTTAGATCCTCCGTTCCACTTACAAAAGTCCGACCAAGAGAGCCCAACTTCCAGAACCTCAAATTACTTCTGTTTCACCTACCCAAGTAGGTACAAACTTCCTTGCCTCCAACCTTCATCTAGGAGATTCGCCTATTAACCTCACGGCCGTAACGGGTATCCTCCTCACGCCTGTAATAGTCAAATCTCCAAGAACTTTCCAATCTCCAGTGCCACCTAAAAGAAGAGGTAGGCAAGCATGAAGCTTAGGAAGCATAGAAGCGCCGTAATTTGGACCGACACGCCCTCAGAGCCGGATCGATCCTGCTGGGCTAATTCCGCAGGCTTAGGACCGGAACCACCATCAGCACTTGTCACCTTTCGCTGTCGTAGACCCTCCTTGTCTTGCTTCAGTTGCGCAATCAACTTCTCGGCCTGAATGAGTTGTTGTTTCAGTTCTTCGGAGCTGGGATCACTCTTCTTGGCGGCGGATACGGTTGCTGCGGCTGCGAGGGTCGGGACCTCTTCACGCTTGGTGTCCTTCTCTTCTACCGACTTCTGATCTGCGTGGCTGCCTGAGTATTCGCCAGGCGAGGAATAGGCGGGAGGAGCGACGTCAGGTGTCGACTGGGCCTATGAAGATCATGGAATATTAGCTTATCGAGCATACAATTTACCAGAACAATTATATAAAATAGAACACGAGGAAACTTACGCCATTGGCTGCTGAAGATTTGCTGGGCGTCTCAAGGTGAGAGGCTCCAGGAGTACCCTTAGGAGATAAGAAGACCACGCGAATCTTCTTCTCTTGTATCGAGGACTTCTCAATACCCTCCCACTATTGCATCGGTTAGCTAGATAGGCAACATAGGGGGGCAAAGTGGTAAAGCGGTAACGTAGTGCTTACGATAGACGCGAGATTCGAGAATTCCTTGTCGCCTGTAATTGGGACAGACTGAACTAAGAACTTATCCCGACACTTGGCATCCACGGGAGGCTCCTGTTTCATGGCTTGAAGGATGACTGTGGTTATGTTAGTAAGCAGGTAAAAATGATGACTCGCGGTAATGCGCACCCGAAACCTCGACCTCTTTTCCAGGCTCAACTCGACCAGAGTTAGGTCGGACGCAGTACCTTGAATGGGGATAATTATTAGTATTATGATGCTAGAGTACTAGGTGGGTATGGGATATCGCATATCGCTGCGGTGGGTGGGACGAAGTGGCATACTGCTTGGGTGCGGTGGTTTTGACCTGGTATTCATTAGTCGGGGATCACGACAGCCTGCGCGGATGATCGTAAGTTATGGGTCATACCTTGAAGGCAACAGGGTGGGTATTCGGGTTCTTGATGCGTAGAGTTTCCGTGATCTCCGCCGCGAAAGGTCCTAAGAAACCATAAGCATACACGATATCGGGGACACGGGGGCACGATGGCAGGATTATGTTATGACGTACGGTGGAAACCGAGTTCCTGAGGATCAATATCGACAGACATGACGACGGTAGAAATGCGATGTATGTACGCTTAAAATAAAATGAAGTCGGAAAGTCGGTTTCGTGTGGTGAGAAACTGCGTATAGAGCAGTTGCGAAGGCGCCGAGGTAGTTTGGAGTGTAATCGGTGTAATCGCAAGCTCGGCTTTTGGACACGAGGGTATGTAGAGAACCGTCAACGTAGACAGGAAAGGAAATTGTCAGATAAAAAAGGGAGAATTAACGGTGGATTCAATAATTATGGGAATAGAGTGTACAGCCTAAGCGTCTAGAACTTAGAAGAATGAGAAAAAAGTTACTTTGTGGGAAAATGGGAGAACGGCGACGAGTGAATGTATGTGAAGATGGAAATCTGGCCGGGACGGAATAAAAAAGCACAGGCGACGGTGGTGTTGTTCGTGTTACGACATCGGGTTCACCTGCAAAAGACACTACAGCACTAATTACAGCGTGTCTAATAGGCGTTAAGTAAAGCGTCTCAAGTAATTGAAGTTGGCAGTCCGGCGCTTTGGGAGCCCTGGTCTCAGCACTTAGGTATCCTAACAGCCTAGGTACAATATAAATTTGTTCATACAGGTACTTAGGGGTAGTGGATATGGCAATCTTGGTTTAGCGCCAATTAGTAATTACAGTAGTGCACACATCCCACGGGTATGCGCCTATTAAATGTAATGAACGCACGAACCACTTGACATTATCCCATGGGTACATACCTTAAGTACCCTGTATCATTGAAACATTAATGGATATGTGCAAGGCCACGAAGGGGTACCTAGCGGAAATGTACCTCCTTGCACAAAACCCTTACACCCTATACATCCATACATGCATCATTTGAGGCAACATTTAGAATGACGTGCCACTAAAAGAAAACGTAAGTCACTCTCATCGTATCTGCAACTTCCATGAATTCCGTCGCCTTCTTAACAGCATTTTGAATCTTATAGCTGTACACGAATACCAAACGCATAAGACAAAACATCAAGTTAGGTAGATCAATGATATAACTCGGAATCACCATCGGTCCATTCTTTTCCACCAAGCAACTCACAACACATCCTCACTTAAGCCCAATCTTCCTAGTGATCTTAAATCACGTACATCTAAGTTGCCCAAGATGTCACAATCACTACTTGAACAGCTCTTGGATATGGGCTTTGAGAAACAACGTGCTGAGCTGGCCGTCAAGAAGTCAGACGGGTGTAAGTACCTTCATTTAATAATACTTGTTTGTATACGTACCTACCTACCTAGGCAGCTAGATACATATTCTACTGGCCGAGATCGTTAGCTGATGAACTGTCCTAGTGCCGGATGCCATGGACTGGTTGGAAAAAACTCAGGATACGCCTATAGACGAGCTTCTCGAGGAAGAAAGCTCCGGTGCCAACGTTGCCAAAGTCGATGACGGCACCGTAGCAATGTCACTCGTTTGTAACGAGTGTGGCAAGAAATTCCGCAATCCAAACGAAGCTGAATTCCACGCCACTAAATCGTGAGTATAATCCAATAATTACTTCTATTGGTAGATAGCCAGTAACGGAGTTATGATTAAACTAATTTAAATTTTAGAGGTCATACCGATTTCGCCGAGTCCACTGAGGAGATTGCCCCTCTCACTGAAGAGGAGAAGAAGAAGAGACTTGAAGAGCTCCGGGAGCGTGTTAAGGCCAAGAGAGCCGGCCAGGCCGAAGTGGACAAGGAAGAGCAAAAGCGAAATGAGGTAAATCCGAGTCAAGATAGTCAGCTAAGTCATTGCATATTCACTAATATTCGTGTAGAAAATCCGCCAAAAGGCAACGAGAGAGTCCCACGAATTGAAGGAGGAACTTCAGCGTAAGGAGCAAATGAAGGAAGCAGCCAAGAAGCGACAAGAGAAGCTTGATGACATGGAAGCTAAGAAGCGCATCAAGGCCAAGATCGAGGCTGATAAGGAGGAGCGTCGTCGCAAGGCAGAGGAGGCGAAGGCCGCGAGAGAGGGCCGATCCGTCCCTGTTCCCGCTGCCGCCCCGACACCCACTCCGGCTGCTACCCGACCTGCTGCCACTCACAACGAAACCCGCCTAAGACTACAAACATCTGGCGGCAATGTCATGAAGACATTCCCGGCGGATACTACCCTTTTTGAGGTTGCACAGTCGCTAGAATCGGAGAACGGGCTTACCGTTACCAAATTCATCCAGAATTTTCCCCGAAAGATTTTCGAAGGAACTCTCGATCTCGGCAAGACTCTGAAGGAAGCTGGATTGGTCCCTAGCGCTGCTCTTGTCGTACAATGAGCTAGCTGTTTGGGTTAGTTTCATGATTCTCATGAATGCATGACATGGCGTTTGGACTTGGCTTAGGAAGATGGAAAGGGGAATTCGTAGGGCGAATAATTCGTTTACAGGCAAGCATCCTTCACTAGGGGGTGACATATAAGTCCTGCAAGACATCGTACTAGGATCTCATAGCTTAGATCTAAGCTACTATCGCATTTCGGCTTTTGCTGCATAATGAACACTTTGCGGCGTAATGGACTCATAAAATTTGTTCTTTAACGGCTTCATCTGTAAAGCGCATCGTCATATTAACCTATGACTGAGTGAACTTTGCCCATGGCAACTTGATGTTGCCTCCTTCACGCCACACCAATGGTGTATGGAACCCCGGAACCATGCAGTGAAAGTACAAAGGGAAGGTGAGTATTCGTTGTCGTGGAACATATTTAGTCGAAAAGACCGAAGCCCATGTCATCGTCAGACTCTTCCTTCTCTGAGCTGGGTGTTAGCAAATTCCTGCGATGCGCGAGGTTGCGCTTGTGCGCAGATATAAAACGTACCTTCTTCCTTCTCTTCCTCCTTGGTCTCCTCAGCAGCAGCAGCACCACCGGCAGCCGCCGCACCGGGGCCAGCAGCAGCGGCACCGCCACCAGAGCCGACGTTTGATAGCAGGTCCTTCACATCCTTGCCCTCGAGAGCCTAAACATTTATTAGTGAACAGGATCCTTTCCTCCCAAATTCGGCTATTTAATTTATCGTACCTTAGCGATGAGTTGCGTCCAGATGGGCTCGACGTCGACGACCTTGGCAGCCTTTAGGAGGGTCTGGAGCTTGTCGGCCTGTGTTGTTGATATCATATTAGTATCTCTGCGCAGTGATCCGTATCGTATCTCCCAAATTCAAATTTGTAGGGAATTATTGGAGGGGTATAGGTCGGCGGCTTACAGTGATCTCGACACCATCATCAGCAAGGATGAGCGCCGCGTACGACGAGGCAAGTTCGGCAGTAGACATTTTCGTGGATTTGTCTTGAGTGGTAGGTGTGAAGTGGATGCGTTGTGTTGATCTGAAGGACACCTCGAAAATGAAGGTTGATGTTGGATTTGCGCTCGTGGATTATTACTAAAAGTCACTTTCAATTGACAATCCGAAATTTTTGGTGGGAGAAAGGTAGGGCTAGCACGGAAGGAAAATAAAGATTCCGTGCTTAAGATTCGGGAATGGTATTGATTGGTTCAAATTATAGTGAATTGTAGAGCCAATCAGAATCTTAGATCTTCAGCCCCGCAAGATCACCCGAGAAAACACTTGCAGTTTCCTTGAGTTCCGGTTATGATGAGCGATGAGCACACGACCCCACCTGCCCGCTTTAGCCTTTCAGCCCACTTTGCCTGCTTTGCACCTTGCCCACCTCTCAAGGGTTTGCGTCTCGTTGCCTCTTCCTCCTTTCCGGAAGTACCGTAGCAATCCTGCAGTGCCCTTTACTTATGTAGGACGTACCTGAATATACCAATCAGAAGCATTCTGGAAACCGTGGATTTTGGGCATGTGCTCCCAGAACAGTTTTGAAATATCTCTTTAGCTAACAATCTAGATTGTGTTTCCCGCAAGAACGAAACATTATTGGTTCTATTGGCACCACCTGCATTTCTAGTATCACGCCTGTGTTTCTCATATATTCAGCCATTATACAAAATTTCAATTTGACGAGCATTATTGCTAAGTGATCCAGAGGTTATCGACCTAGGACCCAGGTACTCCTCAATCATATACATAGGACCTAGGTGCCATTGGACAAAGAAGGAACCGGGAGAAGAAGAGGACTCCTCTATCTCTCTGTTCTTTATCCTTCCTATTTTCACAAGGAAATAACCCACACCCATCTCCAAGCTATCCTGAGCTCACAGCCTAAAATTCCTCAAATTGCCTTGAAGTCACTGATATGGAGACACCAAAGATACCTGGTCCGAAGGACCAACGGGAGAAAGATGTCCTCGAGAAATTAATAGCTATCCGCGACCAACTGCAGCTACGTAAACTTGATCGAACCACCTATGTTCGAACTCAAGATGTCATGGTCCTCTACGATCAGACTGTCGAGCAAGTCAGAATCCTAAACGAGTCGAGAGGCGGGAAGTCAACTGAGGAAAATCGAGGTACTGCGGAACTACTCTGAGCTTGTTGCGAGCGCTTGATAGCTGACTTGCATAATAGTGGACAGAGTCGTGGACAGCTGTTTTCAGCTTCTGTCACTCTTCTTCATGACGATCGGCCGAAACAACGAAGCTCCCGCCGCATATGCGCTGACGTCGACTATCAGACGACTCCTGGATCATTTAGCCGAAGCTAACCTATTCTGCGTCCAAGACCTCGAGAGCATGTCGCAAACGCTCGAGCATCTGTCGGAAATCGTACACAACTCTGCCAGCACGAAGCCTTCCCCGTTCCTCGAAACATTGATTGCGCAACGGATAGAGCGATGTCGGGCGTCCTTATCAGTTCTACAGAGGAAAACCGACGAAATAGCCGAGCCTCTACGGCCAACAGCGGACAAGCTTGTCTCCATACTAAGGCAGATGGCTGTGGTCAATACTAAGTCTAAGGTATATTCTTCATCCATCCTTGTCTTATAATATACTCGTAATGCTGATAGTCTATCCCAGTTCACACCATCGGAGATACTTAAGCGCGAAACGGAATTGAGAGAGATTGGGGAGAAGCGGAAGGATGGACAGTTTGTTGACGCTGATGGCAACGTTCTAAAGGGCAGCGAAACAATTTCGGGGCTTCTAGATAGATGCTTAACGTATACAAAGATCGTTCTCGAAAGGTACGTCGCGCAACTTTTTTCTATCCAGTTATAGTAACTAATGGCATGCAAAGAAACGGTCAATTTCCGGAGAAGTGGAAGCCAACCTATGACGTACTTGTTGGTATTAGGAACGAGCTTGACAAACTTTCGTTGACCCAAGCATGGTCATTGCGAGAAACTGATTTATACGATTACCAACGGCAACTTGACAGGATTGATGAGAGTAGAGTAAATGGTAATTGGGTGGATGACCAAGGACAACCAGCCGAGCTATACGTCCAACGGGTATGTTCTTAAGCCAGCAAAATTATTACTAAAGTACAGAATACTTCTGCTAACACTATCCTAGACTCTTCTTTATCTAATTAGAAGAAGCTACGGTTATATCTACCATCTTATGATATCATCGGAACCTGTCTCTGAGGCTCTTCTACCGATATACAATCAACTCCAAACCCTTAAGCGCTGTCTCGTCGAGGTGAAAAATAGTGGAGGAGTAACCTCAGTGAGGGAGCTGTACCCTTATAGCATGAAGCTACACTCGATTGACAATATGAGAGTCGATGGTAAATTCATGGTTGGGGAGGATATACCTGAGGGGCAAGGTAGCGTGGCTGAATTGTTGGCCGAATGCTTTGACCTGAACTACGAACTTCGGGTAGCTGCGGAAGCGGCCACGGAATCTTCGACTCCAGAACCGCAAACAAAGTCAGAGTCATGAGCATGAGCATACCTACCTAAGTAAGTTTATCATGTCTAGGAGTTTTTAAGTTTATTGGGAGGTTGACTTGTCTTGTCTTGTTTAGACAGACATGTAAATGGATTTGGGGTTGTATGATTTAGTCTAGTTTTCAGGGGAGCACCATTGTTGTATTCTATCTAGTATTGGAACGGGGCACATCCAAAACGCGACAAGGGGTGGCTAGGAGTAGCCGTGAGTATTAAATATGTGTAAGCTATTGATATGGATCGAATATATCAAGATCAATACCCTTTACAGGGAACATCTAGTCTACCTAGTAATTATTCGTAAGATCCAATCATCGTCCCATCGGGGCTTATTACGGCAATCAGGGGTATCTGAATGCAAACTTGGCCTAAATAGACATTTTTAATTAGTACAGCTACGGCGAATCCGTTAGGTATAAGTAACGCCGGTGCATACCGCTAAGATGAGGGCCTAATGTTGATTATTAGTAACGGGTCTGTCTATTGTGACAACAGATAAGTAGGTGGATTTACATTTTCAGTATCCCAAACTCCAGATTTGGTATAAATATCTTTCTCGATGATAGCCTTGACTTCTTCCTTGGATTCGGCAACAACCACTATTGTGCTGCCGTACCAGTCCCAGGTAGAGGGGTCATCGCTTTCGGGTTTATCTTTCAGGACGGCACCTTCATACATAATACTTAAGCTAGGTACTTCAACACCCACACCGGGCGAAAGGAAAACTCCAAGAGGATCATGTTAGGTAGCCGTACCTCCTGTCTTAAACTGCTGAGATTCGACGTATGGCTTTAGGCCGGCAAAGTGCTGACTGGTCGACGGGGTGTTACGTGTAAGCCAAGTCTCATGTTCTAACTGCTAGAGGGATGCGAATTGTTGCGGCTTATTCGCCCGACTCACGCGCGCACATCAATCCTCTTCTGCTGGGTCCCCGGCTTATCGGGGATGACGACAAGCCACTCGAACTTGCCGGGAGGTGGGGTCGTGATAGTCGCCATTTGCGTCTTGATGGGATTTCGAGTGAATCTAACGGTGTTGGGTTGAACTCTGGCGGATACTGGTTGGAAGAGTCGGCGAACTACTTTGAAGCAAGAAGCCATGAGAGAACGGTCGAGATGCTTACAGGCTGATCAGAGACTATATGTATGTCTTCGATTACGCCAACGTCGTGCTCTGATATTTGCCGGTGTTTTTGTCTCCGAGGTACGATCGATCTAAGGTAATTAGAACCTTGGAAGGCGTGCGTACATGTACGTGTGGAGTACAAAGGGCGTAAATGTACTTGGATGTATCCACATAGTATAGAAATAGCTTTTCAGGTCTAGTCTTACATCATTGAGGCTATTGAGGTTATGGGTGTATACAACGAAGGTACTTAGCTATAGTACTATGCAATACGGAATGTCATGCATAATAATAGTATAACTTGCGTAACTTCAAGGTTGCGTATATGACCCCTCATCTGGCACCCTCCTTCTCTTCAATATTCCCCGCATCCCTCCCTCCTGCCCTCTCACTTATCCATGGATGTGTCCAATAATGCAGTCAATTGCATTTTAGAAAGCAACCTTGCACATTGAAATGCCACACCTCTTCCCCCAATTTCATCATCGCCGTCTTCTTCTTACTCTTTTCCAACCAATTGGCAAATTCAGAGGGATTCTCGATTGCGACAATAAGAGCCTCCCTATTCCTTGCATCTCGTGTGTACTTTCCCCATTCTCTCACATGTCACGGCACGAGTCTTTTCCGTGCTTCCTCTATCAATCCCTTGGCTTTCCGGGCGTCTCCCGCCCTGCCACTTCGCCTTCGCTCTTAGCTCGGAAACAATAAACATCGTCCGAGTCCTGGCGAAGTCGCCTCACTTTTCATCTACATTTGTAGTTACTTAGATACTTATTATCCACGGCTGCTACGGCTCCGGGTGGGCGGTTATTGTGGATGTGACTATTAGTCTGGGCAATTGCTTTTATTATATGGTCCTATGCACATTGCACCTAGTACCCATGTACCTATGCAGCCATGTACGGGTGTCATGTGGGTGTCAGAAAGGTCAGAGAGAAGGACGACTTAAGGGCTATCATCGGCGTTTGTGTTGCACTTCTGTCGTCATCGTCCGATCCCATAGCCACCTTGGACCCTGAAAATATGATGTTGCCATGTTGCCGAGCTTCGGCGGTCTACACAGCCAGACAGCTAGCTAGCTAGCTACCCGAAAAGGTAGTTGCATCTAGCTGTAACCAGGTGTATCCCCCAAATTCCCCAAGCCTGGTGTATCATGACTATTTATTAATAAGGCTTGGTGGAAGCCTCGGCGCGAGAATGAGCTATTTTGTTTTGGCTTTTAAACGTGACCTGTTCCAACATTCCGATATAAAGACAAAGACTGTAGACATCCTTCACTAGCCGTCTACTTGAGTATATTACTTGCTCATACTCGTACTCTTTCCATACCTACATACACATATATCCATACATACGCACATCCACATATACTCTATACCTACCACTATAGAGCCAATTCTCAAGGGACGATACTTTTACGTCACAAACTCACTTGCTACAACACTTAACTTGATAGCATCCACAATGCTATCCACCTACCTCCAAAACGAGTCGCGAAGGTGGGCAGCTCAACACCACCGACAGAGCTACCCCGCTTCCGCATCTCCCTCCCAGAACGAGTCTAGCAACCTCTCTAGCTACGAAGACAGCGACTGCGATTCCGTCTTTTCGAGAACCAGCAGCCGATCTAGGAGGTCCTCGGTCTCGAGCATAGCGTCCGAGGACGAAGAAGCCCCGGTCGCCTTCGACCAGCCGCGAGATCTAAACGGCGCCCCTATCACCATGTACGCGTCGCTAGACCAGGCCGTGGCCCAGAGCACGCAGATGCTTGAAGCGGAAGGCCCGCGGCGGCTAGTCACGCCGGGGAAGCTATATGAGAACGAGGAAGACGATGATGAGATCATTGAGGATGATATGATGATGCATAAAAATAGCGGCAACATATCAACTCAGCACTACTCGGGCGGCCTTACCCACACCAGCTCCTCGAGCATGGCTGCCGCAGGCTGAGCAGGGGAATGCGAGACGAAAAGGAAAAAAAGATTAATCAAAAATAAAAAACGCGCCAAGCTCGACATTGTTCTATCATATTAATTGTATTGCGACAACGCACGTCTTGGCATAGTCTTGGGATTCTTGAGATTTGGGGGAATATTGATTTTTTTCGGTATAACTATAAGCCAAGACGAAAGCTTGGAAATAGGCGTTTCGGGGAACCTGTAGCGATCTACGATGGGAAAGGACGGGCAATGGTGGCGTTGTATAAGTTTCGGAAAGGGCCGATGCTAATGTTTTTTTCTAATGTGGAGGGTGCATGTGAGCAATCCAGGAGAATACCAAGATACCCAGAAATATGATAACGACGCCATCTCATCTCTATCGAAATTGATTTGCATTGTGTCTTCGTGCTTGCACTCTTAACTCGCTTCTCGTGTCTTAAAACAAAACAATTAAATCTAGGTGCTATGTAGCTTATACAACTTGGCGCACCCGCACCCCTAACCGATCTATAACTTCGTGCATGATGCCGTCGGTTTTATATGTATCTATATCTCTAAGCGTGTATCCTCTATTGTAGATATGCAATGTGATAACTGAAAATGGTCTCTAAAGCTTCGCTTTGGGCGACTCTTGTTTTTGCATCGTCTCTGCTACGATGCGCCTCTGGATCTTTCCTGTTGCGGTCTTAGGCATAATCTCAGTGAAGTAAACCTGTTCTCATAATTAGCTTCCCATCACTGTGCGCAAAGAAATCAAGACAGTTACAACTCACCTTCTTAGGCACTTTGAACTTAGCCAGTTTCTCATTCACCCACGCCTTCAATTCGTCTTGATTCAGCTTGGCTCCGCTCTTCAGCACAATGGCAACGCCGATGTCTTGGCCATAGAGGTCGTCGGGAATGGCAAAGCTTACGGCTTCCGAGACAGACGGATGCCTAGCCAATACGTTATCTAGCTCGATCGGGCTGATTTTTTCGCCGCCCTTGTTGATGAGCTCCTTGATTCGACCCGTGATAATGATATAGCCGTCCTCATCCTTCTTGCCCTGATCACCGGTACGGAAGAAACCGCCCTTGGTAAAAGCAGTTGCATTGGCGGTTGGGTTGTTGAGATAACCCTTAGTCACGTTCTCACCAATGATGCAGATTTCGCCCTCGCTACCTTGCGGTAACTCATCGCCGGCATCGTTGAGAATTTTAACCTCTACGCCTTGACCTAGACCAACAGTGCCGGGCTTTCTCTTTGCCGGGGGTAAGGGGTTAGACGTCATTTGATGTGCAGCTTCAGTCATGGCATACGCCTCTAACACGGGCGCCTTGAACTTCTCTTCTAGCTGATGGAAAACTGTTGGAGACAACGGCGAGGAGCAAGAGCGGATGAAACGGATATTTGGCAAGGGGCTTGGAGTTGGGTTCTTCAGTAGGATCTGATGTATAGTCGGTACAGCAGTATACCAATTCGCCCCATAGGTAGAGAAGTCCTGCCAGAAATCCGAAGCCGAGAATTTAGTCGGCACGATCATGGAGCCGCCGGAGCAGAGAGGAGCCAGGAGAGCGCAAAGAAGGCCGTGGACGTGGAAGAGAGGCATCACCAACATTGTCCGATCTTGCGCGGTAAGTTGATATGTGGATTGGATATTCCCTATATTAATAATTAGTACTATGTCACTTGTTACATGAGTCGAAGACTTGGTGACTTACTCATCGTCCTTGTTAAGTTGCGATGTGTTAAGGGGACCTATTAATTGGTTAGAAAGGGGCTGTGGGCAATATTCCGGGTTGTCTATAACATACAACTTTAGGCCGTGACGTCGTGCCACTGTATTGATATAAGTCAGATCTTGTACTAAAGCTGTATTCCCAACATTTTTTTGGACTCCGACGCTTACCTTGTGTGCAAGACCAACGCGACATCATCTGGTTGTGGTTGGAGTATGTTCTCCTTAGCCCGTCCCTTAAGCTGCCCAAAGTCCTTAACATCTAAAACCACCTCTTTTCTCACATTGTCCCAGTAGCACTCAGCAATTGCAGCTTTGAACTTGCGCGCGGCCTTGACAGATGGAGCATTGGCTTGGTATGCCCCCTTCGGCACAAGCACAATAGCAGACTTAATATCCTCAATATAAAATTCGAACTCCTCTTGCTTATAAGCCGGGTTCAGGGGGGCTGCAATACCGCGCTGCCACGAGGTAGCTAGGAACGAGACGATGAATTCGTACGAGTTTACCGTCGCGATCGAGACTGGGGAGCGGTGAGTAATACCGATTGCAGCGAGCTTGCGCTGGAAGGAGGAACATTCGGCTACTAAGTCTAGGTAGGTCGCCTTTAACGGAGTCGGTTTAGAAGGTATTACGACAGCGACGGAAGAGGCTACGCCATTAATCGAGTCCTTGAGAGTGGACATTTCGAAGTTTGGGTGTTTCTAAGTGAGGTCTAGTATTTGTATATTATATTCAATTGCTTGAGAAAAGTGTCTAAAGAGAACCCATAAAATAGAGAGACAAACTACAAAGAGTAGCTACGAGACATGAAATTAATTCTTAACGGGAAAACGGCAAAGAAAAAAAAAGCTGAACGAATTTCTGTGACGAAACGTATGATAAGTAAGATCCCTGGATCTGCGACTCCGGCAATATCAATGCAAGTTTGAGGTTGTTGCCGCTACGTACCTACATGTATTATGTACATAACTGTTGATACAGCAATCTCCATCCAACCATAGACTGACCCTTGGAAAGCACGCACCTCCAGGGCGGGTTGCGCTAAAACTACACTAGCCAATTAGTGCCAATGACCCAAAAATTAGCGGGCATGGCGATATGTAATCCCTGTAATTACAGAGCTTCTAGTGAAAGCTTCGCCTAAACCGAATCTTGAACTTCAGCCTTCTCGTTAGCCTTGTCAAGAAATACAGCTAATTGTTTGGCTTGCTATTACACGGTCTCTATTCTTAATTTAACGAGAACCTCAAGCACAAACCAGTTATAAGAGCTATTAGCACTCTCTTAAACATGGCAGGTCAACAGCCGCCGCGAACAGGTCTGTCCCTGTACGCCAATCTTCTTGAGCCAGAAGGCGATTCAACTGCTTCCATATCCCGCGGTCCAGTCGTGTCGCAAGAAGCACTTGACGCGGTAAAGGAGCAGGAAGCCTCTAAGAAGCCTATCGATTCCGCTCTGCGCTTCCAGCCGCACCCCCAGATCCGGCGCCCACAGCAGAAGACCCAGAAGCCTAAAGCGAGTTTCCCGAAAGCGCCTCTTGCTCCGCCTACCGCCCTAGATGTCGCGAGTCCTGGAACAGCTCAAGCCCCGTCAAAAAGCCGGCTAGCAGATTGGGCGCCCACCGAGGAAGATGAGTTCATGTACGGATTAGGGGAGAAGAGGGCGCGTGGCGGGCGGAGGAAGAAGAAGAAGAAGGAACGAGAGATACCCATCGAAACGGACTGGGATGAGATTTACGACCCCTCCAGGCCTACGAACGTAATCGAATACTTACGGAGCGATGAGCGAATTAGAGAGGTGCGAGAATGGAAGGACTTGCTATACAAGCACAGGCGACGCGACGACGATAGCGAGAGGCGGGGAAGCTGGAGTAGCGAAGAGGAAGATGCCAGGCCAATACAGAGTGAGTTGAACGATGAAGCACACACCCTAAGATTATATCTTACTAACCTATATATCTTCGGTAGATCAATTTGCGCCTCCTGATTCCTACTCCTTCGCACCGCCACCACCTTCACCTCCACGAGCCTCAGTACCGGACGACAAGACCGGCGACGACGCTTACGCGCGCCGTCTAGCCTTGTCACAAGGAAATGCCCCTCCACCGCCGCGCTCGCCATCACCGCCCCCGCCACCTCCTCTACTAGCGGCTCCTCCCGAACCAGAAGCTCCAACCATATCACGTGCGCCAGTGCGCTACACGGAGTCAAAGCCAGCGTCCGAGTCCCGTGCGCCGCGCGACCCAGACGCCATGGATGAGGACGAGGACGAGTACGTGCCGCCGGAGCCCGAGGCCGAAGAAACGCGGAGCAGCCGGCCGGGCCAGAAAGGATTCGCCGCGCGTCTCATGGCCAAGTACGGTTGGTCGAAGGGGCAAGGTCTGGGCGCTGAAGCAAGCGGGATACTACAGCCACTGCGCGTGCAGGTCGAAAAGCGGAAGAAGAAATCAGACGCGGAAGGCGGCGGGTGGGCCGAGCCCGGCGGGAAGGGGCGTATCATCGGTTCCAAGACCGGCACGGGGACCCAGTCCGAGAGCAGTGGCGGCAAGTTTGGGTCTATGAGCAATGTCGTCGTGCTGCGGAACATGCTCGATGGCATGGAGGATTTGCAGGCCGAGATGGAGTCCGGGCTAGGTCAGGAGATCGGCGAGGAGTGCGGAGACAAGTATGGCCGTGTTGAGAGGTTGTACATTGATGTCGAGGGCCGGCGGGTATACATCAAGTTTACGGACCAAGTTTCCGCTCTAAGGGTAAGTGTTTTCTTCCGTGATCACTCTACACGATTCCCTATACTCCCTTGCCCTTGTGTAATAATGTTCTAGTAAGGGATAAATCAAGTTATGTTATGCTAACGATTATGACTACGATACAGGCAGTAAATGCGCTAGATGGCCGCATATTCGCAGGCAACACGATTGAACCTCAATTTTACGATGTCGATAAGTTTGAGAGAAGAGTCTATGAGTAGATAGAACAAGTATTGGAATACGAGTGGCTACCTTAGAAACCGCCGGAAAAGGCGATGGCTGACCCCGGATCCGCTGTGATATCTAGTTAATTTGGGTAGTCATGATAAATACCTACCGACATAGTAGACCTATTTCGTTGCTGCTTTTGATTTGCTTTTCCATTTGAACAAGAGCGACATTAGTAACCAGAGTATATCAACTTACTATATAAACTAAAGGGTAATGTGAGCAAGAACTTGAGCACAAATTACGCAAAGCAATACTACACATGCGAGAAATACTTCCTTATGTTGGAGTTACTATACATGGCTGGATATAGAATGATTTATTAGATTAGGTATTAAGTAGATTACAAAGTAGGTTATTATGATTGCGATATTCCTTGGTGGTAGGCAAAGATTTACAGCATTCTACCAGTTTTTATGCCAGATCATGGTCACTTCCAATTAGTAGCCTCTGCACTATGACTACGATGATAAGAGTTCCGTAATTATACAGGACAGCAAAGTACTACAAATTGACGAGGTACGTAAACGCCTATCAACAGAATCACACCAGAATTGTGAGAGTCATGTTCCAAGTAGCACATGCATCAGTATTAAGTCTAGCGGTTCCTTATACGTAGCCCTAGTCGCAAACCGCGACCAATGAAATGACAACAGGTTTTATGACTCTGGAAAAGGGAATGTCGAGAAACGCCACCATCTTCTCCCATCATGTTCTTCCACCATGCTCCAACACCCAAAAGTCCAAACCTATTACAAGAGAGCGGCAACGAAAGAGCCAAGAGCAACCAAGGTGTAGAGAGCAGGCATGCTGGTCCCGAGGCCAGTGGCAGCGTTCTTGTTGTTGCTGGTGCCGTTGGAGGAGCCGTCGCTAGAAGCGTCAGAGGTGTCGTCGTTGGCGTTAGCGTCCTTGCCTCGGCAGTTGTAGTCGCCCTGGACAACACCGCCCTTGTAGCTACCGAGGGTGGTGCAAGAGCTGGAGATATCCTCAGTGCTGACAACCTCAAAAGCACCCTTGACGTCCTTCAGACCAGGGAGCTGGACATCGGTGAAGGAACCTCGGACCTTAACGGCACCGCCAATCTCGTTGAGGGAACCGAAAGCATCGAGCTTCTCCAGAGCAGTGTTGTTGGCAATGGTGAAACCACCACCAATGCTCTCAAGCTTGGGGATAGAGATGTTGGTGACCTGGGGGTTGCTAACGAAAGATAAATCACCGGTTTGGATCTGAGTCAAGTTGGCGGCACTGAAGGTTGTGAAGTAGTTGGAATCGAAACGCATTGAGCCGTTAACAGTGTGCAGAGAGGGAACTGAGAAGGAGGTGACGTTGGCAATTGTCATGTTGGCAATCCACTCCAAGTTGGGCATCTCCATGCTAAGGTTGAGACCGTTGGCTTGCACGTACAGAGTGTTAGACAAGCTCTTGATGCTGGTCGAGAACTTGGTCAATCGTCGGTTGTTGTTGATGTTCATGTCAGTAAGAGACTCGACGTTGATGCCGTTAATGCTCTCAATGAAGGTATCGGCGATAGTAACACTCTTCGCCTTGGTGATACCGGGGTTGCCGAAGGTGGGCTCAGGAAGAGCGTTCAAGGTGGCCCAGTCAATGGAGCCAACCTCACCGAGGGCTGGGAAGCTGAGGGTAGAGAGCTTGGTGACGTTCTTCAGAGCGAAGGCACCGCCAATGGTAGTTAGGGAAGAACTCTTCAAACTGTTGAGGAGACCGTTGTTCTCGGCCGTCAGAGAACCACCAATCGACTCTAGGCTTCCACTGAGATCGATATCAGGGCCGGCAGTGGTGCCGATTAGGACGCTACCCTTGATAGAATCACACTTGGCAACCTGGGTGGCATCGGCCGCAGACTGGATCGTAGCGGTCGCATCGTTACATCCAACACCGAACACGCCTATAATTTCTTGTCAGAACGAATGCTTATATGTAACACCGCGAAATTTAACTTACCGGACGCCATGCTGAGCGCCGTGGCGGCAGTAAGAAGCTGCTTGCTGAACATCTTGCCTAACTGTATAGGAAAACTGTTAGTTATAACTGGCTATTTAGACATATGTTAAGAGCCGAAAAAGAAATAAGTATTCGTCCTCGATAGTCAACTAATTGGATGTCCCAACGCGACTGAGTTGAATAGGCGAGAAGCTCAACCCAACACTGTCCTCCGTTAAATAAAATATTCCATGGCCCTCCGAGCTTGAAATTGCCAATTGGCTTGGTCAAGTGATGAAACTGTGGCCATCAGGAAGTCGCGAAATAGGATGATTGAGAAGGCGCATGTACAGTCATTGAGTGACTGTAGTCGACGGTGGTTGGACCCGTTTCCATCATTCATATACTCTTGGTAAACTTGACTCCATGTTGCTTGTGTTTGTGTTCCATAACCACCCGTAATCGCTTCGCTTGAATCCCGATTCCACAACTTCAACTTGCAGTGAATTGACAGATACGACGCGTAATCCCTCTCATGTGTATTAAACATCACAACACTAACGCACCCCGGACAACAAGCCGACGTCCGAATGGATGGTAGTATTTGGTAGTCGACATGAATATGTCGTGTTCTGTCATATGCGGGCCAGGTAATCCAAACCCAATTGGAAGTGAAAGGCGCTGGAATCGAGATAATATCGACTCCCGGTATTATACAATTTCGACGTATCGAGGGCTCCGGTTCCTAGCTGGGAACATTCTAAAGTGGAAGAGTAGAAAAAGTTATGACTAACCTGCTAATATTCTCAAGATTCGATTTTCAGAAACCCAAGATATGAGAATTAATACCCTCCCAAGTACCTTTCGACGCGGGTAAAGGATTATGTTGGAACGTTGTGTTGCTTTGTTGATCGATTTCCGATGTTACGAGTGAAGGTGGTGTTTTGTTATTGGTTACGAGGGAAAACGGAGAGATGAACTCTGATGTGAGCGGTAAATATTAAAGGTAGGAGGAAGTTATTGAGCGAGTGCTCTTCCTCTTTTACTGGGAATATGGACAAACGAATGAATCCGAATAAGAAGGAAGAGGAAGGTTGAGAAAAAGTGAGTTGGAGGGAAAGTCAGGGCAAGAAAAGGCCGAAACGTTTTGGAATTCGACTTTTGATGGATGGCGTGGCTTCCCTGGCAGTAGGGGGGGTGAGAACAGGAAGGGGAAGGGGGGATCAAGTGGATTCGTTAAGGGGTAAAGACGTACAGTGCGCATACGATTAGAAGGTGCGATATCGAACCAGACTTGCAAGACCCAATTATAAGTTGATAAGGACCGGAGACACAGGCCAGAGGATCTTCATCAATTTTAAGCAAGCAATGAGTCTTGGCAACGATGAAAGAGGAAGAGAAAAATAGAGGGCAACATCCGGAGCTAAAGTACCTTTAGATCTTTAGAGGCTTAAGCAACATTTTCCTACTGCTTTTTTTTTCACCCTTTTTTTCTCTTTTATGATAAGAATTGTCTTTGTATTCCGACATATTCGACACGCGGAGACACAGCAAATACGGCAAATTCATTATGTATGAAAAACGCAGGTGTTCGTATTTCTAGTCGTCACCAAATGCACAAGGTCGTCTTCTCACCTTATCATCACACCTGTCTTTCATGCCATTGGAAGAACAAGCAAGACTTCTCCAAACTTTTGCAAGCCAGGCATGCCGGACCTACGTACATAGGTACAGACGGTCGTAAACGATTGATCCATGGATCGTACAGGTGTCCAAGAGGTGTGTCCAAGTGGTGTCCAAAGACGACTCTTGTAACAAGGATAATACCGTATTCGAGAGAAACACAGTGTCGCAGTTTTCATATCTAAGCAGCTAAGTCGACCAATTGGCGAGATTGGATCCTCATTTTCGAAGGCTTAGTTTGGTAAAAGCAGGGAATCGCTGCAAGGTTTTGCGGCAGCACTCCATTCTCTCACAAATCCACCTCGGAACATCCACCATATTAAAAATATACATGGTACCTATGTACATGCCTTGCGTATTGACATTCATATGCGCCACTCTGTAGGATGTATGGGTGTATCTATTTAGCTATGGCCACCGGGCTGATCTGTGACTTATGATCTTCTCATACCCGGCGATGCCTTGCTGGAAGAGTCCGTCATCCACCTTTTGACCTTGGTATGATTCTAGAATTGTTTCCGCGTAGTTTCAAGTAGCACTGTTCCAAGTTTATAAGATCTGGGCAACCAGCAGAGAAAACGAGGCAGACTTGACAGCTCCAGCTTCAATTCATAGCTTGTAGCTTCCAAGTTGTAAATAAGTATGTAATATTATGCCGAACTGCTTCTTACAACCATATGTACAACTTCTAAGAGCAAGCTTATAACATTGAACAGTAGCACCAGAGACGGTGACGGCATACCTATACCTAGGTAGTTACAATGCTAATAGTTACGATGCTCATCTTGTGCATATAGTCTGGATTGATGCATACCCGCCGTCGTGTCAATCTCCGGTACGCGGTGCGCGGTGTAAGTTAACAGGCTTTAGCTCACACCAAAGATTACCGAACACCCACAAACCCCGTACAGTATATGTTCAATCCTGTCAATGTTGGTAGTAGCTCACATGCAAGCTCGTAAGTCAACATTACCTTACCTAATAAATGATAATTGATATTTTGCCCATTTGCATCGGTTAGGAGTAAAATTTTAGAATACGGCAGTACGGTTGGTTCGGTCAGGATCTGTGGCGTGTTGGATATAGAGTAATATGTAAATGATTCAAAGTCCGGGAGCACCGCATATATATTTGTTTGGAATTGCTATGCATCTGTTTTTTTATTTTATCATTTTTATTCCTTTTATACTACTAGTTACTACCAGTTACGACTTAGGTTTCTAATCGTGTCAACCGATCGACTCGGCTTTGGAGTCTCTTTACGAAGTTTATGGCGGGTTTAAAAGTAACGATTGGTTACCATCTCTTTTCATTCAAAAGAATATCTCGATTTAACAGTCAAAGCTTGAGCATCGTTCAAGGAAGATCCATCTTCCAATCCAGCCAACGGCGCGGCCGCGGGTGTATTTGATCTGCATCCATCCAATACCGTTCGATACCACCCAATTATTTCCCACTATCTCAGGTACGCCGGTACGTGCGATAGATGTACTCTGTATATCCCTTGATATGTGTAATCAATGCACCCCCACCCCTCTTTTTTAGACCGTGTATGCATCAATTAAAATGGGTCTGCTTTATTTTGGTACCTGGTAAGCAATGCAGGATGCGACGATGCATCGGCAATGTTAGCTACACAAAGTAAGAACCTTCAACTCTTTACCCTAAACTGGATTAAGAAGAATATTGAAGTCCCTATTTATCATAATAATAATAGACCTGTTTCCCACTTGACTATCAATTTTAGACCACCGGGGGCATCAGGGCATCTCCTCTCGTTGACGACTGGAATAACGCAATCCAGTGAAAATTCGTGGCGAAGAAGACCAATGGCGCTTTATATTCAGCTCCCCTCAGTGGCCACGCTGACGCGTCACGATACCTACAACTAGATTTTGGAGTTGGTTGAACAATCGAACACGAGAAAAACATCATGATTCTTTTTTCGTATTGATGAGCAGTCGAAACGCCTTCTCTCGGCAAAATCCCGCACCACGGCAGCACGGCAACCTGTCAATATGTCAACATGACAATTGTCGACCGACGGAATGAATTGACAAGTTGTTCCCATTTGCTAATCGCACGCGCCTCTGTTGCTCATCGTCCAGATTCCACGTTCTGCGACAAATTCGTCGACTAGCGGCCTCTTCTCCTAGTCCGAACTGCGTCATCGACCAGCATTTCAAACCCGATCTCTATGATCTACAACGGCAATTTCACTAGCGTGAATACATCTACACAATCAGATTCGACAATATTCTGAACCTGTGATAAACCTGCAGTATGCTAAAGTTTCAAATCGGCAATAGTTCGAGCTATCAAATATTTAAACCTACTAGCTGCTCATTTCTCTCTCATTTCCAGCTGAGAGGAACCGCTTGACAATTTTTATTGTCTAAGTAAGGGATGCCAATCACACGACTTGTTTTCACGGCTTATTACGTCCGCAATACATCTCCCCGTACGGATGCACGCATTACCTCAACGCTCCGACCTAACTAGGTAGGTTTCCGACAACATCATATATATTAGCTCTGCCTCGTTCTCCAGATATCATTTGTGGAAGCTCATCGTGCGTGTAATCCACTTTTCCACGCTGCTATATCTACAGAATCAAGGTCGCTCGCCTAAATTAACTAGACGCCAATGTTACACGCCGAAGGATGATCATAACTACCGGCAAGTGCCCAGTTGCCTAACTTCGTGGCGTCTTGGATGGCTTTCTTGGGAGAAGATTGGTATTTTCCACCTCTCAGTCAGCTACCTGGATGAGTGTAAAACTCGGCACTAGGTACCACTACATTCGACAGAGTATCACAGCATCACCAGGGTGCCTCCCAGATTATGCCTTGGAACTTTTCAATAATGAAGATCATTTTTCCGTAGTGCAATTATAAGTCTTGTGATACCAGTATGACATGGCCCGCCTGCCTACCCAGTTAGGCAGTAAGAGTCAACGAGTGTTAGTAGATTATGGTTATTATGTAATTACTTTGAGAATGGTTGAACTCATTTATATACTAAGGTCGAACACCATGAGTTAAATACGCAATCATCATTATTGCATTTGGGCACCTTATTTCTAATAAGTTGAAAGTATAAGTGAATGCAGAATAACCCGCGGGTTGGAGCACACCATTTATTGAACATAAAACTACATCTTGAGTATTTCCTATGGCTTCAAATAGGGGTTTTGTCAAATCCGAGTATACCTATAGAGCCTTACTCCAGCGTAGCCACGTCGGTGTCTGAGGCTTTCCACATATACCACATAAAGACGCTTCTATAAGGAGCAAACCTATCTGATATCTCCTTCATCTCGTCTTCCGACATGTACTTCCATTTACCGCCCTTTTTCTTCAGTTTGGATACATCCCGTCCAACGAATGCGGCCATCCCCCTCTGTACGCCTAGGTCGCCGAGGGAGAAGATGTCCATCCTCTTTAGGCCGAAGCACGCGAACATCTCAACGGACCACTTTCCTAGCCCCCTCACGGCGATTAGCTTCTCTAAGACGACGTCGTACGATGCGTCCGCCAGGATCTGCGCGCTCAGCTCGCCGGTGGTGAATTTCTCCGCGAGCCCTTGCACGTACTCGGCTTTGCGTTGTGACAGGCCCGCCGTACGCAACCGCTCGATGGTGTACACCGCGACCTGAGATGGGTGCGGGAACTTGCCGTCGTTTTCGGCGAAGAGATCAATGAATTTCTGCTTGATAGATTTGGCTGCTGCCCCGGAGACTTGCTGCGAGATGATGCCGCTGCATAGGGCTTCGAAGGGGTCGATCTTCTCGCTCAAGCCCTCAGGAGTGAAGACTGAGCACTGATGCTTCTCTATCAGCGGCTTCATTCGCGCATCAACGCTTATAAGATGCTTGCACGCTTCTTCGAGGATATCGGTCGTGGTGGTCTCACCAGCTGATGTCGAGGGAGGGATGACCCTAGTTATGACTCGGGATGTCTCTGGCGAGAGAAGCGTTGCGTTGGTAGCGTTAGGATCTGCTAGCCGCCTCACAGCTGCCGCTTTTGGCTTCGGGGTCTCATAAGCTGTGGCGGGTTCACTAATCAACTTTGCACTGCTCGGTGTAGGCGTTGCTGGAGGATCAGCAAGTTTCCGGGCACGACGCCTTTTGGGAGTTGTAGGAGCATCCGGGGCCACATTTCCTTCTGGATTCTCTTTCGAGTCGTCCTCCTGTGACATGTCTGGCGCCGCTTTCCTTTTTCGTCCCCTCGGCGCTTTAGCAGCTGGAGCAACCGGAGGGGTAATCGTGGTATCTTGTGTTGCAGATGCCGCTGCTACCCGAGCCGATCTACGTGTAGCCATAGTTGCTACCTGGTGGCTCTTGAATGAAGATAAAGTCGGGCGTAGAAGGTGGTAGCCTTGTGGGAATGTATGTAAGTGCCCCTTGTGTCTACTGTTGCATGAGTATCGAAACCTCTGAGCTAAGGAATAGGTGATTATCTGATCTTTTCCGCCAATTAAGTACCTAATGGGAGATCGAGCTTTGAAGAAGAAGTTTCTATTACTTCGAAGAAACATGCGTAGTTCATAAGTGAATGATTATAGGTATAGTTATCTTTCCACATAGAATATGTGTGTAATTTAGATAACTGGTTGTTTTAAGTGAGAGGATCATTGACTGCGATTGACAGGGAACTGCTACAAATAAGCATCACAGATAGGACACGCCTTCCATATGAGATGAGTTAGTTGCAAAAAGAGGCAATTGAAAACCAGAACAACATATCGGAATTTGTCCCAAGGTTACGTATATATACATATACATTAATTACCAAATGAAGAATACCGCGTTCTATCTATTCAACCCGCGCCTTTGCTTTGTCATCCAGTTAGAGAGAGCGAGCGAGCCAATGAAATAGTTCGCATCTGACTCATTTAGCTTATGTAAAGAAGATATACAGATTAAATTTCTACATAGAGGTTGCTGCCTAGTTGCCTATGCGTTTATTGGAAGCTCATATAGAATATTAAGAATATCTCACGAACCTTAATTATGAATAGGTATTTGGTTTCGTACAGCGTATCCGATATTGTCAAAAGCAATCTTAATATTATGGTTTCGTAGTCAAGTAGCAACAATTGAGTTTTGAGTTAATGTCTAGATAAAAAACGTCCTTTTCCCTTTGAGGGTCTCGAATCTCTATCTCCACCTTCGTGACAATCCCGAGGTCCCTAGTAACTGCATCTGATCTCTTACCCGTCGTACCGGTTCTTCAATCATATCCATCAAGCTATAATGATTAGCATAATTACATGTAGGTTGTCGAAATAATTAATGGACCGATAGAAATAAGGTCAATGTTACATGGAGTACAGACCCTACCGGCAGCACACTGGTGTACCTACTGGCGTAATGGCGGAGTCTTAATAGAGCTGGGGCATAAATGGAAATTTCGCATGCAGCATGGCGTTTTCCATCTTGGCTATCTGTATCCAGCTGCCACTTACATAGATCGTCCAATATCCATCCAGCCATACTTACAGCCTGCGTTTATGTGCTCGGGGACCAAATTGTAAAAAAAAACATAAAAATTGGTTAAATTAGGGCTACTTATGGTCACATTATGCAACCTCGTGATTTATTTATTTTACTTTATCTACTAGGTATAATGCAATCGCTCAATTGAGGGCGTCAATGATCGAACTCCCCCTTTCATTTTTTCCCGGCATTCATGATGCCAGTGACTATCTTTTATGATATTCCCCATCACCCCTAAATTTTCGAAATAGGCGTCTAGTAAGCTACTGCTAGGTACCTACCTACGTGTACTAGGCTGCTAGGTAGGTAAGCACACGTAACAAAAAGACAGAAAGAGCATGCGCTTTTACTTGTAGACTTTTAAGATTAGTTACATCTAAGCTTAACATGCACATGAAATTGCGCAGCCTCATAGGGCACTTGGTCTACTAACATTAAACGCGATATGGCCGTGCTAAAATAAGTTAAATCTTGGATTTGTCGCGTCAGTGCACGAAGTACCCAGTTACTATTTTTATACTTCGCTTGCAATTTTTGCTCCGGGCAGCATTGGCCACTTCTTCTTAGCGTGTTAGCGTCAACCGTTCCCCCCCCTTCGTAAATTCATAAAGTTCACAAGATTTAGGTACTGCAAAGTTACTCCACCCCTAAAACAGTCTGTTCCAGTGAATCTCAAGGCGCTAGGTTCCAAACTTTGGTGTTACTAAACAGCCCAGGCCAGCTTTCGTGTCGTCCAGCCCATTTGACTTTTGACTTTTTGAAATTTCACCACAACTGGTTCGTCCAATTTGACTCCGTCCGCGCCAATTCATCCGTCAATCCCTGGTGCCTTTTTTCTATTCTCACATTTCAGGGACAGCTGCGATAGAAAAAAACCAACGATTTTTCCCCTTCCCCTGCGCATCTGACCGGCTTGATAACTACACTCGCTAATTTAGTAGATCTTTTTTTTTATTCTCGCTCGTCTACTTCCTCTTTCTAATCTTCATATTATCGTACTATTCATTATCCAAACTACGATAATTCAAACGAGGTTGGCCTAAAAACGAACGAGAGGCTACTTATCATTCGCCTTGGAACTTTAAACTTCCTTTCGTTTGCTTGTTATTGCGCATCGTTGGGGTGGTGTCGAGGGCCACCCGAAAGCTCGCCCACTATGCTTCTACCTAAAGGTGGCATCACCTGGAAATCTGCCAAGGCACAACTTCCTCCTACCAGAGCGATATGGGTCTTTTTAACAAGAACACGAGTTCTCCTATCTATCGCTGTAGCTGGCATCATCTTATTACTATGGCGCGGCATCAGATCCTCGGCTAGTGAGATGCAAAGGTATCTTCAATTTCGATAATCATCCCAAAACGGATCTTGCTAACCTTAGCCTTTCTAATAGCTTCTACTGCTGGGGTCCCTCAAAACCGCCAATGGACATGACCCTCAATGAGCAACAGGCGTGGAATGCTCATTTACAAACTCCTGTCATCTTCAACCACCACGCTCCGATCACGATCAACGAGACCTCGATATCGCACGTCAATCTCAATGGAATCAGATCAACGCGCCAGGCTATCGACAACGAAGAACGAGTTCTCCTTCTTACCCCCCTGAAGGATGCTGCGCCGTATTTGTCCAAGTACTTCGAACTTATTGCCGAGTTGACTTATCCTCATCGCCTCATCGACCTCGCATTTCTAGTCGGAGATTCCACTGACGACACTATGGGCGTATTGGCTATGGAACTAGATCGCATCCAGAAGCGCCCAGATAATATCCCGTTTAATAACGTTCTGGTTGTGGAAAAAGATTTCGGTAGCCATCTCAGCCAGTCTGTCGAGGATCGGCACAGCTTTGAGGCTCAAGGTCCGCGACGGAAGGCTATGGGTCGTGCTAGGAATTATCTGCTATCTGCCTCGTTGAAGCCGAATCATTCCTGGGTCTACTGGCGTGACGTTGACATTGTGGATAGTCCTAAGAAGATTCTAGAGGATTTCATTGCACACGACCGAGATATTCTAGTTCCTAGTATGGTTTGCACCCTTAAAATAACAAGACATTCTGCTAATAGGTACCAGATATCTGGTTCCACCGTTACGAGGGTTACGGCGACAACAAAATCGATATCGAAGGCAGATGTAAGCTTGCCTCCTAAAGCTAAATCTATAATATTATAGATACTGTAGCTAACATCATATACTTAGTCGATTACAACTCCTGGGTCGAGTCCGATAAGGGCCTGAAGTTAGCCTCTAAACTAGACAAAAACATGGTTCTAGCAGAAGGTATACAAGTCGCTCTCCAACGGATCTTGATTAATTACTAATGCGGTACAAAAAGGTTACAAGCAATATGACACCGGTAGAACTTATATGGCACGGATGGGTGACTGGCGAAACGATCCTGACGAGGAAATCGAACTCGATGGTATTGGTGGCGTCAACATCCTAGTTAAAGCCGATGTCCACCGATCAGGTTTGTTCCACACGTTATTCGAAAACTTATGATCCCAACAACTAATGCCAATCTCCGCAGGTATCAACTTCCCATGCTATGCATTCGAGAACCAGGCCGAGACGGAAGGTTTCGCGAAAATGGCCAAGAGAGCAGGCTACGAAGTCATTGGCCTGCCCAATTATGTCGTCTGGCATATCGACACAGAAGAAAAGCCGGGGAACGCATAAAGTAGTGTTACTCAGCTTTTCGAAAATCATGCCAATTTTCTTGTCTAAAATATCTGCACTCCTTCGGTCATTCGATGTCCGGATGGGACAGGGGACATAATACTTCTACGAGGATCTCACGACACGCATACAACAGCTGCATCAAAAATATCAGATTCGTCAGGCATGTTGGGCAAAGAGGCGTTGGGGACGGGTAGGGCATTAATTCTCACGCCATTGGCCTCGTTTTCTTTTACTTTTCTCTGGCATAGCGTTCGAAAGGGAAATGGAAGTCCGGCTACTCATACCAGTACACCCACCTCATCCTTGAGAACCTCGACCTCGAGCTCCCCTCAAGCCCCCACCCTCAAAATCGACTCTGCCGTCTTGTCACCTACTTCTCACGTCGATGTTCTTTGCGCCTTACATATTCATTGGTTGGTTGGTTGGTTGAGCTGGATGGACTTCTATCTTGTCGTGCTTGGGAAAGGGCACGATGGCAATGTTATGATCGGGGCGTTGTGAACTTCTGCTATAATAGAATTTGGCTATTCATGATGTCCTGCATGGATTTGGAGACAAACGAGGGCGCACAGTTGTGTGTACCCGTTTAGTCGCGCTGTATGGAGTTTTGTTGGTCAACTGCCGTCGTGACATGTCACCGGCAATATAGCAAGTACAGAGTTGGGATAGCCGCATGGACTTGCAATCTTGAAGAGTCCGTGGGAGATCGGAACGGCCATAGTGGACACCAGGGCAAAACTAATATATACAATCTGTTGCATAATCAACCTTTTCTTACGTTTATGTCTAGTCATATTATGACCTGTCTGACCTTTATATATCAGCATACTACTTATCGGCGGGCATATATTCAACCAAAAGATTTGGTCATGATCATAGCTAACATGCATAGTACTAGATAGTTGCCAAGTATGGGATAAGTTTATGAAAGCATGAGCTTGTAGGTTCATCTATGTATGTAGTATCTGCATTGTAGTATCTGCATTGCAGTTCACCGAGCCAGGTCCCAAATATGGAGTAATGTGAGCCGTCAACGCCCGGACTAGAATCGTACGGCTTCGGTGAAAGGGGGAAAAGGTCTAGGCACATACAGACACGATGTGGCGTTCTGTGATGTTCAAATTATTGCTACACCTGGACTCTACTGCTGGCGAGCCTGTCCAACCATTTTATTCCTCTTTTTAAAGCAAGTTTTATGGTACAAGTTTGCTGTTATGCTCGTCTGGTTTAATTTGCACCCACTCAGTTTAATGGCTTCGAATAACGGTCATGGAATCCAAGGCGTCCTTCTCCTTTTCTTCAGCGTGGATCTGATCGATCAATGGTTGTAGATAGGGAACATCCTATTCCATCCGTTTTATCAGCATTTGCGCCACCAGGATATTGAATTTTTGGTATGTCTATTATAAGAGTAGATGTTTTTTTGTTTGACATACCTCGCTATCCTTCGTCCATTCCTCCTTGGGTAGCAGTTTGTGTGTGCAACTGCATTGGAATGCACGTCGAAGTCGGTATACACGATCGTAGGCCTCTTTCGGCGGCAGGCGCTTCAACGCCTTAATGACTCGCTCATCCTCCTCGCAAATCAGGTCATCAGCTCTGCAAATGAGCGCATTAGCAAATTTCAATCCATCCATCTTCGTTTCGGATCGAAATGGGCGTACCGAAGACCAAGCTGGCGGTAGCCGGCGGCATTGGAGTACCAATTGGCGACAGGCGTGAGCAGCTTCGTCAGCCACGGTCGCTTGATTATGAAAGGTGCGAGACTCGGGTAGGTGGACATGGTGACAATCGGCGCAGTTTCAGCGGTAGTAAAAAGAAGCTGTTGCGAGTCGTAATATCGATCGTACAATTGGTACGATTTTAGAAGAATTGATGTTCCAAAATGGCTCTTCGGGTTCCATCATATCACGTGATTAACCGTGCTCGCCCTGTTCTCCCGTACTCCGGGAATTTGGGGCTTGGGGGGCTTGGGGCTCGAGCTTCCTCCACTTGGATCGTTAAGATCGTTGTACCAGACCCTAGAAGTGACATCAAAAGCTGTGTATTCATTTGCGGAATTTCGATGGTTTTCGATGATTTTTGATGTCATTGTCACACTACAATTTTATTTGTTCATAAGTCGACTCAAGGTAATCTGACTCGGATTTCCTTGTCGTGAAACTTTGATATAATTATGGCATTCAGGTTTTAATGACTTAGTGTCTCTTAATTGTTCCTAAGCGTGATACTTTCGAGGTGGACTTATTCAGGAAGTGACCTCGTGCCTCGAATGCGCGATTGCATAGGTACATAGGTACCCCTACAAAAGGAAAGTACGGTGCTGGTGCAGGGTACAAGAGGAGAGTTAAGGCAATAACATTGTAGGCAATTAAGTAAAATACGTCAGAGTTGGGGAAACCGGAACTTCAATTCCTGCTGACCGTGATGATGAATAAATACATCCATCTCATACCCGTGGACGTCTCACTGTAGACATAGACGGGAGGCGCTATAAGTGTTCCTTGTGGTACTTTCAAAATTCGACAAAGCCATATTAAGCCATATTTTGACTAGAGTTTAAGCTATAATTGCCGCAATTTTCTTCTATATTCCTAAGCTCTCATCTTTTAGTCTCTTCCTCTTCCTTTTTGTCTGGATATTAGCTGCAATAATTTTGTTTGCCCACCTCGATCTCGCAATCGTGGGTACGCCAGAGAAACGCTAAGCTGGTACCGTTCCATCTGTCCATCTATTATCGTATGTAGATTCCATCTGTCGATATCGATTGATCCATATCTAATCCCAATCACGTCTGATGATTAGAAGTGACCCGCTTAGCCTCGCTCCAGTTTAGCAAAAGTCCGATTGATATCCTGTTTCGGACTTCATAGAACTACTCGACCACATTACCACACAACCACCACCATCTTTTCGCATCTCTCATTTTTAATTCACAGAGACAAGACTTTATACTCGCCCAGTTGACACCTTAATCCCACTCGCTCTACGGGCGCTTTTTCGGATGCCAATGGCATGTGACAAACGATAGCTGCTGGGTCGACGGGACGGTGGATTTGCGAGGGTGCATTCCCCCGCACACCACACGCCATCGCCATCACCATCACGACTCTTCTAAGCCGGTTTCAATCCGAATAGGTCTCTCGCTTTCTAATTATACATACATCCACCGTCATTTTCACAGCACGCGACACCCGTAATAGCCACGTTTTTGCTCTACGGGGCCTCTGATCAATACCAGAGGCCCCGAAATCGTACTCTGTCCTCCCTGGACTCAAACAGCGAACAAGGGCATGTCTCACGACGAAGCCCAGAGCCCTCCGACAGGACGGTCATCACACGATCCCGCAGAATATGGGCTTTTCTCCCATCGCTCCTCTCCCACAGTTAAATCCACCGCATCGCCAGCGAACAATTCTCACCAAGACAAACAAAGCACATTGGCTTCTGCGGTGACAGCCATGGAACTACATGACCCTCGGGGTCTTACTCCGTTGCAGAGGTGGGCTGCAGGTGCGTCCGACTCTCAATTCAACGCATTGTCGGGAGCCGTAGGTGGCTTCACATCCGGCGTCGTCACATGTCCTCTCGATGTCATCAAAACGAAATTACAGGCCCAAGGTGGATTTACGGCTATAGATAAAGGAAGATATGTTGGCCATCACAAAGTATACTCAGGCCTGGTAGGCACGGCAAGAATCATATGGAAGGAAGAAGGATTGCGTGGCATGTATAGAGGTTTAGGACCTATCATTCTTGGCTATCTGCCAACCTGGGCTGTCTGGTTCACTGTTTACAACAAGAGCAAGGTCTTTATGGCCGAGAAGAAACGTAAGTTGCCCCACGCAATATCACCTAATTTGAGGCAAATAACTGATCGAATCAATTCAATGTACAGTGCAGAAGAACCAATTCTTTATCAACTTCTGGTCTTCGATCGTGGCCGGAGCTAGCAGCACAATAGTAACGAATCCAATATGGGTAATCAAGACACGGCTCATGTCACAGTCGGCAACAGGGTATAACAGACAAATGTCAATGTTCCCACGATCGAGCAATACTCCAACCTCCAGACCAACTATTGATTCGCCATGGCATTACCGCTCAACTCTAGATGCCGCACGTAAAATGTACTCCTCTGAGGGTATCTTGTCCTTCTATTCTGGACTTACTCCAGCCCTTCTAGGTTTAACTCATGTTGCTGTACAATTTCCAGCATACGAATTTCTGAGGATGAAGTTCACCGGCCAAGCCATGGGTGAGATGACTGGCGATGCCAAGGAAAATCATTGGCTCGGCGTGCTCTCCGCTTCGATAATGTCGAAGATCATGGCCAGTTCGGCCACATACCCTCACGAAGTAATCCGAACAAGATTGCAAACACAACGGCGACCGACTCCCGGAAGTGAGTATCTGCAAGGACTAGGTGTTTCCGAGTCCACACCAGGAAGTCAGAGCCATGTTCCAAACAGCGAGCGGAACATCAGCCTTCAACCTAAATATCGAGGTGTCGTTATGACATTCCGGACTATTCTACGAGAGGAAGGCTGGAGAGCATTTTATGCCGGTATGGGTGTGAATATGATGCGAGCTGTACCAGCCGCAACGGTAACGATGATGACATACGAACTTGTTATGAAAAATCTACACCGAGCACAGTCCGATGGTCGACAGAAGAGAAATATAGATGAGACGGCGATACACGAACCATAAAACGATGTCGATGTTCGGATGATACAATTCAGTCAGCAATTACACGTGTCGGTGGCGCGAATCCTTGCGTTCTAAATGTGAAATTAGAAGAGGCGATTCCCATCGCTGAAAGCGAGAGGAAGAAGAAAACTAGCCAACCAAGAATTGGCTTCGTGGACCCGGGTGGATTAGGCTTGGTCCAGGTACGATACCCTTCTTTGTAGGTATAGACATAACCAGGTCATGATTGCAAATAGTAAATCAAGTACTATCTACCGAAGTTAATTATGATCTAGCCTCTCTTTTAACGATCTCGTAGGAAATGATTTATACATCATTATTATTTTACCTCACCTCAGATGACTGATAATGACAGCCAGGCCACCTATGTACAAGCATGACTATGGAATCACTAGGTTCTGAAAATTGTATTTGATCGATAAACTAAAACCATGTTTATAGAAGCACTTGATTTCTGCTTCTCCTACATTCAATAACTATCGTTGGATTGTAACTAAATTTCAACAACTATATCCTTCTCTTCGAGCGATAGTTGTTCAGGAAATATTGCTATTATACTGTCAGAATGAAAGATCAGGTGAGTCCGCCACCCTGTTTCTTAGCCAAATAGGTCTTTTGACTGTCCAGAATGTTGCCTAACTCCCATCACTCTCTACAGCGTTCCTCTTATACACGCCAAGTCCTCTCAACAATCTTCACCCACATGTGCTTCTGGAAGAACATGCTTTTATTCATGGTCTTAATCGGGTTATGGGGGTCAACGAGCTGGAAGTCAAAACTCCGCAACAGCTGGGACGAAGACGCAGTCGTATTAGCATGTGGGCAGGTAATTTGTGAACTATGTAAACAGTCGCTTACCTCAACATAGACCTTATTCATCTCCATAAACGCAACGTTCTTCCCGCTACAACCAAACCGACCGTATCCGAAGAGAAGCTCAGTTGCGTTTGTCATCTCACGGCGTTTCTCAGGGTCGATGTTGAGCCAACGTTCAGGCCGGAATAGATCCACGTCCTTTCCATAGATCGCAGTTGAACGCTGTAGGGATAGGAAGCTGTGGGCAATGCGCGTTCCCCCAGGGACGAATTTCCCATTGACTATAAACAATCCCATATTAGCTACTGTCATTTTAGGGGGAAGCTAGGCTTTCATTCAACACCATGTTTTGCCCTACTAAATCAGGATGACATGATTATTAAAGAGAGGGTATGCTCTGTGCTCTCCAGGATATAAATGGAGGCAGAAACTTACGCGTATCTCCTTCGGGCGGTACTCGCTTCATCGTAAGGCCAGAAAAGGGAATATTTATTCGAAGACCTTCATAAATCACAGCCTTGGTACCTCGTCGTTAGTATAAAAACCGAGATAACCGTGCCTATTTTGGTAGGATCGGTACATACCTGTAAGTAATCCAGGCCCTTTGCCTCGTCTAACGTTATAGGTGACGAAATTCGGCCTTCAGCTATGGCGGTATCGATCTCTTCGCGCAGCTTAAAGTAAGCCAATGGCGACGTTAGCAGACTTAGCATAGTCCCACGAAGTGCGGTAGCCGTGGTGTCGCTACCGGCTATGATCTGGAAGAGCATTTCCGACTCGCAGCGGCGACGCGAAACACCGTGTCTCACGAACGAACCCTGGTCTCTCACATCAGCATAAATCGTAACTTTGAACGACAAGATGAATAGGGGGTAATCTCTACCAGCATATCTTGGTGATCCTTAGCGTCGGGTCCAAAGCGCTCGCCAGCGACTTCTTGGGCAACCCTTTCAAGAAGTCAGAAATCTATCGCTCTCTAGATACTTAAGATGTTATGCCAACTTACGCCATCATTTTACCGATGCCCTTCTTGTCCGTAGGCTTTGGGCCGACCAGTTTAAGCATGGTCTCACTGAAGAACAATCGCGTTAACCAGGGAACATCAGCCAGCGCGACCAACATGGGCACTTGGGTTTCGGCGGTCTCGATATAGCCATATACATCCGTGTCCGTGGCCAAGTAGCCGAAAGCACGTCCATATGCAATCTTGGTGATGGCGTCCAGAGTAAAGTACTGGATTCGTTCTGCGAAGTCTATCGGCCGTAAATGATGGTCATCGGACAAGTACTTGCGTCGGATGAGCGCCACGAGACTGGCTAGCTGCTCGTCGATGTCGGCCTCGATGGTTGGGTTCTCTTTGCCCCCATACCCGAAAGACAACTGGGCCTTCAACTTGTCATGGACATCTGTATCCATGATGCTAAAAAGCGATGGGAGATACGGGTCCATGCGCATCGCGTTATACCATGATGACCGCTGGTACTTGGATCGAGCTCCGTTCATTCGCCGGATGATCTCGGGGTCGTCCGTTATAAGATCATTAGGACCGATACGTACGAGAGGGCCGTACTTCTTGTTGAGCTTCCGGTAATTGTAAGATTGCTTTCCTGAAAATGTCACCCAGCTCATGAACAGGTAAGAGAAGGAACCGATCCATGGTCCATCGATATGTCGGAGTCTATGCCATGCTAAGACACGTGAGTATACAAAATATACGAACAGCAAGCTAACTAGGGTAGGGAATAAGAAGGAAATAGAGAGAACTTTTATGAGTTCTAACTCCATGTTGAGCAACTAGAATCAAGTTCAGGCTTGCTCGAGACTTGTCTTTCATCATTTTACCTGGTATGGTTGGGCTTTGACGGGTCTTATACATATCGAAGCTTACGTAGCTACAGCAAATACAACACCATTATGTAGGTTCAATGTGGATGCTGTGAGAGAAACTACCATGGTACATACATCTCGGGGATGTTGATAATGCGGCACGAGTTACATGTACCTAGAACCTGCATTGAAACACAACCAACAATCTTCGCTTAGCCGGGTATACAGGGAGCCTGCAGGACCACCTATAAACCAAACGAATACGGAGAGATAACTTATATGGTTTGCTTCATTGGATACTAAGATAGACGTCAATCTCGCAAAATATACCCGTTCGCGAAGGATTTACGGAGTGGGTGGTTGGAGATATTGGGAACCTTTGCTGTCGAGTATGGTAATCAGGTAGAGATTACGTGTATACATATCTCAAGTAAGTGATGATACATACCTATAACTAAGAGGAGAAATTAAAGATCATCTCTTTCTTTATAGGTATATTTCAGTTTCCATACTTACTTACCTAGGTAGGTAGGTAGGTAGTCTATGTATTTCTACCAGGTAATAAACATTGAAGTTACCCCGAAAATCAAAGGCAACATTTTCTAAGGTCGTATTATAATGACCGGAACTAGCATAAGTTTGCAAGCCCGTCCAAATAGAACCTATCAAGCCTAGTGAACACCGTCAACAACATAATGAATTATTGGAAATTATTGGCGCGACCAGAATGTTACGTAGGGTCATGGGGGTCCATAGGCTCAAGCTGGCCGAGGAGATACATAGCGATGTTGTGTTGTGGGAGAGGTTATACCTAAGTAAGCAAGCACTTTATATCACAAGCTCAGTTTAAGCTTTATAACATGCTTACTCAGGACCCTATAAATATCCAATATAGGCAGACAACCTTCATGCATATTTGAAGTCACTTCACGTGATGTGACTACCAATATCATACATGATTGGATATCAATGTACGACGTCTTAGGTGACGAATCTTCGGATCTAGAGTTACATATGATCTAGAATCCCGATAAGCAAGCGCTCTTGGATACTCCTTTCGGATAAATCGTGCATAGATGCAGCAAGATATCATTGGCTGGGTGTAATGAAGGTTCCATCCATCATCTGTACGCTTGGAGTTAAAGAACGGCGTTAGAAGTCCATTAGAATATTCGGGATGTGCTTTGCATGTTGACATCATTTTTTTTTCGTATCGCGAAGCTATCAGCGCCGTGGGATTCACCTCGAAACTTAGGTATCTTTAAGATATATGAGGTATTGGCGAAGATGGGCGTGCGAAAGAGTCCAACGTCGAGTATAAAAGGGGGACATGCTCAAAGGTTTTTTTCTAGTATCCTCATGAACACAGACGGCCACAACATATCCAATCCCACGAAAAAATCTATTCTAGAGTAAGTAGCGAAACTTGGCTCTCAATGAAAGCGCAAATAGGGGAATATTTTAACTAACTAGGTTGATAGACTCGACAACCATCTTTTACCATGGCAATGATATCGCAGAACCCCTTTCAGCTCACTGGGCGCTATGCTGAGCGCAACAAATGGGAGGTGATCAGCGGCCCAGGCGACTCTCGTCCAACTGGGCTACAGATAATCGAAGACGAAGGCCTCATCGGAGCTATGAGCAACAAGGTCGTCCTCATCACGGGAGTGTCTTCAGGTATGGGTCCAGAAACTGTCCGCGCCATAGCATCAACGGGAGCCACCATATTCGCAACGGCCCGGAACCTCGACAAAGCGCGGGAAGCTCTCGGCGATTCCCTCCTCGAGACTGGCCGTGTGCACCTTCTATTTATGGATCAGACGGACCTCTCGAGCGTTCGTGCGTGCGCTGATGAGTTTCGACAACAGTGCGATGGCAAGCTCAATATTCTGATCAATAATGCTGGTGTCATGAAAACCCCTGAAGGTCGTACCAAGGATGGGTTTGAGCTGCAATTCGGAACAAACCACTTGTCTCACTTCCTTCTCTTCTATCTACTCAAGGACCTCCTGCTAGCTAGCTCGACACCCGGGTTCCACTCAAGGGTCGTCAATGTTTCGTCTGTAGGCCATCGTGACGGGCCGGTACGCTTCGATAATCTGAATCTCGAGGGCGAATATGATGGCTGGGCGGCATGTAAGTGAAAATAGCCTGTCTCACGAGGCTCGCCTACTTTGAATATAGACGGCTGACGACTTATTCCGCAGACGGGCAGTCGAAGACGGCTAATATCTATAGTAAGCATAAATATCTCCTATAGGCCCCCCTTTCCCTCTCTTCCCCTCTTCCTCGCATTCAAGATACTTACTAAGGCAAATGTGCTGACCCCTAAAACAGTGGCAACCCAAATCGAACGACTCTACGGCGCGCAGGGCCTCCACGGGCTCAGCTTGAGCCCCGGCAGCTTCGCCAGTCCGAACTTGCAGAAATTCTGCCAAGACGATATGGACGCGGCTCAGATGGATGAGCGGATGGCGAAATATTTCACCAACGTGCAACAGGGGTGTGCGACGAGCGTCTACGGCGCCGTGTCGAAAGATTTAGAAGGCAAGGGAGGTTTGTACCTCGAGGGTGCATCGGTAGCTGGGCCGGTCCTTGGCGATTATGATAGGGTTGAGTATGGGTATAATGAATGGGCGTTTGATCGTGAGAAGGAGGAGAAGGTGTGGGAGGTTAGTAAGAAGTTGGTCGGTGTTGAGTGAACAAACGCGGGAATATGAGTGCACATGACTCATAAACATAGAATTGTCGGTATTCATAGAATACTTAGAATAAAGCTCAAAGCAAATAGACTATCACACTCCTTTTACCCTTGAGCCAACATACCTACTCGCATCAGCTGCAGTCCCAAGCCAGTTGAACACGAAATTACTAGCATGTGGACGCACCCATATGGAACAGCATACGACAATGGCCCCTTTTTGTTTGCTCTGCGACTTGACAATAATATCGCTCTTTGAGTTTTATTTGCGTATCCTAGAAATATACGTTCTGCTCCAAGTGAACATGGAAATGATCTCGCTCTCGCAAACATACAAACAACAAACAAGGGATTCATTAAATGACATATCAAACCGGTCCGAAGCACTTCCAGAACCGTTCGCTCGCTGTCAAACCCAGACAGGAGCTCGAATCAAGCCATCGAAAACAAATGCTTCCCAGCTCCGCTTCTTCTTTTTCTACCCGATTTATTTCATGACGATCGTTTATACGCGACAGAGCGTGTTAAAGAGCAACGTTGTGTTTACCACTACTACTACCCAACACATCATCAACGAGGCCCTTCCAAATATCTGTAAGCGTGCCCTGCTCCCTCTCCGCCGGCGTCTCCTCGTGCGCGAACTTGAGCTCGACACCATCCATACCCATGCCCTCGACCTCCGTCAACGCCGACGGGGAGACGAGCTCCGGGTTCGCAGCAACGATGCTGATCTGAGCCGGGGCAATTGGCCCATCGGCAACCTCAGGCGTGTGATGCGTCGCGAAGTTATCCGGGAGTAAGGGCACGCGCAGATGTGCGAATGGGTCGTCGCGCGACCCCTCGAGGGATGCAGAGCCCGGGAAGACGATGTTGTCCATGGTGGTAGTGGCAAGAGCGGCTTTCGGCGCGCTGGAGCCAAAGGTCTGCATCAGGCGCATCGTGCGAGGTGGGGGGTGTGGGCGGTTGGACGATCGGGTGTAGAGGTGACGGGGGTGCTGGTAGCGGCTTGTTAGCTCTTACTTCTTACATACACCTAACTAGGTAACCGGTAGCTCTAGGTGGTCGATCGTCTTTTCTTTCAAGCTACGACGGTAATAAAACTACGGCATGATGATGGAATTTGGTATAAAAACACATACATCCGGATCTATATTCCTCTCCTTGAGGAGCTCTGCATATTTCCGAGAGAGGGGAGCGGTTGTGCTCTTGGTGCTTGTGAGGAGCGTGTTGGACTGAGATGCAGTAGCTGTGGTGGTGATGGAACGGGCGAGCTTTGCAGCTGGACCTGTAAGGCGGGGACCGGCAACCATGTTGGAGATACGGGTAAAGTTTCGTAGACAGGTATGTGATAGACTTGAAGGTGGTATAAAGGTTCAATGGCTTGATACAAGTACTGGATGGGAACAAGAACAGGAACAAAGAAAGTGAGGGGATGATGGGATGATGGAAGGGTAGATATGGTACTATGTAGGTACCGTATTGTTGAGGAGGGATCGGACGTCCGGGGTGAGGTGAGCTGAGCTGACAAGGGACTGATTCAAGGACCTGGCAGCCTGGTTTGGTTTGTTTGCTGTCGTAGTATGTACTGTAGGTCTGAACGCATGCAACAGCTATGCAAAGCTATGCAAGCTCCTGGAGGAATGGGTTGATCTGCTTCTTTATCTAGACCTTGATTCGCTCGGTGCAACACCTCCAACACGGAATTGAGTATTGGTGACTCCAAACGAGCGAGTCGGATATAAAGAGCCAAGAGCGGCAGATGGCTGCTTCGCCTTTTCCCCTTTCAAGGAAGCTTGCGTGGAGCTACGCATAGTTACCTATAGCAAGTCCATAACAAATCCATATTTGATGCTAGGGATTGGTGTTGATCAGACGACATCTTGTCACCTCTTGTCTGCTAGACTCCTAGAGCTCTACACGTGTACCCCTCCAGCCCTCGAAGCTTGGTGTACCTACAATACAGGTACCCACGGACGCAGAATGTCTAATATTAGAGCAATTGGTCGTGTGCCAAGATTCATAGCTGCGGACTATCGCAATAGTGTCTAAAACGGCCAAGATACGATACCAAGTCGAACAAGTTACAGCTCATACCTGTTGACTCGACTGCTCGAATACATAGTAACTCACTGTCATGCTATGAGTTTAGCATCTGCATCAGGACGGGGATGGAACAGATGGATGGATACATAGAAATCAGGGTAGCGGATGATGAATGACCAGCATTTTGGCAGATCGTTTCAAGCGGCACATCCGACCTTGTCGACTTGATAAGAAGCCAATAGGGTTCTAGAATCGGCTGCCTCACCGACAAATCAATCGATTCACTCCCTTGTCCACTCATCCGTTGAGGAGCGGAGCTTCTGTGGAATTACCGAGTAAATCAGTAAATCATTTACAGCATTACCCCAGACATCGATCCCGTTCCATCCCCGATCATCCTCTAGCCTTAACAGGTTTAGTTCTATGCCAACAAAACTCCAGAGCGAATCATGATTCTCCTATTTCACTAATTCTGGACCCTGTCCACATGGCTATCTGTTTAGGTGATTACCGAAAACCGATAGAAGACTGTCCCTGAAGATGAAGAAGAAAAAGAAGAAAAAGAAAAGAAAAGGGGTCACATCATTTTCTTACATACATAGGTACATATCAATCAACCTACATGCCTTTTCTGATCGATGAAAATAACAATGCCATTCTAATAGTTTCCAAGGATGGATATCGAAATAGGGGCTTATCAATAAGGTTGTAACATTAGGCGCGCTTTGTACCTGTTCGTCCCAGTGCAATGGTCGGAGTTTCTGGAGTTTCTCGCAGCTCATCTACCTACAGAGTACAGAAGGCGCATTCAAAACATTTTGCCATAGGCGGATCAACACCAGCTGGCGCTGTATCCGCTCACAGCTGTCACCCAGCTGCTTACTGCTGGCTCTAATCCCCTCGACAGCTGCAAACACTCATACCAACAGTTGGCTTGCAGCTGTGGCCCACTTCAATGCCAGCTGTTGCCGATCTACCTATGGCAAAATGTTTTGAATGCGCCTTCTGTACATAGATCATCCAATAAAACCACCACAACCTACGGTACACCCGATAACTTCGAGGCTCGGTGATAGGCTTGCATATTAGAATCCTCGGATTTGCGATTGCTTATTCTTCTAAATGCCTCTAATTACGCGGCGTCGTAGACCTAAACTAGGCCATCCCAAATAGATAAAGCTTGACTTTGGCCTCGGGAATACGCCCGTAGGGGCTCATGAGTCATGTATCGTTGTCGATGCGATGTCCGATTCCGCTTGGTGGTTTAATTAAGCTATATCGGATTTCACAATCCGAGGACAACTATCTTTTTTTTCCTGAGTAACTCTACATTAAATATCATTGACACCGTCGGTACATCATTCTCCTCCAGACAAGTGGCGTCTCGACTTGCTCTCGGAGTAATTAGGCCAAGTCGCGGACGATGGCCAAGAAATCTTGTTCACTATAATTAAGAGCAGCTAGCCCATTCTGCAGATTGCTTTTAAAGCCATGATTGCCTAAGGGAGGTGTTGGCTTAATATCACATCTACCAAGAGTGGTGTCCGGATATCATTCATGCAGAGGATCGAGGAGCGCCACGCAATCATAGCAGCAGTAAGCAGCCGTCTTACTAATGAATATTGTTAAGGAAGGCGTTATTTGTATTCTTCGGGGCTAGCTGGATCTAAACGCCAACCGTCTCACAGCAGGACCGATGTTGGAACTAAGCAGCTAAGTTACCTATTTTCCTTCGCAGCTGGGATTACCAAGCAAGACTTGCTAAAGACGCTTACCCATTCGATAAATCCTTATCATGAGGTGTGAAAGAGAAAGGGGGTTGGATAGGCTGACCCCTTTACCTCACCTTCTTTAATCCGTTTTAACCTCACAGTCTCCAATATACGCAAGATACACTCATACCGAGCATCAGTCAGAGGTAGTAAAAGTATCATTACTCGTATGTAAAATGCCCGGATGCAATCTGACCTATCTTCTCTATCAGGAACAAGGAGCAATGCATAGTACCATGTCGTCTACCGTTATCTTCATGCTGTCATAAGTCGTAATTCATCGTCCCATGGTATCACTATCCCTAACCTAGTCGTCATTTCCTATAAACATGCCCAGGTGCATAGTATTAGATCCCTATCAATGTTTCCGTTCGTGTATCCTAGCGTTATGTTTCACTTCCTTGGTCTTATTATACGCGCTCTGCATGTTGTTCGTCCAGTTCTTGTCGACTAATAGGTAGACGAAGAAGCTGATAGGTACGGCGACGCAGAAATACTAGGATCACATTAGTCGATGATTAGCTTCATACGGAATCTTGTGGTACGTACAACCCAGATGGTCTGGGTTAACCCCGAGAGGTCCGTCGACATGCTGAAGAAGCTTGACACGAAACTGAGGGGCGCGAAGATGACCGCTAAATACGTAAGTCGTCCTAGAGTCTTGTTCTGCTCGATGGCACGCCGGCTCTCCTCGATCGCCGTGACGGCCGTAGCGACGGCCGCGATACGCTCTGTCCGCGAAAGCAGGTTGTCTATATGCGCCGCCACGATCTCATAGTCCTTCTTCAGGTCGGCGATGCAGTCCCGGCGACCGGAGCCGGATTCGTGGCTCGGGAATATCTTGGTATGGGTGTCGGCCACCATGGCCTTGTAGATGGGCAGGCGACGGCGCCACGTGTGAAGCTTCTTGAGCGACGTGTTGAAGTTCATCGACTCCTGGAGGTCTAATTTCCTCACTTGGAATCGCTCCGGGCTCTCGATCTCCCACTCGATCTGACCAAGCCGTGCGGTGATGTAGCGACTTAATGTTAGCCACTGTATTATGTGAAGTTAGTGATCGTCATTTGCGAATAACTTTACTGGCGGGCAAAATATTTTAGTCATCATAGGTGCTAACACTTTCACGAGAACGGGATTAAAAGTCAGGTCTTAGGACGTGCTGAAACAAGTAATAAATATTCTTGTATGCTACTCACCTCCGCACATATGATCTCCAGGATTCGGAAAGCCATCGCGTTGGGGTTGTGCTCTATAGCATCTATATCTTTCTGTGATGTCTGCCGAATCCAGAATATCAAGTCCTCAAAGAGGCCAGTCCGAGGCGGTACCTCGAAGGGCGTCTTGTTTGAGGGTGTGGGTGAGTTTCTGAAAGGCCGATATCCTCTCCATAGAGGGAATCCCTCTGTTATCGAAGGGTCGATGAGCAATACCCCTATAACGAACGGTAAGCGATACATGTACGGTATATATACAATCTGCGCCTGAGGGATCACTCACCAATAGCCTGCTGAGTATTGCTAGATCGCCTGATCCATAACGACGCCTTGCATCTAACAAGGGCAACTGTTGCTGATTTATCGTCGAATAAGGACTCGTGCTCATTGTCTTCGTCAAGCCTCCTAAGCACGTTGAACCGCCCGGCCTGCTTCAGTGCATCTTCGTAGCTTTTCCGGCTCGTAAAGTACCGGGGCTGCATGTACATTAGACGGAAGTACGATCGCGATCGCGAAACGATATCCAGGTCGGGAAGTTCGACCCATGGATCTCGTGTGTTATACCAAGTATAATCGTTGATATGCTCTCGAAAGAAGAGAGGATCAATGTCTAGTTTAGAACCCAGAAGCTCGATCACATCGCGTGAGAGATCTTCGACGACATATAACCGAGTAGCATCTGGAACCGCAGGGTCATCTAGACACGTTTTTAAACCATTAGGGTCGTCGATTTGTTGCATGGCTGGAGCTGACTGGCCCGAGATAAAATCGATGGCCATAATCTTCGTCCGACTAGCTCTCTCCGCCCGAATCTCTTTTAGATTATCCATGCCCTTGATAAGTTGCCATTTGGTAGGTGATGTCGTCACATCCATCCATTCCGCAAGGTAGCGGAGATGAGGCCACTTTACTCACAATAATCAGTAATTCTTTCTTCAAGTAAACGAACAGAGACGAAAACATGACTACTGAGAGAGCAAATTTCTCAATAGGCTTATCTAGAGCCAAAAACGGATTGGAGAGAGCCTTGGTATTACATACACCCATAGACAAAGATTTTATATGCATGAGATACGGCATAGTCCTTCAAGATCGTCAGCTATAAATCCGCTGAACTAGTATATTTTTGGGGGCACACGTACGACTTGGTCGTCTCCGGAGTCTCCCAGTCCTGCACATGCTTGCAGGGAGATTGCTCGTATATATCCCCATTAAAGTAATCATCGTACCCTTTCCCAAGCTTTCTATCTGGAATTAACAAGTTGGGGTCACTGTCGCCTTGGTCGTAAAGAGAAGGATCTCTCTTCTCATCGCCGTTTACCGAACTTATATCCCGCCTAAACCAATGCATGATATCGGATCACAGTAAATGCAAACGATGTCCCTGGACTCGAGGACGTGGATACTCTATACAATGGAAATCGAAGAGGAAATATGAACATGAAAATCACGCTGGACGAGGAACATGAAAAAAAAAAATGAATATAAACAAGTATAGAAGTGGGAGAAATGACTTAGGTATCTGCTTGTTGTAGAGCCTGCCGTTATATTTGTTAAGCGGGTCTCTATCTGCGCCACATCATGGACGAGGCTCCCGGTGTTACATTGCATGCGATAGGCGCTGCACGTATGACCGCGGCTGAGTTTTTTTTCATAAGAAAATTAGGAGGGGGTTGGAGATTTCAAGGTAGGTATACTAGTATTTACCTCTAACCGATCCAATTCGTGAGGGGTATAGTCTGAGGAGTAGGGGGCTGGAGAGTCCACCCAATGCTGCAAAGAGACAATTTTTCTTTTCTTCTTCTTGTGATGGGACATGTCATATTTCCTTAAATGGGCTACTCCCTTCTTAGCAGGCAATCTGCCACCTTGCTCCATAAATGCTTAGATTGCATGTAGAACCCCTCCCGCAGATGCACGACACGCCTGGCTTAGTAAGACGTAGGTGCTGCTTCGTTGCAACAAATAAAACATGGTCGAATTCAATGGAATGGTATACTGTCCCCAATGCCCCTTAACGCCAAGTGCTGTAAACCTTCGTTTCCTAAGCCGACGACCTTCCATGCCCAATGCTGCTGTCAACAATCAATCACGACAATCATCGACAAACGTCGAAATATATGCGACACTCTTCCTAAGGAAGCTTTCGTCGCCTGTCGTTCTAGATCTGCGTCGAACCACAGGCAAAAAGAAAAAACACATCCCATCCCCTTTGCCCTGTCAAGACTGATGGCCGACCTCGTCTAGTCCGCCTTCAGATGCTCGTTGCCTATACGTAACTCGTTGGCGTAGAGAATCATCGTAGCGGCAACGTTAACCCAACGCCAAGTGTTGCCTCCTGCATCACCGTGTCGGAGTGTCCAACCTTCGTCACCGCCGCTGGCAGAAAAGTGCTGCAGCAGGAGGCTTGTGTAGACGGCGATTAGTATTGAAGGCGAGAACCAAGAGAGGAAACCTAATAAGCGGTTTGCATCGTCCGAGTCGTCGAAAGAGGGCTCATTTATAAGAGACGCGATACCTGACTCCCGTACTGCTGGAATGATACGGGTTGCGCAGTAGAATACGATTAGTCGGTAAACCAGAGAGATCATCACGGAAGGGGCGATAGTCTGAAATGCCGCATATAGGAAACTCAGTGACGAGTAGACGGCTGAAGGCAAGAAGTTAAAGAGGTGGAGAAGAGTTGAGTAGCTTGCCATGATGATAGGCGGAAGAGGTGGGAATTCCGGTTGGTTGGCAGCTTGCTCCGCAGCGGCGGCTTGGGCCTCCGATGATTGGACATAGTCTGTGAATATCTGGTAGACGCATAGAACAACGTAGGCGAATATGAGAGACGATTCTACAGGATTTCCACGCCCAGTACTGATTCCTATAGCTCCCAGAAAAATGGCAGATGTGACGGTCACGCCGATGAGTATCGCATCAAGATTGTTGATAGAGGGGAACGACGCGACCCGCCATAAGAAGTAGACAGAGCTAGCAATGATGGAAGCTGACAAGATTAGGAGAATGAGCTAAAGATAGATTAGCACTTAAGAAAAGAAATGTCAGTTTGTGACAGATAGAATAATACTCACGACCCAGGTGTCGCTTCTTCCTCTATTCACAAGCTCCCGTGAGATCCAACCTGCAGCCTGGATGACCAACAGCGTGCAGAATCCTTCGGCAAGCTGGAAAACGGGGCTAGAGTAGCGTAGAGTCTTATCCCAACCGCCGAGGGTTACTGATTCTACCAGACCGCCATTGCCGAAGAACCAGTCAGTCCAAGTACTGTGTTTTTGAGTGCCGAGGCCGCCGATTGTTCTCGACACCCAGTCTGTGCTGTTGGCATCAACGGCGAAGTTGTGAAGGGACCAGATTAGGAGTGTGGGGATGACAACCCATTGGGAGGTTTGAAGAAGCTTGGTAAATGCCCATCGTACGCGCGAGTTCTCGGGAGTAGCGAGCTTGACGGTGCTGTAAAAGAGATAGAAGAGAAATAGGGAAAGGCTGTAAGCCAGCCCACTATCGCGTCCGCCTACATCGAAGGAGACAGGTATAGACAGGACGATGATTAGCAAAAAGATGAAACTGGAGACGATGCGAAAGAACCACCACATGGGCGCGTTAGTGGTGGCTGCTGCCGCGCCGACCTAGCGAGGCGTTCGGCCAGGGCTGGTTTTGGGTATGATGTTTGGTATTTTCGAATTCGGAGGATGCCGTAGTTTTAAGCCGTCGAGAGTTGTAATACTTGTATCGATATCGATGGGATTCGACCGGATCGATGGCAGCGCGTCACGACGAGATGATTAAATCGGCTGAGATCATCGGCGATAAGTTTATGAAGTTGCAAGAAAAACCGTCGCGTCGGGAAGAGGGGTTAAGTTGTCTGTTCTTCGTCCTTCGTGCTTCCCTAAGCAAGATTTTAATTTTTTGATCGAGGTGGCCCTAACGAGAACTAAACTAACCTAAGAGTTTATTTCCTAGGCGAAGGTTTCCCACTTGACGGACTGAACCTTGGAAGCTGCCAGGTGGCTTATCGTTTATCTGCACGTGGCGGGTGCGCTGAACGCTCAATATTGAAATCTTGAATGCCGAGCACTGGATCCTGGACAATATGTACGTTTGGTTTACTTTATTAATTATGACAATTTCTTTTATATGTGCAAAAGGAGAGAAAGAGATTGATCAAATGGAAAATATTAGGGAGCGTCGAAAACCTCACTATGGTTAACGATGAATAACCTTGAAGTTTTTTTTTTCTCTCTTCTTTTCCACTAAAGTGAAGAAAAAGGCATGTGCTACAGTATCAAGAAAGGTCGCGTGTACATCATGCATGTACCCATCACTCATCAGTTCAGACAATGGTGCAAGGCACGAGTTGGGCTGGGTGGTGACCCACTGTAGCTTACAAGCTTTTAGGTAACTTTAGCTGTTCTAAGTAATCATTCACCGCCCTAGTCCATTTAGCTCACTGATCTGTCCAGCTGCCAGCTTTAGAGGTAGCCATCCCGGTCATGAACCCCTGCCCCTCCGTCGTCATACCTCCCCCAATGATATCTTTCGTCACACGAGACATTAATATCCGGCTCTTCTTATTCTTTAGCAACATCTATTAATTACAGGTTGCTGTGAATGCTCAATAAATCAATCCTTGCTATATATCTCTTGAAATTTTATTTATAAATCCTAGGCATTCAAGGGCTTAAGAGGCTTGAGAGCGAACGATCGTGGAGAGGAAGACCCCATTGGACAACTCACCGACAAGCATCTGAGGTTCTATTTGCTCAAGCGCAGCATTAGCCTACATACATGTACCTAGTAGTTACTTCTGGGTCTTGTCCTTCGGATGTCCATTATCTATAAGATCTACTTACATATGTAGCTTGAAGTGGCCGCCAATTAGATATAAAAAAACCTGAAGAATATTTATTAATACATGATCTACATAGCCGGATACCCTATAACTTGCCTATTACCTACGACGTACATTAATAGCGTGTTTAGGTATGTCATTATTTCAAGTACTAGGCATGTACTAAGTAATGCAAGGAGAGCAATGTCAGATTTGACTGTAACTATTGTTTAGCGTCTATTCCAAGGTACTTTCAGATATCTAGGTAATTTGTTATATACCGACAGGATTAAGACGAGGAGATAAAGCATAGAATTCATTCATAGAATCATCTATAAAACGCACACATCGGGAATAATAGCCATCATCAAACGATATAGGCAGCGCAATTAAACCCCGTCCTCTGACGCCTTACCGTACCACCGCCCAAGAATCCGAAGACATAAAGTAAATGGGTATCTCGTGTGAACTAAACAACGTGCTTATCCCAAGTCAATCCTCCCTTCAACTGTCTAAGAATCCAGCAAAGCAAGCACTTCCGCGAGGCGTGGAAATATGGACTGCCGATTGGCTTCGTCGACAAGCATTCGCATCTCCTCCCTCCATTTACCGTCCTCCAAAGATTTCAGGCCCCGTATATGTTTCGGCGACAGCTTCCCCACAGCCTCTACGAACGTATCGTCGTACTCTTTGGCATTCTTTCGACATACACTACCGATGCGAGAGTCTGTATCCAGCGTTGCCATGATCACTTCACGCATCACCGTTAGAATGTGAACCCGGTTGCGGAAGGTGACGTGCTTGTCGATCATGGCGTTCATCCTCTTAAGGAGCTTCTGAAGTTTGAAGGCTGTAGACTGTCCTATTGTATCTTGTCTGGTTTCGGATTCTTTATCAAACTGGCCAGTCCAACCCAATTGAGTCTCGGCTCGATCCACGACCCATGTGAAATTACATGATTGTTCCTTACGTCCCGAACCTTGATCGTCCAAGTCCATCTCATCTGGATTGATGTCGACGCTATCATTCGCATTGGCATCGTCATTATCATTGGGTCCGTCACCCTCGTCCTCATTAGCATCATCAATTACATCCGCGGTATGGTACGAGGTTGCGTTACTGTCCGAATCGGCGACATTATTCGCAGGAATGCTGTCGCTTGGATTTGAATGGCGAGCTGCGTTCGCGTTCTTGCGTATACTAGTCTCCGCTTTACTAGATGCAGTAGATTTCTGTGCTGAAGGTAGCCGGGGTATAGGTTGCGGGGGGAGGGGTGTATAAGGGCTTTGGTGCGTATGAGGCTTATTAGGCGCAACTGGGTTAGGCGTGATAGAAAATCCAGCTTGGTTCTGGGATGCGCCTGTAGCATAAGGAGGGGGAGGCGGAACCCCCGTCCCAGGTGAAGGTTGTGGCTGAGATTGCGGTTGAGATTGAGGTTGAGATTGAGGTTGAGGCTGAGGTTGAGGATATGGAGGATACGGGGGATACATGTTCGGTGCTGGTGAACCGTACATTGGCATCGGTATTACCTGATGAGGCTGACCCGGGGTCGCCGGGGGATAGACGTAAAATCCGACTTGGTGCTGCATTGGCGGCGGTGGTGGCGGTGGTTGCGGTCCATACCCAGGCGGTATAAAAGGTTGTTGCATAGGCGCATTCGGAATTGGCTGCGATTGTGCTTGCTGGTTCGACTGTTGGTCGGGTGTTCCATAAGGTTGATTCATTGGCAAAGGATCATGTGGCCTCATAGGTGTCCAGGAGCTTGGATTTTGTATCCTCTCTTGGTTCATTCGGTGAATGGATTTAGATATCTCTTCATCACGCATCGCGGCGTTTACTAGGAGATGAATAAACTCCTTAGGCGTTCCCTTATAAGGATCCATGTCTCCTAAAATATTGTAGAAGGACTTTCGTCTCTCTTCCTCTTCCTTCGCTACTCGAGAAGCATAATGCTTAGAAGTCGCGGCCGTAGTGGCGGTTGCGTTGAAACCATTGCGCTGTTTCTCGTTCTGGTTCTGGTTCTGGTTCTGGTTTTGGTTCCCAGATTGCCCATTGGTAGTTGATTTGCGACTGGGTGTCTGAGTTTGAGGCCCGGTATACGCAGGGACATACTCCAGAGGAAATTTCAACTATAAAGGCAATATTAGCAACATTTTCAGTGCCTAGCCTAGAGAGTAATGTGAAATCCTGACCACTTGCGGTTTTTGCGCCGGCCGTATTGACCGCGGAGCTAGAGCGGGAGCGGGAGCAGGTGCTGGTTGTAGGGGTGGTCGCGTTCGCGTAGGAGCCGTCGAAGGTTTATTCGTTGAAGTCGTAGCCTGCGCTGGCCTTGTCGAGCTGGCAGCTTCTGTTGTGGGTATCGTCGCTTGCGTCGTCGCTGGTGCTAGCACTGGACGCGCCGAGGGCTGTTGTGCTGGAGTTGAGACTTTCGACTTGGAAGCCATGATAATCCTAACCTCAGAGGCCGACAGAGTCCTCTATCATACTATATGTGTAGGTATGACAGAAGAAATCTCTGAGTGTGCACCGTATAAGATGTATTATGTACGAGGTAAGTTATTATCATTGGCCTCTACGCGCAACATTCAACATTGAACTTCATTAAATCAATTGAACTTAAAAGTACCAACATACTAAATGCCATGTACCTACGTACTACCAGGATACGGAAACATGTCCAGGGTCCGCCACGTGTGGCTGTGCACAGTGGCTTACTAACCACCCATAATAAAAGTGCCTAGTACGATTTCCGATTTCCGATCTGCTAATTCATCATGATGTATCTCGAAATGAAGGGCAACATCAACGTTAATATCTATCTCAGTCCTCTATCGAACACTACTCCAAATTCAACTCATTAAAGGAGGCGAGATGAGGATGAAGTTGGACTCATTAAAACCTAGCAAATCCCCAAGACACCTGACCTAATTATTTATATCTACCTAAATTAAAATGCCAACGTGGAGCTGAAGACGAAGAATGGTTGTAGGCTACTTGGGTATACAAGGGCTCGGCAGCATGGGACTTTTCGCCGCAGAGCGTACAAGGTTCCTAGCTTATAATCCGAGGGTCCCAAATCAAGCCTTAGGTGGTCATCGCCGTGAATTCCAAAATCAAATCCGCAGCCCACGATTGAAACAACGTTTTGACCAAATACGAGATAGAATTTCCTAACGCCAGCCTGCTAAAACTCCGAGTCAGTCTCCCTAATGATCCGGCTCATCCAAGTACACAGAAACCGTCAGACAGGTATATGCCATGCCATGCCATGCCGAAAAGACTCAGTTCAACACAGCTGCCCCCTTCTCCAACGCCCACTCCACCGCCTCCATGACGTTCTTCGCGGTATGGTACGGCTTATGCTTAGGTACCGAGCCAGGGACGTAGACGCCCGTCTCGACAAGTATGCTTCGCCACTCGATCCCGTGCTGGGATTGAAATGCGTTCGCGCCGGCGATGTCGCTCTCGGGGTTATCGCCGATCATGTAAACCGTGCCGATCTCCTTGGAAGAGTCCAAGCTTTTACCGTATTCCCGCAAGATGCGCTCCGCGTACACGTACGTAGCCTCAGTCGGCTTGCCGAATCTTGTATACTCCAAATCTGTTCCGGTCTTGGTTTTCCAGAGCGCTCCTAAGGCCTCCTTGAATGCGCCTTGGGCGAGCCGTGGCTGTTCGTGCTCGGTGCACCACTCGAAGTCTGGGTTGCAGAAGAATAGCTTTGGCTGGTCGTCTTGTAAATACCCGTTGTTTGGCAATGAGACGTCGCCGTTCTTCGACGAGACCGTTCCGAGCAGGCCGCCGCTGGATAGAAGGAGGTCCTGGACGACCTGGAGGTCAAGATACCAATCACGTGGCGAGCTCCAGCATAAGATGGCGGAGATAGGTGTTGTGCGCAACTCTGGGCGCTCGCTGCCGTGCTCATCGTGATGCGCTCTTGTTATCTCTGGAAATGCGTGGATGTGTTTACAGGTGGCCATGATATCGGATGAGGTAACGACATTCTTGAAGCCGTATGCGTGCGCCACTCCCCGAATCTGTTGACCGTGTCCGCCAAGCACCAGAATTGTTTTGTCGCCGTATTCCGGGACGAGATCGAAGTAAGGGGTATGTGACTGTACGAATTGCTTGGGGCTGAATGTAAGGCCAAGTCGTTGTCCAACTCTGTTGACGTGCGCTTCTTCGGTGTGTCCGCCACCATTCGTCAGGAACATGAATGGTACATTCTTGCGCTGTAGCAACCTAATAGCATCGCTGGCTCCTGGAAGGGGTTTCTTGCCCTTGACGAGCACGCCGTCGATGTCGAACGCGAACGCGACTGAGCGTTCTTTGACTGGAGCCATGTTTTTCTCTCTCTATTTATTTTGGGATTTATGTTTCTGAAATTGAATCCCAGCCTTGAGATATTATTACTGATGGTCCAAATTAGTGGCGTCACTTAGCCAATCCAACGACTTCGCTTTAGAGGTTATGGTTTGTGGTTGGCGCCGTGGCAGCTTTCGCAAGCTTTTGGAGGCTTTTACAAGCTCTCAGGAAATCAATATCCTTAGGCTCCAAGGTTTGTCTTGTCTTTCCTTTAGGGGGCGCCAGATAGCGACAATGGGTACCAGCCTGAAACCTACGTCATGCGCCGAATACTGAATCATAACAGCAAAGATAAGCGTGAATATGTAGACGTGGATGTAGGCCAGGTTGCAGGCCTCTTTTTCTTATGAAGATAAAACATCTGCAGACGGGATTCATGTAGCCAGCCACGTATGACGAGCCGTTTGCCTACATACTCTATTGATAAGCCATCCTTCCCTTGCGCAGCAATGGGTCAACAATTTAGAGCACAGAGTATCAGCTTGACAAACACAATCAAGAGGTAAACTTCGCGACTATTCGCAATATAAGTAAGCTTAATTGGTGATATGATTATATGTGGCTTGCTATTCGCGAAGAATTCACATAGAGTTTACACACGTCCCTTTGCGTTCGGGATCTTACCAAGTAGATAGATATCCATTGGCAAATAGCAGAGAATAATGCGTCGATGGCCAACTGTCATCCAGCAAAGAAGCCATAATGTGTCGTCCCTGATGTTGTGCAAAGTGTTCGAGCTCTGTGTGTAGCTCCTTTCCCCTTATCAATCGCAACCTTTCAAACACGTTCTCGCACATGCTTTGATGTTACGAGAGAACTAAGTGGGGACCTTAAGCAACACCCGAACCACATGAATTCATCAATTGAACTATCAGCGCTAGGATCATCGTTCATTGCATTGCCACCGCATGCGTACCTGAGTATGTAGTACTTGGAAGCTTAAGAGTACTTCAAGGTTGTGTTGCCTGTCTTGGGTCGCTACCTACATCGTACGCTACTCTCCTATATTAGCGACTTTCCTAATCGAGGACAGATTCCTCAGACGAACCAATCAAAAGGAAAATGTCCCTTTGTGCTCAACAGAGCAGTCCCGGCACTCTGTAACCGACAGTGGTGTTAAAAAAATAATAAGTTCGTCCCATCGTGCACATCTACCAAGCGATCAAGGTTCAACTAATGATTAGGTAAGAAATAAGCCATCGTATTCATAGTTGGGAAGGGAGCTATCTAAGCCCACTGTCCTTTATAGAATCTCAATAAGTAAGAGACTAATTAATTCATCGCAGATGCCCGTTGATCATCTAGATTATGCGGCGTCAACCATATTCGGCGAACTTAACCATTTGCCACTGCCGCCTCCACTATGTCAGATCTTTTTCTCCTTTTGAATTTTTTTTTCTTCCGTAGCCATATCCGAGCGGACTATGATCCGCCCAGTCGAGGCCGCAGACGCCTAACGAAAACACTAAATCCTCAACGCCATACCTAGTCGTAAGGTAGCCGTCGTGATGCCTTTACCATAGACACCTATGCGCCGCCCGTTCCCTCATAACACAATCGAAATCGACACAAACAAACCCGAAGACATTAACAACCCTGAGCGAAAAGGTTCCTTATCTTCGGTATATCTTTTCTCAGTATGATTCGCATATTTCCCCCGTAATCTGATCCCATGACTCCAGCCGTGATTCGCGATATGGTCGAAAGAGGGGTATCCTGTCTAAGACTTTTAGGCCGTTCATTCTATATGACATTTTAATACAAGTTTTGGTGGGGTGGAAGAATTATATCCGAATGAGTAAAAGGGAAGAACTAGAAAAGTAGAAGGTTGAGAAATGTATGAACAGAACATGTTGCCTCAGGATTGAGGCCACCCAATTAATGTTGGGTGAGGATATCTGCCCCAGTCGTGGGCCTAGCGACGCTCGCTGAAGACAGCTTTGGCCTGGTCGGACTCCTGCACTAAGGGCCGGTGGGTATATTGACGGGATGGGGCGTAGGACTGTTGGCGCCGGTGATAAGGAGGTGTCTGCTCATACGCAGACGCTTGACGGGCACCATTGGCATGCTCGTATCCAACAGTAGGAACCTGAGGAATACTTGAATGAGGAGCGGTTGGGGTGCTCTGATGGCGCATATGTCTGTAGCTAGAGTAGGAGGAAGCATGTCCTGATGATGGAGACTGCCAGGAGGGCTGATAGGGACCGGCGTTTCGCTGGCTTGAACCGGAGGAGCTATCGTAATAGCTGGACGGGGGATGCGAGCTATGCGAGACATGAGAATGTCTTAGAGACATGGGCGCTCTATCGTAGGTCGCAGCCTCCGAAAACTGGGTCGGTTGTGCGGAAGGATAATCTAAAGGTGAACGGAAAGTGAAATTGTGCTGATTATCAACCTCCGAAAAAGAGCGTTGGTGAGAGGCACGTCGACCATTGAGGTATTCACGAGAAGTACTGGAGTCTAGAGCTGGAATTACTGGTTGGCCTCCGTTTCGTTGAGAAGCTGACCCAGACCAGTGATCATAACCAGAATTGTTAATATCGGTATCTTCTCGGCCATAGTACGAGTCCTCAGCGTGACTTTCCTGGATGTTGTTGAAAGCAGGGCGGTGGGGAATGGAGTAGGTATCTCGTAACGGCGCCAAGGCGGGTCGTTCAGGATGTCGAAGATTCATACGCGCATGGCGATCGCCGTATGGAGGGGCATCAGATACCCGCTGGCGTTTCTCGACTGGAGCTGGATGCATGGCATCTTCGTTTCCCCAGAACGACGGCTGGCTCACTCGACGAGTCATAGGTTGTGCCTCAGGCCGAAGAGAAACGCCGACTGACTGCGATCGCTTATGGGTATGACTACCGCCGCTGGTCTTTCGTTTTAACATAGTCTTTGGCCGTGCATCATTCGATGCATCCATGGAGATATTTGGGAGGATCTCTATGTCAGGGATCTGAGTCATGTTGGTTTCCTCCATTTCTTGCTTGAGGCGAGTAACAATTTCCTCGATCTCAGCCGTACTGTACCCATCACCACATTTGGTTCGCAACCAATCAGGAACAGCAGTGCCGTTCAGTGTAGCGCTGTCTAGTGCACCAACGTCATCATCATCCTCACTGTCATCGCGGTAAGATCTCTTCCTATTGGATTTCTCCTGTACGCGATTTTGCTCTCGCTTCCTCATTGACAAGGACCATTCCTGGACAATCCCAGGTTGTCCAGTCCGCTTGTTCTCGTCACTCCAGTCTTGGACACGGCGAATCTGCTTCTGGACTAGGTCACATTGAACCCTAGCCCACTCCTGTGCATTACGGTAGCGGCTACGCTGATAGTGCTTCCGACAGAAGTGAACCCAAACATGCGACGGTATGTTTCGAGTGCATGTCTTATTGCGGCCGAATATGTGCGAGATGGCTTTGCGTAGTTGAGAGCCTGTGTCGCAGTTTGGCTTGTACATGCAGACAACAATGCCGCCCTGAGAAGGCTGTTCAGCCAGAGCTGGAGACGGGGATATTGAGGGCATGGCGTAGCCTAGCCGATGCTCAACTCGATGTGAGGGGGACGAAGTGGGTTGGATTGTGCTAGGAAGAGAAGGGAAACCCCGGTTGATGGTGTCTGTAGCAGCGAAATCAGGTGCTGAAATGGCTCTCTTGTGTGCTTTGGCAAAGTCAACAGGAACGAGATGACTGAGGTCAGGTCTGATATCTTTAGCACTAAAATTGTGTTAGCAGCAGAATTTTCGGGTGAATTTCTTTTCAAACAAAAGTCCAAGGTTGATAATGGGCAGCTATTTATAGAGGAGCAAGTCTTCGAGAAATGAGTTCTCGGAGTCTTGGAAGACGAAGAGAAAATTGAGTGACTAGTACTTGGAAGTACAATCACGTTGGGGCCAAAGGTTTTTTTTCAGTCAGTATGACTGAAATAGGCAGCAGGCTTCTTCTGTATTGGATGAACAGAGGAAGACGATAGGTCTCGATAGGTTTAGTTGGGTAATTGGGTATAAGTTTTGAGGAGTTGCGAGACCTTGAAAGTAGCTAGCCAAGCGTGCACAAGCACAGTACACAGTACTCTCTACAGTGAACTCAAGCTTTTCTCAAGAGTCGAATGATGACACTTGCCGGTTTCCGATCTAGGCAAATACCCAGTAGAATTCCTCGACGGTGATAGGCCAATTCAATGGATTGAATGAATGAAATGCAGGAACAGTTACTCACATGATCGGGTTTGGTCGCTTAATCTGATCCAAACTTTGGGTACCCCTCGACATTAGCATAGCATCAGATGGTGAACTGGTCCTTAGAAGATCTGTGACTAAGGGCTCTCCATTGATTGTGGTCACGGGTGGAGATATTATTCCTTCTTTTGTTATCCTTCTATGTGACTCCGTTGACCAAATCTTTGGAATTGTGAGCTCAACGCATTCAAATTGGGTCTCAAGAGAAGGGGTGTCAGGGATGGTGTTGATAGATTGGATTCCTCCAACCGTAGACATAGAAGAGATCCTAGAGTGTGATAAAGAAGTGGATGAAGAAGCGTAAGAAGATAAGCTGCTGTGACTATCAGAGAATTTGTGTCTTGGTGATTTGGGACTGGCAGATTCAGCGGGTGAAGTGCTGTTAGAAACTTGTCGACCTGACGCCTGAGTTGATTTAGTATCGAGTGTGAGTGGAAGAGCATATCCGTTAGCGTCCCACGGCGTCCTACTTCGACTCGGTACCTTTGTATCGCTCGTTCTCCTAGATGGTGTCTTCTCATTGGATGAAATTTCTGATGTTGAAGAATATGTTGTCGTTCCTTCCGTCGTTGAGCAAGTTGAGGTGGAGCCAACTGCATGATCCACCATCCCCCCAATCGTGCTTCCCATACTTCCCACACTGCCCATACTCCGTACTTCTCTACTCATCATTCCATGTCCTCCCCCTTTCCCCAACGAGGTTGAATTTAACAACGACGTGACATCCATACTGCCAGCAACCTAAATGTCAGGTAAACCGTTGTGTTTTTATTAAGTGGAGAACTTTGTCTGCGAAAAGCAAGAGCGACCAAGCCGTCACACGGAAATTCCGATGACAGGTTAAATATATAAGTATATATTTAAACTTGGTCCGTGCTATCAGTTGAGATCTCAGAGGCGATTAAGATATCTTTCGTAGTTTAGACCGTTTCCTGCGTATTATTGGCGGCAAATGTTTATGCGGATGTTCGCCTTGGGATCCGGATAAATAAGACGACTCCGGCTCTCTTTGCCCAAGTTCCAAGTAGACTGCCTTCGAAGTAGCGTGGATGAAATCAGAAAATACTTTCTCCCAATCAGTGTCAACAGATCGTCATTCTCTTTCTCTTTTCCTAAGTGTATCCTGCACTGCTCGCGGGTTTTAAAAGCCTGGTAGCTGGTAATTCCGTTTATACGATAAAGCGATAACCCCTTTTCAAAGAAAAGGATATTTTCTCAGCCAAAGCCCTTCAGTCGACCAAGTACCGGCGAAATAAATCTTCCCTAGGCCAGCCTCACCCTCCCTATTCGTATTTCGATAGCAATAGCCCACCACGAGAGTGTGGAATGGATATAGGCGTGCTAGATTGAGGCGGTGTTGATTTTCCTCGATCTCGTGTGTTGTATTCCGAACATGGAGGAAGTACACTCAAGACAATGCCACAGAGCCAGCTTCACCCTATCGACAAAACCGTGGCAAGATGAGAGCAAAGATTCGAGAGTAGTTTAGATAGGTAGTTGGTGTATAATATGGGGGATCCTAAGTTTTTGTTGGCTCGAGGGAGTATAACCAGGGGGTCTAATAAGAATATTAGGGTTATCAACACTGATCGACGCTAAGGGAAACTGATGAGCGACGGAAGATTGAAACGATCGATGTAACTGTGTGCCCGAAGACTGGAAGGAGACGGGTGTTGCCTGCTTGCGCGGCCACCAGACAGAGAGTATACTCCTATTCGGCTGGGTCGGGTTTGGGGAGAACCGAAGGAAAGGCAATAGTAGAGAGGCCACACGGGACCCCTTGCTATTTGACGGGGTTTGTCTGAAACACCAAACTAGTCGTAGATCTGGTATGCCCTCTATAGTAGAGGATGCCAACAGTAGATAGGCGAGGGGATTTCTTGCCTGGCCGTCCAAGAGCTCTCAAGGCTAAAGATGGCAGGTCGCCTATGAAGGAGAGTGGTCACTTGTGCAGTGTCAGGAACGAGACGGTAGCAGGTGCTATCAAGGGGGACGCAGGGGAATTAGATAGAGACACAGAAAGCGAAGATAAGACGACGTCCAACGGGACGGGATGCTTGTTCCAAGAAGGGAAGAGTAAGGCTATGCCAATGTTGCATAGACATAAAGGATCTGGATACAACAACGGCTGCTTGGGAGGAACTTGGGGAAAAGTGTAACTTGGGGTATCCGAAAAGAAACAGATCCTCGTTTCCGAGTTTGAGACAAAATTCTTTAGAGGACTAAAACAAAAGTTTGTTCTGAGTCCGAACCGGAGGCCGACTATAAGTTGTCAGATAGTGCTAGGTAGGTGTCAATGGATATATGAGCTGAGAGAGAAGGCGGCCGTCATGGCTAATAGATAACCATTATAGGACGAAAGGGTAATATTCTAGAGTAGAGTTACCGCGTGTAGAAGCATGTGGATACTTCACATTATGCATTGCTCCGTGAGCTAGTAGGTGTGTTTGGCGTACCCTGTAGGCGGGTAGGCAGGTATATCATAGATGATATTGGAATAATCCGGGTAAGCTTTTTTTGTGTTATAGGTAGTCAGGTAAAGTTGCTAGAGGGAGGTTATGTGATCTCTCGGACGAATGAGCGAATGGACGAAACCATTCTCGTTGTCAGGGATAACGCCTGCTCTTTCCTAAGAGCCGTATGAGCCGTCGAGCCGTACATACCTAATTTGTCAAGTTATGTAGTGTGTATAGGGATGTGGGGTTCGCGGGATGGTAGAACGTACGGCAGAATATACGGCAGGAAGGTCCCTAGGAGTTGGAAACGAGGGACTCACCCGTGCCTGTGTCAGATCGACGTGTGGTAGATCATGGCGTTAGACGTTCCATCTGAATAGTTTCTTTCGTGATCTTCACAGGGTATAGGTATGGCCTGACTAGGGCACATCCGCGTTCCATCCCGGATTAGTAAGTTATCTATGTGGGTGTTCAAAAGAAATCGCATCCACGACGGGGGGCGGGGTGGTAACAGTATAAAACCTGGGTAGGTGCTAGAATCTAATGAAAATCATAGTAGTTCTGCTAGCCGTTTCTGGCCATTGAACTTCCTACCTGACGTCCATCGTTATTAGTAGACAAGTACCATACTATTCGTATGGAACGGCTAGCTCTTGGAAGGCGAGTCTGACCAGAGACGCTAGATAATAGTACAACTTCCATTTTCAGTTTGTCGTTGTCAGGGGTTGCGACGTTCACATTGTATTAGGTATCAGGGTATCAGGGTATGTACGGCTCCCCACACTTGAGGCTCCAGAGTGTGGCTCAGTATTATGACAAGGTAGTAGTGATATAGCATCGAGAGGGTGGGGCTACCTTCTTGGGTTGCCTCCCGTACATACTTACATACATATGTCAAGCTGCTCTTCAGGCAGATCTAACCGAACCGATAGACGATGTGTGTATGGCATCATGGGAGTGAATACCTAGCAAGCTACTAGGTATACATGCAAGTCTAAAGTCGAGATGATCTACAAGCTGAGACCGGTGGTGGGTCTGAAACTCTTATGCGGTGTTTTGATGCCGAAAGGTTGCTAGCTACTAAGGCTAGAGCTGCGATCTGTGACCGGATTAGCACCAGACCGGCACAGGAGATTATATGCCGCTAGCCCCGTCGGGATGTACCGAGCCTGACAGGGCGAAACCTCCTGTTGCTGCTACTGTGGTCGCATGTTTGGGGACCGCGGAGGCGTAGCACAGCGACCTTTTCTCGTCCAGGCAGCCCAACAGCTCCAGCAGGCCAGGTACTACTGCGGCGCCGTACAAACTGCGGCTGTGCGAGGACCAGAATACCTCTCAATCCTTTAACATCACCGTGAGGCGACAAGGTTTAAGCTAAGTATCAGGTAGAGGATGGCTGCATAGATATTCGTAACTCGTAACGAGCAACTACTATGTATGTATGTAGTTTGAATTCGTATTCCCCGAAAGATGGCCTCGAATTTGATGTGACACGTTGCTAGCTTCGTCCGATTACAATTGATGGTTGATGGGTGATGGGTGAAAGGGTTTGACAGCTAGGCCTAGATCCATAGATGCTTACAAGGGCCATGGCTTGGCTATCTTGTTGCTTGATGCTTGTTGCTTGATGCTGGATGCTGGATGCTGGATAATTATGATTGTAATCTTGCGTTAACCAGCAGGAATTTCGGGTAAGGCTCTTCATGCTCCCATCTATTATCCGATCGTACGGGGGACAAGGAGCCTGGAGGAACGGGTAGGGGTGTAAAGTGAGATATTTTGTCCGTTCTGATGACGAGTCAAGATCGCTGTGCAGGGTGGGTAAAGATGGGCAAGATGGGCAAGGTGGCCGGGTGGCTGATCCGGGGTGGTTGGAAGGTTAGATGCGATTGGCTCAAGACGGTTCGAGTTGACTGTTTCGACTTAGGTTCACTATCGTACGCAGAAGACACAGTCAATCTGCTGGAAAGCTGAATCCAAACCAATTTTCTGGGTCGAAACTCGAACTCGAGACTTGTGACTTGTTTGAGGGTTGGGTAAAAGACCCTTTAAGGTCAGAGGGCTGAATTGTAAATAGGAAAAATAGGGAACATTGAGGCGCTAAGACCATTGAATAAAAGACCCCTGACTGTTTCAGCCCTGGTAAGTTTTTGGATCGCCCCTTGGATCGACTTTCTTGGCAAACTCTACAGCGTACTACTAGTGTATGTAGGTACCTACTCTGCTATTACAATGCGTCCAATACAATTATTTAAGTTTTCGTCTTTTTCTAGAAATAGCAGCACGTGCGGTGACAATCATTAAAACCAATCTGCAATCTACAGTTCAGGCATAATAGTATGTTTGTATAGGTACTATTTAGGTATAGGCAAAGGAAGAAACGTATTAACTAACTGCAAAATAGAAAATTAACAAGGAGGGAATTTCATCTTGTGGGATGATCCTCCATGCGGTTTTTGGTGATACTCTTGGCGGGATTCAACTTTACACAGTACAGAATACAGAATAGTCCTTATCGGTTCATCCGGAACGATGATGAATTCCTGACTTCCTCCTACGACCTAAAAAGGAAATTAAGCAGACAAGCAAAGCTGTCATCCGTTCTACTGTTCAAATGTTATATCTTCATTCCCCATTTAAACGTTTGCCTTGTTAACCGATAGGCCATGGGTCATGGGCCATCCCCTTGTGCGGATCTCAAACACCTCCACTGCGATCCAAAAGACGCGAGAGCCCGGATTGAGATACTACCTAGTACCGTTTCACCTTACGCCCAACTATACTCCATGTAGTATTATGTAAACTATGCGGCTGCGTAGTATGCCTGTTTCTTTTCACAGGCAATTGTTGCGCCTACGTTTTGGGTTCATGTCCGATACTATTGAACTTCTCGTTCATGAAAGATGTCTGATTCTTTACCCAATACGGTACAGTATATATACCAAAGCATAAGCAGAGCCTCGATCATATAAGCTTAAAGTTGGATGCATGGGCAGCGTGAGCCAAGGAGTCAACCTTATCTTTAACACAACCCCAACCCCGAAGTCGTGAATGCCTACCTAATGTAATCATCTGAGGGTAGATTTGATCAGGAATAGAAATCCGGCATTGAAGTTTCGCATACCTACTACTGGATACCTAAACCCTAAACGTCGTGTCCTTGGAGCATACTACATAATAGGTCCTAGGTATGTCTTCGAAACATGTGATTTCTGTCCATCCTTAATAGCATCGTCCATTCATCTTATGAACCGGAGGAACCGAAGCAGAAAGACTTCGCCTTCAAGAAAGGTTTGCTTGGCAGTTTCAGTATACCTACCTAGGTAGGTAGGCATAAAATAACAGTTCCTCTAACTTGGCATACGAGTGTTGGCGTTGAACTTAGCCATGGACCTACGCGTACGCAATGAGTGGCTTGAACGGGACCGTAGACCCTTCTACCGACACACATGAGGCCGATTTAGAAGGGAGAATCGGCATGGTGGGCAGCTACTTCTGATGAGGAGTCTTCAATCACCCATTAAATGCAGCTCTTCTACTTAGATACATGGTGGGAATTATTCCCCGGTGTGTCTATGATTGGACGGACCGTCTGACGACGGCGACAACCTGAGGGCCATCGCTCCAGCCACGTCATCCGATGTTTGATCCCGCCGGGTTAGAGCTGCTGTAAGCTCTATTGAGGATGGATATGGTAACACATTGTCTTTCTCGTCCACCGAAGTAGACCGGAGCTCTATTATTGGAGAGATCCCCGGTTAGTTGCTTTCAATTGCAGCCCATTTGTTCGTAATAAGAATAGCCCGTCACCTCGTAGCTTTGTGGAGATGAGATTGGAGATTAGCAGCCTGAAATCGCGCCTTGTTCTGCAGCCACCCTCTCCGGAGATTTCGTGACACATGTGCTGGTTGGTTACAGAAGAAATTGTGACCGGTAATTGAGCTGTGTATCCACCCCTTGGCCGGGGAGATCGGTCATTAAGCAACTAACCGGTCACTAAGTAGTGACAGATCAAGAACTTTCCTCTCTTCACCTCGTGGTTGACAGAAAGTGTCTCAAGCATTTCTGACGCAGTTCTCCGTGTTGGCGGGTATCGAGTCGCCACGACATATTTTACATTCCGTAAATAATGACTCGACTAAGCGGAGGTGCGCACGGGTTGATTCAATGCGGGATTCCTCTACCAAAATTATACCAAAGGCGAAAATCGGTTCAGGTCCGAAGATGAGCGAAGATGATTAGGTAAATTTAGAAATACTTCAAAAGTTGCTAGCTGTGACCCCCGGTCTTTTCTCTCCCCTCCAAGTTCCGCTGACAAATTCGTCCGCCTTCATATGCCTTCGTCCGTCCGTTAATTCGGCCGAATTTTCTTGGCATCAACCTCAAGGTCAGAAAAGGGCCTCGATCAAGCAGGCAAACGAAAGAATTATGGTAGCTTATTGATAGAATTTTAATTTTTGACGATTCAAGTTATTGTATACGCTACTAGTTGTTGTGTGTGCGCTCAGTTAGCTATTCCTTTTAATTGGTGACCCGGTAATACGGAAATTCCAGTCTGATCAGGGTACCAGGTATGCTCTTATAACCACTGCTTATAAACACAGAAAAAAAAAGTACAGTGTAGATATTAATAATGTAAACTCCAGGTTATAGAGCCATCGTCACTCCGTGGTTCACATAGGACAAAGAAAATGCCCCAGCTCCCTGTGCGAAGTGCAACCGGTGGGGGAGACCCAGAGGCGAAGAGAAGAAAGATTCGCAAGGGGACACATAGTTGTTGGGAATGTGAGTTCTCTCAAGTATTTCGGTCTTTGTATAGAAACTAAACATATACATTCTGGTAAGGCCGAAGGAGAAAGACCCGTTGCCAATATGCCTCTGACACAGCCGCCATCTGCATTGGTTGTCAAGCACGAGGGACAAACTGTGTAAGCCAGGAATTTCCTAACGAACAGTCACATTCATCGGAACGAGGTCTGTCGCAGCGGATGAATAGGGTAGAGGGTATGCTTGAAAGGATAATCGAGAGAATTACGCCCGGTTCTTATAATCATAGCCAGTCGCGTGGTAAAGCCTCTACTTCCTCCGCCTCGGTCGAAGATGAATTAGAAGACTTATCACCAGACATCCTCCGTCCGTCGGCGGCAGACCACCCTCATGTGATTGGTATCTTCGATGCCCTACGAGAGGAGGGAGGGTCTTGTCCTTCAGCCCGCACATCGTTTGTGCCGACTCCAGCATCAACCCAGAGTGACACAGCGCCGGGTCTTCCTGTCAAGTTCTCACATATCTCGAAAACTCTCCACGCGACGTTTCCATGTCAACATGATATCGATGCCATAGTAAAGGCTGTAGGGTCCGGTCCATATTTTATCGCGGCATACTTTACTGGCATCGATGGCCCCTTTGAAGACCCGTCCACCGTCTCGGAGGTTCCGCCTCCGACTAGCCATCCTGCGTTGCTCTCGAAGCGTCTGATGCAATTAATTAACTGCATGCAGAAGATATCTGTAGACGCAATCCCGAAGGACCTTGTGTCAAAAGAGCCAATGCGCTTGCAGATGAATAGGATTGTAAATGTAGTCTTGGACTTAGTGGCTTCCGATGATGACCTAGTCGGCTCGGTCGAGGGCCTCGAGACCTTGTGCTTCGTTGCGTTGTACCAGTATGTAATCTTCGAATCCACACAACCCCCCCATCCTAGCCAAAGACCCCATTTTCTTATATAAGAAAGGTACCTATCACCTAGTCTATGAGCAACACTAACCCTTCTCAGCGCAAACGCGGGCAATCTCCGTAAATCCTGGCTCGCCCTCCGCCGTGCCCTCGCCGTCGCACAGCTCATGGGCGTGGACAGATGGCCCAACGAAAAGCCGATGAAGTCGGTCGACCCACAGTCAGACCCAAGAACGCGCACCCGCGCCGGCAAACTCTGGTACCGCATCAATTTTACCGACCGGTACCTATCGCTTCTTCTCGGGCTCTCCGCCGCCTCCGAGGATGATTCTTTCGCAGAACCTATCCGAATCGCCGGAGACACGCCGGTCGAGCGTCTGGAGAAGCTGCACACCGTCGTCACAGGGGCCATTATCAAGCGGAATATGAATGTCAGCCGCGCTGCCCCGGACTCTGCCTTCGGCACCACGCAAGCCATTGACTGCGACCTCGAGATGGCCGCCAAGTCGATGGGCGCCGAGTGGTGGCAGCCTCTACAAACCTTCGACACGTCCATGGCGACTCCGCTCGAGCTCGTGCGGGCCCATGCTCACGTTATGATGCAGATGAACCACCATCACTTGCTGATCCTACTACATCTTCCCTACATGATGCGGGACCCTAAGGAGCGGCGCTGGGATTACAGCAAAACGACGTGCTTGCACGCCTCGCGCGAGCTGCTGCATGCATACCTAGTCTTCCGCCATCTGACCGACGCGGCCTCTGCCTGCCGGCACACGGACTACGGTGCGCTGACTGCGGCTATGACGTTACTTCTGGGATACCTCGACCCCAAATTACGGGTACGGGATGTGGAAATATCAGAACGGCGCAACGCAGACCGTGATGTGATCGTCAAGGTGAGGGATGTCATGAAGGTGATGGCTGCGCGGGACGGTGATAAACTCGCGCACGAGGCCTCCGATATTATCACGAGGCTATTGCCCCTAGCAGATGTTGATTTGACGATGTCCGGACTCGGAGAGAATGACGCCCCGGTGCGTCTCGAGATCCCGTACCTGGGTACTATCAACATCAACCCGGTGCGCAGGCAACCGCAACACAACCCCCGGCAAGACAGTAGCGGCATGTTACCATCCCCAACCAACCGCAATAATAGCAGAGAGGAATGTGGTGAACTTGAACGCCTTAGTGTTTACCCTTCGCCCACCACCTACCAGGCTCCTGATAACCCCGACCATATGCCAATGGACATGGGCCTACAACAGTTTCCTCAAGCCCAATCGAGTTTTCTGTCCTCTCTTGGAGAGGATGCCAATTTCTCATTCATGCAATTCGAACCGGATATATCTTCGCCATACCAATTCCCCGAGCTCGCGGCTGATGTGGATCAGTGGACTTTTCAGGGGTTCGACGCGACCTTTTTCGAGAACCTGCTTTCATAAAAGCATACCCTCTCTTCAGGGCCCTATATACCTAGCCAGTCGTTGAAACTTGGGACTTATGTGTATATGGTTCGGTATAGATATCCACGCTTATATATGTATATATAATTTTAGGAATGTCTTGTGGACATCCCCTGAAATAGAACATATGTACAAGAAATATTTTCAAGCATAGACCATTGTCAAATTCGACGACTCAAGCTGGACTAGTCTATAGTATTATGATCTGTCCACCTGTATTTTTCGTGAACTTCGTCGGAACCCTTGGCTCCAAGTCTAGGATCTTATCGGCTGCAAATTCGGCTGCGGTCACAATCATAGCCGAAGGATTTCCGGTGACCATGCCAGGGAATATGGACCCATCAACAACGAAGAGGTTATCGGTACCATAGACCTTAGTGTTAAGATCGACGACAGCCGTGCCGTTTTCTTGACGGCCATCATCCGTGCCCAATTTGGCGGTTCCTACGAAGTGTTAGTGGGGTGCGCATAATATATGTTAGGGAATACCAACCCATCCAGTGATTTGAGCGACGTTTGGCAGAAGTGACTTCGATAGCATCAACGTAGGCTTCTGTGGTTTGGTTTGTTTTCGGCAATTGGAACACAAGGTCCTTGACTGTGCTTAAAGCGCTTCTCAAATTCTCAATGCCCTTGACAACAGCTGCCTTGTCATTGGGGTCTCGAAGGTAAGGTGGCGTTGAGACAATCGTGCTCAGGCCAGGGCTGATGGTCATGCGGCCTCGTGATACTTGGCCTCTACCAAGGTATTGGCTCATGATCATGGTGTCTATGTTACTTAGCTCCCCTCTCTTTTGATGCTAGTAAATGATGCGAAAACTTACTTGTGCTATTTGTCTGGTCGGCACCTTCGACACGAGCTGTCCATTGAAGTTGACGAACCACTCCATCCGCGCCTGTGATTTCGTCCCAGAACTGATTATTGTTAGAGGCGCTTTCAGCAGATGACTTGGTAGATGAAACATACCACAGGACCAATATTGGGAGCAGATTGTGCAAGAATACCAGTACGGTTTGCTATATAAGGTCAATTGAATGCTTTAGGTTACGTTATCATTAGGTCTTACCAAGGTATTTTTGCTTATCGGAGGGGATTGGTGTTGTCCATGCCTCGTAGAAGTCGTAAAAAACGACATCCGGATGTGTGAAGTAGGTATCGGTCTGTATATGGTGGAGTTAGTGCAGTTCAATTACTTCCGGGTTACTAACTTACGTTAACATGGTCCATCAAGTTATAACCGACTGGTAGGTTAATCCAGGATTCTTTGTCAATGAAAGCCTTTCCATCAGATGCTGAAGCAGCAACGACCTCAAGTTGGTCAGCTGGACCAATGCCACCTAATTCAATCAGCATATTGTTCCAGGCATTAGTAACGTATCAAGACATACTTCTTAGGAGGAGCTTGGCTGAGCCAAATGTCCCTGCAGCGGCGATAACTCGTCCAGTCTTAGCGGTAACGTCGACAGTGCCAAATCCTCCCCCTTCTACTGTACAGTCTAACTCAACTCCGGTGATGTGACTCCCGGTTCTTAGAGCTCTCCGGACTGGAGTGTTCATCCAGAGCGCGAAGTTATCACGCTTGGCAGCTGTAGCCAGATAAGTAGTCAGGGGGCCACCTCTCTCGCCGCCCGAAAACATGTATGTCGTAGCACCATAAGTATGGTTCTTTTGAGTTGGCGCATCATTCGGAATCGGCACATTCTTCCACCCTGCCTTTGACAATCCGCTGGAGATAACATCAAATCCTTGGTGCATGTATACTTCACCATCTTGAGATGGCTTCGTAGTTCCCGGAATACGTGTGAACGTTCGGTCCGTAGCACTTCGGAGATCAGAGTTGTGCCACCCGGCGGGAAAGTTTTCATCCCAGTCCTTCGGGTTTGCCTAGTCCATGTTAACGTCTAAATTTTGGAAACGCCGTCAAAACACCTTACCTTCCACCACAAACCAGCATTAACAGCCGTGCCTCCACCAAGAACACATCCAGCCATTTGGTCAGTATCAAGACAAGCCACACCATCTGAATCGACCCAGATCTGGTTGCACAGGCCCGGAACATCGAATCGTGTCAGATCTGTCTTCTCAAGCCAGAGGGGCTTCATATTTCCACCCCACATCCCCGCAGATGGCGGACCCTTCTCGATTAACAGAACGCTATGACCCTTCTCGCTTAGACGGTCCGCAATGGGTATCCCACCAGCTCCGGCACCGACGACAATGTAGTCGAATGTCTGATTAGCCATCTCCTTGGCACAAACAGGAGTTGTTGGCGGTGGCACATCCTCACCACCACACTCGCCAGGAACGGTTTTCGTTGCCAATGCAGCCCAGTCAGGGTACTTAGCTTTTCCAATGCCCTCTAGAGGGGCGCCGAATTGCCCGAAGCTTTGGTGTTGTCTAAAAGAGATTTTAGCAGGGCACTCCGGGTTAGAAGGAATAGCTGAAGCGGCAGCTCGTCCAAAGACAAGCGTTCCACCGGTAGTTTCAACGTGGCCGGTGGTGCCCTCTTGATTCCAGGAGAAACAGTTCTGGCATCGGTATATGACCTCGAAGCCAGTGTCGTTGACTTTCGACGAGATCTGCGTCAGAGTTGCGTTTCCGCTATAAACTCCCGGTAGATTGTATCCAGTAGTGAACCGGAAAGACGTCAAAACTTCGCCATTGTAAGGCCAGGCAACGAGCAGCAAGGCATCTGTCATCTGACCCGACTCGCCGTGGGATACTCCACACCACCCGGTCGAACATTGCTAAAATGATACTTAGCAGAGTTATCAGCGCGTCAACCATAACTAAGTACGTACGAGTATACCGATGTACTCCGATGCATCCGTAGTTAAGGCATCTTCAGGAAGAGTTAGGCCAAACGTATATCCCGTAGAGGGCCATGTTCCAAATTCTATCCCTGTGTCTGGATCGGTGTATGGGGTGGCAACTTGGGCAAAACAGGTCTGTAGGGCTGAATGAATTTAGCAGGCGTCATCGTGTCGGGAATCTTAAATACTTACTGGCAGCAGCTGCTATAACAGCAGTTGCAATACGTGAGACGGACGGCATCTTGAGGTCACGGGCCAAGCATCCAAGACCTAGGGAGGCGTGAGTAGGAAGCTATAGAGAAAGGGGATATGAATCGATTAATAAATGGCATCGTATCGGTAGGATCGGTGAAGCCAAGAAATCTCATTGCTTGCCCGGTATTCCGGGAAGAGGACGTGATAGGACATGATCTGCAGCACAGACATAGTATAGCTACTGTTAAAGTCGAAGTCCTTGGCTAAAACACTAACTGGATTACGGAGGACAGTGCCGGGGAGGATCTGTATAGAAAAGGCATAGTACGGATGGTGCCAGTATCCCTATAATAAAACCTGTTATATTGTTGCAAATGCGGGAAGACATCGCCTGTCAAGCCGACTGGATAGAATAAGCGATAGACGCCCATAGTTACCAACCAAGAGCGCGTAATAACAATACGAATCTCATTGATTCGCGGAGGCAACTGAGTAAATACATTATTCGGGAACTCATTAAGCCTGAGGCTAAGATGCTCATCCCGATATCAACATCGCCACGAGTAGACAAGGTACCTAGGCTAAGATCCATGGAATACAGGAAATGAAAATATCGGCTCGATCAAGCCAAGTCGGATGTGTAAGGGGAAAGTAGACGATCGACGGAAACTAAACGAGTCCGGGGACTAAATTTCTGTCAGGAACAGATGAACTTCTGGAAGCTTGAAGCCGCCTGCCAATGATAGGTGTCGGAATGGTCAGGCATTGGGGTTTAGAGGATTACGCATCCGTGAAAGTGGGAGGGTTGGAGGCGAGAAAGATTTTAGTAGGCGATTTGAACGGTTTGGGACCATTGACCCCCCGTCTTGGCGGCGCTACGGAGTAATTAAGTACGAGAGGGCTGAATATTCCCCACATCTTTAGAGCTCTTCAGGGCCGTCATTCCACTTTCCCCCACAGTCTCAAGGTTCTCCCCGCTTCCATCCCCTTACCTTCCTATACTTTAGATCCTACCTGCCCTACCTATCCATTTTCTCTGATTTTTAAGCATTCAAGCATTGAGTTTTGTTTCTTTACTAAACCTTGGAATCGCTGCCTTACATGGATCCCATGCATTGTCTTATCATGACCATGCAGGGGTTCAATTAGCGACCCATCCCCAGCCAAGTATAAGGTTAATTGAAGATTGATTTGGATAAATTTAAGTCGATTGGACACTTTCCCGGTTGGTCATCGGCGTTTCCATTGTTTACCCATTAACATTTCTCGCTTCTCAGCCTATATCCCCGTTGAAAAGAAACCTTCTCATAATTGTGTAAGCGTCAAAGCTGGCACGTTTCGTCTCTTCCTACCCCGAACCCTCCCAGATCTAGGTAACCCTTCCGAAACTAACCCGCCTAACAGTCCAGTCGGTTACAAGGGCCGATCGGGGTTACTAGGTACCTATCACGAGATCACGTTCTACACTGCAGGTGCGAGAATTCCTTGAATTTCTTGCTAGAGCCCTAGCCATTCTTTCGCTACGTATTCCGTGTTGTCAGATCAACAATCCTAGAGAAGAGTCTACAAGGGACCGATGCGTGGTCGACATGTCTTTGACGGCTCGCTCTTCCACTCGAGAAAGGCAGCATCGGTGTTCAATCTCCATTTATGCTAGTCCTCGTTCCTAGGAAGTTTCTAGAAAGCACGCCAGCGATACGTTGAATACCATTGGACGACGAGAGAGATTGTGTAACATCTCAATATGACCTCTATGTTCTTGGGGATCTAGTGAGTGGTACGCAGAACGGCGTCAGAATAAACGGGCCATGTGCGAACCACCAGAAATGGTACTGTATTACACTGTGCTCTCATTTACCCCCTGGACTATCTAACTAGGCATTTAAGGATTTTGCCACAACACTAGATAGTCTAGGGGATAAGTCAACTCACAGTGTATCACAGTAGTATTAATACATGGCTCGCACATGGCTCACTTATTCTGACGCCGTTCTGGTACGTGACATCAAAATGCTTTTCCAAGCCACATACGCAATATACACAGACATATATCTAACAAAGTCTCGATGCTTCCATTAAAAGTAACATTTCTTATGCTGCATGGTTAGAATGTTTTGTGATACACTTACTTTCATCAAAAGTTTGAATATTGTGTTATCTTCACAATATACCTATTAGGTGGGTAGACGGACATACACCGAGTGAAAGAATACGACGACAACTTTTCTAGTGAGCATATATATCAGTAGTGTAGTGAGACTTCACTATACATAGACGAGTCGGAGATATATGACAATAAAGTCTATGTATTACCCTAATACGACTTAGAGGTACAACCTATCTCTTGGGAATTGGTATAAAAAGACTTAATGCCGACGAGATCGACAAGAGTCTTATGGTAAGGGAATCTCTTAAGTATTCAGATATGATGATCATAAAATCTCCCCGTTAGGGATAGATTCATGCTGCCTCATGAAAACCAAAAGACACGACTTCACCATCTCATACTAGTTATGCATATTCGCCCCAGCTCTCTTGGTGTCGATTCGCGATCCTCGTCTTAATTCGACCTTCAGAAAGAAAAGGTCGAATCAGATTTGCAGTTCTCTCAACTCAGAATTAAGATCACAGGACTATCCAGTGGCAAGAAAAGCTTACACGATCCTGATCTAATACGATCCTTGCTAGCCAGATCTCGCGCCCATTTCTCCGGGGGTCTCAGTGCCGAACCACTGCCTGCTGTGAAGACATCGTGCATATAATATCTATTTAGGATGTAAATTGCCCGGCACCAAAATACGACATGGAACAACCCGCGATAGCCAACCACAGCGATGGTATAATGAGGCCGTTTAATCTATCTTATTAACAACTTCTCCTATGATGCTTAGTTCGCAGGTCTGACCCCCGTCTCCTTGACTTGGTCAGCCAGCCCAAGTTCTAGCACCAATCATTCTCCACGTTCGATGACTGGAGCCGCGGCCCGCTTCATATACAGAATCTGGGGTTCGATGCACACAGGAGCCAGCCAGAAGGGACGAGAACTGCCGAGGGAAGAAGTCTTGTGCAGTTTCGTTTTTAAGGATGACCCAGAGCACCTACGTAGGTAGCTGGCAGAGCCTGCTACTTACTTCAATTTACTAGTAACCTCAACTCCAGGAAACAGATTTGAACCAATCTTCCGTAGATCGCAATGAAGAACGTCGTCGCTCTCATCGCCACGGCGGCTCTCGCCGCCCAAGGTGTCTCCGGCCACTACATCTTCCAGGCGCTATCCAAAGGCACCGCCAAGGGTACCATGTACGAGTTCGTCCGACGAAACTCCAACTATAACTCTCCCGTTACCGGTTTGTGTTCCCAATCCAAGGAGTGAAGTAACGTACACCTGCTAATATTTGAACGTAGACCTATCCTCTAAGGACCTCCGATGCAATGTCGGTGGTGCCACCGGAGGCAACACGAGCACCCTAGAGCTGAACGCTGGTGACCCATTCACCTTCACCCTCGACACAGCCGTGTACCACCAAGGCCCGACTTCCTTGTACATGTCCAAGGCCCCGGGTACTGTTGATGAGTACGACGGCAGCGGTGACTGGTTCAAGATTAACGACTGGGCGCCTATTTTCAATGGCGGCTCGGCTTCCTGGACTATGTCAGGTACGGGCGAGTTCAAATCCCTTCACCGATCCATCGACTAACCTCGGATTAGGCAGCTACTCTTACACCATTCCCAAGTGTATCCCGAGCGGCGAGTATCTCCTGAGGATCCAGCAGCTCGCCATCCACAACCCCGGCGGCGTTCCTCAGTTCTATATCAGCTGTGGCCAAGTCAAGGTCAGCGGCGGTGGTAGCTCTTCGCCCTCGCCTACGGCCAAGATCCCCGGCGCTTTCAAGGCGACCGACCCCGGCTGTGAGTTTCCCTCCTTTTAAACAAGACGATATACTTTACTAACCTGGACCACTAGATACTGCAAACATCTACAGCAACTTCCACAGTTACATTGTCCCCGGTCCATCTGTTTTCACCTGCTAAACGGGTAATTACCTAATTACCTATCCATGGCTTGCATAGTGTTGTGCGGGATTGTAACAGACGAAGTAGGGAAGTCTGGATATTACTCCATACGATGTATCTTTATAAGATAGATCACCATGAAGCACAATGAGCATTCATTAATTTGTCAAATATGAAGTGTACATACATGATGAGGTATCTTGGTGGCGTAGATTTCCATTGGAACAGTATTTCCCAAAACGGTGCATCAAGAACTATTCGCAAAGAATTTCGTTATCTTCTGCGTACCAGGCTGCTTCGTCTTATTTGGGCTCCTCGTCCGATTTCTAGTAGCACTAATCTTTTGTCTCCCTCCTTTCTGTGGTGACTGCGGTTTATCTAATGCGCTAGGAGGGTTTATCGTCGTCGCAGGTAGCTTCTTCAAAGGCTCCTCGTCATTGAGCATATCCTCAGCTTCCCTCTTGACACCCGCTACAATCTTACTTTCTTCCTTTACTTTAGTCGAATCTTCCGTGACGAAACCTTCTTCCTTCTTAACCTCGATATCCGGTTGCTCTTTCTTTGAACCTTTCTTCGTAGCGCCCTTGGCAAAGAAATTTGCTATATTGGACTTATTTTCTTTGCTGTCGACGGGAATGATGAAGGTAGGCGAGTTGTTGCCTACTTTACCGACATCCTTGCTGACCGGATACACATCTAATTCGCCCTCATAAGGGTTCAGCAGAGCCTGTAGTTGTTTTGACCATTCGTAGTGTTTAGGGTCCAGCCACATGCGTAAGTCATCAGACCCATTCTGTAAGATGACCGGCATGCGATCATGGAGGAAATTAAGTTGTTTATTCGAGCTTGTAGTGATAATCGTGTATGTGTAGTGCTTCTGCTCGTCGTCTATTATCGATCGGTTAGTACTACAGTCTCTGGGGTTCGCTCAAGTACTTACTCTCATATTGTACCACATCCCACAATCCAGCGAAACACATCAACCTGCCATCCTTCCGTTTGACATAATGCGGTATCTTTTCTCGGCCTCCATCCTTCTTTAGCCACTCGTAGAATCCCTGTGCGATGACGATACATCGCTTTCTTGCTTTCATGGTGCTCCACATACCGCCACTTTGAGCGAGAGAGTCGTCCCTACAGTTGATAGTTTTCATCGTCGAACCGAAGTCTGGATTACGTTTGGTCCAGAACGGAACTAGTCCCCATTTCATGCTCTGCAACTTATAACTAACGGATTGAGACTCGGATGTGTCATCCACAGCCCCTTCTCGAGAATGATTCTTGATTAGGACTTCGCTAGAAGCATTGGCGTGCTGTTTTGGGGGGCCTGCTCCCCAATCTGGAGTGTTGGCGCGATAGACCATGCCATGGTAACCGGGGGCGAAGTTATAGCTTTGCCTGGGAGCATCGTCGCCTTCATCTTCTGGTGCTTCGTCCACGACCATATCATCATCTTGTAACAATTGGCGGATTTGCGCCGGCCGCTATGATTTAGTTGTAGTTAGTCTACAATGACCTCGTTGATGAAATGGTTTATTACTTACCAAGACTAACGAGTAACGCCCGCACATTATAAGATACGAAACAAACGAGGCAGAATGAACATATTAGGTTAGATGTTAGATAAGCCCATGGAAGAGATATATCTAGATTGTAGGGCTAGTTGGTCCGTTAGCTATGGTAAATATAATCATCCCAAAAGTTAAATTAAAGAAAGTTGGCGTTTGTTGAAATTAGCTATGACGAAATGATTTTGGCATCAAACAGCTTAAACGTGGAGTCAGGTGATTCTTTCTTTTAGTTCTAATTCCACAAGAACTGAGCACTTTAAGAAATATCAAGGCGGTCCTCCGATCTAGCATCACTTAACTACCTAGACAATAGGCTTTTGAATTGGTGCTTCGGTTTCGTGTCATATCATTTAGCGGCCTACGACATGGCTACTCAGCCCCATAGAAATTGTGTAAAAACTCAATGGCATCGGTCATCGTTTATGTAGAAAAGTGGTCAACTGGTGTTGTCAGTGGTAATTCATCTTATTCTGTATGAATTCATTTTGCAATTCCGTATCACGCCAAGCCATGCAGAATCCACTCCCGAAGCAGATCTCTTCCGGTTGAGAATTGCCTCCATGGTATATCCGAAGAGACGTAACGCACGACCTAAACCAACCCAATTTTCCCTTAGACCTTGAAACCACGCGACCGTCTGCGACCACGAGCACGCTCGAACTTGCGGCCCTTGGATTCGACATAGGGTTTCTATAGATTATTAGTATATCGTAAATGAGGTAAAATGGCTTCCAAGTCAACGTACCTTGTGCTTGTGAGGACCCATGCCGAAGTGCTTGACAGCCTCACGCGCGTTCTTGGGGCCGCGGAGGAGTAGGGTGTTGCTACCAGTAGGGGAGCGTAGTGCGAGCTGGTCGAGGGTCAATGCCTCGCCACCGGCAGCGGTAATGCGAGCACGGGCCGTGGCAGTGAATCGAAGAGCAGCGATAGAGACCTTCGGGACCTCGAGTAGGCGGTTGTCGTCGGTAACGGTGCCAATGACAACGATGATCTTTCCCTCCTGATCCTTGGAGAGCTGGCTCTTAACGCGCGAGAGGGAAACGGGGGGTCGGTTGGTGCGGGACATAAATAGGCGGCGCAGGACAACCTTGTTGAAGCTGGAGTCGGTTCGGCCTAGAGAGTAATTGTTAAGTTAGTATTATATCATAAACGGAATGGCACACATGATTTATGATTGATAACTTACGGGCCAGGAAGCGGTATAGCTTCACCAAGAGCTTGAGGTAGACATTGTCGCTCTTGGGTGCCTTGCGGTGAGTGCCGCGCACGTGGTGACGGTCGAGATCAATACCTATTCAGAGAAAAAGCCATGGTCAGCTTTTTGGTTCAAATATGCTCTTTCAGGCGCATCTCAGAGGATGATTCCTGATTGTTCGCAGACAGCGAGAAAGACGAGTTGCATTGCGACAGCTCGCCTTTCACACTTCCACTCGCATAGACATCTCCAAATAAATATTAAACGTACCCATCTTTACGGTGACTCTTTGCAATAAAAGAAAGAGAGTCGATGGGAAGAAGAAAAGCTGTTGTGCTGTTGGTTAGTATTGACTGAAGATTGGGAAAAAATCTCAAGTGGACCGAAAAGTTCTAAATCATAAAAGATAGATGGAGCGAGTTTGTGCGAGTGGGCGGTGTCAGCTGGCAGTTAGGGTTGGTCAGTGTGGATCCACATAAACATGAGAACTTTAATCGCTTGGTCCAAGCGCCGGATAAAGATATGTATGATTATGTAAGTACCTAGTAGGTCTACAATGAATTTGGTACCTTAGTACTGTGTACCTAGATACCTAGGTACATATAGGTACTTTGTACAGTTGATTGAATCCATTCCTACATTCGTAAATATCAAACGTGTATTATATGTATAACCTACCTAGTACCTATCCATTCAATAAGTAACGAGGAATAGTGTCCAATAAGTTGAAAATCTTTCAAATTCGCTGTACTTTTCTATATAAAACGTTGTCTCGACGCTACCCCAATAGGATGACGACCTCAGACTGCTCATGCCGATAAACTCCCAGCCGTACTTATGTGACATGAATATAGCTCAGGTTACTCTGCGCAATCCATTTTACCATCTCAGCTAGCTAAACCTGGATTTCCATGTTCCTCTATATGTTTATATCTACTTCGTACCCTTGCCTATTTTAATGTTTGATACGCTGTTCCGCATGTCGCATCTGTTACCAAGGAGCACCGACGCCATTCCACTTCTCACTACCTACCCAGCTAGGTAGGCAGGAGTCCTGCACAACCATAGTGCATATCTAAAAACGTAGTGTGAAGTACAGCCCGAATGTAGTCTAGAAAAATAAAGGTATCCAACTAGAATTCAGCTCCTTTCCATCTATAGGACCACCGGCTCTGGCTTCAGGCCAACCAAAAAATCTCTAGTGACTTCAAAACTCAGCCAATTAGCAGCCATACTAGGAGCAACCTTGAGTAGGTTCGGGATAAGGCCCTTATACAACCCGCGCGGGCCTTCCTGTGATATTATCACTCTGACAGCATCGCCTATCGATTTATATTTATAGCCCATGCCAGACATAGTGTTGATTTGAAATCTCCGTCGCAGTACGTCACTGGGTCTCTGTTAGGGAATCATGTCACGAACCAATATGAGAGCGAATATAGTACTCACAATGGATATGTGCAAGTTTGGGCAACAGCACCAGATACGGCGCCAGCAAGGAGCTTTCGTGCCGCGCTAGGGTTCTGATCGCCTTCGGGAGTCAGAACCTTACGGACGAATTCATATGTCATGAAGTTCAATCCTACCTAAGACACCGTTAGCAACCCTTACTTACATGGGTATAGCACCGCATGTGAAAACTAAAAACTCACATATGGAGCCACTCCAGCAACAGTAGGTATTATACCACGATATAATGCCGGTACGCCGCCCTCTTCTTTATACATCACCGACATCGTGGTCCACATTCCTGGTAGCTTCTCCTTCGTTGTATGACCGAGCGCCGCGAATGATGCCGATTGAATAGATAGTCGAGTTCGCACGATGTCAAGCGGGTACGTGAAGAAGACAGAGGTGATTCCCGCGATGCCACCGCAGATAAGCCTCTCAAAAGGAGACAAAGGGGCTCCGGGGTACTTCTCGAAGAAGTGCTGCGATTGTTGTTAGTTGGGTTAACTTGCAATTGCCTCTCTTCATAGTAGGCATCGTGCATCCATCACAGCCTGGATTGAGTTGCAACGTATATAACAGTGTGCGTAAAGAACTCACCCGCTTGTAGAGATTATAGCTGCCGAACTGCACCGCAGAGTAGGGGACGATACGAATACAATTGGTTCCGTTACCAGCCATAAAACCTCTCCAGCCTTCTTCCCTCCACATCTTGGCAAGCGCCTTTCCTACTGATAGTTTATATTCATTGCGACCAGCACTTTGTACTTGAAAAAGAATTTTTAGACGCTCGAGAGGGGATACGACTGTCCGCGATACGGCACCGGCGACACCACCGGCGCAGAAAGCAGCGACTACCGGTTGTGAAACGAAATCGTTGAATTGGCTGCCTTTGTTTCCATCGGCGTATTTAGCCTTGACGTCTTCCGAGCTCTGGAGGGTTTCAGTAAGCTGCTGCTACTAATACGTGTCCCGTTTTTCTTTCCCAATTGAAAGGCCATGCTACAATTAAAACGGAGGAGACATACAGCAGCCATATTGGAACCTCAGCCGCAAGAAGACCAAGAAGACGAGAGGAAGTCGGTCGGCGCAACGGAAGGGAGCAGGCGGCGTGTAATTCGCACGAGGCTGAAGCAGGGGGCCGAGAATTTTGCGCGCGGCTGATACTTGTGCATGTATATCGGGAAAGAGATATTTTTCGGATATGACGATTATGGCGACAATGTGATTTCTATCGAGAATAGCTTGACGATGCGGGCGACATAGTCGAGCTTGTTGGTCGGGCTATCGAGGGCAAACATAGGTGACGGCGGTAACTGCGCAGGATTCCCAAATAACCTCCAGAGGTGGTTTGCTCAGGCGCGTCGCTCTATGTTCCGTTTGGTCAGATCATCGAATTGACCAAGTTACATAGAGCACTCATGATCGTTCCACCTCTTGGATATATGCTATAGATCAATACCACTTTATTGCGGAAGAAGAAAGCGAGCGTATACGATATGATACTTTAACGGCGAGACGAATGAAAAGACCAAAGGGGTGAGAAGGAGAAGAAAAGCTTAAGAGCTAGGAATTTTAAGCTACGAAAGATAGGATGGCAGGACGCAGTTGCTAAGGTTTGAGTGGTTGAACGGGAAGGAAGTCGGCCAGTCGGAACTTGGAGAAAATTTGGATTTGGGTCTTAAGGAGAGGGGGAACCTTGGGAACTTGGAAGTCACTTGCTGAACTCACCTGAGACTTTTTTACTGACAAATATTAACTGCAAGTGACCGTAGCACCTTGCTATTTATGCATCTATTAATATTAAAAATTAAGATGCTAATAGTATTAGAAGAAATTAGGAGGACCTAGATGGGATTTAGCAAGGACCCATATACTATATTACGTATTAATATTTTACTGACATTTAGATTTTACGAAGCCGTTGAACTTCAACTAAATTCAAACGAGTACCTACAGAAAGGAACATCCATCAGTTTCTAGGTTCCAAGAATTCAAGCGAATAAACATATTCTATGAGCGTACAACTAAATTTATAACAGTGAGGTAGGTAGGTAGGATAGAACAGAATTGTCCTTCGAGTTGATCCTCGGCATTGAGATCAGCCCCGTAGAGCTTGGACAAAGCGGAACATTGATGCATCTAGTAGGCCAATACAAGGCTCAGGTCTTACGGAATCAACTCTAGGTTTGAGGATTCTCTGCATCGAGCACGACAATGCACTGTAAGAGGACGTATTCCTCCTTACATCCGTTGATCCTTGTGCTATTATGACGTGACTAGACATGAGGGAGGTCTGGCAAGATTGGGTACAGCTGTCATTCGACTTGAATATGCATGAGATCTTCATTTTAATACGTATTTTCTGGTTGGTTACATACCTATGTAGCTTCTCCATTAATGCCCACATGTATGTATGTACATACATAATTATCATAGCATAATGCATACATTAAGGTTAACAAAGCTTCTTCGCATTAGAGGTCTAGGACGAGTACGTGTTAGCGTGGATAGCTCTAGCCTCTAGATGAAGCTCTAAACATGCAATATACTTGATAAAGCTGTCTTCCAGGTTCGGATAGCTTTACTATTTAGATTATATTATAACAATTGAGGAATTGAGTCTTGGAGTGAAGAGCAGGGAGGTGAAGTAACAACATATTATATGTATAGTTACCTATGGTTTTAGCTATTATGTGAATACCAAAGAGGACTGGATTTACAACGCCAACTACTAGAATACGAAATCAGAAGAACTGCATTGCATTCGCCTTAAACTATGAAGTTGACTAACTACCTAGCTGGAGAAAACCTCGTCGTTTAGGCACATATCTGGCTACCTAGCTGCATTCATGATCCACCTAGTAACCTTTTTGCTGTCTCAAATAGAAAATCCTCACGGTCTCAGTGGCATCGTTTCCGGATTCAGTCTTTCAATTAATAGTCGGATAACTGCCTCGTACGTCGGTCGATGAAATCGAAACTAAAAGATGAGTTACAGCCCAATGTAGAAAAGCAATTACCAAACACCCGTGTGACATAGGAGAACTTTTTAATGTTTCACACGTTGCTGATGCGACTCGCCGTCGCAGTGTAAGATAGCCAGGCCAGTTATACTTATCACTCTGCAACGTCCAGGTCCTCGTGTTGGGGCGGAGGGCTATCGACAGCTATACCAATCGTTAGCACGTTGTCCGTTGCGTTCAAAATGAAGATGCACTTACCCTTTCGGTCATCGCCATTGGTGCCATTGTCACGGCGGTCGCGGTCGTCTCTGTCGTCACGGTCGCGGTCACTATCGGGTTTGACTGTAAGCTTCAACTCGATCGAGGACTGAGTCGGGTCAGTGATAGGAGACATGGATCCATACCGAGTATCCGGACTGCGAGAGCGGTCACGCGTGTCACGACGGTCACGGTCGTAATCGCGGTCGCGGTCTCGTCGATCGTCCTTACGAGGAGAGTAATCACGAGTGCTACGACGGGGTGACGGAGAACGTCCGCGGCGTGGGGATCTAGCTCCACGGTCGCGTCGCTCACGGTCACGACCACTATCGAATCGCCAGGACGCAGAAGGAGGAGTACGAGCCCACTACATATTTGTTAGTTATCAATACTCATGAAGCAAATAGATAGTTGTCAAGACAACTCACCTCAATTTTCAGAAGATCATCACGACCGATGCGCTTGTTATGCATCTCATGGTACGCATCATCAGCATCACGACGATCTTCATACTCCACGAAAGCAAACCTAGAAGTTTCAGTCAGAATCGAACAGTTGTGGTGATGTTAGATTGGTTTCACTTACAGTCTACTAGACGCAGATCGTGGTGCTGGAATATCACAGCGGACAAGACGACCATAGCTAAAGAAGTTTGATGTCAGCAAACACGCCGAAAAGGTAACTTTCCCAATGATATATGATATATATTTATATTTGCATCGAGTGCAACAATTTTCGAATTCCCATCGCGATGGTTAGGGGGACGTGGAACGATGGATCTAAGTATTTCTGACGCTATACGACCGCTCGATCGAAATAGATGGAATGCTGAGATGGATACGGAGGGCGTGGAAGGCAGAAGCGTAGACAAGAAGACGGATCGAGGACTCGAACGAAGCCGAGAACGACGAAGCGAGGTCGGGGTGAGGACGAGGAGAAGGCAGGTGACATCGGACACCGCATCCGTAGGACGGTCGATCGATTCACCGACGAGGATTATAGGACATACCGTTCGAATTCGTAGGCGAGGTCTCTAGCACGCGTACCGTGGCTGAAGCCAGTCACGTACAGAGTAGTACCACCTCGAGACATGATGGCTACTAGATACTTTTAAGAGTAAGAAGAGGATTGAATGAAAAATGGGTTGATGAGAGAAAAGTGAGAAAAAGGAAAGCCCCGACGAAGTTTCAAGTCGAAGAGGCAAGAGTTGATCATCAAGGTCGCGTGTTTAGCGATGAAATTGATGAAGGACTAATGGTAGGATTAGTTCGCGGAAAGAGTTGAAGTTGGCCAGTGGTTGGCTGAAACCATAAAATTTGCTTTCAAAGGGGAACGGCAAATTATCGGGGGAAACAACATTAGCTGTCATTGCCTTTCTATACAGTGTCAATTCAGTTGGTAAGAGCAGAAACATTTGCATGGCGCTATGATTCGATGACGTAGCTGCGTGGTTAGTGGTCTTCCATTGTTCTTTCTATGGGTTCTTTCTATATGTTTGTACATGAACAAGGGAAAGGTGCCTGCAAGTATCTCTTCTCTATCTTAAACTGAGAAGTTACAGTGAAGTACAGTTTATTCAATCGTAAAGTAGAAAGTAACACGGAGCTGGCAGACAGTCGTTCATGCTCATTCATAGAAGCATTGGTACAATTAGGTATATTAGTATTTCGGTCTTCTGATTGGTTCCTCGTCTTAAAGGCTACAGTTTCCGAAAACAGTGTTATAGTCTTCAAGGTTATAGACGGTCTTTGAATAAGCATATTGTTTGCATGTTTCAACTATCAACTTTTTTGACACTAGTCTGTCAAATTCAACAATTACTAGCTTGCTTACCCAGTATATATTAATTATAACACCTCTAGTTAGTATTATGCGACAGTCTGAGGTATGCTGATATCACCAAATTTGCAAAACCTGATGTGCTGCATAAGCGCTGCATGAGCCATAAAGTCGGGATAGCATTACGGAACATAATGTGTAAGCGTGAGAGGTAAGACGAGCCCTACCTAACTGATAGGAATAACCTGAAATATCAACATATTCTGGTTCCCGTTCTACAAAATATGTATGTCATCAAATACCCAACCGTATGAGAATTTTCGAGAACCTCGATCCAATCAATGTTCCCTAATACTATTCACTCTAGCCACTACCAACTTGCTTACCCGAGGTAAATACAGGTATCCAAAAGCGTGTTTCAATCAGTTGTAGCGATTATTATTACGGTTTATTTATTTCTTGAGTTATCTCGCAGTACCTAGGTCCTAGGTACCTAGGCAGCTAGGGTAGAGGAACCTCATAACCCAATCGTAGATTTAGGGGAGAATAGCGACAAATACCGCTTCTACCGAAGACATAGTCTCATACTTTAATACCGAAGTTAATATAACACCTTGAACTCCAAGTGCCCCTAGTCCTTCCCAATGTATCTAGTCTCAAGCACACCATAATGTCATTTGCTCTCGCTTCCGGTGCCCTCTATAACGCCAATATATACAGTGCGCAGTATATCAGAGGATCAAGTACAAACTACACAGTAAACTAGGTCCAGTGAAGATCCCGATCCAAAATATCATATTTCCCACCGTCTTCTGGTTGCGAAGCCACTTCGTCCGGCTCATTCTCACGAGTGGGAGTTGGCACATCTGCAAAATAAGCAGATAACCGCGAAGTTTCTTGAATATACACCACATGACAAGCTCGTGAACGCAAGCTGACAGGAAGAACGTGATGAGTGTTGCAGTATGCTTGTTAACTCGCATGGATGAGATTGAACTGTGATATACGTGTCGTAGGAGAAAATTGTGGACAGGACGGTTCCAGTCGCGTGCGTATTGGTCCCAGGAAACTACATAGATGTGAGTAACCTCATACATAGATATAGACAAATTTCAAAGTTGTATGAGTTGATAGGTTCCAACATACCGGAGTTCCACCACGCGTCATAGAAGCTTCTATCCGCAAAGGAAGTAAGCTCGGCGAGTATATTAAGGACTGTCTCCCAGATCAAATACCAAGCCAGCTAGAAAAAAACAGTAAGCGACGTGACCAATTGAATAGAGAATATTAGCCAAAGTGAGGGTGGATGCTTACTAGGTACTCCATCATGAAAGGGAAAATAAGGTCACTCAATAACCATGGGAATTCTCGAAACCTCTGAGCAACTGTCCAACCTGCCTCCTTCATGGATACAGTTCTCATCACGACGGGGTAGATAGAAGCTTGGGAGATCATGATCATAACAAATATAATACCGAAAAGAGCACAAGTTTTCTCAGCCACGTATGACCAATCGATAGTCTCAGACCGAGGATACTGCAGCTCATATACAACGGTAGGCAATACAATATATTCGTAATGATTCCAGAATGTAAGGTTGTTTGGATAATAATGTGTTGGGTCCGTCGCTTTGCCCCGGAGCTCATCCGTGAGTGCATCAGCCTCCCACTTTATCAGTCTCTCGAAGACTTGTAATTGTTCCATATCGAGCGGGTCCGCTGCTTCGATTGCATGGAATATATTCTCAATATCATCTTTATCGGCCGATCTAGATTTTGACAATGAATGCCGCCTTTCATGGTACTCATCTGCAGACGGAGGGTGGGCGAGGTGAGATGTGGACAGAGTAGAAACACGCGGGCTTGTGAGCGAAGGAGATGTGACTGGCGAGATACTCTCTAGTTGTTTCAACTTCAGCAAGAGGCTCTAGGGATCCATAGATTAGCGAAATAATAGTGAAAAGGAGTGTTTCGAGTGGGTTATACAAGGAGTGACACCATCGGTAAAATAAGGGTATATACTCACTCGGCGTTTTTTATATACCGATGAAAGGTGGCCGTTATAGAAGGCATAGGAATGCTGCTTCATTAACATCACAAGGCCGTGGAGAACGAAGAAGACAGTATCTGTAATAGAAAATAATTAGCACATATTCTTGTTTCGGAGTTTCAGGGTTCAACAAGGGGCACCACCGGCGACTTGGTTAAGAGGATAAAGGAGACATTGGTGCTGGTAAGGTTTCTTACGCGTCCATGGCCAGTCCCTCACAAGCGTGAGGCCAACCACACTTGCGATGAAAAAGGTTTGCCATATCTATAAAAATGGTTAATTAAAGAGGCATTAGGTATAAGCTATGATGCAACTCACGTTTTGTAGTACCCAGCCTGATCTATTCCAATCGATATAATGAAGGAATACGAGGCGTTGAATAAGCCAACTCACCCCAGTCATGCCGCACATGACTCCATCGGAGAACAAGAGGACAACCACTATGTCAATGGTTAATCGTTGCATATCATACCAGATATAGTGGTTGGTTTTCTAGGATATAGACTTACCATCTCTTCGAAACATAGACTTCATAATCTCATTGGTGCCTAGTGGGTTTCCTGTTTTCCTCCAATTCTCCGCTCCCATCTTAATGATATAGATGGCCAAGCCGATCCAGAAAAGAACATAAAAGCCGTGAAATGGGCTATTCGCAGTATCCTGGTTTTGCCTGTCGAAAGCCGAGAACTGCCTAGTGAAAACCATGTCACGAAGTTTCTCACCTCGACTTGGTGATAACTTCTCTTTCTCCTATCATACTCATAATTTTAGCGTTGCCTAAAGGTATATAAAATTGGTACTTACCCTTTCCAAACCCCTCCTTAGAATTTCCCGGAGTTCTGCGTCATCACTAGCCACCACGTAGGTTTTCTTTCCCTTGGCCGAAGAACGAAACTCGGGGGCGGACAATGATTGATGAAGCTGCTCGGAGCTTGACTTTTGATTGAGTTCTGGATTATCTAGCGGTAGGATCTCGGGCGTATCCGATGCTGAATTGTCATATGAGTCTAGCTCTGCCCTGCGTCGTAATAGGACCGGTTGCGGTAGATTGTCCCTAGCCTCATAACCTGAATCACTGTTGCTATCCGACGGCGTATCTGGCGGGTGATGTACAGCCCTCAAAGCTTCCGCTAGAGCGGTTGGGTGCTGCGTTTCATGTTTAGAGTGTCCGTCATAAGCATTGAAGCCTCTAGAAATCGGATCGGGATTGTGTTCAGCCGGTCGGGGCCCCTCTGCTGAAGACATATTTACCTATCTCCAAAACGGCGAGAGTCTCTGACTACAGTCAGACACCGGTATAGTGGAGAACGAGTTTAATTAATAGCTATAATATAATAGCAATTGACCGGAACCCTCGGTACTAAGAGTATAAGTAGATGGGCTGCTTGTCTCGATAGAAAGAGATGGGAAGCTGAATGGGGTTCAAGGGGATTGTCAACTTTATTATTATTAATTATGAATGGATGTTCGGGATGTGGCCATTTATATGGTTACAGTGCCTGGACTTGTCGAATCATAAACCACAATTCACTTGATGATCTCGTTCATTCGGATCGTGTCCAGTCTTCTGTGTCGCCACCTGATTTCAGCACGGTCGGCGCAACCGGGCGAAATCGTTCTCGTTTTAAGTACTAGGTAACAAAGCTTCCGTATAACCCGGTTGGAGCCCGATGATAGGAATATTGGAAGATTGGATGATTGATTACCTAGGTTCCTAACTAAGGTACCTATTTAATAAACTCCTTGATTGAAAGCCTGAGCTATGCCGATCTGACCGGCGACGTCGGAATAAATATAAGATCTTTATTAGAGGGGCTAGGAAGAACCGCTAGAAGAGGTTGGAATAACAGTAGTAGGTATGTTTCGTATTGCCTAGTAGGAGGCTAGCGTGGTAATAATCAATACCTATAAATGTAAATCCATATCAGCAAAACCCGACTTTAAATCAATGTCTTTGTTCCTTCTTTTAGTTTAACAATAGCATCTCCGTCAGCCTCGGACAGCAGGAACATTCGACGTAATATGATTGTCATCCTCCTATAACTGACGGACCGTTGGTGACAAAAGGGCGGGGCACCGTTACACTGCATAACGCCTACAAACTTCGAAAATGCAGTCAACTTATAGGTACATCTATAAGTACCTAATAGCCTAGGTAGGTGTTTTTATAGGCGTAGAAATACTACGTAGGTACATAGTTACCTATCTACATACCTGGAAGGCAAGAAATAAATCACTCAATGTAAGAATATACTCATTTTCTGATCTATAAAATAAAATAAAGGAACGATGCCTGAGTGAAGACTGCATTCGCAACTTAGTAAGGCTAATAGGCAACGCAATAAGCTTAAACGTATCATCGTCAGATTCTCCCTAACTTTTCCAGTAACCTAGACCCTTCGCTCATTCATTGCGTTGTGAGAGAAACGGAAAACGGAATTTCCATCTACTGCATCTTCTCGTGAGTTGCCATAAGAGAACCTATAACCCATAGTTAGCAATAATTTCGTCGCTCTCAGTTTGAAAGACTGGGCATCTTACCGATAAATGTGGTAACCAGTCTACTCCGGACTTGGCAGATATCCTCGGGGACCAGCCAGATAGTTGCACCCATCTTTCTGGCAATGCTGATACTAAGCTTGGCATTCAAGTATGCGTCTTCATCAGTCTGACCAGGGGTGACAAGGTCATAATCAACATAGCTACTCTTCATGCCGTTTAGGACGTCTAGGAAGAAAATACCGCTGCCGATAGCGGGGTCCTTGAAGGACCGGACCGACGAATTTCGGCCTCCTTTACGAGACATTTCATTAGCCCATCTCACCATCTCGGCATCAGTGATCTCCCGCTTCCCAAGACGTTGTGCTAAAGCTGAGAGCGTCAGGGTTATATCCTTTCGCATGAGCTGCCAGACGAGACCCAACGTGAGCAGCTTGGTCCCATCAGTGATATCCGCACCCTGAATTCCAACAAGGGAGAATCCATTCTGTTTGCCAAGTTCGATAGCATAGTTTGTGTTCTCAATGGCCTTGAATCTCATCAACTCGCCACCATGGGCAGGCCTCTTGTTTACGTGTCTCCAGTTTACTGATCCCTTGATAACCTTGTCGTAAGCTTGTAATAGAATAGAGCCGTCGCGAAGATCGTCGAAGAAGGAAACGACCGCTGGTTGTACGTCCAGACTATTCATCCACAATGTGAACACTCGAGCTTCCCGTTCACCTTCAGCATCGAAGTCTTCTACCTCTTGCTTCTCCTCTTCAGTAATCGGGTCTAGAGCTGGATGGGTGTTGAACAAGTTGGCAACAAAAGCTAGGTTGAGCTTAGGATTTCCTGCCACGAGGGAGGTAGGCGTTAAGAACTTTCGGCAACCAAGCTTGTCGGCGTCAACCAATACTTGTTCCGCCCGTTGCAATAAATCGCGCGTTTGAAGAGGAGCTCTGCTACAGCCGTAATCCCGTCCAATCTGTGCTAGCAGAACTGTGTAATTCTCTCCATCCTTCACGTCGGTCGAGAAATTACCGACTCGGCGTTGCCAGCCGGCTGCCTTGAGATGGTAGTTGAACCATCTTAGAAGGATCTGTTCTGGCGGTAATCGTAGAAACTGTTCTAGCGTCTCGTCGTCCTCGAGTAATCTGTAAAGTTCGGGGTGAAGTTTGATATCAATCTTTCCTAGGAGACCTCGGCGGATGATCTGCCAAATCAGACCTAGAATCAAATGCTCGCGGACCTCTATGATATCACCGCTACCAATATTGACGACGGAACACCCAATACCTTTAGCAGATTCGATGACTATGTTGTTGTTCTCTGTCATATGGAACGCATTCAATTTCTTGATCTTCCTGCCGGGGACATTCATTACACGTTCGTCGATCGTGTCCGGGACGCTGTCATTGATAAGTTTAGCAAGTACAAGACCATCTTTGCACTCGTCAAACATCTCGAAGGTGTCGGTTGGGAAGGGCAACCGGCTCCCAATATCAGGATCACCAGCCAATACGGCGTTGATGTGGCGAGTGAATTCGGTTCGCTCATCCTCGTTGATAGTGTGAGTGACGTTGGCACTAGAGCCTTGTACATGGATCTTGCCGATGCTTGCTTTGGAGGAATGTCCACCTGTCCTCTGAGCTACAACACCTGCCGGAGAAGATGGCGCGGCGCCACCGGTATTCATGCGTCGTTGTGCGGGAGACGATTCGCGCAGCTTTGCGATCAACTTAACGAATATCAGCACTATAAGCGGGGGTTATCGCGGAACCATCTACTACTCACGCCGACATAATCTTCGAGTTCGACCCTCCTCGAAGAGTCAAGGTCAACTTCTTTCAGGGCTTGTCTCACAACATCGTATGGCTGTCGCTCGCTTTGCTGAGTAGCCTTGATGGCAGTAGCTTCGTCGAGGTAACCTTTGTCGTCGACATCGAGTCTGCGGAAAGCGTCCGTTAAGGAGAAGATGTCACCTTGTTCGAATTGAGGATATTTCCTGGTGATAATCGATTAGCTTGGCGACAAAAAAAGAAAATTAGAAAATTAGCTCTTGAAAAAGTACCTCTGAAGCTTGATGACGTTCATGACCAATAGATCCGGACTTAGGGAGTCGGTAGTGACGGTTGATTGGACAAAATGGTTGAATAACAAAATGACAATTCACGATGTTTTCGCGTACCGGTCTTGCGGAATTACCTGCAATCGTTATGTATGTAGCAAAGACTTGAGGAAAGGTTACCGGATTTCGATATAGTGCAGTTTATGTAAATGATGATGAGAAGCTCTCAAAGCTCAAATGTGTACTGCCTAGATCAGGCTACCTTCGGGTAGGAAGTCAGAAAGTAAGGGCCAACATTAGAAAACGTATAGGAGGTTTCGGCGGGGGAGGGGGGCAAGCGCCGCAATTGTTACTGCTGCGACACCGACGTAATTTCTTTATTTCCCCCCTGGGTCTTGGTCTTGGCTACCTTGGCAAAGCCACAAGCCACAGCAACTTGCGTAAGGCTAAGCGTGTACCTAAGTATATCCTAATTTAGGGCAGGCAGCAGGCAGCAGTCAGAGTCGGATGTGGTGGAAATGGAAGGGTTGCACAAAGTAAGTATAGGTACGTACTGTAGGGACATACATACATAATCCGGTAGGCACTGTATACATTTGGATACCTCTAATGTACCTGCTACCGATCCCACGGAACGTCAAGTATATAGTGGGTAACGAAGATGAAGCTATTCTCACTTATTACAATTATCCGTGTGTGATTCGGGAATGCAGTATCATCTAGTTAGTTAAAATAGCTTCTACGGATGTTCCGAATGCATGCTACGTGTACCTAGTATGATGTAGCTATACAACTTGGAAGTACAAGATGTTCGATAAAGACTGTTTACACCGTGTGGCTTTATAATAGAGCTAAACTGGGGATCCGTACTGCAGTTGCTTCCCCGCTCTTCAGAAGGTCTATAGTGATCTCCAAGTGTTTCCACCAGACAGCACAACGAATCTATACCCAACGAGCCAACCTGCCAACGTAATACAAAGGCAGGTAATCGGCGTGTGTCTTGTCCTGATAGTACAAGTGAGACTCAAGACTTGATATTATTGATTATCATTAAGTACATGATATGTTCGGTCGAACAAATTTCCATGACGACAGTTCAACCCTCTTTTCCTCCATATGTACGAGGACAAGTATGTTTGGGGACTCGCAAACATGCACTCTTGTGATACAAGATAGGAGAGCTAGGCAAGATCAGCCAAGTCAATGAATCCCTAATATTTGGACGGTCGTCCAGAAGAATAGAATCCGAGAACAGGGATATAGATGGCTCCGTCTCAGGATGCGGGCTCTAGAAGTTGGAGTATCGCAACTCCTTAGTTGGAAGATGATCGAACAAGGACGTTCTTAGCAGTTTGTTCCAGCTCCGGGTAGACTAACCCCTCGATGCGTACGACTATCTCAACCCAGGCGTCGATTGTCGTCCCTGGTCGATATAGGTCGTGTTCCGTTGCCGTCGATAGGTAATCCCGATCCGCGACGCACGAGTGTTTCTTTGGCCATGCTGACAGCCCAACGCTACCATATCGAAATGTCGCACTTGATACGTCATTTACGGCCATCCCTAAATCCCTGAACTCTACGCTGCGCCGAAGATGGTATCAGGGGCAATGGTGAAGTTCATACGTGGCCCGGCGAATTGGTTGTACTTGGTCTCGGCCTTTCCGGTATAATTCCACCAGGTCGACGATGTGTTCAGGTCAGTAAACTTGAGGCTGACTTGAATCTGAGGTCGAGAGTGCGTTTCATTGGTCGCATTATTCGGCAAGAGGAGCTTTGCAACGACAGAATATTCGGTTCCCGAATCCTCGAGATTAGTACAAGCTCTGTAGTCGGCACCCTCGCCTTGTCCGTTACAGTACGCCTTGAACGACGGTTTGGCAGGGTGCGCCGTGCCATTCCCAATACCAGTCACGTTGAAATCTAAAATGAATAAATAAGCAAAGAGGGTGGGATAATCGGAACTCTTAGGAATTTACCATAGGAGCATGCTCCCTTCGAGCAACCAGCGCCCCATTCTGTCACCGTCCAATTCCAGGCCAGGGTGTTAGCCGCGATCCGCATCACGCCCGCCGATGCGGTACTGGCGCCGGCCACGGTAGCTAAGAGAGAAGAAATACGCATATTGACGAAATAACAGCAATGCTTTTTAACGAAAGACTAAAGGGTGGCTAGTTCGAAGTACCGGAAGTAATATCGAAACTTATATTAAAACAATGAGTGTGATGATATCACAGACCGACCAGCATATGGGCTCAGAGAGGAGTTAAGGAGAGTCACGAACTTTTAAATGACAATTTGACCAACCAACACTGCAATCATGCTTTGTTGAAAGTAACATTCTTGGCCGCTTGGTTCCTGTCGATTGCTTCTTGAAAGGAAACCAGGTGGACCTGATTCACTCGTGCAAGGTTGCAGGCAAAAATGGTAATATGGAGAATGTCCGTCAGTATCCCTGCGTCTCTACGTCGATCAAAGGGATATGAACCCGCGCCATTGGTGAGCGAAGAAGCCAAGCGCGATGGCGCTAGGTTATTCTCATGTCTGGTTGTCGATCCATCCCTATGGGGAATTAATCCAAGAAAGAGGAAATAAAAGGGGGCTTCCTCAAACTCCTACAGGATAGAGGTACTTCGGCATATGCAAGGACATAGGTTGCGGGAAAGTACCCCCCCTTCCCGTAGTCACCCCACACAGCCCACATCATCTAGAAAGTTACAAGAAAGATACCCACTAATATACTTAGATTAAACACATGTAACTCCTTATTCGTTAATTTCATCGTATTCTTGTCATCCCATGCGCCTCCTAAGCCTCATTGTTTCTCTTACTCAGCACCAAATTCTTTCTACACAGTAATCCTATCATGAACCTCGGCTGTTCGATATGAATTAAATTATCTAATCGATTTAATACTAGGTACCTATCGAGGCTGTATGTAATTAAGCTGCATGCAAAGGATCCCTTACAAGTTCCCATACGTTATGTAAATACGTATGAGTTGCTCCAAAGGTTTAAACCGGATAAATTTGTGTGCCTCTCAGTGTTGCAGCCTTTGTACTCGACATATGCCGATGATCTCATTCTATTCAATCCCATCCATCCATCCATCGGGCAAACATAAATCATACACATTAGTTCGAGCCCATTCCTCACCGCTAGGCAAATATAACTGAATAATAACACACCGTACATCTATTCCTACGGGCGCAATACCGAATAGTTTAATGAAACACATCAAACCAGGTTCCATCGACTCACAATAGGCTTCTTGAAGGTCGCCCATGGATGATTGGTTCGGAAGTCATCTTTTGTATCTTAGCCCCGAGGCTACGTAGGGGTTTTCTACCATATCGGCTCGGCCGGTCTGGCTACGTCCGAGTCAACCCCCGGAACCACCGGCGCTCCGAACAGCATCACTCAGATATCTCATCAAAATGATTAAAATGTTCATGGCTTCGGCAGAAAATGTGTAGAAAGTGGATATTGTTCATCAAGATTTACTTTGAACACATAACGCAATCCCGCATATAGATAAGATCATTCCAATCCAGGTATCTAGAGTCTATTTAGCAAACGGATATCTTGGAGTGACAATATTGATAGCTCACTTCTACTTATGACTTTCTTATCAACCCACCAATCGCCAAGTACTGTGAATAAGAACGCAAGCGTGTTGACAATAGGCACGGTCAAGCTGAGTTCTATAATACATGTTAGTTGTTCAAGTTGCTGATTCTACCTAGGCACCAATGCATGTAAGGTTAAAATAGGGTTGATATACTAACCAGCTTGGCCTATGAGCAGGAAGAACCAAACACTTCCCGTCAAGTTGATCAACAATGGGATAGCATATCTCGGATTCCGTAGCAAATCAATTACGGCGAAAAAAGCACCGTAAACTTTGCTCTTAAGCCAACTCGCTTTCACATCATCCCTTTCAAGTGACAGATGAGCTGGTGGGTTGTGATCTCGAGCTGCGCGCCGGATAAACGGCGTGGTGAGTCCCCAAGCAATTCCGACAAGTAAGAAACCGGCGACGTAGTTTATGGCTGGCGGTTGAGGTGGGTTCTGAGGAGATGACATCCCGGGAGAGCTGTAATTGTTGATTAAGTACCTAGTTAAGTAACAAGAACTTGAAAGTAGTTGATCGTTGTTGATGAATGTAAATGTTCAAAATGATCAATGAAACAGTCGGGCTTCGGATACGTTTAGCCAAGCCACAATGTGGCTTTCATCGGATAAGACACAACCTTGTACTAGGTACCTATACATAGGTCCATTCTAACAAGGTTGGAATCATGTAAGAGTTGCAAGTCCCCGTGAATTTCAAGGTTGCTTGTCGGATGCCGGTTTGAATCATTTAATATACCTACTAATAATTTTTACGGTATAATACACGAACACCTACATAGTAGATACCTAGGTGCCTAATATTCAGTCTGTTAGTAATTATATATCCATCTTATACCTAACTCAATTACCCTCAAGTGACATTCTCATCAAAGTTCCATAAAAGTTCAATACAATTAACACCATTTTCAATCATCACAAGTCGTCGTTGCCAACCCCCTAGGCATTATCAATATTGTCTAAAGGGGTAATGTCTTTATTTTTATTTTTAGCATTGCTTATACGTTGAATGCTGAACTCGTCCGTACTTTTTGCAGCCTTTGAATTGACATCATGATGGGGCAGTCGACTCGTCATAGTTTTGCCAATTTTGCTTTTCATCCAACGCACATGCGTCGATGAATATCTAGACATAATGAGATTCCGCGGGGGAAGGCGAGAACATATCTGCCGATAATCTCAACAACAGGCTCTTAGCTTTTGTTAACGACAGATTGAGTTTCCCCCACAAATCTAGCATCTAAGATTCTAAGATTCTAACTGTTATAGATAGCTAGGCCTAGATTTTATTGTATATTGTTCCTAATACGGCAATGGGGTATGTCGTGATGGCTTCCGTCAAATCATCCAGCTATCTGGCAATGGTCATATGTCAAGACCCATTTAAACAAGCTCCGAAACATTTCTATTGTATGCATAGTTATCGTCTTTCTATGATACATCGTTTCAACATTGAAGTCATGAAAGGCTCCACTGATATAGTATTGGATGACCTACTTGGATACGCACATGGAATGATGTTGTCACCAATCATGTTCCGAGGCTACATCATGTTTTAGAGCCTCACTGTTAAAAGAGTTGTGAACCTACTTGGCCTAGCAGCCTAGTAGTTGAGTTTGTTTAGTAGTTGTTGTATGACCAATCATTTGATAGCTAGCGGGGAAGACAATTCGCAGTCCCTGACGATTAGATATCGAGACGGGCTGGACTTGTAGAACCTATATTGTGGCAGGCTTTAGTGTTGTTAACTAACTCGCTCGTACCTAATATGTAAGTAATTTTATGAAATCATATAACCTGTCCTACCTAGGCTGAAATAGTCAGAAGTGGCTTGAGTGGTGATGGTACGACCTCTGACTATACATAGTCTTGTCGTCATGACTTGATGATCCATACTGAATGAAAGTGATGATCAGTAAGAGAATATGAGTTAACAGCTTGGCCCTGGTGAGAATGCAGCACAATAAGTGTAAGCATAGTTTGAGGAATTGGGTATAAAGAGGAGTAGGTGAACCCATTTCCCTCTATATATCCTAAATGTGTCTCATCATCGCATCTTCGACTGAAAGTTGCATATTTAAATTCACACGACCAGATCAAACATTCATCCATCATGCCTACCGAAGCTCAAGTCGCCGGCGGTCACAAGGCCACTTTGAACAACCCCAAAGTTAGCCAAGAGGCGAAAGAACACTCTAAACAAGTTCTCGAAAACGAGTTCAACGGCGGTGATGGTATGTGACTAATTCATAATGATGTTGGTTTGGATTCTCATCATACTTGACAGTGTCCAGGGCAGGAGATGACGAGAACAAGAATCCGGGCAACGTTGCCGGTGGTTTGAAGGCGTAAGTGTTTAAGCTCTCAAGCTAAGATATCTGATGCTAATAAGAATAATAGAACGATGAAGAATCCAAATGTGTCTGAGGAAGCCAAACAAAGCGCCAAGGAGCGTCTTAATCAGATGTAGACTTAGAATTTGGTGGAATTTCTACTAACCATACTGATACTTGGTCAGTGGGTGTCGTGGATCATCTTCAGATATAACTTATGGTGGAGCAGAACCGTTGGCATAGCTAGAGAGAATGAATAGAGCATGTCCCACCATATAATCCATATTCTGCACAATGATGGAGTGAATGCTCTTTCTTTTCCCCTATTGTGGTTCGAAATATGCACTTACGGGTCTATGCCAACGTGCCCGACCATGGATAGAATTTGATGCGTTTTCGCACTGCTGGACGAAACTTGGGAGTAGGCGAATCGGTGATAACCATGTCGAGAAATGGAAATAATTTGCTAAAGACCGTCCAGAGTTCGGAATCTAGAACATCCTATGTATTTAAGTATTTATCGAAAGCTAGATTCCCCGAATTCTTCGATTTGTTCGAGAATCAGCTCCGGAAGATCGGCGTTGTTCTATATATGGGTCGCCCCACATGAGCATACGACAGCGACCAGACTACCGAGCGGTTCGTTCGTCAGCCTCGTAAATCAAGAGCGTACTAAGTATGTAAATCATACACTCTTAAAGCTGAACTTGCGCCTTTACTGCCTGCGATCTATGGGTTGTTGTTACGTAAACGATATGTTTAAATTCGATATATATACACCATGGGGATATATACTGTCGCGAATCTGTGTTGCGTACAGACTTGAAAGGAGAAAAGGAGAAAATAAGAAAAGAGAGAAACGAGCCTCCGACATTGCGTCAATCGTTCATAAGATCAGCTGATATGGTTCTTTAACCGATACGGTGGGAATTGATCTGAGCCGTCGGAAAATATAGCCGGGCGCGTCATTTAGCTATTTAGCTGTCTCGGCACGGTGCAGTGCCTCGGGGATTGCGCGTCTGGGCTGTGTAGAAGTAGGCATCGATATTTCCTAAAAGCGAAGAAATGTAACGAAGCACGACATAAATCGATCTTGAGAAACCTCAGTTGAGAGAATAAGCATGATAACGTTTTGATTAATAGCAGATATGATAAGACTGGTACCTTGCAGAAAACCGAGTTTAAAACAAGAAAATTGAAACTTAGGAAAGTACCTGGACCGTTTATCCCTACCGCCGTACCTCAATCTCGCATTCCTATTGGCCGAAGTCCACTAAACAAAGTCCCTGTCAGCTTCGTTCTAAGCATCTCGTTTTTTTGGGGAGGCGGGGCTGGCGGGGTTTTGGACTGTGGAGGTTTTTGCTAGCAGTACCGGTCCTAGCGCCGTTACACTAAGAACTAGCAGGGGAATATTCAGCCAACCATAAGCCCCAACCTCATTATTTTCGTCACCAGCCACTGAAATTGCAACCGCTACCCGCCTCAATTAGGTATGGTAATCCCTTTTGTTACCTCGTTAGCTTCCACACCTGCAAGTCATCGATTTTTCTTCATTCTACTTTCTGCATTCTCCTGCGTCCGGGTGGGCATAACTCCATTTCCAATTGGGGTCCTTCTACTTCATAATATTGAACGTTTTACTTGGTTCTCTCTCATTCATTGGTTTCGTGGGTTTCGTGGGTTTTTTCGTCAGACGTAATTTTCTTTCTCGTTCCAGTCGTTAAATCCCAACACCGACGACACCGACTCTCGCTTTGATCAACTTACTAGCTAAGCTTCGTGCAGCTTAGCGTAAACGAGGCTGGAACTTAGGAAGTCAACAAAGACATTCATCCCTCTTGTCACGATTCGAGTAAACAAATACCAACGACCTTCGACCTACGACCTTTAGCATCTAATTTATTTCTCAATTACCTCTCTCGGCACCCTCGATTGTGCCAATTGAACGAGTATCCGATCACGACTTAAGACTCATGAGAGTTAATAGATAATTAAGCAAAATGACTGCCAAAGCGAAGCCGTCTAACCCGTTAAATGGAATGCACACAGCTGGTATCTTTTCCGATATGAGTGTCGATGGACCCGATATTGGAACTCTAGTCCTCATCGTCGACCGAGCAAAGAACCTCCCAAACAGGAAGACAATTGGGAAGCAAGATCCTTACTGTGCGGCACGGTTAGCAAAAGAAGCGAAGAAGACGACTACAGATATTAGAGGCGGGCAGACTCCAAAATGGTGTGTATTTCATCTCATGATAATTATACATTCAATCTAATAATTGACTATGATATAGGGACCAGGAACTTCGGTTTAATGTTCACGACTCACCTGATTACTACCAGTTAAAATTATCTGTGTTTAACGACGATAGGAAGACAGAGTTGATAGGCGAAACCTGGATTGATCTTCGCGATATAATTGTGCGAGGTGGCGGCCAAAGTGATCAATGGCATATCCTGAATTGCAAAGGCAAATACGCTGGTGAGGTTAGGATCGAGATCACATTCTATGATAGTCGTCCGAAGCTAGAAAAGCCTGTTGCAAAAGCGAACGTGGGAGCTACAAGCTCCGACCCGGATGCTATAGTCGGATCTCAGAAGACCGCAGTAAAACGACGCCCTCTACCATCCGACCCGGTTACCGGCCAGGTACCTTCACCGTCGGTGACAGAATTAGTTCACACGCCATCCCCGCGGGCACAGCCAAACCCGCAAGCCACATTCATTCCCAACCCAGCATCACTACAGGCAATCGAATATGGCACATCACCTTCAAACAGACCTAGCAACCTACACGATCAGTACGCCCAAGTGCAGAATCAATACTCGACACCACCTCACCGAGCAGAACATCCACAATATCGAACTTTGGATAGGAATTATAAGTTCCCTACCCAAGAGAACGAACATTCGCGATACTTAGATTCTCACGCCAGAACATACGAGCCCGATCCTCGAGCATCTTTTAACTCTTATGAATCTCCCTCTTCGCTAGTTCACCAGCCCCGACAATCGATTGAGAATGACGACTGTCCTCCACCTCCACCCGTACATCGGGTTAGGAACTCGAGTGGAACTTCACACGAACTAGTACCTCGTGGCGCATTTGATACAGTCCAGCATAAAGCTACGCCGCCGATGAGACACGACGTTTTACGAAGTGAGGCTCATCGATATTCAGTCTCCTCCCCATCGTCATCCTACCCAGGACGTCCTACATATCGTCCTTTTGAATCGGCACCGGAAGTACAAGGAGCAGTGCAGTATCACGACAGCGATATCGGCCACCAGGCTGCTCCGCGACACTATTCTTACGATTCGGCCTACGAATCTCATCACCGATCGATGCAACCAACAGTAGAAGATGTTCCAGAGACTTGGACACCACCGAGCGCTAGAGGTAGACTCAGCGGGTCTCGAGCACTCGAATATGACGAACGGGAATTCCACCAAGGCCCAAGTCCTGCACCGCTGAATTTAGGCGGACGGGGGAGTGCGGGATCTGGTCATTATAGCCCCTCCCCTCTCCCCTCACAGCAACAATATGAATCTAACGGCTTCAGCCCTTCACCGGAGCCGATGGCTTCTGAAGACTATTCTCAAGCGCTCACATTGGTATCTCGACCATATTCAAATTATAACGAGCATTCTTTTCGTCATCCAAGTGAGCTAGAAGACAACCAAGTTCATACGCCAGGTGATTATGACCTAGCTCCTGTGCCTCCGACATTGGTTCCAGGAGTCGACCCTGCTTTAGCGCGAGAGATATCAGATCGATTTCATCAAGAAAGGAAGCAAGGTCGTCGATATACCCAGCCTATTCCGGTAGATATTCCGAGTCGAGGTAGACAGCAAAGTGATCCGCCATCGAATTACCTCGTTAAATATTCACCTAACGCTCACTACGCAGCCAATTCAAGATCCTATGAGAGAAGCGTTGTTCCTTATTCTAGTGGACCAACTACCCCTTCTGTTCCAGTACCTGTTACTAGACCTCGGGGAACATCTCCAAATCCAAGTGCTAACCGCACGATCAAGCGCAAATCAGTCAGCCCAGCTCCACCTCCATCTGACGGCCGGCGACTCTCGGGTATCCCTTTCGGACCGGATTCGTACGATGCTCTGAACCCTACTGTTACGTCCAAGGACGCATCAAGCTCAGAATATACTAATGCAGAAGGGAAAATTGTGACCTCAGATGGAAGGGAGGTCGACCCTTCAGATCACTTACCTATGGAAAGCTGGGCACCGGAACCAGAGCCAAAGAAACCGACCGAGTCTCTCCAGACACGATCACGTCCAATTCCTGCAGGGGCACAGCCAATGCCACCTTCCGGCCGACGTCCACCACGCGAACTCGCTCGCCCGCAGTCTATGGCTGGTCTACCAACGACATACACCACTTCTGAGATGATACCTTCTCCCCCTGCGAGCACGGGACGTGCTCGATTACAGAAGAAAACACATCGTGCGTCAGCCTTACCAGCAGCTATATCTTCGGGTTCTAGTCCACTTGGTCCCTCGACACCACACCAGCGCAACAGTACGCCCCCACGAGCACTTGTTCGTGCTAGCACCTTTGATTATGAGAATCATGGGCCTGGTGGCGCTCGTACGGGGTATGGTAGCGGGCCGCCGATTCCGGCTAAGGTACCGATGATGAGCGGTGGCTTAGGGCCATCATCCGGACGAGGTGGTGAGGAATGGGCGCTTATGGAGGAAATGAGTAGAATCGACATCGGTACGGGTAGAGCACGACGACACGGCGGATATTGAGAACATGAGATATCACAAATTCTGAAGAGAAGGCGTTGTACAGTATAGTGTTTTAAGTGGAGGAGGCGGGAGTGATTTCATGCTTATCGTGCTCATCGTTCTCTTTTCTACAATTCCTATCCGGTCTGGTATATTATGGGTCCCTCGGAACGTTTGGAGCCAGTTGCGTTTAGTCGTGGTGATTTAGACAAGACTCTTGGGAGGGTATCTGGTGCGTGGAAAATAACACGGAGGGCTAAACGAAACATTGTCTGGATATTAGTTTAGACTTATTGTGAACGATTCGTCATAACACAATTTAGAAGCTGAAAAGCTCAGCTACCTAAGTAGGTAGGAGCCAGCTCTTGTTCTACAACAGAACAGTTTTGGTCAGGTACCTTGCGAATATACGAGACTTCAAATGATTTATACGTCTCTTCTTGTTTGTGATGTTGAATGTCTAGGTTGCAATTCCATGCTCTCCTGGGTGTGAGAATACAAGATCCATTCGAACTAGTGCTCTAGGTAGTATCAAAAGTAAAAACTTTTAAAGGTAGCGAGTTCGTGGTAGCACGTATGCATCTTTCTCTCGCCCCTTTCCCCATTCCTACACGAATGCATGATGCTTAATGGCGATATCTCGTTCGTTCGAGTACCCAGGCATAAAACCAATCCTAAATCGCGACCTCTTTTAATAAGTAAATACCGTCGATTTAATCGTTTTCTTTTCCCGACCTACAACGCCGTCGCCATGCAAAAAAAGAACAACCAACTCGTGACTGTCACTTCTCCTTTCTCTACCCCGGTCAAAATTCTTTCCTCCGGAGTCCGATCCTCCTTCATTCCTAATGTATCACCGTGTAAAATCACTAGTGAAACCCCATCATCACTCCATCCCAACCAGCAGAGTCCCCAACATCCCACCGGTCTGTGTCGCCATCTGTGCCCTCTCGACCTCGAGACGCACGCGGCGGTGCAGCGTCTTGAACGCGGTCTGGAGCTCGGCACTTCCGCCCACGAACTCGGCGTAGAGGTCTAGCAGGTGCGCGGAGACGTCGACACACACGCCGACGTAGCGGGGGTCGACGATATGCGTCTGTACCCACTTCAGCACGGGCTGAACGGTATTCTCATCGCGGCCCTCGAGGGCATCACGAAGCGCACTGCGGTGTCGCAGTGCCGTCAGCACCGTTAGAACCATTAGAGAGCTGTGGTCCTTGGCGAGCGGGTCGAGCACGCGGTCGAGGGCGGCGCCGAAGCGACCGTGTCGCAGGTCCTTCTGCCACGGGGTCTCACGCTTGGGTCGGGAGAGGTCGTTGGCGATGACGACGTCGGCGCCCTCGCCGACCATGTCTAGACGCTTGGAGGCGGCGTGGCGCTGCTTGCGCTTGTTCTTCGTCTTGTCATGTGTGTCGATGGTGCCGGATAGCAGGGCCGACATCTCCTTCTCCCTCTCGCGCTCGCGCGCAGCTTCGGGCCCTGTCAGCCGTGTGCGCAGTGAGAGAACACCGGACTGCATGCCGACGGCTAGGTGGCGGTCGTCGTCGTTGGCGCCGGCGGTAATCACGCGGACGGCGAGCACGGGCGAGGGGTACTTGACGCCAGCGACGACGTTCCAGCCGGTGGTCTCGAAGATCTTGACGTGGCCGTCGAGACCGCCGGAGACGAGGCGGCGGCCGTTGGAGGCGAGGGATAGGGAGGTGACGGTCTTCTGGTGATTCGAGATCACGTGCTGCGGTTTCGCGGCCACGAGGTCGAGTACGGAGATCTGGTTCTCGGACGAGGCGAGCACGGTGGTGCCGGAGGGTAAGGGTAGCACGTCCTCGATGGGCGCGGCGTGCTTGAAGGTCATGACGGCCGTGCCGGGCGTGCGCGGGTCCCACAGCTTGACTGTCGCGTCGTAGCTACCGGATACTAGCATGTTCGACATGGTTCCGGGCATGAAGCTTCCACTTCGCACGTAGTCGCCATGACCTACGAACGTTGATGTGCTTTCTTGGCTGGGCAAGTCCCATAGCCTCACTGTCTTGTCGTCGCTCGTACTCATGAGAGTGGTTAGGTCGGCTGGGGAGAACTTGGTTGTCCATACTGGCTGCTTGTGTTGCGCCCACGTCTTTAGAATGGCTCGCGACCCGACGTCGAATACTTGGATCTTTCCTGTATCGTCTCCAGCCACCAATATACGACCATCTCGACGTACATCTCCGCTCCGTGCAATATCTCCAAAACGAGTGATCGTCTTCACTAACTTCCTCGTTCTTATCGAGTATATCTGGACTCGGGTACCGGTTGTGACGGCGAAGTAGTCATTGTTGGAAGAACCAATTGTAGCGGGATTCGTCGCTGGAACGGTGATATGTGTGATTGGATATTGCGTCGGCGAAGGAAGCACAAGTTGGTTCTTAAATGACTTCCAATATCGCTGCTCTGCAGTAATTGGTGAAGGCCCTGAAGGCAGCTTCAATTGCTGAAGTGGTGCGACCTCTGCCGCCATCGTTAAAGGAACTGATGTCGCTGTCGTGTGCCTCTATCTGAAAAAGAGCGATGAATTCAGTTAAAACCAATCAACTTTTTTTTTCTTTGGAGATCGGTCAATCAAACAAATTTCTACCGACAGTCCACTATGATAAGACATTTGATAAGGTGGTACCTGCGACAAAGTGGATCACATCAATACTGTGGCTGGAGATTGTACTGGCTGCAAGGTTCCACTTCTACATAGGTACATACTAGGTACGTATATAAAGTGGATCATGACAGATGCCTCGGCAACTTTAGGTGTAAGGTGACTGTAAGAAGCCGAGTCTACTTAAGCATACGGAATTATCATCTCTTGATGTCTTCAAGAATATTGCATTATCTGCCTGCCTAGCTAGTATTTAGTTATATCGGATTACCCATTCTAACGTTTGGTTAGGTATAAATCATGTCTCAGTCAAAAGGATACTCTGATTTGAAATACTTTTTAGTCTCGTCACCATCTGAATATGTAACACATGTCGAAATCAACCGTCCATCTAAGCTAAATGCTTTCACGGAGGAGATGTGGATCGAGCTAGGGACGGCATTTGCGAGACTATCCCACGACCCCGAAGTTCGCGCTGTAGTCTTCTCCGCAGCCGGTGACCGGGCGTTCACGGCTGGTCTTGATGTACAAGCAGCCAGCCAAGGGGGGCTTATCGGGGGCAGCGGCGAAAAGCTAGACGGGGCAAGGCAGGCAACAAAACACCGACGTCAGATTATCCAGTTCCAAGACTGCATAGGCCAGATAGAGAAATGCGAGAAGCGTGAGTAGCCCATTATCCTGTACTGCTCAAAGTATCTATCAACTAACAAGACATAAGCTGTGATCCTTGTGATGCACGGCATTTCAATTGGCTTGGCTATCGATATTGCCTGCTGTGCTGATATCAGAATATGTTCGAAAGACACCAAGTTTGCCGTGAAAGAGGTAGATATTGGCATGGCCGCAGATATCGGGACTTTAAGCAGACTGCCCAAGATCGTCTCAAGCTTTTCGTGGGTGAAGGATGTCTGTCTGACGGCTCGGGGCTTCGGAGCGGATGAGGCACTTGCCGTTGGGTTCGTGAGCCAGGTACTAGAAACCAAGGCTAAGGCCGTCGAGGTGGCTGTAAAACTAGCAGCCACCATAGCCTCAAAGAGTCCTGTAGCTGTCCAGGGCACAAAAGAACTGTTGAATCATGCAAGAGACAATACCGTTGCAGATAGTAAGTGTGATTTGAACATATAGCTAGTATGTTAGCTAACTGAACTAGGTCTGAGATACACCGGTATATGGAATCAAGCAATGCTACAAGCTGATGATTTCAAATCCGCATTACTTTCGGGGCTGAAAAAGACCAAGCCGAGGTTCGAAAAACTATAGTTTATTGGTAGCAAGAAAGACTCGCAAATATAGGTATCAATACGTTTTTGGGTTAAGCGCATTGTATAAAGTCAATTTGAAGGTATTCTGTGTCAACCCCAGAACGCCGTACAACCTAAAATATCACATATAACTTTTTCACAGCAGGAATGTAGTGCCAAAAGGTCACTCGCTCCTTCATTTGACATCTTGGTCAGAATCTGAGTCGTCCTCGACGTCAGGGACATTTTCCTTTAGGCGCTGTCATATATTTTTAGCACCTAGTTGCTAGAAATAATAAATCGGAAGTACTTAAACATACCTGGTCAAGCTCCATCTTCAACTGGGTCACCATATTATCTTTGATTACTAGATGAGATTCGTCCAGGTCCTCAATTATATAATCGTTGTTTTCACTATCGATACTGATAATGATTGATTTGATCGACGGGTCGCACTCGACCAGAGTTCCTACGGACATAAATTAGTACACGAGGTGCAGGTATGTATGTAGTAAGCTGAAGGAATTAATCCAACCTTTGATGGCTCGAACCATTTTGTTTGGTGATATGTAAACGGGGCGGGTTGATTGTCCCTTACTAAAAATCGAAGGCGCCGAAGAGTGAATATATTTAGATTATTGTCGGAATATTGTTCCAGTGATGAAGATTTGTTGATTGCTTGGGAAGACAAGAATTTCATGTATTGACGTTGTTGAAGACTAAGTTGGGTTTACCGTCTCAGCTGTTAAATACTCCCCACAGTATGTATCTGCAGCTTGATTGTTTGTACCTGCCATCGCTAGTCGCTAGGGTCCTCAAGATCTCTAAATTCATCAAATGGGATTTAGTGTGAGGGCTAGTGGGTCTTTAAATACATGCAATCGTCATACCTTCCTCCAAGAATAATACCTTAACAACCTTTGAAACCTCTTAGAAGTCTCAGTATCCGAATAATCGCATTTTCTCTTGTTACTTACAATATAATATACAAAGCATAGAGACTCGTGTTTAAATATATAAATTATACGTAGACTTATACACAGATGTGTAGAACTAAAGCTGAAATGCACCTATACACATGTATGTAAATACTAATAGGTACCTACCTAAGTATTGTACCTAAATGTCAACAGTAACATTGAGGAATAGGTACTACTTAGTAAGTAAAGATAAGGCGCATTCCTTTCAAAGAACGGCATTTTCTAGAATTTTATAGAAAACCAAAGCTGGAAACCCGTTATAATATAAAGCAAATAGTTATAAGCCAACAAGCATGAACAAACCAAGCAAGCAGCTCGAATATTTTCCTCGTTATTCGTATTCCTCGTACCTAGGTCTTTTCATAGTAGATACGGGAGTGCGGGATAAGAGCATTACTTCACCAGGGTGCTACCAGGGCTGCGGGGCGACTATTCCTTAGCGCCGTTATTCCCTGGACGGTTACGTACGCCGCACGCTAGCAACTACTAGGTTCCGAACTTACCGGGGGTCATCTTGCCCATCTTGCCCATCTCAAAATCCACCTTGGCAAAATCCAGATATATTCAATGTTTTCCTGTGAGACAAGTCGATTGGTTACAATTCTACCTGTCCTGTCTCACCAAGATACATGCTGTAGTATAGAAGCCAAGAAGCCAAGAATATCATCATCCCGTCTCTTTGTCTGCCGATCAATTACATTGTACCTACCTTAAACCCACACAAACTGTCAACCCAAACCATACTCTACATACTATCATCAACAGACACTGTCGAGCTGTCGTCAACGGCTCTAGAACTTCTATGACTGCAGATCTCTTCCTATGTGATACTTTCGCATGTGCAGCGTTGCAAAGTCGACAGCACACGATACACGCGATACAACGCAACCCCCAGGCTTTAGATGAAATCACTACCCTCCACCATCACTTCTTCGACTCCTAGCACCGCATAGACAACTCCGCTCTCTATGTCGCACTTGACATACTCTATTTCGCCTATAGATATTGGATCTTCTATACAATACTATCTCTAATCCGACATATAATCCGTCGCCTCGATCTTTAAGTTAATCGACTACCCATTCGATTCGGTTCGGTTCGGTTCGAAGCTTGCGACAAGCAACATAAATAAAAGATGGATACAGACGACGATAGCGACTCTGGCAATATCTTCTCAACTTATCCCTTCTCATGGGTTTTAGTTCCCCTCATCATATTTGTCGGTGGCGGAACACTGCTCATGTGCTACCGTTATCGCCGACGCAGAAAGCTACGTATGCTATACGGTACAAACGCTTTAGAACAAGACATAGAAGCGATGGGGCGGCGGCCAAGACAGAGGCCGCCAAATGAGAGACGGGAAAGGGGAAATAGGAGAGGGCTCGGCTTTGGGTTGGGTAGTAGGGAAGAAGGATTGAACGAGTTGGGCGAAGCGCCACCGGCCTACACCGCACCGCAGAAACAACCCGAAGACACAGAAGGCGTGGAATTGAGACCTATACAACAACCACCGGGTACCACAACTACAGAGGGCGCTAGCACAAGCAGACCACCAGCTTATGATGACGTACAACGAGGAGCTGACCAGTCCGGATCCCACCCCGCTGCGCCAACTTCAACTTCGAATTTACCAGAACCGCCCCCGAGAGCGGTGTTGAGCTCAAATTGAATTATATGTTCCAAGTAAAATATGATGGGACGGAATAATGTATCTGCATATGGCATATGGCACAGGAGTTTGGGGGTAGCATATCGATTGCCTGGGTAATTATGAAGTTTTAATGGAGTCATGAAGCCCGGGATCAAAGAGGATATGTTGAACGGCGATTCAACATATTGGTACTAGGTATATCAGGTCGCATAGAGCATCGACCTCTGTATGGTAGAAGGAGTCAGCATTGCACGGCATCCATTTGCCTCGGATTGACATTAGGTATATCAGGGGTATTCCCTATTCTCAATGAATTACCAAGTATATACGACGTCCACTTTAAAGGAATATTAACTTAGCTTTTAAGGCATGTTCATTCTTGTCTACACCACCTTGGTATCTCTCTATCAACAGTACCTATATAATGCGCAACTTACCTACTGTTCTAAAATCGTTCAATAATCGCCGGCGGCTTGTTCCCTAGTATCTCATCGATCTTAGCCAGGATTTCCGGCGTGAGCTTATCTATAGCTTCAAGAGCTTGTACATTTTCATAGACTTGCTCGGCACTGCTCGCTCCTGTTATAGCTGAGCTCACATTGGGATTCCTTAGAACCCACGCAAGAGCTAGTTGGCTCTGCTTGATGCCGAGCTGATTCGCGATGGGCTCCAGTTTGTTCACCTGTTCGATAATACCATCCCACTTCTCCTTACCCGTTCGCCTCCAGAACCCAGCAATAAATTCGACAGACTCTTGAGCATATCGCGAGTCTGAGGGGATTCCGTCCCGATACTTGCCAGTGAGGATACCCGATTTCATCGGCGAGAAGACGGTTAATCCTAGCCCAACTTCCCGATACAAGTGCGCAAACTCCCTCTCCACTTTCTCTCGATCCAGCATATTGTAAAGCGGTTGCTCCATGACTGGGCCGATGAGACCTAACCTATCTGCGTGACGCCATGCTGCCTAACAAATCAAAAAACGTCGTATTAGTATTCTGTCAGAATATAACGGAAGTTTCTTCCATGTATTCGATTCATAGGATGGATTTGCTTCACTTACTGCTATAACGTTAGCTTCTATATCTACCATGGAAATTTAGAGGGCTCCCAAAAAGTAATTCCTAAAACCCCAACACGACATATTTTTATACGTACCAGCAATTTCATCCGCGTTCCATTCTGATGTGCCCCAGTACAACGCCTTTCCAGTGTTGATCAGATGATTGAAGGCGCGGACCGTCTCCTCCATCGGGGTTAATCTATCTGGGCGATGGGCATAGATCAAGTCCACGTAGTCGAGTCCCAGGCGAGATAGGGAAGCATTCATGCCCTCAATAATATGTTTTCGGCTGAGTCCCTTGTTATTCACAGGGTTATCACCAAAAGCAGTGCCCCAATAGATCTTGAGAATTCCCAGCATCAGCGTCTACCTAATACACAAGACTCAAAACTGTTATTCATAAGGTTGTTGCAATACCTTTGTTGAGATCACGAGGTCGTTTCGCTTCCAAGCGAATTTCTTGATTGCTTCACCCATAACTTCTTCCGATTTCCCCTCTAAACTTGCTCTATATTAATATATAGACTTTGACATGTCCCTGAAGTCTCGCGAGCAGACTTTCTTACCTGCGTAGACCTCAGCACAATCGAAGAAGTTGATACCGCTGTCGTAGGCAGCTTTCATACATGCGAATGTTTTTTCTGCCCCCTCTCGTTAGCAATCAGCCCATCTGCTCATAAGAAGGGTAACTTACCATTATCAACGTGCCCGCCATATGTGAGCCAGCCACCCAATGATATAGCCGAAACCTGAAGGCCGGATCGGCCCAGTAGACGGTAAGTCATTTTCGGGATGTTAGGAGGGGCTGACATCTCGATGGAGTTAGGGGCAGTAGTTTTTCGTTGTTGTTAGTATATAGGTAGATATATATGAATCTACGAAGAAATTCGCTCTAGGTGATGAAAGTGAAAAGGCCGCATTTATAATTGCGTGCGCTTTTCTCGCTTGTTTTAGAAGGCGCAAGAGAGGCGTTGCGTTACCGGACATCGAATTATACCCCCTACCGCTGTAACATCCGTACTAGCCCGTCAACCCTTGTTCTGCTCTCTTCTTGCCTGCCTTCTAAACCTCTAAACCCCACTAAGTATGTCTTCTGTTTCTTTGGTTTAACTACATGTATATTGATTTCATATAAACATTTGTCTACCCACATCATTCAAGCTAGGCGAGTATGTACTAGTTAAAGTCATAGTTTTATTCTAATCCACTAGAACATGCCTTGAGGGTATAAACTTGGGGTTCAATTGCTGATACCTAGTTGTTACTACCTCATTATTATTAACCGCTCCTATAGGGATAAATATTTTTACAAGAGGTCTATTTAGGAGAAAGCGCTGGTAAGGTCAGTTTCTATGAACACTGCCCTTTAACTTCAAACATTTCACTCGTGACAATGAGATATGCCTAAGTGAAACTCACTCCATAGATGTGACCATGTGAAAGGAACTAAATCGTCCTAATACAATATATCTACCTAGTACCTTGGTACGTGAGACTCTTATAAAGCCTACCTAGTAGAGATATACCTATATGCCAACTATATATACCAGGTAACTCTGTCTCTAGGTGTTTAGGACACCAATATGTACATACCTACTACCTAGTATACATCTTCGTACCAGAGATATACACATAATCATATGTACCTACTACCTATGATGGCCGTTTTGACTGGCGATATAGCAGGTGCCACCGGCGATGCCATCTAACCTTTACGTTAAACTTTCTTAACGACATCTAGCATACCCGAATTATAATCCACGAAAACGCGGTTTCCCTAGGCCGTGAGGTTCGGTTTCGAAGATGCCCATTGATAGATGCTTTAGGTACTTAGTTTCACACCTGCTTCTAAGATTGTTTTCTACCTAGGACACACTTTTCCTTCCTCCCTCACCTCTGGTTATCACTCAAGGATTTTCCCTTGATCACGCTTTTTCACACATCAATTCTCCCTTCTCCTTTCAATCTTTCTAAGGTCTTCAGCCATAGAAAGTTGAGATTGAGGCTTCCCTGTGAATTTATTCGCAATACCTTCCCCTCTATTTGTTGTCACCATTCTAAGGTATGTAAGTGAATCAATTTCTTCTTCTTATATCACTTATACGTGTCCCTTGGTATAATTTCCATTCTCTACCTGCCCGTTTCCGCTTCTCTCTATATTTGTTCTGCTCGCCTGTGTATCTACCTACACAGGTAGAGTAGCAGTGAGAGCGAGTAATTCGACGCCTACCATTCTACAAAATAGACACCAGACTTGGGTGTAGTCCCCTTCTCTGCTTTCTAGTACCCTAACCTTCTTTCCATCTTTCCCGACTATACCAGCTCACATTACCCTTGAACCCATACTACAGGTAAGTACTAGTAGCCAAGCCTTTAAAAATCCCCAAGAAGTTATACTTCAATCACTTCTGTTCCTTTCTTCCTTCTATATAATACCCTTTCTGCATTCTTGCCACTTCACCATAGTATTTGGGCAAGCTTGTCACTCCCCTTCACTGACTGATACTTTGTGGTTTGTCATTTCCCCCACACAGAACACGATTACACGTACGCGATTCCATCATTTACTATCATACTAACTGAGTTAGCTAAGACTATTCACAAGCAATTACAATGGCTGATTGGGGCGAGGCTCCCACCAATGCCGTCCCTTCCAATGAGTGGGGTGGTGGTGATGTTGGCGCTGCTTTTGGCACCCACGACGAATTCTACGATGGTGCTAATGCCAATACTGATACCGGTGGCTCCTTTGGTGGCCCTGGTGGAGGCGGAGGTGGAGGCGACCGAGGCTGCTTCAATTGTGGTGAAGAAGGGTAAGTCAAATTAATCTATCATCTACTAGGTATGATGTCAATTAACATGTCAAAGTCATCAGAAGTCCGAGTGCACCAAGCCTCGTGTCGTGAAGTGTCGACACTGCAACGAGCAAGGTCATTTGATCCGTGACTGTCCCACGGCTCCTCCCCAGGAGTTTACTGGCGAGTGTCGATACTGCCATAAGAATGGTCACATGGCCAAGGACTGTCCCGACAAGCCTCCCGTTGTTTGCAATAACTGCGGCGAGAAAGGTAAAAGCCCAAGACAATCATTACTTTTCTTGGCTGGATTCGCAGATAGCTAATCACATAAATTTCAACAGATCACATTGCCTTTGGTTGCTTGAATGCCCGCAAGGTTGACCGCTCGGATATCCGTGAGGTTAACGCTGAGATAGCCTGGCAGAAGATCATGCAAGGCATTGCAGACAAGGAAGTGATTGATGTCAAGGAAGGTATCCAGGAGTATGTCAAGAGTCAGCCGACTACCACCTACGCTGATCTCGAGGAGTCTTTCCGCGCACAGGGCCTTCAGTTCTACTTGATGGCCCTCGATAATCCCTCGCTGATGCAGGGTCACACACACATGGATCTGCAAGGCAACCTCGGCAAGAAGTACCGTGTTCATTATCGCTGGAGTAACAAGCCGCTCCGTCCCCGCGAGGCCCAGAACTTTCCTAAGTCGGCAGAGGAGAATGTGCAGCGTCTTCGAGATGCCGGTGAAATCGTTGATCGCGGTATACCCAAGTGCCTCAACTGTGGTGAGCTTGGTCATATGTCGAAGCGATGCCCGCAAGAGAAGGTTCAGAAGGAGCAAGCGACCATCACCTGCTACAACTGTGACCAGACAGGCCACCGCATCCGCGACTGTAAGTTAAACCAATGATCTTAGACTTCATTATATGCTAACAATTAAAAGGTCCTGAGCCACGTAAGACTAAATTCGGTTGCAAGAACTGCGGGTAAGTCCTATATTATAAGACTTGAGTACGATTGATCACTGACCACTTACATTTTTGCAGCCAAGATGGCCACATTGCTAAGGATTGTAAGCAAAGTTAACTCACCGTCCCCGGGTTCCTTACTGATAATTATGCAGGCACCGAGGCTCGTCGCGCACCTGATGATCTAGAGTGTCGCAAGTGTGGTGGAGGTGAGTTACCTGATATTAATACATGAACTACTAGGTAGGAGTGCAACTAACTGGTTCTTTTAGCTGGTCATTTCGCCAAGGACTGTCCTCAGGGAGGTGACCGTAGTCGCGCCTGCTTCAACTGTGGCGAAGAGGGCCACAATTCTAGAGACTGCCCGAACCCGAAGAAGATCCAGTGCCGTAACTGTGACCAGTTCGGACATATGTCGAAGGAGTGTCCTAAGCCTCGTGACTGTAAGTATTATCAATACGCTTATCTATATGCTTTAATCAGAAGACTAACACCCAAAAAGATAGCCGAGTGAAGTGCAACCAGTGTGGACAGATGGGACACACTCAGTCCCGATGCAAGGCGGAAGTAGCGCCTGTCGACGATGAAGTTCCCGACAAGCCTGACCACGGCAGTGCCAGTAACGACGCTTCAGGAACCTGGGATTCGAACGGTATCGCTGCTACAACTAGCGGCGATAGCTGGGAGATGGGTGCGCGGGGCGCGAACTACTCCAATAGTGAGTGGTAAACACTCCACGAATGTTGGACGGCATCTTCGATCTCAGAAACCCCTGTTCCTTCGGTACTCATGCCCACGTCCATATCCTCTTTTGGTGTTTTCTGATGCTGAGAGTACGGTGATTTCTACCTCACATCATGGCTACTAAGACAAGTTAATAGTGATGGACGATAGAAGTCACAGCAAAGATAACTAGGTAGTGCCACACAATAGACACCGATGATATAACTCTGGTCTAAGGACTTCTTTGCCTTTCACAATTCAATGGTGCTTTAACTGATTTGAAATTTCCGTGCTCTCGGAACTCCGAACGATAAGACAAGGGTGGCTTCGGTGATCAACTAAAGAGGCTTTAATTAATTGTCTCAGCCACGTCGAAATGATGACCGGTCAAAATTATAGCGAAACGAAAGGCTCACCAACTAGGTACTTTTTCGCGCCTTTTACCCTCGCTCAATCGGACATCCTTAAATTCTACGTAATGCCAAATATCACTGAAATAATTTACATCATCACCCGTCTTGAGCTTTTGAACTCGAGAAAGACTTAATATTTAGGGTATATACAAATATCGACTCGATTCTATAGTGTCTATGTACTAGCTCTAGAAGTATGTATATTTCTGAGCTTAGTACGTTCAACATGCTTAGTAGGTAGATAAATACCAGGAAAGTATACAATTTGCTCGACGAAGAGTCGCGAGACTATTAGATTCTCCGGGAGTGTGAGACGAACTGTTACAACGGCTAAGACCATTTCCATCTACTTGGTAGCCTGGGAACGATTACGAAGACGAACGCGAAATACGGGGAGTCTATAGATCTTGGCTGGGTAGGCAGAAATATAGAGGTCGGCGATGGCAGTTGTTATAAGGCTAGAGAGGAGAAGATGCCATTCAAAAGGAGAGGAAAGGGGTAGATTCTGATTTTGGTGGAGTAATAGCGTTTTATCGATAAAAATATTTCAGGCACCGTTCAAAGACCCTCCAGGCATTCCCCCCTCTACCCCTACTAGGTTGCCCCTATCGGACGATCTCTGGCAAACGGTGTTTGAGCTGCCCCGCAATGTTGACAGGGATTCCAGCTGCCCCTCCATGACCAGACCATAGACAATTGCGCACTCACTTTCACAAGCTTCCAAGCCTCTCTCTATAAATGTATAAATGCCCAAAGAGTTGACCCTATTTCATTATACACATTTCTCAACAATCAAGATTTGAATAAACTCGTTATTATATAAGAATATCTAAGAAATTAACCCATCAACTAGGATGTCGATAACTATCGAAAAGATACTTGCCGCCTCCCCAGTGACAACGAGGGGACAACCGACTCACCTGTCAGCTGATGCCAAAGGGGAAAGGATAGCTTATGCTGTAAGTGTTCTCACTCTCAATGAGATTCAAGTGGATGAATATTGGACCTGACATAGACAACATTAGTCTGGGAAATCAGTCTTCGTTCGATCCATCGATGATCCTTCCAAAAGCAAACAATACACTGGCCACACAGCCCAAACGACTGTAGCCAAGTTTTCTCCAAGTGGCTTCTACATCGCCAGTGGTGATGTTTCGGGCTCAATCCGCATATGGGATTCGTTAGAAGCTGAGAACACCAAAGGTACCGAGTATTAATCCCGGAGCATGTCTGTGATTCAAAAGTCTGACTAACATAATGTCCTGTTCAGGTGAATATCACATTATCTCAGGTCGTATCAATGATATTGCCTGGGATGGTGACTCGCAGCGCGTGATCGCTGTTGGTGATGGGCGCGAACGGTTTGGGCACGCCATCACCGCAGACAGTGGAAATAGCGTAGGTGAGATATCTGGACATTCAAAGGTTATCAACTCAGTCGCTATAAGGCCCTTGAGGCCCCTCCGAGCTTCGACCGTTAGCGACGACATGGCTATGTGCTTTCTACATGGCGCTCCATTCAAATTCAATTCGAAGTCTACTGGCCTTCATAAGGGATTTGTCTTGAGCACGGCCTTCTCGCCGGATGGAGAGACACTCGTTACTGTAGGTGCGGACAAGCGAATTCAACTGTACGATGGGAAGACTGGTGAGCCGACAAAGTCCATTGGCGAAGGCGAGCATACCGGTAGTATTTTCGCCGTCAGCTGGGCGAAAGACTCAAAGAGATTCGCCACGGCTAGCGCCGACCAGACTGTCAAGCTATGGGATGTGGAGTCAGGGAAAGTCACACAGACATGGAGATTTGAAGACGAAGGCGGCGTCAGTGTCCCGGACCAGCAGGTTGGCGTGATTTGGCCTCATGGCCGTAGCGACGGTCTGATCATTAGTCTTAGTCTTGGCGGAGACCTAAGCTACCTTGTAGAAGGAAGCCCTCAACCCATCAGAGTTGTTCAAGGACACAATAAAAGCATTACAGCTTTAGGAGTAGGATCGGATGGCAAAGGTCAAACTCTATGGACTGGAAGCTTTGATGGGCGAGTTACCAAATGGGATGTCACTTCTGGTGTGGGTAGCGTTGTGGATGGCCAGAGCCATACGAACCAAGTGACGGAATTCACTTCAAATACCGGACGAGCATACAGTGTTGGGTGGGATGATACTTTACGCATAGTTGACGAGTCTGCAAACACGTTTGCTGGAGAGTCACTGAAGTTGTCAGCACAGCCGAAAGGTGTTGCTTCCGCAGACGGACGCGTGTACGTCGCAACAGCCGCCGGCGTCGAGGTTTACGTTAAGGACCAACTTGCAGGCAAGCTTGACATCACGGACTCCCAACCCACGGCGATCGCCGCCCAGGGGTCTTTGGTGGCTGTGGGTCTAAGCAACAAAGCTGTTAGGCTGTACAAGGCAGACGCGAGCAATAAGTTAACGCAATCACACGAGGCTAAAAACTCGACGGCGGAGATATCGGCCCTGGCGTTCTCGAAAGACGGCTCCTTGCTTGCCGCAGGAAACACGTCTGGTAAGATATACGCGTACAAGACGGGCACCCTCGAGGTTGCGACGGATCGGTGGTCTGCGCATACGGGTCGTGTGACGAGCATCGCGTGGAACGAAGCGGGCACACACGCCATCAGCGGGGCGCTTGACACGAACGTTTTCGTGTGGAGCTTGGCAAAGCCGGGAAGTAGGGTTAAGACACTGAATGCCCACAAGGACGGCGTCTACGGCGTCGCCTGGGTGGATGGCGGGAAGAAGGTCGCTAGCACGGGTGGAGATGCGGCTATCAAAGTCTGGAATGTAGCGGGTTTGCAATGAGCGAGAGCAAAGAGATAGAGACATGATGACATGAAGTAGAGCCTAGTAAAGCCTGGCGTTTTACTGGGGTCGTCGATGATAGCGATGAATATATAAGAGAATAAACTCATCCGATTTATCGTTGAAGGAGTCGTGAGATTCTCCTAGATGACCGGAAGTTTTCTTTGGACGCGTTCTTTCCAAGCAAGTTGTCGGTGGATTTTCCCCTAAATCTATTAGTATAAGAATATAACATCGTATGCGTTCAACATTTAGGTGCTCAATTCGATTTTCTCAGGATAACAGAAATAACCATAAGACAACAAGGGGGGAACGCGCAAGTCAAATTAGATTTGATTCGTCTATGTAGCCTAATAAGCAATAACTTGTCTGTAACCGGGGTATCTACTCTGTCGATCCGTAAACGCCGAAATAAATTAAGGAACTCTGATAGTTCTACATGCAGACACATGCGGCATTTTTCTGGGCTTCGTCCAATGTTTGTCGGGGCATCAAAGCGTCGATGACATCCCAGAGACCGCCCGGCCACGCCGAGTCAGGCTCGGGGTCCGGGGGCCACTGCTTTGCAGGAGCTTCGAGTAGCTCTTCGGTGAGTTGATCGGCGAGGGAACTGTCTTAATGTTAGAATTTGTAAATACTTGGATATATGCGATGTGAATGTGCTGTAGGCGACTGTTAAAAACATACCCGAGCTTGCCTTGAGTCAGGAATCCTTGCTTCTCCATCTCGTCAGCAATCTCCGACTGGTGGTTTCCCATGAGAGCCGGGTTCGGCACTGCGATGATGGTTGTGTTGTAATCGAGTGCATCTAGGATGCTTCCGGAACCTTTAAAGTATTAATTTAGAGTATACAGTATAGAACCCAGACATGGGGCCTGCGTGAGAGGTAATGGAGCTGGGAATTCGGATAGATCAATTTGTATTTTTCAATAACATACCCGCATGTGTGATGATGACTCCCTTAGCTCGCTTCGCAGTCTCGCGGGTGGTGGACGGCGCGGCGAGAGCAAACCAGCGCTGGAGATCTTGCTTGTACGGGAATCCAATCACGTTGAGCTTTCTGGGGTCATCATCTGGATCCCGCGGGGGCTTGGCCGACTCGAAGTAGTTGAAATCAGGACCACACTGGATGATGAGATTGGTGAATTGCAAGGACTTGAGCTTGGCGATGAATGCGTCCGAAAGCACCTCTTCGAGGAGGGGCTTGAAGCTGGCACTAGCACCAACGGTGACGAGAACGCATTTATAGATGCGAAACTCCTCATCGTAGGCGCTCAAGTCCGGCATGATATCGGATAGCAGAGGCTCGAAACCCTCACCCCAGAGCAAGCCTGTCTTTAGGGGGTGGGTGTTAAGCGTGACGGCGACGCTGTCAGAAAATGATGATTTGACCTGTGAAATTGATAAATTTAGTGTAAATATCATTAATCAGAGATGTAACTTTGAACATTCTTGGGGGGAAAAAAAGGAAAAAACCCCAATGATTCTCCTACCTAATATTTTTGGGATAGCTTGGGCAAGCTTGAGGTGAAGTGAGAAAGAATCCATTAAGTTTGTGGTGTGTCGTTAAAGGAAAGTTGCAGGGAAGGGGGGGAGATAGATGAGCTGCATGAAACCGAGACAGGAAATGATTGGCTAATCTACAATCTGATCTTCGCTTTACCATTTCGAGGTAGGGTTGCTTTGTGACGTTTGTGGCGCAGTTATATCAAAGTGTGGCGTTCCCGAGGAGCTTCATGAAATCTACAACAACAGATAGATATCAATATTTTTCAAAGCCGCGAAGAAAACAGGTCTTCAATTGTCCTCGCGTTCCATCAATTTAGTTTCTATGGCATTTTTACCCAGATACTAATCGCAGAAGATGACTTTCTGGAAACTCAGTGACGATCCTGCTCTCCCTTTTGTCCCCAGACATCCAGAGTGTCGTTGAACGCCTTATTGAGGGTGGATATTGCCTTACCCAGCTTTTTGATCCCTTCATTCGCAGCTGCCATCTTCTCTTTCGTTCCCTCCAATTGACTCTCCATCATCACCTTCTCTTTTTTCATCTTCCCAATCTGACGTTTGATTTTACGCCCATAATTGACAACGTTTTGGCGAACCTTGCTCTGAAGGTCTTTGACTTGGCGCTGGGATTTCTCCAGTTCCTCTCTGAGCATTCGAATCTCATGTTCTTGTCGTAGAATTATGTCCTCCAACCCATTGTTGGGAGCGGCGTCGGAACCAGACATCCCGGCGAACAGAGACTGGAGCCGCTCTGAATCTAATTGAAAAAAATCCGAATGTTAGCATTTCTAAACAATAATGAATTCATAATGGACAGGAAGGTAGGGATATTGTGCTTCATTATATCGCGAAAATAGAAAAGAAAATAATGAAATTGCGCGAACGAGGTAAAGGAATATATCTGCTGGTTTGGGCGATACCTAGGTAGTCTGAATAGGGCGAGGGCAAATGGTGACAGTAATAAAGCATATACTTACATAGGGGAATTCTTACAAGTAATTATGACAAATAATTAATTACTTGTAGAGACTGCTTTGAAGATTGCTTGTTGGAAATGTTTGTAGAATCGTACCTATTGATTAGGTGGTTCGTTGTTGTGTGTTGGATAAATGAACATGGAAATTCTAGATGGTATGAAGATCAACGAGGATGGTGGGTAGGAAGGTGAAGTGCTCGGTACGAACGTGTCAGGTGATAGATCGAGGCAAAATACTTCAATTCGAAAAGATGGACAGTAACGAGATCAATTGCCTGGGGTAAAAGCTATATAGATCTAAGTAAGTTGTGCTGCGGTAATGAGCTTATTGGTGCAGTGGTCTGATGTGTAGGTTGCCTTGCAGACCTCGAGGTCGTGGGTTCGATCCCCACTACTCACGTTGCGTCAAGGTCGTGGGTTCGATTCCCATACTTCGCACTTGAAGTGGTGAGTTTAATTCTCACCTATTACTTCACCCTGGGAAAGGACTAGACCTCCTATCGCTGGACACCTACTGTAGGGGCCCCTGCAGTGGTGCGCCAGACCGCTGGGCATGCCTCCAGAATGGGTCACTCCCCTTGGGGGGTGATAGTGACGTTAGATCTCGATCTAATGACCCCCGCTCCCGTAGTGTGCAGTCATCAATTCCTACGCTTCCTAGCCCAGGATATTTTTTGCCCCTCCCTTAAATCACCATAGGGGTTTATCGTAATGATCACCATCACCACGTAGGTAGGTATTAGACTTCGTACCTAAGGTAGGTATTTTGTACGATGATTTTATTACATGAATTTACTCTATTTCAATGCGTTAGTTGCCATGTGTAAAAAAACATATTTGGTTCGGATACATTTTTCTTAACAATACTACAACTCGAGACATTTATAAAACACAAATCGATAGTCATATAAAAGCATACGGCTATTCTATCGATTGGGAATTAATCATGTAGTGTTATCTCAATAAAATAGTACATCGTTAGCCTAACGAATTATCTCATATATGATTTTATAGCCCATTTCCATTTTGCTGTGGTATTGGCTTAGCAATGAGAGGAAACAACAACGTTGCTGTGTGGGAAGCTCTGGACTGCTCTCACCTAGATATCCATATGATATCCTTTCTACTAAGGTATATCCTGACTTCACTCCGGGGCCAGTCGCCGACAAATCTTCCGTGGGCTGAATCTCGATGTGACTAGGCCGCTGAGCTGTTATGATAATTATACGGACCTGCAATGCTTCTAGCCGATCAGAGCCAACTGTTGTGGGCATTTAGACGTATATCGTTACTAAGTACTTGATTGAAAATAAAGACAACGGAAAATACAGTGATATGACATCTTCCCCGAGCAGAGGGTCTTCTTATGTGTCCCTACCTACCTATATTCAAGAAAGATGAAGGGGATTGAGGAAGTTGTCTAGGTCACGTGGTGGTAGATAAGCGAACATCAATTGATCGTCTCGCCTGGTACTCTGTAGAGTATAGGTACTTAGGTACATTACTAGTGCCTGAGCACTCGTGTAATCAACCAATCAAAAACATATCCGGGTAAACTTCATACCCGTTGAAATTTATGGACCCATAGATTTTGCGCTATGCGTGCATGGATTTTAATTGTAACTTAAGTGATCTCTCATGCGACTACCATATAGATACGACCTTTCGTAACTCGACTAGATGGTGGTGGTATAGCCATTGATCGCTATGGCTTCTGGAGTACAATCGATACGACTGTGCATACAAGCTTTTCGACATTCCCCAGCTCCTCGAAAAGCCGGCGCACGAGTATACGTCGCGAGACGGCCGTTCTCTTCAATACCTCCGCGATGGCGCAGCGCAACCCGGAAAAATGACACAGAAGACCAGGAAGAATATGAAGGGGAAGATGATGACGATGTCGATCCAGTTGAACTAGAAAGATCATTTCGCTCTGTATTAAAAAATTCGGGTGCCGATGTAGAAGCCTTAACTCGGTTCCACGAACAGACCATAGGAGCTACTGCTCCTATCCTCTCGAGAGCCCAGAAACTCCCCACGGGTAATCTGAGGAAGTCTTTTTGGCAGGCTGGCGAGGATGATCCGGATCTGATAGTGGACGATCAGGATGAGGATGTATTCGAAGAGGACGATATTTTGGGCATGGCGCACAGCAAATTAGAGGAGTTCCGCGAACATAGGGAGTATGCCCGCCTTGCTGCTTGGGAAATGCCCCTTCTATCTAGTCAGTAACACTGTATCTTGGTCGGCTCAGAAATATATAAATTGACTATTTATGTTAGAATTAGCTAGGCCTTTCGAGCCGCCCACCGCCGAAGAACCCTTACGATTCCGATATACGAGTTACATGGGGGAATTCCACCCGGCAGAAAGTAAAGTGGTTGTTGAGTTCTCGCCAAGGGACTTACCACTCGATGATGCACAGCAATTGAAATTAAAAAAGCTGTTGGGCCCTCGCTTCAATCCGGAGACGGAAGTCGCCAAAATGAGCTGCGAGCAGTTTGAGCACCAGGCACAGAATAAGCGATATCTCGGCGATTTGGTCGAAAAATTGGTAGCGCGAGCAAAGGTGAATTATACTCTATTCTACTTGATCCCCACTGTTTATTGTATTTACTTACCATGACTTTAAGGATCCGTCCGACATGTTTGAGGATATTCCGTTAGATACGAGACACCACAGATTCAAAACCAAGCCTAAATTCCCGAGGGAGTGGAGGATGAGCGAGGATCGACGGAAGTTCCTCGAAGATACTAGGCAGAAGTCGCTATTACTCGACCAAACGAAAGAAGAGGCGGGTTCTTTGGTTAATGGTAAAGAAAGGATCGAGCAATTCTTCATCGATAATCCCATTGAGATTACAGTTCGCGACCCCGTGAAGGCGCGGTTGAATAAGCCGTCGTTAAGGAGCAAATAACCACAACCAGCCTGACGAATCTGATGTGTATATTACCAAGAACGAAAGACAACGCTAGGGGGCCTGTCGTATATAAAGATCTAGTCATAGTTAAATGCTAATGCATTTGGAAAGTCCTTGCTTGCTAAGATGAAGCGTGTGATGCTACCTCAAATCTGCCACCGCCTTCGTAGGTACGAGCTAGAGAACCCAGGTGGGATCTGTTGTCGCAAAAAGAACTACCATATCTTGTGATGTATGAAGACTGGCCTGCCCAATATTGATATTCATAGCTCTGGCTCGACTTACGAAGAAGGCTGTGTTTTCGTATGATGTGATTTCTAAACCAGCGTTGAATTAAATTTTTATAAAAATAATCATGACGACACCTCTTGACATATCTATAACTCTATATATTATAGGTATGTATGGGCTTTAGAATTCGAAAATGCTCGATATATACTTAGGTAATATCATAACTCTTCCAGTGCGAAGAAGAGATTAGGTAAGTTCCGAATGATATATTATCATTCATGCATATAGTTAGGTTTGCTTGAAATAAACCCCGTGGAGAACCATTGGCTTGCTACTCCTATGAGAGATGTAAATTGTTTTTCACATAGAATCCATAATTAAGATTTTTCTCGATAGAGAAGAGATATATAGGCAAGGAAGCAACCCTAGTACCTAATTCGAAGCTCTGGCATAAGCAAGCTGCAGGCAAGTTGCGAGAAGAAATGTTGGCTTTGAAAGACTGTAGCCCACACCGACGTAGACCTTGGAGCCTACTTACCTGGTATTACTGACGCTTTAAGATTATCGTGATGGACTATGAAGTTAGTCACAAATAGGCATAGGTATTAGGTCAGATTTGGCCTAGTCATATGGTCCTTCATTCAACGTGACTCTCCGGCCAGAAATGCGATTATTCGATAGCCTACCGCACACCCGTGCCATTGAATGGCCACATGGTTATTCAGCCATTCTGATTACGGTCGTAGCGTAAAGGAAACGTCCATTAGGGTTGACCGACGATGCAGGGTAAATTTTGCCAAGGCGGCATTCGGCAACTATGGAGAGAAGAAGATACTTCGACGCGGAAGATCGGCTGTGAAAGACTTCTCTGGCATTTTGCACCATCGAGAACCTCCTACGTAGAAACACATCGAGGCGTTTCACGAGTAAGTTTATACAGACCACGGTTGTCAAATAGGATCTGGCCATTCTGACTGAGCCACATTGCGAGTAACGGTAGCAGGCCTATGCGTTGCAACCAAACATCGTAGGTTTGGTTTATGACGGCTTTATTGAAGTAATTTTCATATCCCGGCGCTTCCAAGGTTCTTGATTATGCGCCACAGTGGTTGCGATATCTTAGTTGCTAGGGGGCGACACCGAGTGTAAAGATGAATCGTCGATGAGAGACCGCGCAATCGCAAAACTTGGCAACCTAGTACATAACTAAAGGGGATTAGCGGACAAGCTTTTGAAAAAATACGGCTAGATCGGTGCATCAAGCCACAATAAAAGTGGATAAATTCAGCAATTGCCGTGTTGCGCCACAATAACTGACGTCACGCTGTCTCAAGCCATCCTCTAGTTCACAATGAAAGATCACAAGAGATGGAGTACAATACTCGAATAATATCACTAATTGAGGTACTTGTACATACTTTTGCCTGTTGTGTATGGCAAATATGATCAATTGATTTTTCTAATAATACCATTACTAGGCAGCCAGGCAGCTAGGTAAGTAGGCGATGAAAATATTTCAATTGATTAAGCTAGCATGCAAGCTCCATATGTACTTAATACCCTACCGTCTCTCATGAGATTGCCAAGAAGCAGGGGAAGAGGCATTGGTAGGTACATGTAAGCGGCTAGGCGCGTATGTATAGAAGTACCTGTTCAACTAGTCCATGTTTGGCGGGTCTGGACTTTAAAATGTATGACGCAGTAGCAACTGAAAGGGAAACTGGGTCGTTGTTTCGTTGCAAATGCATCATAGTTCAGGGTCCCGCCGCCGAATAATTCAAGGAACGGCACCGCTTTCCGTGCACAAAGGCAAACCAACTCATAGGTAACCTATTCATAATAAGTAGTGACTCGATCCCAATTGCCATATCTGATCTTTTACCAAACAACTTTGGAATTTGCGACAGCATTTATTTTACCCCTCGCGCACTTCAAACATCATTTCTCATTCTCATCACGAGTCTGATCCAACTCTCCACACCTTTCAAAAATCACGACAAGCAAGCAAGGCATCTATTGACCTTGTAATATCCCATAAAAGACAATTCAGACTCGTTCTAGTCTATTATAATTTCACACTCAGTCCACAATGCCTTTCACCGCAAGGTAAGGAATACATTTCAGCAGCTATTTGAAGTCCGTATCGCAAAGGCGACCTGCTAACCTGGTTTCATTCTTAAATAGTGACATCTGCAAGATCATTCTTGCCATCATCCTCCCACCCCTAGGTGTCTTCTTAGAGCGAGGATGTGGTGCCGACTTCTGCATCAACATCTTACTCACTATCCTGGGTTACATTCCGGGTATCATTCACGCGCTGTATGTTTTTGCACACCTACTTACCTCTAAAACCATATGGTTGACTAACATTGTCCCTGCAGGTACATTATCCTCAAATATTAATGCGCCCAAATAACCCACCCTTTCCTTCCGCATTCTTCGTCATGCAGCGACAGCATAGCAACTCTCTGCCATAGACAGTACAAGACGGTTGGACCAATGGCGTGATGGCACAGGGGTTCGTGATGTTACGAGGCGTCCTGCGTGGATCCAGCCATTGCATTTTTTCCTTCGACGCTAGAGCGGGGGGTGGGTAATGAAGTGCCGTTTTTCGGGTTTGACCGACGTCACCAGACCCTACCCTTTGTTTCAGCCCGCTTAATCTTCTTTCGATAATTCACCACCGCAACGATTTGTTGTACGAACGACTGACCGACCTGGCAATGACAAGGCATGGAGATCCGGGGTTAGTTGAGCATGGGTCGCTATGTTTATTCACGACGTTTCTAGATCTGCTTTCCATAATGATTATGATTTCGATACCCCCTCAATCAATGCCCTCATCTTGATATTATTGTGACTATGCAAAAACAAGTATTCGTAGCCTATGAAACTAGATCGATGGTAATCAAAACAACAAGGATAATAGTGGCAATACAATGATAACTACGCAACATTAAACTATTTTGAGGAAAGTTGACGGCGTTATCCCAATCGGATCTTCAGGACTGCGCAAGTGTTGATCACCGAAATCCTCTACCGCGGAAAAGAGACTAGTGACGTTGAATGCGGTGTGAACCCAAGAACTTGCGAACGCTAAATTGAATTGTATCTAGGTAAGTTTGAATGAGTACCTACCTGCTATCATGCTACGTACGTTCCTGTGAAATACAACATAGACGCCGCTGGACAAAAAATCAGTTATAGTCATACTTGGGGATCGAATAGAGCATCTACTAGACATGGTCTATATTCATTACGCTCGACCTATCTTGAACGATAACACCTAAGAGCAATTGTAAGTATACATACTAGGTCACTTGGGAGTGTGGCTGAATAGTTACTCACGTCGTTTTTGCCTACTGATACAACGGCATCTTCCGAAACTCGTACACCTCCCACTCCTTCCACATAGGCAATTGGCGCATCGCCCATCACTTTCTTGGCGACATCGCCCACGGTCGTGTTCTTCTTCACCAGCACACAGTCTCTGAAAGCATGCTTCGTGTCCGATCCAGAGCTGAATGTGGATATGTTTCGCACGGGGAAGACTGGAACGAGTCCCAGAATCTCCGCCGCTTTCGAAAGTACTTGGACGACGCCGGTGGATCCGTATCGGAACAAGATCATATCTTTGTACTCCTCGATAATATTCTTATTCTTGTCGTCTAGCTCCTTTAGTCCTCCACCGTCTGGGTCGCCATCCGCGATCAAGTCTTCGCGTGTGTCGACGAACTCTGTTCCTTCTGTATATCTTATATAGCCTTGCTTGGCCATTTTCCGCAGAAACAGCTCAGCCTTCGCCGAACATGCCACCACCATATTGGGATCTTGCATTTTGGTGATCTTCATGAGGTTCTTGTAGGCGTCGGAGTCGTCGATTTTATTCAGCGCGATGACCGTGGGGAATTTCTCATCCGTAAATGCGCCGACGACACGGTCGACCGTCTCCTCGCTCCAATGTTCTAGGGGCTCCTTTAGGCCCATGCGATCCAATGTTCGGGCTACCACCGCAGCTGTACTCCCATAACCTGAGAATTGCCCCTGCAAGGTTTCGACAGCGGTGGCCTTGATGGCGACATGACGCCTTTTTATAGAGCCCCATTTCTCCCAGAGGTTTCCTTTGATCCAAGCAACAATCTCACCACGTAGCCAGGCTATATCCTGAGAAGGATCGTAGCCTCGTGTATTTTCTCCCTCTGCGTTGGTCCTCCCACTGGCATCCACGACGTGAATCAATGCATCCGCATGTCGGAGATCGTCTAGGAATTTATTACCTAGACCTCTACCCTGGTGTGCGCCGGGAACAAGTCCAGCAACGTCGAGGAGTTCTATCGGCACGGAGCGACGACCATCGACACATGATCCGTAGTTGGGTTTGCATTTATCTTGTACGCTGAAGCGTTCGCAAGCGCATGCTATTTGAAGATATCCGATAGCTCGTTGAGGATCAATAGTGGTGAAACTAGGCGGTGCACACCATTTGTTAGTTAGAGACTAACGAGTCCACATCATTATTTCTTCTCTTGTCTTTTCTCTCTCGTTCTCCCCCCCTCTCTCTCTCTCCCAGGCATGAATAGTAACAAGGGGTAGGCATACGGATAGTTTCCTATGTTGCATTATATATGTATCAGTGCCCGCAGTTCGGGTCGATAAAGTCGGCTAGATTCGACCCACCAACTTTGGACGTCGCATCGGTTAAGCTGTTCAGCGTCGTGCTCTTTCCAGCAGAGGGTTTGCCGACAAGGCCGATTAAAGGATCTCGTGGCATCTTGCAAAAAAGTTGCAAATTTTGTAATTATAAAAAAATTCTTATGTTTCAAGGTTCTCTAGAATCGCGTAGCTTGAATTTAAAAGTTTTGAGGCTATAAGTGGGGTGAGAAGTACAGTGGTATGTTCCTGTTGCCCGAATTCTATGGATGTTAAGAAAACTTTAAGATAAGAGCCCGGAGGTTCTACTAGCTGAGACCCGCTATAACGGCCCCGCAGCTTTCCGTCCTTAGGCGAGTCTCATCACTAATAGGTACCTAGATCTATTCACTATCAACATTTTCTAACATTGTTCAATCGGAGGTAGTTAAACATCATCATCCGTACCCATAATGCGACGAGGTCATTTCTCATTAAGCGACTTACCTGCATGGTGTGTCTTAAATGATGTTACCTTCGTTCACGTTAAATCTGCCGACATAAATGATCGAGGTTATGGCTTGGTGGCGGAGAAAAGCCTGGCTGATGAAGATGGAAGCTCTGATATTCCAGCTCTCTTAACAATCCCGAGAGACCTTGTTCTTTCAGCTGAGGGCGTAGAAGAATACGCTAAGGAAAACAAGGACTTTCGACAACTTCTAGATACAGCAGGACGTCGGGTTGGTATATGCTCAACCTGAGGGAGTACTTTGCTGCATGCTAAGCATGATTCTAGTCAACTAGAGGCGACGTCTTATTATTCCTTCTAGTGCAGCTGGTTTTGTCTTCGCCCGATTACAAGGGTGGCCAAGGGCCATCGACGCCTTGGACACACTACTTCAGTCTCTTGCCGTCATACGTACCAACTCCTACAATGTGGACAGAGTCAGAGCTTTTTCATTTGAAAGGAACTTCACTGGAGGTGAGTCGCTGTGGCAATTTGGGGCTTGCGGCTTCGTCCCAGGTGCTGCAGAATCTGAATTGACGTATTTGGGTAGTCTGCAGTATCTGCAAAGTTGACGACATTAACGAAAGAGTTTGATGATCTTCGTACAAAGACAGCTAGCCTGCCGTTTTGGGATGAAATATTCTCTATCGACGAGTCGATTACTATTCAAGACTGGATTCTTCTCGACGCCTTATATAGGTCTCGCTCTCTCGGCTTGCCCCAATCCGGAGAAGCGATGGTGCCATGCCTCGATTTAGTTAATCACTCGAGTAAAGCAAATGCCTACTTCGACGAAAATAGAAACGGCGACGTCGTCCTTCGTCTACATAATGGATGCAATGTATCATCTAATGATGAGATTACCATCGATTATGGGAAGGATAAGTCGCCCGCGGAGATGCTGTTCAGCTATGGCTTTATCGACCCTGATTCGACCATCAGTAGCCTTGTCCTACCCCTAGATCCGTTAAATGATGATCCGCTCGCGACGGCAAAACTTCATGCTTTTGGTACATCCCCAAAGCTAAGACTAGCAGAGGATGAGAACGGTATACCTCATTGGACCGCGCCTTTTGTGTATCTCATGTGCTTAAATGAAGAAGGTGAGAAGTTTCCAGTCCTTGACATCACGCGGCGGGCAAACTTATAATGCCATTCTCGGTCTATGAAGGCTATGTTATGTTAATTCCGAGTTGCAGATGGATTACATTTCAGAGTCCTGCAGGAAACAGACGGGTCTCGCCATTTAAAGATGTTTTGGCAAGATATCGATATCACGCACGAGCCAGATGGGATCATAGACCATATCCGCGGCCATGAATTATACCCGATATTTGAATTACGGGTTATAACAGTTCTTCTCGGCATCTTTCAAGAGCAACTTGAGCAACTTAGTGATAAGAAAGACGGGGGCATGACGCCAGGGTCGACAAGGGAAGAAATCTGGCTAGCCGTCTCCCGTCTCAAGTCACTTGAGATGGGTATCCTTAAGAAGTGTCTGGTGCTCCTAGAAGAAGAGGTAAGACTGAAACCTAAAACAATGGCCGTGATTCTTGTGATATAGAGTCATCTGATTGACCTCGGCTATAACACGTTGCTAACTCTTAACCATCGCAGAAAACCCGGCTGCTTGAAGACGATAAAGTGTTGGAGTATCTTAATTCAATGATGTCTGATCAAGATGATATTGCCGCCGGAACCGCTAGCGACGAGGAAGATTTCAGCTAGAACCTCAGCACTCGGCCATCGTCTTGGCTAAGTGCTGACTCTACTGCAGTCGATATATCATTCTCGTGTCCACGGTGCGATACCTAGATACCCCAGCAACTCATTTAATTTATTTGCACGGTTAGATTGGAAATTTGATTACCCCAGGACTAGGGCTTCAGTTTTTCGTTAATGTGATGTGACATCATACCAGGTTTGTAGTTTCGATGAATTTCTTACCTTACTGCAAAATCACGAGCGGAATGGTTAACTTGATTAGCTAGTCGCATATGACGGCTCGTTAGGCAATGTGAGAACTTTAGAGTTGAACCTGCCTGCCGTTGATCGATTATCCAAATATCAGGAAGCAATCTATATGGACGCGCCTAGCGGTCTTGAAGGTCTCTTTGGGCTCATAATTCGGACCGAGGACCCAGAGCCAATCCTGGGCTGCACATGTTCGGCACTGCATTTATACAAACAATTGAATCCTCATATGGGAGCTGTTCCTTACATACATGGCCCAGCATTCTGTGTCATGATCTACTTTGCTGGTTTATCCACGGCGTGGGCGATTTTAACCGGCAGCCACCCTCCCAAAGCCGCGACACAGACATACCCCGATGTGGACAGGATCCATCGCTTAAGAGTGAATACTTAGACGGGCCGTCTAGTCTAGCATTGTGCGGACGAAAATTAATCGCCCAGCCATCCCACGTTTTCTCATTACATTGGAGCTGATCACAGCATAAGCATGGGTCCGAGCTGCCTTAATAATCTATGAGGAGGCAAGATTCAACTTTGACTCTTTCTCGACGTGCCGTAGATCGACAAAATATAGTCTACTTTATAGAAGAGCGAGACTATGGGTTAATTGTATGCGCCACCATGGTAAATGAGTTTTCTGTACCTAGAAAAAGCAAGATTAGGAAGTCTACTTCATGTAGATCATCACTAGTAAGCCCGGTATAGGCTTAGTCATGAGTTCTTCATACGGGTTGGAAGGGTGTGTTTAATACGATTAATTCGCATTTGTATTCGCCTTACTAAGACACCAAGGGAGGATACATGGCACGCGAGTGCTAAGACCAACTAGTCATTGAGCTAACACTTTATGGTTACTCGTGAACTGGATGTTAAAATTTAGTTGATAAATACCTATCCTGGGAGGGGAACTTGACTGGAGCTCTACTGAGGCTTTTAATATGAAATAACGAAACCGGCCGACGCTGGCCGTTGTACCCATTGATAATTGAGATCGAACCCCGATATCCCATTGAGTATAGATAATGTAAAACCACCCACTTCCAGTGGAGTTGCACTTAATATGATATTGGTGTCCGAACGTAGCACTCAGACCTGTCAACTAACCGGGTTCGTAGCGTTCGCAACATGGCTTGAGTGCGTCGATATCTAACTTCAAGCGTTGCACCGCATGTAAGTCGATATAGGAATTGGCCGGTCGCCGCAAAGACGACAGCTTGGCTACGGTCACGTCTACTCCGAACGAAGTAGTGTGACGAGGATGGCGTGGTAGGACTTAGGAATGGGAACGTGTAGGATGCCGGCCTCTACCTACGGAAATATGCGGGTTTTCTTACAGCCGCATCTTCCCCTATAACCGACAGTAACGGAGTCAACTAGGTATACCTCGGCGTCCTGTACCCTAGACGGACAGGGTCGTATCTTGCGTCGATGCTCGGACTCATGTTCTTGGGATCCCGATTCGCTCTCTTATCGTTCCCTTCAAAGAAACATGGCGACTCAATGCTTGAATTACATAGTATACGTAGGCTAAGAGAAGTCAGTGGATCATGAGCATATGTGAGACAACTTCGCCTATCTAGAAAAACCTGGGGTAAATCCCCCGCGAAAAGATTCGAGACCCTTTTACTCTCCGGGGTCAAGACCGAGTTGTTATCGTACGGATCATAGGAAACTAACTATAATAGTAGTTCGAGTGGTGTCATTATTTTAGCGTTGGGTAATGATATGCCAAGTGCCAGGTTCGAGAAATATCATGGGCTGGCCATCCTCTTAACGCGTGGGGATGAAAAAGTTGGTGAGTGTTTAGCGTCCAACATATGCGAGTACCCACTACAATATTGATACTAGGTACCTGTTTGAGCCAACCATGACTTCCCTATTATTTGTGCCTGCTGAGGTTACTACGCTGTACGTACCTACCGTATGTGCGTGATGGCCCTGATGGCTCTCTTATGCATGGCTAGCGTACAACGCTCTAACAGGTAAGGTGCGTGGAGTATATGACGATGGAATTATGAGTAGCAGAGTAAAGTCTGTCACACCTTAGAAACTTATTCGAGTTAATGGATGTTCTAGGTGCCTGGCCTCTTTCAACTCGATGATAGAACCTTGGAACCTTTGGAGGACATCGGATGGATGCTGTATGTATATGTATATTATGTATTCCTTGCATGTATATGCCGTAGATGCGACAAGTTACAATTGCTCGGGTTCGATCTTTACGTATGGGTCGGGGTTTGGTTATCTTTTACTCGTCTTTTTGATAAGAATAACGGGAATATTTCGCTTTCGCTTCGTCTTGTTGTCTCTATGGATGAACATACATAATGCATTTAAATAGGGTTTAAGAGTAGCTGAAATAATCGATCCTTCTGCTAACTCTGTCTATATCCACGTATACATACCTGTATGATATCAATTGGATGTGCGATACTTCGTATATGTACTTCCTATTTGCTCCTTCCCCCCTTGCCCACCCCAGATTCGTTAGCGCACCCCATTAGTATAATACCCCGCTGATCTCAGGAAATCCGTCTGGAGTAGCGGGCATTGGTGCTTCCGTTTCTCGCCATTACCTCCACTAAACTTTCCTGTCCCCACGCACCCTATTCTTCAATCTCTCAACTTGTTTTTTTCCTCCTTCTATGTCCCCTCATCATTCTTCCCACCACCGTTAGACTACCCGACTTTACACGCGCCACCCTTTATATCGACGACTAATAAACTCGACAAATCTACCCCCAATCGATATTTTTACTACGAAACGACTTACCTCCGACTACACGCGGCTATCTGGCGGGACATGAGCAATTTTCGCATCCGCTGCTGGTGACGTGCTGACATCCGCAACCAACGCCGTTCAGAAACCGAAACTTAAACCGCCATCAACGCTTAGGGAATGGGGAACTCGGTGTTGGGTTTGACGCGAATACAATCGATTAACGAAGTCGAAATCGAAGTCGAAGCCACTTTAGACTAGAGAACTGAACCAGTCAGCCGCAAATATGCCTGGAATTCTGCCTATGAAAGTGATTAAGGTGGGCACAAGCTCACAGAGCCGCATCGCCCAGGCCTGTGACAGGTACGTGTTTTGAGAAGCCGCGATGTGCTTTTGGTACCCCATACTGAGTGTCCTTTTCCAGGTGTCGGAGTAAGAAGATTCGCTGTGATGGAATCCGTCCGTGTTGCTCGCAGTGCGCCAACGTTGGGTTCGAATGCCGTACAAGCGACAAGCTCAGCCGCCGTGCGTTTCCACGAGGCTATACCGAATCCCTCGAGGAGAGAGTGAGGCAGCTAGAATCTGAAGTGAGAGAATTGAAGGATTTATTGGACGAGAAAGATGAGAAGATCGATATGCTATCGAGAATGCATGATCACCGCCAGCCATCTATCGGATCTACCGGAAGCCCGAGAATGGTAGAATCAAGAAGGGATCCCAACTCTCCAACGAAGGAAGATACTTTCCGTGTGCAGGCCTCGCCGCTGTTACTTGGTGTTGAGAATTCGGACTCGTACTTTATGGGACCTTCAAGCGGACGCTCCTTCATCGGTAAGCAAAACATAATTAATGCTATAGCCCTGATACCATGTCTAACTATATTCAGAGTCTTTCAAACGCAAACTCCAAGAGAACGGGAAACCTTGTTCTGATTTCAACCCGGAGGCTTTCCTCCATATCCAGGGCTGTTATCCTCTGATTGCAAAATCCCAATCCCAGTCGGTAAAGGTGCCGCCACGCCTATTCTCGGATAGGTGTGTCAACATATATTTTCAAGAATGGGCGCCACTCTTTCCTGTTCTTCACAAACCGACATTTCTCCGTCTGTATGAAGAATTTGTTGCCGATTCGGAGAAAGTGAAAAATAACCATAAGCTTGCACAGCTCTATCTGGTTTTTAGTATTGCCGCCCTTTCAAGTGACTTACCCGATATGGAGCAAATTGCTGCTTGCGAGGTTCAGTGGCAAAGAGCGCTCGAAGCAGTGATGATGGATAACACGATGAATACATTGCAATGTTTAGTCCTGGCTTTGATGTATTGTACTATCAGAGCCGACTACAAGCGATTGCAACATTACAAAGGTGTCGCCGTCGGTCTATCTCACAGATTAGGATTGCATCAAAGCCAGAAGCGATTTTCGTTCGGCGCCCTCACCATTGAAACACGGAAGAAGGTCTTTTGGACCTTGTATACCCTCGACTGGTAAGTTTCCAGATTCCTAATACATATTGCTTCTATGATAATCTAACAATCTTAGTTTTTCTGCTGCCATGCTCGGCCTCCCTAAATTGCTTAAGGAGGATGACATTCATGCGGAGTATCCATCAGATACTGATGACGAATACGTGACTGAGAAGGGATTCCAACCCACTCTACCAGGGGAATATACCAGACTATCGAGCGCATTAGCGTTGTTTAGGGTCTCCCGCATTCTTGCCGACGTGCTAGAGAAGCTCTATCCGGCTGCCACGTCTTATGAATTGACTCTCCAGCAGATTTCGGCAATAGATGCGGAGCTGTCAGATTGGTATGAGAACTTACCCACCCACCTCAGGTTAAATTTCGTGCAAGACAAGCCATCAACGGATATCACTGGGAGCAGGTCCCCGATTCTGGTATGTTATCACCAGTCTCTTATCGATGTCGTCAATACTAACAATTGCTAGTCACTTGCGTACTATTATATCCGCGGTCTCATCCACCGTCCTGCCGTAGGTTCAAACTTAGGCGGCAAGGCGGCGCCCGCCCTCATCGCTGTCGGAGAGTCTAGCAAGCATGTCGTACAGATTATTCAGTTATTAGAAGAGAGAAGCATGTCCTTCTCGTTCTGTCTCAATAAGGCAGACGTTCTTGTCCTGTGCGGGACAAGTCTGCTTTACCAGAGCCTGGATTTAAAACATGAGAGCAAGCTTATGAAGGATATAGAACGACTCGTCAACTCTGTCATCAAAATACTCCTGAGAATGAAAGCACCTGGTACTTACGACCTCAAACGAGTTGCATCCTTACTCATCACTGTCGATGTGCCGTCTCAACCTGCATCAATGCGAACCAGCCCAGACACTACCATGGCTGCTCCGCCATCAAGAACATCGCCGCTATTGAACCTATCGAGAAAGAAGTCTCCGTATAGTGGTGGTCGAAACGCCGGCGCGAGCATGAGCGAGACAGACCTGTTGTCCCAGCAAGAAAAGTTACGACGTATGACTATACCCAATAGTCAAACCGGTCGGCCAGAGATGCATCGCGCGCAGTCACGCGCGTCGCTCGATATGAGCGCTGAACAGTCAACGCCGCGACGTGATCATCGATTTTCAATATCTCAAATTCAGCAAACGATGATGCGTATGTCACCAATGAATAAATCCAAACAACGGAATCTTGATTATCTTTCACTCAACGAGGCACCCCCTGAGACTCAATCCTCGCCGCCGACACAAGACCAAAACTTGCCACAGCCGATGACAAATGGCCAACAGCACCAGACGCAAATATACCCCCCACCTCACCTAATGAATAAGGGTGGCTCGAGTGGGGGCGTCTCAATCTCGGAATGGGAGGCATTACTCGGCGCAATGGATGGCGGCCAGATTAATGTATACGACGCGATATACGGAGGGCCGGCTTTGTCGCTTACGGAGACCCCGACCACCACAACGACGGCTCTTGGTGAATGGTCGCCAGATGCCTGGGACCTTTCTAGCTTCAATATCGGTGATCTAACAGCTAATCCGGCGCCTCCACAGAGCGTACTTAGTATTAGCGACGACAGCCTCAGTTCCGGAGAGGACCTAAATTCGAACGATATGTATCTCAGAATGGGTAGCGAGGACTATCAAAGCGGATTGATGGCACCACCACGAACCAGCCGCGACGGGAACTTGGTTTTAGAAGGTCTTGAGTTGAATCTTGGAATATAAATTTTCTTTTGAGAGTTCGAAGACAGTGGCGAATAGTTGGTCACTTACAATCCACGAGATTACTCTCTTTGGTATGCGGCGTCGATCATAGACGGCTTATATTTTGTGGCGGAATTGGTTACGAGTTGCGCGAACCGCGAGGGCTATGCAGGTTGGGACATTTGGACCAGGTGTTTTAGGTACCCATTGGCGCCTCTGGCATGGTTTTTTATCTGCGAATATTCTTGGGCGAATGACTTTGGAACTTTATCTATAAAGGCGACGGTCCCTGTTGGCCTAGCGATTTTACATACGTTATATTTTTCTATGTACCTATCCACGGTTGGTGTAACAACTTGTTATATAGAGGTACGATGGATGCCCTTATGAACATAGCTTGATTAGGGAGAAGGCCAAAAAAAGAAGAAATTTCAATCAACCGTCGAGTCATCCGTCCCATGCGAAGATACACAGAGATATGCAGCCTTTCGCGATGGCTAGTATATCCGGTGTACGAGTCACGGCTGGCACTAGAAGAAACGTGTGAGCCACGTGTTGAGCAGCATTGAAGCTACCATAAGCAAGAGCTGAAATCAGGCTGATTGGTAAGGAAGCCATCCATCGAATAATTACCCAATTAGTACATACTTAATATCCTAAGTATGTCCGCGTCGTGGCTTTCTCCGGATACACCGGTGCAGCAGGCAGATACAGGTGGTATGAATGGCTCACGTGCAAGGGGTATGTACCCGTTACATAGGAAAGTGGAGTATCTGGTGCGACACGAAACGTGCTAATCGCCGATTAACTCCAGCGGCCGCATATGTCGTTTTCAAGTTCCTATCACATTCTACGAAGTACTAGCAATCATTCCTTTGATCACGTACTTTACGATATACCTTGTTTACGACCATTTTCTTGTTCCCAATTCGTACTCGCGCTTACGTTGGGTCTTTCCTAATCTCCGCCGGGCGGTAGATTTATGAGACCAAGTCTGAGGACACTTCTATAACCCTACCATGGATTATTTATGATACAAACTTTATACTCCCTCTATTGCTTTCGTCTTCTCCTTCATCAATAAGCAAATAATTATGGCTTTGGATCCCAAGCCCTCATTCATTAGTCAGCCCGCTCCCCAGCAACCGCTGGAAGAGGCGCCTCCCGTCGACGAACAAACACCGTTAATCAAGCCCGGCAAAGCGATAATGGAAGATGGGGGTCCGGGTGAGTGCTATCTCAAGAAATATCATCATGGAAGTGCGCCGCAATAGACCTGGACCGCTGATGATCCCGAGAATAGCAGGTATTCCGGTACCCCGCTCTCGTAACGATGCCACCACTTCCCCCGGATCGCGACGTCTACCGCAAGCCATAGCTCACCGAGGATACAAGGTCGTCGCCCCAGAAAATTCGATGCTCGCGTTTCGAGCAGCTGTTGAGGTGGGCGCGCATGCCATCGAGACCGACTTACACCTATCTAAAGACGGCGTCGTTGGTGAGGACAAAAAGACACGCTTTTACGAGGCTCGGAGATAAGCTTACCGACCCTAAAACAGTTCTATCGCATGATGCCGCACTCAAGCGATGCTTTGGAGAGGATTCCAAGGTTCGCGACCACGAATGGAGATACCTAAGCACATTACGAACAATACGTAAACCCGAGCAATCTATGCCCCGCCTAGTCGATCTGCTCGAATATTTAAATCAGCCGGGGGTAGAGCACGTTTGGATTATGCTTGATATCAAGGTACTGTAATAATGTAGTTGCTACGGATGAATTAATAATATGGGAAGTTGAGCACGGGCTAATTGCTTGACTTCTAGACGCATGACGATGCTACCGAACTCTTGCGAAGGACGGCAGAAGCCATAGCTTCGGTGCCGGGGATACGGCCGTGGAGTGAGAGGATATTACCTTGCTGCTGGAATGTAAGAGCGCCTTGCCATTCTCCCATGATCCTACGCTTTACTTGGAGTTACACTCGTAAATTCTCTATGTGCTTAGGTTACTGACTCGTAGGATGTAGATAGAATACGTGAAGCTAACCAAGGAGTTCCTACCCGGGTTTCCGATCGCCCACGTAGGAATTTCAAGCGTATATGCAAGGGCGCTTGCGAGCTTCATGCCTAGCCTGTCCGTCAGTATGGTACGCAATCTTTTAGCTATGCCAATTACCGGCTGGCGCTTCATACGGGATATGAAGAAGTCAGGTCATCCCATTTACACGTGGACGGTTAACGACGAATCTTGGATGGAGTGGAGCATCCAGAAAGAGCTCGATGGTGTTATAACAGACGACCCTAAGTTGTTCCTAGAGGTTTGTAATCGTGCCGCGGGTAAAGAGGCAGACGGCCGGGCGAGAAGACCGGCCACTAGACCCCTCAAGATCATCGCGAGAGATATGTTTGATTGGGTACGGTACATTCCTCTCATGGCCCTGATCATGACCATCTACTTCGTTAGATACGGGTTGCCCCAGACACAGGTTCGAAAGACGCTGGGCAGTAAATAGATAATTGTTAGTATTCCAAGGTAGAATCGTGGGCATATGGAGCAATGCCAAGCCTGCCGAGGAGGAGTAATCGTAATACAAGACTTAGTACGCCTCTCAGTTAAATAGAACTTGGCGTACGTGATTTACGTCGAACAATATATAGTAAGATGACAGGTTACCCGATCGTCTATCAAACCCATTCTAGTGACAATAAAATATGCCGAATTTTTACGTACCTAGGGTGATATGAATGTGCTTTTTGTAGAAAGAATTCGAGTGACGGCCTTAGGAGAGAAAATCGGAATGTCGAATAGAAAAATAGATGAATTATTTAAAGGGTGTAACAATATGGAATTAATCTCAAGCTTTTGGCGAATTCTCAATATGCAGGTAGGTAGGTAGGTACTATGATCTGGGTGTTGACATTCAACAACCGGAGTAATGGTCACGGTATCTTAAGTCTATCATCTCACCAGCTAGCACTTTACGAGATCTACATGTACCTGTAGATTGTTATAATAAATATCTTGCTTGGCGAAGTGCCATTATTAGGCATATATATAGGGCATAATAATCAACGGCGTTAGATCTACGACCATCACAAATCACATCAATCATATCACGAAAAGCTTCATAAACCGAGATCAAGTTTTCAGACTGCGTGTTACTAAGCAAATGTGTTTCCAGTATCCTCAATTTGAGGAAAGGTTTGCAGTACCTTGATCCTGGAACACGACATGAAAAGGAAAGAAAAAACTTGACTAAAACCCAGTATCCCATAAACCCATGACCACGATAAACCGAACTTGCGTAGAAAAATCAAAAGTAGTGGTTGAGACCCTCACTTAACCTGACTAACCCTCACCAAGAGATTCAGCTGGGCAGACTATACGTCGAACCAAGGATCACACGTCGGTGGGGGAAAGAAAGAAAAAACCGCCAATGTCTCAAGAAAACGCGTCTTATACCATGCCGATACCAGGTGCTTAAGCGGTAGCTCCGCCATCACCGTCTCTCTTCGGCTTCTTAGGGTCGTCCGCGCGCGGGTCCAGATCGTCGCCCTTGCGCTTCGTTTGACCGGCCCGGTGCTGGACCTTGCTCTCCATGTCTCTGATTATGTTGTTGGCAGTTCTAGGTGAGTATGTGCGAAGGATGTTCGCACGAACTTCTTCGGGAGACTGGTCACCGTTGCCGGGTGTAGACGGAACGCCCATGTCCGCAATAGGGGCGTTGTTGCCGCGAGAGTTCATGGCTGACATGCTGGCCATACCGAACATGGGTCTGTTCTGAGCAGGCTGCGCGGCGGTATATGCCGCCTCTGGAGCCGGGACGCCGCTGCCGAATCCCTGTTGCTGATAACTGCCAAATTGCGGCCCTGTAGGCTCCATGTACAGGTTTGGTGCGATGGGTGTGCCATCGTAGTGAGTCGCAAAGCCTCCACCAAAGATGCTGCTATGCTGCTGCTGCTGAACAGGAGTAGGCGCCGGGTACTCCTGAGTGTAAGAACCACCGAACTGCATTCCAGCGTTGTGGGGCGTTGCCGTGCCACCGCCCGACGACCTTCCCTGATTATATGGATCAGGCATGGGTGCATTGGGGTCCGGAGGTGGTGGGTAAATGCTGCCGACAGAATTGTCGGGATCGTCGCCCGTAGCGTGCTGGTGATGCGGACGACTGCGAGATTGCACGGCCGGAGTGCTGCTTCGACGCATCGATTGACTGCTGTGGGAGCGAATTGAGAGAGCTCGAGATCCATGCATGGGGACAGGGGTTCCCGAGCGATCAAGAAGCGGCATAGAGGCATTCTCCGGGTGTGACATGTTGCCATCGCTAGGCTGCATGCCGGGATAAGAACCCATTGCCTGACCGTTACCAAATTGCATTCCTTGACCATTACCAGGCTGCATGTAAGGCTGCATGCCGGGATACATGCTAGGGTGCATGCCATGAGTGCCATAAAAGCTCGGGGCCTGCTCGTTGTTGGCGGTATAGCCACCGGCAGTGCCAACTCCATGAAACGATGCATTCATCGGGTTGCTAGGGTTGTACGTCGGCACGCCAACATAGCTGTGAGGAGCCATGTTACTAGGGTTTGGTGCACCCGTGTGCGAAGGGGCTCCATGCGGTGGGCGACGAGGTTGCACAATGGGCTGACGAGGAGGACCACCCGCCTCCTGAATATCATCGCCGTTATCCGCCTGGTCATTACCTGGGAGGTTATGGTGAGCCTTCAATCCCGGCCAGGTCTTCTGTGCGTCTTTGATGATGTGCTTCAGGAAGCGTTGGCTATTGAGAAGAAAAAGAAGGTTAGTAAACAAATTATTTCCATTGGGAGTGGGGAGTGGTTTAGATACAGCGAGTGATTCAAAAAGGGGAGAAGGGGGTAAATGAAACTCAACAACGACCAAAAAACCCAACCCAAAAAACAGTAATAATTAGGGGGACTTACTTGACCGAATCCTTACTAATACTGTAACCAATTGCTCTCATGGTGTCGGCTACACTTGGCCAAGAAACTTTAGACAAGCCAGATTTACGTCTCTGGCCATTACCACAACTGTTCAACACCATCGAGAGTAGAAGAGCGCGATCAGCATCATCAGTCCACGTGATAGGCTTGTTGTGCGGGCTATCCTGGTTAGGATTGTTCTGAGTCTTAGAGCCCTTGGAACCTCTAGACTTCTTAGGTTTGCCACTGCTAGCCTTGTCTGACTTGTCGTCACGATCATTCTGGTTGTGATCGTCCGGAGCCATGATGATTACTGTTCAACTATACGTAGGATCGTTAGCTAGGTACATCTCATACAAGTGGATAATTTTGAAATAGAATATCAACCAAGTACTAGAGGATAATGCTATAGGGGTTCATGTGTAACGTTCAACATATTGATGCGACAATTGAGACTGAACCCCAATGAGAACGGCAAGACTTTAAAGTCCCGATAGTTGGGGAGGGACATAGTGAATCATCAAAGGCTTGAATCATTCCAAGCCATTTTGGATAATTTGAAAATGATGTGATGGGGCAGTAAGAGATGCTAGTTAGGAGAGAATAAATGAGAATAGGGAAATGATGTGAGAATTTTGGAAACAAGTATCATGTAGGGGAAATATTCCACCCATGATCATCAAAATCAGAGATACAGAATAGGAATGGACAATACCGTCTTGTATCAAACCCGCGTAACAAATTGTTCGGGAATGGGGTTGGATGGGGTTGGATGATGGTGGCTGAAAGAAAACGAGATGAAGGGATAGTATTTCGAGTCCTCGATCTTGACAGATGATGATGAGGGTATAAGAAAGACGAGGTGGCAGTATTGTGTAGATAGGTACGTAATATTACGTGTTAGGGCTAGGGATTCGGTGGTGATGATGAAGGTAGGGGTGTGATGAAGCATGCTATGAGCAGGAACGTGGGGATACTCGAAGATCGAGAGCGTTTATGATGGTAAGAGGAGAGTGAACGTGATGATGGGAAGCGGATGAAGGTGAAATTACGTGTTAATGGGAAGAGAGTGTCGGGGAGATAAACATGATGATGAACAGGACGTGTTGATTCCAGGAAAAGCCAGAGCGTGAAAAATAAAAGCAGTATCTTAGGAAATTTTGTAAACATACCTTGTTACCTTGCAATCGACTTGAAAAATCTATTGTTCGTAAACGCCCAGGAAACGTACGCTTCCAAAATGAAAGTGTGAGGCGTTGAAAGGAGATTTGATAGAGCAGAAGTTGGATGATTGAAGGAGGAAATCACGTAGTGAAGAATCCACGAATTATTTGCCAGTAGGGTTCTTGATAGATGGGCGTGTAGAAGAAGTTTGTGTACGTGAAAATCCTACGGGCTGTAGAATTTACACAAAGATGGAATAAGAGGGGAGAAAGATTTTGGGTACGAGGTAGCTGTGATGCCTCGACGAGCTCGAGAGGTCACAATAGTAAATGAATTGGGGGAAATGGAGGTTTGTGATGAAGTGGAAAAGATAAAGAAGTGAAGAAGTGAAAAAAAAGTGCCTGGAAGGATGTGTAGTACACCAATAACTGGAATATTTCAGTTTTTTGGCGTGGAAAAGAAGAAGGCAAATCACGATTCAGGTTGGGGAAATTCTTGGTAAATAGAAAGAATGGTTTGTTTGGCTTGCGTTCTGGAGAATTAAATAGGACAGGCTGTAGCTGGGTGATTACAGAAATAGCCCTCTATAGACGGCAATGCCTTTCCTTCAAGGGGGGATAGTATTGAGACGAGCAAATCGTGACCGGTAGAGGCTGATTTCCTTCATCCGCCTAACTAGGCATGGCCCGATCTTGAATTATCTTAACCGGGTGATTGAAATCTCTTGCCAAAGGCCAAGGTACCCCCGACGATCTTGCCGGTCAAGTATCCCGAATAAACTCCACATAATATGGTGATAGGCCATTTCTGCCACTCGCGATCCCAGTCCAGGGGAATAGGTACAGCACCAAGCCAAGCTCCAAGACAAGCACCCGTGAGACCTCCGAATGCTTCATCGAAAGGGGCCTGCGCACTAAGGACTTCAAGCCAGTCCTTGCTCGACACACCACGTGTATAGAACAATGGGAAAAGTCCCAGAGCGGCCATATGCGTCGAACATAGGAACGTTTGAGGCACATGGGTCAAGAATGGAGCCCCAAACAGAATAAGAATGCCATATAAAGCCAGGCTTGTGATGCTCGACAATATGAGGGCAACAAGAGTTGTCTGGCAATACTGTTAGCTATGAATGGCAAGAGGGAAAAGGGGTAAAGACAGACAACGGCAATACTTGGCCCCATGCTCTCTGATCCGGGCTTCTTCTTCTCTCCGGGCCGAAGTTTCCTAGCCGGCTTCGTAGTCTGGGAGCCGGCCGGTGGCAAGCACGTGACAGCATAGACAACTTGCATGGCCGCGACTACAGGGAGAGAGCTGGACATGGCAGCTACTGGATCTGCTACCAGAGCATCGAACCGTAGGAGGAATAGTGAGAAGAGTAAGACTGGATAGATATGTCTCACGGCTTGGGCCAGGGGCGAGGCTAAAGTCCGAACAGCCTGCGTAGGAGTCTCTCCATCTTTGGATTTAGAGACTTCACCACTTCTCACTTTGCCAATTGGAGATGACATTGTTACTGGATCTAATAATGCCATTCGAGTTGTAGGCGACAAATCGCCGATAATGAATGGCGGCGGTCAATGGGCGGGTATTAAAACATGAGTTTCCGGATAAGAAATTGATTAAGGAAAGTCGTCGTTGAAATCAAATTGGATTATTGACGATATAATTGACCTGAGACTTGTAGTTGGCCTGCACGTGTCGCACAATCACGTGTTTTAGCTATGTCACTTCTTGAATAGGGTACTGTGCCAGTACATTTTATTTGTTCCAAATGGTGGGATATCCAGTATTATTTGTGTACTTCCTATGTATACTAATGTACTTAATCTGAAGGGGACTTAGGTACATTAGTCCCGGTAGTTATCGATAAGAACACCAATAATTAATATTTTCTTGGCATTGTCTTTTTTGGGATTTGACACCAACGACTTTAAGTATTAATGTACCTAGGTATGTAAGTACCTAGTACCATACAAAGTATGTACATATAAATCAGTTCAATGTGATATTTACATAGGTACATACTACAATACCTATTAGGTACTACGTACATATTATGCCGGGTCACTGGTTGTAATAAATAGAATGCGGCATACAGGTATCCGTGTACGATATCCAAATATATTCCGGTTTATCGAAATTTTTGAGGCTGCCCAGTTGTTTCTTTGAACAAGTACGTGGGTATGATCGCTAACCTATATATACTGCCTACTAGGTATATACTAGGCATCTGTGTGGCCCTCCATATGGCCAAACATAACCACGTCCATGGATGTCTAGCAAATTTACTTGCTGTTCCAGGTCGAATTAGGAGCTACTCTCCTGCCCAGGAATGAGGTTACGAAGGGATAAATCATAAATAACATCCTCGACCTTCTTGACGTGATATTTGACAGCATCGACTCTCCTTCGGACGACATCATTCTTTAGGTTGAGTAGTTGAAATCCGGCGAACAGATCCTTGATGAAGTTGCTGATGCGAACGGTCAAGTCAATATCACCCATAGTCACCGAGTTCATTGCTAAGCGACTGAGCTCCTCTGTGATATCCGTCAAGGCTAAAATGTATTCCTCAACGGTAACATGAAACGCATCTTTATCCTTGAGATTGACAGGCACTTGATAGAACATTTAGTAAAAGCAACCATATGATTATTACAGAATAAACGTACCTTCGAGAATTTGACCAACCTCTTCTATTGTGAGAAGGCGACCGAGCTGACTTGGACGAGCCTCTGTCCCCAAACCACCCAACCAGCCGCTTAACAAGATGGTGGCTACAACATTTTGAACACTACGAGTCCATTTGCCATTATACCTTTACGCACATTAGTCATTCGAATCGCCCTAAGTATGAAGAAGGGAATAGGGCATATACTTGTAGTAAGGGTAGTCTGAGGTGAACTGGGCTAGCTCTCCGATACTCTTAATCTCGGGCTTGATGCCATCATCCTCCACCTGCTTCAGGAGTGGCAGCACTTTAGCAAGTATTAGCTATATCCGAAGCCAGAATGTTGGGGTCTTTATGTTGTATATACGCTTAGAGCTGGGCGTGGAGTGGATGCGGCTAAGAAAACCCTGGCAAGTTGATGTGTGGCGATTTAGAGATGCGACGATATGGTGGAGCTTGTCTCCAACCTCAATTTCCTCCTCGCCGTGTGCCTTGAGATATGAAATGATAGAAGGATCTATCGAACTCGAAATATCGTCGCTAGCCATTTTAAGAGGAAGCGAGGTGCATATATTGATGTGTAATAATAGGGACAGAAGAAAAAAAGAAAGAAAAAAACCACTAAAGTTTTGCTGTGAGGGGTATCCAATGGAACCTAGGTACCTAAGTTACAGCATAATGTCTGGTAATTCCTGCCTGAATGTTCAATCAATTCCACCACTGTAGCGCTATTTAGGTACCCGTTTGCCCTATGAAATAATCGAACTGCTACTACCTAGGCACTGGAGGGCGACTGAACTGCTAGGCACTACCGCCTAGGTATGTACCTGTTACCTGGTCGTAACGGTAGGTATCCATAGATGGGAATACTGCTATTCTATGCTCCTTGAGCAAATACCTACCGATATATTACATGCAAGCGCAAATATCACTAGTCTACTACGTAGGTGGCATGAGGCTTGGTTTGATTTCTTATGGATTCTTCCTCGCGTCACTAGACATGCTAGAGACCGCAACGAAAAAAAGAAGATTCGCGTCACCTGGAGGCAGTGTAATACCAGGGACACAGTGAGAGCGATCATGGGCAAGCCCAGAGGATGCGCTCTCTTAAGACAAAAATTAGAATAATCACGATTGAGTTCAAGTAGAACTCTTTCAGAGATTAAACTGAAAAGAACAGATACTACACTTGATCTAAGCCAAAAGGCAAAGAGAGCTGAAGAGGAAAGGAAGAAAAATAAAATTTGGCGCGGGGAGAAATGGTATTTATAAACTTTGTGGCCTACGAGGCGGTCAGTGTCGGCAGTACTGTAGGACCCCACTTAAGGTCACCGGTAACCAATACCAGCCACCGCAGTTTACGACCCGCTTAGATGGATATGTCTTATCGTATTGAAGGATATATTAATTTATGGGGTATATGAACATTGTGTGGTGGTATCGAGAGGAACGAACGAAAAGTATATCCATCCTGATTCCTAAATCATACATGTCACTCCCGATATCTGGAAATCTCAAACAGTCTATTCCCTCTGTTTGAACGAGCTCGAGTACTTTACTGCTAATTAATCTTCATACATCCATCTATCTAATCGGCTATCCAGGCGGGAAGTTCCCTAGCATCGTAACCTGATGGCAACTCTTGGGGATTGTTCACACTGGGCTGTCCTTGGATATTAGGCGGTTTTGGTGTACCACTGTATGGAGCTTCAATATAGCTTGGTGCATCTTGTTGTGGGCTCTGTTCCGAAATTGGTCGGCTTCGTCTAGAACGCCAGATCATAAACCCAACTCCTGCGAAGATGGCAGCTGCTGCAGGTAATCCCACCCCAAGGCCGACACCTATCGCAACGGCGTTAGATGAGCCACCAGAGCTCCCGCTTCCCGACGAACTTGTACTGGTGCTTGCAGCTTGAGACGATGTTGATTTAGTACTTATCGACCCGACTGTCGAAGATGATGTTGGCGCCTTGTCGTTAAGGGGTATTGTGGCGATTATCGTGGGTAAAGTTGTTATATTATTGTATTGGAATACTTTGGTGTCATTATTGCAACAAGCGAATGACCCGTCGCCTGTCGATCCGTCGTCGCAGCAATACTGATTGCTTTCATTGATGCCGCCACAAGGTCTAACCCCTATTCCGAACACTCCTACATCTAATACCAATGTTAGTTCAAAATGGCCCTATAAGAAGCAATTAAATCGATACTTACACCATGGACAGACATCAAAACAGGCCGTACTGCGCCACGAGTAGTCAGTACAACCCCTCCGTAACCAGTCATCTACACCTCCAGTCTTGCCATGACAAACTCCGTTGGACCAACAAACCTCTCCTGGCATACAACAGCTCGAATGGCCCGTAGTGTGATTGTCGCATCTGAAGATAGGTTCCAAAGCTGCCCCATCGATCCTATAGCATGTCTGGAACTCGCTGGCTGCTAACCCCCCGACAGCCAGACTGGCTACTGAACAAATGACGGTCAGGCCCTTGGATTGCCTCATATTACCAAGAAAGCTTGTCGTGGACACGATCGTTTATCTTGAGTACCATGTGTCGCGAACTGGTGTTAAAGGGTGGTGAAGAACGCCGTTTAAAAATGCCAGCGCAGGTTCAGTTGCGAATTCAGCCATCTAGCATATTCGAAATAGGTACCAAGAGCGCCCAGCTCTCCAATTGTGCAACGCGACCTACATTGGTCGGAGACGCGGCACATTGCTTCCTTAGCCTAGGTCTTCGCCGCTAATTAAGGATGATCACCCACACCGATGAAGCGCCAAATCAGGCCTCCCTACCTACGAAGTCCTAGCATTATTTGGAAGATTTCATTGATGGTGGCTCGAGGCTTCGCATCTATAGTCCAGATATGAATGCTGTCAGCATCATAAAACCAATCACAGGTGCAGATGTTCTTCCTGAAAGGGGACAAACACGCCTAGGTGGAAATTAACAATACGAATGGGCGTCCAGTTGTTGCGTGGACTTCAATCCTTGGCGTGACGAGGCCTTAATATCTACGTTGGAGTTAAAAGAAGCCACAAAAACACGGGATGGTAAGGCTGCATAAGTCGAGGACTTGTCGGTATTCCCTTGTGAGTAATTACGCCTTATGGCCACGGGTTTTTACTAAGAGGGAGATGTAAACATCGAGTATCAGAGCCTCTCATTGGATCATGAAAGATCAGATGAAGAGTAATAATTCATATTAGGTAGATATAGAAGTTTAGTTAATAACTGAAATTTTAATCAATTATTTAATACCTAGGTACCTAGTAGATAGGTAAATATATCACAGCGACAATGGAACGAACCTATTTCTTTAGCTTGAGTGCCCCTGATTTTGGGGGCTGCCAAGTGCCAAGAAGCGGATGGCAACTGTCAACAACATTTCAGTCAATCAATTAAGTGCCTCAATAATACCAAGGAACCATTCGGAGTTTTTATCTTACATCTGCTTCTGTCCTTCACCACTTGCGTTATTTCGCATTTTCGTAATAGCGATGGCTCCGTCACCTTTACCGGAATTTGTCTACAAGATCGTGCCTTCGGCGCCTCCAACACCGATACCATCTCAGTATCCTCTGTCGGAGCTCGACCAGAAAGACGGGTTTGTTCACCTAAGTATCGGTACCCAGGTAAGAGCTCCCGTCTACGCAGAAAATAGTGCCTCTCGTCTTGACAGACGCATATATCAAATAACAGAGATGATTATCGTGTTTGCCGCACTTTGCTAACACGAAGCTAGATCCCTATAACGGCAGGTCTGTTTTTCAAAGAGGCTACGAGTATCTGGGTGCTTAAAATCCGGTTTGATCCCAAGTTCCACTCCGCGACAACGTGGGAGATTGAGGGATGTCCGCATCTGTATGGCAATTTCGGTGTTGATGACGTCGAGGCACTAAAAGAATTTTCTCGATTGGATGGTCAGACCTGGAAGGAATCGATGCAGGATAACGATGGCTTTTTAGTCTAGGCATTCATCTGAAGAAATTCGATTTCACATATAAAAATCAGATTGCGTTGCACAACGGCTGAGTTTCCGGCTGAGACATGCCTTGCCGATCTTGCCATCAACAATAACATTTCAGCGTCGTGCAACTCCCTAGGCTTACTCGACGCACCGAAAATGCGGTGTAAAATCATCCAAAAAAATATTCAGTTCTTTTCCCAATGCTATCCTAATGACTTTTTGAACCAAGGTCGGCCGTAGTAGGGACGAAACTATTTTTTGGACCGTGACCCCCGTTGGTCTCTGCCCTGATGATGAAGGCGTAGAAACAAGCTTCTTCACGAACTCGCCTGGTATCTAGGTAGAGGAGATACGACTGGATAGTATATGTTGAATTGAATCTAGGTACTTAGTCTTGCGTCAGGGCAATTCTTGGGCTCGTGAGGCTTCCGTCAAAGGCCGTGTCGGATTAGAGTCTAGCCCGTGGGAGACCTGTTGGTGGCTAACCCCGGAATAAAAGAAGGCCAAGGCGTATCGTATCCTATGCGTGTACCGTCTTCACAGGTATTTATAGTTCCTCGTAGAACAACGTTGTTTCCTCGCGTTAGGCCCGCGCCGCCATAACTCCTTAGATACTAAGTGTACAGAAAAGGGTATTCGGGAGGATAGCCTCAAGTCGCTTCGAGTAGTATAGCTGGTTCGTAAGAATAGACTTAATATTGTGAGATATAAAACCTATCAAAGTTGTCAGGTGCTACTTGAATGAGAGCGAATGTAAAACAATGGTCTGAGTATATCCGACTAAACGGCCCCAGCCCCGTAGAACATTTAAAGATGCTGGTGGACCTATCCATTCAAGATATATATGAATAAGCTGTTCTTTTTATTGCCGCAATAACTTACTACTGCTTTCTTTAGATATTATGTTAGATATATGGGCTAAAGGGATAAGTACCTACCCTAATATCGCTACATCCCAACCACCCTCGATATAGAAACAAAGACATAAGAAGCAACACAATTTGTGTTCGAGTCCGCACCAACGAGCGTGGCTAGTATCCGAAAATACTGAAAGGGAGTTGATGAGGTGTAATGAGTATCGATCGACGTATGGTCTCGGTATGATCTTGTCATGGTCTCAAAGATCAATAGATGCCAATTGCCGGTTAGATTAGATAGATGTGCACATAGGAAGAGAAGAAAACCAATAGAGTAATTGTGCTTCTGTATTAATACCCTCTGAAGAGGCTATTCGGTCATAACAAAGGGCGTTGTTTGAGTCATCTGGCTGGTGCCCTTGCTCTTCCAAGCTTCCTAACGACTGTATTGATAGGTGCCTTCTCCTATCGAATTCTTTTTTTTCAATTAGCTGCTCGCCAATGTCCCACGCTATGCCAGACTCCATGCTAAAACGAAAGAAAAAAAAAAGCAATCTTTAAATGCAAGCCCAAATGTAGGGCCACAAGCACCGGTACTCCCCTATGCTTTTGGTTTGGACGACGGCCCCTGATCCCACTACGCAACGGATATTTCAATGTGCCGCTGACTGGCTTGTCTAGACTATCAGTCCTTCTGACTACGCCATTTCCGGAAGAGCTTAACCCGGTGTCGGCCATCATCAGTGAAATCGTCTTCGTTTGATGCGGTGAGAGATAGGGAGCAGCGGTCCCCGTGAAGGCTATCGGTCCCATCTTTGGACGAGTTTCCAAAGCTGCCATTTGTATCCGTATGCTTCAGATCGCCCACATCGACGGCGCTGTCAATCGTGGGTAGTATTAACGTCGAGCGGCTTGCGCGTTTAGAGTCTGAACCGTTAGATATGATGCCGTGGGTTACTGTTCGCTTATGTCTTGCTAGGAACGATCTACGTGTCCGATGCAATGTTTTTGATGGGTCAATATCCTCCGCCGAGATACAGGCTCCAGGGTTGACATTTGCATCCGGATGGCGAAGTGATGTAGTGTATTCGGCAAACGCATCCGGGAAACCAGTATCATATTCACGGCGTGAAGACCGATTGCTGCTTTTGTTGGACATGGTGATGGTCTGTTTCGTCTTAGCTATGATTACGGCAGAGGGAGACCCTTATATCCAACTATTCGGCGTGAGACGGCAAGACGGCAAATCAACTGTGGCTGAGTACTACACGACCACCCTGTTCAAGCATGATTCTGCGACGCGGGGAATATCAATGTCTTTCGAGGGGTTGTGATGTTTGTGATGATTAGATAGGTGACTTAGAGTAAGGTTATAAGAAACATTAGGACAGGCAAAAAGCAGACAAGACAGATAAGTATCCAGTTGTTTAAAAAGATGGATCAAATATCACCAATGAGGTTTCTACCCTTAGACGCTGCCACTCGGAACATACGGCGATGTCACGGACTGTGTCATAAACAAGACATATTCTAATAGGTCAAGTTTGACAAGCGAATTGCTTCAACTTGGAATACAATTGGATATCATCACTCGACGAGACAGAAGATTGTGGGCGGCTTTGTTTCCGCAACTGACAAGTTGCCCAGGTTGCCTAACTGCGCCCCAGCTGACGAATGGCGATTGTTGTTGGGGAACGAAACTAGAGCGAACGAAAAGCGATTGCTCACCTAAAAGAGGCGCTGAAAATCCAAGCTAGGGCTTGTCCTAATGTTCGATGCCAAGAAAAAGACTAGGATCGGCTCTTCTGTTGAAAATTCCTTGGCGAGCGATCAACCGCGCGCTTGAATAATTCCAGAATATGGGAAAAATCGGGTCTAATTTAATAATATCTAGTGCCGTATTTCCGGTGGACGCCGTTTCTTTAGGATTAGGAGAGGAGAGGAGAAGAGAAGAGAAGTCGTCGATGTGATTCTTGAAGAATTGAAGACTCGATCTTCAGCACAGGTTGAAGGGGATAAGACGTAAAGTCGGTAAAGATAACGTAGGGGATCGGGTAGGGCGGCAACCCGCTAGAGTTAAAGAAAATGTACGAAGTAGGCGGCACTGGCGAGAAGAAATCTGGAACTGGGAAATCTTCCGAACCTAGGGGATAACCTTCCTTTGATGACACGATAGGAATATGCAGAAAGAATGTATGTAGGACCTAGGTAGGCAACTAGGCTGCTAGGTAGGCATGTGTGGTATGTATGCGCGGTTTAGCGTTAGAATTTGACTGGTCTTAGAGTTGGTAAAGCAAGCGCGTCCATGCAGGCTTTAATTGTTGATCGTTGGAATGTCACAGAGTCGGAGTGCTTCAAGGTTTTATTGGAAGTCCTGAGTCGTTCCTCGTCCGGAGGCTGAGGCTGCGACCGAGCTGCCGAGTTCCTTAGAGTTCCTTAACACATGGGCATGGTCTAAAACCATGACGAATTACCTTAACCTTGCAGCAATCATGAACGACATTGAATGTACATGTAAATCCGATGTTGTGGTACGGGTAATCGGAATTGCCAATACGGACATGCCCGGTGGGTATCATGCCAGCAGCTAATGCTAATCCAATCCATGCTCTTACACAGAGGGACTCAGTTAGTAGCCCGTGAAAGTCCGAGTGGCGGCCACGGATGAATATGCCGAACGAGATAGCATACTATGCGTAGCTCTGTCAAAAAGATGCCACGGGAATCACGGCATCACTGTCTGGTGTTATCACCCACCGACGTTCTCAATTCTGACTGTTTACCGCCTAAGCTAGGCTGGCTAGGCTGCTAGATAAACTAGGTAGGGAGCCGGTAATTTGGCCGTGGAACCCATCCTGTTAGAATTATACACGCCATGAAAACCTTTCTGTGTGTCTTGGAAAAGGCAAGATGTTCTCACTCACGTATACGGTTAGCATGGCAGAATAGCGTCAGAATAAATGGGCCATGTGTGAACCACCCGAAATGGTACTGTATTACACTGTATTTTGATCTATCCCCTATATTATCTAACTAGGAAAAATTGTCAGCTTTACCACAGCATCAAAGAGTCTAGGGGATAGTAAACTTACAGTGTATTACAGTAGTATTAATACATGGCTCGCACATGGCTCACTTATTCTGACGCTATTCTGCATGGTTACCTGGGTACATGGATGTACGCTGTACAGTTAGTGCAAGGATTCCCTTCGCCGGTGACTGGTTGAATGATTTCTGCATCGTCGAGGTCTGGCCGCGCCGACAGAGCAATGCTAAACGTCATTGCTCAAGTAGGAATTGAATTTGAATGGTCAGTTAGGGTGTCAGTAAGGGTCCCAATTCAATGGATGGGGGGGAGTGAATGGGGAGGGAAATAAAAAGATGGGGAACAAAACCCTCTGGAATTGCTACCGTATTATCCCTGCCACCCCCCAGTCTGCCAGTTACCTTACTTCGCTTATCTATCCATTTAAGGTTGGCTTGGCTCCATAAGCGGATCTACGGTTGTTCCAATCCGAATATTCTTAAATTGGACCCGACCTTGAACCTAAATTTCTTTAGGGAGTACGTACCTGCTTTCATTAAACAGATGGCAGATCTGGATGTCATTCTGATTTCATTCACCACCAAAAAAGGGGTGCATACTATTAATCTTCAATTGTAGAATATTCAAGAATAACATTCGTGGGTGACAGGTTGGATGTGATACTGATCCGAATTAATCTATGAGCTGGTACATCCACGTGGTTAACTTGACCGCACACTAGTCGATATCGATCTACGTACACCTCAACGTCAACGTCCGTCGGGCTCCCGAGTCACGTAGATCATCTTAGTCAACGGTTTAGTATATCGTGATACGATTGTAACACTGCAGAATTTCTGAAACTTCTAACTAATACTTAATAGTATATAATGTACGGTGAAGAACCGTATTATGGAATAACACTCATGCAACAAGCAATTGGAATTTTCTCCCGTCCTGCAAATGTTGGTTGAGATGCTTATAACATTTTCACCCAACTAGGTAATTTATTATATGTTTATTATCGCGTGCTGTCATACATATTGCGACTTAGGTGACTATTCAAACCTATAGCGAGCCTCCTCCTTTCAACACACTCCGTCTTGTGTAATAGAAATAACCATGCTAATCATTAGGAAATGTCTATAGCTACCTACTTACGTACCATTGAAATGGCTATGGAAACTTGACGGCAGTCCCGGGACCTTGGGATGCATGTCTTGGATAGATAGGTAGGTAAGTAGGAAGTATTCCCAGATCAGCATAAACTCTACTAGTTAAAGTCTCACCCGAGACATCATCCTGATGCAGCATATCATAAGGCCGGATAGCGACTATTGTCTAATGTTACGATTCGGCTGGCGTTACGATAACGAGCACATCGAGCCAATTGGTATATTTGTTGAGATTTGTGCCGCCTCTTGATAATGCAGGGCATGATTTTTTCGGGAAAGAATCGTCGATTCCACGCTGAATAAAAGACGCCACTTGCAAGGAACTATCAGCTTCGTAGTAGGTGCCACAATAGGATTCGTGTAACCCATTACATGACCGAGCGGCACGAAGTATGAGGCAACGGACTGATACTTATTAGGTAAGAAAAAGAAATTTTCACATACCTACCTACCTATCTGATTAACTTGAAGCTATCTATCAGGCGGAAGCGCCGCGGAGATTCCGAGGCAGGGAGGGATAACGGAGTCTCTGCATAGTGCCTATCTGGACATCAATCGTCCCGTTTACGTAGTGATGATTCCGGTACCTCAACGGCTAGCCGTCGGAGACATGCTTCACATTAAATACCTAGCTATATCTAAAAAGTAGGTATTATAGAAAGCGCCGAGGAGCACTGCTGTCTTACATGTACTTAGGTGACATATTTTTCAACGCTACGATGCAATTGGAATAAGTTTGCGAGGTTGCTGGCGTAGTATCTGTAAAATCACCTATTCTGGTACGACATCAAAGCTAGATAGCTTGGCTTCCTCACGATGTCTTATTGTATAATTATTATTATGAGGTTGGTAGAAAAATTCCTATCTTGAAGTTGAAGGTTACCTATACACGCACATTCGAAAGAAGCTTGTATTGGCAGACATCTCGCAACTTGCTAAAAATTTCGAGAGTGACTCTTCGCCACAAGTTTCAGCTCTACTACGTATACGTAGGTACCATATCAGATGAGAGATACACTTGACCGAGGTCTTGATAAGCTGACCGCTTCTCATGGGAAGGTCTGATATATTAGCTGCATAGGCATATTCAATTTCCTGAATCGCTGGTCGTACGACGACGGGAATGTCATCGTATCGCTCAATTATAGATAGTCGCTTACGCTTCAGTCCTTTCGAAATGATAGCTATATGATTGGTGATGTCAGCGAAGGAATTTTGCCCCTGAGAACCGGGGGGTTCCACGTATCTCCATTGGTAAACATTCCGGACGTCAAGTTGACGGCCTCTTCTACCTCTGTACGACGCGACAAATACGACCGACGGTGAAGCCAGGGCATGTCTTCTATGATCGGCTCCGGGAAGGCGTTGTACGATGGCGAGTAGATACATAAGCTCTAAGTATCATGTTTCAGACTCCTTGCCAATGGGTTCTTCTGAATATAAATAGGAGATACGTCTCGTATCAGCTCATTAGTAGTAGCTGATCATTGTGTTCTCTGCCTTCACATACATTCATAAATTCCCGTATCTATCGGACTATACCTAGTGAACCCTTTACAGGAGGTAGTCGCTATGGCTGCATGTATACAGCAAGTTGAAGCGACGAGGCCGACAACGACGCCTACAGCACCCCCGGTAAGCCCGCGCGAGAGGCTTCTGTCGAGCATACGCGGATGTCGTATTACCATCCCTGACCTGCAATCTATGATAAGACATTGGCCTCAAGGAGTTCATCCAGAGATCGAAAGGCTAGAAGAACATGTCCAGAAGACGTTTGCAAGGTAATGTGGTAAACTTCATTTTCCTGCTAATATTAAATGATCTATACACTCACGAATGACAGCATGTCGTCTTCCTTCAGGGGCACAACTCGGTTCCGTAAACTGAAGTCATCCAACATGACATTCTTCGGGGCTTCTTGGTGGCCATTTGCATCGTACGAGGCTCTGAAAACTGTTACGTCAATGTCGATATGGGTAAGAACGTGGATACCAATAAGTGTTATTTTTTCCTTTAGCTAACCTACCCCTTCATGCAGCTCTTTGCTTGGGATGACGGTAGGAGATACTGTTATAAGTTGTAATAGATGATGAATACCTTTATCTTACTAATACTTAGAGATTGATTCACATGAATTCTCAACGATTATTAAGGACTCGGAGAATGCATCTACCTTCCGACAGAAGACTATGGACTATGTGCAGCAGAGCCTGTCCGGAAGCTCAGAGTCGCAGCTGTCAAGTATATCCACAGATACTATCATAACAGGCTTCAAACCAGTGGGCCAAGCCATATCAAAATCTTGTAATGATCGTGAGTTACCATACCATGTTCTACCAAGAGGCTGTGAAATTATAACCGAATTTTAGGCCAGGTCACCAGATTCCTCAATGAGATGAGCTTTTTCATTAAGTCTTGCGGGGATGAGCAGCAGTTTCAGTTGACGAATCGACTCCCCACTGTTGAAGAGTATGTATGTTGCCGTCTAGGCACTGGAGCAGTGCGGGTATGCCTTGCCACTATTGAGTATGTATAACAGCTTAGGCTTGTTCATGTTGCTACAAGTGGAGTTGCTAAAGGCCTCATAATAGATACGTATACGGAATTACACTATCCCAAGAGGTGATGGATGACGAAGCGATGCAACAAATTTGGCATGAAACAAATGTTATAATCGGCACGTATGTTAACTAGAAGGTAATGTCGCTGATTAGCACGATGCTGATAATGTCTCTAGGACCAACGATATACTGTCTTTTAAGAAGGAGATAGTAAGTATATCAACTTTATTTCTGGCTAGCCGAGTTTCTGACATCTTATGAAATTATAGGCCCAGTCGCAAGTTGACTCGTTAGTCGCTCTCCTATCCTTAGAATGCGGGTCTGTACAGGCGGCCGTGAATCACGCTGTTGGAATCGTGAGGTCTGCGACACTTAGGCTTGAGGCGGCAGAGAGGGATATCCTAGATCGCTATTCATCGATGCCCGCGGTCCAAGAGGACATTCGGAAGTTTGTCGAGGGCTGTAAACATGCTTGCACGTCGAATCTAAATTGGAGGTAAGCATCGATAGACCCCTTGCTATTAATTCGATATTAATATCAAATTCTTTCTCAGCCTTACGTCAGGGCGATATAGGCTTAACTGCCAGTCCATGAAAGGGGGCCTACATGTCACTCTCTGACCGTCATGGGAAGTTTTTATGAGGTAGACTGTCAATAAAGTTGGGGTGGATACGATTAACAGTTGAAGAGTTAGACATAGACAATTGGCTGGCGTCTCGATGATATCTGGCGTTAGAGGATATAAAACCCACTGATGACTCTCGTTTCCGGAAGAAATGCCGAATCACAGGTAACGTATAACTTCTACATATCATGGAGCCCAAGGCTCTGCCAATCTTATGCTCATGATGCAGGGCCTTCGATCTCGTTCTTGTTTATAAGGTCGCTGGTCTCCAATTTTCATGTATTTTTTTTTAGGAGAGATAAATATAACGAGCAAGATGTATTGAAGAAATCTATGACGTACTGATTCAGAAGTCCTAGAATCTCTACTTCTACCATGCCGAAGCTTTAAGATTGCTGGAGGCTCGGCGGCAAATCTTCTTCCCCTGTACCCCATGTGGTACTCTCCTTTTCGCCTAACGTGAGTTCCAGTGTGCCTCCGTTGAGGAAGAAACTGTGCGTGAGATAGCTCTTCGTGTACTCTTTCCCATCCAGCTTGGCGCTTTGGATATATATATTCTTATAGGCTGTGTCGAAATTTACAGTTTTGATTGTCGCCGTGTTGCCTGTCATGCGGTTCGTGATCGACACTGACGGAAAGAAGGGAGCTGTGATGAAATAGACATCTTGGCCTGGATTTGGAAATATGCCGAGCATGGCTAGCGCAACGAAAGAGCCCATGGCGCCCGAGTCATCGTTACCAGGAATACCTGCTGTCGTGGTATTGAATTGGCTGGGTATATAATAGTGAACTCGCTCAGCAGATTTGCCTGGACGACCCGCATAGTGATACTGGAATATAGTGAGGAATGCTTGTTCGTCGCCGACATAGAGGATATCGCTCTCGTGGAGGTAGTCTAAACGGCTAATAAATGTGTCGGGGCCACCGAGAGTGGTAATCAAACTTGCCATATCATGGGGGGCAAAGAAAGTGTATAGCCAAGGACTACCTTCATATGTCTCGTGGCCACCCGGGTTGAGGTAGCAAGAGTCAAAAGAGTTAACGGAAGAGCAGAGAGTTGGGTCCTGATAACCCCATGTACCATTTAGATACTTCGGTTGAAGAAACCCGGTAAATCCGGTATCTGTCCCCTTGACGTCTGATTTCTGGTCCTTATTGTATAAGTTTATCCAATTTCCAGATCGCTTAGTATATTTCTCGTAGTCATCCTGTTTGCCTAGCGCCTTTGCTATCTCGGAGATGCAGAAGTCATTGTAGGCATACTCGACGGTGCGAGAAATGCTTCGCGTGAAAAGGCCTTGCCCAATTGGATCGTAATCGTCGGCTGGAATATAGCCGTATTTCTTCCAGCTATTCAGACCGCCACGGCCCTCGTAATCCCATACAGGAGGTTCCTCTTCTGCGTCCTTTATCAAAGCCTCGTATCCAGTCTCCCAGTCGACATCCTGTGTAAGGTTCTTTAGATATGCATCGGCTAACACGACGTCCGCGTTAGATCCGCCTTGTGTCCATCCCTTGCAAAGAGACATCCTGCAGTCAGGTAACCATCCTTCATGACGATATATATCAATAAGGGACCGGATCATCAGTGTCTGCGAATAGGGGTCTACTAGCGTGATAAATGAGTGAATCGATCGAAAACTGTCCCAGATACAATACCATGAATCGTAATAAGGCTCGTCGCTTTCCCATAGATAGTTCTCGCCAGTATAATCTTGAGGGCTTAACATTGCTCTGTATACGCCACTCCAAAATATGGTTTGCAACGAAGTATCTTCAAAGCCGGTCGTGTCGATACTTAAGACTGAGAGTTTATCTTTCCATATCTCTTCTGCGGTAGTCAATGTCTTTGAAAAATCGAAGTCAGGAATCTCGGTCTGTGCATTATTGCAAGCCTGATCAACGCTCTTAAATGAAAGTCCAACTCGAACAGTAATTGAAGTGCCCTCCTCAACCTTGTCAAACCAAGTGTAAGTACCAGCAGGGAGAGGAGGAGAGTTATTGTCCTTTCCTACAACGATACTTTTCGGGTCGCTACCAGCCCTATTATTAACGAACACACCAGTCTCGCGGATAGGATTGCCTTGAAGGAAGTCGGCACAGAAATGTAGGTTATATGTCCCGGTTCCGAAACTTGGGTTGAAGGTACCGTTCCCAGTCATTCGGCCAGTATCTGGATCAACAGATGCACTCCCATTCTGACGTGTGTCAGGGAGGTCTGTCAAGTCCGCAATGAATAATGGGCTTAATGGGGCGTCTACAGTGGCCTTTCCCGTAGCATTGCCGAAGAAGGTGAACTTATAAAGCGCCGTATGATTCGCAGCAGTGATCTCTGCTCTAATTCCGGACTGAAGATCAATTGAGAAGTAACCAGGACGAGCAGATACACTTCCATCGACAATTTCGACGCTTCGCTTGGTCTTTGGGAAAATGCAGCCATTGACCGTATCGTTTGTACAACCTGGGTAAACGAAGATTGGGAAATTGGCTAAAGATGAGGCGCCGCCAGTTCCCGAATCATGCATATGCGAGAAGCCGCTGACCGGGCTTCCGTTCGAAGCATATCCGCCCTGGTTGTCACTTGTGACATCCGGAACAGCTTTCGCCATGCCTGAAAAATAGTTAGAAATATTTTATATAGGTATACTTAGACCTCCTTCATAAGTACTTACCGAATGGTAGAGTCGCTCCGGCGAATACATGACCTATTGCGGTGATTAGTTCATTTTAAGAGTAGGTATTTACAAGCAACCCACCGCCGTTACGAGTGCCGATGAGAGGATCCACGAAGTCATAACCACTAGAAGAACTGTTGGTAGCTCGGCGAAATCGATTTGCGGAGGATTGACATGACGCTGCCACAACGAAACATAGTAGGAACAATCGAGTACTCATTTTGCATCTATTCTTACCAAGGCCAATTGAACCTCTGGAGTAATGGTGTAACGACTATTCACACTCCAAAACCATCCCTCTGTAGATAAGAGGGTCGGTAAGGTCAACGACAAAGAAGATAAAGAGGAGAAACAGACGGCACATAAAAGGCAAGTCGCGAGACATACGTATGATATAGCAGAGTGACATTGCATATAATGGAGGCGGGGTGCAAATACCATGGATTCAGATGACATCTCGTGTATTCGGCCTCCTATTAAGGAAGGAAAGTGGACTTCAGATCGCCATTCATCGGTATTCGCAGCCATTCCTTCAGCTGAACTAAGCCCCCTTGGGCTGCAGCTAGGAAGTATACCTGAAGCAAGGCAGGCGGTAATAGGATGAGCCTCGGGACATCGCCCTCACCACCTGTATATGGGGGATACACCCCAAGACATTAAGGAAGCAAGGGCCTTCAGTGGACGGGAAAATATATCGTTGCTGTTTATGTTAACCGAGAGTTGCGTTAGCAAGGTAATCCTTCTGGATTATACGCTGTATATCGTCAGTCGTACGAATTACACAGCATGCTGAAGCCCCCAAAAACTAAGAATAGGAAGCCTTAATAATATTGAGATCGACATATCTGCTTAAAAGCTGACATTGATGTGTGTAAAAGTGCATGTTAAGGCTGTAAGGTGTAGGAACAGATAGGATAGGAAAATAAAATGCGAAGGTTCCGCGCTGGACCCCCCTGTTAGCGGGAGACTAAAACGGGAGAATACCCCGCTCTTTTTATACTTATGATTGGCCTAAAATTATCCCCGCGGAAAGCTGCTATCGCTATCAAGCAGCAGAAAAATTTCCAAAGGTCGAATTTTTATTTACGGTCAATTGGCACGAATTAGAAGCTCGATCAATTGAAATCATACGTTCATTCACCCACCTACTGCGACGACACATTATCACGACAATCGTCGATCTTGATACACCCAATTGAATCTGCAGAATAACATTCATACCGCTTTAAAGTTCTCCAATCAACACAATGGGGTCGACAAAACCGGAGAAGAAGGAAAAGAAGGACAAGAAGCGCAGTGAAGCCGATGGTGTGACGAAGGTCAAGAAGGACAAGAAAGAGAAGAAGGATAAGAAGGACAAGCTGAAGACTGTCGTTAGCGCTGTCATCGAAGACCAACTACAAGCTGATTCCACCGCCTCTGTCACCGTCGTAAAGGATGGAGAAGCAAAGGTTGCCAAGGTCCTGGTTCCCGTCGTCGGCGCTTTAGTACCTTTCGCGAAGCCGTTAGCAGACGAGAAAGCCACCAAGAAGGTTATGAAGACAGTACGGAAGGGTATGTTTCCCAATTCATCCAGAAGTAAAAAATTAAACACTAACACGTTCTCCTCACTCTAGCGGCCAAGCACAAGACCCTCAAGCGTGGCGTCAAAGAAGTCGTCAAGTCCCTACGCAAGTCCCCCGCCAGCGGACCGGGCAACACCTCGTTTCCTGGCGTCGTCGTCTTGGCCGGAGACATCAGCCCCATGGACGTGATCAGCCACATCCCCGTGCTATGCGAGGACGTCAACGTACCGTACATATTCGTGACATCGCGCGCCGAGCTTGGTGCTGCCGGTAGCACCAAGCGCCCTACAAGTGTTGTTATGGTTACCGAGAAGCAGGCCAAGAGCAAGAAGGACGGCAAGGACGACAAGATAGACGAGGAGGAAGTAGAGGATTTTGCCGAGGCGTACAAGGACCTAGTTAAGCTCGTCGAGAAGGAGAGCAAGCACCAGCTCAAGTTCACGTAGGTTGGGATGCGGCTGTTGTCCCTGCCTCGAGGGGTTAGTGCGAGAAGTTACCGGTCGATATGAGACTTCTCTCGGCCTCGGCTAATACTTTCCGGGCGTTCTTCATTGTCCTTTTGACCATTCAAAAGCACCTTCGGATCATTGTATGTACTGTCTCGGTTGGCTACATAGGCGTGGCCTTTTGGCGTTGGGGAATTGTTCATATTTACTGCGTTTGGGGGATCAATCAATACTGATTCATTACGAACCTCGTGTCTTCCTCCAAATTCTACTATGCGTCGCAATAATTGACTATGCACTACGACATGGCCACATCTCGCGGATTTGATATATTGGAAACAATAATCATGAGCATTCGTTTACTACATACATAACTGGAAAAGGCTAACCGTACCATCCATCATGGTGGTTTAACCTATAGGGAAACTAACAAATACAGGTCCTTCAAATCTCCCAGATTGCTAGTCGAAGGGATTGGTTCGAGTACCCCACCAGGTCAGGAACAGAGACAAGCCGACGGTTTCGAGGATCTTTGAAGTGGCGCCAACCGCGACGGTATCAACGGGGCGTCTCTCCGTGAGTAGTTGGCCGAGGTACTGCAATAGCGTTAACGACACATGCCATCAAAATTTTGTAAGACCGTAGAACCAATACGTACGGTAGGGGCAGACGTGGCCGCGAAGATTAGTGCACCTAGGTAAGCAGCGCCTCTGTAACTAAGGGTACTAGTTGCGTTGATGAGAGCACCGACGCCATACGACTGCAAGGCAGACCCGACTAGGGAAGTACCCCAGGCAACAGCAGCAGAAGAAGCCTCTTTCGATCTCAGGAATTCTTCCTTGGTATTGGCTTGCTTGGCTCGTTGGTAAGTCTGGCCGAAAAGGGGAGTGAGAACAACCAATTCAATGCCGTGGTTGAACACGGTTCCGAGGGCAATGGCCGAAGGTCTAACGGGGGGAAGATCTGATATAATCAATGCTGGTTAGCTAGCAGACCTAATCATGAGTCTTGGATTTCAAGTCGACTACCTTGTAGATATCTCATCTTGAACTCACAGAAAATGCTAAATAGAGCGGGACACTACTTACAATGAAGAGACATGTTGATAGATTAATTATAATGATGTATTTCTTGTTCAATTAAAGATGTATAGACTGTATTCCCATCCGAATTGATGTAGGTGTGAAGAGGAACGACGTTGAGACAAGCTGATCTTATAACGTCAAGCTACTGTGCCGATGACGAAATATTTCCAAGTACAATACTGACCTCAAGCAGTCTAGGAATTTGATAAAGTCCGAATTTGGAGTACATGATGCTATGTATTCAAGTTTTGCTGTCCGCAAATGCCATTCAAAGCTCCTTCTCTCCTTGTGTGCCCTTCAGCGTGACGTAATAGATGTTCTCAGGTGCCACAAGCTAGGATGGACCATGAGTCGTAAACTTAAAAGTAGTTGATCTACCCAATTCAGTCTTGGCCTATCTAGGTACGTATTTTATAATACTTCATACTTGGGAATCGTTCAGTTTACATGTATGTTGTGTCTATTATTTCCATGTAATGGTGAGGCTGGTCCATTCCTATCACCAATCTCTTGGTAGTGTATGTAAGCGCATTAAGCTTAGCATCGAAACGCCGAGATGCGAGTATACAAGTGGCGGGTCACTAACATTAAGTATACCGTAGCGGCAAAGGGTGTTTTCTCAAAATGGTTGTTTTACTGTACAATGATTTTACTCAGGGAAATGGTTTCTTATCCTGGAATGATTTCCTGTTTTAGCGCTAGGGCCACAATTCTATTCGCTGAATTGGCCAAATCTTGACTAAACCTTATATAGAGTTTCAAACCTTACTCTTTCAGTCACTAGTGGGACTGGCCACCCCACTAAGACTACTTAGCTCAGTTGTAACGCGCGTTTACTACACGTATTACTGAAGGGCCTGGGTTCGAGCCCTACCCTTTTTAAAATTTTAGGTTTTTCGAAAGTACCTTTGTATCTTTTACCCACTTATCGATTATTTCAACCAATCAGAATCTAATATATTAAAGTCATTGTACGGGAGCAAATCGTTGCAGCTCAGGAAATCATTCTCTGAAAAGAAACGTTACCCTCCAACCGTATCGTTATTATAATTTGAAACCATTTCATCTACCTACCCACTCCCGCTGTGGTATACAGCGTACTATGTATGTAGTTTTGCGGGTACCGAATTGTATCCTATACCATAGACACAAGTTGGGAAGCCAGGTGTTACAAATACTCGATCTTATTGGTTGTTGAGATGAGATCTGAGGTCCACGAGGTTACATTTCCTTACGGTCCGGAGTACCATCTCCTCTCCTGACCCACTCGGAGCTGTGGCTTGAACGTTACCGGAAATCGACTCTCAACAGAACAACCAACCCCATCATCTCTTTGAAAACTCACGACATCATGACGACGCGAACTAGAAGAATCCCCATTCCAAAAAACGGACCAATACCAATACTGGAAATATATCGAGACAAGAAATTCCCCGCTCGACTGCCAAACCACCCTAACCGAGCCGGACCGGATCGGACTGGGACTTACGATGAGTCCTGTGATGCCTAGATCTTAGGGTCCAAGGGTATTGCTCTGCTCCAAGACTACGCGCCGACCGTCTCTAGTTTCTTAGAAATGTACACTTATTATATTAACGCCTTAGACCTGTACAACGAAGCACGTATTGGTAGGAAGCTCCAAGAATGCTAACCCGCGGTGTATCAATTCCCTCACACCAGTCAGTACCAATTAACACCCGCTATGTATTTTATCTTCCAAGGGCTTTGATTTATTCTCTTCACGTCATCATATGCTGTCCGTCCTCTCCACCCCTTAATGCAAGCAATGCTCTGACATCCGAAACATATTGCAATCCTTCTAGAAGAGGTACCAAATGCAGTAAATCATTATCTGTGGGATCAGTGATCCATCCTTGTATGGGAATCGCGTTGTCTGTATGAATTCTCTAGTTAGTATACTAGTAGCAAACTTAATGTGATATGATTTGATATTCAGGGGACACCCTACCTTGATGGAACATGTAGCTTAGCGGACTGTTGTCCAGAATCATGACCTTGCTCAGGTCTGGTTCTATAGAGCTAAGATCCTTGATGAACGCGCCGTGCCTGAATGTGCAGTGTTGCCGGTAGTATCTTCCAGAAAAGAACTTCCTCTCGGATTCCAACCAGTCGATAACCGGATCAGCATATTCTTGCACCGATGCCGTGAAGACAACGAGATTGAACCATTTGCAAACCTGAATAAATATAATTAGTATGACCACTTAGAAGGTCGTCAGCAGCGGTTGATAATCTCACCTTTCGGAGAAATTCGTCGCAGTACGGTCGCTTATGAACATAGTACAGAATGGGGTGCTGAGGTCCAAGAGCTTGCTGACCCCCACTTCCGACGTATGTCGTGTTCAACCGCACTTCGACCATGTGTCCTGATCCCATTCGACCCCCTTTCGACATACTGTGTATCAGCGTCTCGTCCAGATCCAGTATCAACGTCTTTAGGTGCTTGGGGTCGAGGGGTTCAAATGGAATATAGGAAGGCTGTCGCTGGGGTATTAACGGCCTGGGAGGCGCAGGAGTCTTCGGATATCTCGTTAGAGCACTGATAGGTGAGGTAGGAGACTTGAGCTGGGCTGATAGATCTGCTGAGGCTTCACCACTGCCGGCGGCGGTGGGCGCGCTCACGGAACGGGACTTCTTGTGCTTTCGCTGTCGCATGGCTTCGTCATTGTTGAGCTTAATCCGTATCGATCTCCTCGGAGCTGTTCCGTCTGTAGGATCAAATGATTTGGATCGCGCATGACGACCGGAGGAACCGGAGCCGCGACGAGCACCCTGTGGTCTGCTACCCGTATCCGATTCCGAATCAGATGATATGCCAGAGGATGAAGTTCCTGAAGAGAGTACCGGTCGAGACGCAGGGAATGCATATAAGCCCCTGACGGTCTGGCCAGGATGTTCAGACAAGGCTTCCTTTTCACTATCTACCGCGATATTCTCGTGGAAGTCAGCTGCAAGTTTGCGCTTATCTGCCCCATATATACCGAATAGACTCCTGAGTTGTCGCAAGGGCGCAAAGTTTCCTTGTTCGTCGTAAAAGCAAGCAACGAAGTAAACTCCAGGCGCGGCAATCGTAGATAACACCCAGCGGATGGAGTTGACGAAGTTACTTGCTATGCGCCCTGGAATGACGTGCCATGAATAAGATCGGATATTCGCCTCCCTGACATCGTGTCTCTCTAATAATGGCGTCTTCTCATCCACGCTTTGAAAAGTGCCTATGTCGCCGTCGTTGTTGAATGGGCTCTCGTTAGATTCGGACGTACCCGCGCTTTTATCGCCGGGCGACGTCTCATCTGAGGGGGTTATGTTATCATCGGCCTGGGCGACGGCTAAACCGATATGACTTAAGGAGTTTGATCGCGAAGGTGGATTACTTGAGGTCGGAGAGACGCGCGCGGATATTATATTAAGGGAGTTCATCTTCCGGTCGACCTGCAAGCCATGAAGGACCGTATCGTGTCCGGCAAAGAACAACCAAGCCTCGTTTAATTATTAAGGATGTCCAAGGCGTTGTTTTGGTGGAAAGCGACGATGGGTGGGGGGACGAATAATACAATTGAGATCGGTCGGGCGGGCAATGCAGCCCGAGTCGTTGTTTGCTTCCTGTCCCGGAGTTTGGAGGAGGTAAAAAATCGTGGTATTGGTACAAGTTCCGGATATTGATCTACTTAGGTAGTTGTAAAACGAGAAGATGGGGGATTCTCTCTTTTATTCGAACCTCGGTTGAGAGAATACGATTGCTGACAAGCTACGCGCGACGTTGATGGAAGATTTTTACCTGCTTCTAAACATTTCATTCCTCATATAATCGAGAGTTGCGGCTGATGCGGAACCAAAGAAAAAAAAAAACACGCTGTCGCGAATGGTCTCGTATTTACAGGTAACAAGTAAGTCTTTGTTTCACCAAAGAGCTTTTAGAAGCCTCACTTTAAAGTTAGTAGGTAAAATCAGGGAGTTTATTGCAGTAACCCAGTAAGAGTTGCTGAGTGAATACCCTGGACACCCCGGGCAGCTGCAATGGGCCAGTATGGGCCAGTATGGACTCAACAGAATAAAACTATTGGAGCCAAGACCACCACCGTACCACTGGAAATTAGCGGCATTGTCCCGCTAGATAATCCATTATTGCAGCTGATGTTATTTTATGAGGTACGCTGGTACAGACTGGTACAGTGCTACTCTACCATTATAAGGAGCAAATTACCTATCACGTGCTGAAGAACCGTGCCCAAAATCTTAAAATGCAACCGACCCCGCCATCAATTTAGTACCATGTACCTACTAGGGAGGTACAAAGCTACCTACTAAACACAAACCCCATTAGGTCATTTGCGTATTTCGCGGTAGATCGTATTGACTCACAATTCTCATTCTCACAAAAAAAAGTTGACAAACGACAACCCGAAGACTCGACAACGCTTTGTCAACGAGACTCGTTATTATATCATTGAACTATTGGTTCTTAGATATTCTTTCTTTTTTTTAATATCGATTTTTATCTTTCATACTAAAACCCAACAATCATAACATTCCCGGTCACTAAGCGGGGTTGCGAATTGCAGGTTGCGTTCTATTTGCGCCGACCAACATCATACCCTGATCGTTCGATTGAAATTTGTTGGAGCCTCTACACAACCAGATATCTCAACGAGGAGTTCGTATACGATTGAAGCATGGCTCCTCCTAAGGGGGGCTATGCACCCGACTTGGACAAGTTCCTAGACGCGTTGAAGAGTCGACCAGTTGATCATTCCGTCGATTTTCTCATTTCGTGAGCGCGAGGCCTTCTGCTGCTGTTGTTGAGATTGGAGGCTAATTTGCCTGGTATAGCCTTCTTAAGCGACGACAGATCCGAGGGTCTGAGCCATGCGCCATTGCTACCGCCCACGTCCTCCTCCAAGTTGTTGCCAGGGACAGATGGAACGACGTCGACCAACTCATCGGGCGCATTCAACTGGTCGGTAGGAAACTTGTGTCAGCGCAACCTCACGAGCTAGTGATTGGAAACGTTGTGAAGAGAGCGTTGGGCTTGATACGCGATGAAGCAGAAGAAGATAGAAATGAGACCGGTAGCGACTCGCAGCCAGATATCACTCCTTCCTTACCCCCTGCGATCACACCCGCTCCGGTTGAAAGACAATTCCGGCCCCTTTCACTAGCTACCCTTGGGTCGTTTGCTCGTACGCAGTCCATGTTCAACCTACTATCCGATCCCGACTTCATTCCCTCGCCTTCCTCCACACCCAAGCTAGGGTCAAACGCCTCGACACCTTTACGGCATGCACAATCTACAAACATACACGCACTTCGGTCAGAAGTGATAGATGGAATCGAAGAAATGATGGATGAGATCAGACAAGTTGATGAACAAGTTCAAGCTTATGCTGAGATCACCATTCACCCAGGAGATTATGTATTAGTCTACCAACCATCGAGGACAGTTCAGAAATTCCTCACACGGGCTGCGTCGAAGAGGAAATTTACGCTCTTTCTTGTCGTCGACCCATCCACAGCCAGCAATACCGAAGACCCATATGCATCATTACGGAAATCTTTGTCATCTGGAGGATCGACCGTGATTAGCATCATGAATATTGGTCTTGCGGCCTATATGTCGAAAGTCAATAAAGTCATTCTCGGAGCCCGAGCGATTACTAGAAAGGGAGGGGTCATCGTCGACTCCGGTGCTGCAGCTATCGCCCATGCTGCACGAGAACAAGGCAGACCAGTCATTGTTTTAGGCGGAGTCTATAAGCTTAGTCCCGACCATCGAGCACATCACGAAAGTTTGGTCGAATGGGGTAACCCTTCCAAATATGTAAACTTCGCAGACGGCGCAATGGTCGGGCAGGTGAGTGTTAGGAATACCGTTGCAGAATTCGTTCCTACGGACCTTATTAACACGTATATCACAAACTTGTAAGTGGCTATTTTCAATAACAAATAAGATGCCACCAAGTTGCTAACTTCTCATGATAGGGGCGCCCACTCTAAAGATCACCTGCACGGGATCATTGGCGACCATTACAACGACGAAGATATCGGCTTCGATCTCTTCGGGAAAATCCAAAGATGAGGCTCATAGCGTCATGTCTAATTGTGATCATCTAGCGCCGATCCCATCCGGCGATAATCTAGACAATCTAACAACCTAGCGGGTAGAAGTCTCAGCCCAATATGTCGGATGGGTGTATACCTAGGTTGCCTCACTGCCTCGGCATATCTGCATGTCTAACAAAGATGCTGTGGTGGTGTGCAAGTCCATTCGAATTATTCCGGCAGTTTGACTCATTTCTATTGCTGCCTCATTGAGGCGGTAGGCCGCGTCACTGAGAAGGGTAGCTTGGCATGCAAGTGCAGGGGTTTTTCAACAGGCAAACACAGAAGAACGACAGAGAGCAGTTACTAGAACGTGGGGTTTTTGGTGGGCTGACTTAGAGAAGCTTGGTGCTCCTCCATCGCCCGGGATCGAGCGAATCTCGTTTAAGGGATGGCCTGCTTGGTTTATCGAGGGCTGAACAGCTCAGCCTCCAATGAAACTGTTTCCTGCCCCAACGCTTCGTGCTGATGGGATTGAATAGCTCGGGTCGTAGATAAAAAGAAAATAAAAAATACTTTGTAATCCGAAGCCCATCGGGTCCAAGCTTTGTTCATGATTCATAAATGGCGCTCGCACACGACTTTCGCCGCATTACTTGCCTATCCTAACCATCGAACCATCGAACAATATCGATACCTACATATTAATCAACTAGCTCTTACATCAACACTTTAGTTGTCAAGTGAATGATCTGACTTCTCCTAAGCATAGCATAACATAGCATAGCATTTCTACATTCGATATTTTCATGATGGAAGAAGCTCCACCTCCTCCATACAGCGAAAATGATACATTTTCGCATCCGGGACGGTCGCCGTCAGCCCGAGCTGGAGCAAACGACGACACTGCTTCCGTCACCGAATCTTCTTCTCATGGCACACCCATTTATACACCACCGGAAACTCCCCGGGAATCACATTTCAACCTCCCTGGAGTCGATGAGCACCGTTCAATAACATCTGCCCACTCTTACTTCGAGTCTCGCCCCACTCTCGTCAGCCGCTTGGCCGGCCAAAACTTCGTGGCCTCGTTAGCTATCACGGAGGATGCTTCTCCAGACGACTTCCCGTACCCGAGCTGGGCAAGTGTCCATGACACCACCGAAGAAGATTGGCAGACATTCTTGAACCATCTCCTGCCTGACCATGCTGCACGATCTAACTCCCAAACCATCGACCGCAAACTGCAGGCAGAAGATGATGCACAGTCATCCAAGACCGAAAGAAGTATCGCCGAGGCGCAGCTCGGTCAGATCAAGTCACCCTCGAATTTATCACTACAGCCTTCACACGACATCGATACTATGGTCCGCGAGTGGAATGACGGTTTCTTCGGACCAAGAGGCGTAACTATACAGCGGGCTCCACACTCGTCCCGTAGTGCATCGGAGACGCCCGCTTTCGAAGATCCTCCCATTTCCGTACCGCAACCCCAGTCCCAGCCCCGGGAACAGGAACAGGGGCAGGAACAGACTCCTAGGTCAAAATGGAACCCGTTCAGACCGTTCGACATTAGTAACCAGGGTGTCCGCATCGGACCTCTTTCCATTGACAACGACCGTGTAGCGTTCGGGGACTCATTCGAAGTCGACCGCAACGGCGTGCGTTGGAACGGTCTATCAACCAATGACCTCAAATTCGAAACCGACAACGGTACCCGAGGCGGCGCTCCCCAAGGCCCAGGTTCCTTCACCAACATCCCACCCGGAAGAGGCGGGCTCGGCGAACACCCCATAGGTCGCGGCCGGGGCGGGCGCTGGTGGAGAACCGCCCCGAACCCAACCCCCCACAACCCCCGAGCCCCCTCCCCAAGCGCGCACTCCAGCGCCTCCTCCTCCTCCAGCTCCTCCGACTCCAGCATCGGCAGCCTCCCAGACTGGGACGACCTACGGGACAGCCAGCTCCCAATCACCAAGCAATCGATCTCAACCTGGCTCTCGCACCCGGAGCAGCCCGTAACAAAAGCCATACTCCGCAGCGCGCGATCCAACATCAAAGCGGCGCGGAACGCGCCCCCACCCACGAACGACCCCGGCTGGGACGTCAGCAAGCAGGCCTTGCGGCAAGAAGTGCGGTCGCTCCTCGCGCGTCTGCAGGATCTGAAGAGGGAGCAGAAAAGAGCAGCGCGCGCGACGCGGAAGGAGAGGCGGGAGGTGAAGCGCGCGGCGAAGCGGGAGAGGAGGGAGAGGAGACGGGAGGGGAGACGCAGGGGCGCGGCGTTCGATCCGTTTGGGGTTGCGAGACGACATACGGCTCCTGCTCCGCCGGCGGTGCTTGAAGCCTACGTCCCGCCCGTCCCGCCCGTACCGCAATTCAACGCTCCGTTCGGGGGGTTCGGGTTCGGTGGGAGGGGTAGGGGAGGGGGAAACGCGCCGAGGCCCTGGGAAGCACATGTGCGGGCGGCGCGGGAACAGGCGGAGCGAGCGCGGACGCAGAGCGCGGAGCAGGTAAGGGTCGCGATGGCGCATGCGGACTCCGTGTGTGCGCTTGCGGCGACGCAGGCGGGACGGGCGCGCGAGGACGCGCTGAGACAGGCTAGTGCTGCGAGGGCACAGGCTGCTGCTGCGGTTGCTGGGGCGGGGGGTTCGTATTCGTACTCGCATGTGCAACCCTCGCCACAGCCGTGGAGGATGTGGGGTGCTGATGGTGGTAATGAAGGTGTTGGGAACGCTAGACGTGGGTTTGGTAGTGGTAATCATAGTGCTACTTGTGATAATTGTGGTCATGTGAATAAATACGAGAGGGCAGATGCGCTAGAGGCGCAGTTGAAGGCGAAGACCAACGAGCTTTCAAGGCTGTGGAATGAGGGTTGGACACAGGATGCGATGGAGACGATACACGGAAAGGGTGAAGTTAACGAGATGGGATTGACAAAGTTAGAAGCCGAGGCCAAGAAGCTGGAAAGTGAGATCAGAGATCTCTCGAGAGATGTGAATCAGTTGAGACTTGAGGCTGATGAGGAGATGGCGAGGAAGATGGCGGAAGAGGAGGGTTGGCATGGGTAGATGGGATAATCTAACTCAAGACTTTAGGATTTTATGATAACGGAGCATGGTATCTAAGGATGGGCTTGGGTATTGATGGTATATTGATGGTACATGAATAAGGGATTCAGGGGTTAAGGGGTTATGAATTTGCCAACTACCTACGGTATAGGTTCGTAGATTTTAGTCTAGTTATGAATTTACGGTAAACATAGTTGTGTAAAGTCATAGATTCATCATTCAAGAATGAACCTTTAAACACTTTAATTTCATCACTCGTCTATTTCCTATCCGAACAAGTCATAAATGCCCCTCGTAGACCAGATGTGCAAACGATGCAGTTCTCAACAGAAACCGACGCCGGCTTTTCCCGCCTCGGAGAGAAATTTATTCAGACCAATACCATGCCATATGATGAAATCCACATACATCATCTCAACCCAGCCCGAAGAATTTCATGGCACTGCTTAGAAGTTTGTCGAAATCGTCTTTGCCTTCAGTCTCTCTCTTGACCCGTGCTATCATCTCTTCCCTCTCGCAAACTCCCTAAGAATGCTTACTCTCGTCCTTCTCGACTAGGGCTTGGACGCCTAACGCACGGCCGACCTTGACTTTGCGTTTAGTCTCCTTCGGTTTCTTGTCGTCGGCCTTTCCTGCGTCTCCGACGGGCTCGCCCTCATCCTGGGCTTCTCCTTCGTCGTCGAGCTGGGACTCGCGGATTTGCTCGCGGATGCTAGAAAGGTCTAGTCGCATGCAATGGGCATCCTCACCGTCGGCATAGTACTTGGACTCGGTCTTCTCCTGGTCGAATCCGAGAGTTTTGGTGTAGAGGTGGATAGCGGCTTTGTTGGAAACGCGGACGTGGAGGCTGACGTATTGGGCACCGAACGTTTCGACCATGGCGAGTTCTGTTATCTCATGTTAGCATATATAATCATGTAGGTGAATATCTAGTAGTATAAGAAACTTACGACTTTGTCGCATCAGCTTCTCGGCAATACCCAGGCGACGGTGAGTGCGCATGACTGAGAGAGAGGTGATGTGGCCGTGCTGAACACCGTCGGAGGGTTCCTCTTCCATCTTTGCCAAGACATAGCCGACGATCTTGGGGTAGTCATAAGGTGTCTTCTTAGGTCGAGATACGTCAACGGCAACGTAGCTTAGTTGAGGCCATGATAAAGCATGGTATAAGTAATATTTCATAAAGTAGTTCTCCGGTAAGTTCTCGAGGTTGGCATGTTGGATTAGCGGGATATCTGACGGTTCTAAGCGTCGGATATCCATGGTGAATATGTGCCTCGGTCTAATCTATTCTTTGGAGTAGATTCTTTGTTATCCTCTTCCTAGGTGGGAAAACGTAGCTAGTTTGTTTAATTCAACATTGAAGCTCGAGCTTATTGTCACTTTTACACTACACAATCAATAACTCATTATCGATAACAAAGTGGTGGGGTAAGTACCTAATTCTACTTACTAGGTACCTGGGAGCGCTTGCCCCTCTATCCCGATTCGGTCCTTAAACGAATTATGAATTACGGTTTAGCTAAGCTTCGGAGACGACATTTAAGAACTAAATATTCTGAATACGTTTAGACTTTCATTAAAACTATTATTTATCAAAAGCAGGTCAGGCCAAAGGCTGTATAAGACACCAAGACACCTAAAATCCGCGCCGTTTTGATAAATACCCATTTTCGGGTATTGCCTCACTTTCAATATGTCATCAGACGACGATCCGTTTGAAGAGGTACTCAACCTCGAAGAGAAGTATTATAAAGAAGGTTATGACGAAGGCTACAAAGATGGAGCCGAAGCCGGTCGCATCGAAGGCCGTTCCGTCGGCATGAAGCAAGGATTCGAGAAATTTGTAGAGGCAGGTCGTTTACAAGCCAGAGCTACAATCTGGGCAAACCGAATACCAAACTTGCGGAGACAATCCACACTCTACGGCGACTCACAAAACACACAAAAGGACTCGCAAAACACACAACAAGACTTACAGAAACAAGCATCACCTCAAGAGCCCTCATCTAATTCTCAGGGAGAGAAGAAACCCGAACCTGAATCTGAAGCTGATGCTGAATCCGAATTGCCAAAGACTTTACCTCTTCTTAACAGCAATACGCGACTAGAGAAAAACGTCCTAATGCTCTATGGGCTAATGGAGCCCGGAACATTGTCAACGACGAACGACGACGAGTCCGTCAATGATTTCGACAGTCGGATGAAGGCGGCTCAAGGCAGAGCGAAGATGATCGAGCGCGCTATTGGTGAAGGAACCAAGAAAGGGTCGGCAGAGAGATTCCGGCCGAGTCAACCAATTCAGAAGAATGAGAACATCGAGGATATTGGTCAGATATCTCGGCGGACAGAGGGAGAGGGGAAAGGCTAATTGTCGTATACCTCTACCTCAGGAGATGGAATTAGCAAGCGATATCCCCATGTAGATTATGTAACTTTGTCAATCGTCTTAGTACGTCACTAAGAACCGAAGAAGTGCTCTACTGAAGCATTCTAAGCATTCCCGGCTAAAATGTGAATCAAGTCGATCAATGCATTCAAGTGCTGCACATCAACGCCGTGAAAGCTTTAACCGCAATGAAATCTAGGATTAGGGCTGTTCTGATTTTCCTTCCTATGTATATACACTCGCCCCTCGCACGCATCTCCATCTATTTGAAAGTCCGGCAAGGATATCTATACACAACGTTAGCATCTCACATCCCACCCCACACTCTCTCATAGTACTCACCCCTCTGGATACGAGTTCTCCTCCGTCAACTCATACTTATACGTCTGCCACGCGCCCTCCTTCCCCAAGCTCTGCCCACTCGGCAACGGCGGCAGTCCATTCACTAGTAGCGTGTCCTTCGCCGCACCAACATTCTTCTCGAAATACGCCGCGAGACCCATCGTCTTGCCCTCTTCCTTCGCCGCGACAAGAGCCTTCTGGCCTTCCTCGCCGATCAGCTCTTGTTTCGGGGCCGCGGCGCTGCCGACGGAGAGCAAGGCCACGGCGTCGGCTTGGTTGACGAAGCTGAGGCGCGGGTATGCCCGCCGCGCGTCCCGCTTCCAGTACGGGTTGTCGGCGATGTCGCCCGCGGGGATCGTCACTGGGTCGTCGTAGTCGAGCGGGTTCAGCGCGCCCGGCGTCGGGTTGCGGAAGTACGGGTTCAGCGGCACGCCGTTGGATCGGTTGGGGTCGACGGCGAGGAGGCGGCGGATGCGCTCTCCTATTCCGGTTGATTGGAGGGTTTGTTTCTGCGGGTGGGTGTGAGTAATTGTGATTTCGGACTCGTGTATCGGGAGAGGGTGAAAGGTGCGTATGTATATATATAGCTCCATCTCGCACTGGCAATGGGGATTAGGTTGTTTTGCATTCGGGTCTGCGTACCTGGTTGATGTTCATCACACCCCCCGCAACTTTCGCAGCTGCTTTGGAAGCCATGGTGGCTGGTATGGAGAGGAGATTCTAATCGGAGGTTATTCGCTAGGTAAGTTGAAGTGAGCTGTTTCGAGGTTGCTGGTTGATGATGTTCTAGTTACAATTTCGCCGAGAAATTGCCGACCCGATTACCTTTACGCCAATTCTGTTTGGTTAAAATACTTAGGTACATCCACAAGCATGTACATCACTTATGACATGCGATCAAGAGTGTTCAAAGTTCAAAATCGTATTTTAGATTATCATGGATATAATATGTTCTAAAATTGCCTTGGATTTATCAAAAAATTGAAGATGCGCTTCTGAGACGTGTCGTGTCAACGCTAGCTCAGTAACTTGGACCATAGCTTAACGGATATCACTAGAAGACTCAGCAATATGGCTACCTATATAGGCACATATGAAAAGAGCTTGATATTCTTGATTCTTTTGCCGGTCTATTTATAGGTATACAAGATTTTGTCTACACGCGACAGTTCGACCTCCAACCGTACTTGTCTATTAGGACCATCTAAATCCATTATTCGGCGGCTTCCGCGCGGCCATGCTTGGAGTTGAGGAAGTGGTTTCTGCTTGATGTCAGTTCGACTCGGATAGAATAATATGCGGATTAGAAAGATATAGGGGTGTATGTACCGGTCTATAGCCCACGACATGGCGCAGTAGAAGAATATCATTGGGGGAGCGACGTAGAGGACCTGGGCGCTAAATCGTCGCCAGGTGTTGAAGATAGCGGCGTGTGCGGCACCGGCGAATGGGTTCTGCTTGTTTGCGCTCAGGACGTAGCTGATGATACCCTTCTGCGGTTGACCACCTGTTAACGCGGCATGTTAGTAAACCGTTTTAAATATTCTTCGACTGCGCAGTATTCGATCGCCGGTCTGATATCCTAACGGTTGTTCCTCGGTATGTGGAATTCATAGATGCTTCGAGTTGACTATGTCCTATTCGCCCGTAGTTCTCAACTCGTCTCCTCTATACCCATATCTCCCACCATCTCCCATCTCTTTCCACATGTATACAACTCTCGATCGAAATCCGAAGTAGAGTGAACTCACCAAAGTGGCCCCATTCACCTAGATACCTGTGAATATAGCGTTAGCAAGAAGTTGAGGAGTGCCTGCGTTGCTTGTATGTGGTTTCCCCAACTCGCACATAGACAATACCCGAAGAACGAAAAAGACGCAGCTAGGGCCAGTAGACTCACTTTCCATGCTTGCCAATAGGGCCACCGCCACCGGCCATCAGAGCCTGAGAAGGGCGCATCGTAAATTCCGTGTTCAATCGACGTGTGTGAATAGTCCAATTGAAATTTCGTAGAAGAGTGAGGCTTAGAACTAAGTTGTATTTCGCGACGTCGATTTCGAAGATGTTCCCGGACGACTGGACCGAGCTAAAAGTGAAATGGCAAGGTAGCGCCTCCTGTGGCTTGACATTTTTAGTCATTCGGAATCGTCCGTTTGAACCAATGAGGTAATCCCGTTAGCATCCGGAAGGAACGCACTGACTAAAGTGGGGCTTTATTCAATCCACCTTGAACGATTTCTTAAGCGCAGAAGGTCTTTCGAATTTCTACGTCGACGAGCAAAGCTAACAGACGGCAAACCATACACGAACGCCGCCTCGACGTAATTAAACGCAATGGAGAATGCACTAGGACGAGTGTACCGGTTAGCGGTCCCCGCGGTCGGTGCCGCGCTGTTGGTCCAGGCTTCGCTCTACGATGTGCGCGGAGGTACGAGGGCCGTCATCTTCGACCGTCTACAGGGAGTCAAGGAGACCGTCGTCAACGAGGGCACCCACTTCCTGATCCCCTGGCTGCAGCGCAGCATCATCTTCGACGTCCGCACCAAGCCCCGTAACATCGCCACAACCACCGGTAGCAAGGATTTGCAGATGGTCAGCTTAACCCTGAGGGTCCTACATAGACCCGAAGTCAAGGCCCTGCCTAAGATATACCAGGTTTGTCTCTCCCTCTATCTTTTTAGACATTATACTATTTAGTGGAGATATGTGGTTGCGAAATCGCAAAGAAATAAGAAATCCAAGAACTAACCCACCACCCCACAGAACCTCGGCACAGACTACGACGAGCGAGTGCTCCCCTCCATCGGCAACGAAGTGCTCAAATCCATCGTCGCGCAATTCGACGCCGCCGAGCTAATCACGCAGCGAGAAGCGGTATCGCAGCGGATCCGAGCGGACCTGATGAAGCGAGCGTCAGAGTTCAACATCGCACTCGAGGACGTCTCCATCACGCACATGACCTTCGGGAAGGAATTCACCAAGGCCGTCGAGCAGAAGCAGATCGCCCAGCAGGACGCCGAGCGCGCGCGCTTCATCGTCGAGAAGGCCGAGCAGGAACGCCAGGCCAACGTCATCCGCGCCGAGGGCGAAGCCGAGAGTGCCGACACCATCTCCAAAGCCATAGCCAAGTCCGGAGACGGCCTCATCCAGATCCGAAAGATCGAAGCCAGTCGCGAGATCGCCCAGACTCTAGCCTCGAACCCGAACGTATCGTACATACCGGGTGGAAACAAGGGAGGAAGCAGTGGGAGTCAGTTCTTACTGAACGTGGGCAGGACATGAGGGGGATGATGGGACCACAATAAAAATAAAAAGAGAAAGGGTGTCCGAAATAGGGGCATATGTATACTAGCCATTTGCTGCCCGGTTCTCCACTTCGGGGTATGAATAATATGTCACTACTAGTAAAATCTCATATTTGCTGGTGAAACTTGTATATTGATTTGCGTCTTTCTCGTAGCCAGACCAGGGTATCAATGCTGCACACGACAACTTGATACGACACAACCTTCCGATGCTTGGTTCTGCTCCTAGCGTTTCCTCTACGGGAGACTTAAGCTAAAACTAATATCGGAAATAGGGTATCTCGCATAGTCCTAATATCCCTATGCCCCATTACAACGACTAGACAATACTATCAACGCAACGCAATCCAACCGAAATGATCAACTCAACTCCTTTCGATTTCTTTCATGCGATGCTACCTCTGCTAGCCCAGTTTGTCTCTTAGATATCAGCGATGCATCAAATTAGTTGAAGTAGCCCCTTAGATGCCACGCTTCATCGTCTTCGACTCTCCTACCTCAGACCATTATTTATCAGGTGGGGTAACCGAGATCTCGCCATCGCGAATAATCCAGCCCTTTAGTTGGAGATTCTTCCATTCATCACGAACCTTGAGTCGAACCAGTTCACCCGCGGCCTTTGCATCTTCCGCGCTGTCATGACCCTCCGGTGTGCTCTCATCTGCCTCTTGCTGGATCTTCTTGTTTAACAACGTTTCCATCAGCATTTTGAGGCTGTTTCGATGTGGGAGACCGCGCTTATGAGGAAACAGGAGGATGGTGTCGATACAAGTAGGGTGAATGATTCGGATGGCGTTAAGGTCATTCTCAAGTCCATGACCGATGAGAGGCGTGTCTGTACTAATCAGTGAGAAAAGAAGATCGCGTGCTGCTTTGGGATCTGATGCGATCTTGAGCTTGGGTTTTGCTTCAGAGGATGGCGTTGGTCTATGATCTTCTCCAGGCACCCATCGTTCAGCCGAGGCCATGGCCTCCGGCGTAACGCCAGAGTAGCGGGTATTCAGATCCAACACCTCGCCATATGGTTGCACTAGTATATCGGCCAAGATCTCGTAATTTGGCCAAGATAACGCGGTTACTCTGATCAACTCAAGACCATAGACGGTGTAACCCATTTCGCAATCGAAACAAACAGCCCTATCTTTAGGGGCGGTTGGGTTGTGTGGAGTCTCGCAGAAATTGAGGATACTCGCAAGTCGGTTGATATCCGTTGTCTTGAATACGTGTGTGGACGCCGTGGCGCATCCGCCCGAGTCGTCGTCGACATTCTGGTGACAGCAACGATATTTCTTCTGGGCCTGTGATAACTTACCAGGACCACGTTCCGTAAAATAGACTTTCCCAGGGTGGTACGTACAAGTACCATTTGATGCCAACGCACCATCGTCTCTTCGGCCCGGGAAGACCTGGAAGCGTCTTGTGCATCTATCGCAAACTTCCACATTGCCGGAAGCGGTGACGCTTGCGCGAGCTTTCTCTATGTCTTCGGCTAGAGGAATTTTAGATACATAGCCGTGCTTCTGGAGACCGTCGAAAGGCCAGACTAGTCGAGGGACAAAATCAACCTCTTGAGCTCGAGTTAGACCGGTGTCGATGGGTTTGGGAAGATCAGGCGCAGTCTGCTCGTCGCTAGTCTTGGTGGCTGATGTTCGCTCTTCCTTCCATTCGGCCACAGTCATGCGTTTGTATGCCATGATCTTATTTCTTATTGCGTTTGCATAGATCTGAAATCGCTTGATAGCTACCTCTTCCTCGTCGTCGAGCGTTTTTATAATGAGTTCTTGGTCAGATAGCAATAACTGTCTCGACGTCTTATCTTTAGCACCCTTTTTCAGCTCAGAATTCAAGCGGGCATATTGTTCGTGCAGGGCACCGACGAGCTTGAGGCGTGTACCATGCTGGGCTGGTGACTTCTTCAATAAGCGAGGGTTCAGCGTCTCCGGCTTCTTAGCTGATGACTGCGTGGATGATTGGGTATGTTTGCTTGCTTGTGTATTCGAAGCACGGCTAATAGAAACTGTACTGGCAGTGCTTGTAGTGCTTGCAGTAGATCCCGCATGGCTAGGTACCTTGCTAGTGGGGACAGATGAGGCTTTCATAGTGTGTGGAGCTAAACTTGGACTCTTGCGTATCTGGGAAGTCACGGAAGAAGTTGAGCTGCTACGCGCTAGGGAAAGGGAGCCTTCACTCTGAGTGGCATCAAGCCGAATGGCACCTAGATGACCTCTAGACCGGTAATGGTTCTCGGCCCGGCTATCCTCAGCCTCAGCCGGTTCACTTACTGGTCGCTTTCGATCCATAGTGAGCGGAGAGGAGGCTTTCTTGCTACTTAGGTGATCTGGAGGAGACATGACATCCTAAATTCTGTAAGCTTAAATTCAAGTTGATGTGGCGTATTCGGTTGTTACCTGTTTTGCAACTTGTGGATGAGGCGGAGCTGGTGTGGTCGAGTTAAGTTTGATTCGTTTCCTGGGTAGTACTTGGTCGGAAGGTGTTGTGATTTCTTGGGTGAGTGACTCCTCTGAATGTTTGCTAAGAGTAACAGGCAGGTCGATGTCATTACCATGTTTGAATAAACACTGAAAGGCTGTGCATTTGTCCCCCGCTGGACATGGTAGGCTTTTCAGTGACGCAAGTGAATTGGCCATCGTGATCGGATTAAACGGTGGCGAGGTTTTAAGAAGTTATATAAGAGGAAGTGACAGAGTAAAGAGATGGGATTACGGGGCTGTCAAACGGGTGATGGAGGCTTGAGTAATATGGATATCTAGGGTATCTCAGGATAGCAGAGGATTGGGTTGTTGTATCAATTCAATTTATGTACTAGGTAATCTTGTCGTCATCTGTCGTAAATTCGTCGAAATATCGAAGAGAATGCAATGCAATACGTCGTATGTTTATGTCGAGTCCAAAATGAAATTTCCTGAGAGTAGACCTATTCTCTTAGTTGCCAGAGAGAAAGGCTTATCCTGATGTTTTTATGGTTCCTAAGTCTTCAAGCTTATGTAGATTTATTTAGAAGACAAATGTCATATTCAGTTATTACGCAGAATAGATGTGGTATACGTCTCGATTAGTGAAATGCAGTTACCATGAAATAAAACAACAGCGCTTTCTAACGTTGAATGTGAAGATAGTAGGTGGGAATAAAGACGTGCTCTTACCTTCAAAGTTCATACTGAGACGTTTGTTGGCTTGAAATATTCCGAGGATCACCCGTACTCAAAAAGTAATGAACAAGAATCTTTCATAACTTTTTGTGAATATCTTCATAAATTTTACCATTTCTTAGATAATTTACATTTAATTGCCTGTAGGAATTGTATAAGTAAACTCAAAACTCATGAACACCTACATACTTTGACCTAATAGTTCTATTCTCATCAAATCACTAGACTGTAGGTTGGATTAACAAGTCTTTGAAGGAGGCTATTCGTACTATGTATTATATGGTACTAATGCTGAAGTCTGGATTCTATTGTACAATTTTAGCGTGTGAATAGATAAAGGACAATTCTATTATCTTCATTATCTCTTAACGTGTAAGGTCAACAACAGATATATGCAAGTTTATCAAGGCCAAGCAATCCTAATCATCTTTAACATTGGCTTAATATTTCCCTAGAAATATTATAGCAGCTGGTGATATCGTGAATCCAGTCTTCAACCTAAACTTGAAAGTATTTATAATTCTCAAGTGTACTACATATGTAGGGGTCGCATGCATCCAATCGTCATCGTGTCCAACTAAAGAATCTCTGGAAGTCGCTACGTCAGCCCTAGCAGCCTAGAAGCCTAGGCGCCTGCTCAGCTATTCCCTTAGAGACTCGGTTTATGCACGGATACCCGGAGTTAAAACATAGGATTGTCATAGCTCCCTATTTTAAGAAACCCGCGGACAGCGGATAGTCTCATGTTACCGACGGGGTCTTTTTCAAACAGTTATTTTACATCCTAAATATTTCGATAATTCTCGATCATAAACTTCTCCAGCGAAACCATTGTTCGAAACGATAAGAAACTGTTCAAGATGGAATATAATGGTGGCAACCTGGCAGCAGATCACCTCTGCGTGCTTGTTCATGGTGTAAGTAGTGTTACCATCACAATCCCTGCCTGCAACCCTCATCTGCGGAGCCGGTGTCTGTACAATCTGGACAATCTGCACGTCATTAGGTAAAAGTAGGTACTGACATAACATCCCTCACCGCAGCTTTGGGGCAATCCAAATCATATGAAGTCCGTTGCGAAAGCGTTGAGAGAAACGTATTCGGAAGACAAACTCCACCTCTTGGTCGCCAAACGAAATAGCGATAGTTTCACTTACGATGGTATTGAGCGTGGTGGGGAGCGGGTATGCCTCGAGATTGAAGAGGAACTCGAAAGTATCCGAAACAAGGGCGGGAAGATAACAAAGCTGAGCATTGTTGGATATTCTTTAGGGGGATTGGTGGCCCGTTATGCGATTGGGTTACTGGAAATGAGAGGCATTCTCCGTGAAGTCGAACCAGTAGTATGGAACCCCTTTCCGACTTGACAAAGTTGTTGTATCCCTGACTAACAATGGCGATCTCTAGAATTTCACAACCTTTGCTTCGCCGCACCTGGGCGTCCGAACACCCCTGCGAGGATGGCATAATCACATCTGGAATGTTTTGGGCGCGCGAACTCTATCTATGTCCGGAAGACAGTTGTTCACAATCGACCAATACCGTGACACCGGTCGACCGTTACTAGCTGTGCTTGCCGACCCCGAATCGATTTTTATATCTGGTTTGAAGAGGTTTAAACGTCGGACGTTATACGCGAACGTGGTCAATGATAGAAGTGCTGTCTATTATACGACAGGCATAGCTAAGACGGATCCCTATATGAATACCAGCCGGATCAAGGCCAACTACCTCAAGGGGTACGAAGATGTAATCCTAGACCCGCTGAATCCGGTGTCACCTCTAGTCTCAAAAGCCGGCAAAGGCATAGCCGGTTTCACGGCCGGAAGCTTGGGTTTTCTACGGAATACCCCGTTGATGCTTGCGCTAGTCATCTTCATCCCATTCGGTATTACTGCCTTTTTGCTCAACTCTGTCGTACAGACGTTCCGCAGCTCGAGGCGCATCCGACTATACGAATCAGGTCTTACAGATATCCCGGTAGAGAATTACCGTTCACCTATCTGGATCAAGGACATACGAGGCACAGTCGAAGACGTTTACGAGAACCTTAACAGTTTGCAAGAGGAATCGTATCTTCATGCGTCAGACGATGAGGGTGATGGTGACGATCTGAATAAGGCTGAAGCCGAGATTCTAGCCCTGGAACGAAAGAAATCTCACCCTCAATTCCCAACTCTAGCTTTGACTCCGTCTCAATTCGCCATGGTCGACGAATTGGACAAAGTCGGATTTCGTAAATATCCCGTCTGGATTCACAAGGTCAGGCATAGCCACGCCGCCATCATTGTTCGTTCCGATACACCAAGATTCTCGGAAGGTCTCGTCGTGCTTCGTCATTGGATGAAGGAAGAATTCCTCATCTAAGGTGGCTAAGTATCGAGTACCTCTATTTCATTTGATTAGGCCATAGAAAGGAGTTCAGCGGGAAAGGAGTTGTATTGGTAGCAAGCGTTTTGGAGAAGGCCTATTTTTATTGATACCCTTGGCGTGGGAAAGATAGATATTCGTTGCTGGTTTAATAGACATTTCCTAACTTAACATTACAAACATTTTATTTGAATATCGTTTTCTTGAGTTACTCACTTTAATATAGATATTTGTTAGCCTTCAAGTTCCTGTCTGAAGGATGGCACACATCTCACGAACAAACCGACGTTCATATGTCTAAAATCTCTTCCTTTTATCAGGATATCGTTATTAGTTATAATAACAATATGCGTGTGGACAAAATAAGACGATAGGGCAATAGACCAGCGTTTCTGTTCCTGTAATAATGATGGTAGAAGGATTATTATAAGTGTATAGAAGTATGCCACTGATTGATATATGTTTGATAGTAACAAAAAAAAGTTGAATTTATGTTAACCTCCTTCCGCTCCTGCAGTTGGTGCTAAATGCGTTCCGTAGTCGCGATTGCGCATCGGCGGGGCATTGTGTTACCAAACGGTCGGGGACCAAAGCCGTTATGGGACGAGAACTAACCGTAAATGGATTAGTGAGGTGCCAGGATGCAGGGTCCAACGCGCGAACCAGTACGGAACTTTACACGCCAATTACGTTCTCGAAATTCATAAGCATATATGTTTAGTACTTGCTAATGTATTAAGGGGAAAGACGAGCCTCGTTCGAAATACAACATTGACGGACAGTATGATGCTTTATCGAGCGTATCGAGGGCTATATACAGTATTACCAGCCAAATGCCTCCTCGACCGATAGTCTCGCCGCCGCGTCGGATCACCAGATCCTCGCTGGCGCGCTTCCGTTTCGGCGACGACGGCTCCAACTCCAGCACCAAGGAGAATTCGACCCCTCCTCCTGCTACAGATATCGAGGACGTGATCCCGAATACGGCATCTATACGAAAACGTAAACGTACCACAACAATCCTCGAAACCCCTTCATCCTTAGCCTCATCCCCACGGCCCGCTACCAAGATAGAAAAGATCGAAGAAGAGATCGAGACGAAGAAACTTCCCGCCCCACGACGCCAGCGCAAACCCGCCCGCAAAACCCTCGACGCAGAGACTGGGGAATCTAAGGTTACCGCGCCTTCCGACTGGGAGGAAATCTACGACACCGTCAAAGCGATGCGCCAGCCAGGCGGTCCAGCCTCCAACGCAGCCGTCGACACCATGGGCTGCGAGCGTCTAGCACTCACCTCCGCAAGCCCGCGCGACCAACGTTTCCAGACGCTAATCGCACTAATGCTCTCGTCACAAACAAAAGACACCACCAACGCCATCGCAATGAAGCGTCTCCAAACCGAGCTCCCACCCCACACTCCCGGCGCTCCAATCGGTCTAAACCTCGAAAACATCCTCGCAGTCGACCCCGAACACCTCAACCAGCTAATCTGGGCCGTCGGCTTCCACAACAACAAAACGAAGTACATAAAAGCCGCGGCACCGATCCTCCGAGACAAATGGGCGAGCGACATCCCGGACACAATCGAAGGGCTAGTAGCGCTCCCCGGCGTAGGCCCAAAGATGGCGCACCTATGTCTATCAGCAGCCTGGGGACGGACAGAGGGGATCGGGGTCGACGTGCACGTGCACCGGCTGACGAACATGTGGGGCTGGCACGCGACGAAGAGCCCGGAGGAGACGCGGCTCGCGCTGCAGGCGTGGCTGCCGCGCGACCGGTGGCGCGAGATCAATTGGCTGCTCGTCGGCTTCGGGCAGACCGTGTGCTTGCCGGTGGGTAAGAAGTGCGGGGATTGCGAGTTAGGTCTGCGCGGGCTGTGTAAGGCTGCTGAGAGGAAGAAGGTTGCGGAGGGGAGGAGGGTGAGGGAGAGTGTTGTGGTGGAGAAGATGGAGGTTAAGGGTGAGGATGGTGGGGCGGGGGTTAAGGTTGAGGTTAAGGAGGAGGAACGGGAGGAAGAGATTGTGGAGAGGGATGTTGTTGTTAATGAGAATATGGAAGGTGTAGTGAAGAAGGAAGAATCTACGGAGAGGTTTGAGGATATAGGAAAGGTTGAGGTAAAGTCGGAGTGTTCTCCGGAGTCAAGACAAGCGCCGAAGAGGTCACGGAAATCAAGGAACGGTTAAATTCTAGGGTTGGGTCACTATACGGATGGGATTGGGCAGAATGTAACATATCACAAGGACACGATCAGACTTAAGGGGGTATATAATGTGTATAAAAATCAAATTGTCTTCGTAGAGGCTTCCTCTTGAGAGGAGGCCTCGTAATTGCTAAGCAAGTATTCATGTATGTACAATGCTGCAGAAATCTGAAAAGTGTCGGCCCACCCTATATTGGCAGGCCTCAGATCTCGTAGAGAAGCCAACTCCCGACCACGATGTCAAAGATAAATAGTTCAGGGATGCTCCCGACTGATTCCGCCTGCGCCGTCGCAGGCCGTGTAAATGAATAACAAACGTACCCGAAGCCAATATGCCCGGACGCCATGCTTCGTAGAAGAGGAGCAAATAGAGATGCGGGACCAAACCGGCTTGTTGGCCGCCACTCTATCTATCGTGTAGGTAATCAAGGGGTGTTTATGTTGGTGGTGGATGTGGTGGAGGAATCGGATTTAGAAGTCGGATGATCGAATCGCGGAGGCAAACGTCCGGGTCGGGTGCAACGGCGATGGACCGTCGAGAGCGACGATCGAGCAGACCTTCTCTTATACACCCCGGATGACTTGCGTTCGTTCCGACTCGAGCTGGGCCGCGTTACGCTCGTGCGATTCCTTCTTGCACTGCGATTGGGGATTGATGTTAGCACAGACGAACCACAACTCTCCTTATCGAGACCAGACTCGGCAAGATACTCGGCGAGTCCGACGAGCCACCATTCCGTGGCGGAATCGTCGGTATCGCTACACGAGGAAGAAGTTGGATTCATGCTTACGTCTTCTAATCCGCTGCACTTGTGATCCTCTAATAACCGGTGCTTGGCGCAGAAGTGGCCGTCGCAGAAACCGCAGTCGCCAACGATTCGTTGGGCGGCGGATCTGCACTCCTTGAAGGTGCATCGAGGCTTCTGGGGCGCCATGGTGATAATTATTTTCTGAGGGTTTGTGAAGGTTTAATTTGCTGATAATAGTTGTAGGGACGAAGATGTGCGTCGTCGTCGAAAATTGTGAAGTTGCGGTGTTAAGTGAGTTCCTAAGGCCGGAATGGGTAGGATGAGGATATCAAGGGGGAGTGTTGAAAGCGGCGGCTACGTCTAAAAGTCAGAAGACGATCTTTTTAAATGAGAAATGACAGAAATGTCGGACGATGGTAAGCTAGTGGAGAAGACGCCTTGACCAGGCAAAAGGGAATAGCAAATAGAGGCTGAATTGGATAGTGGTTGGCTCGCACGTGTAGATGAATGGACCTCGGCCGTGATAGATGACTTACAGAGAGTTAATACTCAGATCACACTTGTTTGTTCGGCAGCTATCAAGAATTCACCGATTGGTGTTCTGGCTCGTCGAATGTGATTTTGTGTGATTGCGTTTTACGAGTTTGTGATGTGAGACGGAAGTGTTGAGGCAGTGAGGCAGTGAGGGCAGAAGTCGGTGGTAAAGTAGTAAAGCACTACTAGGTGGTAGTAAAAGAATAAGAAGGTAATGATGAGATGTCGACGGCAAGGAAGGAATGGGAAAGGTTCCACAGGGGATGTATCGCTCTTTCCTATCAAGTGAATGACTCTTGACGTTGGCGGCGAGGATGGAACCTTGGAACCTTTTAGAATCCAAATGGGTTTAGTTAGGTAACGTAAGGTGGAAAAGAAAGGACAAGGCGAACGCGAACGACCGGGTTCCTTCGTTGGGACAATCTAGACAATCTAGGGTCATTTTGTGATCAATGATCATCAGCTTTACATAGTACCACGTAGTAATTGACCTATTCTTCCTACCTTGCCTACTAATTAATACTAATACTAAAACCAATACTCATACTCTAATAGTAACCTGGTCTTTGCAGGTCAGGCCGTTTGGCCAAACCATACAGACTAGACCATACAAGCCCTCTTCAAACTTATTAGTGCAAGGTATTCAAGTTACCGACATACTACGCATAGTATTCAGGTATCAGTTCTGATGACGACGATTCCGCGCAAGGCTCCGAAAGCGGGAGTCGAGCCGATTAGGTATAGCCGGGGGAATCTAGTGGGATTGCCGTAGGGATGCACGTATCAGTAAAAACCGGGGGCAGGGGTTCGACGGACAAGGATAAGAGAAGTAGACAAGGGAAAGAACAAGGACCGGGGTCACTCATCTCCAAAATGGAGATTCCCATCAACCCATTAAATCCATTAAGCCCCATTAGAGAAGCGACAAGTCATCAATGTACCTTAATTCGGGAATTCGGCGTAAAGTCACCATCTGCACCTGCTGCACTCGCTCTATATACCTGGGTATACTTACATCATGCAAGGAAAGAAAGGCCAAAGACTATATGCGTACTAATAATAAGTCGAACTCTAGCCGACTCGTCGGGACACGCAAAAACAAAGACTCTTTTGTTTCTAAGAAAGTTAATACCTAATACTAAATGAAAACCGCTACAGGTAATATGAAGGAAATTGCTCAATGGCTGCTGATACTACGAACATCCCGGAAGAGAAAATGGAGAACACCATTGATTCCAGATTCCAGATTCTCGTTCAACTGCAACTAAGTTTCTTACTTCATGCGGGCGATAACATTGAACCAACCGAACTCACCCGATAAATATCGAGAAATATCGGGCAACTTCGCGCGCGAGCCGGCTATGATACTAATCGACTAATCTGCTAATCTATTATATCTTATCCATACCTAGTATCACATGGGAAGTCGGCGACGCTGTCGTTATCTGAGACCTCGACTGGCGTGATCAAATGAGCAATTCATAAAATAAGGGGATATGCATCCCTTCCGCCGCAACGCTTACTAGGTGGTAGTTGAACCGACCGCTTCCATTCGCCGACTTGCCTTGGAAAGCTTACCTTTCATTACCTCTCAGACTGCCACATGTCCGTCCGGATGTCTGTCTAACATCGCTGCACCGGTACTTTTATTACTTTTATTTCCTTAATTACTTCATCCCGTCTTCCCGTTACCATTCCTGCCATTCTGCCCCAGCACGGTCGTTTTTGTCGTGTCGTGTCGTGTCAGAGTGGGAAATATGCAATGCGGTTCGATCAACTTGGCAACTGAAACTTGGCAACACCATTACCACCCGGAACGCCGTTGAACGTTTTGCGGTGTTGCGGTATTGCGTGGTTCAGTGTTGCGTGTGTAGAGGCGGCCCCGGGGTAATAACGACTCGACTAGCGGTGCGCAAGGGCGTCGCCGTTGGCGTTAGTTGTTAGTTTATAACTCTATCGACTCGTATCAGATCAGGGGGCAGAAGAGGCTGTACTTAGGTAATGTTTTATCGACTTTATCGACTATCCGATACTATCGTCTCCAAACTCCGGATGCCCCTTAACTCGATTTGATACGAACACGCGAGACTAAACTTCGTGTCACGGACCGCTGTTCTCGTCTGTGGAGTTATGAACCATGCAAGGACATTCCGCGACACCGCAGTTCTTGGATTGAAAATCAAAAATATCTTGCTGACCGACTCGACTATCTCGTATATAGAATGTCGATCAAGATCGTCTGGACGGGCCGCCTTGGAGGCAAAAACCCATTGGCCGGCCTGCCTCTTATTTATCTAAAATGCTGCTCTGTAGTGTGCCTCATCCTTGGAGTACTTCCATCCTATTTGTATGTACATTCTTGCTCCCCACGCAAGTATCTGCAAGTTAGGCGCTCTCGGCGGGAACCCATCGATCATGTGGTGGATATTTTGCGGAGAACCGGAGCCACTCTGCGATGCAAGCAGGGTCTCGAATGAAGATACTCTTTCAGGGGTCTCTTTTTTTACATACATATTACATACGTACGCACATCTGTGCATATGGTACATGTATCGAAAGCATGATCTGACCTCAAGTACATGCATCATTAGGTAATTGCTTATTGCTATGTCTATGGCAAGATCTAGACCGCCTCACTCAACCTATCCGAGACACGTATATACAGTCACATCTTTAGTATTTGCCCCTCTGACTCTCCCCCGAATTTGTGATTGATCGGTCATCCGTCGACATTACTTGCCAGATCCGGTATGCGGCATAGTACTGGCCTCATTTGAGAATCTCTACGGTCGATGAGGTGCGCATAACGCGTTTAAAGCCATAGAAGTCTCGCCCCATTCCAATGGCTTTCGCAAAGTAGTACTCACCGTTTTATAGATGAGATGATTCCGTTGGTTAGTTGATTACGTGACAGACGCCTCAAACTCCGGACATGACACGGGCTTGCTATATGACCTTGCTAAAAGACTCGAGATTCGAAACTGCCTAGAGCTTTATGAGTTTCAGTAGTTAGGATTTCTTAGACTGTTTCTCAGCTCATTACATACCTACCTAGGTAGGTATTGGCCAGCGCGGGTCTCAAATCTACAACCACTCCAGCGAACATATTAAAGAACATTAGTTTAGGTCATTGCTCAAAAGAGCGGAATAATTCATTGGAATTACAATTTGTATTTTACTTTCTTAACTCGCCAGAACCCATTGTACATAAAAACCCGCCGTCAGCCCTCCGGACAAGCGTCCTAACTCAATACCCCTTTTTAAAAGTTCTTCACAACGCAGCGAATACAGTCTCCAGACTTCATCGTCTCGAATGCCTTGTTTATGTCATCCAGCTCTTCTCGGTGGGTAATGAATTCGTCCACCTTTAATTTGCCTTCTAGGTAATCGGTGACGAGACCGGGTAGTTGTGATCGACCCTTGACACCACCGAAAGCGCAGCCCTTCCATACACGACCGGTAACCAATTGGAATGCTGTTCATGACATTAGTTTTTATGTTATACAGTCAGAAAGGTTGAAACTCACGTCGAGTAGAGATTTCTTGACCGGCAGCCGCGACACCAATGATGATGCTCTGACCCCAGCCCTTGTGGCAAGCCTCTAAGGCTGCTCGCATAACGCCAACGTTACCTGTGCAGTCGAAGGTGTAGTCACAGCCTCCGTCGGTCATTTCGATGAGCTTGTCTTGGATCGTCTGTCCGTCTAATTTGGTGGGGTTAACAAAATCGGTAGCGCCGAACTTCTTCGACCATTCCTCCTTGGATGGGTTTACGTCGACGACGATAATCTTGCCTGCCTTCTGCGTGACAGCACCCTGAACAACTGACAGACCAACACAGCCAGCACCAAAAACGGCGATGTTGGAGCCTTCCTCGACCTTGGCAGTAATTCTCGCAGCACCGTAGCCGGTAGTGATACCACAACCTAGCAGACAGGTTCGGTCCATGGGGGCATCCTGTTGGACAGCGACAACAGAGATATCGGCTACGACAGTGTACTGAGAGAATGTGGAGGTTCCCATGAAGTGGAGAAGAGATTGTCCTTTGCAGGTAAACCGAGAGGTACCATCCGGCATGACACCTTTGCCTTGGGTCGCTCGAATCTTTCCGCAAAGATTGGTCTTGCCGGATATACAGAACTTGCACTCCTTACATTCCGGTGTGCTTTTAATCGAGATTAGCCTAATGGGTCATAGGTATAAGGAGGGCTGAAAAGGCGCATACTAGAGTGCGACGACGTGGTCTCCAGGCTTCACGTTGGTGACACCCTCACCCACAGATTCGACGAGACCAGCTCCCTCATGTCCCAAGACGACGGGAAATGCGCCTTCTGGGTCCTTGCCCGATAGCGTGTAGGCATCTGCTCCACTGTTTAATAGGGCGTTCGGACTTGATTCGGGGTTATTTAGACTTGGCGAGATATACCTGTGTGACAGACTCCAGTGTATAGAACCTTTATCCGAACTTCGTGGGCTTTCGGGGGCGCTACTTCGACCTCCTCGATGCTCAGGGGCTTACCAGCTTCCCAGGCGACGGCGGCCTTGCACTTGATGGTCTATCGAGACGTGACATAACGATTAGCTCAACTTTACCAATTCGTAGTTTTGAAATAGATAGATGTGAGATATAAAATAGATTATGTATCTAATAATGCGACAATTCTGGAAATAGATATGTATATGGCACCATATAAAAGCGTAAAATAGCACATGGTATGATGTACGTAATGCGCGGGGTAATTCAATGGGAGAGTAACGGATGTGAGGGGGATGAAGTACTAACCTTACCAACGGTATCAGCCATGACGACGATGTTGAATGAGGAGAAATAAAGATGTGAAAAGAGGGAGAGAGGGAGAGCAATCGAATCTTTGGAGAAACCTAGACAAGAGGAAAAAGGCCTTAAACTATCGACTTTTATAATAGAATTGCTCAGGCGCTTGGTTGCTTGTTAATGCGGAGTTTTCGCAAGAAGCAACTTCTTGACCCCACCACTGGTTATTCTCAGGTGGGGGAGGTCGGCACGGCAGAAGAGAGCACCTAAGGTCCTAAGTAGGCTGTGACTAACCCGGCCTGTCCGCCATGGAGAAGATAAAAGAAGTACTACAGTACTCTCTTAATCCTGTTACCTTATTTCCTGATGTCACTCTTGCGTTCATCATCACCACCGGGCAGACTTCCTATATCTGGAGCCTATTTTCTCAATTCTAGCCCGTAATCCTGGATACGCGTTTTCCCGATATGTTCAAGCCTGAGGCTGTTGATAGCGGGTTTTCCGAACTACCCCATTTCATTCCGGTAGCGATTGTGTGATATCGTTAACCGGCATTTTGAGACGGACGAATGTTGGACAAAACTCGGGATGTTCATCATAGCCTTAGAGAAAGGCGTTAGGTTAGTGTGTTTTACACCAATGAATCCATCAATCCAAGAATTCTTATGGAATGCTGTGCCTTTATCATCTAGGATTGCTGCATTGCTAGATGCCGGTAGTGGTTACAATATGCGGTAGGCTGAATATCATGACATACAGTATGTATGTAGTATGTAGGTGTTAAGTAAGATGCATGTAAGGCGCACGTAATAGCAATCCGATCTGGTTTGCAGCTTTCTCTGGCATTATAAATGCCAACAAGCAACAGGGCTGAATGCAGAGTTGATATGAAAAACTAGAAGATGGGTGGAATGGAAAAGAGCCATTTATATTAAGTTCTGCTAACTGAGAACCCGGAGGTCTACGGGGCGATGTACCGGCGTATAATTCACTGTAAATTTAATGAATTCCATCAATTGAATTGAGAGACCCGCTTTATCCGTGCTATGTGGTACAAACGTGACTGCTGGAAAGATCTCAACTGTTATTGTGTGGTCTGTGCACGTAACCCGGGTAGCTACAGCCCTGTGTTCCATGCTTGTAAAGTTTAGATGCGCTAGCAACCGCGTCTTTGAAGCTTCAGCTTCGCGCTGTAAAATTAAAAATTTATCTATTGACATCAAAGTGCAAGGGAACAACAATATCCAACGTCAACATCAACGTCGAGGTTTATATTTGCGCTTCGTAATCCCATATTCAACTGCCTATTTTTAGATTGATTGATGGAGTTTCGTAGCCAGATTCATCCACTTTCTCTAGTGTTGTCCTAATGCCCCTTTGAATTCTCAATCTGCAAGGACGGCCATTCGAAGGAGCTTCTCAGCTCCACCATAGTCAACATGTCTTACCGATTTTCGAACATGAGCTCGTCGCCATCCACTCCCGACAGAGGCTCCAGAAAAGGCACGTCTGGTTTCGGTTACACTGCAGAGCACCCCTCCACTACTCCAATCGGTCATCCTCCGCCCTCTTCTGCTCCGTCCTTCACCCCAGCTGGCGAACCGTCTCCTTCTTATTTACAGAGTTCTATCGGCGCCATGACAGGCAAGATTAAGACCCCGAATTTTGGAAGACCAAATCTATCACAATCCAAGCCAAGTCGCAGTAACGCGCCTCTTGGGAGATCAATTCGAGGATCTGCAAGACAGCCTTCTGGTCTTAGCAGGGAATATCACGGAGAAGATGAGGATGATGACGAAGAAGAGGATGAAGAGTACGATGATGGCAGAAGAGGAAATGCACGGGTGAATCGTGCAGGTACCTACGGTATATCATACGATGACACGACCGAAGGCGAAGATACCGAACCTGATACCACGAACCCACTAGACGATGAAGATGAAGACGACGAGGACGAAGATGATGATATGGATATCATGGAGGATGATGGAGCTGATTATGATTTTGAAGAACATTTACTGAGGGAACTAGCTGACACTGAGCCTTATGATGACCCATTAGCTGATGGCGACCTAATGATGCTTACGACAACCGCTGCCGACGAACGTATTAGTAGGGAAGCCGATGACATTTTCCGAGCTTCGTCCATGCGCTCTACCGCGGCCCGAAAGCGAGAGTTGAAGTACGCTTCCCTTGCGAAGGACTTGTACAGCCAATCATCGTTCGCGGAGATATCTGAGCCGGATACGGTCATAATCCAAACCGAAGAGGTCATCAACAAGCTCTACGACGAGGGCGTAGGTTCCGAGGACGATGAGGAGAAACTTGATGATACCTTGGCTCATGCTTGTGTTAAACTTGTCACTGAAATATGGAATCCATATTTGGAAGACCTCCCTGACGTCCATGATGAGCATGCGGCCAAGGTAGGACCAAGCGCTCAAGCACCACCCTTTGTGAAGGCTCTGTACCTGGCTACATTAGCCCTCCGCATTCACCATACACCTACAACCAACGATGACTTTGGCGGGGCTAGAAATCGGTTACTACCTGCTATTCTTTTTGATTGGCAGGAGGACGAGCACAATCTTGATCCGGAGCAGATAAATTCTGTCCTACGCCACCGTCCCTCTCCCGCGGCGCATGGACTGTTCTGGCAAGTCGTTTTTAATGCCCTCGTACGTGGCAATATTTCCAAGACAGTCGAACTTCTCAGATTTGCTGGCTGGGAGTCTGTCAAGAAGTCACCACGCGGCGAATCCGTTTATAGTGGCCAGGTTTTAGCTAATATCAAACGCGTGGTCGAGGATTTATGCCTAGTCATAGAGATGTGTCCAGCACATACCAATGGAAGCTGGGATATCCAAAACAGTGATTGGACCTTGTTCCGCCTGAAGGCCAAAGCTGCTAAGGAAGGACTTATCACATTCACCGAAGGAAAAGAGCGAACTTTCTCGTCGAACCGATTTAGTGATTCCGATTTCGGCGACTCTGTAGATGGACGACAATCGCTCGCGGGACTTGCTCGAAAAGCAGAAAGCAGAATTCCTTGGGACGTATACGAAAATCTTCAATCTCTCTACGCTATTCTCGTTGGAGAATCAGAGGCTATTCTTACGGCTGCACAAGATTGGTGTGAGGCAACTATTGGCTTGTTCGGGTGGTGGGACAATGGCCACAACCAACGGAACCTTGGCCTATCCCATCCAAGATCGCTTCAGATGGACGGTCAGCCTGGAGGAGATGACGACTTCCTAGATCGCCTTTCCCTTTCCCTTCAAACTGCCACGGAAACTAATTTTCACATTAATTCTGCTGATTCTGTCGAAGTATCCGTCGCTTCAGCATTTGAGGGTAATATTGAAGGCGTTATCGGGTTTTTAAGATTGTGGTCACTACCCCTCGCGTCATCGGTGGCTGAGGTTGCTTCGTTGGGTCGATGGCTGCCTCCGCAAGAGCCGCAGAATCTCATTAACATGAGTGATTTTGATATGGAAGAGTTAGAAGTTCTAGGGATGAACCAGAGCACGGGGTCGGACGAGAAAGACGGAATCAAGGATACAACCCTAATCCATTATGCTCGTAGTCTAAAGGATTGCAAGCATATATCAGGTCTTGGTCTACAAGGCAAAGTTTCCAGAGAAGGATGGGAGATGGCAGTTCAGGTCGTTGGCCGAATGGATTCTCCCGAACGCTCCGAGCAGTTGGTGCAAGAATTATTACAGGGCGTGCTGGGCACAATCAATGAGGACTCTCGTGAGACAGTTGATAAGATCTGGAGACTATTGAACGAACTTGGAATGATCAATTTTGCTGAAGACACGGCTGAGGTATGTGAAGGCCAACCAACATTATAAAGTTGAACATAAACTAATTTACCACAGTCCTTCGGTGATATACTCGCAAAAGACACATTCCGTTTTGGCGAGGCTCTCTGGTATTACGCCTTAGCGCACCGTCCTGGCAAGGTCCGCGACGTTCTTAACACTTTAACTTCTATCTCTCTTGTGGAATCCACAACGTATCCGCCAGAGAGTGAGTTAGATGATACCCTAAAGGAACTACTGAGAGAGCGTACAGCAACGTTGGAGCAGTTCGCGAAGCGAGATCTCGAGGCAGCAGAACTTCTTGGCAAGATGCTAAGTGGGTATGCTACGCTCAGAAAATTCTACGAACTTCGTGACGGAGACGGCAAAACGAGACAGAAATCCCTATTGTCCCGTCAACAAGCCGCTACCGCCTTGACAGCCGTCATTGCTAGCGCTGATGACAATATCCGAGGTGGTCTATACGACGACACGCGCGATGCGGTAGTTAGTGAAGATTTCTTGCTGGCATTGCTGGGTGAGGCTTCGGTGTTTGTGGGTCAGTCGCCACCAGTGATTACTCTCGACCAAATCGATACTCTACTCAAAGCTATCGAGGATATTCAAACCGTCGGGTCTCGGGTCTATGACGCCTCCGATGAATTCTTCAAGTTAGTCCTCACCTCGGGGCACGGGAAGGGATCGACGCCCGCAGATCTTCTTAAACAATCTACGTCTTCTTTGGGTGGCAGTTTTATGATGACCGGCAGCTCAATGATTGCTTCTCAGCTCCGGCAGTCCGTAGTCAAGAGCGGTGTTATGAAGGGTCCTGTTAAGCGAGCTTGGGATTGGAGAACAAGCGTGCTCTCGGGTAGCAGCTCTAGTGATGTGCTGAGGCAGATTAGACTAGGTCTAACAAGGGACCTAGCCAACCTTTGGCTTGAACAAGCGGATAGTGTCATCCTATAATAATAATGGCCTACCGTGCAGTTCGGAGCTTGAGAAGATCCTTCACAGGTAGTACAGCATTGAGTTGGCGTTTGGCGGCGTTGAGAACCGGAGAGCCATGATTGGCTAATGTACCGAGTAATACTATCACGAGCAAAAAGGCTAATGAAAAACCAACTTGTCCTATGACCTGGAGAAAGATGCAAAGCTTACTACTCATCCTATTCCTCGCGAGTGCTATCGCTGCAATTTCGTAGTTCCGTTCGAGCGTGAATGCTGTGTTGTTAGAACAATATGTCTCCGCTAAAACTCCTGGGGAAGAGCCAAGTTACACAAACGGAATAGGGGGAGGAACTATACCGCCAAATAGTTAAGTCCGGTGCGGGGAATATGAAATTACCATAATATTCGGGGTATAATTGGACGCCCCCAGACTTGAGCGGACTCCTTCCCCATGCATCTATCCGTGGATCCGACTCCATGTTCGATTCCAGCTTGCATTGATGAGGGGGAAAGGGACAATCCTCCTCCACGTTAGGATAGTGGCTTTGGTCCAAACGTCGTAGGCAACCATGGGTGACCATGTAAGTACGACAGCGTCGGTACGGTATCTACACCGGTCACATTATGCCTGTAGTTTAAAAGCAAGTTGTACCAGGGGGTGTCTTTGTACCTGTCCTTTGATGTAGATAAATAATTCAGACATGCCAGTTTAAGTCCTAAAAAAGCTCAGGCAGTTAGTTTACCTATCCAATATCAAACGTCGAAGCTGGTACCTTGGAGAGAAGAAGATGGCATTTTCGGAAGAAGCAATTTCAGAGCTGCGCTCTATCATAGAGAAAGGCATCGGTCCTGAAGATGGGGCGGCGGCAAACGCCATTCCCGGCACCACCTGCGTCATTGTCGATCGCGACGGGACCGAGCTCTTTGCTCACTCGGCTGGTAAGCGAGGCATCAAGTCGAAGGAGCCCATGACGCTCGACAACATATTTTGGATAGCAAGTTGCACCAAAATGGTGGCTGGGCTCGCCTGCATGCAATTAGTTGAAAAGGGCCAGTTAAGCCTAGACGACGCTGCACAGGTGGAGGAACTTTGCCCCGAGTTCAAGAACCTCAAGGTCCTGAAGGACGACGGGACCTTCGAAGAGAAAAAGAATGGCATCACACTAAGGATGTTGTTGAACCATACCTCGGGTTTCACATATTCCTTCTTCGACGAGACAATAAGGGATTGGAGCCATCCTGTGGGTATCGATGAGTTCGGAGGCGATATTAAAGAAATTCTGAAGTTTCCGCTGCGGTTCCAGCCTGGAGAGGGTTGGGCATACGGGGTAAGCAGATACTCCCATACCAGTCTAAGGAATTAAAGCTAAAACATAACGCAGGTGGGCATCGATTGGGTTGGAATATTGCTTCAAAGGAAGACTGGATTGACCCTAAATGATTATATCCAAAAGAACATCTGCCAACCCCTTGGTCTGCAGAATGTCAACATGCTTCCGACTCAGGCTATGAAAGACAAGTTAGCATACATGCATTCTAGAGGGCAAGACAGCAAGATCTACCCGAAGGACCATATATATCGTCGGCCTTTGGTCGCATCAACTCCCGAAGAGACCGCGAGCATTTTCCAAAGCGGCGGAGCCGGTCTCTTCGCAAAACCCCAGGAGTACGCCCGTAAGTAGTACCACGCACCTTAAACCGACACCATCTAGAAGATTAACATCGACCCATCTAGGTATAATATCGGTCCTTCTCAACGACGGCACAGATCCCAAAACAGGCGTAAAGATCGTTTCGAAGGCGACCATTGACGAAATGTTTAAGAACCAGATCCCCAAATTCCCCAACTTCGGACGGCAGGGCATCCCGGCCGCGAATCCGGACTTCACTCACGAGCTGCCGGACTTGTATCCCGTCGCGGACAACCCTCCTCAGGGCTGGGGTCTGACATTTATGCTGAGCGGTGCTAGCGACGCGTCAGGAAGATCCGCAAATACTGGTCACTGGGCAGGTTTACCGAACCTGTACTGGTGGGCTGATCGTGACCACGGCGTCGGTGGTATAGTCTGCACACAGATTCTGCCCTTCGCGGATCCGGCAGTGCTCGGGCTGTGGGGTCAAGTAGAGGCTACTGTTAACAAGCACTTACGGTTAATTAAAGAGGTAAAATGAAAAATTATTTTGTCTGAAGCCTTAAAGTTGATGGTTTGGGATGGGTTTATGTCTACCTAGGTAGTTGGAATAGGGGTTGGGATAAAGTTCACTACTGCAAGTTGCTTACACATGTCACATAATCTCAACTATGGTTCACGAGGGGAACAAGTACATCCATATACATGGTATGGAAATGGTAATTGTATTTTCAATTTTATTTCGGTCGCTGAAATATAATGAGATCCTAACGAAGGTCCCGGCCCCTTGCTATGCTCTTGCCCGTCAATTCTGTATCGAATAAGAGGTTTTACATATGAAGTAAATCGTCGACGATATCCTAAGGCCATTCTTAGGACCCAAATAAAGCCGCCCCTTTCCGACTCAAGCCGAATTGACGCCATGATCCGTAGTATGTTGTAGCTCGAACACCAGAAGATCCTCCTGCTGCCCCTGGGCAGAACTTAGCTTCCGAATCCCCCAATATGTCGTCTAGCTTCCTCTGTAGGTCGAATAGCTATAGGGAGATAGAAGTAGAGGGACGTGGTAATGTTGGCCCTTCTCGACGGTGAACGCGACTAGGACCTCAGGGAAGAATGTGTTTCCTTTGCCGAAATAGCTTCCGGTGTCGAAGCGGAGGGTCCACGTGGACTGGCTCTCAACCTCGCTTAAAACATCGTCTATGGAGAAAGTTGGAACATCTCCAGAAGCGTGGGCGCTAGAGTACGGCAGCCACGCCTTGATGCGGCCGTCGTCATCGGTCTGTGATTCGAAGGTCTTGAGCGGAGCATGGCCGCCTTCCAGCTTCACACGGATGCCTTTTGCTGGCTTGCCCACTGAAGTGTCCAAGACATGGCAGGTGATGGGGTCTTTGTCGCTCGCCATCGAGACGGTGGTTGGTGAGACTTAAGATGTTTAGAGCAAGAAGGGGTTGAGGCTGCTGCTTTTTCTGCGGCAGCGTGTAATTTCACAAGTGGTAATATGTCCTACTTGTACTTGAGAGGCTCTGGACTTAAGGATCCTATTAGATAACTAGTCTTGCAGCTGGATGTAGCTAGATGTAGGACAAACGAGGCGGAGCTGTTTGGTGGGGCAGTGAGTACAACCTCTCCCTTTCCGAAGCGGGTGAAAAGGAGAACAAGACTATCCAATAAGCCCTGACTTAGCCCTCTTAGGCCTCTAAAATATCTTAAATGGTATGTAAGCCAGTGATCAGGAGGCAAATTGAAAATGGTCGAAAAGGTTAAAGTCTTGGAATTTAGTTGGAGATTGGAGAGATTTGGGATGTCTTTGAGGGGTGGTGTAACAGCTGAAATTCCCTAATGTAGCTGCATTTTTTGGAGCTGATTGTACAGTACCAGGTAGAACCTTCTGAACCTTGGAATCCGTTAGCTGCAGCCCCCACCGTGGGGCAAGATACGTAGCAGGGCTTTAGGGCTATCTAATGTGGGTCAGTTCTTTATATAGAAGCAAACGTAATACAGTACAGTCTCATAGTGCGAATACATGACGACTAACTCTCCCCTATTCATCTCTCCACAATCATATTTCCGGATCCAGATCATCCAGTCTCTTCGCTTTGTCCACTACCAGGAGGTTACTATCTGTATCGTAATCGAGACAAGTGGTAGGCTGAAGGCCAAGTACGACTTCACAGCCTTCGTTGATTCCCAAAGGAAATTATCGATGGTATGATACTCATTTGACTAAAGAATAATATACCGAGATCTGATTTGACGTCTAATTATAGCTCAACGAGACATTTAAGCAGTGTAACACATCTGCACGAAATCATCTACTCTTCTCGCTGCGCGTCAGAAAAGAACTATCCGATTCAGCCTGCCTTCTATACTTGAAGTGGTATTGGTAATATTGGTAGTATTGTGGAATGTGGCCTCGGTGAGGCAGTGCATCGATCAAGACGTCTCAAGGATTCAAGCGGTGAGGAGTATAACCTTCACTTAATCGAATAAATGAAATAATTGGATGAGGATAGACTATTGTCTGTCTTGCCTCCTTCAACCACTTCCAGCACCTCCCAGCCAGCCTCAACTTATGCTAGGCGACATTCGATTATACCCAAGTTGCTACGGCACTCCCACACTTTAACCATCTTCAAACCCGCCTTCTCGAACAAATTTCGGAATTCCGAGGGGGTGCGTTCCTTGCCATTCATCAAAGACATCATGGCTATATCGAGAGCAAACCCATGATGGCCATGGATTCCGTAATTGGCCAAAAGAGGTTTGGGCGCAGCTTTAATATACGGATCTCCTATAGTTTCAGTTAAGGTGATGTCGGCGACGAGAAGTCGCGACTTTGGTCCCATGGCCCCAGCAGTCATCGCGAGGATCTTGGCACTGTCGTCGTCTTTCCAGTCATGTCTATTTTTTTGTCAGACGTAACTTCGACAAGGACCTATAGGGGGTATATCTTACAAAACGTGCCGCATCCAGTAGATGTCGGCCTCCTTTACGGGATTTGGTGTAAAAAAGTCATGGGTTAGGAATTTCGTCCGTCCCGACTCTAGAGCCTCGGGGAACTCTTTCTGCCATAGCGAGACACCTTGTTCGGTTGCTACCACTTGATCCTGTACGACGAAACGTAGCTCCGGATACAAACGGGCTAGTTGAAGATCAAAACTACCTAAGATGCCTTGTCAACCTTGCTCGCGAAGACCAACGCTAATTATGGTGCTTTCAGTTCTTCAAGAAGCAACTTACCGACGCCGCCCCCAACATCGACAACCAGCGCATTTCCCAACTCCTTCCAGGGGAAGTCATACAGGTGAGCGCTGCCAAGGCTCTTGCTGTTGCCGACCAAATACAAGTTGTACGTCTTCGTGTCGTCTCTAGGAACCAATTCCTCGTCTGGCGATGGCTCTACTTCCTTATAAAACCCTCTTGCCGCGCCGGGGCTTGCTTTCTCGCCTGCTCGTGACAGGGGAACTTTCTCGTTCATCCAGTCGAAGAAAGGGAGCTTCGTGCCGACGGCCAGCGGCCAGGCAGCATCCTCTGGGTTTTGGCTTGGCCCTCTTACTGGGTCGATCAACGCTTCTGGCAATGCCGACGCGGCGGCAAATCCCATGGAGCTGCGGGTTGTCTACTGTTATAGAGCATAATCTCAGCTGGGAGTGAAGGAACCCTAACCTGCATTTAACCTGTGCCTGTAGCTTCTCATCATTGACCAGAGCCTGAGTGATTCTATTATTCGCAAACCTGTCTGGTCCGACTTCGCGAAAGAAGTGCTGCGTTGTTAGGGCTCGCAATAAGCGACCTAGTTTCCGTCAGTGGTTATATTATAAGGATACGTTTTGAGGTAGAAGAGATGTGGCACTGGTGCGAACTCACTAAGCTTCTGACGGTCGAGTCCAGTTGCCTTCGCCAATTCTTCGACGGGAACTCCGTCCGCGCCACCCTTGGCAAGCAGTATAGCGATATCGTGTTGCAGAGCTATGTGAAGTGCTCGGACCTCAAAGTATAGCTCGGCGAAATCTACAAGACGCAGGTGCGGCTCGGCTACGAGCTCCTCGACTGAGCCCAACGCCGCGATGATGGTTCGTTGAGCGTCATAAGCTTGGCGCCCGGGTATAGCGAAACTGGTCTCGGATGCCGGCACCGCGTCTGGCGCCGGATTCTCCCATTCTGAAATGAGCGTTTCCGATGCGTCTTGGATGAGCTTTACAACTTGCCGAAGGGCTGTGGCCCGCGATGATACATCGTCATAAGACATGATGAAGATATTTCTATTCCTCGAAATACAGGAATTGGAATCAAGAATAATAATCTACGAGGACAATTCGTATTTTCTAGTTGGTTTCTTACGGCAATTCTTTATGAATTCTTGTCTGGAAAAGTTATCTAGGATGGTGTTAAGTAATATCAATCGATTTGCCGTATTGGCGATTGCATTTCCCGCTTTAACTGGGCTGCCCTATTCCCCTCGAGATAACGAGATGCGGAGAAACCCTGCCAGCAAAAGAGAGTATAAAAAGGGCAACGATTTTGCCTATAAGGTAGTACCGAGCTTACGTTCACGGGTGTAACGTCTTACCTAGGTATTAGACGCCCTCTTCAAGGCACTCTTGTCGATGTGGGATGAGCTTGGGGAGAGATAACGGATGTCTTGCATTGACTTTGAATTAGCCGCAACTGCTAGGGTGAAGTATACGTAAGAAATTCAACGTCGAGTAACTTCAGTCAACTTTTTACTTTATGCCTCTAAGCCCCTAACCCCAGCATCATATAGAATATCTAGGCTAGTCATTATGGAAAGTAAGTATATTTCAAATAATGTCTGTCTCAATTCAACTATATAGCAGATTATCTATTAGATAATCGAGGGATCAAAGATTTCTCAGACCCACTAATAATAAACCCCTTTTCTGTAGGCTCCGTACACATTCTTGTTGGATACGATAGCTTGTAGTATTCAATCATAGCGCATGCAATAGGTATCCGAACAATTTACCGCCACTCTAGTAGATTGTCGATTTCTGAGCCTCTTACATCGTCATCCGGAGTTCGGCGTTTGGCTTTTATCTTGCGCCTCTGCCGGTTCCGAACAATATGCCAAGAAACCGGCGACGCTCATATGCGTGTTCCGATCTATTCGCTGAAGAAGGTTGCGTGAGACGGGTACTAAAGGTGTACTAAGACCGCCACTACACGCCTCTAAGCAGTATCCCACATTACATCGGTATGGTGTGTGACACGGCAGAGGCTATGCCTGCATATCCCAACAAATGCCGCTGTAATTCCCCAATGAATCCTCCGGATCTCGAGATGCCGCATATAGATTTCCAGTTTGATAGTTCAGATTGATACTAAAATCAAGTCTAGGCCAGGGCCCCAATGTAACCTCAGCTTCTCTGTGTCATCACTATTTAATCCAAGCAGTAAGCTTGACAGAATGTTAGACTATATGAATCTATACTTGACTAAAATTACTTGTCATGCCACCTTGAGCAACTATTCTAGGCCTCCTCGTCCAGACTTTGAAGTCCCTTGTTCCGATTCTTCCGAGCCCTGTATGATCATATACTAGATGAGCTGGAGCAGCTTGGTTGATAACCACAATATCAGTTTCCTTGATTATCTGCCCATTTCCCGCTGGCGTGATATGTTCCCGGCTACCCGTGTTCATTGAGGGATTAGAAGTATATCTCGTCGGATGGAGCAAATTATCTTCGGATGGGATGCGTTGCTTAGCGCTCCTGCGCGATCTTTTTGTGATATTTAGCTCAAAAGTCCCTCGAGATGACGACTCTGTGTTGCCATTAGACTTAGGTCTTCGTCTAAATAGGGGCGATAGCATAGGCGCACAGGCAACCATTATGCCTAGGTTTATCTCTATCGACGACCATAGGTTGACCTTCCCGGAGTCGAAAGGATTGACGAGGGTTTTCATGTATTGGATGCGAATGATCTGGATGGCCGTAACGAAGAAGCCTAGAGCGAATAGGCCCAGTAGCATGGCTTTCTTCCGCCCCTCGATCTTAGTTTTGATAAGAACCGGGAAAGGGAGAAGCATCCTTAAGTCTGGTAAGTCTAATTGGATGTCAATGAAATCGCATGGAAAGGGGTACTTACACGGCAAAGTCAACAACAATTGCTATCGCCGATGAAGCGTCAGAGAATGCGACTACGTCATAACATCTACCATCTGTGATAGTACTATCCCATTGCTTCGCGATCTGCTTGAAGTTTAGAATCGTTGTGATTTTGAGTGTGCATATGTTCAAGGTTGGCATACAGGGTGGCATATATCGAGCTGAACTATTAAACAGACTAGATTGGAGAGTACGCATCCGACCAAGACGAAAATCATCACGCAACGATAGATCCCCTGGGGAACGAATCGAAAGTATGATACTATGAGGCTGAGCTTGAATCCGAGGACGCTAAAGATATATCTGCGTCGAGTTAAGCACACAACCGTGGGTATAGTATATCATAGTAGGAACACTCACAAGGGCGAGACCGCATATTGTAACTGTTCCTTAGTATTAGATTGAGTTGACTGCAAGATGACACTATATTTTTAACATACATGGCCGTATGTATACATGTTTTGTACCGGGATGTCCTCGGGGTTCATCATCCCCAAACCCCATGTCGTCTCTTAGATTTACGTTAGTGGCTGGTGTAAAGCGGATGGGTAGGCGATGATATACGTATTGATGCAACTATTGTATAAGCGCAGGTTAAAGGCTATGAACACTGTCAGAATGAGGTCAATAATGATTGGCTTCTTCAATATACCTACCCATGTAGCAAAGATGATCCAATCGTCTCATTGTATCCAACATTAGCATATCGGTTTTGTTCATTCATTTGGATGATCAAGGGGTCAATACCTATCCCTAATGAGTGTACCAACTGGCACCGAACATAACCTCGAAGACATATGAAACAAAAAGACACTGCCGTCATGGCACCCATAGTAGCTACTATCTTAGGTCCGACGGTGAGGGTATCGTCCGGGGCGTTATGTATCCATCCCATTTTCCCGTGTGGTCTCGGGGTCCACGTCGTACAACTAATCGGTATTCGCCAATGCTGGCTCGGAGCGGTTCGTTAGTGAGACATTTGCCAACTTATCAACTGATTATCTCTTCAATCAAGATGTTTTCCTAAGATTCTAGACGTGTCATTCCTACTTCGTAGATCGTTGCCATATAATGGAGAACTGAAGTAAATTGTGAGAGAACTATATCATGGGCTGTCCCGAAGATAATAATATAAGATAATCTTGCGGTAATTATCTTGTCGGTATGGTAGGGTGTGTATTCCTTATAAAATAACCTCATCGACCAAAATGCCTACCTACCTGTTATGCCTACTAAGGTGGCGGTAGACAAATTGGGCGCCATCCTTTAGGACATTCGTACTTACCGAGCATCCAACAGACTTCTAAGAAATTATAATTGGCCGATTTCTTTCAGTCGTGAATTGGCGCTTTTGAATATTACTTCTATTTTAAGAGATGATGTGTTTACGCCCCCAAAGATGCCGGAGGTCCGGTATTAATATTGATGTTGGGTAGGTACGTTTTATTCTACGTAATTTCTTATTTTTTATCCGTTCTAGGATGGAGTTCAAAAGTAATTTAGACACAGCTTCGTTGCCTCGGAGACTTATAGAAAAGTAGGGTGAATGGAGAAAAGGGGTAGTCATTAATTTTGTGGGATTAAGAGTGCCATCTTCGGAATCGGCCGGATCGCGACCGGAGCATATAGAATACGTAGGGTTAGAACCGGATTATACGAAGAGACCGGACCCCAAGAAGACGAGCGCGACCGGTCAAGGAAGTCGGGGCCGCGAGAGCCTAGCAAGCCTCCTAATGTTACAGCAAAGACGAGCCGGCGGTAATCAGGACATATGTAACCATCGAGCCAGCTGAGCCAACGGCTTACATACCAACATGTTCACCGATGTGGTATCAAGTTTCTATGCGCAAATGGGAATAGGCAACATAAACTAGATCCTTTCCTATTGGACTGACTTCTGGGCGGGGAGCCAGCCACCCTGCAATGCATTACCATCGGGAGACCTAGGTGGTGGTGGTAATATGTATTAGTTACCCATAACCAGATTACCTACCTAGGTACATAGATGGTATACTCATTGGTTTCTAGATCTTTACTTTTTTATAAGATCTCCTTTTCCCCGCTGTTTCACAATATCTCCAAAATGCCCAATAGAATGTGAAAGCCCACGATTATAAATTGAGATGCGTGGTAATTATGGCTGGCGAGATGCTGGCTGATATATTGATGTGGCCCAAGTCAAAACGTAAGGGATGGTATAAAGGTAGTCGCCGTCTTTTCTGTACCGAAAAGGTAGGTATGCCGTGATGTCAATTTCTTCTTCCCCTTAGGAGAATTTGACATCCGATCAGATCCGATCTCTAAGTTACCAAGGGCAAAGATGGCAGGCTTAAAGAAAACGACCGTGGCTCGAGATGAACCGCTGTCTATATCTGAGGGGAGGCAGAGTATCCATACCACTAGGATGAGAGAGCACTTCTTTCGCCAGCAAGAGCCTCAGGGTACTGACCCTCCAGTTCATCCGATAATGGCACTATTCCGCCGAAAGCAACAGCATAATCCATGTGAGATCGCAACCCAGCCCTCTGTATTCGACGATCCAGAGAGAGCCAGATATTTCCATCCCACTGAGAACTATGAGGGTATACACCGATTCGACCCTGAAGCAAGGTGGACGTGGGCGGAAGAGCTGCCACTCATAAATAAACTTGACCGGAAAATCACCCTTTGGGCATGGATCGCTGTTATGTGTACGAACTTAGACAGTGTAAACATATCCCAGGCAAACACGGATAACTTCTTAGATGATTTAGGCCTGTCCACAGACGACTTCAATTTGGGGAATACCGCATTCAAGGTGGCATTCATATGTGCTTCACTTCCATCACAGCTAATTAGTAAGAAAGTTGGTAAGCATAATTGGAAGAAAGCCTCATACTAGGTATATCATCACTTACCAATTCATGGTATAGGTCATCGCATCTGGATACCTACAATTATGTGTTCGTGGAGTGTTGTGGCGCTGTCACAATTCTGGCTTCGTGGAAGAACGTCATTTCTAATTTGCCGTGTTCTCCTTGGCCTTCTAGAAGGCGGCTTCCCTTCGATTATTCTCTTATACCTCGTAAGTCGTGAGGCAGTATAGGCAATATTCCTTATAATACAGCTATATCTAGATACTTGTATGATCAGCTAACTTCCTATAATTTTAGTCCTATTTCTTCAAAGGCACCGAATTACCTGTCCGTTTAGCTATCTTCTATACAAGCATCAACATTGTCTATATCGTGGCACCAATCCTTGCTTTGGGAATTTTACGACTCCGTGGCTATCACGGGCAAGCAGGATGGAGATGGCTCTTCTTGATTGAGGGTATAATCACTTTTGCTGGTGGGGTCTGGTCCTGGTTTGCTATGGCGTCGTCGCCTACCCAAACCAGATCGTGGTATCGGCCGAAAGGCTGGTTTAGCGAACGTGAAGAGGTCATTATGGTCAACCGTATATTAAGGGATGACCCTTCGAAAGGAGATATGAATACCCGCCAAGGAGTGGATTTAAAGGGGCTTTGGATGGCGCTGTGTGACTTTGACCTCTGGCCGATTTATATTGCTAGCTTTGTTTACAAGATGGTGCCCGGAGTTTTTGAGCAATACCTAACCCTTGTTCTGCGAGACCTCGGGTTCGATACGTTTAATTCGAATCTGCTTGCAATCCCAGCTCAAGTTGCTGGTATTTTCACGGTGAGTTCTTCCCTATGACCTATCCGCTCATCTCGCTCGATTGATGGTCCGAAAAGAAAATAACTGTGAATTAGACACTCATCCCGACATACCTCTCTGAAATCTGGGATGAAAGATCCTTGATGAGTGTATTTGCGCAGGTTTGGATCTTGCCTAATATCATTGCTCTCGCCGTTTTGCCAAATGGTACATCACCGTGGACGAAGTATGCTATCATGTCGATTGTGATTTCGCGTCCATACTGTAGGTAAGCAAAACTGCGTACTATCTTCTTGTAATAGCTAAATTGTGAGATAGTACAAGGTATGCAAATCGCTTGGGGTAGTCGTAACTCGAATGCCGTCGGGACACGGACTGTTTCGGTTGCTGTCGCCAAGTGAGTCATGACATGTATCTGATGAACGACTAAGTTGACCCTCAAATAGTATGTTCGCCGAATTATCTGGTGTCGTGTATTCGAATATTTACCGCGCTGATGATAGACCAGAATGTACTCTTGCTACCATCATTTTCAGGTGTTTCATAACTGACTTAAACAATTGGTAGATCGCCGTGGAAACAAGCAGCTCGTCGCAATCTGTGCAACCAATATAGTGATATTTATACTTATAAAGCTCTACTACATGTGGCGCAATAAGCGAAAGGATAGAGAATGGAGTGCAATGACCAGGGAGGTAAGAATAATGTGTGTAAGTATAGTATAAAGTGGAAGCTGATGCAAAAATAGGAACAACTGCATTATTTAGAAACGACTACAGACCAGGGAAACAGGAGAAAGGACATTAGGTTCGCCCATTAGCACGAGGCCGAGAGGTTCCTCTCTAATTAATATACATACTTACTACCCACAACACCGAAGATAAATATAATCCATGGCGCTTCTAGAATTATTGGTAGCATGTTGAACTTTTGTCGAATACAAACTTGAAGATGTTGTAAGGTGTACATAGGTAAAAAGGGGCTGATCTGTACCTAGGTACCGGCGGTACTCCAAGACTCCAAGTGATACCCCACCAAATGGTACGTACCTGAGGTCTTCCAGGCTGTCACTGAGAGACTGTGGGGCGCTATGAATTACCTAGTAGTTTATGATTTGCTACTAAAAGAAGCTCGACGCGATTCCAGAATCTACTTCTATATTTGTGCATTCGTCCCACGACAATTTGGTACATTTTTATCTGTATGAAATAAACAGGAGTTCCTATTTGCCTCGATCAGGCTCACCTCCTAGTCCCTCGTATTAGACCATCTCTTTTAAACTCCGACCTCATTCATTCCTATCCGTCATGTCGTCCGCTGTCATCTCCGCCGACGACGGCTTAGAGCCGACATTGCAGTCTATCCTGGACCAGAAGACCTTGCGGTGGATATTCGTTGGTGGTAAAGGTGGTGTAGGAAAGACGACGACATCTTGTTCCCTCGCCATACAACTCGCCAAAGTCCGCCGCTCCGTTCTACTCATCTCCACCGATCCCGCTCACAACTTGTCCGACGCATTTTCGCAAAAGTTCGGCAAGGAGGCTCGCCTAATAGATGGCTTCACAAATCTCAGTGCGATGGAGATCGACCCGAATGGAAGTATTCAGGATTTAATGGCCGGGCAAGGTGAAGACAACACCGATGCTATGGGAGGCATGGGAGGCATGATGCAGGATTTGGCCTTCGCGGTAAGTACAAGGAACAAGGATATCGCATAATATATATTTCCCACGACTTAAACTAACATTACCTTCTAGATTCCAGGTATAGACGAAGCCATGTCATTCGCAGAGGTTCTAAAACAAGTCAAATCTCTCTCATACGAGGTCATTATCTTCGATACCGCTCCCACAGGCCACACCCTCCGTTTCCTACAGTTCCCATCCGTCCTTGAGAAAGCGCTTGCTAAGATCTCCCAACTCTCCTCACAATACGGTCCATTACTGAACGGTTTCCTCGGTAACCAAGGCACGCTTCCGAACGGCCAAAACTTGAACGAGATGATGGAAAAATTGGAGACTCTTCGCCAGACTATCTCCGAGGTAAACACACAGTTCAAGGACGAGAATTTGACGACATTTGTGTGCGTCTGTATAGCGGAATTCCTGAGTTTATACGAGACGGAACGCATGATTCAAGAATTGGCAAGCTACAGTATCGACACGCACTGCATCGTGGTCAACCAGCTGCTATTCCCAAAGCAAGGGAGCAATTGCGAGCAGTGCATGGCACGGCGGAAGATGCAGAAGAAGTACCTGGACCAGATCGAAGAGCTATACGACGAGTTCAACGTTGTAAGGATGCCGCTTTTGGTCGAAGAGGTTCGGGGTAAGGAGAAGCTAGAACGGTTCAGCGAAATGCTGATCCATCCTTATGTCCCCCCTGAGTAAACCGCATGCCTGGATTCTATTGGGCTATTTGGAGTCGGGAAGCGTGGCGTTTGAGACCTTTGATTCACATCGAGGGTCTAATGTAAAGGAAATAGAGGCATAATGGAGTAATTTAGTGCTCCTGGCATATATGCCCACCTAGATACTCACGAGATAGGGAATCAAGAACATGGCATGTCCATTCCGATCTGCCATCCACCATTGACCCGAGAGATATCTCCATCTATTTGGGATACGCCAATCAGAATACTCCCATAACTATCATGTGGAGGAACAGAATTGCGCATACAGTGCCTGACAATTCGTTCAAATTCGATTTCTTGCCACGCCCAATGTAGTAGTCGGAGAGAAAACATATAGCGATAGTCTCTTGACCTCCTGATTTCCTTGAAAACCAACTTTTACCTACCCCCAACAGGCAACTATGACCTTGATGCTGACATGTGGATGACTAATAGAAAAGAATTGATTATAAAGAAATCGCGCCGTCGGCGTATAATTATCCCAGACAATCAGCATGACAAATACTATAAACACCAATTTCTTATACCCACGAAGACTCTATCGGCGACTTTGTGGTCATTATGTACTACTACAAACGGACAAGTGTAGTTCCTACATGTTGCGTCGACCTTGCGTGATGTATGAGAGATGAACCTAGTCTAGTTTCTGATGGGGTATGGTCCTCTATAAGCATCGTTAACCACGATCGGACACCACCTCAGCTATCTTGGTGTTTCGCCGAAATACAGAAGTTGTGGAGTTAAGGCCGGCGTTAAGTTCAATCAGGAGATAGATGAGGCGAAAACCGGTGTCTTAGCCGACTCCAAGAGATATTTGAAGTCCAGGGTCAACGTTATCCCCTAATAAAAGCCACGATGATCGCTTAGCTTTTAGGATAGGCAGCTAGAGACGCCACGCTATCATTGTCCCTCGGTATGCAGTCCATCAAGATTTACCATGCGCCGTCCGGCCAAGGGCCTAATCCCTGGAAGGTCATCATTTTGCTCGAAGAGCTGGGGTTGCCATGGGAGATCGTCTGGATCCCGTACGGCGAGATCAAGTCCGAACCATACACCTCTCTGAACCCGAACGGCCGGCTTCCGGCTATGGTCGACCCTAATAAAAATGTGACGCTTTGGGAGTCCGGCGCCATCATAAACTACCTCATCGCCACGTATGACAAGGAGCTCAAGCTCACGTACGGAGATGATAGGTTCGAGGAAAAGTGGCTTCTCCAGAGCTGGCTGATGTTCCAGATGAGTGGCCAGGGACCGATGTTTGGGCAGAAGAGTACGTATTTTCGGAGTTGGCCCTCTCAGCCACTTCCTAGGTTCTTATCTCAACTCCGGGTTGAACCCTAGTCCACATTCATCATTTCATCTCGTAGAAAGCATTCAGCTCACTGTCTTCTAAAATAGTATGGTTTACCCATATTCACGTTGAGCAGAACCTGCAGACGGCCATAGACCGTTATGGGAACGAGTCTAAGCGCATCATGGGCGTCGTAGAAGGCACTCTGCGAAAGCAGCGGGAAAAGCTAGGTCTCGCGGCCGAGGATCCAGTTTGGCTTGTCGGCGATAAATGCACCTACGCGGATCTTGCGTTCATCCCCTGAAATATGGCGCTGGGAACCATGTTCTCCGATGGTTCCTTAGACTTCGAGAAGGAGTTTCCGGAGTACTATCGCTGGCACCTTAACATGACTGGGAGGCCGGCAGCGAAGAAGGTTCTAGAGTACCGGGAAGAGTGCATACGATCGATGAAGGATACCGCAGCGGAGGTTCTCTCAAGGCAAAAGGATGCTAAGAAGCTTCCGAAGTATGAGAAGTCTGTTGGTGTTGATACCGCCTGAAAGGGCTAGATTCTGGGATCTACCTAGTACTTGAAGATTCCATATACCTAATCGAGTAATTGCTCTCCTGCTAACGATTTGAGGCTTAGCGTGGGTAACACGCGGTAGTGCTTACCGCTACTTTGTCTTAATGTATCTGAGAATGGTAACCTGCAGCTCCTTTCATCAAGTTTATTACAATAAATGGAAAGCACTCTACCCATGTGGTCTAACTCTAGAATCGCACTTTCACTATCAACTTTTGGGCGAATGGTGTCCAGCGCATTGAAGTGACTGTGGGGCGCTATTGCATAGCAAGTCAAGCCATCTCAGGGGAATTAGTGGGTATCTAGTAGGGGGGCCATGGCGGGGTAAGGTGCGATGGAGCTTGAATAGGTATTCGTTGTGTGAAGCTTCCCAAGCTTCGTGTGAGCTTGCTTTGGTTACACCTTCACCGTTTCATATCTGCCGTTCTAAGATTTGAGCCTTTCTTCGTGCTGTTTCTCCATTTTTGAAAAAGCATTGATTTGTACAGAGATTTAGAAAATTGCCTGCGGAAAGAATAACACTGAACCAAAAAAAGTTTTACTTAGTAAAGAAGTACTCGAATTATCAACAATGGCCGCCGATATCCCTATCATTGACGCCCACATCCACCTCGTCCCGGAATCAGAGCTTGAGACGTTGGCGTGGTGGAAGCCGGACGGACCTTTACAAGGACAGCTCTCGGTTGAACAATACAAGACTGCTACAGGAGACTCGACGCCCAAAGGCTTCATATTCCTAGAGACGGACCGCAAGAATGACCTAGAAGCTGGAGAGAAAGATGGTAGCGGCTGGAAATATCCCTTAATGGAGGTTTCCTGGGTGAAGCGCATCATCACCGGCCAGCCGAAACCTGGCGAAGGTCACACTGCGGAAGATGCTTCTCTATGTACCGCCTATATCCCTTGGGCGCCGATGCCGAGTGGGGCTGAAGCTATGGAGAAATATATCGACCTAGTAAAGCAGGAAGCCGGCGAGAGCTGGCCCAAGGTTAAGGGTTTTAGATACCTACTGCAGGACAAGCCGAACGGGACCATGTTACAAGACAAATTTATCGAGAGCTTGAAACTGCTGGGCCGCAAAGGCCTTGTATTTGACTTAGGCGTCGACCAACATAATCGCGGCAGAGCCCAACTGGAGGAGGTCGTCGAGATGATTGACCGTGCGCACGAAGGCGTTCCCGAAGACCAAAGGGTCACTTTTATAATTAGTTCGTATTCCTCATTTCTCTGCTTTACCCCCCGAACCCCCAGACTTTTTTTTTTAAAAGCAAGACTAATGACGTGCAGACCACATGTGCAAGCCGGACCTCTCCATCTACAACGTGCAAACGAGCCCGTCGTTTATCGCCTGGCGCACGGCCATCTTCACGCTAAGCAAGTGCAGTAAGACATACATGAAGCTCTCGGGCGGGTTCCCGGAGATGCCGGACTCGCTAAAGCAGCGGTCGCCCGAGGACATCTTTGACGCCATTAGCCCGTGGCTGAGCGTGGTGCTTGCTGCCTTCGGCGCCTCCCGCATCATGTTCGCGAGCGACTGGCCCGTGTGCACCATCGGCGTCGGCGACGACGCTTGGCAGAAGTGGAAGAAGATCGTCGACAGACTGTGCTGGATGGCTTCGTTCGAGGATGAGGAGAAACGTATGATTTGGGGCGGCACGGCGTTGAAGGCGTACGGTATCGAGGCGTGATGATGATGATATTCGTGATACGACATATACTTAGGTATTTATCTATTTACTGAGGGGTACGGGATGCAGGAATGTGGAATATCAGGACTATATTTGGCTGGTCATGCATATAGCAAACAAGTATCTGAACTACCTACTCCAGGTGTGAGGTATGCACATCTTTCAATATAATCAAAGATTGTTAAGAGCTTCTCCTCTTGCTGTAAATTGATCTTTGGATTAAATCAACTTCTCTAGCAAATCGGGAAATTTTGAATACCTAGTATTAAATATGTTTAATCCACATGCTAACAATAGCATGTACCAATTTCCAACATTAGACTCGTAAGACTTCAATGTTCAGTATTCGCTCCATCTAGAAAACGCCATCAACGCAATGTCCCACCCATCAAATGCCGCAAACATTATTTTAGGTGCTAGGCTATAATTATAGGAACGCCCAAAACAGTGCCATCATGGCCAATGAGTATATAAATCCGTTGCTCAGCAGGCGTTCTGCCCCGTTTGTGGCCTGACCGCAGCATTGGCGGTTGTACGTGACGTTGTTCATCTGCGCTGCGACTTCGAAGACGGACCCCGGGAATCCTCCAGTGTTGTAGTAGTCCACGTTCAAGAAGTTAGGGGGACGTCCCCAATCGCTGCGGCAGTTATTGGCTGAAAGGCCAAGGCTACCGGTTCCCGTGACGTTATTCGTCACATTCAGCTCCGTCCGCGCGGGTACGAGCATATTGGTTCCGAGGATCGACAGTTCAACATTAAGGTTATGGTTAATCATGTACAGTCGGTCCTTAGCATCCTTCTCTGCTAGATTGGGTGGTCGCTGAACAGTACAGGGGAACTTTTGGTCAGTGGGGTCAAATGGTGTTTCCCATAGCTGAGAGAATTCATCAAGGAGCCAAGGATATGCCGTCTGGTTAGCCATGTAGTCCATAAACATAACCACTCTCTGGCCTCTCAAAACCATCTCGCTTAATGTTGGCCAGTCATCTAAAGTCATGGGAGCTACCGACGGTGTGTAAATGTAGCGCAATATACCGGTCTGTTCGATATATGGTACATATAAGCTAGGAACAGAGCTATCACTCAGTCAGTAACTAATTCTCTTCTTAGGGTTAGGTGGTACATACTAGTTTCCATTGCCTAGGAGGATAGTAATAACATCGTACGGATGAGCTGCAACCCATGTCTTAACCTTGCCAAGCCAGTCGGTGATGGGACCAGCATCAAGAATATCACAGCTCGTATGACAAAAATGCGGCTCGCTCCCACCAGTAGGCCACTGTATTTGTGCTTGAAGAAACCGTACGCCATCATTCAGCTGTGCTGTGACGTCGTATTGTTGGTTCGCTGCTAAGTTGTTGGATGTTGTAAAAGGGGAGTTATGGCAAGCGACGTTGGTAATGTTGCTATATTTCCTGGTGCAGAATTCCGCATAATTGTTGCACGGTTGTGTGTTGGTCACCGTTGGGATAGCTGACGTAGTTGAGGAGGAAAAGTTGCCGGCTAATGTTGTCGTCGTCGCGGCGGAGCCGGTCAAAAACGTCACCGTATCGGATGACGAAGAGCTAATCGTAGACCGGGTTACGTTGTCGGTTCCCATGGAAGTCGCTACACTTCCGGTCGTTCCTAAGTCCGTGCCTAACGTAATCTGAGTGGAAAACGACTCATAGGTACCGGTTGGAGTGGTAGCTGTAGCTGTCGAGCCTGTTGCTGTAGTTCCGTCATTGCTGAGGGTAGTTTGTCCAAGCACGCCGCCAGCAACAGCAGCCAATAGGGACAAACGTCCGAACGGCGCCATAGCTTTCCTAGAAGTATATAGAAAAGCTCAAGCGTAGTCTGACATGGAGCAGATTGCCCAGATTGCCCAGGTATTAGATGGTATCAACGACGAAGATGTATTATCGTAACGAGAGAAAGGGAACCCGTCTATATTCTAGGTTTCGTCCGAAAAAAAAATAAGATTTAAAAGTTGAGATGACTTGGCTTGCTTTCATGGTTTGCATGTTCTGCTTGTGACAACGGTCGACTCGAACCTGCCCTGTCACCCCTTGGCTCTGGAACATGGTGGGCTGCCTGGGTGCATGTACGTACCTGTATACTTTGAGTACATGAGATCTACTTGTATGTGGGTCATTCAGCTTACAAGGAAGGCTGAGCCAAAGATTATGAGGGCGTTAGTGGTAGATGATGAGTGATTCTGGCGCAGATTGCAGGGAAAATCGTGGGTTACACGCGTCCACAACTTGTTATGTCTTGAGTTGGCGCTAGAGAATGATGTCAGCGGCATTCCCGTACCATAAGTGTACCCAGATATTTATGGGTCACAGCTTAAATACGGCGATAGTATGCACATAGTTGTCAGTCCCAATTTTCATCACTAAATCCGTTGATCAGTATAAAACCATTGTTTAGTTTTTGTCTCTTATGTGACTGATATGCAAAGAGAAAAAAACTTGATATTGAGCTATATCCATGTAAGTCATGACCTGGTCATGAAAACTCTTTAAGTAAACAAATATCAAATCATGCCTAGCAGCTGCCTAGGCCCCCTCGTAATTGTAAATGAATCCAATCTTCATTGGTCCACCCGTTATTCAACTGATCAGTGCAGGTGCTGAGCTTAAATGGATGTTTCAAACATTCAAGACATCCTAGCCTACTAGGTACACCTACCTAACAGACTGACTTGCCAGCCTGCAAGCGCCTGCCAGTTGACCCTCTGCCTGGCCTACCCAGCATCTAGGTCAATGCTACTATAAAGTCTTGGCACGGTGGCAGTGAGATCGTTGCCCGGCAGTCGGCATAAGATGGCAAGGGTTATTTGCAAGTGCAGTGGAGAAAAAGGGTTCCTTGGAAGCTGAGAAGTTTAAAGAGAAACTTTAAAGTACTGTACATCTTTGGTACAAATACGTATGTTTCTGATGTCAAGTACGAGACCCAATCAATAATACGTATGGGTCGGATGGGATGATCTTTACCTCTACCCAGCTTGATTCCCATCCTTGCTGACTATCCTAGGTAATCATTCACGAATTCAGAAATCAAGTGTTTTTGATCTTCTGTGTTGTTTCCTTCAATGTATTCACGTGCATGATCTCAAGAACTTTGACATTTAGTCATTCTTGACGGCCATTCCCGTAATTCTTTTCAATTCTAATTCGATTCTTAAGCCAATTCATTAGTTCTGCAGATACTTTAATCTGAGCTGCTGAGATCGAGTCCATCCGGACCAGGGAAGATACAAGGCTACCTTTGGATTTGGATTCGTTGAATATGGCTTTTGGATCTATTCCTGGGTTTCGAAAGCGAACGCCAGCAACGTCGTCTTCTCCTGACGCCAATGCTCATAAAGAGAGCCCCCAACCAAGTATTGAAGATCAAGCCACTTTGAAGAGAGGGACGAGAACACGACGAAATGCCATCATAGTATCATGTTTCTGCTATCTGGTCGCTGTGGTCTTCTTGGTATTGGTAAGCTTTAACTTCTTAACTTACATTTATATGTCTCTAACGGCTTCATCGTATCGTAGGTCGAGATAGGCAACACGAAAGGTACCCGAGTTTTAGGTGACATCTACTTCTTCAAGCTTGATCTTTCCGACATTCTTCCTCAAGCGGTGCCGACCACCCTGAGTTTGCAAAACTCGATTGCACGAACTCTCGGTCTCCACGATTTCTACCAGGTCGGATTATGGAATTTCTGCGAAGGATATGATACTGAGTATGTGGATGGGTCTATATCTCAATAAGGGGATCTTGGCTGACAAATGAATTAGTGGAATTACTCATTGTTCGACTCCGACTACTCTTTATTGGTTTAACCCGGTAGATATTCTACTGAGTGAATTATTCTCGGGAGCTTCAATCGCGCTGCCTTCGGAAGTGAATGATATCCTGACTATTCTCCGCATCGCATCGAATATTATGTTCGGGTTTTTCCTGACTGGCCTACTTTTGGATTTAGTCTTGATTTTCCTATCTCCAATCGTCTTATATTCGCGATGGTGGAGTCTTCCTCTCAGCATTTTGGCTTTCCTTGGAACGCTGTTGGTTCTAATAGCATCAGCCCTCGGCACGGCTATGTCTCTAGTATTCAAGTATGCTTTGACGTCGCAGACTGATCTCAATGTGAACGCCGACGTTGGTACGAAAATGTTTGCCTTCATGTGGATAGCGACCGGATTCACTTTAATCGCCTTCATCATCCACGCCGGGTTGGGTTGTTGTTGTACATCACGCCGAGACATACGTACCGGACGAAAGGGCGGCAAGAAACTCAACCAGACTCCCACAGCTGAGAAAAAAGAGAAGAAGGGCCTTAACTTACCTAAATTTGGTAGGAAGACGGAAGCATCAGGTTAGTGGTGAAAGCGACAGGTAATCAGGAAGGATATCTCTATGGTGGCTCCGAACATATGATAAATATTTTGGATGCACCATTCAATGGCTCATAACTGCAGGTTAGATACTAGTTTCGGAGGTTAAATAAAAATGCGTATGTACGTGTCAATGAGGTCGGCGACATCTTCAGTGCTTGTACAAATTAATTAGAAGCTCATCACAGTTCTAGAGATTCAATAATCAATAAAATCAGTGACGAGCTAGGTACGAAGGTACATGCTACAGTAGAGTACCTAATAATAGCGGTCAATTCTCGGCAATTGCTAATACTAATGTGGGGCGATATATGGATTGGTCACGTGTCTGTTTTATTTCAGTGCCTAAAGTTAAAGTTCCTTCTGACTAATCCCCGTATCTAAGGTCATATTCTCCCACTTCATTTATCCAGTCACAGTGATCCTTCCTCCATCTTCTTTTAACAACTTCCATCCTCGATTTCTTGCAAATCAACTCTCATCATTTTCTCATCAGCTTCTTTTTTTTATTTCTTCAATACTGGATTTTATCAATCTCGTTGCCGCACATCCCCAAGAACGCGATCGGTAATTACTTTCCCCTTTCCGATTAATCCGACCGCGACCGTACAGCGACCGGACTTGAACCGCGAAAATTCACCACGTTCCCTCATACTTTCTCGGTCGCGTCTCTTCGCCATCTTTCGCCACATCAACTTCGCGACAAGCAATGGTCAGCTCAATCATCGTGTGAACTAATTTGTTCTCAGTGAACTTCTCGTGGGATAGGTTGGAGGTCTTGGTCTAAAACAGACGAGATTTTTGCGGAGATCTGGGGTTCGTGGTGTGGACTTCGGGTGGAAATCTGCCTTTTCTTCAATTGAGTTGACTTGGCATCAAGTCTACTTGTCTTTGTACATCATTCTCCATTTCTTTCTACTGGAGCATACACTCCTGTTGTTCTTTGACGTACAGCTGAATTGATACCCATCTATCTTCTTGCCAGTTGGTCTTTTTAAGAAGAAAAAAAGAAAGAAAAGGACAAGCGAGAGTCAGAATAGCATCAAGTCTCCGCAAAAAAAAAACCAACAGATCCAACCCCTCACTTGAAGCTTGCGAACAACTTACCACTTCAGTACTGCTTCACATACATATATCTCCCACCCCATTTTCTAGACTACTACGCCTTTCAAGGCTTAGCGAATCATTATTCGCAATTATTTCTCTCCCTCTTCCCACAAACCTTGTAACCTCGCCAGATACTACATAATCTAGCAACATGACTTCGTCTGTGTTCTTCAAGTTCAAGTCTCAGAAGGAGCCATCGCGCGTGGAATTTGATGGTACTGGTATTTCAGTTTTCGAACTCAAACGTGACATTATCGTAAAGAGCGGTTTGGGTGACGGTACCGACTTCGACTTAGCCATCTATTCCGAAGATGGAAGTGAAGGTAAGCCCCTCTTCCACCAAAATAGTTCATTAGTAATAATGCTAACACAAGTGTAGAATATGATGATGACACAACCATCATTCCGCGATCTACCACGGTAGTCGCACGTCGATTGCCTCCACAGAAGCCTGGAGCTGGTCGCGCTGCTCGGTATGTCTCTGGAAAGATGCCGGCGAGCGCCAAGAATTCTTCTCGACGAGAGAATGCAACGAAGGCCACGAAACCCACATCCGCCGCTCTCACGCAGATGAGTGCAGCAATGACTGAAGAGGAAAAGATGATGGCTATGTTTCAAGCCCAATCCGATCAGTGGACTGCCCAGCAGGAAGAGATGTCTCAGTACGTTGATCTATCCAATCCATTTTCATTACACATGCTAACATATTCATAGTCAAACTGCGGTTTACAAGCCAGGCGCGAAGAAGCCCGCCAATGTCCCGGATCATGATCCCCCGAATGGTTACATCTGCTACCGATGCGGACAGAAAGGACACTGGATTCAAGTCTGTCCTACTAATGACAACCCAGAGTTTGACAATCGCCCCCGTGTCAAGCGTACAACGGGCATTCCTCGCTCGTTCTTGAAGACTGTAGACAAGTCAGCGCTCCAACAGACCGGTACGGACGGTGAGGAAGTTAAGCCTCCAGCTGGCGTCATGGTCAATGCAGATGGTGAATTCGTGATCGCGGAGCCCGACAAAGCTTCATGGGAGCAGTATCAGGCTAAAACAAAGTCATCGGCAGCTGCCCAGAAAGCAGCATCTGCCGAGGATAGGGAACTTGAGGAGAAAGGCCTTTTGTGCGCCATCGACAAAAGGATGTTCATAGACCCAATGAAGACTCCATGTTGTGAGAAGACGTATTGCAATGAGTGCATCACCAATGCTCTCATTGAGAGCGACTTCATATGCCCAGGTTGTCAGACGGAAGGAGTGCTCATTGATGACCTCAAAACAGATGATGAGACCACTACTAAGATTCAAGACTACCTTAAAGAAAAAGAGTCTACTAAGACAAAGGAGCGATCAAAGAGCCCTCCCGCCGTGAAGTCCCCATCTGAAGCACCTTCCACTAAGGAGGCCTCGCAAGCAGAGTCCCCCAAGGCCCAACCAGCAGCTCCTGAGAAGACTACATCACCCACCCCTTCTACGACGGCCAAGTCCCCTCCGGCAGAGGTTGCCAAACAGTCATCCATTGCCACCGTGCCGTCATCTAGCTCCAGCGAGACCCCTAAGCCTCAAGAGGCAACTTCAGCCTCCAAAAAGCGATCGGCGGAGGATCCGCTGGAGAACCCTAAGATTCCGAAGGGACCAAAGGCCATGCAACGAGCACAAGAGGCCAAGGACATGCAGAATATGATGCAGCAAGGCATGAATGGTATGCCAAGCATGATGCCCAACTTGATGCAGTTCCCTATGAACGGCTTCGGTCAGCCTAACATGAATATGGCCATGATGATGGGAATGAATCCCATGATGAACCCCATGATGGGTATGAACGGAATGTTCAACCCGGCTTTTCAGGGCATGAATGGTAACGGCATGTTTGGAGGGAACTTTGGGGGTATGAACGGCGGAGCAGCGAATAATATGAACGGTATGGGCATGAACGGTAGTGGTAGTGGTGGGTTCAACAACCAGAATCAACAACCACACAGACCTAACTTTACGACACCTAACAATGACAATGACGCTTACTTTCGTAAGCCTGTCAACCCTGGACGGCATCAAAACAAGCAGCGTAGAGTCCGACCAAGTGACTATAGGGAACTATGATGTTTCTTTTGCGCCGTATGAGTCTTCACGTTCTATACTTCGCCTACATACCCACGACTACTCATTTTATCATCGTCGACACACCCTTCATCTCCCATCTCACAACCCGTACGATTGTAGATACACAACTACTTCTCACTCATCTCATCATTCACGCATAGGCCCGACATGAGGCATCAGGCGTTAGGTTTCGGAAGGCAGTCCATTGTTGGACAGACATAGTGGCGTTTGGAGTTCGTTAAGTTCATATTCGAGGAGCCGCACGAGCAACACTGGTCGGCGGTCATAGGACAACGAGGTTTGGAGGAATTTTCATAGGTCGGTTGGGGTGGTACTTGCATGAACGCTGGATGATGTGGCATTTGGCGCCGCTCACCTTTATTTGAGAAAAGCCGGAGCATTCGAGATTCGGTTACATAGGGCAATGAATTGACAGTGGTTTTGCTGGGCTTGAGCTCGTTGTGCTTGCGCGTGTGATTTGTTGGTGATGGTATATGTGGCTCCTAAAAGGTAACTTTATACGTTGGATTGTGCCCACCTTCGCAAAGCCTCAGCGCGCCCATTTTGATTAGTCAAGCTACGTTGAGCTCACTTCATTGATTGTATCCCTTACGATCGATTACCTACCTTATTTTCCTCTCTACTAATAATTTTTAATTTCCTTACCTACCTTGTACCTTTAAAGTGATTTATTCAGTCCATCTAAGGACCGACTTTCGAACTGATCTAAGGACCGAATTTAAGATTACTTTACAGAGGTGCCTTTCAAAAGATTTCACCATAAACCAATCCTTGTCAGCTGTAATGCACAGCTGCCAACTCAGGGGCCAGCTGTAGTACCAACAGCCGTATCGCCTCAAATAAATCATCAACTTTAACTACTTATTTCTCTTAATACCGGCTTTAAAAGCTTTGTATTTTACGTATTTATAATTAAAATTAATATTTAATACTTATTAGAAGTTTTTCTTTACCTAAATATAAAAGTAGCTCTAAAATATTAACTGAAGGTTAAGAGGTAATTAAAGAAAATTGGCGATATGTTCTGCCAGCTGGCGAGTAAGAGCTTGCAGCTGGTTTCGCAACTGACAAGAATTGGTTTATGGTAAAATCTAACAATTACCCTCGCAGCCTCGTTAAACTCAGGCCAAACCGCAAAGCTAACCGCCCACGCGCCTTCACTAAAATCCAAGCCAATCAAAAGCCTAGATCGATGAAAATCCGGAAAAACTCCTAAAGTCAAGTTATTATAATACCCTAGGGGGGTGCCTTCTTATAAAAGCAGCCCACACAGATATCCATACTTGATGCTTACCCTTTACAGTCTTCCACCTTGATAAGTAGATATGAGAAACTGCCCGTCTGTACATACCTATATATATTCCCTCTTAAATATGTTTATGTTTTTTACTGCCCGTCTTAAATTCGGATTAGTTCTGCTTTTCTTAGGCCTTAGCCCTGACCCAGCACGACGTCCAACTTCCGAGGTTATCGTGTACGATTTCTTATGCTAACCAGTTGTTTATTTTCGAAAATCCCATTGCTTAGCTACCTGTAAGTAATCATTGAATTTGACTAGGTACCTATCTAATAGCTCTAATCCGTTGCTTTCAAACAGTGCGCATAATGGGGTCTCTTAGTGATATGACTGATATTAGCATACCATATGCCCAATGTATCACAAGCCGCATCTTGAACACAATGTGCAACAAGCTCCGACTCCATAGCACCTCGTCCGGAACTATTCCTCGCTGGACACCAGGTTCAACGCTGACTTGCGGTATTGAGCATCAGTCTTTCCTTCGAGCTCACTACAGCATCGATGACATCGAACATGTCAAAGGTTGTCTGAAAGAGGTTATCAGTTTGCTCAATTCTTTCAACCTTGGACTTCGCTTCGTGTATGTCGAAGATTTACTCCCGGAGACTTTTACTCTCGCTTATGCAAATGATCCTGATTCCTACGCCACTTCTTTCTTTCCCGACGCCGCACCAGGTAGACGCAAGATTGTACTTCACGAGAGTTCATTCTTGCCGCTATATCGTGCTTCGATTTTCAACATCCTATGCCACGAGTTTGGGCATACTCTCGGCATGCGGCACTGGGACGCAGGTTGGACCGAGCCGAACTACCCATCGATATGCTTCCCACCTGATTCAAATAATAAGCTCTCCGTAATGGGCATATATAAGCACCCGGAAACTCTTCGATTCCATCCAGAAGACATTGAATGGCTCAGAGAATTCTATAGCAGGAAAAATGGGTCAATGATACAGGGCTGCACGATCAAGGACTACCCAAGCCGTCCATAAGGTCATACAGTAGACTCATGAATTAAAAGGGGATGGTTAGCGACCAGGATTGGAAAGGGGTCAATGAGATATATCACACAATCATGGGTCATGAAAAACGTATACAGAGTTTGATGAATAGATTCAATAGTCTTCTATCCACCTTGCGGTGGCAGCTATATATTGACACAGTTTCTGCCTCCCGATGTCCATCCATGAATTCTTTCCTTCGGAGGGCGGATGAACAAGTATTTACAATGGCTAGCCCGGATCTTCACGAAAGGCCAGATCCAGGGCCACAATATTGGCGGTTTTTAAAACATCCCCAGGAGCCGTCGCCGGTCGTTTCCACGGCGGACGGTCTCACTGTGTTTCGCTAGAGCAGGCTTTGTACCTTCTTCTCCGCTCCCGCCTGTGCGGGTAGCAAGGGGGAAGAAGGGCTACTGCTCCGGATGTATGGTCAGAAACATACGAAACGATCGCACGATCGCGTCACGAGGGGGACGCGATCGTGGGGGCCGCAGCATCGACCCAATGGTGTGGGCGCGACGGGTGCGGCGGGGCTCGGCCGTCAAGAACCAGCTTGTGGTCCGGGCCCCGTCGCAAATAAACCCGTCGCTGATGCAATGGAATAACAAGACGAGCAGAGCGAAGAGAAAAGTTGGCGCTCTATGCCCGTTAATGAGCGAACAGCCTTGATATCTCCTATCTTCGGCCTTCTGGCGTATTATGATGGTGTGCTGCTTGGTGGGATCTCCCAAGTGCTGCAAGTCTTCACGATCGAACAACGATGCCGTTTCGGCGGGAGCTGCGGGGGACGTACTCCTCGTCGCCGCTAGAGCAGGAGCTCTCGTCGTCGCTGTAGCCGCAGCGGGAGCCGCCGCAGTCGATCTTGACGCGGTCGCCCTTGCGGGTGATACCGTAGCGCTCGCAAGTGCAGCTGCTGCAGTCTGAGGCTGGCGTGCTGTAGCCGGAGAGCGATGAGTTTGGCGATGAGCTGCCTGAGCGGTACGATAGGCTGGAGCCGGACGAAGAAACGGGAGAGCTGGCAAAGTCGCTGATGGCATCCTCCTCGAAGCTGGTGTTGTCGAAGCGGGTGGTTAGTTCCTCAATGGATTCGTCGTCATAGTAGTCAGCATCTAGGATGTGACGGGTTGCGTGGGGCGACATTGGCTTGGGAGCAACGATCTGAGAGACAGAAAGGGGGCGGCCCTTGGGAATGTCAAGAGTGGGGCGCTTGGAAGATCGGTGCTTGTCCTTTGACGAGGAAGACGAGCTGTGCTTTGAGGAGCTCTTGCTGGAGCTGTGAGACTTGGATGAGGACTTGCTGGACTTGTCCTTGGGAACATCGAGGATGTTCAGTTCTCGGCCGGTGGTGGGCTCAACGGTAGAAGCCTCACTGGGGTTGTGCGAAACGTGGTATCCGTCGATGATGTAGTAGTACCAGTATCGCTGACCAGCCTCGAGGTTGCCTTGAAATCTGAAAGTACCCTTCCATGATCCAGACTTGCTGGAGGACTTGTCCTTGGAAAGGGGGATCTGGCCGACGTAGTTGTCCCAAGATCCAAGCAGGTGAACGGACTTAACACCGGAAGAAACGCGAAGAGAGAAAGATAGCTGGATGGTTGCCATTGTGATTAATGTTATTATTGCAAAAATTGTCGTTTCTTAAAATTTTCAAAGGACTTTGTGAGCAAGGGAAAGCTAGTTTCTCGATCTATTAGGGGGTATCGGCGGTTGTGAATTAGGGGGGTTAGTTGACCGGCAACTGGTGTTGAGTATAAGATTTTCGATTTTTGGTATATTAGATGAATATTAGAACAGAAGAGCACAGCTCTAATGTTTAGCAAAAGAAAAAAAAAGAAGAGGGATGAGAAGAAACAAGGAACTAGCTTGTGGTGTTTGAATGCTTGCCGGAGAAGAAAGAGAGAAAAAGGGAAAACAACTCGAGGAAGGCTGGCTGGTATTATACGAATCGCGGCCGTATAGAGAGACCAGGATGCGACCCAATATCCAGACCAACAGAATCGGCTTCCTACCTGCAGTACCAGTCAGCCCGTGTGGGAGTGACCAGTGTGGAAGTGTATTAGTGAACGACTTCCCGCTACGGCAACTGGATGTGCGGGGCCGTCATCTTGGATAGGCTTGGACTCGCTTGATGGGATCGTGGCCTTGGCTTCTGTATGGTTGGTAACACACACCCAATCCAATGTAATGTCACTTGAGCGCACATCCCCCAACCTAAGCCATTACTGTCATCGGTACAACAAACATGGGTAGTGCCGAACTGCAAGTTGGCGGCGGTTAAGCAATGTAAAAATCATGAGTACAATGGTACAAGATTGGATGAATAAATAGAAACTGGGCGGAAAAGGAAGTCGAGCTAGTCGGGAAAAGGCGATTGGGCGTCTAAATCTTGGCGATGATTGGCCGATCAACAACCAATACCAATCTTAGGCTTATCACATATCACACGGTCGAGTTGTGCATCAGACGAATCAAAGAGGTGCAAACAATCCTCTCCATCGAGATGACCCCCCGCCCGTGTACATACGCATAGTATGTATGTCCATACTATAGTACGAACGCCACTAAGCCATAATATGCATGCGAGCAGGTCTTGAATCTTGATGAACCGGCATACCAGCTCCATGTGGACGAAGCTGTATTCTTTTGCATCGGTACTCCATTGGTGAATGGAACAACCCATCCACTCAGCTTAATAAGTTAGTTTTGCATAAACATTGCGTAATTCGAACAAAATGGCAAAGCTCAGACTAAATAGTAGGTACCTATTGATCTGAAGCTTACGGCATTGCAATTTATTGCCGGAGTCGCTATTGGCCGCGAGATACGGCAGCTGGACCTGTCGTGTACTAGAGAGAAAATGATGATATGATCCCTCGTCATAATCCCTAGTCCTTTCAGGATTAGAGTAGAGAAATGCGAACCTGCCTGCCGGCGAACCTATGAACCTAGGCAGCTGGGTAGAACCTGGGCAGTCGGGTAACTCGATCCACTGCCGTGCTTTTCTCCAACGGAATCAACAAGCCTAGAACATAGAAGAGTTCCCAGGTTCCTGATTCTTAACCAAGATTCTTTGCGGAGTCAGATGGATCGACTTGCAATTGAAGCTCAGCCGGGCGACGGATAACGGAGTCCTAAAGCATTAAGCTGAGCCCTTATGCAGGACATATCACTAGCCCCGGCGGGTAAGAGAAAGACAGTCGTACAGAATCTACCATGAGGCCGTGAAAGTCCGAAAGTAGGTAACACTCCACTTCGGTCTTTTGATAAATGGCTTTTCCAGCCCTATTGCGGGAGGGCGGGAGGAAAAGTGGGAAAGATGGAAAAGGTGGAAATGTTGACAGTGGATCGATCAAGGGCTCAAAGTGCAAAAGGCAAAAGTGAAAGTGTAAAAAAGCTGGACCGGGAAAATCCCGAATGACGCTAATGCTCTAAATATGCTAGTTTATGCTAGTTTATGCGAGTTTAACCTAGTAAGGATGCATATGCAATAATCGACAAGGGCTATCTTGGCTTCTAAGTGGTTGAGAGAGCCAATTCTGATCACATGACTAACCCTAGCACGGCGCGTGGATGCAAAGAGACTAAAATGCAACAAAATGCAACAAAATGCACCGAAATGCAACAAAATGCACCGAAATGCAACTCGACGATCACACTACGCAGACTACGTTGCCTGCCAGGAACATGGAAGGTAAGCATACAGGCATGCAGACTCTTCTTCGAACCGGGGTTGGATATGTTGAATGATATGGAGAAGGCTTCCTTAGCTGCTTAGATCAACCGACTCTCCACCAAGATCGATAATTCACTGGGACCTGGCAACCTGGGACTCTCTATTCTGTATGCCTCCGCCCACCTTACTAAACAGGCAATGGATCTCACTTAGTGCCTGTGCGGGTCACCTTGCAGTTCTAGCGTTATTCTGGCGCTTATTAGTCTCTTGGACCCTTTTCTAATTGTCATGGCGGAATTTCTCTCCCATCTACAACAAGGTGCCTCGTGGAGATAGTGGGTAGAATATGTACGTAGGGTGTCAACAAGCGCGTATCGACATGGGCTAACACGCCGAAGCGCAATAGCCGAGCCTCCCGGCGGAAGATCATGGCTCAAAACAAGGACTCCGTAGACGAGAACCTCGTCAACTCGGTTACGGAATACGTCAAGTCCTACATGTCGAACTACGATGGATCTCATGACTTCAACCACATCGAGCGCGTCGTTGGACTTGCCAAATACATCCATGCTCAATCGCCGGCGGCCCCTCCGCGGGATCACCAAGTCGTCATCCTCAGCGCACTCTTGCATGATGTGGGAGACAAGAAATATCTGAAGTCAGGGGAAGATGCTTCAACCCTGGTGTATGAGCTTCTTCTGTCTCTTGGTGCTGCAGAGAAACTTGCGAAACGAGTCCAAACGATCTGCCTGGGCGTCAGCTACTCAAGCGAAATCAAGGATCCAGCTCGAGTTCAAGAACTTATCAAGACTTATCCCGAATTGGCTGTTGTTCAAGATGCTGATCGGCTTGATGCTATTGGGAGTATCGGTATTGGCAGGGTCTTCACTTTCACCGGTGCCAGGACACAACGGTCCATGGCAGACTCGATTCAACATTTCCACGACAAGCTACTCAGACTTGAGAGCATGATGAAGACTGATGTTGGACGAAGACTTGCTAAACAAAGGAGCGAGAGAATGCAAGAGTTCCTCAAGTGGTGGGACGAGGAAACAGCCTTCAGTAGTGGATCGCCGATAACAACTTGAAAACACTTGAGCATATTGACAATCTTCCTTTATGCGTTATGCCCCCGTCAAAATATTATACCCATGTACCTACCTAGTAGTTTCTATGTCTTGCGTTACCACCAGCTTACAGATAATAGTATTGCATCATTAACTCCAATCCGAAGTCTCTGTTCATTCACTATTACCTAGGTAAATATAAATGGATGCGATCTTCAAATTCCCTATTCGCCTCTTCTCACGCTGCCCTCCCCTATGCACTAATTATGGGTATTATATCCAAACAGCAGAAACAAGATAATTTATGAGTATTTATAACACAAACTAGCTTGTACATCCATAACTTCTTGGATGTTCAGCATTCCGCCGATAGAGCCGAAGTTCATTACAAAGTCTAATGTAATGTTCTTATAAGGTTTCTCGCCGAAATAATCATACGGATACGCCCATTGCGTATCAGGCCCTCCTATATCCCCTTTTCTCTTCGGCCAATCTACTCTTGGTGTCAGCAACTTGGGATTTAGTCTCGGACGGTACATACCGTTTCGCTGCCAGACGTCCCAGAGACGATCTATAGCACTGTGGTGAAGCCAAAAGATTGGGTCCACCGTCGATGACCACGTATTTGCCATCTAAGAATGATATCGTCAGCCTTTTATATGGTAGCCTGGTCAAAACTTTCTTACATCACCAAGCACACCGCCAATTCCTAAGTGACCACCACCATGGACTGATGCTGCAGCAATTCCAAGGTCTAGACCTTCGGTTCTATGCTCGAGATCGACATAAGTGTCTGCTGCCATGACGAAAGCGATAGTATCTGTGTGCAATGCTCTTGCCATGAGCCAAATGCTAAAGTCTCGTCGAACACAACGCGGGTTATAGTCTGTGTGGTTACCGGGCCCCATGGAAGCGTTAAGACCAGCGAACGGTCCATCCGGAATACAACCTTGAATTGGCCATTGTTAGATCAATAATTACCAAGACACGAAGCCTCTCTAATGCGAAGAAACTCACCGCCTCCCGACCTTCCAGGTATGTCGAATGCAGTCTTCCATTCATCTGGGAAGCCGCTGAGATCCTCGACATAATCGCCGTTACCTTCTACTCGATCAGCCTCATTTTCTTGGAATACAAAAAGGGAACTATGTCATACCTCCGAATCCGTATTCATTGTCGAAGACTGGCGAGTTTAAGAGGGCAGCCTCGGTTACAGAATCTTGTGCCCAGTCTGTTTTTAAGTCCGTCAGCTCTACCTTCGACGATTTAGAATTATGGCGCAAACCCCAGTACCTTTACTACCTAGTTAACAAATCCTCGTTCAACCCAGGCCTAATGAAGGAATACCTACGGTATTGTGCCCTGATATGAGCATTCGTGCCGAAGGGCTTGTTCGAATAGCCATAGAAAATATCGATGCCATCTACTTATGTTAACAACGCTCGAGGATAAGGCGGTACTCTCTTACGGTAAAAAATGCCCCTTCGGAGCTGTTAATGATAGAACTTAGGTATATACGCGGTGATAAGGAGCGAAACTCACAACCCAATGGACGTAATCCGCCTGGCTAATGTGCAATGCCACAAAATCGTCGTAGCGCGACCTGACTCCCGAGAATGTGTCAGACGTCATCCCTGGGTTGGATTGGAGGCATTTTACTGCCGATATGAAGTCGAGCCGTTCCGCGTTAGTCAGATCTCTCCTTTTTAGGTCACGATCTCGTTAGCTAGTAGACTCCATCTATCACGTTTGCCACGTTCAACAAGGGTAACATTTTACTGAACACACCACTCTCTCCTCACAACAAGCGTCTCGCACACTTCTCCAGAGACAATATTCGTAATCGCAAGGACGATACTCATAAATGAAGTAGAGATCTGCATGCTGATGCGATCTGCAGGTACATACGTTTGAGATTGGTGGCCAACCGGTACCCTGGAAATTAGAAATCAGCCACATTATATAAATCCTCACGCCTTGACGACATCACATTGGTAATTTCCCAGGGGCACTATTCTGTATTGATCTAAGAGGGACACTATGTTGAACTTTAACATCAGATCTGATGCAAGGGATCGACCCGAGCGAGGAGTATTAAATTTGCCGTTGAAAGGGCTAGCAGGTAAAAAATAAGCAAAGAGTATACGTATCCAAGTCTAGGCACCATCTGATCTTAACTTTACTAACGGCCACTAGACATGGTATTACGTTGGAAAGAATCTAGGCGTAAGACATCTCCCTCGAGAAATAGCTCTTTGCTCGTCATCGATTATCTAGTATGTGGAAAGAATGGTTCGTAGGTCTATGGTTGGAGAAATGAACCCGATGGACTGGGTTTCTTGGCGACTAGTTCAAATGATGTGCACCTACGGACGCCATACATGTACGTGTGTCTTCTATCCTTAGAGATTCCCGCATACCGGTATGGCTAGAAGTCCGATACCGTAGTATGGACCAATGTTTAGCAGCCTATGGAGAATGTCGTCAAAGTATAGTAGTGTTGGAACTGCTGCGAAGGCCGAGGCTTCGGGATGTTGGGACTGCTTTAAAGACCGAGGTTTCGGAATCTCGAAACCCGAAAGACAAAAGCGCCACACGTTTATCATTATAGCGATAGCATCCCCTTCGGGGCAATGGCTAACCTTATTGAGCTAAACGGGCTTTAAGAAAAGGAAATACATTCTTCTGGAAGGTGAGATTGTTGCCCTGTCCACGAGGATGGCACGTCGTTTTGAGACTCAACGTGCATTCTACACGCATACTGCTCTGTTACATACAATCGATTCTTTTTTGCAGATCAGGGTCCAGCACGCTGGATTCATTCTATGAAAGCAACTAACACTGCAACGGGGAAAACATCCGTACTTTAAGTATCACTAGCATAATAGCTAGCGGAGGAATGTAGCGTATAGAAGCAAAAGCAAGCCTCCCGCGGGTGTTCACCCGGTTGATTCCTATTCGAGATCGCATCACGATGGAGGCGAATTCAAATATAAGTCTTTCCCACGCACGTTTGCGGGATCGAACGGAGTTCGTCCTCGGTAGCGTGATATCATGCCGTTTCACATGAACCGATGTCGACAGTGAACTTTTCGCCCGTCACTTCCAGGTGACTTAGTTGAGCACACTACTTCGAGGCGCTCAAAATGGATTTCAGCAACACCCCAGGTTATCATGGCGCTAGAGAGATCGGGCTCAATGGTTGGCTCATTGGGTTCTCAACGTTGTTCTACGGCCTTCGCCTCTTTGTTCGAATATCTATGACAAAATCTCCCGGACTCGACGATGGAATTGCCGGTATGGCCTATGTAAGCTCTGCCTCCTTTAGACCACCTCAGGAATTATTCATGTACTGACTGATATAGGTGCTCCTATTGTTTCAATCTATGACAGACATCCACTGTTAGCTCCCTAGTAACAACGAAAGGTTAAAGAATAGCGATACTAATCATCCCATAGCGGTATCTTTCGGCAGTGGAACGCACCTATCCTATATACCACAGGATATACTAGGTGAATTTTTTAAGGTGTGCTTCACCCATGCATCTCAAGTATGTCTTATCGTGGGCCTGGATGCTGACTTGTTGGTAGGCATTGGCTATCCAGACACTCGTTTATTTTTGGGCTGTGGCCCTGGTAAGATTTGCAATTCTCGCATTTCTGCCCCGACTTGCCCAAGACAGTGAGTAGTTGAGACATAAGGTGCTGCCGCTCGTCTCTAATTGAGATTTAGGGAGCATTACAATAATCTCGTGGACCGTCACGGTCATAATTTTGGCCCAGACCGTCCTTGCTTTCCTATATAGGCTTACGGAATGCGATACACTAGAGTAAGCTCATGGCTGCGACTATTTTCTCTACGGATACAATTTCTTTACTGAACCTTTTTCATAGGGAGACCTTCAAACCTCAAGGCCCCCAGGATAGCCATTGCGTAGGAGCAGTGAATCATAATAAAATGATGGTCGCGCACGGCATCGTTGGCATAATCGTCGATACAATTCTCCTATTCTTACCTATCTGGGTAATATACACCAAGATGATGTGGTCGAAGAAGACTCTCCAGATTATACTTGTACTTAGCGTCGGGGTTTTTGCGGTCGCCACAGGAATAATACGGGTGGTCTTGATAAAGACTAAGGACTTTGTTACAGATGTGTAGGTTATACTTAATTCTTACCTCTTGAATGATGGCGCCATCCATCTCTCTCCTCCCCCCACCCCCACGAATTCGTTTCCCAAAGCTAATACCACATGGTAATAGAACGTACGAGATGCCATTTCTTGGCATATGGACGAATCTCGAGGGTCACGTCGGTTTATGGTGCGGCTGTTTCCCTGCGCTGCAACCCCTTCTACGTATGGTACCGGACCAGTTTCGCGGCACAACAAACGGTAGCGTTCAGCAAAATGAGAAGATAGGGCATAATGCGACTAAAACAATACGCGAAGGAAGCGTAGAGTATCGAAACGAAGTAGACGGTGAAAGCCAACGGGGAATAGTTTCGGTAGAAATGGGGATTGGAGACAGAGACATGCGACATATAGATAGATCTCCTGTGTGAAATTGGACTTGTTGGATTTATTCTCAATATGTAGAGCGGTAGAGGGATTTGGAATTTAAGGGCTCGGAATACTTTCATTAATACGGATAGATATACTTCCATACGGATATTTCCTTTATAGTATCTAATAGTTAGACTGTTTAGTAACTCGATGCTTTGATCTCGATACTCTCGGTTGTGGTAAGACTCTACCTCCCGCTTCTTTCGTTTCGTTCGTTTTATCCTTTTAATTTGGGAGTGTGTGTGCAGAAACAAGGCTTCGATGTTGACCTACAAGTAGGGTAGGACACACTCGGGCCATGTCTCTAAAGGGATTACACAAGCTGCGGTTATCCGTTGGGTGGTGGAGAGAAATATACCTGGTAGATATTGTTATAATGTTACATAATGAGGATGCCCTGACTGGAATATGGCTCTGTAAGACTACTATGTACAGAATAACTGAGCTGAAATGGAAGGCCATAGATACATATAAGTAAACTAGGTTAGCTCGAACTCTTGTTGCTTAAGTTCATCCGTTCAAGGCAAGCCCGACACAGAGTTAAGGAACGGTAGTACCTGCTTAGGCGTAAGGCATGCAACCTTAGCCCTATCTCTCATCATCACTAGGCAACATTGAACTCAGCTAAGCAGGTAGGTACATGTAGGTACACACCTACCTATAAGCACCCATACCTAGGATATTTTGCACTTATCACGGCCCTTACTAGAGATCCTCAACCTACTCCTTTCACAATATTCTCTCAGCCCCCAAGATTCTATATCTTCGTCATTTGCCAAGACCAAGACTTCATTCTCGTGGCTTTCATTATCGTTATCCGGCTAACCTAGTCTCGTCTGATCGATGTAACCATATCATGCAGGCTGTCTTACACATTTACGAAGGCCCGTCCAGCAGCAGCTGTTGGTGCAACCGACCTCCAAATCTCACGCTGACCGAATCCAATTGTCTTCTTCGCCTAAAGTGCGCCAATCTGCAGAGTCCGGGTGGGCAGGTCGCCGATAGGTAGGCTAGCTTCGATATTCTTTACCTGTTTTTCGCCTTCTATGGACTGGCGCCGATTGCTAGAAGTCTGTGGTCGCTGCTGTTCTCTTTCGTCCATCATTCTTTTTACAACAATCGCTTCTCCGAAGTAGTTGCTTCAATCTTTCGTTGCTAGTTTTGTCCTCTTTAAATTGGATTACATATACGCACATATAGAAAAGGTAGATGTACTCATTCTATATGCCAAATCCGATCATTGTCTCGCACAGGTAGTTGTCCGTCTGACTGACGGCTGCCTACCTCACAATGACGCCTCTTTCCACCGCCTTCGCCGCGGCAATGCTGCTCCTCGCATCATTCACCCATACCGTTACGGCGAGCGCTCATGGAAACTTGTCATTGTTCGACGATGCGGCTCTGCATAATCAGCCTAGCGAGGATTACAACCCCGGCATTGGACCGCGTTACTTCGTGGACGGGTTACCACCGGTCCCCGCGCTATGGCCGCCGACCAAGGCGAAACGTCTAACTCCGCAAGGGTGCAATGAGGACTTCCACCCCTGCCTAGAGGTTGGTTCATCGGGGGCAGGGGTATGTTGTAGAAATGATCAGTATTGTTTCTTGGATGACAAATGGGAAGTCAAATGCTGCGGCTTAGGAGTTATGTGCAACTCGACCTGTCCTGAGACCTTGCTATACTGTAATTCAACACTTACCACTTCTACTACAATCAATTCGCTGGGTACAACAACAATTGCCCAGGAGACGAGCCTGATATCGGGATGCTGCGATCGAGCTTGTAGTAGCTCCTCATTCCTGTGTCAGGGGTGGTTTGGTGGACAATGCTGCCCATACGGAGCGAACTGCATTTCTGGGGGAGCATGCTCATATCCACCTACGTCGACTGTGGTAACGCGCGTGACTCCCGCGCCGTCGGGCTGCACCACATCGCAAATAGCTTGCGAGACGGGTGGCGGGTGCTGTAATATCGGTAGCACCTGCACTTCTTCGGTATTACCCACGACCACCCTACAACAGTGTGGAGTAAATCTAACAGTCGTCGATACTGGTGGACTTTCCGAAGGTGCCAGAGTAGGAATTGGGGTTGGCGTTGCCGTGGGTGCTGCCGTCATCATCGGCGCTGTGACGTGGTTCTGGATCAATCGCCGGCGGAAAGCGAAGTCGGCGCTCGGAGGCGACACGTTGTCGGGGTCCGACAACCAACGGATGGAAAACCTCAGGGAGCCATTTATACCCTATACCGGCACGAATTCGGACATTACGAGCCCATCGAGTGGGATGGGGATGCGGCCTCGGCTACATGAGACAGGATTGACGTACGAATACTACGGCCCCAATGCAGTGCGCGGACCATATACCGACAGCAGCATGTTTGTGGCCACGGAGCCTCGGTCAAGCCCCGGCTTTTCCGATCGCGCAGCCACGGCTGCGAGTGGCCCCGAGCACCCGGAGGATATCGTACAGCCAGTCGAGATCGATACCCGAGCACGCAGGGAACCAGAGCAAAGGGGGGTTATTGTTGAGAAGGATGCTACCTCCAATGATAAATCAGTCAAGGGAGACCAAGGGCCATTTGAATTGGTTGGAAGTCCAGGCCCTTCGCCGCCGCCGATGAATGAGAAGGAAGCAGAACAGCAGAGGAGTCGGGCGTTTTCACCTTTGCCCCCACCTCCACCGGAAGCTAATGGGCAGGAAGGAAAAGAAGCGAAGAAATAGATATCGACATGTACCTTGTAATGATGAGCATGATAGGAATTTTCAGGAATGATAGGATGGAGTTCTTGGTATTACCCTAATCCTAACTGTAATGAAGTACATAAAGAACTCGAGACGAATGAAATGAATGCGGTCGGAAACCGTCCGACCTAAACAAACGCCTCGCCTTGCCTCGCATCCCTCATTTTCCCTCGACTCCCAACGCCTCTCGTAAACATTATGCATTTTCCACTGACATTAACATGGGTGGCCGTTCACCCCTACGCCCTAGCTCTCGCAACCAATTCCAACGTTTCTTCCGGATAAAAAAGAAGGGGGGATTGGGGACCAGAGATCATCTCCAAACTTCAGAGCAGACTAATAAACTAGACCATAACGCCTACCAAGCAAGGCATCTTGCAACATAACGGGAAAGTTTTTGGCCAAGCTGAAGTATATATATAAGAAGGACGAAAGAAAGAAAGAAAAGAGAGTAAAGTGGGACTAGAACTTATGAGCTTCGGTAGCCTGTCTAGCCTACCACGCCCCCGAAAGGTGTGTTTTGCTTCAGATCCTCGACGAGTTCGGCGACGCTGCTTAGATGGCGGCCGAGCAGGGCCTGCTTCTCTTCCTGGGTACGGGTCTCGCCGTCGCCGGCGGAGCGCGGACGTCCATTGCCGTCACTTCCGGCCCTGCCGTGGCCACCACCGACGAATGCCTTGGCTAGCTTACTAGGGCTGCGCTGGAGTAGGCCGGGGAGCTGGGGGTTGGGCTGCGCGGCGGGGATCGAGGGTGTTTCGGGCATTAGGTAGAAGTATAGGAACTCGATTAGCTTTAGCTTGACGTCGCGCGCTGTGCATCGGTTGCGGAAGAGCGAGGTTATGGTCAAAAGGCCGTCGAGGGCTTCGAAGGTTCGGGTGTTGCGCGGCGTGTCGATGAGTGCGGTGACCAGGGTTACGACGGTCGAGGATTGGATCGCGGGGCAAAAGTCGGGTTCGAGGAGGTCAAGGAGTAACTGGGGTGAGTGGGGTGGGTCAGTATGCTGGTATGAATCAGGATAGATTGCGGCGGGATGAAGACTTACATTCATGTACACCTCGCGCGAGAACAAGGCCTTGCTGGGCGGGTGCAGCAGCATGACGCCCTGGACCAACTCCAACGCGCTCATGATCAGCAGGTCGTTGGATCCGTCCGCGCCTCTAGCGAGCAGGCGGTCCAGCGTCTGGACCAAGCGCAACGCGACATTCCACTCGAACCCCTCCTGCAGCTTGAAGAACTCGCAGAAGGCAGGGTCTTCTGAGATCTGCTCGAGGTTCTTGGATGAGGCTGTTTCCTCCTCCGCGGTGTCTCGGGTGGAGATTATCGAGGCCCGCCGGTCTCGGCTGCTCTGCGCCCGTGACAGACAGATGTTGGCGAGAAGACCTTCGACTTGGCGGAGACCCTTGCGGATCTTGGGACCGTCGTAGGAAGATAGGTTGTCGAAGGCGAGAGAGAGTAGTTGTTCCATCTTGAACCTTGTTGAATAGGTAGATGGTTGGTTTTGGGATTGAATTGGTGACGTTGCTTAGTTTCGTTGTTAAATCTGTGGGGTTTTCGTTTTTATACTGTACACAAGATCGCGGAAACGGTATGCGATGCGACGGATATGCGGCAATGCGGTAATGGTGGGATCAAGAGAGTAAATAATGGGAAATCAAAAAGGCCAAAAGTTGCTTGAGAGCGACGGCGGCACGAACTGTTAATACAAATGGACGAAGAGAAGAATTTGCGATGTATGAAAATAGAATAATCTCCTGATCTCAGAAGAAATCAAGAAGGGAAAACCCAATAGAGGATTTCTACGACGACCAGCTCGTTTTTGGTTCGGTGATTCTGAATGCGATAGGACGTTTGTTGCAAGGGTCATGATGTTTAAGTGGAGTTCCTCGTTAACATGGCAACCGTAGGAAGGTGCTGATCCAGTACCGACCTTAGGGGTGTCTTCCAAGGTTTAGCGGTGCCTTACAGCATGGGATGTTCCTTTTACCGAACCGCTGTTAGCTTTGGGGCTAGCTGGTAGCAACCTGCACCTGCATATAATATCCCTAGCACACCCTATAAAAGCCAATATTCACCATCTTATAACAACAAATAATATGGGCGATATGAGCAAAAATTCGATTAGTCGAATCCAGATCAAATCACACCTGCATATTTTGGAACACAAAAGAGAAAATTACCGATCGATAAAATATCTGGTATAATATGCAGTAGATACAAACATGTTCTGCATATGATCTAGCTTGGTACAAAGTAAATACCTTCAGGACTCATAAAGGGACGAGCCCAATGGCCAGGAATGCGGGGTAGCTATTGCAGATAGGGAATAAGCTTGTGTACCCTCTCTGTAGCTCCCTGTATTCTCTCAGCAACGACGCTCACGAGTTCTGTGTTGCCCTTGCTGCTTGCTTCCAAACAGTGAAGTCCGCAGGCATGTGAAAGTATCAAATGACCATCGTTCTTTTCATTTTGTTTTCACTCGACAGCGCGGCTTACCTCCAATTTAAATAACTAGAAAGATTCAAACCTCGAAACTTCTCGTCTTTCTTATTGAATTATCAATTTTACAATCTTAGAAACAGTTCCCAGCGACTGAAATTGCTTTCTTGTGAGCTCGGCTAGCCACGCAATCACCACATTCCTATTTCACTGCGCCTCAGCTTTGCCGTCGACGATCACGTATGTCTAGGTAACTACATACATATATCATACAGCTAAAACATTTCGCATATTACCTGCATTTATATGACGGATCTATTATAGAGGTCAGCCAATGCGAGCCACTCACACACAAACGGCATTTCAAACAGCTTCCCTACCGCCTTGACCTTGACATTGACCTTCCGCTGTTTCCCACTTCACATTTCCCCACTACTTACGTCCGATACTACCTAGATAGACAATCTAGATACAGTTTACGCCAGCAAGGACTAGGTAACCATAAATCCCGAACGGTCTCCTGCAGACCGCTCTTCATTTGGAATCTTCCTAGACTATAAGGACTGTTTTCCGTCGGAAGGACCGTTGTGGCAACCATGGTTCCAGGCAACACCAACAATATATCTCTCCAGTCGCCCAACGCGATCCCTCCTAGAACCTCTTCAACCGGTTCCACCACTCCCTTACCTCCCGCTAGATCTGTCCTACGACCTGTTCCGGAGTCAGATTGGCTCAGTCAACATAATCGGCATCGAAGTTCTTCTACTACTACTGCTATAACAGGCATGCATGCAACAGGGCCTCAAGACCCGGCACGCTATGAGAGCGAAGATTTAAACTACACTTCAAGAAAGACATGGACCGAGCAAAAAGAAAAGGTTCTTGTGGGTCCATTTGATTATCTATTCGCTCACCCGGGGAAAGACTTCCGTACTCTCATGGTCAACTCTTTCAATGCATGGCTGGCAGTACCTCAAGAAAGCTTAGATGTAATTACAAAGGTTGTCGGTATGCTGCATACAGCATCCTTGCTCATTGATGATGTTGAGGACAATTCGTTGCTGCGGAGGGGTCTGCCGGTTGCACACAGTATTTTCGGTACGGCGCAAACCATAAATTCGGCCAATTACATATACTTCTGCGCCCTGCAGGAGCTGCAGAAACTCAAGAATCCAAAGGCCATCAGTGTCTACACTGAGGAACTTCTAAACCTTCACCGCGGTCAGGGTATGGACCTTTTCTGGCGAGACACTTTGACATGTCCTACTGAAGAAGAGTACCTTGAGATGGTTGGCAACAAGACTGGGGGGCTATTTCGTTTGGCTATCAAGCTCATGCAAGCTGAATCGAGTACTCCAATCGACTGCGTGCCCCTAGTCAATATACTGGGCATACTATTCCAGATCCAGGATGACTACAGGAACCTGTCGAGCCCCGAGTACGGCCAGAATAAAGGGCTTTGTGAGGATTTAACGGAGGGCAAATTCTCGTTCCTCATCATTCATAGCATACGTTCAAACCCGTCAAACCTACAACTCCTCAATATCCTTAAGCAGAAAACAACGGATGATGAGGTCAAGCGCTATGCCGTGAAGTACATGGAAAGCACAGGGAGTTTTGAGTATACCGAGAAGGTGCTCGCGATCCTAATCGAGAGAGCGAGAAAGATGGCGGACGAGCTTGATGCCGGTAGAGGGAAGAGCATCGGGATCCACAAAATATTGGACAAGCTGGTGATATCGTGATGAAGCCATGAGGCGATAAATGGTTGGATTTCTTTGGATTTTTTACTGGGCGGATCTCTGTGAATACTTTATTCAGATGTTATCGGACTAGAGGTTAGGTGTGAGAGCGAGCTGGCGTGAGTTAGGATACCCTCATTTCCTACCTTTTTCGAGACGTGAGAAATTCAAAAATTCATTAATAGTTATTTCCATGCTCACTGGATTGATTTTCCATTGAGGCACCAAGGAACGTTTACGTATACAAGCTTCCTTGCATGCCAAGCCCATGATACTTTGTTTTCTTCATCTTAAGGGGGAAAGTATCTAAGGATTAGTCAGCTACCAACCCCTTTCTCCTTTGACATATCCTAATAATGTAACAATAAGATTGAATAGCTATTCCTTTGACGCCATTTAACAATGGCATTATGTAAGAATAATAACAAGGAAACTATATACTCGGACGCACGTAGTATCTCTTCAAACAATCGAAGACTGTTTCCCCAGAGAGATAAATACTTATGATCCGCCCAACGCCTAAACAGCTAACTGTGGTCTCTGCAGTTTTTAGTCCAAGCCGAATATCAAGGCAAGCCACTCGGGAGAGAAAGTGGCAGTCCATCCCAATTTGATAGGATACGAGTGCTATCGCGTAGAAACACTTTCTGTGTATAGGAACAGTTATCATACGTAAACTAACCTCCAGTTGGTTACAGAACGAAGTAGCTGCTGTAGCACACTCATGACTTATTACGAGTATATAAGCAAGATGGCACTCTCATCAATAGGCCATCTCCTTTCCTTCACCATCACACTCTACTTCATATCAAGACTTCCTAATCTACAACAACTCAAGACTAAATTCATTGCAATTCAGAACTACTGTACAGGAACTAACCTAGCTACAATGGCGTCTTCTAACCAAACTGTGCCAAAGTTGTCGGAGGACCTCTTGCTGATGATTGCTGCGCAGCTCACAGACCCAGGTGACTACTATCGTCTCGCTCGCACGAGCAAGACCATGATGAACAAGATGGACCTACCTCGCATGGTCTTAGTCCTTGAAGCCAAGGCGCTCCGCGATTACATCTTGCCACACCCTAGGGGACTACATAGGAGACTTCAATTACTTACCTATCCACATAGATCCGTCATGGACTGGGCACTTCGCGAGGGGCGACCTATGAACATTCTATGGAACATCATCCAGAACTATCTCGCATACGCCCCCGACGTAATTTATGGAAACGAGGAACTGGGGCTTCGGCCAGCATGGACTTACTGCATTAGATACAACAACTGGGAGGCTTTGCATTTGTTTAAGAAATACGGTCTCACGCCATTAGACGCCGATCCCGCTCAAGTTATGGTATCTTAAACCTTCGCGGAAACTATTTCCGGTGGAGCTGTAATTATACAGCTAGGTACATTGGTGCTAGAGTGAACTCGAAGAGACACAGATTAGACACCTAACTTTCCTTTCCCTTATTTTCCCAGTAGATAAAATTGTAATAAATATGTACCTATTTCCTACACATACTTCTTACCATAGTGATTTGCCATTATGTACATGAATGAGACGTGACCTATAAGATATTTACGTACCTAGAAAGCAACATCAACTTAAGCATCACACTGCCGAGAACCGAGTAACATTCCGTTATATCATGTAACTATATCCATCTCTTCTCATCTTCTCGGCAAGCGTATGAACATGCCCCTGACCAATCTCACGAGTCTATAGAAAGGCAAAGTCAGTAAATAGCATCAAATCAGCCCCTTCTCATCTTACTCATACACCAGTCAATAAAGTCTCATACCACATAAATCACCACATAAACAAAATATTACTCCGCATCCAATTCATTCATCTACCTCACCAAAACTCACTAAGCAGCCTCAGGTATATTCTTCCTCTTCACCAACCTAACCCACCTCCTCCGTCTCCACTCTCCTCTCCTCCCATCCCCATCCTCACCCTCCTCCCAGCTCGGCTTCAGCGGCGTTCTAACCCTATCCTTATCCTTCCCTTTAACCGGAACCGGCTGTTCGACGACGCCCACCTTATTACCAGCCTGCTCGTCGAAGATATCGTAAACCCACCTCTCGCCCTCTGTCTCGACCTCGACGCCCGTGATGATGCGCTCCTCCACCCACTCGCGGCTCCACAGGTCTAGCGCCCACTTCTTCTCGCTCCACTCCCATCCCCGCGGCGGCAGCACGTCCTCGAAGAACCGGGCCCCGGTCGACCTATCGCCCGCGATCCGGGCCGGCGAGAGGGGATCGTACGGCGACGCGCTGAACAGCCAGGGCTCCCACTCGCCGGCGCCGGACAGGCGCTGCAGCTCGAAGATCTCGACCTCGCGGGTCTCCGGCGCGTTGTCGAGGATGACATCCCGCTCGATCCAGTTTTCCACAAAACCCCGGGCTTTCTCCTCCTGCGGGTGTATGTGTTTCTCGTGCGCGGTCTGGAGCTGTCGTTGAATGGCTGGATGGCTCATACATGTGGCCGCCCAGCCCAGAGCTAGGAAGATGAATCGCCAGGGCAGGATGTTCGATGCGATGCTCATGAACAGACAGGCGACGAACAGGGCGACGAAGAGAGCGCTGCTCAGCGCTTCGTCGCTGAAGTTTGTGCGCGGCACCATGAGCCGGATGATGGCGTCGTGGAGCTGGCTGAAGTCCTCCATGCTGTTTTGGAGGTCCCGCATGTTGTGGAAGAAATCCCTACTTAATTCCTTGACGGGCTTGACGGTGATGGCGGGGGCGAGCGGCGGGCCGTGCGGTGAGTAGCCGATGGCTTGCTCGCTGGATAGACTGAACTCGGCGGCGGGGTGGCGGGCCACGAAGTTGGGTATTAGGATGGCGATTATCATGATTGTTAAGGGGAGAAGAGGTAGGAGGTAGGGGTCTAGGCAAACTAAGGTGTATACGGCGAGGAAGGAGAGGGTGTGTGTAGGTTGCTTCCATGATAATACCCGGCCTGCTCGGGCTTGGAACACGAAGACAACGCCTATTCGGGCGTTGAAGCGGCGGAAATTGTTGGACATAGTGGTTAGGTTGAAGTTGGGGCGCACCACGCCTGGACTACCGCCTTTTGGCGTGGGCTCATCTTGGGGGATGTGAGCATCATCGAGAGGCACGACTTGTGATAATAACTTCTCGACCAACTGGTCCTGAATCCTAGCTTTCTCTTTGAAAGCCGAGAAGCGGCCCCGAAGACCGGTACGTACCGACGGAGTCTCGCCATCGGAGTGCTCTGCCGGAGTTGAAGGCGTACGCGGTCTGGCCGGCGCAGAGCCATCGAGGACGATGGATGGGATGGGATCATCGCGATTGACGAATACGTCCGCGTTATAATCGTCCATCTTATCTCTGTGATGCCACTATTTCCCAAATGATAGATGCTAGATGCCAGATGTTCCGTCATTCAAAGTCGCGATGACGTAAGGCAACGACCCAGAGAGCTTTAAAACAGCTTTAACCCTTAGCCGGCTTGGGCTTATGAGTTCAACAATGTTGTGTCATCATCTACTCGAAGATATGGGTTAATCCTCAGTACTAATATTAAATAGTTTTGTGTTCTGAAGAATTATGAGAAAGAAATGTGAAGCAACTGGATGGAATGAATCACATGCCACGCTGCCTAAGAGGCAGGGACATATCGGTGTTCCTGCCAATGCCGACACCTCTGACGTTAGCAGGTAGGATTAGCGTATCGATAGAAGGCATGTGGGACCTAAAGCACCAATAAATAGCGGGTCGTGCACTTGTTCTGGGGTTTGCAGGGGTACATATTACAGGGGTTGGTGGGTGAGCTACAGACAAAATTATTTCTAACGACACAACCAGCGTCAACACCTCTTCAACCTTAAACCCGCCACATACAAACACCAACAAGATGCCGATTACAATATTACAACCGGCAGCCGTCCCGGTTCACGGTCCCAGAGACCCCAGCTACGACTCCGACTCGGATTCAGAAGGAGGGGTAGATTTAGAAGGCGACATCTCCATGCGCCCAACCAAACGAGCTCGAAGGACAGACGACAACTCGATCGTGACCCCGGGCGAAATAATCACAGAAGATCCGCAATGGATGCGGTAAGCCGACCCCATTCTCATGCGAATCCCTCTAGATACAGCAAAAACTAACACAGAACTCCCTCCACAGCGGCCACGGCACATACACAACCGCCGACCCCCCCGCCATAAAATCCTCCGTGGCCGGGACCCTCTCCAAAACCAACAAGCTCCTCTCCGTGCGGCCCCTACGCGCGCGATACACTCCCGAGATCGGCGACCTCGTAGTCGGCCGCATAGTCGAAGTACAAGCGAAACGGTGGCGCGTCGACGTCGGCGCCTCGCTTCTCGCACAGCTGCCCCTCAGCGCCGTGAACCTCCCCGGCGGGATACAACGACGGCGCACCGAGACCGACGAGCTGCAGATCCGGACCTTTTTCTCCGAGGGCGATTTGCTGGTCGCTGAGGTGCAGCAGTTATACGGAGACGGCGGCGCCGTGCTGCATACGCGCAGCTTACGCTTCGGGAAGCTGCGGAATGGGGTGTTTATGGCTGTGAGCGGGACGGGAGGAGGCGGTGGTGTGGTGCGTGCGAAGCGGCAGACGTTTATTTTGGATATAAGTCGTGCGGCTGGGGATACGGATCGGATTGATGTGGTGTTGGGCGTGAATGGGTATATCTGGATAAGCAAGCATGTTGATGGCGAGGGAGCTGCGGCGGAGGGCACGGGACCGGGTATTACGCGGATTGAGGAGAGCGTGGGGTTGAATGTTTACTCGAGCCAGAATGACTCGATATCCGCGCCTACAATGCGGGAGATTGCGCGGGTGAGAGGGGTTGTGAATGCGTTGGTCGAGAATGGCCTACGTGTTGACGAGGAGATGGTGGTTGCTGGCTACCATGAAGCTGTGGAGATGGCGAGGGCGGATGGTGATGGTGAGGAGACGCTGTATCTCGGGGGTGAGAGGGGCAAGAGGCTGGCTGTTACGCTTACAGGCCGGTAAGGACTGTCTGCGGCAAAGAGGCCATGGAAAGACTTAATGCTCTACAGGAATAGGTTTAATACAAGATAACCTATGGAAAGGAGACTGATGCATCCTAACCTCTAGCTAGCAGATCCATATCAAATAAAGAGCAAAATACCATATATTTTTATATACCGAAGAGGTTTCATTTCCTATTAACAACCTGAAAAACACCATTCTCATTATCTGGCCTTCTTCGTGCCTCGAAAACAACACAGTTGCCTCCAGAGAATCAATACATTTGGCTCAAGCCTTGTAGTGAAGCCAATACTAACCCCATTAAATGGGATACAGTAAGGATGCGCAAGAACATCTTGTCTCGCGTGGATATTATCATACATATTCAACAACATACCAATTAATCCAATCACACCTAAAAGGTGCAAACCAGAATTAGAGCTTAGCTCGTGGTTCGTCATCTTTTCACTAGTCAGCCAATCCGAATATCAAACAGAATCCAACGACGGGAATGCGTCCTTTCCGCAGCGCCATTCCTTAAAAAAACCGGCTTGAACCTTTATACTGGAAGAAAGCGGCGTAGGCAGAGGCGAGGAGGACGACCCAGCGCAGCAACGCACCTTTGGCAGAGGGGCCACCGAGCCCGAGGATGAGCCACGCCCAGTAGCGTAGTCCGGAGATAGGACGGCCATCGCGGTCGAAGTCGGGCTTGGAGCCAGTCATCCACATATGTCGCTTAAAGTCGGATGGCGAGAAGGGCGCATACCGCACCCGTAGGAGTTTGTCCATCCATCCCGGCACCTCGACTATGGTGCGTCTGTGCGTGAAGCAATCGAAGCCTGCACGCCCGTGGTACGAGCCTGTGCCGGACTCCCCAACGCCACCAAATGGTAGTGTGGCGATGGCGCCGTGGAACCAGGCGTCGTTGATCGTGGCACCGCCGGAGGTTATTTCGTTTAGGACTGCAGGTATTATTAGCGTAAATTCGACTTGTGTAATATTTTCAGCCACTTACTTCTTTCGTTCTCGGCCTTCGATCCGAAGGTAGTAAGTGATAGGGGTGTAGGGTCAACTTCGCGTATGATCTTGATGGCGTCATCTAGAGTATCATAGGGAATAATAGACCACAATGGACCGAAGGATTCATCCTTCATCGCAGGGTCATCAGTAGAATCTACAAGGATAACTGTCGGTGAGATGTAGAGATCGGATTTATCTGCCTCCCCGCCTAGAACAATCTTGCCATTCGTACTGTCGATCATGTTCTTGATTCGGTCGAATTGGCGCTCGTTGACAATGCGCCCATAATCAGGGCTTGCTTTAGCTCCGTCGGGGTAAAACTGCTTGTAGGTTGCGTTGAGGTACTTAATAAAGTCCTCGACTACGTCTTTCTGGACAGCAACATAGTTTTGTGACAAACAGACTTGGCCGGCATTTATAGTCTTACCCCAAAGGAGACGCCTCGCAGCCAATGCAAGGTCGGTAGATTTGGAGATGAACGAAGGGTTTCGACCTCCGAGTTCAAGGACGACTGGAGTAAGAGTCTCGGCTGCCTTCTTCGCAATGATTCGTGCGACAGCGTTGTTTCCAGTGTAGAAAATCTTGTCCCACTTTTCATTGAGGAGGGCGGTAGTCTCAGGTATAGCACCATTCACGACAAAGAAGGATTTTGGATCGAGATAGTTCTCGATCATCTCCTTCATGACAACAGCGGTCGCCGGAGCGCCCTCGGAAGGCTTAATGACGGCAGTACATCCCGCTCCGATAGCACCGATAAGAGGCGCAATATTAAGCATTAGGGGGAAATTGTAAGGCCCAATAATGAGGACTGTACCAAGAGGCTCCTTTCTGATGCGTGGCTTTACGGCGGTAAACGTCCAATCATATTCGATATTCTTGTCGTCCTTTACCCATTCCTTCAACTTCTTGAGAAATGTATTCAATTCTTGAATACAATGGTGGATTTCGGATAAAACTGCATCGTGGTGCGGTTTACCAAGGTCCTTTTTCAAGGCGGCTTGGAGTTTTGGGGTATAATCTGTCAGACCCCAGTAGAGTTTTCGAAGCTGTACAAATCGCCATTCGAGGTCCTTCGTCTTCTGAGATTGGAAGGACTCTCGAGCTGTGGCAGCAATTTTAACAATGCTGTCGATTGGCGTGGCCTCGAAGGCGGCAATCTTGATATCAGACGTCATGATTGTAAATATGGGATTCTGTGTAAGTCAAAGGCACAATTGTCACTATGAAGTGACATGGAGTAAGGAAGAGCTAGGTAAAGGATGAGGAGAAGGTTATGAATTATCTATGAGCTTTTCCCAGAAGCTGCAAGGGCAGATTTAGCTTTGAATTTTTGATTTGTCTCTCATTTATTGGCAGTTGCTACGTATTCGAGAAAGAGCATTTCATGTTTCCCAGGTAGGAGTAGCTATCGGACGTGTTGCCGTGTACATGCGTATTACGTGAACATTAAGGGACAGAATTACAGGGATAATTCATACAAGCCGAGGCTTCCACATGTCTTAGCTGCTTAGTTTGTCAGCAACGGCCATGCGCGGACCCCGGTCAATGTCAGTATACAGTATATATCCCCAGATACACTGTAAATAGCATACTGTCAATCTTTGAAGCACAGACCACTCCAATCGACACTTTAGCTTGCCCTATCAGCCCCACATTATTTTCGATACACCAAAAAGTTCAAGGCTGATATCAAAATTCCGCGAACTTTTCATTCTCTCACTTCAACAACGCTTTTTTCGCAAGCAACATTCCACCGTCAACCATCTCAATCTTTAAACGCAGGATTCGACTTCTTTGCGTCCAAAACACAAATCATTAGAAATGGCTCCTCAAACCGTATGTATTACCTGACACCGCTTTGCTGCTGGCCCAGTCTCTCTGGTACTCGGCGAGATCATGGCGTGAAGTAGTAGGCTAAGGTCAATTTTCCATCATGTAGAAGAAGTCCGGCAAGCAGGCCAAGACGACGAAGAAGGTAAATTCTAACCCTGTTACCCCATCAATTGAAGTATACAGAATACTCATAAGCGCATCAGTTCGTCATCAACGCCCAGCAACCCGCTAGCGACAAGATCTTCGATACCGCTGCCTTCGAGAAGTTCCTGCAGGACAAGATCAAGGTTGACGGCCGCACTGGCAACCTCGGCGAGACCATCGTTATCCACCAGGCTGGCGAGGGTAAGATCGAAATCATTGCCCACAACGAGCTCTCTGGTCGATACCTCAAGTACTTGTGAGTATATTCTAACATTGTTTAATATCCGGTCCAATTCTAGATTTCTAACACTGGTTGCGTTCAGGACCAAGAAGTTCCTCAAGAAGATGCAGCTCCGTGACTGGCTCCGTGTTGTCTCCACCTCCAAGGGAGTGTACGAGCTCAAGTTCTTCAACGTCGTCAACGACGAGGCCGATGAGGATGAGGACTAAGCGAACACGCAATCATCATGGATGGGGGAACTGGCGGTAGTGCATGGACTCGACGCAGGACATGCACTTTTGCGCTATCATAGATAGACTTGGATTCCCAGGAATAAAATTCGCCAGTGCAAGGAATTAACTTCTTTTTCTTTTCCCAGTGATTCGTGTCGCCTGATGTTACATATCCTCTTCCTGGTAGTTCCTTATATATAAGGTATCTCATATCTCAAGGTAATGCTCTCATAACGCCTTCGAATGCAACCAGGGCCATGGCGTTGGCAGGGAACGCTCTCAAGAAACAAGGCAAAAATCCCCGCCAATACCCCTTAGCACCACCCTCCCTATATACGGCTTGCGCCGCCTCTCCCCAATTCTTAAATCTCGGCGTACCATCGTTGAGTTTCCCGCCCATAGGATCCGTCATAATACGTTGCTTCACAACATCACTAGGATAGCTAGTGATCCAGAAAACTTGAGCGCTCAGCCCACCCGCCCAAAAGTTTATCGCAGGTGCGCTAAGGCTTGTCCGATCTCTCATGATACGAGAGAAAACATCGTAAGACCCCCACCAGAAGAAGAAAAAGGATCGGAACAGCAGCGTTGCGAATAACCCTTTATACACCCCCGCGATTCCGTGTGCCCCGTAGATCTTGCGCACGCAGTCTACGGGTCCAGAGTAGAGCCGCTCGGATTTCTTGGCGGAGTACTGGATCTGCAGGCGCGCCTTGACGTGCTCGACCGGTGCTGCGATAAAGCTCACCGTGCTTCCCGCCATCACACCCGCGAGCCCGTGGCCGTACGATGGTAGGTGCGCGGCTGCATGTGAGGTCGCAGCGATAGGACCCTCAGCCTCAGGCTTTACACTAGAAGGCATAGTGGTAGAGTGAGGTGTTAAGTGTCGGTAGAAGACATGCTCAGCAAGGAGCCGCCGGTACACGGTTAAAGAGCCTAGCATGATGCTATCCATAAACATCCACCCCACCAACGGCGGCGTGGCGCCTTTGTACAGACCTCGCACGCCTTCATTGCGGATCGTTTGCACGACGCATTGTAGCGGCCCGCTGAAGCGCGAGGGGTCAGTTGTTTGGAGGCGCACTTTTATAGTGTCAAAGGGGTGGCCAACTACACGTTGAGTTAGTAATACATATTTTACTATTACGATGAAAATATATAAAAAGACACATATTAGAGTAAATAGTAAAAACTGACCCGAAAGCTTGGCGATTCCAGAGAAGACACCGGCTACGAACCCCTTGTAGTTCTTGGCCTTTTCCGGTTTCTGCTTCTGGTCGGCCGCCATCATGAATGCTACATTGGCGGAAGGGTAGAAAACAGATGGTGACGTCGATGAGATATCACTTATCAAAATTCAATAATTAATAATTAATAATTATTCAGTTCAGATCCGGATTAGTGCCGAGATCGGCGACGGGGGCTTGCAGTTAGGTGGAAATTCTCGGTCCGGACCGTAGGTACCTACCTAGGTACAAGGCATTATGAATTATTGTCCGTCCCTTCCTCGAGGATATCAAAACTTTAATGATCTTGATCTTGATCTTGCCGGAAAATAAGTCCGATGCTGGCCTGCTAACACTCTTCAAGGTTCCCTCATTCTTCGCTAATCCTCCATCGCTCCCTAAAATCATGCGTATAACTTCACCTCATCGCCCGGGCATATCGATTTACGTCAAGACACAACTTGATAATCCAGCTTATCCCAATAGATGATCTCTACCCCAAAATAAGCAACACCATTTTCTCTCAAAAACGTCACCATATCTCCGCATGCTTGCGTCCACAAATCCTCGTCCTCAACTTCATAATCTCGATCGTTCTCGTCCCAAGCCACCACCATAATCGTCGGTACGGCAGCGGTCTCAGAGCCTTCCATTCGCCTATTGGCCCCCTCGAATTTAATTGACCACCTCTCTCTTAACTTCAGCCCTAACCCTAGAAAGCCATCTTTTGCTTTCAAATCTTTGATTGTGGCCTCATGTTCGCTACCCAGGTTCCGTTCCCCGTCCCGCGAACACCATGGTTCTAGGGCCGGGTAGCAAACTCGTTTCTGCTCCACCTGAGAGTATGGGCTGACATCCGCGGTCATCCATGCCTCGGACCGGTTCGTGGTAATTGGTTTGTTGATACGAGGGAAAGTTTGCGCTCTATCGAGCATCGATAATCTTGCGGCAGCCATCAGTCACAGCTAAACCAGAACTTAATTCGTTTGAATGTTTGCGAAGTATTGTCACAAAAGTTACTGAAGGTAAGTAATCTGAGGTTAATTAATACCCAGAGTTTTATATATGTGCTGACGCTGACGCGACCGGAAATAATCATCAATAGTCTGGATGAAGATGTTCAAAGATGCGTCAACGCCACCGGCAGAACCATACCTTCGTCTACCACAAGCCAGCAACATAAATATACCCCCAGATGCCAAGGGTGAGCAAGTTCGTATATATTACTAGTAATGTCTTTAATAAGCCCCCTGCTGCGCCTCTTATAAGTTGTCGGTCTATCATTCTACATGAGTGACGATCTCACATTCGAATGGTGAAATCCAACTGACACTAGCCAAACTTTGAGTTGGCGCGACCAACCGGGCGAAGATATTTCGACCTTCTTGTGTTTCACCTCACCAACTCAAATCAGGCGGAAAATTCCGCCAGATTTTACTCCTTACTTCACTTCAGTGGATACCTACCAAATAATATGAAGCTTCCCAGCTCCACAAGCTGTGGCCTTTACCAACAGATGGCTTTCCTTGGGTTGTGGCCCACTGATCCCCTGATACGGGTTTGCTAAGCCGCATAGGAACCACCCAACTACCGGGTTGATCTCTCATTTTCATTGATACATACCACCGCCATCTTCCATCTACTAATTTTCGAACACATACGTACTAGCAAGAAACATTTCGATGATGTCCCCAGTTGGAGAGTGAGCAGAGATACAGCGATGGCCTTGGATAACTGCCCCTATTCTATTTGAATTTGTGCTTCCCTTTGTTTCCTCGATACATTGAAATCTATAAATACATATAAGAACATCCAAACATCATCCGATAAGTATTGAATGAAACAAATCCCTAGATTGTACTACCTTCGCTTATAAGATCATCAGAGTTGCTAGAATAGACGCAGTTGTACCCTAGAAGTGAATATCATAGCTACCTACCAAGGGTCGTAGCCATCGCCTAGAGATGAGCGATAGGACGACTGCCGATGTTCGTTGACAGGAAATATCAGATGCTGAAGATTACACGCTTCCCGTGCCTTCATTCTTAACAGTTAATATCTGGAATTAAACATCCGTTATATCAGACTCGAGTGTGCGTTTGCTTCAGATATTTTATTTGAGTAGTAATCTAACTCGTGTCAAACAAAGTTACTCCAATGATGGAAACATGTTTTCATGATCAATTTGCTGCAATTGGTTCTCATCGATATTTAAGAGGGAGTTTCATGTTCAACTTTCGCACGTAAAATGTACTTAGATTCCCCCAACAATACTGTGCAGTTAATTATCTACCCGGGGATTCAAGGGTTTGTTACTCGGCCGGCGACCTTGCTATCCGCATACTCTAAGTATAAAGCTATTCCGAAGAAATATTTATAAGAGATACATACACCGTTATCGTTTATCATTCTAGATCTCCCAGTCGCAGACAATCTTCGAAGTTCCAGTCAACAATAGCCTTCTCTTCAACTCACAGTCACTCGTTCTCAACCGATCATCCACAATGAAGTTATCCGCTACCTTATTCTTCGTCGCCTCTCTTGCGGCTACTACTACGGCAAATATGATATGCCACGCCGGCGACTCAGATCATTGTTGGAATGGGGATGAGAAACTCGACTGTATCATTGGCGTAAGGAACCCCATAAAGTTACCCAGGTAGTAGTGAAACGAACACCGCTAAAACTGCTTACAGAGATGTGACCACGGATGTGTGGGCTTTTGGGGCAAGGTAAGTACTAACATTATCTCGCATGTCAAGAATTATAGCTTTAGGGGCTAACCACGCATTTCTAGGCCCTTTGCTTGTCTTAGAAGCAAGCAAGTCGAGCTCTTGGGCCTCAAACAAGTATTGATTTACAATGGCTGAAGTCGATTATTTAGGTACCTTTGAGAAATATCATGGGGTCTTTCGTTAGTATACAAGCTGGTTCATGTATTTATGTTATATTTAAGAAAAGTACCGGGGTACTTTGAAGCTCTATGAATGAGATCTTCTTATTGCTAAAGGTTGCACACCCTAGAGATCGATTTGAAAATTCATTGATGTAAGACCTTCTAGAGTACCTAACAATTGACTCGACAAAAGATACAGCTCATCACTTATCATAATCGGCTTTGCAACATCTTCTTCACCAAACAAAGTCATCATCTTCGGCGTGTTACTTGAAAATACACATGGGTTATCAATTATACCTAAATCACGAGTGCGCAAGGGGAATGATTAAGTAAATGCTGTATACACCTGCATGCGATGTACCATAACGGAAGAAGTCAATGCTTACCTATATTTTTATATTTGAACTATTCTTTATCTCGACCATGGCCTCCAAACCTTAGACGCCGAAAACACCATCTAAAGCTGCGATAATATCATTCGCTAAGCCGGAAGTTCTGAGTCCAATAATTTCAACAGATGTCACGGATTGCAAAATCATCATGGAAGCTCCTGCGCCGATAAAGGATCTGCAGAACGAGATTGCCAGCATGATCCCCAGAGTTTTAGGAGACTGTGTCGATATCAAAATAAAATACCTCCGACGCGGCGCCGGCGAGGTCCCTCACCACCTTTTCTGGGCCAAAGTCGATCCGCACGGCCTCATGTCTCGAGATAAAAGACTATGGAAGGCAGCCCAGCTAGATATGCAGGTACCCACCATCACCATAGACTACACCAAACTCGATAAGTCGCAGCTTACCCTCGAAGGGGACGGGTGGGAATTGGTCGAGGAGGAGATGGGTAAGATCATCAACAAGTACACCCAGATGTTTTTCAACAGAGGCAAGAATTACGAGCCCTGGCGTGGGTTGGATCCTCGCTTAATTCTCTTCAAATTCCGTCCGTATAACCTCACCATTGGACCTACATGCGCGCGAGCAAGAATACCCCCGCGGTGCTCGCAAGGGTACAAGATGTTCCTTGGTATCGATGACGTGCAGGTCCTAACCTACAAGACGATGTTGCATCTGGATAACCCGTATGATCCGAATAGAGGGCCCTGGGAGAGAGAATGGATTGAGTGGAATGGTGATTTAGCGGAGAAAGAGGCTCGTGAATCTAAGGGATTAGAGTCAAGACATGGGCATGGTCGCAGTGGGGGCGAATGTGTTGTCTCATGAGATAAATTTGACATACTTAATGGGTAGGCCTTGGTATGATTCGATATTTGCCTAAATTTTAGGAACCAGAGGGCAGTTTGTACTTAATGGCCACTATTAGAGTTGTCTGCACAACTAAATGCCGAACCTATAAGACCAGTCGCATAAGCATCTTTAATGGCAAGAATTGTTGAGTATCTACAAATAATTAGTTAAACGATTGATACCCTGGGTACTTAGGGGGGCCACTTACGTTCCGCCAACAGTGATGAATAACCCCAAGACAACAAGGAACCAATGGAAGAAATATTGTGATTTCTGCCAAAGGCTCCCGGTACGATAATGCGAGAAATCGAATAGCCACAGGATTCCCGGGACCGAGATGGCCATTGGGGCGAAACATATCGATCCTACTAAGGAGAGTAGGTAGTTGAATATCGCTATAGATTCGGCGAGGATAAAGGCGACGGCTCCGAGACCAATGGAGCAGCCGAGCCATGTTCCCCAGTGGATCGCGGTGTTCGATTGAAGATGTCTAGTATTGCGTAGGATTCGGACGAACAGGTATTTGGCGGCTACATGTTGATAGACGCATCCGCTTACAGACAACCCGACCAACCCAATTCCATAAGAGACTTTCTTTATGGTTCCGCCGGCACTCCCTAAGGATGGATTCGCAACCCATTGACCAGTCCACCGATACACGACCAAAGAGAATGATAGATACATGCAGAGCACAAGGCCCATACATATGTATAGAGCTTTCTTAAAGTCTCGCGGGTTCCTCATTTCGGATATGACTGGCAGAAAGGCGGAAGTACCTGCACTCGAAACGAAGATCGTAGTTGTTGCGGTCATCCCTTCTGCGAAGGTTGGGTATGCGATAACGTGATACCCTAGATCGAATGGGCCTGTTTGCGGTGCTGCTGCTGGTCGATCAACTGTCGTGACGCCAATGACAACGATGAATACAGCGAGAAAGATGGAGAGGAAGCCCACCCAAGTGAGCCAACCGATATTGCGTAGAGTCCGGATCGAGGCGGCAATGGTGATGATAACGGTCGACAAGAACCCCCACCAAACGGTACAAGCAGCATGATCCGAAAGCGTGTTGAATGCTACCGATAACCCGATAATCCCAGTTCCAGCGCAGAGAACAAATGCGATTAGGTATAAGGCCCCAATAAGTTCCTTGAGCCAAACACCACCTACTTTATAACCCATGTCTGCTAGAGCTATATACACATTAGCTATATGATTTAAGTGACGGCTTTGAAGCGACTTACTATGACATTCAGGATGTCGCGTCTTGAAATCGCCTTGTATGACGGCCGTATCTATGTCATTTCTTAGATATCCTCTAACAACATGCCTGAGTCCTTACAAGTGTTCATGATAGACCATCCTACGACTGATAAAGCGCCACCAAGAGCACCTAAACTATACATGGCCGACGGTACTAGTTTCTGTTAAAATCGTACGGGGGGACGTTGAACTATGCGTTCTAAGATAGACATCATTCTGGTAAAAGGTAGTAACATACTGTGATTGGTTAACTTCAAAGCTCATAATAAGATAACAGAGTTAGAAATATTTGGACTTGCCTTGATAATACTCCTGTAGCAAAGATAGTTTTCAAGAAGATGACAGCGGCAAAAGGCCAACTGACATTACGGAAGTCAACGCCATCCTCGGTTCTCTTGAAGACTTCCTGGCTTTCAAGCTCGGCTTCGTTGATAGATACACTTCCCGATCCATTTCCAGCAGGAGCCAATTTGGTATCAACCTTCTCCTCCGAAGTTCCTGGTATGATTACGGCGGCCATTCTACGGACTATCGTAAGTATTGTAAATAGAGATTGGACGTGTAATGTAGGCCAGTCATATACAAGAGATTACCCCGAAAGGCGTCTGAAACATCTATGTATGTCCGGCCAAAAGTGTCCAGAATGTTTATCTGCAAAGACATCGGAGTACCTCGACGCATGTCTTACTTAGTTATCTCTGCTTCTGCTTCTGCTTCTGCATGCTGCCAATGTTAAGGTCAAGGGGTATCTGAGACCTCCGGTAGATAGTGTAATATCAACCAATTAGAGGAAGACTTCGAAGTAGCCGAATTCCAATATCAGTAATTGATAATCGTATCGAGCCATTTACATAGGCCATCACGGTTGCCCGCATTAGGGCGTCATCATCCCAGCCTTCCGAGTAGCTCTTATCTGGGCTTGGCTGTTATAATTTCCTTGTGGCATATACCTAGGTATCTGACTAAGCTCCCATTATGCAGAAAATCATGTCGACGTTGACAGGGAAATGCTTGGCCAGGTGTTAAGAGAGAGAGGTCAGATAGGGAGAGTGGGATAGACATGGTTGTCAAATCATCCCACTTATGGTATCTGTGGAAAAGATCACAAAATCAGAATCAATGTTCGACGTTGCCAATTATAAACTTGTAATATTAACTCGACTTTACGTTATGAGGCTCGCGAGACTATTTTAACGTTTCAATATGAATCATGAAGGATTGAAAGGGTTAAAAGGGTTTGATGGAAAAGGATAAAACAAGAAGGGATTCGAGAACCAAACGGTCCAGGGTGCCAGGGGTAATCTTAACTCTATCTAAGACCTGGAGTGTATTGTACCAAGGTACCTGGAAACCGCTAAATTTAAGCCACGGCCGCGCCGTCGGGCGGGCAACCCCAACCTAAATTCAGCCCTACTTCACCCGCCCATCTGAGGTCCACCACTGCCGCGCTTATTCTTATTCTAGATCTCATTCTTACATTTCCAACCTTTCTTACCTACCTGCATAACGAATACACCAACAGACAAAACTTGATCGATGCTGACTGTGTAGAGCCGAATCAGCTTTCGGTCATTTCCTTTCTAGCTTTATAAGTCTTAGCGTGCTTGAGGACTGGCCGATGCGTTTGACCGGTCTCCAATGCTTTCTATCTTGTCAAGATAGACTAATCTCCAGCTGCTGACCCATACGGAAGACGAACAAACAAGACGTCAACCACACCTTGCTCATTTCGCAAGCTTTGTCAGGAGATCTCATCATAGTCGAATACCTGGTATGCCAGAATTTGGCAAGCGGCTGGGGGACAATGCGAAACATAGATAATTCGATGAACCCAAAGATAATAATCGATTATGGATCACTAGGTAAATTGTAAAGGGGGAGAACATCTTCTCTTTCTAGTTTCTCTAAGAAGCTCGGCGTCTGCTATTGATTTAAATATTACGCAAAGGTTCACGGGTTCCAGTGGCATTTATGGACAAGCGCCTTGGCCAACTTCTTCATTTGTTCGGGGCTAAATCCTTCGCGTCTCTCAGCTTGCTGAACTCAGCCTGCCAGCCCGCCCGCCCGCCTAGCGATACCTCCCTATGGATCGCTCTAGTAAGGCTCATTCGACAAGGTTTGGAAATTCGACAGAAATAGAACCGACCAATCCCAATCCCAGGGATCTCGTGTCTAGAGTAGATCGAGTCCACCATGAAAGGATTAGACCCCGGCAATACTCATACTATGCAGTTTTATGCTGCTAAATATTAGGTACGCATGGTACCTATGTAAACTGGTCATGGCCCACTCGCGCCGGCAACTTCCAGACCTGAGAACTCTCCTTCTTTTCGCCTTCCGGCCTTCTATGATGATCTCTTCTTTTTTCCCATCATGACCGACAATGAATCGACTTCCAGAAACGAATCAAGGCACCGTCACTTCTTGGATCCCGATTTCAATTGCACATCCTCATCAAGCCGGTTGCGACAAATATCTTTGGAAATATGTTGCAAACACAATCGCCGCCTGGGACCCGGGCTACGGCATCTCGGTCCAGACAGACGCAACATGCCTTCCTAAACCGGTGACAACATGGTGGTTACAAGATCGATTTGGACCGATTAAAGAGACAATACTTAGTATAGGACCTATTACTTGCCCTCAAGATTATTATACCGCCACTGCGTCCGCTAAAGATTCTTCGAGTACTTTTGTGGCCTGCTGTCCACTGTGCGTTTAACGATTCGCCTAGGAGACTTAAGATCTATATGTTAACAACTTGCCCATAGGAACTACGACTTCGTAAGCGCTATGGCTCCGGGAGACACTGGCCAATGTACATCAGACGTTAAGAAGGGGGGTATAATCACATTTGCTCAGAAAGATGCCAATTGGAAGGTTACCAGCTCGACTGCCACACAAGCGATGACCATCGCAGCTATCCCCGTGAATGGCTGGTCATTTGCTACACCCACAAATTCTGCTGCGGAAAATGATACGGATATTTGCGCCGCCTCGGTATCAGATGCATTGGCAAACCATATTGCGGCAAGCACTGCAAGCTGTGATGCTACTAACGATGGTGGAATTTCATCAAGCACTGCAGCGGGGATTGGACTTGGCGCATTTTTTGGAGTCACAGGGCTTGCTGCTTTAGGTGCCGGTTTATTCATGATGTTTAGGGCGCGGAAGGCAGCTCGACAACGACCTACGAACGCGCACATTGCTCATTTCGTAAATAACAGCGGCAAGGATATGAACTCAAGCGCACAAGTCCTTACAGCTTACTCACCCGAACCGCGAGAAGCGTACACCCCACCCGAAAGACCTCAATACCACCAAGTCTACCAAGCGGACGTCTGGGACGTTTCAGCTGCTGGTTTACCACCGCAATCTTTTGATAAACACACATATGCTAAAACAGTACCTCATGGAGAGATGGAAGGTACGGCATTCAAAAATATAGACGCAAGGACAAGGAGGAGAATGGAGCTCGAAGGAACAATGTTTCAAGACACCGATGGCAGGACGATGGGGGTGGGGACTACAAAATTCCCTATAGACTCTTCCCGTATAGATTCGGAAGAAGAGATAAGGAGAAGAATGGAACTCGAAGGCGAATTCGACCGAAACGTTAAAGTGTCTTTAACATCTCCTTGGTTAACAAAAGCCAAGCCATTACCATCATCAGAATCGTCATCGTCATCACAACACCACTTGCCTTATTAATATTATCAGATGGCGGTTATTAATACATATCAACCTCGTCACACACAGAAGATCTATCGCCAATCTGCGATATTCGGCTTACACTATATTCCAATATAAAATGGAGAATACCCCTACGCATGATTTTAAACATACTACGGTACACGGTACCTATATCTATATTATGCTATATACTGGAACATACAAAGCGCATATCACATGCACATACCAAGATATATGTGGATCGAAATTCATTGTACATACTTTTCGCGCCATTCTAACCCTTTTAATCGACCGCCACGACGAGTTCACACGCAAAATCCCTCAGGAGGGACAAATGAATAGCCTCCGTCAATAATATGGTCATTACAGAAACTACCTAGTTAGGAGGACATAAGCGAAGACGACGAATTGAAGGGAACCCATTGGGATCTGAGGGTGACCTAGAATAAGCAGCCTTGTTCAGAATTATCCATTCTGATGATCTCATAACATATAACGATATAGCATGAGGAGACACCGCTCTCATGGCATTTCCAATACGACTCAAATAGCTACTTCATTGCTATCTTTACATTACTAGTTTACGCATGTCACATCTTACAATTAGTCACACAGGATGGGCATATCGAGATCTGGAGAGCCGCATGGTACGGTACGACTTGAGGTCTTGGATTTTGCGTGAGGGATGTTACGCCTACTCGATGCCCTTGCATACGCAAGTGTCATGTTCTGTATTTCGGTGTTGAATCATTGCCACATCGCTTCATCAGTCATGTATTGCGGATTTTTGCCATCATATTTTATTTACGCAAATGTGAATGGTCGGGCTTTCATAGTCGCCAAGATATGAGTGGAACAACTTGCATACCATGTTTCCAGCGCCTTGTTACTCTATCGTAACCAAGTAAACGGTGTAGACTTGCCAACGAAGCCAGCCCATTTGATCTACCTTAGGGTCAGAAGTAGCGAGACACGAAGATTGGTACTACTCAAAAGATGAAACATCTTGTTTTAGATCGCCTTTCTCTACCAGATTTTACCCGGTACTCCTTCAGCCTCAATTGAACGACATGAGTCCCTGAAAAGTCAAACTGAGGTCCTAATAATCTCGTGGCAAGAGAGCAGGAAGACCTCGCACTTGGATGTTATGGTGATACATACAACCTACACGGGTTACGGAGCTGAACACAATGACAACGACATTTCAATTTGTTATTTATTTGTCATGAAAGACGTAAGATATTGGCAATATCCTGCGATTGATAACGTTCACGGCAAACACACGAAGCTCCATACCTCGTCTGGTATCCAATCCTAATGGCCGGAGGCATACGATGCTAGTCCGTTATGCAACATTGTGCTTCCCCTCAAGATCGTGCTACACCGAAAAGTGACATATAGAAAGCTACATGTGTATCTCTAGTAACACTACCTATGTCAGGAACGCAACTATTGACGGCGATCTTTTGACTCAGCACTCATGGCAGTGGCTTCGATCCGAGAGGTCGAGTCATACTCAATCATGGAGAGATCGAGGCGAGGACCACATTATTCCATCAACGGACGTAAATCAGATAACATATAAACGCCTAACTTAACCCTTTCTTTAGACGAAAAATCCTCCAGAATTCCCATCACCCCTCCTACACCCGCACCACCCCCTAACCAAGGCCTCGCACCAAGAACCGTCGCAATGTGGCCCTCTCAACTATCTCCATTCCTCCTCGCCCTCACCCTAACCACATGCGCCGGCTCCCCCCTCTACGCCGCCATCATCCCAACAACCGGCATACCGACGCCCCTCAACGAATCCACCCTGCCCATCCCCATCCCCACATCGAACACCACCTCCAGCCATATAACATGGCACGCACCAATCCCCGTCCCCACAACAACAGCCACAACAGCAACAAACAAAACCTCATCCAACACCACCCACACCCACACGAGCATCAGTTTCAGCGGTCTCTTCCCCCCCGCCATAACCACCAAATCCCACGTCCCCAGAGGCGACATCCACAGCGCAATCACCACAGCGACGCTCTACAGCAACGGCCACGCGTACACCGTGACGCAGTTCAGCGAGGTCAACCCGGAGCTGTCGACGATCGGGCTAACGACCACGGTCGTGGACGGGACGGTCGTCACGACGCCGGCTACGCTGCCGGTTGTTAGTGGGACGTCGGGGACTGGGGAGCCTTGGAGGACTAGTGTTACTAGTACTAGTACTGCTGCTGCTGCTAGTACGTGGTGAGGATTCGAGGATGAGTAGGTGGTTGTGTGGATGGATGTTGGACTATTGATGAGGATTGGATCTCGAGGGTGGAGGATGAAGAACGCTTACGGATTTAAAATAGGAAATGAGGGCGGGAGGGATGAGATAACAGCACATTATGATCATGGAAGTTGAATTTGGGTAATAAGGGTGTTGGTTTCCCTCCTTTTGATAACGCAATCATGATAGGCACTTCACTTATATGGAAACAGGGGTTATGGATGCTATGATGCCATGTTACTTTTTTAACAGTATTTTTTCACACTCCTTGAGTTATATAGAACCAACCTAGGAACAGCTACACAGCATCAATTTTGACGATTTCAAATACCTACCTACCTTAATCATTTCAGACAAATTCATATGACGAGAAACTTTGGGTGACAACCTCTCTTGAGCATCATTAAAAGTCAAATATTAAGTGGTGCGATGACATCGGACACAACAAATCCAAAAACCGTAATACAATTCCATTAAACGGTCATACTCTAAAACCAACGCTAAACCTGCCTTATAATCTCAAATATTTGCCCCCAACGTTAATTTCTAGGTATTTAGATGTACCATATAGCCATAAAACTCCCACATCCCACCCTTCCAGTCTCTAAGCGATATATATCCCCCTCACTCCTGCCACTCCAAAAGCCTTCCCGCTTCCAAAACCCCAACAACCTCACCATCCTCCACGACCGCTAGCACCGAATCTTCTTTACAAGCCGCCTCCCCGCCGTAGCCGGGGGATCTAAGCGGTTCCCGCAGCCACTCCGCGGCCTGGCTGATGCGTGTGTCGGCACGTATGCTAATCCACTCACCGCGTTCGACCAGCAGGTCCGGAATCGCAGATACGCGGGACGTGAGGGATTTCGTGTCGAGCTTCCTGACGCGGCTGGGCGAGGCGATTGCGTTGCCGATGCGTGCCCATCCAGATCGTGAGTCGTAGCCTAATTTTAGGATGTCTGCGCCGCAGGCCCCATTGTCGATTGAGTCGCAATTATTCGTGTTCGGGTCTAGGGGGGTAGTAGTGTTGGTGCTCTTGTTAGGAGGCGACCAGACGGGGATCTCGGCAAGCGGAACCGCAATTTCGCGGAGAAGGCGGGGTTTGCGTGCGTCCTGGCCAATAGCACCGCCGGGATGGTTGCGGGCGAAGACGGAAGGCACGGCAGCGTGCGTTTCGCTAGAGGCAACTACCGCTAGGGCGTCTCCGAGTGCTAGGGCTGTTGTCGTCGAAGTCGTGGGGGCCGAAACTCCGAACGACGCCGTTTCAGGCTCGTGGATTGGGGCCGGGAGGAGGATGGCGTCCGGGCGGCGGCGGATGATCTCGCAGGCGTCGGGATGGGTGTGCGAGGTTAGCACGATAACGGGGAGTGCGGCGTCCAGGTGCGGCAGCAGCGCAAGTAGCTCCGCCGTCTTTCCCGAGAAGGTGATGAAGAGGACTGTGTCATGCTTCCCGATCTTGCCTAGGTCGCCGTGTAGGGCTTCGGTGGGGTGTAGAAACGTTGCGTGTACCCCGAGGCTGTTGAAGGTAGCAACGAGCTTTTTGGCGATGTGACCAGATTTCCCTACGCCACAGATGACTAGCTTGCTACCCCGTTCGCCTCCGTGCCTCGTTATAGCGCCTACCGCGGCGTCAAATCCCTGTGTCGCCGTGGCATCGGTCTTGTATAGGTGGGTGAGGCTCCGCAGAGCAGTCGCTTCCGTGTTTAGGACATGGACGGCACCCGAGAGTCTTTGCTTGGTAAGCGAGTCCGTTTCCGGGGTATTTTCAAACGCCTCAACATCGTCCAGGCAGAGCTCATCGATAATGGTGTTTGGTTCGGCTTCCGTCGGAGTTGATGGAGACGGTGGAGAAGGAGGTGGAACAGTAGGACGCGGTGTCAATCCTAACAGATAGACTTCGCTATTATGAACAGGACAGTGCTCAACCATTGTCATATACCAGTATTCTTCGCCAATAGGCGGCTGAAGTAGTAAGGCTAGGAATTGTCAAAGATAATTGACCACAATCCATTCACCTTGACACACGAAATTGCACTATTCGAATATTCCAAGGTGCCCATAGCACAGGATCGTAGGAAGCTAGTTCAGTCCTCCATGACGATGACAATGACAGTGACAGTGACAGTTGTGTTTGAGAGGGGAATTATCAGTGCGCCTTAGATCTCCCTCGGAGTTTATCTAATGGAGGTTTAATATATTTTAGCCTCGAGTGGCTTTTTTAGTTCCGGAACAGCTAAGATGCCGCGACCTCCAGGGCCAGGTTAGTCACCTACTCAGGCAGAGTTGGTCTATTAGCGATCGAGACAAGAGCGAAAGTATCTTAAAATCTCAAGATCTGGATGAAAAGTGCATGTTTAGTATTTGCAAATCAAAAAAAGATAACACCGTCCGGGCGGACCGCGAAAGCCGAAGCTAAGCAAAGGGTTGATGCTTGTAAGGAGGGCCGATTATGTTGATTATCTGATGAATCATGACCGAATGCGGATAGGTACAGGCCGAGATCCATGCAGCTAAGAAGAACTAAAGATTGACGTGTAGGGGATCAGATCTTGCGTGCTCCTTGCCCTTACATGCCTATCCGCCCGGATAGGACCGCGAACTCAAGAGAAGAGTTATCGATGTTTCAGTTTCAGACAATGCGTTCGTCTTAAAGCCGATTGCGGCGGATGAACGTTGTGGAATCCAGTGATATCTTTTTCATGTGCGATGACCCGCATAAAGATTCCTTCAACTGAAGCTAGGAACCGTGGCTAGCTAGCTGTAGATCCGCGCTTTACCGCTAGAGCTAGGTTCCTAGATAATATATTTGCTAACCTGCTATACCCGACCTATCCATGCTAGGTAGGTGGTATTAAAAGCAAATGTTGGTCAATCAATGCTTTAGCGTGTGCTGCGGGGAGTTTCTGAGTGGTCCCTTAGAGCAGCCGTTGAAAGGGCTCAAAAACCACGCTGCTTTTAGCCAGCTCTGTCTTAGTCATCATAAGATAGCTGCCAGATGAGGGGGGTGACACGGATTTCTTGACGTTATAAAACGGAAAATTCACGAAACTTAGGCATGTATAGGGGTTAAAAGGAGAAGTTTATTATCGACCTACGGCTTCGCATCAAATGTTCTGTCTCGACGACTGAAAGTCGGTTGATGAGTAAGGACCCAAGCTTTAAAAAACAACTTTGTAACCCTATTGGTGGCTATATCCGATCAAATGCATAATGTGACTGTCGGGGAGTTGGGGTTGAAGAATCGTTGCCTCGAATCGATCCTTTATTTTGAAGAAAATAGGTACGAATCCTGATCGTCTCCTTTAATCTCAAATGTCGACTTGATAAAGCTATTGTATTGGTCTCAGGGAATCTCGTGGATGTGAGCGCAAATCACCCTTCTCTCCCCGCCCTATTATATACCGCCCTTTATACACCGCTACAATTTAGCATGTCCCCTATTACATTCCAGATCGTGTCTGACTTACATCTGGAGACACACCAGTCGTATGACTTCACCATCAGACAGACAGCTCCCTATCTAGCCCTTCTTGGTGACATTGGCAATGTTGTGGATGAGGGCCTGTTTGAGTTTATCAAAAAACAACTCACTCGGTATTGGGTCGTCTTTCTTCTTCTAGGTAATCATGAGCCTATGGGAACCAGCTGGTCATTGGCAAAACGCCGAGTCCGCGACTTCGCAGACCAGATGGAGCGGTTGAGGACACGATCCACAATCGGCAGATTTGTCTTCCTCGATCGGACGCGATACGATTTGAATGATACGATGACCGTACTAGGCTGCACATTGTTCTCGGATGTCGGGGCTGAACAAGCTGCAGCTGTCAAGAGCCGGCTAGTTGACTTCAAACAGATCCAAGACTGGACAGTCGAGGATCATGTGGAAACTCACAAGTTGGATCTTCAGTGGCTTAACGCACAAGTGTGCGACATAACCAGAGAAGAGCCTAGGAGACAGATAATCGTATTTACCCACCACAGTCCGACTCAAGATGATAGGGCTTTAGGCCCGGGACACATTGGCAGTCCCGTCCTGTCTGGTTTCGCTACCAATCTAAGCATCGAGGAATGCTGGAAGAACCATTCTGTTATTCTTTGGGGGTTTGGTCATACCCATTTCCAATGTGATTTTACAGATGGCTTCGGGAAACGAATTGTAGCGAATCAAAAGGGCACTTCCCAGATTCCCTGTGATGGGTTTAACGCTAGGATGACTTTCTTGATTGGCAAAGATGACCAAAAGGAAACTTCGGGATTGATCTGAGATTGTACTGAGAGTTATGATGTTCTTGCGGAAGTAGGCATTTTGCCAGAGAATATCAGAATAGGGGAAACTCGAAAATGCTAGTGATAGACTGGGCAGTTTAAACTCAAGAACCCGATGAAGAAGCTAAGGTGAAATAGCCGGAATTGGCTCTGCTGTTTCCTCTCGGATCTCCGTTTTCTTAACATATCCGTTCATAAATTTCATGAATCTGACTGTCCGGGGCACGTGACTAATGCCGGAAGAGACTGAGTAAAAGCGGCATTCCAAACCTGCCACGCCCTCCACTGAGAGGCAGCTATTGGTGTTCTCTGAGGATACGTACCACTCATTTAGCCCCAGATGCCCCAGGAGATAGTTGACCCAATAAGAGATAGAACTGAGGGCAGCCACTTTAAAGGCTCTGATGTTCGGTCCCTAAGACTGAAGGTGCAAAACGTGGCTATTTTATGGAGGGTGTCAATACCGCAACCTTCAAACAGAAGGATCGGCAGATATGCTGCATCTAAACATAATGGGACGCAGGGTCAGCGGCAAACACGGAAAATGCGTTCTCTTGTTGAAGCGCTTGTAAGTGCTATGGAGACTAGTAGGTGTCTTAAGTCTCAGTGGTAAGGGATGGTAGGCAACTAGCACTCCATCGAATAACACCACTACGCCATTGCAGCACAGGAAAGATAAAGATAAACGACCTTGTGTAGATTATCTAAAACGAAAACGCGGTGTGCTGTGCTCGTACATATTGTGCAGAAACTTCTGAGTCTGTGAGAATTGAGCGAGCAGGCGGGTGAGAGTTGGAGATCCCGTAACGGAACAAGATTGAAAACGAAAAGAGAAGCTTGAAGAGAAGGGAAGAGATAAGATAAGCTAGGCTGCACTGTTTGGCTGGTGGAGATCACTCCATGTGAAGCATGAAGCACAGACCATATAAAAGCTTATGTACAGTTCGACCAAGCAGCTGCGAGGCTTTTGGTGGAGATTAGCGGGTCTCGATACGGATCGTAATGCTAGGAGGTGACGCCAGTCGTGCCAGCCACATGATCTACGTCCCATTCACAATGAAAATGTGCTGTCCTTCCAAAACCCAACGCATTCTTCCGAGTCGCAGTTTCAACATCTTGATATCTATGAACAAACGACTATTCAAATTGTCTTCGAACGGGGACAAATAATTGAAGGATAGGAATAATCGACTCCTTTTTCTCTCCATTTCCCTTTTCCCCCTCCTTCTCTTCCCGAATTACAAGACGCCATGACGCGACCGATAGTTTACGGCGTCGCTCTGGGCGTCTTTGTCTTAAGTACGTCATTGTTTGTCTCCTTATCGTCCCACGAGGCACCCAGGCAGAAGCAAACCGATGCACTCGATACTCAACATTCACTCCACCCCTTATTTCCTTTATGATAATAAAAGTTATATGTAACTAGTTGGAATGGAAAATGTATTTGCTTGATGGGAATTGTTTAAATGAATGCAGGATTGGAATTGTTCCTATTCCAATCAATCACACTTGAAAGATGGCATAACCATTCCAAGTGCGGAGCTGCAATACACTAACGCTAGTCTCCACAACAGCAACTGTTATGACGATAGTCTCTATCCTGACGCCCCACTGGGTCTCATACTCAGTTACAGCCGACACGGGCTCGAAATTTACGAAATACATCGGGCTTCATAAGAGTTGTTCCTCGGTCGACGACCCATCGTGTCGGCCATTCCCGAACGACGATGACTGTCGCGACGACCAGTTCTTCTGCTCCATGTGGAGGAGCAGCGGCTTCCTCATCTCTTTCGCCACCATCGTCGAGCTCGCGACACTGATCACCTTCCTCGTCGTCATGGCTGGAGGCAAGTACAAGCGCGAGACGGGCTGGAAGTTGATCGGCTGCTTCCTAATCGCCGACGCCGCGGTCGAGTTTGCAAGCATGGGCATTGTAGTACGTAATTTCATATAAACGCAAGTATTCTAGAGCTACTCCTGACGATTGATATTAGGCCTACCTCTTCGACACAGATTCTCAATTCGTCATCCCTGGCTGGTCCCTGGATTGGTCCTGGATCCTATGTACCGTCAGTGCCACTGTCTCTGTCTTAATTGCGGCAAGTCTGGCGGCCTCCGCCTGGCTACTTCCTCCGGAAGACGACTACGAATATCTGGAGGACCCAATGGATGCCTAAAAAAGAAACGGCCCAGGGGGTCATATAGGCGGATGAATGAATTGATGATGAAATGGATGGAGTATAGATCTCCGTCGCGGGGCCTCCGACCTTGGAAACGACATGAAACGCCATGCAGGAGGTAATTAGAACACCAATTATCTTGTTCGGTGAGGGTTTGAACTGGGAAATAGTGCTGCGGTGTTCTCCGTCGGTGGGTGTGTGGTATATACACGGCATGTGGCGTTTTTGGGAGGGTCTGCTTTTTGTTTCTTTTGGCTGCATTAGACGCATGGCTATCGTCTAAATTGCACTTGATTCACAGGCAGGTTGTCACGATCAGGCAGGACTCCATCACATTGAAATAATTAGGGAATTATGGAAAGAGTAACATTTTGGTCCATAATAACTTTTAGCAGTTTTGCTTTAGTCCAACATGATGATCTCATCGTGGGAAATTGGGTATCCTATCAGTCTATGTGGTGGAGCTGTGTGCGTATATCATGTCCATGATTAATAGTGGTAATGTAGATCGCATTGTAGTTGGTGCTCCAATCAATCTTCCTCATCGTCAGAATCCGATTCGGCCTCTGAAGCATCAGACGAAGAAGAGCTACTGGAAGATGTCTCAGCTTCATTGACCCGCAGCTGGGGTTGCGCAACCTCGTCCTCCGAATCATCAGATGAACTACTGCTGCTATTACTATTACTCGACTCTGAATCTGATCCGCCTTCGGCTTCGGTTTCAGATTCAGACTCCGAACTAGTCTCTTCTTCGACGACTGCAGTCCGCACCTTTCTCTTTCGCTTCACCCTCTGTGGGAGGCTATCCTCATTCAACCGAAGGCGTAGGACACCCTCAGTTTCAGCCGTTGCACCTTCACTCATAGCGCGCTCAAAGTCCTTAGTGTAGCTCCCCTTCTCGGTCGAGCTGGTAGTTGTAGTAGTCGTTGTAGATGCCTCAGTTTCAGTATCAGATAGTTCGTCCAACACGTTCTCGCAGCGCATTCGCTTGACAACCCGGCGCTGCATTTCTATATCAGAAGTGCGGAGGACGTAATCCACTTCCTCGAAACGCCGTTTCCCAGGTGTTGTCCTCTGTTGGCTCAGAAAGGCGGCAATGACTTCCTGGTACTCCTTTTGCCTTCTTTCAGCCGTCTCCTTACTGGACCCAGGGAAGCCTTCCGTCCCCTGCTCCATATCCTGTACCTTAATGCCAGATGCAAGCTCCTTTAGTCTTGACCTAACGGCACCCTTCAATCCCCGGATATATTCGTAAAAGATGTGAATATCAGCCGCCGGGATGGTAGTTTCCTCAGCGAAAACCTGCTCCAATAACTTAGTCTGGTGGTTCTTGTTAAACTTCCAGGTGTCCTTAGATGTATGCCACTGCCGTAAGTACGCAAGTGCCGGTTCTAGGTTTACGGGGGCTTGTTTCTTGATTGGTTGCGTAAGGGCTATGGTGGTTTTCTTAGCAGCAGGTGTGGCTTTTCGCTTGATTGTGGGCTTCGTGCCGTTTGTCGTTGGTGTTGCTGGAGTAGTAGCTGGGGACCCGTTGTCTTGGGTCAGCTGAGCCGCGAACGAGACAGACTTGGATTTCTTTGGGGTATGAGTGGAAGAAAATTGAGTTTGAGAAAGATCTTGCTTGGCTTTTTTGGCGGAGTGGTCTAATGCAGGAACGCCAGAAGATTTTCTCTTCGCATTGGTGTTGACGGGACCGGTAGGATTTTCCCGACGATGGTTGGGCACCGGCGCAGCGGCTATACTTGTAGGTAGGGTAGGGTTCTGGTTCTGGCTCAGGTTCTCGGATGCAGGCTTAAGCTTAAGACCCAATCGTTTCCATGCTGGAACTCGCTGCGCTGGCGCGTCCCCAGTGGAGAGAATGGAAGACATTGAAGAAGGTAGATAGAAAATTAGAAAGTCAGTAAGGGCGAGGGATATGAATGAAGAATGATGCTAGGAGGTGTGACCACTGCTACCACCACCAACAACTAGTGACGGCAGATCGAGATGCAACCTATGTAGGTACCGGATATCCACGTGCCTCTGACGTTTTGTCCGTCTTGACCTGTCTCAAGCCTTTTACGATAATGGTATAGGTAGTGGTTCAATTTCAAGAATTTGCCTTCGTAGATGTAAGACCGGCAACGCAAGTGCACTAGCCTGTGTGTTATATTCGAGAATTGCCGCCAATGAAATTTTGGTGAAGTCTTCACATTTCACACTTTTCAGTGGGGAATCAGGAATTTGTTTAACATGGATTGGCGAATATGAGATCTCATGTTGGCTGGTTGGATAGAAATCGTTATCTTATCTTCTGATAAAGATTTGATAAGCTCGAACTCGAAGGGAAGTGCGTGCCAGGTGGTGACCCACTTCAAGTCCGGTCTAAATAATATCCGGGTGATAGGGTCCAAGCTTAGGCAAGCTCGGAAGGTGCCTGGCCTGGGCTATGGTCATAGCTTCGCTGCTGCCGTTCCCCAAGGCTCCAACCTGGCGCGTCAGAGCTTCTAGGGCTAATAGCAGGGCTGAACTTGCTGAACTTGTTCCCAACCTTGAAGCTGCTTCCAATTCAACCTCACTCCTTCAACTTTACCGATCACCTTTACCGACCTCCACCGAAAGAAAAAAAGCCGCATTCCGATTTCCAAACAATCAATACCCACTACTCGATTCTCGTACGGCTTCACACCGACAATACTACTTCCAAGTTCCATCACTAGCAATCCTTCACCATGTCGGGAGGTTCGTTCGACGCTCCCTTGCTTCTTCGCAGCTGACATGCTCGTTCCGATCTAACTTCATACGCTTTATGACAGGTAGCGCGGGCTTTGACCGGCATATCACCATCTTTTCCGAGCAAGGAAGACTCTACCAAGTTGGTATGTTCTCATGACATCGATATTCACTAGGTTTTTCTCCAGGTCGTCTCTCCCCCAGAAGCCATAAGCACCTGAGGATCTGTGGGACGTGGGACGTGGGACGTGGAGGCAAAAAGCAAATGCAACATGGGGGTTCTCTTGGTTGCTGACGACGACTTTCTCATACAGAATATGCATTCAAGGCGATTACCGCTGCCAACATAATGGCAATTGGGGTCCGAGGCAAGGATTGCGCCGTAGTCCTTTCCCAGAAGAAAGTTCCTGTACGTGATTTCAGCTTCCGCCCAGTTGCGGTGAGGGTCGAATGGGCGAAAATGGTCGAATTTCGGCGCTGAAGCTAATGGTGATGGGAATCAATAGGACAAGTTGATCGATCCTTCATCCGTCTCCCACATCTTCCAGATTTCACCGTCCGTTGGTTGTGTCATGACCGGATCTATCGCGGACGCTCGGGCGTTTGCTCAGCGCGCCCAGGGCGAGGCTGCGGAGTTCCGATACCAGTATGGATACGAGATACCGTGCGATGCCCTCGCTAAGAGGCTGGCCAACATTAGTCAGGTCTACACTCAGAAGGTAAGACGTCGTCAAACCATGGTAAGGCTCGGTGGCCACCAAGCTGACCTTTCTTTTCTGATAGGCGTACATGCGTCCCTACGGCGTGGCGACGACGCTTATATCATTAGACTCGGAGTTCGGCCCACAACTTTACAAGTGTGACCCGGCAGGCTACTACGTGGGTTACAAAGGAACTGCCGCCGGTCCGAAGCAGCAGGAGGCTCTCAATCACTTAGAGAAGAAGCTCAAGAACAAGGATCATGCAGAAGGCACATGGGAGGATGTTGTGGAGTTGGCCATTACTACGTTGAGCACGGTCCTCAGCATGGATTTTAAGAAGGGTGAGATTGAGATCGGAATCGTTGGAGGCCCCCGAGCGGACGGTAAGGGGGGGTCAGATCCCTTCTTCAGAACATTGACGGAGGAGGAGATCGATGAAAGATTACAGGCCATCGCCGAGAAAGATTAGCGAAGCGAGGCGGTTGTGGCGTAAGGCTGGTTACTGATCAGCATAGCTGATTCGTTTAATGCTGACTATAGCAACATTGGATCCATTGTGGAAACGTGGGTTCATGCCGTACCCATGTCTCTCTGTGCGTGTCACTAGTTTAGATCCTTCATGAAACGGGACCTTTTGATGATTATTCCGATCCATACTTGTGGTATTATGGTATTATGGTATTGTGGTAATGTGGTATTGTGGTATTGTGGCATTGTGGTCATGGAAAACACATTCGCATCTAAGCGTAGCTCAGAGTGGCTATAGCTGAAGACGCTTATAAGGAAATACAATCGTTCAGGTGGTGGCGACATGGTCGATCTGGGGGGTTATATAGCCCCAAAGCGGTGAATAATTGTCATCAAGAACCACATCTTAGGAATTCGGATGTGACGTATCAGCATGCAGCACCATAAGCAGGTCAACTATTGTACCAGAACCAAAGTTACGAACATCTCGGGCGTGTGCTCATCATCAATCTCAACCGGAAGGCTGGGACTTGAAATGTCATCGTAACCACAGCCGCCAGCCACAAGATCGGCTTACCTCCAAAATGACCCGATCCAAACAACAGTGGTACCTCGTGGAAGACTGGGAATTGGGGGGTCATCCGAATTGACCAACAAGAGCTCGAAGAACGTGGGATGACAAGGTATGATGATCAATTGAAGATTCGGAACAGTCATTCCCGTCTTCTTTTTCTTTTCCCTTTTTCATTACTTGGCTTTCTTTACTTTTATTTTGCTTCCTTTCATTTTCATATGTTTCAACCTTTTCCCGTCAATGAAGAAGCGTGGGTATGATGTATGTAGATCCGCGTTCGTGCAGCTGGGGTTATGAAGTTCTTTTTTTGGCCAACGCTCGACTGTAGAGTGTCGAGATTTAGGAAAAATGTCCGTTTCAGCTACGCCCGGAACGGTGGCTGAGGTCCAACGGAGGGCCCCTATTGGCTATTAGCTTTTACACCTAAGTCCGAATAGTCGCACTACTTAGTTTTCTTCCACCTGAGAACTATACTGCTTTGAGATTCTTGGAGCTATATGTGGCGCCGCTGAAGTCTTCCTCTAGCTTTCTCGTCCGAGCCAACCCTATGTGCCCTACGAGGAGGCTCTTCCACCTTGAACCCTACGCACTCTGCCCCCTGGCATTAGCATCTCCCGCTTGCTTCCCTGTCCCTACAGACCAGTTCCCACTAATGGATCCGTTACTATGCCCTACCTAGGTACATGACGATGGACGTTAAAGTGTCCCTGCATTGGTGCTGCAGGTCGTGGCGTCTGTTACCCAGAAAGGCGCCTGCACGTAACATGTCTAGACGTACCGGGGCCCAGGGTCTCAACCCAGACTGATGGAGAGATCTAAGATACAAACCTCCAGCTCAGTCAGGATGTCCCAGGTTTGAGCTGTCAATCAACGTCCCGCTCTGCTGGTCGATAATAGTTCCGATTCGGCAATCGGCAGCGTAAGAGGTGGGTATGAGCTGACTTGGATATGATGTATACTATGATTTGCAATCTAAGGGGAGGGAGCATCAGCGCAAATATTCTTTCTCCTGAACCTCTCTGTATCGTGAGAACTTCGAGCTATCTCTAGTTGTTCGTAATAAGACGATTAATTCTACAAAAGCCGGATGATTTCGCTGCTCAAGACTCATTATGAAGCCGTCCTTTCAACCAAGTTCAACAGAGTTCCTAGACTCCTGCAGCCTTACCATCGCCTGCCATTCCCGCTCCTGAACTGGACATATTTCTCTATCCCACTGTATCATCGCTAATTCTCAATATCTTTAAACCCCCTTATCATAACTCGTTATTGCACTCCTGGGTTGAATCTTCATCAAACGACCAACAACTAGGAAATTACTTTCTGGAAAAGTAGAAAAATGGACGGACGTAAGTACAGACTGTTGGGTCCGCGCTGTAGATGCCCAAGCCGGAAAATAGGAGAGACACCTCCTTTTTCGAGTTTCTAACAACCAACTCAGTGAACCAATACCGAACGGAGCGGGTCGCCGACATCCTTGCCGATTTTCGAAATCTTCAATATTACATCGCTGCAGTGCCATCAGAGCCCGAAAATGCCGAAGACTACTACACCGAAGGTTGGGCGGCTTTGCGCCAATGCGCCATAGATGGCCTACACATTCTCAACTGCGCAGCCGACGTCACAGTACCTCAAGCCAACGGCGGCGAAGTGGAACAGCAACGAGCGGAGTTGAAACAGTACGTTTAATTCTTTGCTAGACCAGTAACAATACTATCGATTTGCTTCCGAGAATGGAGAAGACACTAACACGCAAAACCTCCCACAGAATCCTTTTAGACGCATTCTCTCGCAGGCACGAAGGCCAGAAGATCTACCTCCGCCAGGCAGCGGCACAAAGATGGATCGAGTATCGAAACAGCGTCCTCCAAAACCAGCCACCAAACAGTTCGCACAGACGACATCTCAGAGCCTGTGATGAACAACTACGAGGTGTACGGTAGATCCTTATTTCCCCCGAAGACGATTACTTGCCTAGCCTACCCCCTAGTCCCTCCAAGATACACACATTTCCTTCGTTTTTCGGACTTTCTCACTAACACACAGACTAGGAGCTATCACGAATTACAGATGAATACGTCTACCAAGAACTTCAGACCTCCGACATGTCGATGGGCCGCTGGACGGCCGAAGACCCTAGCCTCCGGTCTGTTCAGCGCTGGGTGCGGGCACGCCCGCAAACAACTTAATCGCCACTTCGGGGCGGACTAGAACACCTCTTCGAGGTTAGCGGACAGCGACTAGCCTCGAATTTGGAATGAGACTACTAAAAATATACGTGATGTGATCACGAAGAACACGGGCGAGCCGGTGCTATAGATTTCAGCACCTAGACGGAGGATCAGGACAGGGAACAGGGGAACAAGGGAAACGGGACACCGGAAGATCGACGAACTTGTCGAATACGTGCTCAGGAAACACACTCATTATAACCATTATAAAGTTTTTAGACTGGTGGGTTATGTTCACGGAACTGTTGATAGGGCATCGTTTGAGAGGAAAGACGCAGCAAGTCTGTAAGGAGACTGCCGGGTGCAGTATCAGCAAGCGTACCTAGGTGCATAACCCACCGGAGACTGCACATGGCATACGGAGGTTGACTTCGGTCAGTTGTATAACTAGTGCAGGACGAGAATAGCACTCGCTTCAGAATAGAATAGCATAGTTAGTAGCTACTATTACAATGTATGGATCTACCTAAACACCTACCAGGCTACCAGACTACCAGGAGCAGCAAAGTAAAAATGCTCGGTTTCGTATCTTACCTAGTGAACTCGGATCCACACGATGTCACGATCCTGTGAAGATTTTAAGAATCGCCGGGTTACCTCCCAAGATATCCCCATATGTCCATATGTCCTGTCTAGCCCCGGAGTTGTCCTAGTTGCTCGCTTAGCCCTCGAGGAAGATTTACCGATGTAGTCAAAAATAGTGTTGTACAAAATTGAAGCTAGAGTTTGGGCTGCCGTATGCCGAATGCCATGTGAGACTGAACATACGCAGCCGCTAATCAACGGCCGGACGGTTTAGTGCTAGAGTCTAGGGGCCGTCGGCAAAGATGATGACGAAAATTATCCACCAGTTCACACTAAGCCTATCTTTCTGCCGGTTCAAAGCCAATGCCACATGGCGATCCAAGGATTAGCCAAGGCGAACGTGTACTGATAGTTCTGTCGGCTATTGACGACAAGATAGAATGGTCTGGCCTTGTCGGCGGCGGCGGCGGCGGCGTCCACCGAACTCCATTCCTTAACGGGCGTGAATAACGACCACAGCCGTCGGGATTAACAATCTCTCCGATTCCTACACGACCCAGGATCCTACTATGTAAAAAAAAGAAAATTCCAGCGTGGGGCTTTCAGCTAGCAACGGGGAACGAGTCCATACTCTCTTCGCTAGCATTTTGGCCTCATCTCGACGCGAACGCGAGGGCTGCGAAGGAGAACCAAACTTTTTAACAAAAACCCCCAAAACTTCATAGGATATGGATACGACTTATACTGACCTGTTCTATTAAAAAAAGCATAGCCCACAGTAACGTGCTATCATGCGCTCAACATAGACCGCAACTCGCAACTCGCAACTCATTTGCGATTGATATGTCGCCCCTTGCCCAGCTGAACGGACTTAGACTATTGGATGTGAAGTTACCAATGATCTTTGCTGATGAGCGTCGGAGATCTTGGTCCAGTGACCGTGGCCCCCAATTTCAATAGACGGGGCCAATAGGAGGTGAATAATGAAAAGAATCTAATGAATCCATTTTATTATTGACGGCACTTAAGTACCCACGTACCGAATAGTCGGACCGGATCCACCTAAATCCAGTAGCCCTCAATTCTCCACTTTAACTTTTTATAGCAGCATTTGAATTTGGAAGTTACGCGATCTTCAATTTCTCATTGTTCAACTTGCTTTTCATACATATTAATTCTGCAGGAATATCAATCTCGACCATTAATCTTTGACGGGATCGAGGTCGACACTTCTCTGCCAGTTACCTACTAGTAAGTCTTTTGTGACACACCCGATCTTTGAACCTCAATATGGCCATCTCCTTGACGCCCAACAATTTACTATCAATGTGGTGTTCTGGGCTCATTCGGTTGGCGGATATCAATGGCTTTTGCCGGACCATCTCTCACGTATGATGGGTGCAAATACTTACTTAGGTAGGCTTGGATTATACCCATACATCGACTAGACTAGATTTCTTCAAGATGGCAGCTTGTAAAGTCTGTGAGCAGCCACTTGTGCTGGAGGTGGAAGATGACGATGGCAACGATGAGCAGGAGTTCGTTCCTGATGACCTGGAAATTTCCTGTGGCTGCCATTTTCACTGGCAATGTCTCCTGGATCAAGCCGCGGAATTGGCTAAATCGCTTAAGTGCCCATCATGTGGCGCTGAGATTTCCACAAACACGAACACAGCAGGACCCTCGACGAGCAATCCATCCATACAATCAGTACCCGGTGCGGCTATCTTAACAAGATATACCAACGAGGGTGGCGTTCAGGAGAACTACGATATTCTCCCTGAAATCACCGAGGAAGCTTATATTGAGGCCAACCCTGAGGTTGTACCCGCTCGTGCCTATCACGTCATGTGTAGCATAGGCGATATAGACAGCATATTAGCGATACTGCGTGATGCTGAGCAGTCGCAGGCAGAGCAGATGGAAGAACAAGATCGTGTGTTGAGCGCTGCACAACTCATTCGTTACCAAGACCCACTAGAAGACTCGAAAAGTGGTTTGCACTTAGCCATTGAAAAGGGACAAGAGGAGGTTGTGTGGTTGCTTTTATGGATAGCGTCTACGCTACCCACCGAATCATTCCCAGGACCGGCAGTGCAAGCGGCTCAAGCGATGGGGATCCAGCGGCCCAGCACGTTGGTTTCGGAAGATATCCGAGCGCTTAAGGATAACCAAGGCCGGACGGGTGAGGCGGTCGCGGCGCAGATGGGAGGCCTTTGGACGGCCATAGTGCAGTCCGGTACCTTACGTCCCGATTCCTAAATTCAATCCATTCAAAGATATCGGGTTACACCAGGTCGCCTCGATTACTGCATAGATCGAAACCTTTATATCCATAAGTCCCCTTTTACCCTTTTTGGGGGCTTGGTCAATTGTTGGATAAGTTAAATCGTGATAGTCTTCATGCGGGTGCTCTCTGCAGCGCCGATCTCATGAAACAATGGCTATTTCCAACCTACCCCTCACCAGCCCTCACCAAAAATTCCGCCTCCTATGCATGTCCCCGAGATCTACATACATAGCGACGTACGTGATCGCCAATAACATAGTCGAAAGATCTCTGGTAATCAGAAATGTGACGAGTCATTTCTGTCGCTGTTCGCGATTCTGACGCCAGCACAACGCAACTTGCGATCGGGAGCGGGAGCAGCAAAAAAAGAAAAGAAAATGTTACAGTAAGTTTAGCCACCCTAGGGCAGGATAGGACGAGTCATTCTCGGCAGAGATTGCTGTAAAACAAAGCGAATCCTACAATGCTACCCATTTTGCATGTATACCCAGTACCTATTCTTTGCATATGTATGCAAAACCCTGAATCGGAAGTCATGTATATACGCTCAAATGACCTTCCAGCAGTATATCCAAGGGTAGCACGAGGTCATCTTGGCCCCTCAGACCGTCATGCACCGGCGACGATAATCAGATCATCGCCTTCGGCACTCACTCGCATCGCAGCGCATCTTTTCTGCAATGCGAGGACCCACGGACGGTAGGCAAATGTAAACTCCAAAAAGTGTCTCACAAAAAACCAGGCAAATGTGCGCAGCACACAGATACATAGGCCCGCACGTGCAGCGCAGCGCAGACAGATGGGTAGGAATCGTGGCGTCGGTAACCTGTAATATAGGCAGGTACCTGAGTCCTGTACGTCGGACCCTGGGAGCGGAGTGGGAGCGGAGAGAGGGTCCCGCCACACGAAACGAATCGAAGCGGGTACCCCCTGGGGCAAATATAGCGGTGTCCGGTACCTACATACTTACCTACATACAATACATGCAGCCACAGGAGGGCGACGGGCCGGGCGATATACTATGTATTCCCCCCCCCCCTTGTCGTTTCTCCTGCGTCAGGGGGCGGACTAGCTGACTTCATGTCTGTGTGCGCATATGTGCATATATCTTGCCTCGCGTACTGCGTATGTGTATATATCTTGGTACATGTATGCGCGTAGGCTATGCGCATACATAGGGAGGGAGGGAGCACGGTCGATGCATAGGTCAATTGATCTGCTGCCGATGGCAAGGACATATGCATGGCTAAAATTAACTCTACGTACGTAGGTAGCGATGCGCCAATCCCTACCTAGGTCCTAGGTATACAAGAGGAAACCCCGGTGTCGCACTGCGGGGTCGGGTCGACGGCGACGATGGCGATGGTGATATGCATGAAACGGTACGGGTCCTACATCTGGCTGAGTCAGATGGATGGCTGTGCATATAACGTCTTTTGCTTCTCCGCGCAATGACTGCGCCGTCGGTTCGTCGATAGGTCTGAGAAAGGCCGCGTCGCGCAAGCTTAACTCGAGATATCGTATTCAGACCCGGGTGGATGTCTTGTGGCGTCCTTCGAATTGATTAACTGTAAGCAACTTGGCGAATCGTGGCTGTTACACGATGTTGCTTTACAGGTAGGTAGGTAGGTACTTCTGTAGGCCCCACGTCTCAAGTGTCTGCGATGCTGGCTATACCGAGCGCGATGATGGGATCTAGCTACGACGATCTCGTTCCGAGATACATTGAACTGTAGAACGCAGATCCCTTGGCTCCTCGTGTCTGTCGTCTTTAGGCCGTTTAGTAGGTCACGAACTCTGGCGTACGTACGGGTGTCTTTGAAACGGGTTACGAAAAATTACCTACTATAGGCACTATACACCTCGATAGACCTTCCCAAGGCCAGGCCAGGAGGAATACCTCGCGTTTCTTGTGAGAGCCCACCTACGTCGAGCTTCGGCACAGTCTAGCCCGAGTTTACGGTCGTGGCCTGGACGCGGCCGAGGATTGCCGGGCAGGGGCGGCAGTTCGACCCCCTCTGAGGATTTCTCAAAACGAAGTTGGGACGAAGGCGGTCAGGGGTGAGTGTTTCTTCGGCGTCGTAGGGCGTTGTTGGGGATTCCTTAGAAGCTGCTTCCTCTGCTATGTATGTGCATCAACGGCCGTAGGAAGAGAGCTTAGCTACCCACCAAGGACCTAGGACCTAGATAGCTTACCTAGGTACCTACTCAGATGGGTAGGCCTGCAGGTCCCGCACCACCAGAAGGAGCAGCGTAGAGATGTCCTAAGTAGGTCAGAAGCAGCGCATAGTAAGTCTGCCCAGAAAGCTCTCGATTGGGAGGGATTTTGATGGGGGGGCAGATGGATTTACCTACCTACCCACCGACCTACACACTTAGTCAGAAGGATTCGCGAGTTGCCGAAAGCTCCATCTGCATGTAATGAAGTGTAATAAGTGGAGAGTGGGCGCGCGCATCGAGGGAACACAAATCCTATGAAACATTTTAAGCTCAGGATATACGGGTTGCGGGAGGAGGAGGAGGAGGAGGAGGCTGGCGCCACGAGACTTTCCCAGCGTCGCGATGAAGGATTCGGGTTTCCTGATAAGATTTCGATACCTGGCCGGGCGGGTAGGATCGGGTGTTTCCTTTCAGCTCGACGACGAACTTCGGGAACGTCGAAACGGAAACCTCTGGGGTTAGATAGGGCTGTGCTTGAGAATCTAACCCCGGGTAGAGGATTGAAACAATGAGTAGTCTCTTATCATCTATTATACGGCCATCATAAACGGCCTAGACAGCATAGCACACTCGATAGATTGATTATACACAGTCATGTTTATGGTAGTGTTCTTTAAGATATTGTGACATGTATTTTTATAGCAACATTGTGAATGTAGGCTTCTAGTGTTACAAGATTGAACCGTTCGTAGGCGGAGACGCCTCGCCCTGGGTTCCCGAACCCGTAGTCTAGACCCTGTTGCCAGTTCAGTCTTTGGGACTTTGTTGCAGTCTCTCTTCTAATCTCCCTGATACACGGCCTCCTATTCCCACACTCAACCCATGCAATCTCAATCCGCCAACTCCCCTTATGCCCAAGGTAAGAAAAAATACAGTCTTTGAATAGGAACCCTTTCTTTTCGGCCGCGATGACATGCTGGACGGTACCTAGCGCACTGGGTATAGAGGTCGCCGTTTCTGTCAAAGGCATATGGTAATAAATCAAAAGCGACCCTGACGCCTTGTGATGAAATAAGAAACAACTTCTAGTTGATCAACTTCCACGGACTGATAAGAATAATGAACACAAATGGTATGAAATAAACAATAAAATAAGGAGGGGAATATGATGTAGAGAGAGAAAATAAATAAAAAGGAACGCCGGGTATCCGTAATTGCAAATGCTATTGGTATCGAAGGAATGTCAAGAAGTGTATGATGCAAATGCCGTCATGCGAATGCTGTCGAATCGTTGTGGCCGGCCGTGAATCGTCCATCATGATGGGGGTCATAAAAAAAGAAAAAGGAACGTTGTCAGGCGTTAGATAACTAAAAATAGGCTGTTAAAAAAGAGAGAAATCTGAGATGATATCGACGAATATGAATAACGCTGAATAAAAGTTGGTAAATAGGTTTAATTAGATGCAGGTGTTCCTGTTCGCGTCGGCTGGAAGACGGCGGCAGTCAAGAAAATGTCGCCTGTGGGGGAGTTCTTGACCGGTGGCGTAGGTGCAGGGGGTGAAATTGGAGGTGTCTTGTTGAGACCCTTTGGGTAACCATTATTAATGATATCGTGGCTACGGGCACGGTGTAGAATTTTGCGTTGCTCTTCTGTCTCATGTCGGGACGGGGGTTCCGGGCTGGCAGCGCCACCGTTTAGTTTAGTAAACTCGTTTTCGACGTCCGCGAGCAGAGCGTAAACGTCGCTGTCAGCGTAGATGCGAATGCTTTCCATTCGCTGGAGAGTAGACTCTGCTGACGAGCTCTTGCGTTTACGGTCAATTGGAGCTTCTTCAAGCTCCTCAGCCGGTAGCTCAGGGATCATTGAAGGGACTCTGGCGACAACACGTTGAGGAGATGTAGATGGTGACTGAGACTGAGTGGGGGTACTAGTCTTGGTTGGGCTTCGGGGTGGCGTGGAGATATCAGAAACTCCGGTTGGCAGCCGAATTCCCATGGCTTGCTGAAGAATCTCGCTTGTGCCAGCAACATCTTTGACCATCGAAAGGGTAGACGCGGCAGCAACATGCTCAAGAAGCTTTTGCCTGACGCGGGTTCGTCGATTCTCGGCATGTTCAAGCTTACTAACCCAATCATCAATTGAGGCATCGAGCTCAGCAAGGGTTTCCTCTTGCTTTAGCATCGACTCGTAGCTAAATTTAGCAACACGAGGAGATCGCAAATATTGACAAATGCGGCTGTGGAGATTTCGACGTCCAGCACGGAGGGAAGTGTAGGTACGACGAAGATACTCTGTTCGCTCATCAAGATGGCGAAGCTCCTATACAAGGTTAGTTAGGTAGATGAATAATGACAATAATAAAATGGACCTACCTTTGAAAGGCTCTCAACGTCGTCCTTCTTGAGCACCTCAAACCTTAGAACTTGGCCTAGTGCTTGCTTCTGCAAGTAAGCAACTTCTGATGCATCCATATTATTGACTGCATCAGTAGACTTCCATCCTTGGGGCAAGGCCTCGAAGGCCCGGCGTTCAGCACTGACGCTTCTCTTAGACGCATCTCGCTTATGGAAACCACCGATTGGTGTCCCATCGCTTCGCTTTCGTGGACGCCCGCGATCCATGATGCTCCCAGACTCGGAATTGCCACGTCTATGTGATAGGGTCGGGGCGGCTCGTGTCTCGGAGTCTGCTTTCGGGGTCGCCATGGATTCATTGCTCGATCGTGATTCGAGCACAGGCGTAATCGAGCCCATTCTTTCCCATGGTCTCGGCGAAGCTCGGCATTCTGCGGGTGCTGATAATGGTGTTGGCAATGTGGAAGTAGTCATATTCGTAGACGCCGACATAGGGGTCGTAATCGAAGTCGAAGCGGGCGTGAATGGAGTGCGCGTCCTCGGCGAGTCATCAGTACGAGCAGACTTCATGGCTGATTCCGGTTCCTTGTCCTTATTTCTAAGGCGGCTTAACGAAAGTTGCCGCGCTAGTCTCGGGATTGAGCCACTTTGCGTGGGTATCGTTAAAGGTGCTAGATCCCTAGGTGAGAGAGGTTGCTTTAAAGGTGAACCAGTAAATTTCCGTACGTCTTCGGAAGGGGCAGATATTTCTGAATTCTCATCCAAATTTTCCTTCATAGTAGACACGGACTCCATGAAATGACGCTGGCGCCAGGAATTAACAGGAGAGCTAATGGATCGTTCATGTAACGCAGGCCGGCCTGGGATTGTTGCTATGGCTGGTTAGTTGTGTTGATGAGATAGAAACACGATTCTTTGACTCACGAGAATCCATTGCAACCTCCTGTACTGTTGTCATAGGACCTAACTCGGGGACGCTGATTTTCCTCCTTCTCGTCAGGTTGTGCTCCTTGATTCTCATCCGGAGACCGTTCGATACCGAGGTCTTCTCTGCTTGTCCCATAGCCATGGCGAAGGCTTGCTCAGGGTCCAACTGCTTCCCAATAATCGGTGATGGGAGCTGTTTTTCCCTAGGGAATAGCTGGTACTTCCTCGCTTCCGGGTTCTGCATCCTCCAAGCAAATGGCTTCTTTTCCTCAGTCGAGCTTACAGACGACAACTGTATGGTGATGTTAGTATGGTGATACATCTGATAGAGCTACCTTAAACCAGGAAGGTGAAGGGCATACCGAATCGGTAGAGTCTTTGGCGGAGAAGGCATTTACTATATAACTTCTTAGGCTACCCTCAAAATCGGTATCGACGAGACAAGCTGCTATATGGGCCATTGGACCTGCAGGTAACGAGGGTCCCCAGGCAAATCACAAACCACACTAGGGGAATATTATGCAAGGAATTGAAATAAGAAATGTCTCTCATGCGAATGAAGGGCACGAAAGGTGACGGGCGGAGCTCATGTATTTGTAAGGTGAAACAAAATGCAAAATCAAGCGTGCGTTCAAGAGCAACAGAAAAGCTGCATGACAAAAAATATATGCAAACACTTAAGAGACAGCCCTGCCTTTCATACAGACGGATGGAGAGAAACGGGGAGGCAAAGGAAACAGGATATGCATGTCCTTAATACCTCGAGTATAGTCGGTACCAAGTTGTTCTAGTATGTATTTCCATGGAACCTATAGGGGAGGCCAATAAGGGAATTCGTTCGTCTAATGCGTCAGGGGACCTTTGGATGCAACCTCCACTCAGAGCTTAGGGAGAAGGAGGACAAGACGAGGAGAGACATGCTGGTGCTGCTGGTGCTGGTGCTGCGGCATCCGCATGCATTACCCATTACCGTAGGTGTTGGATAATGGATAAGATGTAAGTAAGACAGCTAAAACCGTGCCAGACTCGACATGCCCATACATGCCCATACATGCCATACATACAGCTGTATGTAGCTACCCAGCTAGAGGTCTCCTAAAGAAGCCAGGCATCGTTTCAACGTTGGTTGTCCCTAGGTTGAAGAAGGTATCCCGCACTAAGGATCGGAGCAAGCTGCAGAATTGGGTTTAGACACATCGAGAGAACAGTTTTGGTGGAGGTCCAGAATGCTGCGTCGACAAGGCGTTCAACAAGGATTTGAAACCGCTTAAGCCCTTGACAGGGATTCGAGGTTCGTCTAGGGTTATCGCAGCTTGGGTGGACAGGGGGAGTAGAGCTTTGACCCTTGCTGCATGCAGGGGTCGCCCATGGCTATCTTACAAGCCATGGGCAGCCATGGGCGAAAAAAACGAGGGTCTCGGTGGGTTTATTATAGCAATGCTTGTAAATAACCGAGTTTTCTTAGCATTGCTTAATTGAAACTTGAAGAGGAACTTTTCTTCCACGCTGCCGCGGAAGACGACCATCGAATAGTTTAACTGAGCTGTATTTCCGTCAAGGGGGTGACCTAAATCCAGCAGACATCGTACCGGGGAACATCGCGGAAAGCTAGGTATCAAATATTTGTTAATTCAATTTCAGATCTTGTTACCTAGATAGGTAAGTATTCAAGGTATTCATTCAGATCCGACTGGCTGGACTCTGGGTTTGGCAGTGCCGAAGAAATCCCTACGTCACTCGACTTAATAATAACTCTTCGTCGGCAGGTCTTTTCTTTTTTTAAAGGTAGGTAATAGATAAGTTCTTAGACTATATCCTAATTTCCTGGTTATGATCGTGATACATTTAATTAGAAATTCTGAGGAAAGCCGATTTCAATTCACGTATTGTATTGTTCGAGCTGTATGATAAACATAGATGCGTACTTGACTCCTGAATTTGGAGGTGAATGGTCGAAAGGAGAAAGTGTGATAAGGCAAGTTCCGAGGATACGACCTCGACACTAAATGGGAATACTAATGCTGTTACTTGCATAAACTGCATAAGTTAAATAAGCTAACATACATGCATGGGTCGGGATCCCTCCAATTGCATACACGACGGCGGAGTGTCGACGTGCATACACCGGATATTGATCTGCGGAGACGGTAGTATCGCAACTGCAGAAGTTGGGGAACACATACTGACTAGACTAAACAGCTTCATTATTATAAGATATTATAGGATATCGAAGTTGGCGCCTATGCAGCTTTAATTGTCGCTTTGACAGTTTTGCTGCCAACTATCCCAACCTATCTATGCCGGTCGTCAGCGTGCGTTGAAGATACAACCATGACGAGTATGACAAGCATGACAAGCATGACGAGCACAAGGAACCCCAATTATCAACAGCTATCTTCGCCAGAGATAAACTGACACGAGCAGCTCGAGTAAACTTTTACTTAAGCGAATCCAGTCTTCTTCATAGCCAAGAGAATTCCAACTTGCCCCTCGGACCGCCTCAGACTTGATCACCCTGAAGATGCCTCATCTTAACAAGCGAACATAAGTGATGTAGGTGATCATGCAAAATGCACGACAGCCGTGATAACATTAGCGCCATGTACTCCATAGCGAGTACCAAGATTAGGTAATGCTGTCTTAGATCGTTGCCGGCAGAATTTGTGGGAAGAGAGGATTGTGCGTGCATATTAGCCACTTCGTCATCGATACGCATGTTAGAGGTTTACGATTAGGAATAGCAAAATTGTGTACGACCGGCTTCGGATCTTCGTATACCTGCTGACGAAAATATGTCTCGACTTTTAAAAGTCCAAGTCTTCGAGGCGGTGGTGTAACGACAACGTTGAATATTTGCTTAAGTACCTAGGTCTATCAAACTTCCGACCCGTTCCTCCTAGATTCCTTCGCGTGCTTACTGAGATACATACTAGATGGAAGATGTTCGTGGAGCCAAGTGGCTGTTACAGATCTAGAGGTTGTGTGATGATGTGCATGCTTTCGTATCAAATGGTAGTCTCTGATAGATAAAAGGTTACATATCATCACAATGAGGGGAAAATAGCAGACGATCTAGATCTAATAGTATACATGTTACTATAGGCAAAAAGGCATAGACGTTCATACCTCGTGGCTCGGGAAACAGTACAGATTTGGTTTATGGTGGTATTTATAGGGGACCTTGGGTTAGGACTACTACCAGAAGCGGTGATGCCATCACATATCTATACAAGGAGAAAATATCATTGGAGGTCAACAACTTCAGAGAAACAGGGGACTATATGTTTTTGGTCATTCATTCTCATCTAGGTATAGATCGTGTTATTAAGCTTTGTGCTTTGACATAACAAGTTGACATACGCCTTCTCGGCACATGAGCGAAGAAGCTGTTGATAATGTATCTAACGGGGCAGAATGGAGTCAGAGAAAGTGCCCCATGTGCTAATCTTACTATCTGCACTGTAAAGAAGCCTATCCCCTATGTTATACAACAGGCATTATCTACCAATTACGATGTGCGTAAGAGGTGTAAGCTACCAATATAAGCAGAGCAAGGGATAATCACTTTCACAGTCCAATACAGTAGTATTAGCACATGGGGCACTTTTTCTGACTCCATTCTGCGGGGGTGTCTTCGCAAGATGCATCAAATTCAATATACGATATAGCGGGTAGAATTAGTAGTTAATCGATGGTTGTCCGTGCTTTGAGTCAGTGCGTAACGCGGTTGTGACTTAGTCAGTAAAAGTTGTAACCGAGCTGACTTCAACCTTGCTTGTATGTACATAATTGCCATCGCCATTTCTATTCTTTTCCATTTCTATCAAGCCCCCAGGTCTTTCCAGGCCTTTCCCGGATGCTTATCCGCCACCTCAAAGGCAACCCAAGCCAAGATGTGGCAATTACATAAGAAATATTTCATCAACTTCATGCGTACTTACTTATTGCCTCAACTACCGCTATGATAGAGGCAAATTCAAGACGAAACGCCTGTTCTCTATGAACTTTTCAGCAAAATTTTCGCACGGGAGGAGCCAAAGGAACAGGGGTAAATTTTTACGGCAAGTGGGGGAACGAGTTACAGCTCTCTCGTTTAAGCCCCTTTTTAAGACACACTTCCGCTGTCACCTACATAATTACCTGGTGGGTAGGTACCTACCAGCCTACGTGGGGCATCAACATTACCTGAGTCCTAAAGAAACTGGCCTGCTGCTTGGCATGCAGAGATTTGCAAAACGTGGAAGCGCATAATGTTTATCTTTACATGATCTACGTTTTTCTTCTCTAGTGCTCTCATCGATGACATAGGAACACAAGCTAAGTCTCTAAACTCGAGTCAGGATACTAACTTTTCGAAACTACCTAAATACTTTGGTATGTGACAAGAAACAACCATCATATACATCATAGCTATACATCAAGGTATACATCAAGGTATACATAATATACCCTTACTGTACGTAACAGGTATCGAAGGAATTCGCCAACGGGTCAGCGTCTAGAAAAAGCTGAGACATCTTATGCCCCGACTCAAAACAATTCGCAACCTCATCCGAACCCGTCTAGCGCCAAAGAGATCGGAAAGATCAATTCCCATCCATGTCTCAAGCTCTAGCAATCTCATGTCATACCAGCCGAAACAACCAATTGCCGGACCAAAAAAAGAAGAAGAAAACGTATCAATACATGTAGCGATGGTGTTTCTACATACATAAGTGTAGATATCCCAAAATGATCTGCATTCGAGCCTCGGAAAAGGGCGCTAGGACCATCAGTCTTCATAGCTGAAGATGGACTAGTTTTACTTGAAGCAAGCCGGAGCTGTTCCCCCCATCTTAAGATGTACGCCATATTAGTGTGCCCGTAAATTTCCATCCTTGGACGGGTAGTGAACGGTGCAGAAGGTGGTTATGAAGATCTTATTCCTAATACAACGTTCTTTCAAACCACCAACTACTTGAGAGGCGACTCGAAGCTACCTATTCTCAAACTAATAGGATTTATTTTTGAGGGATTACCAAGCTCAATACCAGCCCGCCAGAGACATACGTATATGACGGCTTAAGCCAGGTTTTATGATCACCCTTCCCGTCTGCCATGGACCTGGACCAAACCTTGGAAGCGATCTGACCGATCATCCACAAGGGATCTAGCCGATAAAATATTGCGATATCGACAGGGAAACCCCCTAGCTAGTCTATTTTTCTTCCTAGCAACCGTCAGGGTCCATTGAGGTCATATCTTTCCTGCGGAAGCAAGCATGCCTTCTTGCTTCGCCACACAGAGTACACACTGTTACAAGTTACGAGAATTACCACATTAAATTGAACGCACACTGCTATGGAAGTATGACCTAATCGGTAAATAATATACACCTATTATGTATTTCTGGACTCGAAGCTCTAAAAATAATTGGAAACTAAATGAATTTTCCATCTAAATCATTGCTGCTTGCTCCCATCATGGTGGCAATTGGGAGTACTCTTACATAAGGGCAATGATTATGGCTACTCTTTGACCCTTTGGCCTACAGATACACCTGGCTTCACCGCTACCTGGATAAGTAACATACCAGGGGATCTGCAGAGATGAGGTTTACAGCGTCACTTTTTCTTACGCAACGGCCAGACCAGAACAAGTTACTACAGAGTAAGTAACAAGTCAGGTGGCATACAAGATAAGCTTCTCCGATCTCTACATATGCGCTCAGACCTTGGATGATTCTGGTTGGTATACATGCTAGGAATAATCGAGATCCTATCACAAAGCAACTGCGACTCTATCTTGATGATGTCTAACTCGCTAGGCTCTTCGCCATGGAATATATTGCTCTTTGATAAGGTCGAGCGCAAATCTACTTGTGTCTTAGGGCACGTCAACTACCGAGTTAAGACAATGACGGAATCAAGAAGGAGACTATTAATTATCTACAAACATTAGGAGGTAAAATCTAGTTTTCATCATGGGCTGCATGGGTTGAGATTACAATGACTTAAACTGGACATTACGATGAGTCAATCTTTGTTAGATCTCCTTGAAAAGTTGACATCACGCTTCAGCCCGACGATATCTTAGGCAGGTTGTTAATATCTCAACCACACTAAAAGTTCATAGCTTTGACCCCAGAAAAGCTGTTAGTCTTAGAAATTAGGTATTATCCTTATTGAGTAAACTAACTAGGCGTAGGCGATAATTCTCAACAGTTTTAGGTAAAATCGCATTGTTTTGGGAAGTGAGTCTATCCTGTCAGTCGCAAACGTGGTCGGAACTGACGTCTATGCTAGCATCAAGGTAAACCTTTAAGCTTACTTCTCAAAGTCGATATCAATCTAGATATGCAAGCTACGAGGGTTGTCGTTAGAGTATGTACGCTAATAATTAGGACGTCCCAACTTTGTTCTTTCAAAGGAATGGTCCTAGCCACATCGGGGATTAAGTCCGCAGTCCTGAACGACGGATCGTTATGGTTTTGGTCTAGGAACGAATCCCAGGTGGCCTCATTCCCCACGTCTTGGAGCTTCGAGATCCACCACACGTGCTAACTAGCACATGGCAGTATGGCAGGGCTGTTAGCCAGACTTCATCTCCGACCTCAGGACCAACCTCACCAGTGCCTCGTCCTCTCAGCCGAAAAGCTTCTTCCTGACTAGAAATCAGGCTAGAATCCCCCTAATGGAAGAATCTCAAACCACCTAGAAGACCAACATCAAACTTAGCATCTCCACGTGCAAGGGATTCTCGCCTTGGTATTGGTAGTTTTGCGGCACTTGATAAGTGAAAACAACGTTCAGGGAGATATATAAAAAATTATATGGTTTAATGTGCCCATTTCGCCTCTTACCCCAATACCTGAGCGCTGTTACTAGCACGTTGCGCCGGGTAGATCCCTATACTCCCCCGCGCCATTCCCATGAGCTAGAGTATCACTGGCCCTTTAGCCATCGTTGAGAATCATAGTCGGGATATGTACGTATCTCACATGACTAACTCAGGGACGGAGATTTTCCCATTGCTGGGTTGGGTGAAGAGGTAATAAGCACTATTTTCGATACTACATACAATACATACCTATGTACAGCATATAATTACGCATGACGCATGATGCATAAGATGCACTCGAATTCTGGTAGTTTTCTTTAGGATTCACCCCTCATTTCATGTTAATAAGGTATTCCATGTTTCGAACTGGTGTTCGTAGAGCCTCAAGCAATCAATAGGCAAACACGGCAGTTCATTATGGGGACGGCTGATTCGCCGGCGACACTTAATACATGGCATAAGCATGAACCATCCATATTTCCTGTCAATTTGAACAACCATAGTTTGGATTCTGGAGGTAGCCCTATGCTTTGCATTCCCTCAATTTCCGTGGGTTCATTTGAACTGCAGAGATCTACTTCGTACCTACCTTTGTACCTGCCTACATATGGAAAATAATGAATGCCTATTGCTGATTGTATGTGCGTGCATAACTGATAGGGTATTGGGGTATTATGGTGAGGTCTGAGAGCATTATTTTGCCCAACTTGGGGTATTGATTGTAAATTAGCTGTCAGTGCCGTACAGAACGCACGCTGCCAAGTAGTGATCGCGAGGAACTGTTCTCAACTCTGCATGCAGTACCAATGCCAAGTACTAATGCACTGGTCCCTGATACCTTGTAGCTTAAAATAACATATCTTTACCCAACCCGGCGGCAGCGCGCATCGTCACAGTACCAGTGAGCATTCACAATCACCGAAGCAGCGCCGCGGTCGCTGTCACCAACTTCACCGTCATAATCCTTCGACGAAGGACTGGGTAGAGGAGATGGTGAGAATATCTAGATTACTACCCAGAACATATCAGAAACATCATCACCACCCCTGCTGTCTGTACCCCTCGAATCCTGGTGTTGCGGTTTCGGAACAGATCGCACACGACTTCTAAAATTTTCAACACAATTTATGAAATATTATGTTCTTCCTAATGGAGCTTTGATGCCGAGTTCTATGAGGTATTGTGTAAAGCCATAGCGCTCTAAAGATAAACACATCGGCTCGCCTACAGGTGTATCATCGCGTACTGAGTATATACGAAAGATACTTTTAGGATCGCGAAGTTGGGGGATGTGCTTCTCAACGCAGTTCAGATGTTCTGGATCCCTAGGAGATTTTCCATCCCATCTTTGCCAGGGACGGGATTCCCATCCCGCATCCGCAGCTGGGAGCTGGGAACTGGGAAGAAGAAGAGAAAAAGTTTGTTATCCAACAGGATGTTTCAGAGGCAGAAGTCGTTTTACATGGATCTGATGCAGGTCGTAACAGGAATAGTCGCAAGCGAAGCCCTGAAAGAAGGCATCGTTTCAGCCCGCTGCTTGACGACTTACCTACCTACCTAAGTAAGTTGGCACACCATGCTAGTTATCTCGACGTCCAGGTCTCTCATAGCTGTGATTGGCTGCCTTCGTATTTTCTTTGCTTCAATTACTGCACTCGCTGGGATATGAACGCCTCCTTTTGAGAACGACGGTGAAGAATCAGAGTTTAAATCTATTATGTATGTATAGTGATTAAATTACTAGATAAGACTAAAATTTGGTGTATTTACATATTCTGTGTCAAATATGTAGATAATAAGTAAATCGATATAAGAAGTTTGAGTTTATCTTTTAAGGGAATACAGAAGGAACCTGAACAGTGAATGCAAGCCTCAGGCATTTAGGCTTGAACCGGCACCAGCGGCTTACATCGGGAATGACGCCTTTCAAATCAGCGGTTGGAAATCGGAAATCTGTGGGTCCAATCACCCCGCTTAATTGGACCTTCAATTCAATAGCAACGGGTTGCTTCGATGCTGCAAACAAATAAACCGTCGCAGCTTAATTCGGCAGGAGGGTCAGTCTGCATTGGCTCGGATGAGAGGACAGAATAGCTTCGTGAGGGGCAGTCTTCTATTCAGAAGTATCCAACTCACTATCCATAAACTTAGACCATCATCGCTTCCGTCATCCTCATCTCTCTTCCCGGTGCACGTCCATTTACGAGGATATAGTCTTGCTTCGAAGCGAATCATGACCCCCCGCGACCCGAACACCCTAGCCAATTATGGCGAATGGGGCACCAAGCACACTACCGTTAACTTCAAGGTCAACTTTGAGAAGCAGCGATTAGAAGGCTCGGTTCTTCTTGAGCTAGAGTCGCTGACAGACAAGGAGAGCCGTGAGATCATCCTTGACACAAACCACCTCTCCATCTCATCGGTTAAGCTTGATTCCGCCAACTCGGAATGGACAGTGAAGGACCGAGTTGAACCCTATGGCGCACCACTGCATGTCTCTGTGCCAAACGGAGTGGCTCAAGGAGATGTTATAAAGTTGGATATTGTTCTAGAGACCACTGAGGACTGTGTCGGTTTGCAATGGATGACACCCGCTCAAACTGGTAACAAGAAGCACCCATATGTATACTCGCAATGCCAGGCTATCCTAGCCCGGTCTATCTTCCCGTGTCAAGATACGCCAGACGTTAAGTCAACATTCTCCTTCAACATTACCTCGCCTTTACCTGTAGTCGCGAGTGGAGTGCCCGTGCCCTCGGATGTCAACGGAGAAGGCGACAAGCTGTTCCGCTTCGAGCAGAAGGTCCCTATCCCATCTTACCTGTTCGCACTAGCTTCAGGAGACCTCGCTACTGCGCGGATTGGGAAGCGGTCTGTGGTTTCCACGGGACCGGAGGCTATCGAGGGTGCGAAATGGGAATTCGAGGCGGACATGGACAAATTCCTGGAAGTGGCAGAGAAATTGATCTTTGATTATCAATGGGGAGAGTACAATGTATTAGTGCTGCCCCCAAGCTTCGCTTACGGAGGTAAGACCCCCTATCAGCACCCGAGCTTCTTAATGTGGTTACGAGCCCCGTCGACTTACAATTATAGGGATGGAAAACCCAATTTTCACTTTTGCTACACCTACTATCATCAGCGGTGACCGCCAGAACGTCGACGTGATTGCTCACGAGCTTAGCCATAGCTGGAGTGGTAACCTCGTGGGTTGTGCGTCATGGGAGCACTTGTAAGTGAAACTGATGATGATGATTGACTCGGTTATCGGAGCTAAGTAATACGTAGCTGGCTGAATGAAGGATGGACTACCTACCTCGAACGCCGCATCGGTGCTGCTATTCATGGCGAGCCTCAATTTGATTTTTCGGCCATTATCGGTTGGAAGGCTCTTGGTATGTGAAATCAACGATTGCGTTCCGCCTTGTACTGACGCAACTATAGAGGACTCGGTTTCAGTATTAGGGGCTGATCACGAGTTCACCAAACTCATTATTAGCCATAAAGGGGTAGACCCCGAGGATGCCTTTAGTACAGTTCCTTATGAGAAGGGATTCCACTTTCTCTGGTACCTTGACCGATTAGTTGGCCGAGAACATTTCGACAAATTCATTCCACACTACTTCAAGACATGGGCTAATAAGTCACTGGACTCGTTTGAGTTCAAGAAGACATTCCTGGATTTCTTCGAGAGCTATGGAAACTCGGAAATCAAGGAGAAGATTGCCCAGATTCCGTGGGAAGAGAGGTTCTATAACCCGGGCTTGCCGCCAAAGCCTGAATTCAATACGGCTTATGTCGACAGCTGCCTTGCGCTTGCTGAAAAGTGGAAGAGCGAGGTAAATGACATGGCTTAATTCACCTGACTATTGTGCCGACACTTTTATCACTAGATAGCTAACTCCTCGCAGGACTATCAACCGAACCCCAAGGACATCGAGTCATTCACCGCGAACCAGACTCTTGTCTTTTTACAGGCCGTGCAGAATTTCTCAAACCCTCTAAGCGCTGAGAGATCTCGTCTTCTAGGAACCACTTACAATATCAGTTCATCGAAGAATGTCGAATTGAAATCCGCGTATTATGCCGTCGCCCTTAAAGCTAACGACAGACAAGAGTTCCCTGGCATAGTTGAGCTTCTTGGCTCTGTTGGGCGCATGAAGTTTGTGAATCCGTTGTACAGGAAGCTCAACGCGCTGGATAGAGACTTGGCCGTTAAGACGTTCGAGAAGAACAAGGACTTTTATCCGTCGACTACGAAGGGGCAGATACAGAGGATTCTGGGTCTGAAGTAAAAGCCCTTTGATAGTCTCTGACCAATATCAACTCTGACAAAAGTTAGTGATTCAAGAGGTACCTAGACGTAGAAGAATCAAAATACGAGCTGACTATGACTCGGTACATATTCTCTGTCGAATTAAACAGGCTTTTACCGATTAATGTGATTGATGTGTGATATAATAATTAAACTTCATAGTAATAGTTGAAGCCTAATGAATACGTAGCTCCAATAAAATACCCCTGCTGCCCTGAAGCTTTAGGCTTATTTTGGGAGCTGTCAGCTGCATTCCAGCTGAAGATATCAGACTGGCAGCTGCCATGAGCTGTCAGTAAGATTGCTATTTAAATGAGTTTAATGGGCTAACCATATTGACACGTGAATATCTTGGCGATGGACCCACACTTATCCCTTTCTGGTGACGAATGGAAAAAGGAAAAAGTGAAAATGGGTGGTCGCGAATCGCGTACCCATCCACTTCTTTAATCGACAAGTTGTTGATTCAACCCACCAACCAAATTTCAATAATCATCTCCGCGACAACGCCCGACATTCCACATTCCACGATAGAACTTTCCTGCCGTCTGCCGCTGCGGAAAATCCTTTGCGAACCCCGCCATATCTTACCGTTCTGCCGTTAAACCGCCTCCATTCTTAACGGCAGCCCGCAGCCGCAAGGTTGCTCTTTGTCGACCGCCACTTGGTGTGAGGTGCTTTTGCGGGGGCCACGAGACTCGCTTTCGTAGCCCTCCCCGGGTACCGAACGCAACGAAAGGGGGAAGGATGATTATTCAAGATTATTGTTGAAGTAGGATTTGTTATTTGTTTAAAATATAACGATAAACTCATTATACCTTTGCGATCCCTGCCATTATATCACGATACTCTCTAGCTCTTTAACCGGCTCCGAAAATCTCGTTACCCGTACCCGAAGCTACTGTTATACATCCCTCTGTACGCGACCGTTGTGCGCCCTCGTCTTGTCGGATGCCTCGGCTTTGCTTTAAATCCGGTGAATAGCTGTAGTGGACGGGAAGGTATCGCCTTCATCTAGCAGCCATGCCTCCCGCCGGTGGAGGAAACATTAAGGTGGTGGTGAGGGTTCGGCCCTTCAACAGCAGAGGTACGACCATACCCGCTCGTCAGATTAGACTTAGGAGTAGCCTAGCAAAGCTCTCAAGAATTTTGCATCTAGACTAGAATAACACTGACATCGTCCAGAAATTGACCGTGGGTCAAAATGTATCGTTGAAATGAAGGACAACCAAACTGTCCTGACACCACCCGATGCCGCTCATAATGCTAAAGGAAACAAGGACACCTCAGTGAAGACTTTCGCCTTCGATAGATCATACTGGTCTTTCAACAAGAATGACCCGAGCTACGCTGGTCAATCAAATCTGCATAACGATCTTGGAAAACCTCTCTTGGACAATGCATTCCAAGGCTACAACAACTGTATCTTTGCTTATGGTCAAACGGGTTCTGGTAAATCATATTCCATGATGGGATATGGAAAAGATGCCGGTATAATACCTAGTATTTGCCAAGACATGTTTGGGAGAATCGAAGATTTGCAGAAAGATAAAACGACAAGATGTACCGTTGAAGTGTCGTATCTCGAAATTTACAATGAGAGAGTACGAGATCTGCTAAACCCATCCACCAAGGGTAACCTGAAAGTTCGAGAACATCCATCAACCGGTCCGTACGTGGAGGATCTCGCCAAGTTGGTGGTCAGTAGTTTCCAGGAAATCGAGAATTTGATGGACGAAGGTAACAAGGCAAGAACGGTTGCTGCAACAAACATGAACGAAACGTCCAGTCGAAGTCACGCCGTGTTCACGCTCATGCTTACTCAAAAGAAGTATGACGCGGAGACGAAAATGGAGATGGAAAAGCAGGCAAAGATTAGTCTGGTCGATTTGGCCGGTTCGGAACGAGCAACGTCGACTGGAGCTACTGGTGCTCGACTGAAGGAAGGTGCTGAGATCAACAGGTCCCTCTCGACGCTTGGTCGTGTGATAGCAGCATTAGCCGACCTGTCTACCGGGAAAAAGAAGAAAGGGGATAAGAAAGGTGGGACAGTCCCGTATCGAGACAGTGTTCTTACCTGGCTTTTGAAGGACTCGCTTGGTGGAAACAGTATGACTGCTATGATAGCAGCCATCAGTCCGGCTGATATTAATTACGACGAAACTCTCAGTACTCTACGATATGCCGACTCTGCTAAGCGAATTAAGAACCACGCCGTCGTCAACGAGGATGCAAATGCTCGTATGATTAGGGAATTGAAAGAAGAGTTATCACTATTACGGAGCAAGCTGGGAGGTGGCGCAACTGGTGGCGCCGGTGGTCCTGCAGTTCCGCCCGAGGAAGTCTATGCCGAAGGGACGCCTCTAGAAAAGCAGATTGTTAGCATAACACAATCAGATGGCTCTGTCAAGAAGGTATCGAAGGCAGAAATCGCCGAGCAGCTGAATCAAAGCGAAAAATTGCTGACCGATCTCAACCAAACATGGGAAGAGAAACTTCAAAAGACAGAAGAAATCCATAAGGAGCGTGAAGCCGCCCTCGAGGAGCTAGGTATTAGTATTGAAAAGGGATTTGTAGGCTTACATACCCCAAAGAAGATGCCCCATTTGGTCAACTTGTCCGACGATCCCCTTCTAGCAGAATGTTTGGTCTACAACCTCAAGCCGGGTAAAACTACAGTGGGAAATGTAGATTCGAATTCTGAACACCAGGCAAATATCCGTCTTAACGGCACCCGAATTCTCCACGAGCATTGTTCTTTTGATAATGCTTCGGATGGTACCGTCACGATAACCCCAAGCGAGGGAGCGTCTATTATGGTCAACGGAAAACGCGTTGCTGAAACAACTAGATTGCATTCCGGTTATCGAGTTATTTTAGGCGATTTTCACATATTTAGATTCAACCATCCGATGGAAGCCCGGGCAGAGAGGGACGAGACTCGACAGAGTTTGCTTCGACAGTCGGTAACGGCAAGTCAACTGGCGGCCTTTGATCTCACGTCGCCCACCTTGCGCCCAAGCCACGAAAGGTCTGTTAGCAAAGCAGGCTCTGAATTTGGTGACAGTCGCCCCGATTCTCCAGCGCCATCTCGAAATGGACGGGATTCGGATTGGTCATTTGCGCGTCGTGAAGCTGCGGGCGCTATTCTAGGAACTGACAAAAACCTTCAAAGCTTAACTGACGAGGAGCTCAATATGTTGTTTGAAGATGTCCAGCGCGCACGGGCCGAGCGAGTCAACGATCGCGACGAAGATTTGGATTCAAATACGTCTTATCCTATAAGAGAGAAATATATGTCAACCGGAACAATCGACAACCTCTCGCTTGATACCGCGCTCACGATGCCGTCTACTCCAAAAGCTGGTGATGGGGATGATCGGCTGAAAGAAATGCGAGACAGTATGCAGAACCAATTGGAGAAGCGGAAGGAAGAATACCAAGGACAACTTAAGAGCGCTGAGGAAGCTAATGTTGAGGTAGAGGAGATTAAGAAAGAAAAGGCCAGAATGGAAGAGACTTTGACACAGATAAAAGCTGACATGCAGAAACAATTGGAAGTCCAGAAACAAGAATTTGAAGCTAAGATCGAAAAGTTAGACCCTCTTAAGAGGCCTAAGGCGAAACCGAAACTATCCGACGAGGAAATCGAGAGCGCTAAAAAGGTCATTGCACACTGGAGGGGCCGACACTACGTCCAGATGGCCGAAGCCGTCTTGCAGCATGCCGCTACCCTCAAGGAGGCGCAAATTATGAGTGAAGAACTTGGAGAGAATGTTGTCTTCCAGTTTACTGTGGTGGATTTTGGCCATTCGCGTTGTTCCTCTTACGATATGGTATTGAACGATGTGCCTGGTGAAGGTGAAGATATTTTCCTCGATGAAGCGCAAAAGCCATGCGTAGGAATCCGTGTTGTCGACTACAAGCACAACGTTATTCATCTCTGGAGTATAGAAAAGCTTCATGATCGTGTGCGACAAATGCGACAAATGCATCAATACCTTGACCAGCCGGAGTATTCTCAACATTTCAAATTAGACAACCCATTCGTCGAAACCTGCATGCCCGAGTATTCTCTCGTCGGCGAGGTTGATGTCCCTCTCCGAGCTGTTTTTGATAGCCGAGTTCAGGATTTCACACTGGACGTCCTATCGCCTCATACTTCTCACGCCATTGGAATTATCAAAGTCTCCCTAGAACCATCTAGCGCCCGAGCGCCCTCGAGCACCTTGAAGTACAATGTTGTTATGCACGACATGGTTGGCTTCGCTGAGCGGGAGGGAACCGATGTGCATGCGCAATTATTTATTCCTTGCGTCTCTGAGAGTGTTACTACGACTCAGATGATCAAAGATTTTGATGAGGGGCCAATCCGATTCGACAGCGTTCATAGCATGAGTGTTCCATTATTTGGTCCACAGGATGTTAATCTTAGAATTGCTATATTCGCTAAAGTTTCTGCTATGCATCTCGACAAGTTGCTAAGTTGGGATGAGATGCGCGATTCAACACCGAACGCCGATCAAAAACCTCAAGGCGCGCGGATAAACGAATCTCAATTCTACACCGAAGAGAAGCACGACATGTTAGCCCGCGTCCAGATTCTCGAACTTAATGAGAATGGAGAATATGTTCCCGTGGAAGTAACACAAACGAGCGAGTTGGATACCGGTACTTTTCAATTACACCAAGGACTCCAGAGGCGCGTAGCGATCAATCTTACGCACAGTTCAGGAGATGCCTTACCGTGGGAAGACATCAGCTCCGTTAAAATCGGTAGAATTCAGCTCGTTGACCATGCCGGTAAAAATCCCGACCTGGGGTCACCGGCGCCTGATATTCCTCTAAGACTAAGCGCAAGCCCATCTCTTCGCCAAAACGCAAACGGTACTCGAGGCATGACTATTACAGGGCAGTGGGACTCTAGTTTACACAATTCACTATTACTAGATCGAACGACAGCAGACAAATACAAGGTTCAGATGACCCTATCCTGGGCTATAGCTGCTGATAACCTTGCCGAACCGATGAAATTCTCAGCAGACGTCTACTGCCAGATTTTAGGAAGGACATTCGTCCGTCAGACATCAATGCTTTCATCCCTGTTCCAGCACGTCCGGATCGTACATTCTTCCACAGCTATCTTTACTGTGAAATTGCGGCCTGCGCCGATTAAGCGGGTTGGCGACCTGTGGAGGATGAACAGCCAGCATGACTACGTTAAAGGAGAAGAAAATCTTAGCAACTGGGGTCCGAGGGGAGTGTCTCTAATAGCTGATTACATCGTAGCACAAAGGAAAAAGAGGCGAATCACTGAAATTGCGGCTGCCCAACTCTTTCTTAAGAAAATTGGTTTGCCTGAGCCAAAGAACAACCCCATAGAAGAAGAGCCCTCTGATGACGATCTATCGCCGGGGCTCAAGCCTCACGATTCCGATCAGGATTCAATTAACGCGCTTCTCAATGATACCCCCGAGACATCCCGCCCCTCAACACCGAAGCAGTCGGAATCGGTCGAAGGTGAACAGAGCGAAGAACTGACAGAGCAACTCGAAGAACCCACCGAGCAGACTCCTGTGCAACATCGAGAACCGGAGTTTGGTGAACATGAAGCTTTAATCCTTAACAAATGCTTAAAACTCTGGACACGATATCCGGACCCCGCGACTCGTATTCTCGGTCCAGCAAATACAACACCCCCATCAGATGGTGCTGCGCCGGAGCCAACGACGCCACCTAGATTAACCACCACTATCATCCGGGTTCCTAAAAACCCAAATGTACTGAAAGGAGGCTACCTCTTGGTACCCAATAACGACTACAGCAAATGGGTCAAGAGATTCGTAGAGCTTCGGCGGCCTTATCTACATCTTCATAACGTCAACGATGGCGATGAAGTGGCTATCGTTAGCCTTCGCAATTCCAGGGTTGACAGCCAACCAGAGATTTTGGCGTTATTTAATGGTCACGATGATGATCCTGATGACCTATTTCCAATGAATGGCAACCCGAACGGAAGCTTTCAATCTGGCCATAGTCGAACATTTTCTAGTCAAACTGATTCGACCATTCGGTCTGGCGGCTCAAACCCTAGGTCTTCGGGTCCTAGTCTCGGCGGCTTGAGCGAACGTCTGCAGGCAGGCGTATTTGCTGTTTACGGAACAGACAACACGTGGCTATTTGCGGCTCGCAACGAGCGGGAGAAGATGGATTGGATCTTCCGCATCGACCAAAGCTACTTCTCCGGTACCGCCAGCGTCAGTGGTAGCGGCGCGGTGAGCCCGATGCCGAGGAGCAATGCCTTCGACGCCGATTAAGATATCCTACCATACAAATCAAAGCAGCCAGCCAGACTGGCCTCTATTGGATGCTACGAAATCACGACTGTCTTCGGTTATCATAATGGAAGCATATACCGGTTGGGAATAGTTGAAAACACAGACGGCGTTGCGTTTTCTTATGTGTTTAGAATACCCTCTGTTGTTGTATCATCAGAACAAAAAAGAGCTTTTTTCTCTCTGTACAATTTAGACAAATACCCCAGAGAGTCTTCAGATCGTGGAAAGGGGGTTGAAAATTACAGGTGAATAAGTGTAGCAAGGTGGATGGATGGATAGGGAGAAAGGGGCGAGGACGGAGGTAAGGGCGATATCTTTTTCCTTTGTCGTATAAACGGACTTCGGTCTTAGATCTCTAAGAGTCGAAGGTGTCGAAGACGCGCGCCGGTAGTGATCCCATGCCAGGTAGTCGCTGGTCGCTAGTAATCGGACTAGAAAGGAAGTTGTCCCCGGGACGGCTTCCGTAATATTAAAGAATTTGAAGTAAACTGCGTGCTTGCTCGATAGGCGTTCCTTGGCAATGGTGATTAACGCCACCCCCTCCAACCCCTCCCCCAATTACTGCCCCGCTCCCCAGCAAAATTCTAGGTTTTTTTTTCCAAAAAGAATTTCAATGAAGCAAAACGACAACAATTATCAACGATAAAAAATAAAAAAGAAACGTACAACACCGGGGATTCGCTGGTCGTCACCGACCCAACTACTGATCCGGCGGTAGCCAGCTTATCTATGGGAGAGCGGACGGGATCCCGAGTTCTCTAGCTCCTATGGTCGTACGTGAAAGTTTTAGTTAGTATTATGGTATATAAGCGTAAAGGCTAAAGCTCCTAGCCTGTTAGCTAGGTAAGTTTGGGTGGTCCAAGTGGGAATTGGGACCGGTAAAATCCCGCTGCTGCCAATCGTCGTTAAAGGGAACTAATAAAACGACTCGAAAGTCGTATAAGTCTTTGAGAAGGAACAACATGGGACGCGACTTGATAATCTTAAGTGTGGTCTAGGGTTAAGGGACGGAGCTCGGTGTTTAATTTAGGCTCTCACAAGTCGGAACTGCAAGGCTGGGGGGGTATCATTATATTTCAATATTCGGTTTTAAACCATTGTGATGTGAATGTCCTATAATTCCACCCCAAAATCGAATCGCCAATAATAAAAAAAGAGAATGACAAGAATGCTATACCCTAACCAAATCGCCCCGTACCAAATGCAAATGCTGAAAGGCCGTCTGATAACCCCAGTCGCGCGCCTGAACCCGTTTTCCGATTATCTTTAAGTATGCGGTGTATGTATATGAAGGTGGGGAGAGTGTTTATGTCCAAGGTGACTTCCTTCCTACCCCCTAATCCCCTACGGATAGGGACCGTCGAGTAGTCCCCTCTCTAATAACAGTCCCCAACATCCATAAACAGCCCCGCGCCCTGGATCTCACTAAACTTAACCTCGCCCTCTCCCAGCGCAATCGCCAGCTCGTACGTCATGACATCGCGGCACGCGAAGCTATTAATGAACGTCTTGGTCCCGGGACGGAAACGCAGGGTTCCGACTAACGAACCGGCTGCGGGGCCGTCTATGGCGGTTACGTTCACGAGGTCGGAGCCCGTGGATGTGATGGGGTAGTCGGCGGGGAAGGTGGCGATGAGGGAGCAGGGACCGACGCTGTTGGGCGGGATTTGGAAGGTGACGAAGTCGCTCCGCGAGGGCGTGATGTCGTAGTTGATGGGGAAGCCGATGGCTGCCGGGGCTTGGGTGAGGCAGGTGCTTGAGACGGTGCCTGCGAAGGCGGTGGTGAGGGTTGTGGCGATGGTTGAGAAACGCATTTTGAATGGGGTTGGAGGGTTTTGGTTGAGTGGTGTGTTTTGTATTTGTGTACGTTGGAAGACAGAAGTAGATGCGATGAGCTGGATGTTTATATGAGAGTTGCTGGTGTGTGATGGTAGTGACCAAGATGAATGTTGGATATATGTCGGAGCATCGCTCTCTTTATATATCAAAACAGCCTCACCCCATGTCACCCCATGAGACCTCCAACACGAGTCCGCATCCATTAGTAAAGCTCGCCTCTCGTTCGTCGACAAACCGGATATAGCTACACGAGCGCAGCTGGTATGCATCATTCGCCCATCGTCCCGTCGTGTTGGGTGGCATAGCGTAAGACCTACCCCAGATCCCCAAACCGAAAGTCCCGAAGGAAATAAGTCTTGGGGCTAACCCGAACTAAGCTACTCTCAGCTCAGCTGAGCTGAGCCGGGCTGATACGTTGCATGAGGCTGTAGGGCTGAGAACGCGGTGAGGTGGGATTCAGACTGTGCTTCGACCTAGCTCTTCGTATTCCATCGCTAGCTCGCTCGCCGTCGATCCTTCAACGCCTTTGTGCTCACTTTAGTAAAACCCCGTTGATGCGCTTGCGTTCAACGTAGCGAGAGGCTTGAAAGCCGATTCGATGGTGATGCCCATGTGGCTGAGACCCGAAAGGGTGTGGGGAGGGGTGCGAGGACTGGCTTATTCACGCGGGCATGAATTCCGTGTCTATTCCGGGTATCATGAGATCGGAGATGTGGTCTGCACCCACTAATTCGCCCGCCGTCGTATAGAAAGCCGAAGATGGAGTTAGTAAGACGGCTGGTAGAGGTCGAGGTCCATAGTGCTGATGTCAGCTCTGATACGTGCAACTTCTATAGTGGCCTGGATAAAAGTCATGAGACTTATCTGTACTAGTGTAGGCTATTGATGTAGTAGAAGTGCTTGAAATTATGAGGTAGAATGAGGCTGGATGTTAACAAATGTCTATTATTAATTACATACTAGGTATGTATTGATACCTATTCCGCCTAATCTAAAGCCAATTCCGTGATTCGCCAGGTATCTCTAAGTGCCGTACCCCATAATAGATATCATAATCTAAGTAATCATAAGTTCGTTACGTTCGTTATCGTTGTTGAGATATAGGAGACCAGCGCAGTATATCCGTACGGTTTAGCCCGGTAAAAATATATAGACTTGATGGTACTCTGTAAGGTAGATACCTTAAAGTAAGTTTCATCAAGCCTCCTTCTCTATGTCGCTCACACTCTTGTTGGGTTTGACGTGAGAGTGTTTCTTTTCGTTCACATATACGTCCTCGTCTTTACCCTCGTACATGATCTCGCAGTTAATGACGGCTTTTACGTGGTGGATAAATACAAATATCCACATCGCAACTAGCATGAGCGTCATTGCGCTGCCCACTGCCATGGCCGCCCGGCTTTGGAAATTCTTTGCGAGGGCGATGATTGTTATGGTAAACCCAACATTTGGGAACACATAAGCATACCAATTCAGGTGAAAGGTTAATTGCTTTCTGATAGCCAGGTTGGCGACTACAGAGATACAAAAGAACCATAGACTCAATGACCAAATAAAGATACTCGTGAACGTCGCGAGAACACGGAGAATCTGTATGGTGATAGAGTCGGCACCGAAGTAGTTATAGTGGTTGGGAAAGTCATTTGCAAGCCCGATAATAGCAAGGCTGGTAAATGAGGGCGGCCCAACCGCTATAAACATACCGGGCCGTGAATTAGGTGACGGGAATCCCCATTGTATCATCCGTCGAACATAGCTCGCCTATCTTATGTCAGCAGTCCTATCAAAACTCCGGGATCACTTAAAAAGCATAACTGCCCATATGAAGGGAAAGTGATATTTTGTATATAATATGAAAGGTTGATACTTACTATAAAGTCATTAGCATTTGTATCAAATTTGAGAATACGAAAACGAAGACATTTAATGTTAACGCGGGACGACACATACCATACATCATAATCGATACACACATCCCAAGGCCTTGAGCGGTCAGACCGCCAAGTATCATAGGAAGAGCTTCACTCGGCGGTTGAAATGCAGCACCCGATGATGCGACGGTACCCGACAGCATGAAGGGGAATATGGGAAGATCCCAGGCAGGTGTCATGTCTTGGATTCTCAGAAGCGGGGAAGTGAAGAGTAGTGAATATTGACCAACGGCTAGAGCAAAAGTGATGACGAAGTATATCCAAAACAAGACACGATAGGCAACAATCAGCCACGGGCCGCATGAGGGGATTCCATATCGGGCAATGCCAGCGATGATGGATGCTAAGCTAAGGGTCGATGTGCCTAGGAAAAGCGCCTCGGTTGGATGAGTGATAGAATGCTTCAAAGTGCCGGGAAACTTGATGAAGCGGTAGGTTATCGCAGCGGTGACGAGGGTGAAGATGACAAGGTCAAAGATATAAACCACTTTTCCAATTGTTTGGAGGCCTGGGAATATCAAGCCTTGAGTCTGTTCTGCAAGTAGCAAAGCAAGACCGCCTGTGGACATAGGAAAGGTATAGTTGGCCCAGGTAAAATGTTCAAGCCTTGCCAAGAAATCCCTCACGGAGCCGACGAAGCCACAACGGCGTTTTTGAGTGTCGTCATTGTCTTGGAACTCTTCATAGCTGCTGCTACCCGAAGAGATATCTTGTTCCCCACCTAATTCGAAAACCATGTTCGCTTGGAGAAATTCTTAGGCGAATTGAGGTTATTTAGGTAATTAGGTAAATAAGGATGATTTTGCAAAACGATGGGATGAATTGACGCTGATAAATAGGATTTGCATTACGAGATTTAAGTTGCTGTACGAAGTAGGTGCTTTTAATAAGGATTTGGAGCTGGCAGCTGCGTTGGGAATTGCGAGTTTAGGTTCCAAAAAAATGGCAAATGGTTTCAGGGATCTGCGCTGCTACGTCGAAAGGTTGTACAAGCTAAAGCTTAGTCATCGTTCGATTTCACGTTAGTTGAATCGCGTACTTAATTTAAGCTTTCACCTCTCCTGATTCACCCATTAAACTAGAAAAACTTGATCGGGCCTACCTGCCGCCTTCATACGTGGTATCAACTGTATCGAACGTTTAGGAAGGCGGTCTATCTAACGCATAGCCTCTCTCTTACAACTACAATCTCCTATTTATTCCGGAGTGGAAAAAAACAAGAGTTATAAACAGTGATGCACTAATCATTAACAGACAGGTTGAACAAATTGCGAAAGCTAGCAAGCGGCAATCGAACATTAGCGCCCCCATCCCATGCTCCATCCCGTGTTTTACGCACTACCATACACTACGAATACCACCATCCTGGGACCGGATTCTACGCGGGTTTTACCGCTACGGCGTTACTGCAAACATCCCACTAAACTCGAACCAGAACTTTCTAAACAATTTCTAGCCACTTCACATTCAATCCTATTCTTTAACAATTCAGACTTCATCATGAATTCAGATGCTGGCAGAGAGCTGGGACAAAAGTTGTGTATGTACTGCAAAAGCTATATACAATCGAATATTCAGTACAGGATTTTAATTTAGGGAGTAAAAAAACAAGCGTTTGCGGTCCGAACAGCTAGTTTCTTTCTTATTTACAGCGAACCCGTATCACTAAGCCCAAACAGAGCCTCGATCCACGTTTACTTTTTTCCGCCAGCTGAACCCCCACGTCCGACGCGAATGCCAGGGTTTATTTTACCAACCGGGTGCTTTAAAAAGCGGGCTTGGCGTTCTTGATGAGCATCTCGAAGTAGGCCTGGTTCCACTCACCAGCCTCGGGAGAGGGCTTGTAGGCGTCGGGCTTGCCACAGAAAGAATCGTAACGGGTAGCACCCTCATCGCTTGTGCCGTCTGATTCACCACCGGGCTTGCCCCAGACGAAGGCATCGGCCAGCTCGAGACCGGTGTCAGCAGTAGGGCGGACACCGAAGCCAGCACCGTTGACGTTGCACCAGTCACCCCATTCCTCACGGAGACCAGTGACGGCGTTTCGGCCAGTGTCGACGATGGCGTGTTCGGGGAAGCCAGCAGTCTTTAGCGCGGCCGAGAACTTGGTAACGTATGTCTTCTCGTTCTGGCACGAGTTGTACTTGGCGTCCGAAGCATCGGAGAACTCACCCGGATCCTCGTCCCTATCATTATGTTAGCCTCTTTGCATCGAAGAGAGAAAAATCTAAAGTAAGTGGATATGAGAATAACATACCAGGAGTTCCAGCCAGCAATGTTGGTGGCGTAACCACGGACCTGCTTGGGGCTGCCCGCGTTCTTGTAAACCTTGGCAAGCTCCTCAGCACCGGGCTTGAGGTTAGCGTCCCAACCGAGCCAACCACCGTGACCAGCGTCGATGTACATGACGACGTTGGGAAGGTTGAGGCTCTTGAGAGCATAAGCGACACCCTCCTCGTAACCGGTCTTGCTGTCGGCGCAAGCAGTCTTGTCGGCGTTCGTGACAAGGTTAGGTAAAGAGTCAGGCTCGATCAAAAGAGCGAAAGCCGTGTTAGGGTTGGCCTTGATCTTAGCGACGATGGCTATACTAACGTTAATGGTCGTCTCTCCTTAATATAGGTGCCGGCATCAACTTACGGTCAACGTATTCAGTCTTGTATCGGTCCAACTCGTTGTACTTAAGTTCTCCGTTGGAGGCCTTGGCGGCACAGTCACGACCGGGCAAGTCGTAGATGACGAGACCAAGGATGTTCTCGCAAGGAACGTCGGCGACAGCAGCGTCGAACTTTGCGATGTTGGCAATGGAGTCGCTAGGTTTCTTGTTAGTTACCATGATCGCATTCCATGTTATTGCCTTAGACTTACAGCCATAAGAAGCTACCAACGTCGGCGATCTTGGCAGCCGAAGTCTTCATGGAAGCGTCGGAAATGGCTTCGACAGCTTTTTCAACCTCACCACGGTAAAAAGTGTTGGCGTGCAGAGTGTACTTCTTGAACACGTTGGTGCTAGGGTCGAGCGTGACGGCTTCCGAGCAAGCTGCGGCAGCCTTGCGGGGTACATTGTGAGAAGGTGCGGCGATAGCACCGGCGGCCAACGCCGCTACACTGGTTGCAGAGACCTTCATGTTCGATTCGACCCGGATACAACCCTTGGATAGTAATGAGCGAGTACGGTGAAAAGGATATCAAGTGAGTCCTTGGACCGGAGGTCTCAAGCTTCTTATACCATTCATTGTGGCGGAAGTGGTCGACACCAGCCCTTGCGGACCATGTGCACCTCTGCCCTAGGTGCATTGAGTAGCAATCAGGAATTAGGCCCGTCAATCGCGAAAGATCTCGGTACGTCCACTCCGAATAGAGACATGCCGGCAAGTTCCCTTCGTCGCGGGGAAAATATTGCGGGGTCTGGTTGGCCACCGTGATTACCACATGGCCGGACCAGACACATCTCTGGCATTTTTCCTCTATGGTGATCTTAATTTACCATACGTATAACCACCCGCTCGGTCCTATTGAGGTTGTGTGGAGAACGAGAGACCTACAAACCTCAATCTATGCCATATTTCTCACTTTTGCAGTCCTAGTCAGATCCTGGTTAGCCTATTCAACTCTTTCTAAGTTGCTTACTTAGAAGACGACCCTGAGAGCCGTGGGGGCGTAGTATGTTAAGCCATGTTATTCTTGGCCCTTGTAGACGACAGGCACCAAAAGCGAACTCACTAGGATACTAGGATACGAAGGCGAGTAAAAACAGCTTAACGGCTTATAGAAAGTTCGTTTACGGCAACATGTATAAACGGCGAATGCCAAGCCTTCTCCATCTGGAGTGATCTGCAACACGATAGATTGCTTCCCCATGGGATATAATATGTAACGGGCGATATCTGGAGTGAGTTAAGCCAAGACAAGCAAGGTACCGTTCTATTAGGGACAGGGAAAGAAGTGTCTCTGTTTGGCTAAACTCCCTTCTTAGGTGAAACACGTGTTATAATAGGTCTGCCCTGCGAAACAGAATAGGGTCCCATTTAGCCGCAAAGGAGGCTACTGTCTCCCGCCTAGCGAATCACAGGCTTCGGCTAAACAACTTTACTCTCCTCCAACTCCGGGTAACAGACGTCACATCGGCATCCAATAGACGAGGGTCTTGGCCGAGCTGGTGGGATTAGAAATGGATGGGAGTGGTGGTACATCGCCGCGTGAAAGGACCTTTGTGATCTCGTAAGTTGGCCCGGAACGCGACTCCGACGAGATTCCCATATCTAGGAATCTTTCATGATCCTCGTCGAGCATACCATAATCAAGCCTCTGGGCTTGCCACTCGAACAAGTCGCACCCGATGGGAGACCGCTTGGCGTCGGCCCCCATGCCATAATCCACCGTGTATGAGGCTTTGTTGTCGGTCAAGCCTCATAGTTAAGAATAGACAAGGCTTTTCCGCCTAGCTGGATTCTATCATGCTCGGTATGTCCATCAATCGGATGCCTAATCTCTGTCGTTCCTAGCCTCCGAAATCTCCCTCCGGAATATGACGCGATTCGAGGTGATTTGAGCTTATTTTTCATCTCGCGAATTCCATGCTCATGTTAGAGATCTTCAAGCATATGAGCCGGTTAGAATTTACGCGCCTTAACACAAAGCCGACGATTTTGGATAACAATATTTATTAGACGCCAGTGGGCGCATATGCAATTTAGGACTTCTCCCCTTGGGCAATGAGATCGACAATGGCGCCTATTTTCTTTTTGCCTACCTCGACCTCTTGTAACGTTGTGGCGATTCTGCTATTACTTCTTTCAGAAATTTAGAATTATCTTTGGACCCGAATGACTTGTCATGAGAGTTGATTATATTGCCCAGAGATTGAGCCTCTGTCTTATTCCACTCGGGCTTTACAATACTTGTTACTCACATGCAGCATACATAAAAGTTATATACCGGCCTCATTACCATATATATTCGCTTCCGCTTGTGTGTGCCTCGAAATAGAATGCGAGAGCGCCTAGACGAGTCTAAAGAGGCGATCGGGATTTAGTAGCTGCATTGCAATATTAAGGGTCTATGGGATGGGTCAAGGGAAAATGTGTAAACAGGTAACGTAATATATAAAGGGGTATATCGCTATTGGCTCCCTACTTACCTCTCCTGCCACGAGACATCATTACTAAGCCTTCATTTGTACATGAATGCTTAATAGTTTCAAGAATATGTCAGTAAAACCTGCTTGAAGCCGCCGACTACACGAATCGGTCACGATACCAGAACGCCAGATATTTCAACTCTCGAGGAACCGGGGCTGGACAATCTAGGCTATTCAAATAGGGGGGATAGGATGGGTAGGTGCTTTTCGTCAAGTAAAATCATTGGCATCCCTACAGATTGGAGAAACGCATACATTAATTATCTGGTCACCGACGAAGTCATGGTATCCCTTGAATTGGTACAAGATTATAATTCCCATAGAGTCGGTAACTACACCGGTGATAATGAACTAGTGGAGCAGGTCTATGAAGCTTATAATATAAGACCGTAGGTACCCAATAGACATTGAGGAATATATATTCCTAAAAATAATATAAAATGAAACACAAAATCTATAAAGATCGTAAATAACTATAAGTACATAGGTACCTACTGGGTAGCAGAAACTCCGGTGAGAGTAGAAATGTTTGAAAGTTATCCGTGGATTAGGGCGTCAGGGTTGTTAGGGGAGGTACAGTGATCTATAGGGGATTAGTGCGAAATTCAGCCAATCAAAAATGAGATTTTGGTGGGTTCTAGTGAACCTTAGGGGATGGTATTTGGTGAAGTCGTAGTCTAATAGTGCCACCCAATTTAGGGGGCAATGAGCTTTTTATAATGGGAACCTTAGAAGTCGATTCTTATATGTACGTTCTACACGATTGCTTAACTATCCATAATTAGCTGTTTTAAAACTTAATAGTGAATGAAATGGCTCATGAAGTCCAGTTGATCGATGTGGCATTCATACCGATATACTCTACTTCTAGGTAAATTTGGATGGGTTACCCATCTACGCTTCCTAAAAAGTCGCTAGGCCAGTTTATCTTTACCAATCCTTCCAATGCCCCCGCCGCTACATATATCCCATAAGGGATAATATCATTTAACTCGGTTTTCCTACCTACCCACGAGATAGGTAGGAAGGTAAGTACTGGGTAGACTCTCGTCTGTTTAACCCAAGGTCATAACGCCACCTTCTCCTCTGAAGTAGGCCTGCGCGATCCTCTTTCCTACTGATTCACCACTCCAGTAAGCACCCGTAGCCGTTCCCAGGGCAACAAAGGGAGCCGTATGTTCACCCGCTAGCCAGAGGCCTCTATTAGGTAACCCGTCCCTCATGGCCTTTATATCTGCATCGCCCTCCTCGAGGCCCACTTGGAAATTGCTATAACTGCCATTACCGGCGAGTTCATCATTCAGCCACTCAGTCGCATAGCAGCCATTGGGCTGGCAGTCGGGAGACTTCTCGTCATAGTTGGGAAGACGGGAGTAATACGGCTTAAACCAGTCATACAAGAACTCATCTTTTTTCTCCTTCGAAGGTAGTTTCGCCAGCTCGCCGGTGATGAATTTTGACTGGTCGCCGTAGAAGTAGTAAAGCATTGTTGGGTGAGCAGAGGATTTCAGAGATGCCAACTCGACAAATTCCTGGTTCCATTTCTTTGGATTCCTGTCGGCTGCGTAGTCTGGTGCGAGCATTTGGCAGAACCCCTCGATTCTGTTATCCTCGGAGCGATCAAGGGTCCAGAAGGCTTTCGGGAAGCTGATGTAAGCCTGCATGAAAATTAACGTAGCCCAAATTGAATATCGCATATCTTGATGTCGAATAGGATATTACCTTCTCAAGACATCCATAGCCAATACTTTGAATAGCCTTGCTGAGTCTTGATGGCAACGCCGGCTCAAAAGCATCGGTGTGTCGTTTTAACCAACCAAGCGGTGCAGTGAGGACAACTTCGTCGAACTCCAGGCTCTCTCCGCCCTCGGTGTGAACTTTCAGTGTACCACCTTCATCATTGGTACTCTGTATTTTGTTGACAATTGTCTCGTATTTGATTTTGGCGCCCTCCATGGCCGGCTTCGCGACGAGCTGAAGGATCTTCTCATAGGTATCCGCAACGAACAGATTCTCTGCGAAATGTCAACATTTCCAGATCAAATTATAGCCGAGAATATCCAAACTCACCACCATCTATACATTCTTCTAACCAAAAGAACTTCAAGCTTTGGGTGAAAACGTGACTACCAACAAACGCCCCCCACTGGTCGGCAAGCTGATAGACAAAATTCCTCTTCCTCTCAAAATTTTCTTCGGTATCCGGAATTCTTTTAGGCACCTCTTTTTTGAAGAAGTCCCAGAGACTTTCATCGGGACTTATTGTGGCAGAGTGCTTATTGCTGTACGCAAAGGCAGCTCCGACGACATCCCACATGATAGTCGAGTAGAGTATCGCATCCGAGGCAGGAACTTGCTTGCCCGCTTCGTCGAAGACAGAACTTCTTTCCTCCCACTGTCCCGTTGCAGTTTTAGTTTCATTGGCAAGGTCCAGGATAGGATTGTCGTTGGTGCCATGAATCCAGTTTGGTCCAGCACTATACACGACCAGGAATTAGCTATTGCTTATGCCAGATATCTTAATAATCTAATTACTAAAAATCCGTACTGTTTTCATTCGTAGATTAGTACGTATCCTTCTAGAAAAAAAGCTTACTGAGCTAGCATTTTACGAGGCTCCTGATACTAACCTCGACCTTGTGTCCCGAAGGCAATTTTGACTGATGCACTCTTCCGCCGAGTCGATTCCTTCCCTCGATCAAAGTGACTTCGAATCCATGCTGAAGGAGAATATCCGTGCAACGTAGACCGGAAAATCCAGCACCCACAACTCCGACATGAGGTTTGCGACCGGAACTTCGCGCTCGGCGCTATGAAATGTGTGAGCGTAGTGCTATTGTACTGGGGTTCACTCAGCTGAGTAGTAGCACAATGAGGAGACTGGGCCGCATCTAGCCGATTTATTACACGATTGATCACCGATGGGTGCCTCGCTCACATGATAAACCCGAGAGCTTCGTCAAGGTAATATTATACCTCTCCTATCATTTTCCCCAAGCTCGGGTTCTCCGATATGTCCTCGACCGCCATTTCCATGATACTATACTGGCGGCAGGACTTGAGGTCTGTCCAGATACGCGAGAAATTTCGTTGCGAGGCACTGGTAAATGAGACAGAGTAAGCATCCATACTTGCTTAAAATAATATTTGTTTATTTGCTTGAGGGTTACTATAATACTTCGAAGGGTACTGGGTAGGGATATGTGCGTAGAGTACAGAAGAGTGTGTGATGCGTAGTGCGACTAGTCAGAGAAATATAAAGGTTGAAAGTGAGTGCTGGATAGGTGGATACGGTTATATAAACTCAGTACGTGTAGTTCAGCATTGGATGGTCAGGTGTATCAGACGAATGACAGTAAGGAAAGCGGGATAGACCGACTAGTCAAATGGAGTTGAGTAAGGAGGTTGCCACTAAGTGTAGATAGTGGACATGACTCGGCACTTGCCCAATCTTTTGATATCTTTGTTTGCATAAAGTAAGATAAGTAGCATGAGGACTGAAGGCTGGCACGACCTAGACCCGCTTGGCACGATAGGATAAACTACCTAGGTATATAACCACATATCTGCTACACTCGCTTTTGAGTTGGTAGATGCAGCAGATAGATGCAGTAGTAGCCTCAGGCAGATGCAGATCCTCAGGGGTAGAGGGGCAGGCTACTAGTTAGACAAGCGTCGCATGCGTTGACAACTGTAAAGTTATCGACAAAGCGTGCTCGTCTAATAAAGCCAGTTCACATATCGTCTATTGGTACGCTATCTGTAGCAGGATACTAAGAGTGACACGCCGATAGACGAGTGTATCTGATTGGATGGACAGGTTTGTCTCAGAGCCATTCAGGCTCCAGCCACTTAACCACTCATCAATTGGGTCGGGATTGTCGGAAGATGGGAACTGTAAAACGATAGAGTGGGGGAAAAGTACAGCTCTGAGAGAGGATAGGGATAGTTGTATAATACTATTAATAATAAAATATCTAAAAAAGAACATACCGCGGTAATGCTTGAAGCAGAGTTCGAGCTTGAGTCCCAGCGATTGTCATCCAGTTGGTAGATTGAAGTACGAGTTATAGCCCTGGAAATGTTGCAAACAAGAGGAAAGCTTGAAAGTCTAAGGTCAAGTCTTTATCAAATTGTGGGGAACGATATTTGTACCACCTGAATTCCGGTGAATGATTAAATCTTATATCCCTCAAAGTTTGCGTTAGGGAATTAGAATGTTGATTAAGGTTCTTGTCCGACATGACCTATTACAGCGAAATCGGAATTAATATATTTCCATGTTCTGATTTCTCTTGAGTCTTTTAAATCCGTCGCGCATTGTGCTTACCAATACTGTAACCATCCTTCAAGCTTCATTGTACGATTTCGCTTCCTTCAACGCCAAAAATGTCAACCACACCACGCCACTCCTTAATGGCTTGTAGACCAGAGGGCGCATGTACGGCTTTTGGCTGAGTCCACTCAAATAGAGTCTCTATGCAGTGTTCTCGACCGTAACCCGAATACTTCACTCCACCAAATGGTGTTCCTACTACATTTCTATTGTAGTTATTTATCCAGACCATTCCGGCCTCAACTGATCGGACGAACCGATTAGCCTTCAATTGGTCATTTGTAAATACTACCGCCGTTAGCCCATAGGCTACTGAATTCACAATGCGAGTCGCATCCTCAAAGTTACCAAAGGGCGTGACGGTCACTGGAAGGTGATTAGTATGCAGACGCTTTAAGAATTTCAAGGGGCTTACCGATGGAGCCGAACATCTCTTCTTTTGCAATGCGCATACCCTCGCTTACATCGGCAAAGAGAGTAGCAGGAACGAAGAAACCATCTTTGCATTCAGGATCGGAAGGTGGTTGAGCCTGAGCCGCAATTCTGGCACCCTCTTTTTGTCCGAGAGAAATATACTCTAGGAGGCGTTCTTGCGCCGCTTTGGATACTTGCGGCCCAACGTGAGTCTTAGAGTCGAGGCCATTCCCCATTCTGATCTGGTTTACTCCTGCAGCCAACTTTGTGACGAACCTCTCATAGATCTCACGTTGGACAAGAATGCGTGAGGTAGCGGTGCAGGCTTCACCCTTGTTAACTGTGATGATGGGAATTAGTAACTTCCCTGAATGTGGGAATAGAACCTTCAAATTAAAACGAGTAGGGGATTCTTCGATTCCCGAGACAAACCAAAAAGAAGGGGCTGATATTGGTACGACGTACAGAAAGCACCTTCAAGAGCTGTGCGCACCGCGCCATCGAAATCTGCGTCTTCAAAAACAACCAACGCGTTCTTTCCACCGAGCTCAAGCACAACGGGCGTGATAGAATCACTCGCAGTTCTTGCCACAGCCGCCCCGGCCGCCGTTGATCCCGTGAAACTAACCTTTTTTACGAGCGGGTGCGTGATTAATGCCTGCGGCACTTCTGGTCCTAGCCCCGGCACAACCTGAACCACGTCTTTTGGCAGGATACCCTCCAGGATCTCTACGATCCGTATCACCGTCAACGGAGCCTGCTCACCGGGCTTTAGGATAAATGTGTTGCCCGCCGCAAGCGCAGGACCGAGCTTGCCGCCGGTGTGGATAGACGGCCAATTGAAGGGTAAGATGCCGACACACACACCGAATGGCTCATGCACCACGGTTGAGTACAGGCTCCCCCTATCGTAGAACTGCGACGGCAGTTTATCGACCAAGCCCCCAAAGAAGCGAAAAATGTTCACTAGGAAACCGCAGTCGAACACCTTAGCATCCTGAAAAGGCTTCCCATTTTCCAAACATAACAACATCGCAATCTCGTCGACATGCTTCTCGAGCTCGTCTGCGCAGCGAAGAAGATATGATGCCCGCTCGGCATGAGTCAGGGGTCGCCAGCGCTCTGTGAAAGCTATTTGCGATGCGCGCACGGCTGCGTCGACCGTGCCTGAATCTCCGGACTGGATTGTGGTAAGTACTTTACCCGTAGCTGGGTTCTCGACTGTCCAGCGTTTATTGGAATTGCTGCAGGAGTAGCGATACGCAGATACCTCTGGAAATTTAGGGGTTGCCATATTCACAAGATTTATTTGTATCGTAAAGTGATATCTATTTCCTACCTTTCTCTGCAAGTTGAACTCTCTGAAGAGTTATTATATTTCTAGTTTTTCCACTGCGGTGTATATATGTACATCGTATAAACTTCTTCGCATCGCGAGCGTAGCTCTCGCAGTCATAAACTCCGCAAAACCGTCATGGCGCAAAGGGGGTTGAATCAATCGAAGAAAGCTCGCCCCTCTTTGGTCGCGTTCACGAATGTTGCAACTCCGTCTTGCCACGGATTTAGTAACTCCCAGCCATTTTAACCCCGCCTGAATGGTCTGTTTTAAGTGGCTCTCGGGCAATGCGAATTGGGCGACTCGCGAATTGACGTCGTCTCGGGCTTCGTTTTTACGAATAGCTTAAAAAAGAATTCGATAAGGCAAATTCTTGCTCTGAACAAGAAGGAAAGTGGAAGCAGAGGAAAAATATCTAGGCTGCTAAGTACAGAGTACGGATAGAGGAAAAGAAAAGTTGGCGTTAAGTTATTGACCGGAGAATAAGCAAAAGGCGAGTGAAGATAACGGAAATTAGGGGTTTTCAGCCAACGGGCTTGCTAATATTTAGGTACCAACTAACTTGATATATTCACAACTAGGTCCCAGATCTACATCAATGGATGTGAAATTATGAGGCTCAAAATCGCACATCAACTTCAGATCGGAAATCTCTACTTAATAAAGCTTTGTTCTTAGAATCTAAAGCTAATTTTGTCTGGCATGTGAAGTCTCGATCAGTAAAATCTCACGTATTACTAAACAGATACGACCTCGGATTACCCCGAGTTTCCCCTGGACGGGGACCCCAGACTTCCCTAAACTAGCGGCGCTGTAACAGGCAAAGCAACAGCCGAATTAACCAATCAGAAGCCGCTAGACTTCGATTACCACCGTAAGCCGAGGCATCGTCCTTGGACCCAGCTGACGTCAAAAAGACCATAGAATCCGGGGCATCCTTTTATCATGCATTCCTTCTTTGTTCTGGAGCTTAGAAAACAATCTGAGCTTCGTGTGTTGTCGTTCGAACCTCTTGCGTCGTATGAATAGCATCGATCGTATCCTTGTCTCGAATAAATCACTTCCAAAACCCTCGCCCATAACACCGACATCACCGACAGCCGCCATGGCTCAGACGTTCACCCGCGACGAGGTCGCTAAGCATAACACCGAAGACTCGCTGTGGTTCGTCATCGATAGCAAGGTCTACGATGTAACCGACTTCGTAGACGCGCACCCAGGCGGCGAGTCCGTGCTCCGACAAGTCGCTGGCCAAGACGCCACCGTCGCATTCTACAACCTGCACCGGCACGAAGTACTGAGCAAGTACGAGGACCTTCACGTGGGAACACTTGAGGGCGAGAAGCCGCAGGTTGTGACGCCGAAGCCGGGAGACCTTAGCCTAGTGCCATACGCGGAGCCGCTCTGGCTCGCACCCGCGTATAAGAGTCCTTACTACGGCGAAAGCCACAGGCGGCTACGGAAGGCCATGCGCGTCTTCGTCGACACGTACATCACGCCGGAGGCGCAGGCGCGCGAACTCGACGGCAAGAAGATCAGCCAGGAGCTCGTCGATCGCATGTCCAAGGTCGGAATGCTGCACATGCGCCTCGGCCCCGGTAAGCACTTACACGGTGTAGACCTACTTGACGGCGCCGTCAAGGGCGAGGAGTTTGATTATTTCCACGACTTGATCATGTCGCAAGAGGGCGTGCGCGCGAACGCGCGAGGCTTCCAAGACGGGCAGCTGGCCGGTATGGTTATTGGGTTGCCCTGCGTGATGAACTACATGAAGGACCAGAAGCGCAAGAAGGCGATTATGGACGAGGTGTTCAGCGGGAAGAAGTACATGTGTCTAGCCATCACCGAAGCCTTCGCCGGCTCGGATGTCGCGGGTCTGCGGACGACCGCTACTAAGACGCCTGATGGCAAACACTACATCGTCAACGGCACCAAGAAGTGGATCACCAACGGCGTGTTCTGCGACTACTTCATCACCGGTGTTAAGACGGATAAGGGTCTAAGCGTGCTAATCATCGAGCGCGGAGAGGGTGTCGAGACTAAGGCTATCAAGACCTCGTATTCGCCCTCCGCCGGCACCGCGTACATCACCTTCGACAACGTCAAGGTCCCGGTCGAGAATCTCCTCGGCGAGGAGAACAAGGGCATCTACGTGATCCTCAGCAACTTCAACCACGAACGGTGGACCATGGCCTGTAAGCCCCCCAAAAATATCTTCCTCTCCCTCCCCTCTTATCTAACTACCTCCATACTAACCCCCCACCCAACAGGCGCCACAATCCGCCAATGTCGAATAATCGTCGAAGAATGTCTCAAATGGTCTCACCAGCGGCTCGTCTTCAACAAGCGTCTAATCGAACAACCCGTGATCCGACAAAAACTCGCCAAGATGATCGCGCTGATCGAAGCGAACCAATCGTGGCTCGAGACCATAACTTACCAAATGTGCAACATGCCATATAAGCAGCAAGCACAACACCTAGGCGGGCCCATCGGGTTACTAAAAATGAGCATCACGCGCGCGGCGCACGAGATCGCCGACGAGGCCGTCCAGATCTTCGGCGGGCGCGGGCTGACGCAGTCGGGTATGGGCAGGGTCGTCGAGATGTTCAACCGCACGTACAAATTCGACGCCATCCTCGGTGGCTCCGAGGAGATCCTTGCCGATTTAGGTGTTCGCCAGGCGATGCGGCAGATGCCTAATGCGAAGCTATGAGCTTGGATCATTACGTACCTGTACCTAGGCTTCTAGGTACCTAATCCGAAAACGACCTAATAGGCTGATAGGTGAAATTTGATAAGGAGGAATGGCGGATCTGTGCAGAGGGCTCCTGTATATATAATGTATGTCTCGGACGGGTACATATGCCACGTTACTACCGGAGTGTAATGGGGGAAACGCCATAGCATAAGCCACGGAGTAAGGGTAAAAACTCGAATTTGCAATTCAGATAATCAAGAAACAAAATTTTATATCTCAGAATGGCCTCAGCTTGTTTGATGTATTATAATGATACGATGAGGTCATCTATGAATACATTTATCCGATTTAGCAAAAAGGGGGTTCCTAGAAATGGGCATCACATCGTTTCCTACGCCTTGCCAATCACCAAGTGCCCCTCCAAAAGCGTCTCAAACCCGACCAAAAACCCGCTATGAATATTGTCGTTGAACTATTATGTCCATTTCTTATCACAAACGCCGTGCCCATTTATAGGATTAGATGCAAAACCATCGCCGGTAACTCGAATCGACGACATACTGTTTTAATATCATTCAGGGCTGGAAACCCTGGGTTAGCATCTGGTGAGTCATGATTTGACGGTTCACGAGAGGTAGGCGTCGACGTCCACCGAACTGCCTAGGAAGCTGAGGAGCGGCATGCGGCTGGCTAGTTGGGTTACTACTGCTCTCGGTAGTGTGATTATTTGTTTGGTGATTGTGACTCTCAGTCACTCCACCTAATGCCGAATCGTTGAAGTAGCGCGCCGGATCACCCACGGCTCTACGTGGTTGGTTGTGGCGTTTGCTTGTGCCGCATTCTTCGCAGACAACCCAGACTACTCTTTCAGATGGACTGCACCCTCGTCGGATAGTTGTCCTCGCCGTGCCAATGCTGCTCGGGGCATCCGCACTTATACGGGATGACTGCGATGATACTGAGGGGGCTATAGTGTGTTGCCTTTCACCTACAGCTGATGTCGCCAGCGTATCAACCGGTGACCATCTCTTGCTCGGACGATTCCCATTATCATTTTGACCAATTCGAGAAAGGCCAAGGTGATGCTGGGAAAGAATCGGTGTTTCTGGTTGAATATCCTCATCCTTGTGGTCTACTAATTTTTGTTTCGGATGACCCTGTCTCCCAATGTGAATGAATGGTACAAGAGAGAGTGAAATTCCCGCAAATGCTGCCGTCGCAATAAAAGTATTGGTATATGCGATTTCCGGATTGGCCTCCAGCTGCATCCTATCATACGAAGACCATATTGCGGTAGTAACACCCATACCTAGTGGGACGCCGAGACGACTCGTCGTTTGGAGAACTGAAGCTCCGATAGAATGTTGTTTAAGGGGAAGAGATGATAAGATATAGAGCTAGATGTAATCATATTAGATGTAAGTACAACTCATTTTTTTTGGGACGATACATGGAATCACTCACCGACCCAACGTTCATAGTCCAATCCATTCCAATAGTACTCAACACGACCGAGGGAAATATCCAAATTAGGTAATTACTTCCTTGATGCAAAAACACGAGGAGCACATTGCTAGCAACAAGAGCACCAGCAGCCACACCCAGAAGCACCGTACCAGGAACTTTGTGCATAATCAAGCCAACGAGAGGACTGAGTAATAAACCCACAAGGGCCTGGGGTAGTAACCTCACAGCAACATCGAATGGCTTAAGGCCCTCGAGGTCCTGCATGAATAAAGATACCCAGAACAGTTGCGAATAAAAAGACATAGCAGCGCCTAATGTGGAAATAATCACCTAAATGGAGAATCAGCCGTGTTCTATAACTTCCAAGTTCTTATGTAGGTTCTAAAATCTCACCAAAGTTACCGTCCAGTTCTCCCAAATGGAGGGAGGTATCATTGGCGTTTGTGTAACCTTTTCCCAAAGAAGAAAGCATCCAAGAGACAACACACCCAAGGTTAGGAGAAGGATAACTGTCGGCGTCTTCCATGGTTCCGGGCCTTGGGGTCCAATAGTCAAAGCAATAGTAAATAGTAGAAGACCCGTGATCAGCAAGACCAGCCCGACCCAATCGAATTCCAATAAGGGAGACTTCTTCTTATGGGTTGCGATTGAAAGCATAGGAAAAGCTTCTGGCTCGGCGATAATGTGCATCTCGTCCCTCTCTTGAGATGTCTCAGGTTCTGGAATATTCGGAACGAAGATGCATGCAAGCCCGCAGACGACCGAATATAAAATAGCCAAAGCTATGAATGGGGCTTTCCAACTGAACTGGAGAGCTAGGGCTCCTGAGCCGAGACCGCCGATTATGGTTGCTGCCGGTGTGCCCATCAAGAAAGAAGAGAAGACCATATTCTTCCGACGTGACGGTTTAGGGTATACAAGACTCAAGAGACCAACGGCAATTGGAACGTTCGCTGCGCAAGCGATACCTGTCAATCCGGATATGATATCAAGGACAATCCCATTCGGCGAAAGGGACGTCGACGACACGAGCAAACTGAAAGCTACTAAGCTGATGATAAGAAGAGTTTTCCGAGGTAGAAAGGCGCATGTATCAGCAATGTAGCCAAAAGGAAGCAAGAATGCGCCGGTCGTCAGACTGTGAATTGGTGAGTTAACATTCCTCATAATTGTCTATAGTTAGCAGAAATACCCTGAACTTGCTGTAGCCCATGCAATCTGAGCCGGTGTCATCTCTAATTCCTCGGACATAGATCCAGCCACAAGTACAACGGACCGTTGAAGGAAGACAGGAGTAGCTGCAGAAAAGGCGATTAGGACAACGAATATGCATTCTTTAAGGGCACTCCTTAAGCATTCAGGCCGACTTCCGGCTGGTAAAGGGGCTCGGACTCCTACGCCCCCCGTATCGTCGTCCAAACAGACTTCATGAAGGTCGTCGGGGGATGTTGACTGAGATTCGGGTCCGAAGACCCACATGTCCTTTTCCATAGGCATTTTCAGATGAAGTGAGGGTATAACCAACGAAAGACCAACGATAGCAAGAAAATAAACCAAAGAGTACGACAACGAAAAGAACGTTCCAAATGAGAGAAATGAACTTGGCGATCTCCAAAGACGGCAACATGAAACGAATGGAGATGGATTCTCGAAACTAAGAGTTGGATGGGTTTTGGGGAGAGTGAGAGTGTGCCTTATCCTCAGCTCCTACCCTTAATACACTAGTGTTCGGGAAGTAGGTACTTTCTGCTTCGATTATCTTTCCCGTGGAAGGAAATATCTAGAATATCAAAGCAAGAGTAGTACCAACTTCCATGGTTACAGCCGCGCCCCCTGATTCCTCAATGTTAGGAAAGACCGATGACAATCTGTGTGACGTACACTGAGGTATACTTCACTCCATACATCAATTCTTCTAAAAGAAAAAAATCATGTAATTGACTGGTACTGGAATAACTATCTGGAACGATCGCTCACTCGTCATTTGGATAGTTGGGGAATACACACCTAGGCAGCCAGAAGAACACTCGTTTCACACCCACTTACAAATTCAACTCATCTGCCACGTATAACTTGAGAATCGCAGAATCGAAGATGGTTTCGTTCACTTTATTAAGTCTTGTTGTCGTTCAGGTTTTCAACGACGTTGCGTTTGCCCGACGTTTTTTCAGGGTCCCAGCGCCACCGTTTCCCAACATTACCAACTTTGTCAACATCACCAACTTTGCCAATTTCACCGACAAATTCGACGCCGATACCCAATGTATCCCATTCGAAGATCCGCATTGTTGTGTCGATTTCCCCGTCTGCGAATGCCGGAATGGTATAATCTCTAGCACCTGAAAGGCTTCCTCGAGTCGAAAGCTAACCGGGTATTGATTATAGGAACGTTCTTCAATGTGAACCCAAGACGACTCAACGGAACCGATCTCTTTTGTGTGCCTCCGGGTAACGTGACCTTTGGACAAGATACCAGCAGTATTCCGGGTTGGTGTTGCTAGAAAGAAATTAAAAGAGACGGCTCTATTTCTTGGGATACTGCATGCTTAAATATTTGAATGTTGCAGTACGAGGACAGTGTACTGGGGGTGGACTTAGAAGAGTGACCCCATCACTGGTAACATCAAGATAATGAGGCTCTTGTCATGGGTAAAGATTTTCACGGGTTGAATGGTTTGAAATTGCGCTCGTTGGTTCTATTATTTGCCTTGGGGAGTGTTGTGCAGGAGTTGTGGTCGATACTAGAGTACATGAATAAGTTTAGCAATATCCCAATATTCGTACATAACATTTGATTATACCTAATACACGCACGTCAATACCTAGTAGGTACTAGTCACTTTCCATGTGAGTAATACAAGTAGTGTACAGCGAAATTGTGTGTTCAAAGTAGCTCCAATGCTAGAGAGTGAGCGTGACATCCCCTTTCCTACGCAATGCTACGAAAAACGACTCCCGCGATTCCTAAGATACAAGTCAGCACCAAGGACAAGCACACTGGGATATTCATAGACTCACACTTCTCGATGAGTCTGGTTTCTCGCGATGGACCTTCGCAAACATTTTCCTTAGCTTTAACTCCAGATCGTGGTCTTCGGCACCTTGGTAAAATTTGCAGACGAAGTGACCGCCGGATTTTAAAGTGTCGCTTGCAAATTGTAAAGCCGCGAGACAGAGGTCCTGTAAAACAATATCAGTATATAGACCGTTCACTTTCAATTGAAGATGATCACGATCTTACCATACTACCCGCATGATCTCGAAAGGCCATACCGCTCGTGTTCATCATCCTAATATACGGGTTACTCAATGTGTTACTGGAAAATCCGGTGGTTTGTACCCAGGGCTCTGACATGTCGCTTAGAACGATCTGCTCAAGTTAGTGCTTCAAATCAACGGTAGAAAATGTGCCTCAGATAGGTAGGCAAGTGGATGCATACATCTACAAGTCTTCCGTCGTTCTCTTGGTGTTCTGACTCAACTGATTCAGCACGCTCAGCATCAATATAACTCTGTCGCTCGGTAATGCCGACTTCCTCTTCCTCTGACTCTACCGCACGAGTAGACGGACTCTGCCGTTGCGCGAACTCAACCAGGTAATCCTTCACGAGTTGCTGAACATTCGGGGCTAAAAAATTGCCTTGGATGGTCGATACCCCCTTGGGCGGCTGTGCCGGGATGATGTCGATTCCAATTATACGCCCATTTGGCTTCGTACGGTCAAAGGCGACCTAGAATAATGAGCAACAATCGGCGTGGAGAGACGCAGGCTTCATACCTGGGACCAGCTTCCTGGCGCATATCCCTACATTGCTTAGCTATCTATATAAACCACTGGTAACCCTAGTACTTACTAGGTCGATCACTGTCTGCCCTCTCCTAAACAGCTTATATTTCGAGTCCATCTAGATGTTTCCCGTTAGCCTTAGCGCGCTCCAATCGACGATGAACCTTCAGCTTACCTCTAATAGTTTAAATGCAGCGCGACTCTTGAGACCCCTGACCTTGGCTTGTTGCGCGTAATAGTCGCTCCCTTGCCGCTGTTTCCATCTCGAATTAGATGAATTCCAACGTATACTCTTTAAGGCGATAGGCGCAAAAGGGCCATGTGGACTACATGTTGAGATCGCTCCTGCTAGAGAGGCATTATTCAAGAGGCTTCCATTGCGAGGCGCCGCTATTCTCGCCAGCGCATTCATTAATGTTACAAGGGATTGAGGGATGGCGACCGTGCACTATCCCATCTCAAGATTGCGACGACGGGTATCACGAAGATCTTGAATGATTAAACAAGTAGAGCTTAGTCATGATTTTTGAAATCGTTAAAATAATAAAATCGATGAAAATTTAGCTATCCAGTGGATGACATAAGTGAGCTATGACATCAGTAATTTTGATAACCGGAATATTCTCTTAATGTGTACCGTAGCGGCAAAGGGTGTTTCCTCAAAATGGTTGTTTTACTGTACAATGATTGTACTCAGGGAAATGGTTTCTTATCCTGGAATGATTTCCTGTTTTAGGCGCTAGGGCCGCTTTTTGATTCGCTAAGATAAATAAACCTTATATAAAGTTTTAAACCTTACCCTTTCAGTCAATAGTAAGACTGGCCACCCCACTAAGACTACTTAGCTTAGTTGTAATATGCGTTTACTACACGTATTACAGAAGGGCCTGGGTTCGAGCCCTACCCTTTTTAAAATTTTAGGTTTTTCGAAAGTACCTTTGTATCTTTTACCCACTTATCGATTATTTTAACCAATCAGATTCTAGTATTTTAAAATCATTGCATAGCCGGAAATCGTTGCAGCCCAGGAAATCATTCTCTAAAAAGAAACGTTACCCTCCAACCGTATCGTTATTATAATTTGAAACCATTTCATCTACCTACCCACTCCCGCTATGGTATGAAGCATATTAACGCTAATTGAAGCTCAACATTTCAAGCTTCAGCTTCATCTTTTCAAGTCAACATTCAGACTCTCTTTTCATTCGCATTCGCATTCCTAGAAAGTCACATATACTGGGATCTGTATATACCATGCTAAAGTAATCTTAATAGATAATAGATATCACACAATTCGATGGATCCGACTTCGGGGTCCTCGGAAGCCAAGCGGTGCCAGCACATATAGACGCACAATGCATGGAGACGGATCCTAGAAAGCGTCCGGGTATCATTTACGCCGTATTCGCACGCCTTATTCCAGGCACCCATCTGATTAGTTGCATGCCAATTCCGGGGACTAGCTAGGTCCCTAACCCCGTGAGGCTGATAGCTAAAGGATGGCCGTAGATGAAATCCATCCATTCATTTATATTTACATAAACCTCACCCAGGTAATTCTCTAGTAGAAAGAAGATTCTCTAACCTTAATAGTCGTTTCACAAATCCGCAAACATGGCGAAACCCAAAGCCATAACCGGGCTATCAACCCGTCCCCTCAACGCCGTCTTCCTCCTCGCCTTCAGCATCTTCGCGGCGGTATTCACGTACCTGATGCGCGTGGACACCGTGATCAACGAGGTGCCGACGAATTTCCATCCCGTAGTCGAGACCTCGACGTTCGAAAACGGGACGCCGCTCGTGACGCAATACACGGGCGTCAAGGCCGTCGACGAGCTCGCCAAGTTTTTAGTCGCCGCTTTCCTCGCCGGACCTGCTGGTTGGGATGTCGGCGTGAAGGCCCAGCAGGCTTACTTTCTGATGAATTTCTTTGCTGTTGTGAGCGTGTGGGCCGTTGAGTCTAGCCGGCGACGGAATTCTGGGAGGCTTATTAGTTTGTGAGTACTAATTTAGATTTCTAAGTTATTAGATATGTTGAGAAACACACATGTTGCCTTTTTTTCTCTTTTTTCTCTTTGACGATAATGGTGATAATATGGTGGCGGGTTTTGCTGACGCCGGAGTATGGGATAGCGTGGCGCTTTTTGGCCTCCTCTACCAGATCATCGGTGCAGCCATCATTGCGCCTGTGTATTATACAGCGTATGTGTTCACCTCTAGAGGAGACGCATACCACCTCAGCGGCCGCGAGGTCCCTATCGGCTATGCGCGGGCTCTCCTGCCTGCCACCGTACTTGGATATCTCATCCCCACTATGGCTCTTTACTACGGCTCATGGGACATCCAGACCGTGCAATACCTAACAGCCTTCTGGCAGCCGTCCCCGATATACGTCAGCGTACTCCTTGTGCTTCTATCCTACGTCACATCCCCATCGTCTTCAACCACTACCGCTAAAAACGGCGACGTCAAGCACTTGAAACTCGTGTATCTCCTCGTGGGTCTTATATCAAGCGCTTCCCATCTCAGCACCCTTTACCTCTCCTTCACCTCAGACAACCCGCAGCTTTCGCTTAGCTACATATTCCTGCCAAATCGGGCAACATGGAAAGACGGCATAGTCCTCGGACTGCACTATATCTTCCAAGTCGATTTCTTCGGAGCATTCGGGTCCGCGCTCCTCTGGAGCTGGCTGAACACGTATGATGTTCTGCGCGTCCAGGGTCGATCTAGTGCGTCGAGCCTTATCCAAGCGGCATTGGGTATTGTAATTACCACGTTGGTGGCTGGTCCGGGAACTGCTATTGTGGTGGCTTATAACTGGAGGGAGAATGTGCTCGTGGCGATCGAGAATGCTAATGGGAAGAAGCCCAAAGCCGCATAGAACATACCTTTAAGGCCTAGTCTATCTTATAGAACAGGTTAACCGTGATCTCGAACTCGTGGCCTCACCGTCGTAGTCCGGGGTTTACACCATTGTACAAAATCAAACATCGCAAGAACAGAATCACCATTCTCAATCTAAGATCTGCCTCCAAAATACGTGATAGGGCCTCTTCAAGGCCAGCATGTTCATATTCACGCGTAATAATGCAACCGTATACCTAATCCTACAATCCTCCTCCCGAACGCCAAATCATGAAAAAGAAATCAAATCATCAGTAAACGCCGACACATGCATGCATGATCCAACCCCTCCGTTCCTAGTGCAAAAATCCCCGCCGTTCTGATAAAATCCCGGATCCGTATTTCATGCCAGGAAACTAGCGCCGACACCTCTACGGTCCCTCTTCAGAGGCGAGAAGGAAACCGAGCCGGCGAATGCACTCTTCTGGACGCCTAGGGCGGCTTTCCCTAGTGCTCTCTTCGCGCCTAGCTGCACCTTGGCCGGCTTCCTAGCCGGCGGTGCCTCGCCCTCTTCTTCGTCGAACAGGGTCTTGGTAGAACCTAAGACCTTGCGCTTCTTCTTCTTTGGCTGCTCGCCCTTCGGTAGATCCGCGGTTTTGCTGGATGACGTGCTGTCCTCAAGCGGAAGACCAATGTTGAACTTAACAGTCATCGTCTTCTCCACCGGCTCTGCAGATTCATCTTGATTCTCCTGGTTCTTGTCGGTAGCTTCCTCTACCACCTTCTCGAGACTGTTCTTGGTCTTGAGGGACTTCTTTAAGATAGGCTGTGCATTCTTCTTAGCCGATGGCGCTTCGCCAAGAACTTTCTTAGGTCGACCACGGGATTTGGAAGCTACCTTGGGTTTCTCATTTTCGACAGGGGCGGAAGAGGCCGGTTCATTCTGGGCGGTCTCTTCTGCTGGGGCCTCTGTCTCTGCCTCTATATCTGCCACGGCCGTCGTGGGTTCGACAACTTCAGTTTCTGGCGCAGCGATGGCAATTGAATCATTGGATGTTCCTTCGTCGGTCTTAGGAGTATCCTCCATGATACTCTTGGTACGATTTAGGAAGGGTGTAATGGAAAACATCGACTTCTCCCCAGGAAGCGTAGGCTCCAACCCTCGCTTCTTGAGTAAACGTCGTCCCTTGCCGTCATCAGCTCCGGGAGTCTGAATCTCGATCTGAGCGAAATCATCTGTGCCCATATCCTGGGGTTTCCTCTTACGAAAGACCTGGGATCGGCCATCGAGTTTCGTGGTGTCGTCTGAACCTAGAGAGCGAGATTGCTGAGCCTTTCGAAGGTCTGTTTGGCACTGCTTCAATTGTTCCTGGGTTTCGCGTAGTTTTGTCTTCAATTTCTCTATCTTTTTCTCGAAGTGGTCGTTCTGGGCATAAGCTTCACTTATCGTCGTTTGACTCTCGTGGCGAATTTTTGCATTCTCTTTCTGTTGAGCCTCTAACTTCGTTTCAAGCTCTGCAATCTGTGTGCGCGACTCATCGTCGGCATCACCCTTTGGTTTGCTCTTCTGTGTCTTCTTCGCCGCGAGTTTGGCAGACTGAAGTTCCTCTTCTAATCGTTCTTTGTCGTCTTGCTCTTGCCGTAATTGTCTTTGGGCTTCCTGCAACTTCTTCCGAAGATCGGCTTCTACTTCTCGATTGCTGTCTTGGTCCTGTATCGCAAATTGACGTGTCCGCTTCTCTTGTTCGAGCTGGTCTTCAAGCCTTTCGCGCTCTGCCTTCTCCGTAGTCAATTTCTTCTCAACTTCGCGAAGGTTCTTTCGTAATTCATCCTCAACCCGATCATTACTTTCGCGCTTCTGCATTGCTCGTTTGGATGCCTTCTTCTCATTTGCGAGTTCGACCTCAAGGGTGTTGACTTGGCGTTCTAGGGCTAATTTCTCTGCAAGTGTTGCTTGCTGCTGATTCACCTGCGATCGCAAATGCTCAATCTCGGGCTTTAGAACAGCCAATTCTCGGCTTAGAGATAACTTCTCAGCAAGCAGGTTGGTGGAGTCCTGACTTGCGTTGTTCATGGCTTGAAGCTCGGCCTACATCATGAAATTAATACAGGTACCCAATCAGGTAACCCGGTCGGCATATGCATACCTTTAAATTTGTGTATTCTCGCTCCTGTTTCCGTAATTGCTGTTCCTGAAGGCGAATTACATCCATTTTGGCTTCTATCTGGGCACTCAGGCCATCGCACTTGTCTGCGAGTTTTGTGTTTGTATCATTGTTCTGTGCTATCTGGTCACGCAAAGAGGTGTTTTCGTCTCGTAATAGGAGAATTCGGACTCTTAATCGGCGAACATCCTCATCCTTGATCAGGATATCTGTGTTACTGGTATTCATCTGATGTTTTAATTCGAGATCATGGAGCAAATCCTTTCGCTATTTCCAATAATAATGATTAGTGGTGATTTAGAATGTGGTTGGTTGAGGTAGTACCTTTTCAGCATCCATGTTTACTTGCACCTCGCGGCCCATGGTCGCCTTAGCAAGCCTACCCATTAAGGTAGACGCGTTTTGATTTTTAAGAGTACTACAATTTGCAATTAAATAAAAAGCCTGGATTTATTTCTGGGAGGATTGAATGAATGATCAATCTTGAGAAAATTTGCGGTGAAGGGTGAAGTTTGTTGGAGATTTGGAATAAGGAGGAACTGGCGGAGATGGGTTGCTACGTAGTGGAGGAAGACCAAACGTGTTTGGTGGGTGGATTTCCAAGACTCTAAAAGTCAACAGAGTGCCGAAATAGGATTAGTGACGGGGTATTAAGTTGATCCATGGGGTCCGTGCATATGGTTATGAGGCTTGCATAACCTGAGATATGTATGTATCAATTAATGCACCAGACTGCGCGGCCCCTGCATTACTTTATCCACGCGGCCGGCAGAGCTAGGTGCCACCAAAGCTTCAATATCCAATTGAGGACACCTTTTTGAACTTCAAAGCCAGACTGACGACCCATTTTCACCCGCGCTATCGTTTTTCACTCTCGTCAATTGTGCGTAAGCACAACGTTCTTCTTTATACTTTGACTCTATTTTCTTTTACGAGGTAGCCTTCAAACTATCGCAAATATGCGCTGGTTACCTCTTCTCCTTTCCTTCTCCCTTCCATTTGGATCCGTCGCTGCCAAGAAATCGTCCTCAGTCGATCGATTTAGTGAATTCCACGCGCAAGCTTTATCATCTTCTCCCGTGAAGCTTTCCGATGCGACCTACAAGAAGCTTACCTCGGTTCCTCGCGATTATTCCGCGGCAATCCTATTAACTGCCTTGGAGCCACGATTCGGTTGTCAACTCTGCACTGATTTCCAGCCGGAGTGGGAGGTGTTAGGCAAGAGCTGGACTCGGGGCGACAAGAATGCCGAATCTCGTCTAATTTTCGGAACTCTCGACTTTGCTCAAGGAAGAGATACCTTTATTGCGGTATGAGAATTTCTATGGGATGCCAATTCTCGGCTGCATAACTAATTATTGATGTAATCCATATAGCTTGGTCTTCAGTCAGCTCCCGTACTACTTTTATTCCAACCTACTACCGGTCCACATGCCGCCACTACTCTCGAGGCCATTCGTTACGACTTCAATGGGTATGAAATTGCCTTGGTATCCTCTAAATACTAAACATGCACCGCTAATCATTATTAGTCCCCAAACTGCCGAGAAGGTTCACGAATGGATTTCTCGTCACCTACCCGGCCGACCTCACCCATCTGTCAGCCGCCCGATTGACTACATCGGATGGGTGGTAACAATCGTTAGCGCTCTGGGTGTGTTTGGAGTTATCTTCAAGTCCTGGTCGTTCATCTTGCCCGTCATCCAGAACCGCAATGTCTGGGCCGGTTTGAGCTTGATTGGTATTCTCATGTTCACCAGTGGCCATATGTTCAACCAGATCCGAAAAGTACCGTATGTGGCTGGAGACGGACATGGTGGCATTAGCTACTTCGCCGGTGGCTTCCAGAGCCAATATGGACTTGAGACGCAGATCGTCGCCTTCATGTGTAAGTATCAAACCAGGCCACCTCAAAGATTAAATACCTTTGCTAATGATACTATAGACGGTCTCCTATCTTTTGCAACTATTTCTCTAGCTGTGAAGGCCCCGAGAACCCGGGACAATAAGATGCAACAAGTCATTATTATCGTCTGGGGCGTCGTCATGGTCTTGATGTACAGTTTCTTACTCTCTGTTTTCCGAATCAAGAATGGCGGCTACCCGTTCAAGCTTCCCCCCTTCATGTAAACGCTCGTAGAAGTCCCGCGGGGCACGGAGCACTTAGTTTCGGTGGGTTAGCGAAAAGGAGATTACTGTGTCGGGTATTAGCATGCGGCGCAAAGCAGCCGCCCTTGATGCATGCACACGATGGAATTTGTGACGGTTGCCTAGTCATACTTAAGGTATCTGGGCAGTAGAGGGTTAGATCAAAATGGAAAAGAAAGTTATGACATGTCTCTTGCATTTTGAAATGTGACAGTGTATACTCGGTACTTAGGTAGGTATCTGCTATCTTGTCTCATGGCTGCAGCAAAACTTAAGCTCTGGAATATGTATTGCTTTTCGGAGGTCTGTTTGCTTCCGGCTACAAACAGATGCTAATATGTACCTAGACGTATCTGGACGTACCTAATCGTAGCTGTCATAGTTCGAGTCATCAGCTAGTGCAGGGTCGAGTAGCATCCAACCGCTACCAAGAGATATCCATGGATGTGTTTTTCATGGGACCTCGCTATAAATATGACTTTTTAGCACTCCTTTTTAACAATAATACCCGTAAACGGAAAAACAAAACATCTCCAGGTTACCTTATCTGCTTATGTACCTAGGCCAGATACTTATATGAATATTGAAATACGTACTTCCATTTTTTTTTTTTTAAAAAAAAAAGACGTGCCTAGGTACTGTGTACATACATGTATCAAAATCAGGCTAATGCATCTTGCCTTCGATGAGTAATTCGGTGTATTACTTGACAACCTTGAAATAGCTACCTGATATCCATGGATGTGATATTTCTTTTTTTAATAAAAACCTGATGTTCGAATATGACTGTATGGTCTCGATTAATGCCTACGTACCTAAGGTGCTTATGCTTAGATTAAAGGTTTACGTGGATATGGCAGGATGAATCGACGAGGCGGTACATATGGATGGTTGGAGTGTTTGAGTTCCAATGGTCAGGGTAATGAGGGCAATGAGTGGTCAGCTGCCTAATGCACCCCCACATACAGTGGATATCGTCTAGCAAGTCACATTGACCGATACGTTCGTGATTTAGAACATTGGTGCTGTTATCGCGGTATCGATAGCGGTACCTTGATAGGCACCTGGGCACATTCTGAGCAGAGCGGGATCAAATGACACACTCTGCTGCAGCTCATGTTTAAAGGGACTAAGGTTCAAGCTAGCACGCCCTCCCCCCCCCCATCATTCATCATCTGGGGCCATTACCTGGGCCATTACCTAGGCCAAACTTTCAAGGTTATTGCACTTGCTATCCCTACACTATTCCTTACTATCACTGTGCACCTAATCACTTCCTCTTCCTCCCATTCCCATTTCCATTCATTACATTGTCGTTGGGACATCGTCATTTTGTCGGACGCAAACATCCCATCGTCATATCTCAAAATCCTCGACTATTCGACTGTTTTATACTGTTATTCCACCTACGCCGTCAGTGCCGACAACGATGAACCACCACCCCGCATCCCGACCTGTGGGATATCGTGATAGTCTACCGTTGCTCCCCCACACGCGACCTACGCGTCCGTGAATCTCCGGTTATCCTCGTCTAGTCCCACCCTGATTGTAGAGGCTGCGATTTCATCAACATCGCCATCATGGCAACTTTCTTCCAGTCCTTCAGGAACTCGAGCATGCCCAAGCGGCTGCTACGGTATACCTTATCGAAGTTGGATTACTTCGATACCGATGCACTAGATATAGATCAGTTGGATTTTGCCGTGGGAATAAATAATGTCTTCACTTTACAAGATGTCGGAATCAAGCTACAGGCATGTTTTCGTCATTTAATGCCACTCCATACCGCTAAGGCATATTGTGTGTGATATGATACAATGATAGAGAGCTAACAGTATTGTCGGAACATAGAAACTAGAGCAGTTACTTCAACTTCCACCGTCTTTCGAGGTTAGGAAGGCCAAAGTCCTGTTGCTCCGAATTACTGTACCCTCCGCCTTATACACGAGCCCTATCACGGTTGAGATCGATGGTGTTGAGATAAAATTGAAAATTACGTCCAAAGACGAAAGCTCGTCGAAAGGGGCATCGCATAAGAGGAAGAATCCTTTATCATCTGAAGAGGACGATCCTGTTCCACATGCTATTGACTTGGCTCAGTCGTTCTTAGATACACAGCCCTTAAAAGAGAAGGCGGAACTTCAAGCTGCCCTCGAAGCCGAAACCCATGACCTCGGTGCCTCCGTAACAAGCAGCGAGGATGAAAGCGACGAAGACTATCCTTTGGGCACTGGTCAACCCCTTTCTCTCCCTACCTTCCTGGCAGAATTCCTGCAAGGCATAGTTGATCGGTTGCAAATCTCTATTAAGGACGTTACTTTTCATTTAGATGTTGAGGTTCCAGTTGAGCAGAACTCGACCGTCCCCGAATTGGTCACATTCCAACTTGCTATAGACGATGTGAAGGTAGAAGGAGTTACGATGACGACAGACGAGACTACCGACGAAGATGGGACCAAACCCGTGCTCAAGGAGGGGAAGCGATATGTCGGACTAAATAAAATTCGAGCAAGCTTAATATCTGAGGCGAATGTTTTTTCTAATCTACCGCGGTCGCCGTCAATTCCCTCATCATTTGTTGCCAACTCGCCTACTGTTACGAGGCAACAGTCAATCTCGGAAGAGTCTACCTCACCGGCAATGTCTTCATCAGAATGGCGTTCTAACGCCGACGATATTGCGCAGAGTCAGTATCAGCGATCTCTCATGGATAGTGAAGATGCTTTCAACATACCATACGAGTTAAGTGGAAGCGGATCGAACGCAGAACAGGACGAGGAAATAAAATCAGCGCCATCAACCCCACGAGCTCTTGCGCCTCGGATCCCACAGCGAGATGAATCGGGGCCGACTTCTAGTTTACCAACAGCCCAGTCTTCTATTGACACAGCTCCAGCCCTTTGGTCATCCGTGGCGCGTATCGCTCAATCCGAACCAGCTCTAGAACATAGGCAAAGATGGGGAGAAGACTCTATTGAGTCTTCAAAAAGTATCGAGGATCGGCCTCTAGAAGATGATGGAAGTGACGCAACGCCCTCCTTGAGCGATGACCTCACGCAGTCTCACCTTTTCAGCCACGAAGAAGCTGAGAGCATGTATATGAGCGCCTTTTCCAACGCAGAAACTTCACAGATCAGTCACGCAGCCCCCGCTATGCCTGGTGGCTGGGATTCGGAGCCTTCAAGTGCAGAGAACTCGCCCAAGCCGAAGCGCCAAAGCCAGACTTCACCAACAGGTTCCCCAAAGCCTACAACCACACCTAATAATCCTTCTGTTGACAAACATGCTTCTTTATATTCACCACTAGCACCCGAGTTAGAAAATGATCCTTTCCTTGACAATCTCGAGGATGCAAGACACTCGCCCGATAATGTATCAAATCATCTGGAGAACGAAGATATCCCAGCAGAGGAGGCCGCTACGCCAAGAGGGCCAACTCGATTGGTCAAAGAACTCGTTTCCTTAAATACTATCTCACTCTATATCCCTTCAAATCATCAGCATGTACAAGTAGCGTACGCTGAAGAGCCAACCCCCAAATCACCTCAGTCGCATCTAGGCCGATCGGTTTCTCCAAATCTCCCTGGGGCGTTCTCTATCCACGCCGGCGACCAATCAACTGCGTCGATAGCTCCAACTCCTACTATAACGAACCATGAGAGCGCAATTGATAAAACTCTAGAGGTGATAATATCGTCTCTAGAAATACGTTCTGACCTATCAACCGGTTTTCTACTAGTTTTAGTAGTGTCGCGAATTCTTTCAGCCTTGAAAGAACAGCCACAAACTCGACCCAAACAGAAAGCAAAAGCTGACGTTAAGAGTAACCCATCACCCATACCTAACATCAAGATTGCAGCTGAACAGATTACTATACACTTTCTTGAGAGTCTAGTCGGAATTGCTGATACACCTGAACGATTGTTTAACCCCAGTCCTACTTCGCTCAACGCCGACGCTGTTCTGAGTGCGACTATTCAAGGCTTGAACGTGGGACTATCTGGATCTACATCCTCCACGCAAACTTCAGTGGACGTGGGTAAGTTCAAGCTTGGATACGGAAACGATGATATGATTTCCTTCGATCAGCGCATACAAATGCGAGCTTCTGTAAGGGATGCATTCCCTGTCGCAGGCGCCGATATCTCTCTTAAGGTCACACAGACATCCACATCGACGAAATGCGAAGTAACAACTTTACCCCTCCACGTCAAAATAGATCTTCAACGACTGGATGAAACCTTTAGTTGGTTTGGTGGTTTGAGTGGCTTCTTAAACATGAGTTCATCGATGACTTCTAATACTTCACCTGCCCCTCGTAGTCCAACGAGAGCGCCGCCGAAAGCACGTGGGGTTAGATTTGATGCGCCTATTCGTCCAGATGATACTTCTGCAAGTTCCGAAAATAAAATGAACATGAGGCTGGGCGGCTTCCGCCTAGAGCTTGTTGGGAAGGAGTGCAGCGTATCATTGGATACGAGTGCGGTGAAGTTAGTTAGTCGAGAAGAAGGGGTCGGGATTGGTATTTCCAAGATATACCTCGCAGGTCCGTTTATGAGTCGTTCCATGGGCGACCCTCCTATAAATGCTGTGATTACAAACACCCGTCTCGAATACCTCACGACACCGAAAGACAACGACCTCGAACGACTTCTAGAGCTCATCATACCATCCAAAAATAAATTCTCCAACAACGACAACGAGATAATGGTAGATACCTTACTTCGACAAAGGAGGAAAGGTGGCGTATTACGCGTGAATGTCGATGACCTTGAGGTCAGCGTCGAGAAACTTCATCATCTCCAAGTGCTTCCTGCTTTAGGGGAAGAGATTGCACGCCTGTCAACTGTCGCTAAATACCTTCCCGAAGATGATCGGCCAGGGATCCTCACACTGGGCCTTGTCCGCAACTTAGATCTTACGGTAGATATTGATGGAAAGTTCGGCTCTGTGCAAGCATCTTTGAAGGATGTAGAGGCCGGCCATATTACTATTCCTTCTTTAGTCGCTCTAGGGGTAGGATCCGTTTCGATACGGCGAAACCATACCGAAGAATTAGTCGGAAAGGCCATCTCATCTATGGAAAAAGTGAACCAGGGTCCTGTCTTGACTATGAGAATTATCGGAGACGAGATGGAGCCAGTCATCAAGATTAGAATGCGGAATCTAAGTATTGAATACCGCGTGCCGACCATTATGGACATCTTAGGTCTCGCAGCAGATACAACCCCGCAAGACTTTGAAGCAACTCTGGCGGCCTCTGTCGCAAATCTTGGCGAGCACGCCCATGCAGCTATCACGGGAAAGCCTCAAGTCCGTCCCTCAATATCTAATGAAGGTGGAAACAGAGATGCCAAACCGACAAAAGTTGATTTCATCCTTCAAGATTGTTTGTTAGGCCTAAATCCTCTCGGACTTACGTCCAAGTTAGCCATTGTATTGACGGATGCTCACTTTGAAATTTCGCTCTCTAACGGGGATGATGCGAAAGCACTAGGTCAACTAAACAGAGCATCCATACTTCTCATCGACGATGTTTCGATACTAGAATCCAAAGAGTCCTTATCAACAACTCGAAGACGTAGTTCGAATACTCCTACTCCACAGGTAGTGGAACTATGCCAACGAGGATATGTTGATATCTGTTTTATTTCTTCGGCAAAAGTCACAGTGCAAATAGGCACCAATAAAACAGATGGTAATAAATGGATTGACGTTGAGTTGCGAGATGATCTCCTCGTTGTGGAGACATGCGCAGACTCGACTCAAACTCTTATTGCCCTCGCCAATGCACTCGCCCCTCCAACGCCACCGAGCAAAGAGATTAAATATCGAACGAATGTGGTCCCCGTCGAAGACCTCCTCGCATCTATATCCGCGGATGCATTCGGTAAAGCTGAAGGCGATTATGACTTCGATAATGACTTCGGATTAGCACAAGAGCTCGGTAGAGATGATGATAGTGACTTTGGAATCGGGGACTCCGGCCAATCAAGTCCTCTCTCAGTTGATTCCCGTTACTACAACGAACCTTCAGTCGAAGCCCAGCTTTTTGATGCGACGGATTCCATGCTTTCGGAAAGGACAACAACACAGGACACAACTGAGGGTGTCCTACTTACAAACTTTAGCAGCCAGCCGGAGGTACAAAGCGACGACGAAGATCTAGTCATACACGATAATTACTTTGGCTCGGGATCTGTCATAGAAGGTACTGCACACCGATGGAATTCTACGAAGAATGAATATGATAACGCCAACGTCGCCAAGGTACAGCGTAGTCCTCTGTCCGTTCGCGTCCGTGATGTTCACTTCATATGGAACCTCTTCGATGGTTATGATTGGAACCGTACCCGCGAAGTTATTTCGAAGGCTGTACACGATATCGAAACCACAGCTATCGAACGGCAGTCGCGTCATGATCGGGCTCGCGCGAACACCGATATGGAGATCGTAGAAGAAGAAACCGTAATCGGTGACTTCCTTTTCAACTCAATTTACATAGGTATTCCAGCAAATCGAGATCCTCGAGAGCTTGCTCAGGCTATCAACCAAGAATTGAACGACGCAGCTACGGAGACAGAATCGATAGCAACAACAGCAATGACCATCACACCAAGTCGTCAAGGTAATGCTTATCGGACCAAGAAGAAGCTCAAGCTAAATCGTAGCAAACATCACAAGATTACGTTTGAGCTGAAGGGTGTGAATGTAGACCTAGTTACATTCCCTCCCGATTCTGGAGAAACACAAAGCTCGATCGACGTTCGGATTAAGGATCTTGATATTTTCGACCATGTGCCCACGTCAACGTGGAAGAAATTCGCAACTTATGATCAAGATGCCGGTGAACGAGAAATGGGAAGCAGTATGGTTCATCTAGAGATACTCAACGTCAAGCCGATTCCAGAATTAGCAGCATCTGAAATCGTACTGAAGGCCACGCTTTTGCCACTCCGCCTGCACGTGGATCAAGATGCTCTAGACTTCATTACACGATTCTTCGAATTTAAGGATGAGTCAGCACCAGTTCACGCGTCACCTAGCGATATACCATTTGTACAAAGGGCTGAAGTTAACTCCATACCCGTCAATCTTGACTTCAAGCCAAAACGCGTCGATTATGCGGGTCTGCGATCCGGTCACACAACTGAATTCATGAACTTCCTAGTGCTTGATCAAGCACGAATGGTGTTGAGACACACCATCATTTACGGTGTATCGGGATTCGATAGGCTCGGACAGACGCTCAATGATATTTGGATGCCCGACGTCAAAAAGACACAGCTTCCAGGCGTACTTGCCGGCCTTGCTCCCGTTAGGTCTCTTGTTAACGTCGGAAGTGGCTTCAAGGATCTCGTCGAGATTCCCATTAGGGAATACAAGAAAGACGGTAGAATAATTCGCAGTATAAGTAAGGGTGCCGTTGCCTTCGCTAAGACAACGGGCACGGAGATTGTCAAGCTTGGAGCTAAACTAGCTGTCGGTACACAATACGCTCTGCAGGGCGCCGAAGGTGTCCTCGTCAAGCAGCCAGAGCCTCGCGATATCTCGGGATGGGACGACGAAGAAGTGGATACCGAAGAACAAAAACAAATCAGCCTGTATGCTGATCAGCCAACGGGTGTGATGCAGGGACTCAGAGGTGCATATTCTAGCCTTGCCCGTGATCTCAACATGGCAAGAGATGCTATAATAGCAGTCCCCGGTGAAGTGATGGAGAGTCAGAGTGCACAAGGAGCTGCCAAAGCCGTTCTTAAGCGTGCGCCAACGATTATTTTTAGGCCTCTCATTGGCTCAAGTAAAGCGATTGGACAGACACTGATGGGAGCCACAAACGCATTGGACCCCCAGAACCAGAGAAGAATAGAACAGGCAAGTCTATGCCCGATCACCCACAAACGATTCATATATACTAACCAAGCTACAGAAATATAAACGATACTAATAATTATCTCGGGTGATATCCAGCATCTTTAGGGAACGGAGTACGGATACAACTTGGGATTTGCTTACGCTTATGTTCGACACTTGCATGACATATGATACGATAATGCATCATAGATGGCGAATAAATTGATTTTTGTTTGATGCTATAAATCATGAAATTGGCAGGACTTCGCAATTTTGGGTTACAATAGGGGTTTGGGGGCAAACCTCACCTTAGCATGTTAGCACTGTTTAAATTCATCATTAATCTGTACTTAATGGACAGAGACTCATTTAGAACGTCAATTGAACGTTACTTGATACCTATAAATCTAAATAAATTTGTAGCAAGGTAGCTGAAGCGGATGTTTACTTGCGGGAGTTTAGTACCTAAGCATTTCGTCTGGTAGCTGGGTGTGTTAGTGGATGTAGGGTGTAACTAGGATGTAGGATAACGGATATATCGCAATACTCCTATCCCCACGCGATGCTCTCTCTTCGACGATCGCCATAGCTTAGACATGTCGCCAAGGTTCCCTGGTGTCATACCGCTCGAAAGATTGCCATAGTTACCACTTTAACCTAGCCTATTATCAAATATGTATCTGATGAAAACCCCCTTTTCTCTTCTCCCCCCTTTCGATAGCAGAAGAGTGGGTTACGCTAACAGATGCAATATGCGGGGTTGGGTATCTATACCGATACCGACTTCCCATTATATAATCGTACAAAGTGGCGTCCGAGACATTGAGACTTCTCATCAATCCTCTATTATCGGAATTTTGATATATTCGAAGTAAACATGGATTCGCAGGTCAAGTACCTTCTTTCACTTCAAGCGATTCGAGACCGCGCTAAGATCGTGGGAGAGGTGGCTAAGGCTGGGAACCTGACTCATTTCGATCTTCACGAAGATAAGCTCGATGATGTTGCGGATTTCGTGACTTCTGTTATTAAGGTCTGGATCATATTCAATTTCACGTAGATGTATGTTTTTGGATGCGTGAAGCTTATACTCTTTATTAGCGTGACTTCGGCCCGGATAAGTTCGACTCAATCCCGCCTCATGGCCGCTGGCAGCACTTCGAGGTCGGCGGCGTGCCGCGCGTCGCGGACATGACGGAGGAGTGGAAGAAAGGCGGATGCGATGACGTCGAGCTTACCCGTCGTTTGATCGACCTGTTCTTCGTCTCTGTGCTCTTGGATGCCGGTGCCGGTGATCATTGGCGGTACGTCGAGCCCGGGACAAGCCGGACGTACGAGCGCAGCGAGGGAATCGCCGTGGCGAGTCTTTATATGTTTAAGGCTCTGGATTTCGCCGCTTCGAAGGATGGGTCCGCTCCTAGGGTTGATGGTATGATTGTTGTTGACTCGTTCAAATTGAGATTTATGATGCTAATTTGGATGAAACGTAGGGAAGGGCCTGGAGCAATTGACGACGGAGGCACTGACGACAGGCTTCCAGGTGTCTGACAGCAACCCAATGCTAGGAATGGAGTCCCGTGCAGGTCTTCTCAGAAGCCTGGGGAAATCTCTCCTTGCTCACTCAGACGTATTCGGAACCGAGGGCCGTCCAGGTAACCTCGTCGGTAAGCTCTTTTATCATTAACTTATGAAATATTAAACTATTACTAAGAAACCCTTAGATCATATGCTAAAAACCGCTGGGGACTCCCCAAAGCTCGATATCCTCATCTTCTGGGACGTCCTCCAAACCCTGCTCATCCCCATCTGGCCCCAGGACCGGACGACCGTCAACGGCTTCCCTATCGGCGACGCCTGGACGCTTAGTACTCTGCAGAAACAGACCAAATCCAGCGACACCGCGGACTACATCCAGCCCTTCCACAAGCTCACACAGTGGCTCACGTACTCGCTCATGGTGCCCTTCCAACGGGTCCTCGGGAAACAATGGGTCAACGCGGAGTTTCTAACCGCCCTCCCAGAATACCGCAACGGCGGGTTATTCGTAGACCTAGGTGTCCTGTCTCTCAAAAAGGAGACACTAGACCGCGGGCTTCAGGCATCTGGTCATTCACTTCCGCTCTTCGACGCAGGCGATGACGTCATCGTAGAGTGGCGCGCCATGACGTTGGTGCTAATCGATATCCTGTATAAAAAGATCCTGGAGAGGATGGACAGTGGTGTGAGCTTGTCCATGGCCCAGGTTCTAGAGGCCGGGACGTGGAAGTCGGGACGCGAGGTGGCGGCGCAGCGGAGGCCGGAGACGAAGTCGAGCCCGATTATTATTAAGAGTGATGGTACTGTGTTTTAATAGGGGTTCATGATGGATTATCGATGTAACCTAAAATAGGGTCCGGTTCGTTAGATTTAACGAGGTTAGAATGAAGAAAAAAAAGGGACCTATGTGTTAATTCTATTGTATCGCTTGTGATGAGGACTATCCCCTAGGTTACACAACCAATTACAATTAGTGTGCATTTTACCTATATGGGTGGGGAAGGGGATATTGTGAAATACTGTCCAATACTGTAGCATTAGGACATGGTCAACTTTCCCCGACCCTATTCTGTATATTGCCTACAGTTATTTAGTTAATCGATTATGGCATTGCTCATAAGAAAGGCCCCTTTTACTGAAAAGCTCTAAGGCCTATACTCAGACTAAAGTAATACCACAGTACCTACTAGAGGGAAACCGACAATGCCGAACTATTCCCCCATTCAGCACAAAATAGCCCATTCACAAACAACATTCCACCGTCCCTGCCCGGGGAGCAAGACCTCCCAAGTCGGTCTTCCCACGCCCACCACCACACCAGGACGTACATCCTGCCGCTTCTCCAACCCGCTAATCCTCGGACTACCAGCAAGTACTATCCTCATACTCCTCGCTAATTCCTCTCCCCCCTCAACACTCCCATCGCCGTCATTACTATCAACACCCTTCCCAACCACAAACGCCATCCCAGCCGCCCCCCTAACCTCCTCAACCCTAATCCTCATAACCCACTCCTCCCCCTTCCCACTACCACCACCACCACCCCGCTTCGCCGCCTCGGCCCCAGCCCACGCATCAACAAACCAATCCCGGACCTCAGCCGCTAGTCCGCCAGCCACATACTTCGCGCCCTTGCCCCTGCGGTGCGGGGAGAAGGCGTCGGGCAACGGATCGCTCGGGTGAGCCCCCTCCGCCATCTCCGCGGGTTTGAAGCGCGGTGCTTTGAGGAAAGTAGGTTGTTGCTGCGCGGAGGCTGGGGATCGGGGGTTGAGAGGGGATAAGGGTTGGGAGGAGGGGGAGAGGGGGGAAGAGTGGATTGCGTCGTGCATGGGGAGGTCGTGGTCTGTGTCTTGGTGGGTTTGGAGTTGGGTGAGGCTGAGGGAGGAGGATATGGAGATGCGGCGACGTTTTGGGGAGCGCGGTTTTAGGTCTGTTTCGCTGTCGCTGCTTGAGCTGTGGTTGGGGTAGTTATCTGTTTCGCTTTTGATGGGCGAGGATTCGGGGACCGCGTCGTCGTCGTCGTCTGTGTTGATGTCGAATACCTCGATGGGATCACCGCCTCCGTCCACACTAGCGCCGACTTCGGCCTCGCTGAAGAAAGGCGGCGAGCTAGTGATGATATCGTGGATTGGATCCGTGGCCCGGGGCGTGGGACGGATGAACGATGCTGCCCCGGATCTAGTCGGAGCCGGCGTCGGGATGCTGGAAGACGGCCCTGCTCCTCCTCCCGATGGCCCCCTAGGCGTCGAGTGGAGAGAGAACCGCGGCGTGTTTTGGAACTGCTGGCCGCCGCTCTGGAACGCCTTCGGCGTTTCTGTTTTAGGCTGCGAACGCTTCGGCACCAGGAACCGGTGGGGCGTCGGAGTCTGATACAATTAATTAGCAACCGATCCTCACTGTGATTGAATGTCACTTACGGCCGGCGGAGGTGCCATGATTATGGGATAATCAGGACATTGTTTTTATTTGATATATGCCGATAATGAGATTCCTCTTTATAGGGGAAACTCGATAATGGTGACGACACGTGCCTCGAGTTTTGGTAATGGGTACGGATTTTCCATCATCGATATCACGGTCTTATTCCTAACACATTAAAAACTGGAAGTATGACTTGACTGGAACCCCTGGGAATATACGCAGTTTACGTTTCGTCACTACGTCAACTTTAGAGGAAGTTATAACGCGATGAAATTGAGGTACGGACATCGGGAAACGGCGAAGCCTCGGTAGATACTAAACACTTATGTAATATAACTTTATGTAATGAAATGTTATGTAATATTTATGTAAATAATTTTGTGCAACATGGTTTATGTAATAGAGCATTTCGAGTTAATAATCAAGTTTATGTAATGAAGTTTGTGTAACAGTATTTGTGGAACAGAGTTTATGTAAGGAAATATTACCTAAGGAAGCTTTATGTAAGAGAGCTTTATGTAATCACAACGGAGCGTTATGTAATGAAAACTTACGTAATATATCTTTCATTCCATCTTTCTCAATGCCCTGTTCCAAGGTCTATTTTCTATACGATCTTCCGTCAGTGTATGAATAGACAACCATATCGTGTATAGCTATGCCTGGATTAAGAGTTACATCATAAATGGAATCGTTTCAAATTAATCAAGACTAGATGTCTGCTCTTCGTCAAATGTCTCCCTATTGAGACTCTACGCCTACGCCTATGCCATGAGAACCAAGCACCAATCCCTGAAAAGCCCATGTAGAAGCAACATCACATAGGCAAAGCAAAACCTACTTCCATTCTATTCAAACTTGCCGCCCCCAAACAACCCGCCAACAACTTTACCCCTACCCTCAGCGCCCTTCCACTTCTTCGCCTCGCGCCTCTTCTCTGCGTCCGCGACTGCGGCCCGCCTTTCCGTTTCCCTGGCGAAATAATTGACGCCCGAACGCTTCCCTGCGGTCTTCTTGAGTAGCTTGCCGTCCTCTCCCGCCTTACCTGCGCTTAAGCCTGGCGCATTTCCAGCAGGGGTACTAGCGCCGCTAGACGATGTTGAGGAACTAGACATGAGCGAGTTGGTTGTAGCGCGCCTGAGCAGCGCCGGGACCTTGAAACCGCCGGTCCCAGACGCCGACGGCGCTGCGAATGCTAGGCGTGAGTTGCTAGCCGTAGACAGTGATGACGAATCCCGCTTCATCTTGATACGGTCTACGACTGCGACGTCAGGGGTTCGGTTCTCCTTGTTAGAAGAGGCAGTTCTTGGTCGCTCTTCATCTTCGCCATCAGATCCTATTTCCGTAGCAGGGATAATAGACGCGGCGGAACCGTTAGGCTCGTCAAGGAGATCGGACAATTCTCTTCGGACATCGGTGATCGATGTGGGACGAACGCCGCCTCTCGTACGCCGGACATTGGGCGGCGGGCGTGCAGCATGGTCATCCTCGTGGGCACGTTTGCGTCCATCCACAAGCTGACTGTCTGGAATCGACTGTTCCGCTGTTTCGGCACTCTTACTCTGTTCCTGGTTCTGGCTTTCCTCGCTCGTGCTCTCATGCGCAGAATCCGCAACGTTATCACCAGAGTCATAGTCGGAGTCGCTGGCCAAGTCTTCTATACTCTTAAGGAATGCCGCGTTACGCGAGTTTTCGGCGATCTTGACGATGCGCTCGTCCGCGTATAGCGCTTTCTGCATCTTAGCGAATTGGCGCCGCTTCATGCGTCGTCGGGCCTCGCCTCCATCGTCGGAGTCTGACAGGTCGTAGTCGTGATTACCACCACCGCGGCGACGCTTGCGTAGCATACCGGTCGTGATATCATGGAACAGCTTGTCGACCTGGGCCGCATCTGCTGCGCGTTCTCGATCACTATATAAATGTAAGCTTTTTATGTCTTGAGGTAAGAAAATTTGACTTACGCAAAGAAGCCAGCAAGTTTCGCGTCATTAGCGTTGTTGCCAGCGGCATCGTCGATCATCTCCTTGACTAGTTCTTCGTCTTCATCGCTTGAGTCTTCGCCATCAGCCCCACCAAGACCTGCATACTCGTCCTCAGATTCCTCGGCTTGCTCCTCGACCATTTCATTGGCTTTGCTCTTTTTCTTGTCAAATTTCTCCTGCATGCGCTTCTTCCTCTTGGCCGCCTTTTCCATCACCTTGAACGCGCTTGCTGCAGCATTCGCCCCCATTTCGATATCTTTGGAAGCGGGACTAGGGCTTCCAGGAATATCGGGGTTTGCCAAGGTAGAAGATACTAATGTTGAAGGTCTACGGCGTACTAGCCTTCCCCCTCTCTTCACAAGGGGAGATTCTTGGATAGTCGTGTAGTCAGGTGTCTCGTTATGTAATACAGTCTCAACTGTAGATTGGGGTGCGTCGATGAATCGCTGCTTAAGCGGAGAGAAGTCTTGGAAACCACCGTCTTGAGTGGGCTCGATGAATTCTGTCATTTGTGTTGCGTTTATTTGCATCAAACTGTCGAAGCCATGCACTTGCGACTGTGAAAAGTGCAATTGTACGCCTTGGGTTTGTGTTTCACGTGCTTGAGTATCTAAATCAGGCATTTTCTGGCTGTCGGTGACCATGTCGTTCTGGGACTGACCTGCTGTAGCGGAGAATTGTGAGTCGGGGAAGTTGTCGATACCAGCAGTAAACTGCATTGGCGATCCGCTAGCTGTCCCGATTTGACTATCGTCCATGGTACCTGCGAAAATTTGAGTGAGTCCAAGGCCTGCTGGTCCTGCCAAGGGAACGGGGAGTCCGGGAATGAAGGTCTTCGTAGCAGACCGCAAGACAGACGTTGGGATTTTTGGGGAGCTTAGGTGGGCGGCAGATGGAGATTTCCAGTGAGTGGCTTTGGGCTTTGGAGTCGCCTCGACCCCATTCTCATCCTCATCATCTGAGACGATTTGCACATGCTTCTTCGGCCGGCGAGATCTCATCGCCGGAAGTTCATCCTCCGCTTCATCGTCCGAAACTATATGTCGGGTAACCTTAGGTGTCTGTTCCTCCTCGGATTCCCCATTTTCTTCTGCCTCGTCCTCGAACATGGGATTTACTGTAGGTTCATCCTCATCTTCATTTTCAGCATCGTCCATCTCGTCATCTTCATCGCCTTCTTCCGAACCGGAAAGCTCAATTTCTACTGGTTCTTCTTTTTCACTTTCCTCATAGCTATCGTCGTCACTATCATCCCAAGCCAGAGGATCGTCTTCGCCCTTCTCTTTTCTCTCTTTCCGTGCTTTTTTAGCATCCTCACGTTCTCGTTGCATGATCTCTTCAACCTCTTGACGAGCTCGAGCAACGATATCTTCGACCTGATCTCTTTCTCGCTGACGCTCTTCTTCGCTTTGGACGTTAATGCCTTTGGATCGCAAGAATTCTAGGCGTCGATCTCGTTCAAGTTTAGCCTGGGCCCTGGCGCGTTGTTGTAGAGACATCTGAAGCTCGGCAGGAGTCATTGACGGTTTGGCTCTACGACCTCGTTTGGGTTCTCTCGGAGGCGAGGAGAGATGAGCTAGGCGACGTAGCACATTCATAGAGTTGGATTCTTGCGCCTTTTTCTCAGGGAGTTTGTTAAAAATCGAATCCATCCTTCCTTTCTTAGAGCTAGTGATTTCTAGCTCGTCGTCGGAATCTATCGTGACCAGGTTTGCCTGAGTCGGAGGCATCTTGACACGGATTTGGCGTCCCGGTTTAGCCGCTACTGTCTTCGTTTCGGCGGGTTCGACTGTGGGTTCGATAGCCTTCCCCTTTCCCTTATCTTGCTTCTTGCTTTGTGCTAATACGTCTTCCAAGCTAGGTAACTCATCATCTTCCTCTCCTACCACATCTAACTGCACGCTAGTAGCTGGAGCCTTGGGTGTAGCATCATTATCCTGTACAGATTTTGGGGCTACGGGTGGAGAGCTGGGGGGAGTTCCAGCATCCACCACGTCGGCATCAGTATGCTGTGAACCAGGGGTTGTTGGTCGGCTTGAACTGGTAGGTTTGTTGATCTTAGGCGCCGCCCCCCTTTTGTAATTGAAACGCTCAAATAGCGAATCTTTGGTTATCTTTTTCTTAGTCTTAGCTTCGTGAGCAAGTTGCATACTTCGACTTATTCGTTGGGTCTCGCGGTTCATCTCCTCTAAAGCCTTCTTGCTAGCTTTACGAGCTGCAGGACGGGAAACATCTTGCGTGAGCTTGCGTCCACCATCATCGTCTGTGATGTCAGATACGTCGTCGACCTCGTCATCGGCGGGAACCTGCTCGGCCATTCGTTCCGCACGTTCCTGATCCTTACGCTTCTTTTCTGCCTCCTTAGCAAGCCTTTCTTCTCGCTTCTTAGCTAGCAATGCCATGAAACGTTCACTCTTTCCTGCAATGGGCGGCAGCTCATCATCTGTATCGGATTCGGCTGCGGATTGACGGAGAGCTCCCGGAGTTTCGGGTGCCGGCGTGACGAAGAGACCAGGCGACGGGGACTTTTCTGGGTTTGCTGAGATCTCTGGCGTAGCCTGTCGATTAGGCCTAGCTAGCCGTCTACGCGGAAGGGCGTTTATATCTTCTTCTCCATCGTCGTCCGAGTTCGGTGATCCACCATTATTATCAATATTCGTAACCGATTTATTTGTGTCTTCGGCTCTCATTCGCCCAGCAAGTCGTCCCCGAGGTCTGACAATCTCTTCCTCTTCTTCATCACTCTCATCATCTTGTGTAACCGATACTTTACTATTGATTATGTTTCTTTCGGCGGACTTGGATATAGTCTTTAGGTCAATTGGACCAACAGACTCGTCATCCGAGTCGGCGTCACTGACGGTCGCCAACAAAGCCTTGATTTTGGACCGGGGCGACAATTGCGGTGATGTGGGAGCGGAAGTACCTTCGGCAGGCGACGGCGATCGAGTAGAAGCCATTGTGGCGAGCTGGCTAGTAATACTCGATAGATTGGGAGATGCAATTAAAAATTTGGTCTTATGAAGACATTATGTATGAGAAATGATATTTTAATGGCAGGTCTAAACATGCAGTCTATAGTTGTAGGTTCAAACACTGTGTGTGGAGACTGGAGCAATTTACATGTTAAAGTAGCAGCTGCCCTTGTACGCGCTTTGACTTTATCAAGACGCGTATTATTTCGCGTCAAGCTCCGCGACTTATTATTGAACAATCCGATTAAATGTGGACCCAAAGAGAGCTATCATCCTATCAGATAGCACATAAAAACAAGGCTCTAAGGGCATAATAACTTCGGTTATTATGTAATTATTCCCTTAACCATCATGAAATCATTGATTCTGCATCGTCACTTAAGTCTTGCGAAGGTCATGTGAAATGTGCATAGCATTATTGCTCATAGTAAGGCTATTGCTACTTATCCACAAAGTGAAATGGCGTAGCAAGAAATCGGGGAGTGCTTCCTACGGTAGTGTAGGGGGTATCGGTGCAATAGAGTACATATCCGCCAAAGAGCAAACGCCGAAAACCAGCCTCCATCGTCCTCGTTTTCAGTGTTCATACAGCCCAAAGCAATGCAACCGAAAAATAACGCCTTAATGCCAATGCTAATGCGAACCACATACTCCCGAGGAAAATGTTTTAGGGTATGTAGATGTTAGATCCATCGCCCAAGAGACAATGTCTCATCTTAGCCATTTGAGGCTCGAAACCATTCAGTCGCTTCCATCGTGTCTTGTGGCACACGATCCACCTCTCAAACTGTGTCTTTCTGGGAACCCTGGAAGGTTTATAATGATACCGATCCACTTAGAGTTGGCACTTGCCAGACCGGTCCATTTCATGATTGCACTGGTATTTACCAGATCAGACTTGAGGTCGGAGATTTCGGAGATTCTGAAGTTTTCCGCCGTTTCAGCAGATACTGCTCGTTCAGGATTTTTCAACGTGCCCAATGGCAGCTCCTTTTCTTACCTCAAGGAACCGCTAGACATGAGTCCAAAATGCTATCAAGCATCGATAAATCCTGAGGACTTGTGCCCTCCCATGTTGCGGGCTCTTCGTCGATATCCATTGGTTCGGGATAGATTCCACCATTTGTAAGAGCGCGAACACCGCTGCCAGTACCGTTGATAGTATCCGTACCGGAATCTCCGTAATCTATCGGCTTACGGCCATCGAGCCACGTATAGTTGTCGTAGTGCTCCAATTCGCCGTCCCTGTATGTGTATATCACCGACTTCTTGATAATAGGGAAAGTACCGATACCGCAATCACCTATTTCTAGGGCGAGTCGTAGATCGGCCATGCCGAGTGGGGCTCGCTCGCTCGCAGCTTTGGCTTCGACGGGCAGTAGTCCGCTCTTGTCGCGGGTCAGCTCTCCTCTACTGAATGCTGCCTCCTCTCGTTTCAGTTGTTGGCGATATTTGTGGGTTTGGATCCAAGCAGTTCCGGAACCAAACCCGGTACTTCCAGAATCGCCAGGTCCATTGCTCCTCGTTCTGCTAAACACCGTTGAGAGGAACTCCTTGATGTATGTCTCAGCAGCAACGGTCATAAATTGGGCTGCGTCCGAGCCATGTCCATTGACTAGTCCCGTTTCGTAGCATATGGGTAACATTCTCGACTCGATGCTCGTTATGTCCGGGAATTCGCCCGACTCTACGGCTAAGGGTTGGGTGAATCGCTTGCGAATCTCGAGATCCCAGTCTATCATGGTTAGGACAATCTACATTTCGATTAGGATAGAACACACTTACTCATCTTATTCAAATCGTTGTTAGCACTTTGAGGTATGTCTGGGACTCGCGTAGCTCTGCCTCGGTGATGCTCCGTGAACATATTTGCCATAGACTCAAAGGGATCAAACTGTAAAGAATATTAGAGGTCATAAACATGAATGGTAGGCGCAAGGTAAAAACAAACATCATTCTGAGCCAATTCCTTGATACGACGTCTGTCACGACTCGGAAGCTGCATGACCTCGCCCTTCAATCTGCGTTCGGCAGCATCACCAGTGACTGGCTTGGTGCCAACATTGGTGGTAGGTTTGTCGTTAGCGGAAACCCACGGTGCAACAACGCCTTGATCCGGCATCTCTCTCGTAAGGTTTCCATATATGGCAGCAAGAAGCTGGTTGTGCAGATGGCTCTTGTCGCCATTGGCGGAGAATAAGATAGGATCGATACGTTCGGAATATTCCACCTGGTTCAACCGGCCTATAAATAAAATAAAATGCGTAAGTGAACCTGACTTTTACACGGGCAAATAGCCAACCAATTTGGACAAAGACGAACCAAGTATAAACTGTGTGGTGGATTCTTTGTAGGTGTTCCATTGTTCATTCCCAATAGCCGATTTTAGAGCAGTGTATAGCGGTTCGAGATCGATTCGGGCTGGGATGATTTGGCTAGTTTTGGGAACTTTCTGAGTAGTAGGAGCGGAAACGGTAATGGATTTAAGAGTCGGGGTGGAAAGAGTGATAGAAGGGCGGCTCAAGGCCGCAGGATCTATATCGGGCATGTTGGACGAAATACGGGGATTCGAAATTGACGGGGTGGTGCGGTGGGTTGCCGGATTGTCGATTTGATGACCCAATTCGGAAATGTTGATAGTTGGTGATACGGTAATGAGTAATGGGGTATAGGGTAATTTGACGAGGCGCGAAGTTGGGCGGATTTATTGCGTATGCGCGGGATGTCGCGTGCGGGCTATGAGCACAGCGCAGCTCGAAAAAAGGGTTTAAACCCCATTCATCGAGTGCGTCAGTTCAATGCGATCCAATTTACAATTTTGAAATGATGAAAAAATGTAGGTAGTATGTTGTTATTTGATGAAAAATTCGTCGCCTTTCTATTATCCATTAAGCGGGAGGTTTGGGATTGTCGTTTACTGGTAAGTTGGAAATCAGTGTAGAATGGGCTGCGCTTCGTCAGAGCAAGCATTTGATTGGGGTTTCTGGGGATGGAGTGGAACTAGCAGGGTATTATGTTCCTGTATATATACCTAAGCACTGGCATTATTTTGGTAGAGTTAGGTTAAGTTTATGTCTTTCTGTAAGTTACTAGTACTTAGCTAAGCTTGAATAACCTTTTCTAGCTGGTCGGTGCTTCCAAGCTCGTTACCCGAGCGCTATAGGTCTGTGACCAGGTGCCACCCAGCGCTGTTAGTGTTACCTATCAGCCTGTGTACCACCAACCTAGCCCCTCCATTTTATTGTCAACTTGGAACCTAAGCATTTCATATATCGCGTCGCGCGTCGACACTTAGTAAGTGGTAACTACATACCAATATCCATGATATCGTCTTGAATACCTAAGTTTCTTGCACATATTCTCATACTCGCATCAGTCGCCGCATCTTATGAGTTAGCATCTCATTCTCTAATCGACGACGACGTATCAAAATGACACAATGTCTGGGTCAAATCAGGACCGGACGAAACGAGTCGATCTTAGTATCAATCGCTTGATTTCGCAGCTGATATCTGATGACCCTCGCTTGAGCGATGAAGATGCGCAGCAGAGACATGACTTATTCTTTGACGAGATCAAGAAACAATTAAACGAGTGAGATATTATACATGTATATATTATTAGGTATTATACAATTGTTAACATTGTTATCGCTAGACCTAGACCGCCTCCTCTTGCCGACCAGAATCATGCTTCCGAACTTATCAGACGAAGACTGGTTCAAACGAACCCGAACCAGGCTTTACGTTATTCCAATCTTTACTCGAGATTGTTGGCGTTGCCTGTACTAAATCAAAAATGGGCTATGTTGTATTTGCTCTACCAATTGGCCGATTCGCCTGATCCCAGTGAACCTGACCCTGTTGCCTTTGCCGAGTTTCAGCAGGAGCAAGCCAAGCGAAGAAAGCAGGAGGAAAGAGAAGAATTCGCTGCTTCAAACGGTCCTTCCAACGAAGGTGCTAAGACACATAAACGTGACCGAGACTCTGACAACTACAATCCCACCGAACTTCGAGATGTACTCAAAAATCCAAAAGATATGAAGTCCGTCGACGGTGATTCGCAACGGCCTACTACAAGTACTAGCGACTATAAACGTAATAGGACACCTAAAGATTCTGCTCCAACTACACCTAAGAGGGATGTTGCTATTAAGTCAAAGCTACTCGCAGACAATTACTCCGATATCGACCCCTCTGAACCTGCCCTACTTCGAGATCTTCCATATACCCTTCAGGGGCTTTCCTCTACTACTCTCCCATTTGGCAAGGGAAAAGAGCACTCCCTTAGACTACCTACCACTCTCCCTCCGCCTATAATAGGCATTCTCCATTCGCTAGCCGAGCCTTCCCTTCTCTACCGTACCCTTGAAGATTTTGTCAAGACCCCCACGAAAGGGCTCGTTGAGCAAAGTCTCCGGGCAGCTATCAGCAACGAATTGCGCTCATACTTAACACTCGTAGCAACACTAGAAGGTCAGATTCGACGTGCACTGTCTACTATATCCGAAAATGCCCCTAGAAACGGCATCGGAAAAGCCGGTGTCACTCTAAAGCGTTGTGTTGTCTGGACGCGTGAAGCAACTATGGGTCTGCGCCTTATGGCCATGATCGCCGAAGACTCTAAGAGTAAAAAAGGCGGCCAGCTTATCACCCTAATCCATGGCTTCGCTTCGACCAATGGGGACCCCGTAGTCGCCGCATTTGCTGAGCGCCTACTTACTCCTATTACTCGTCCTTTCTACGACATACTACGCCACTGGATCTACGATGGGGAACTCTCAGATCCATACCTTGAGTTCTTCGTACAGGAGCAGTCAGTAGCTGCCATGCCCAAAGGTAAATCAGGATCTATCAATGTCTGGGAGGATAAATATGTCTTAGCACCCGACATGACGCCCTCCATCATCACTGAGGAGTTTTCTGAAAAGGTTTTTCTGATTGGGAAATCTCTCAACTTCATCCGCCACAGCTGCGGTGACGCCCAATGGGTCGAGTCATACTCCAAGGAGTCCTCCAAGGAGCTCCGCTATGGCGATACTGCTACCTTAGAAACCTGGATCGATGAGGCCTATAAGACGACCATGCGCCGCCTGCTGCATCTCATGACCAACAAGTTTCACCTGTTCGAGCACCTACAGGCTCTGAAGAGCTACATCTTGCTAGGGCAAGGCGACTTCATCGCACTGCTTATGGAATCGCTGGCCGCTAACCTCGACCGCCCAGCCGGCGCCCAGTACCGACACACACTGACAGCGCAGCTCGAGCACGCCATCCGCGGCTCCAATGCGCAGTACGACTCTCCCGAGGTCCTACGTCGCCTCGACGCCCGCATGTTGCAGCTATCACACGGAGACATTGGCTGGGATTGCTTCACACTCGAATACAAGATCGACGCCCCTGTCGACGTCGTCATATCCGAGTGGGGTAACCGCCAGTATCTCAAGGTCTTCAACTTCTTGTGGCGTATCAAGCGCGTAGAGTTCGCCTTGTCATCCACCTGGCGCAAGGTTACTACCGGCTCGCGCGGCGTCCTGCAGACGAACCACGACTCTGTAGCCCAAGCCTGGAAGACGACACGCGGGTTTTTGGCGGAGATGGTGCATTTTGTGGGCCAACTCCAGTACTATATATTGTTCGAAGTCATCGAGAGCTCTTGGACCGAGCTCCAGGAGAAGTTAAAAAAAGAGAATGCGACGCTAGACGACGTAATTCACGCTCACAGCAACTACCTCAACTCCATCACGCACAAGGGCCTGCTCGGCGCTCGCCGCCGCCGCTTCGTAGCCAACGCTGCAGTCAATACCAGCACCACCGGCGTCGACGAGGACGATAACAGCTACATGATCCAGCTAGGTGAGCTACTACGCACCATGCTCGCGTACCGCGACTGCGTCGATGGCCTGTACTCGTGGTCCGTGTCAGACTTCACACAGCGCCAGGAGGCCGACCTACGACATGAGCCCCTAGTCCCGCCCGATGACGAAGAAATCCCGGGAGGGCCTCACAGCGAATTCCCGGCCTTGCAAGAACGCCTCAAACATCTCGGGGACAGGTTCCGGTCGAAATTGCAGATCTTGCTCGGGGATCTAGCCTACCAACCGGACGTCGACCTCAGGTTCCTAGGCGTCGCGATGAACTTTAACGACGTTTACCAACCTGTGCGTCGTAAGCCTAAGGGCACGCCTGGACCGTCGACCGCGATGAAAGGAGGAGGCGACGGGCTATCGACTTTAGGCGGAAAGGGAGTGGCTAAGGGCTGAAATGGGCTGATGTTCTGATAGAATACGAAAAACCGAAATAGTGAACACATCGGTGATGCTTTTTGACGAGTATCTCCACGACAGTCTATCCCGTGCTCGAATCTACTCCGGGATACCTATACAAGCCAAACCAACCCATACATTCGCGCGGCCGGGGTCCGAAGTCTCAGCTTCGCCGCGCAAAATAAATAAACAAACAAACAAATAGAACCTCGCGTTTGCCCTACGGCCGAGAAATGATGTAACGTAACGGAAGGGGCGAAGTCAGTTGGGTTGTCTACGATATCACGGTTCACAGAATGGAGGGCGCTGTTGGGTTGTTGGCTGGGCTGTTTAGGTATCTATACTACAGTCTACGATGTCTCGCGGGCTTTGCATGAGGGTCTAATTAGGTATTGGCGATCAAGCGATCGTGATCGATCGAGGCTACGTCAGTGGCGCTACCCTGCCCCTCACGATGCTAAAGGCAAGTGTCTAGTATACATGTATCTCTAGCCTTACAATCAATGAAGAAGCCGCTCCTATGAACGGGCTAACCTAGAATACCAATACCTTAAACCGATGGCTAGATAATTAGTGACAAGTGAATTACGTATAGTATAAGTTCTACAATCGTAATAGCAAAAGAGTGCACACATATACAGATCACTTAGGAAAGAACAGAAGACAAGATTTCATATCAGCAAAAATCATAGCATTTCGTCATTCGTAACTGAAGTTCGTTAAACCGAGGACATCCGACCATTCCCCGTTCCCTTCGAACGTGACGATTCCTGTAAACTAAAGGGCGAACTTTTCCGAGGGACCTTTTTCGTTCTATATCTACACATCTTTGTGATGATGCCAGTTCTAGCAAAGAACGCCATTCCCCCTCAAATGCCTATCGTATCATTAAACGCCCTTTTTCCATTTCTCTTTCTCATGCCGTTGTGGAATCTCAAGTTGGAAACGCGCAACTTGTCGGTAAAAAAACGAATCCAGATTCCACCCCTTCACCAATAAACGCCACTGTAGAAAACGGGCCTGGTCCGAAATTCGTGTCCATGGTACAATGCCCCTTTGGCTAAGGTTATTGGAGAGGGGAAATTGGTTGATCGACGGTACTTGCGAACGACCAAAGAAAATCCCTTATTGATATGTCGGGAGTACCAAGGACCAAGGATGGCCCAAAAAGTCATGGCATGCCCACCAAGGCCAAGGCCAAGGTTAAGGTACTAAAAATGAAGATGAGAATGATGATGATGATGTGTGTATGTGTGTGTGTGTGTGTCGTGATAAGTTCGGATATGGTACCAAGTGATGCATCATTCGAGACGCAAAACTTTTAAGGCATGCCAACTATCTCCAGTATGGCTCAAATTCCTCTTAGGCCAAACCGGCCCATAGCCCCTACAACTTCGTAATATCCTGCCAAATTGGCCGATATGTGCAAGACCAACCAAACCAGTTGCTGTTGCATCTTCAAATACTACCCCGTAGCCAGTTGTTACACCAGATTTAGCAAGATTTGATGAATTCTGTGAATATGGTTGATGACCCAAGCGATGTGCTTAGACATCGGTCATCTCCGTATCCAGGGAGAGAGGAGGACTAGACACCTCATCCGCAGGACCCCAGTTACCCTCGAAGACCGTCGCGGCTGCTCGTTGACGGGTCGCGACCCAGTTAACTGCCTGTAGACTAAGTAGGTGGAAGATGTTTGGTCGATCCACAGGAGTTGGAGCCAACATCGACTTGATAATAATGTCGAGAGACTCGGGGTGGTTGGGATCCTTCATGAAGTCCGGCGGATTTTGTAGCTCATTCTTGCGGCCCAGACCGAAGATGTCCGCGGACTGTCGAGATCGGAAGTTGTATGCGCGGCGGGGCTCTTTGGCATTGCGGCTCTCTCTAAACAAGTTAGTGCTACGATCACCGTCATCAAGAGGCATGCCATTAGCATCTCGAGCAATTGGTGTCGCGTCTTCAGCTTGAGTCATGGTTGGAACTTCGGAGAAGTCTCCTTCTCTCAGTGCAGTCCAGGTCGCTCCGTTCTCAGGGAGCTTAACATTGGCCGCGATCTCTAACATGATCAAGCCAAAAGAGAATATGTCAGCAGCTTGGCTGATCTCAGATCGAAGGGCCTCAGGGGCCATGTACTCGCGGTCGCCTTCGATGTCGGGTCCTCTTTCCAAGGGCAACGACGTCGTCAATCCGAAATCGCCGATCTTCAGGGTACCTTCAAAGTTGATGAAGATGTTGGCGGGTTTAAGGTCGAGGTGAATATACCCAGCCTCGTGAATGCTTCTCAGTCCCTACGTAGTATGTTAGTTACAGTACACACCTCGCCCGTCTGTTTAGTATATACCTTGCCAATCTCAAGAAGGATCTTCCAGATTCTGAAATCATCCAGTCGTCCCTTCAAGCCAACAAAATTGAGGTAGGCATCGAGGCTACCCTCTTCGCAAAACTCGGTCTGGATGTAGAGGCATTGGCTCTCCTCCCAGCTATCGACGAGTTGAAGAACGTGCTCGCATCCTCTCAGGTCTTCCAACACGCACACCTCACGGCGTCGGTGGGCCCTGTCCTTCATACCTTGAATCGGCACAGTGAGCTTTTTCACTGCATAGACCTTGCCCGATGAAGGGGAGCCCGGACTTCGGTGAGTAGGAGTACTAAAATAGCCTTGCTGAGACATTCTTGGCTGGCTCGGCTGGATGACCTTGTACACACACGAGAATTCGCCCTTACCCAGAAACTCAACCTTACCAAAACGCGCAATGAGTTCCTCGTCCACGTCGTGAGTTGGTAAACCATTAATAGGGGTAATAGCCCGTCGCTCAAGAAAGATGGGGGCATTGCCTTGTCGGGTCGTCGGGGTAGCAGGAAGGTTCAGGTTTCTGTCGCCGGCGAGTGGGGAGTTGTCATTCGCGTTCGAGATGGATAGACCGCTCGCGTCGGGAGGCACAATGTTTCCCTGAGGGGTTCGGGGAGACGTCTTCTCTGCAAATTCCATTCGCTCTAATGGGCTTGCTGGAATTACGGGGTTCATCTTAGCAAACTCAACTTCAACAGGCAAAGGGGGCAGTTCAAGGGCGGGCGTAGAGTAGGCCTTGAGCGGTCCAGGCGCTCCATCTGGGCTAGATGGGCCATAGTGAACGTGAACCTCTTCGTGCATTTCTTCACCACCTAGTGGCGTGGGGTAGAAGGGTGTATGCGGTCCCCAAACGAGAGGAATAGTCGCACTATAAAGACGTGGCTGGTTCGGATTATACTTACAGCTAGCAGCTGCGTCACGTCGCATGCCCATGCTTGATCCAACTGCCGACAGAGGAGGAAGACGTCGGTTAGCTGTAGGGCTCTCGTTCGTCGAAATGCGAGTCAATCTGCTAGAACCTCGAGGTACAGTGCTCTGCTTCGTGGGTGTCGGCGGGAAGTCGCCGTCGTTGCTGGTGTCGCTACCACAAGCTTTTCGAGATGGGCTTCGACCATCGTCGTTATACAAACTAAGTAGGCTCTCCTTGCGAGAATGGGTAGAGAATCCATTGAATAACAAGGGTCGAGGCTGATCGGTAGTGAAGACATTCGCCGTTCGGTTTGGCGTAGCTAGGTCGAATGGAGTAGATGGCACACCAAAGGTATGTCGCATGCGTCGGCCTCTAGCCTTAGCATTGCTCGTCAAGGGCTGCATGGGCGGGTACGTAGCGAAGCTGCTTGCATGCTTCTTGCAAGGCGTGTCAGGAACAGCGCCAAAGCCAGAATTGGCAGGGGCGAGTTCGGGGTTGCGATTCATCTTAGACACCAAGCCGGTCGATGCGAAAGCTCCCTCATACGGCCTGTCACTCTTATAATCAGGAGTAGAGATGAGAGCAGAGCTCGACTTATCTGCCTGTGGACGAACAGCACCGACAGGCAAGCTCTTGGAGAAGTTCATGGGAGCTCTAGACTTCTCGGCAATTGGCATTGCGAACTGCATTGGCGAATCGCTAGCTTGACCCGAACTAGAAGATGATGATGTCGTAATGGTGCGAGAGAGCGGGTGTGGCTGATGGTTCAGTTGCGCGAACATCTGCGGCTGAACTTGGTGCGGTGCCGGGGTAGGCGGTGGTGCTGGCAAGCCGAATGCGGCTGAGGCCGGCGGCACGAAGTGTTCCACGGACAGACGCGGGCGGTTCTTACCAATTGGAGTCGTGGTTCCATTAGGAGACTGTTGCGCTGCCTGTCGTCTTCCCCATGATGTTCGTTCGCGCTGAGGGGTAGTGACTTCACCAGAAGATTGAGCCAACTGTTGAGCGGCATTGCGCTTACCCCATGATGTGCGCTCGCGCTGCTGGAGTGTCGACTTTCGTAAAGATCCAGCTCTGCGCACAGGGACGGAAGGTGGTGTGAATGAAATTAGTGGCTCAGTGATATTGGCAGTTGGAGTCGTCCAGCCATATTCGCGACCGGAATCATCTTGGAGTTCCTGGTTAGGCGAAGTAGCGCCAACTTGGTCGAACACATTGAAGTCAAGGTTCATGGTAGCTGGGCCATAGCTACGTCGCTTCGGGTTTGGGCTTCCCGAAATAGACTGATCGAGACTCATTGAAGCATCGCTTCGCTTGAGTGGACTCGCGACGGAGGATAAAGTAGTGGTAGTAGTGTTGCCCTCGCTAAATCGAGACAAGCTCAATTGCGAGGACGAACCGCTCATGTCGAGATGCATGCTGTGCCGATTCGCAGCTTTTTCAGCTGCCTTGCGCGACACAGGACTGCGGGTATGAAAAAAGCCGAGATTTTCTTGGCCGGAGGGTAGTGTGTCAATTGAAGAGGATGGTGATTGGCTAGAATTACTACAAAAGGTGGAAGAAACCTGACTCAAAACTCGTCTTGAGGGGCTTTTGGGTGATGTACGATGTCGAGAAAATGGTTTATTTGATGAGGCGGGACTCTTCGCTGCTTTCGCAGATCTTAGAGACAATTTCGCATTTGGCCGGAAAGGCGTTGCGAGAGGTGATTGAGTGTGGGGTGTATGAGGTTGGTTACCTGAAGGCGAATTCTGTCCGAAATATTGAGACTGAACGCGCCTAATTGATGGAGATGAAGGAGAAGATCCCGTATCCGAACTACTTTGAGATGAAGTTCGAAGAGGAAATTTAGAAGGTGATCGCGAAATAGAACTTCGTACAGATCGAAGGCCTGCTTGAACATCCACAATATGATGATGGTGTGGGTGTGTTGGAGATGGAAGAGTTAGAGTGCCACCACCGTTAGACATCTTGCCAGAGAAAAAGGCTCATGTGAATCAAGAGGTGGCCGGAAAGTTCTCTCAGTTCGACTTCGGTTTGCGCGACAGGTCGTAGCTCGGGTTCGACAAGTAGACAATGGGCGATGCTTCCTATCCTGTTTATTCGACGATGCCAAAAAGCGTAAAGTGTTGACGATTATCGTAGGTGGCGGGTATCAGCAATGATGGGAACGTCAAAACAGGTCAGTATAGAAGTAATGCAACTCGTTGAAGCTCGTTGACGCGCTTAAAAAAAAAAGAAAGAGGAAAAAAAGAAGACGGTAACAGATAACCGTTAGAAAGAAGAATCGCTTGTAAGAGATTGAAACCAGGTTCCGATCTAGATGCTGCTGGTTGCTAGGTGGCTCGGCGATGGCAGCGATAAAAAGTACAATCGATTTGGTGGTGAGGACGATTGATACTCGTATTTCGTGGACGTAGTTCGTGATTCTCGACAGAGGAATGCAGCGTAGTGCGATTAATTAATCAGGAACATGTGGAATGACAATCCAGGCAAGGGCAAGAAGAAGACGTTTCTTCAACGGCTCATGCTGGATCAGGTTATAACGTCTGCCTGCTCCCTTTCTTCGGTAACACCTCCCAAACTTTAAAAAGTGAAGCTTTAAGCTCTCTCCCAATCACACACTAAGAAATCTTAACGCCGTACGCGGATGCGCCATTCAGTTTGTCAAGCGCAGTAGTCGCAGAGAAAAGCGGCAGAGAAGAAGAGGGCGGCAATAAAGCGTGTCGTGTATGTATGTAGTGATTTTGGGTTTCGACGAAGCGCGCACCTCCTGACAGATCAACTGTATTTTGTGGCGAGTTTGCAGGAAAAGATGGGGATCAGGGAGTTGACGAGGTTGGATTTTGGTTGGACTTTGGAGGGAAAAGGAGCGGTCGGAGAAAGATGCCAAGTTTTAGTTTAGATACCTGAGATACCTGTGGACGGTACCTATTACAGTACATTTAGCTCGCTAACCTCACTAGATCGGGCAGGGTGTTTAGCTGTATTTGGGCATTTTAGAGCGCGTTTTGTTTATTTCGAGACGCGCATGTGGGGCTAGTGCGCCACCAAGCAGGTACGTCCCTCTGTACTTCAGTACCACATCCTTGTCGAAATCAAGGCCGTGCGTCAGCGCATCTAGCCTGCACAAGTACTTATGTATATATATGTACAGTCGTACTTTTCACACAAATTCGTTCTTTTCTGTGTTAATCCACTGACCGCCTCCTACTAACCTAGGGGATTTTCTACGAAGCTGCAGATGCATACCCCCTTACAATTAACAAGCGCTGAATTAAGGAAATTTTTGTGTTTCTCATAAGTTGATTAGTTCGTGGGTTTGGAGGCGAAGTGTGTGGGAGTTGTTGGTTGATCGGTCATTAAGGCAATTTTTCTGCCCAGTAATGGATATTAAATTCAATACCTGCCTAGGTAATCAATACAATCATGTTCAACGTCAGGTCCCAACTCATGCAACGATTGACATTGAAACGTCAATACACTATTACGTGGTGCGTAGTACACACGTACCCTATGTAAGATACACCTTGACATTGGTAGGGTTGGTAGGGGAGGGGGAAAGGGAAGGAGGCAGGGGACCTAGGGTTAAACTGATCTGTGGGAAAAGAAAGAAAGCCACATGTCGGGGGTGTCATGTCGTCTGATGCGCGCGCGCTGATCCGGACCCTACCATTTTTAAGTACTCAGGTACATGTAGATACCCACTTTCTACACTTGCGAGTGGACGTGCAGCTGCAGCTGCCCTTAGGTAAGGTAGGTCAGTGAGGTCAGGTCCCTGCAACCCTTCAGGTCTAGCTAAGGCATCCTTGGTAAGGTATCCTGACCAACCTTTTTCCTTGACTGGACATGGAGTGTCCTGGAGCGTCGATTCCATGTCCCTCCATGTCCCATCCCGCTCGCAGGCTGCAGCAACGACCCCCAGTTGCGGCTACGTAGCCGTAGCCTCAAACAACCCCCACCACTTGTTCAGCCCGGATCATTGGGTTGTTCAAACTCAAAATCAATTGTTGCCGTCTGACAGAGACGCCGGCCATTTTTCCATAGCTTCTCCTTTTCTGCGCCTTTTCCCCCCTATCTCACGTCACGAGTCAGGGACGGAGAATTCCAGAATTGGCCCTCCTAACAAAACTCATGTCACGTTCCCCTTTCTTCGATATTTCCGCATCACGTATCACGTATCACGTAGGAGATATACAAAAATACATATCTACAAACTAGGTACATGAAGGAGAAAGCTCCAGAATTGGAAATAAATAAATAGTGTCCGAAGTAAACAATAATCTTAATACGATAATACGATGGGTTAATATTAAGTATTAAGATCTCATTTTTAGAGATTCATGCGTCGATTGGTCATTAACAAGATTTGTATGCTAGACTTGCCCAGACTTGCTAGGTAGGTCCTCCCGTTCTCCGGTTCTCTCACCCAGTTGCCCCTTCCTCTCTCATGCATTGAAAGCTTGGACCACACCATATTTATTTCCCTTTTCTTTTTTTACATTTTCCCAATTTTTTTCTACGATGCGATCTCACATCATCACATGCGTGCTCTCTTATTCTCCCACTCTCCCCCGGGCGTCCCCACGTGCTGCCGCGCAGCTGTCAGATGATGGACCCTTAAAGCATAAGTTTATTACTTTAAAATAAAATTAGCCTGATAAACTCGAAAATTCAAGTCACGATGGGGGGATGAGTTCCCCTCAATTTGCCAACTGTTTATTATCACAAGATGATTCCGGGGTAATAAATCCATTATTATGTATGTGCTTCATGTAGGTATGTACAGTATGTGGATGATAGTGGATAATAGATGGAGGATGGATGGATCCAAATGGGTAGTAAAACACATCGTCTTCATATTTGGTCCAGATAATGTTTTTTTCTTCTAGATTTCCAAGTTTGCGACAGAAGATAAATATTTCCAACGTTCGATCGCTTACCTTACCTACTAGGTAGGTCTCTCACCAATTGTATCACTGCAGTTTGACAGGTTGATATCGCTGTTATCAATCGCAATATTTCATCTGCTAATGTTTTAGGTCCCTCATCTATGTAACGGCGTCCGTGTTTCCCTTGTCGCTAACTGATAGATCACTAGGCCGAATCGTCGAGTCCAAGTGTCTAGATAAACAAAGGATCTATCCGTTCGTCATGATAACACCCCTTCCCGAGATCCGAACGCTGAGACTTCTTTTTTTTTCTTATCTCGAATCTATCAAATTGATCAATTCACATTGTCACCCGTTCGCTATTTCCACCGGGTCGCCGCGGGGCAATCCATCCGCAATTCCAAGGTTCTTTTGGATCCACGGATTATGGATTATGGATAAAAACATCCATGGATTGGAACCCTTGAAGGCTTGGAAAGCTTCAGATAGATCGATAACAACCCGACGAAGTATCCTTACATGCAATAATAACGAGTCTAGCCATCACGGCAAACATTGATTTGTAGGTTTGCTTCTCTTCTCCATTGTCGCGCATCTTAAATCCTACAACGTGTCCTGAATCCCTTCGTTCAATAACATTTCTGAGTACTAGGTAGGTATGTTTGGAGAACTCAAGCTCAACCTACTAGAAAGCCTTCCAAAAAGGAAGCATGCGCCGCCTATTGACGTTATTAGAAGCGGTAATTCCGTGTGGCTTGCTCGCAACAATGGTACTACAATAGTACCGAAAAGGCAATGTACAAGGAATTACTCCATCAATCCAACTAAATCCAACACATATTGTTGTTTATTGGCCCTACTATATATCGTATAGGAATTGTACAGCTTAATACTTTTATAACTGGTCAACTATTGCCTTCCCCCACGTAAGCGGCGCGCCAATGCTGGCAAGAATTTACATGCCACGTATAGTCTTGTGGAGGTACAAAGTGGCTGAGAGGCTTCCCATTCGCATCGTAACCACAAGGACGGATCCTCTCCGCATAGATTCGGTCCGCTCTATACTTCTTTCTACCATCACCGGCCCCATTCCGTAGTTAGCATTAGCATATATAGCGACGTGATCGACTGGTGCCACGCTAAACTTTCGCCATCCTTTCTCCTCCTCCTCCGCCGACGCAGCGTCAATTCCGTTCCATAAATTGAGGGGCCGTGTCTAAAGTAGAAGTTCTTCTAAGATTCATGTCAATGTCTTAGGCTTCACGTCGTTACGCATGTGTGGGTAAGCACGGAGGAGTTTGTTTTTGTCAGCCGTCTCCTCTGAGTCGCGATGACTAAAAATATTTACATCTGATGTGTATCTGTCACTACATAAAAAGCAATAATCAGCACTTGACCGGTCAGACATTCACAGACGCCAATTGTTACAGCTGATATACGAGAGACAACTTACTAAGGGATCTCCCGATCCTCCCCGGGTACATGAGCGATCCCATATCTGAGACCCCAGACTCCAAAACAACGTCATTTTAAGACCATTGACAAGAACTTCATTATCCTTAAAGAAGTAGGCACTGCATACCTCGGTTAGAGGGAGTATGGGACCAGACATAAGAGGGGTACAGGATGACTCGATGAGCTTCAAGCTCACGACCCCAAAAGTAAGGGATTAGGCACAAATGCTCTCCTCAATCAACACTATGTTGGGTGCTGCCAGTTAGAGAGCCCACCTACATAACGATGGCATCTAGGCCGAAAATGCCTATACTTAGTAACTGCTAGGTATACTACCAGGTATACTAAGTGGATATCCCCATTCTGGTGCGATAAATGGGTCTACCTAAAGGGCATGCATGCGTGACTTTCTGTCAGGTATACTGGCATTCCTTATATTTGCCTATTTTTTACTACGTATAGTACGCTGGCGTTGGCAAGATATAGTCTTACGGTCGTGTGCCGTCTGCGAAAGTAGCAGATTTGTATTTAGCCCTATTGTTTTCAATCTAACCTTGAAACCCATGAGTTGTTTAAGTCAATAATAGCACCGCCTATAAACCAATTTATAGGGGTTATGACTAATCGGTTGGCTGTCCGTGAGTTCATATATCAATAAGTTCAAAGGTTCGTAGGCTACACAGGAGGAACGATAATCCTGCGAACTCTTGATGTTTCCCTCCTTCAGCCAGCACAATCGTTCGAATTGTGGAGGTCAAAATATCGTCTTCATAGTCTAACTTACCTAGACCTCTTAGATTGAGTGTAATGGGTAATCATTACCTAGGTATACTGGTTGAAAATCGTTAAATCATACTATCGTGAAGTATATCACAGGATATATCAATCAACTCTATTGCCATAAGTATTCTCAGTCATTTTACTTTATTTATGTAAGCTAGCAACCTTGGACTTTCGTTCTTCTACGTCCAATTTGAATTCGCTGAGGATGTATCTAGCTTGGACAACAATGCCCATGTAGTGCCTTGTATAATTAATTAATCGTCCCCTCCCCCCCAAAAAAAATCATTGATGTCATCTATTAGAAAGCTACATATGTGATAGAAGGCATCTATATTCAATACTAACATGATTGAAGGAAAAGGGGTAACTTATCGCTTAAGGGGTTACTAATAAGAACATATCGGGGGGATAGGAATTGAGTGATTACATTACCTTTGAAGTTTCTATGATTCAAAGGACATACGAACTATCTAGGCTGGAAATGATTTGTCACACGAAGCTCTGGCTCTACCTCCTCCTAAAGGGGGTACTCTAGGCGCTCTATGCACTAGCGTGCATACAAATGATTCCTGCATGGCATAGGAGCCTTCGAGACTGGAAGTAAGGTGATTAGTTGAAGTTTTCAATTGGGTTTTAGTCAGATAGTATCATACTCGGTTTGATCTGACCATAGAGGAGAGGCCTTAAAGAAAAACCGTCGCTGGAAAAGAGCACAACTCTATCGTGTACTTGCCCCTAATCCATCTTTTTGTATCGGATACTGGCACCTAGTGTTGTCAGCCCTACTCCAAGGAAGAAAAACCTGTGACGAGACCCATAACACTTATGATACAGTTTAAAATCATATCCTATCCCAAATTTCGCTATACCCGTTCTACCAAACACGACGGTATCCACTGATCGAAAAATTGAGACCGCGACGACATCTGTTCTCAAGATCTACGACAAAAGGATACTCCTAGGATATGTAGATCAAAGGTCAGTTGGATTTAGCAGAGCCTCGAACTCGGACATATCGTCACAAGCATTGAAGGGCACGGTGAAATACTGCTCACTAATCCTACGATAATATGCTAAAGCTCTTGACCAGCGCTTAGCAGAGAACGAGGGGTTGTGGTGTATCAGAATAGAGTCAGCAGCGGGGTCCTGAGGTATAGTCTCGTAGCGGAATTCTTCAAGGCTCGGTAGACGGGAAACCAAGTTGTCGAGTGTCCTAGGTCTCCAGGCTCGGTCATGTCGTACTTTGAGGAGGAGGCTCGTGACGGCGGGGGCTTCCGGTAAGGTTTGCCACCAGCGCTCCTCACAAGCGGCGTTCAAAAATGCAGACGAGCTATTACCTAGAATAACTCGATCAGCAGGGGTCAAAGCTTGCTCGAAAGAATCAAAAGGTTTTCGGCTGGGAGAGTAGATCTCGATCTCTAAATTGAGTTGTCTTTGAGACCCCCACGAGCTGAGTATCCAGAATAGGTCGTGCATTGCTGTGGTAATAACGCTGTTATCTGCTGTGCGCGGGGATCGCTTGTTGTGCGGTGGAACTTCCCACAGGCGACCACTGTCCCCTTCAAGTTGTAGTGAAAGCGAGATGCATCTGACTTGAGCTCGGTTGCCGTGAGTCACGAGGCTCAACTCGGGCAAGTTCCATAGAGTAAGTTTGATGTGTTCGAAGTTAGAATGCTCGAGGTTGTTTTGCCGTTGATGTATTAGGGTTGCTGTCTGAGCGGAGGAATGGCTATGTTGGATTGAGCGAATCGGGAGGGAGAGCTGTGTTTCTCTAGACAGAGCTTCCTCAGATAGGTTGATGGCGGTAGATCGCGACATTTTGGTCAGTTAGTGACGTTATAAGGTAGAGGGGGTGGGGAATATTACTTGGTAGTAGATCGAAGACTTTGGCGTGAAGTGGTTCGAGGAGATGGATAGAGAAAAAGAGAAGAGAGGCTGGGGGGCTCCTGGCTTATTTATAGCCTACTGTGTAGGTATCTAAGATTTGCCCGTCTCTTTGTTTGAGTTTTTTGAACATAAGGTAGCGTTTAAGGTAATAGGGGCTGCAAGTATTTATTAAAATTTCCAATCTAGATTTTGGCCCTGGTGAAGCCTATTTTGAGTTGATTGAGCGGTAGTAAGCTTTTGAAATCTGAGTTTATTAAGTAACGAATTATCTATCTAGGTATGTACGTTGACGTTGATTCAATTGCTTTCCACTTCTTGTAGCCAAGTCTTAGTTTCGGCGTCTTGTTCTCGTGAACAGGCCTACTTATCCGGAACACCGCGTAAAGGTGCGTGGCAATGGTTCCGGGACCTCCCCAATTCTCACTTGAGATAACCCTCATTTGAGGCTGGATCATTGGCATGCTATGTGCTGTGTGCTGTGTGCTGTTCAAAGAGATATTTACTTACAAGGGAGCTAACACGACGCCACAAAGGCGTCTATGAACTCGTCCAAGGCTCGGCGACACGCCACCTCCGCAAGTGACCTTTCCTACTTGGCCATGTTTATGCTCAGACAATCTTTGTTGGCCATGGTCGATGCTTGCGCCGCATCGCAGAATGCGACGCGGGCCCGAGCTCGGTAGTAGGCTAGCTCGGCCTCCGGGAGGGAGGTTATAATTGTCGTAGCGTTTAAGGTCGCGGCGCTGGAGCCTGGCCTATTCACACTTCGTTAGTAAGTCATCTACCGGGGTGTCAGCCTGGAATATCGGAGAAGCAAGAAAAACATAGCGCTCACATGGGCTTACTGCCGCCACCCATGCCGTTCTTATTGTTATTGTTATTGTGGCTGCCGCTGATGATGATGATTGTCAGGCGTCTGGTCTTCCTCCAGGTTGATATGCTAGAGGTCTATGGGATCGGGACTCGGTCCGTAGAGTCACCGTTGAGTCTGTGAGAGTCCCGTTAGCCGCTAGTCTTGGGAGCAGGGCAGACAAAGAGTTTTACATGTATGTATACTGTGTTCTCCATAGTCATGGTGAGAGTAATTAGGAGCTCCTCGCGGAGCAACGTCATTGTTTCCTAGTCTTTTGGTTCCGCCTCGTGGCACTCATGCTGTTCTTACTGTTATTATTATTATAACTGCCACCGATGATGATGATAGTGATGATGATGATGGTGGTGGTGGTGGTGATGATGGATGAGGGGAGTGGGAGATGGATGAGTGGGAGTGGGAGAGGGAGAAAAGAGAATAGCAGACGGAGGATCTTTAGAACCTGCTATGTAGATTCAATTTAAACTAATAGACATACCTATACCTTCTCGCTCATAGCTATCTGAAACCTGTCGCTTCTGGATTAAATCTATAAAAATGCCATTCTCAGGCCTACACTTGCCTCTCAACTCCATTAATGCATTTCTTCTTTCCGCACCAGTTGGACCCCCAAGCAAACTCACATACCTTAGTTATTACACCACTTTGGAGACAAGAGGTAAGAGGTGAGCAAATTATCAAACTATACCACAGTCGTGGCTGCCCCTTTCGCGGTGTCAATATACGGGTAGTAAAACGGATTCCAAAGTACAAGGTACCTAGGGTCTTAGATTTTAAGGGACCACCCGCACCACCATAATTGGAAGTCAGCATAAGGCTCTCGTACCGAGTATTTACTAGAATATTCAACGTTACCAATTTTGATTGAATTTTCATTAAATGTACCTACATATGTACATTTCCAGACTGCTTGTACGGTACCTAGTAGGTACTTGGTACTATGAATAATACGTGTGCAATCTATGTATTTATGTATCTCGAGATTTAAAAATCATGCTTACCAAATCAGCGAATTCTATTTTTTTGATTGGCTAAAATTCAATGTACTGTTGTACTTTTTTTTTTTTTTTTGGTGAAGCTATCCACACTCAACCTGGCGACCAAGTTAGGTGGTGGGTGACGAGGCTGATTGTGGGGTGCTTTCTATCTTTCATATATCACCGGGATGCTTTCCACTTTCTCTCACCTTTTTCCTTTTTTCTCCCAAAATATGGAATCGATTCCTTTCTATCTTTTGGTACTGTGCAGGTAGGTAAGTGCATTTTAATAACATCGCCATCCCCATTCATAAATACGATACGTCTATCGTAATACACTCCCACTTGTCACTAATTTTCTCCTCTATCGTTTACACGTATTTTCTATCAACGCGTCACGCTCGCGTCTCCTGTCGGATTTTTCTATTCCCCTCTTTCATATTCATTTATCTTATTACATCATCCTCACTCATAGATTCATCTTCAACAACTACCATCTACCACGTTCCCAAGTCCATACCGGATAGGAATATCATGTCTACTTCTTGTCACGTAATAAAAGTTTCCAGCTAATCTCAACCCCCTAAAGCAATCTCGACGACTTGAAACCGTACACCAAAATTGGTCACGGGACGACGGGTCCGCAAGAGAAAGGCGCGCTGCTTACTTCGGTGGGTAGGCGCGTAGGGGAAAGAGGGATGGTTGTTTGGCCAATCGACTCGAATCTCCTCCTCGAAACGATGGCGAACCCGGTCTCTATACGCAACCTGGTCAATGGCTTCGTAAGAGAAAGGCGTGCTGCCTATCTGCTTTGGTAGGTAGGTAGGCACGTAGGGGAGAGATGGTAGGGTAGTTGCCTGGCCGGGATATCTCCTTATTGACGGTATCGACGAAGGCGTCTGGATTAGGGCATCGACGATACTGGACCTGCACCTGGAACGGGACCTGGACCTCCTGGACCTGGCCTGGAACTGGAACTGGAACTGGTTTTTCCACTAACATACTACTTCTTTAGGGACTTCATTTATAAGGCTTCTTCCCCCTCCCCTCTATCATAAGGCGCTTGATTTTCACTTGGCCTGCGAATTTTCGCAAACGTGATTTCATTTAATTTTTGGAACCTCAGTGAGCCTAGCTCGCGATTCACACTTTTTTTTTTTCGTTGCTCTCTCCGAGATCTTCTTGGGTTGCGAAGAAGAAAAACTTCCAGTACCTAACGTCACCCACCACCTCACCGCCCACACCACCTCGCCGCTCACTTTTTTTTTCACTTTTTTTTTTAACTTTAAAAATTCATAACTTTACGAACTTTAAATATAAAGCTTTTACATTTTAAAATTACGTTTATTAATATAAAAAGTATTTAAATATAAATTTTTAAAAAGATCGATTACGTAATTGAAATATTATAAAATTTTTAATATAATATATAATAAAATAATAAAAACATTTTTAAAAAATCGAAAATTAAATATTTTTAAAAGTGGTTTTAAGTTTTATAATTTTAATAATATAATAATATAAAATAAAAAATTAAAAAATTTATATTTATAAAAAAAATAAAAGTTTTTATTTTTTATATTTTTATTTTTTTATAATTATAAAACTTAATTTTATTTTTTTAAAAAAATATTTTTTAAAGTTAATTTTAAATATTAATATTATTTAAAAATATAATAATATAATATTATTTTTTAAAAAATTTTATATAATTAATTTTAATTTATTTTATAAAAATTAAAAAATTAAAAATATATAAAATTTTAATTTTTAAAAATATTTATATTATAATATAATTTTAAAAGTTTAAAATACGTTTATATTAATATAATAAAATATAATTAAGTTTAAAACTTAAATAAAATATATTAAATAAATAAATATAATTATTTTTAATATTTTATATAATAAAAAATAAAAAATAAAAAAGTTTTATTTTTTATATAAAAGTAAATTTTGTTAATTTTTATTTTATATTATTATATTATTAAAATTATAAATCTTAAAACCGCGTTTAAAAATATTTAATTCTCGATTTTTAAAAAATGTTTTTATTATTTTATTATATATTATATTAAAAATTTTATAATATTTCAATTACGTAATCGATCTTTTTAAAAATTTATATTTAAATACTTTTTATATTAATAAACGTAATTTTAAAATATAAAAGCTTTATATTTAAAGTTCGTAAAGTTATGAATTTTTAAAGTTGAAAAAAAAAGTGGAAAAAAAAGTGAGCGGCGAGGTGGTGTGGGCGGTGAGGTGGTGGATGACGTTAATAGGTATTCGACCCTTGTGTTAGCACCATTATAGCAGTCTTCGGGGCGACAGACTCACTGATCCGGTGGCTGCATTAGTGCTTACCCCCTGAGAGCCTGCTCGGTCGCAGTTGAGTGTTAAGGGGGTCCCCTATCGGCGACGTCCTAGATACCACCTACGGGCACCTGTTGATTGATTAATAGTCCCCTAGGGCTTCAATTTAGCTATTACTGTCCTCCTAATGCGATATCAGCCCCCGTGAACCACCTGCCTGTAACCCTTGATATCCGTTAGTTGTTTACCAACCTATGATCTATTCTACGCTTCTATCCGTTATTTCGCTTAGACATGTTAACATGAAATATATATTCTTTTATTCTAACGAGGGTATATTGGAAATCGTGTACTCATACCATTGAACCGTGCTGAGCTTGGTACTGGTTGTACTGGTAGATTATTAGGGCTCAAATGGGGGTTTTACAGTGGTATCAACCTGCCCACCCGACCTAGAACGCCGTCCTGATAGGGGACTCCCACTCTAATTAAGCGCATAACATTTCTCAACATTGCCTGCATCATTACCCCACCAATTTGGCATCCCGATGACCTTTGCGCTTCCGAATATCAAGAAAATTAACAACATATTCAGATTGAATCCGGCATCGAATGCGGCAGCGAGGATGAAGTTATATTTAGCCCACATTTGGTAGCGGTACCGATACGCCCAGAACATAACCACGAAACCTCCCAAGAATCGTGAGAAGTACCCTGTGGATACGTTGCCGTAGAAGATGGAGGCGCCGCTGAAGAAGATCGTGGTATTGAAGAGGTGGAATTTTGCTCGAGGGAAAAGTCTGTGAAGAAGGTAAATAATAGCTGGGGCGCCTGCACCAACGAGAAATGCGTATGGAAGCGGACGGAACTGTTCTTGTCGGAAGAGTCGTGTTGGCCCCTTTTATTGGTGTTAGTACTTTGCATTGAGAGGATGGTGCTAGGTAGAGCTTACGAGTAGGACGTATTGAACGCCCATAGTGAGGGCACTCGTTAGCGATTGGCCTGTCCAGATATGGGCAGCGTCCACTGTAGCCCCTGTAAGATAATCGCGCTTGGTATCTACAATCCAGCGCATTGCAGCGTAATTGATTGGCACACCTAGAGTGATTCCAAAGAGCTGCGAGAAGAAAATTGCACGTTGAGGAACGTGCATGTAATGTCCTATTTTCTGGTCTTGCAACATGTACTGCGCTCTGTACCAGGCTTCTCAATTGTTAGTAAAATATCGTCCAGTACGATAGGGGTAGAAGTTTAATACCATCTCCGGCGATTGAGCCATATATCTGAGAAAGGGTGATTAGCGTATGATAAGACACTGAACAGGCGATAGGCTTACACTAGCTCCGAGGGGATTGCGGTTAGTCTTCAGGTTCTGAACCATTGTACCGTATAGCAGCTCATTGAATGTTCCAATAGGAAGTTGGTAATTGCTTATAGCATAAAGCCACCCAAGCGGCACAACTATAGCAGCCCCTGTAGCGAGAGCAACCAAGAAAGTCCACCAAGGGATGAATATTATGTCCAGCCCAGCCATCGTCATAATGGCTGCAAACGCGCATAGAAACAGGATAATGTACCACCAGACAGGAACTTCTTTATATTGTCGCATAATCACATTTAGGCGATCCGTATCTGCTGATGATTAATATCTTATGTAGAGAATCTGCACCTTCATAACTTGGAGGTTAATTGTAGGAATATGGGATATAGAGACATACTAAAAATAAGTTAGCTTATATGAATGGTAAATTATTGGGAAGTGTTTTATAGGAAGTAAATAGGGTCTTAAAGGGAGTGCATCTTAAAAACGTACCATTGGTGATTGATTCCTTGCCCAGCATTTTGTTGCCTCGCCCGAAACTTCCTGTATCCATCTCTGATTTGACTAGCCCCAAAGAAGGCAATCCAAGAGTACGCGGAGACATATGAAGCATAGTCAAAGAAAATAGCCCATAGATAATGGACACCGAGATATATTGGACCGTTTTCTTCATAGGCTGTCTGATTGAAGGTATTCTGAGGCGTAAGTAGACCAGTAACAGGATATCTACTTCCGTTGGCGGTACATGCTCGGTTCGTCATCAAGCAGTGAGAATAACCACCTAGATGTCCCCATTTCGCAGCAGGCAGTAGAACCCAACAGGACATGACGAAGGAAGCGAAGAGGACGACTTGCGACCACCAGGGACTCAAAAATAGCGGAACTCCAGCAAGATAGTTAGAAATATTGGCCCAATCGAAACTTAGATTAAGGAAGCCCATTCCTCCTAAGCCAGAGCCGATGAAGTTGGCGACGGGATTGTGTGGAGCGACCCAGCACAGGAAAGCGAAAGAGCTCGTCATCGGGAAGACGTATTCGGGTAAGAATTGCCATAGTGTAATCCCTAGAAGTACCCACCAGAAGACGCGCATTTGCTTTCGCGCTGTTGGAGTCGGGTTCTTGTTTTGCTTGTGCTGCGTTTCGAAAAGAGCTGTTTGACAGAGGGCCTGAAACCAAGGGTATGCTGGCTCATAAAGTAAGACTTGACGAGCGATGGCGGCGAACGCATAGCCAATAGCATCAATAGACCACATGAAGAAGATAGCTGCGGCAGGGTGAACACGCGTGTTGAAGTAAAGGTCGCCAAGCGCGATAGGTGTAATGGCCAGGTTACCAGTGGCGCCAGATGCAGCTGTTACGGTTATTAAAACATGCTCCTTTACTGACCAAGGCCCAGGGTTGAGATTGAATGACTGTTTGGTGAAAGGGATTCGAATTTGGCGATTAGGGAGAACGCGAGCGAGCCAGAGACCGACATAATTGCCAGCGATCTGGACGAAGAAGACTGAGTAAGGGGCATATGTTGTTCGAAAGCTGTTCATAGCAGATAAAAAGGCCCCTGGGATAACGAAGATGACGGAAAGAAGAAAATATCGAAATGTTAAAGTAGGTAGAGTCGGGTCATCATGAAGACTGACGATTCGTCTGACTTCTGGAGGGATTTGGCTAATTTCGGGGTCATTCTCATTCTCGAGATCAACGTCGACCTCGATAGCTTCTTCAATCGAAAGCTTATCTTTATGGTGGCCTCCGTCATCTTGAGTTGAGGTTGGTCGTCGATTGATTGGAGGCTCTTCTGTAGCCAGGGCGCTAGTAAACTTGGCTTCGCTCTCGGCAGCAGCCGAACCATCAAGAGAAGACATCTCGGCGTAGAATGTAACTCCCGATTGACTGTACCTAATGATGCTAAGCTACTTACCTATTAGGTAGGTATGATCGGTACTTGGCAATCTTGGAAATTTTAGGAACACTAATGACTCTATAATTTTCGAGATTCAATGTTGGCTGCCGGTTAGTTATAAATGCGCCGAGATTGTCACGCGACGCAATTTATGGTAGGAACGTATTCCCCAACTGCTTGAACTTTTTTTTATTCTTTATAACACTCTAACGTGGTTTCTCCCAATTGAAGTATATCTCCCGCGTATTTGCGGCGGTTTGACGGGCGGATCGTGGTACTTTGTACTAATGCAACCTTAGGAATGAGAAAAAAAAGGTTAGCATCAATCACGCAATCGCGCCTCACGAAAACGTCTACGTGCTAAGCGGGCCATATTCATTTGAATATTGCGTCTCTTGCCAGTAGCACCCTGGCATCGACTTGACGGTGCTACCGATAGCCTTGCATCTAATTACGCTATAAGCACCAAAGGCTGTCGCGTTAGGTCTTTAGTTGCGCTCTGTTAGGCAGGTGATAAATAAAGCTTCATCATGTTCGGTGGATAGAAATAAGAGCCTCGCATCAGCTGGGTAAGACATTGTTATACGACTTATATGACATGATAAATTGAGGAAATGGTGAAATTTTTCTTGAACAATTGGAAGGATACTGGCTCTAAAATTGTCAACCTAACAGGACTTGAATATGTCTATGGGGGTATGAAAATTTGAGCGAGAATTTAGACACATTGAATGCAGTTGAACAAAGAAAAGTTTTAGATTCGGCAGAGCTTGATCTGATTCTGGTCTGAGTTCGATCTAACGCTAAACTATTACATAATATGAGGCCCATAATTTATATCGGTCCCTGGGACTAATTTTAACACATGTTTTAGCTCCTGTGTAAAAAATATCAGGGAAAATTCTTGGATGGTACTATTGTATCTGAAGGATCATTACGATAAATTATACTTATTTGACGTTGTTATGAATGATAAATGGGATAGGCACGCTTCTTTACCAATAATTGAGAAGAATAAGAAACTTCAAGGTTCCAACTTGGAACCTTGAAGTTGGTTAAATGCGGATCTGGGATTACATAATTACATGGTCCGTGCATGAAATTATGTAAGGCGGCATAGGGTAGTCATCTTCACGTGACTATTCCATAAGATGTACCTGCCACCTTAATAACACCAGCAACATCTAATCTTCTAATTCTATTATTTTTCAATAATGTGTATCCAGTTCCTACCTTTACACAATTGCGCAGCAATTAATACTCAGGAAATGTCCCTGAATTGACTACTCTTAACGGCAAGGCGTGTAGACTACCCGACAGGGAGTTATCGCGGAGTGCAAAATGGGAATCAAAGTGATCAAACCCCGATGGTAAATTACCTAGTCAACGATGGCATCACTCACACTGAGGACACATCGGTATGGAGATACTGGAGATATAGTAGGGCGACAAATCGATTCCCTCTAGGTAATATCTTAAGGGATCCTACCAACTTCCCTGCAGGCTGCAGGTCTCGGCAATCGAAATAGGGCTGTTAAGGCTGTTCAAGGGAATGTTCTGCAAATCCGTGTCTGTGTAACCAAGGCAGACAGGAACGCCGACGGGAACTCTAGGGTATTCGTAATACTTACCCATGTCGTCATCCGGAGCCCTCATCCCTCTTAAAAGGACCTGGTTCCTTGCGTCGTTTCCTGGACGACGAAGTCATATGTGCGCGCCAAGAACATACTGTCTGAGTAAATATGTCTACTCTCAATTCTACTCTGATACCGGACTTTCCGCCTCCAGCCGGAGTCACACCCAATTTTGTTAACCCACCGTCTTCGGCCCCTCTCTCGACGGTGGTTATTGCTGTGACTTTGGCAGCGATGTACTGCTTTTTGTCATTACGTATCTATACTCGACTGCGCGTGCCTGGCAGCTTGGGGGTAGATGACTGTAGGTTTTCCTCTTTTACATACCAAGGAAATATGCTAATCATGGTACCTAATCCAGGGCTCTGTTTGCTTTCAGCGGTGAGATAGATATCCATGGATGTTTCTACATTTTTTAAGCGTTGTTGGCTAATAAGAACCCACAAGGCAACGATCACTTCGTATTGCGCCGTCGTGTTTAAAGGTTCGTAATATTAAGCGAATGCTCTAGATTGCAATGATCGAAGCTCACTTTAGTAGCCCTCAATGGCGCACTTGGTCCTCATCAATGGAACGTGCCATCATCTAAACTCAGCCTACCCTTGATTCTTCAGGTACATAACCTACGTTCAACGTTGCTTTGGTTATGGGGATTTACCGACTGATTGTCATATTAGGATTCAATTTTGACGATTATTCTGTATGGAGTGTCTGCGATCTTCCTCAAATCGGCGCTTTTAGCCCTTTATCTTCGCATTTTCCGACCGATGAAGATCGCGAGGATCTTAATATGGACTTCACTCGTGGTAATCACACTCTTTTACACGGTTTGCTTCGTTGTAGATGCAATCATTTGTGGCGAGTTCCTTAGCCACCCGGGCTTATCAACAATGGATTCCGCGCATTTCGACCCCGATGAAAGCTGTTCAGTACGGCAGAGGCCCATTTGGGTTATGATGGGGGTTTTCAGCGTTGTTTCAGATTTCTATCTGCTGGCCATCCCCGTGGGCTTGACTCTTAACGTTCGACTTCCACCGAAGCGGAAAATTGCGGTGTGCTGTATGTTTCTCACGGGACTCCTGTAAGCTATATAATTCTCTGAGGCTGATGTGTTCGGTACTGATGGCTTTCAAGAGCTTGTGCTTTCTCGATCCTCGCTACTGTTTACCGTTTTCAACTGTTTCGAACTTCTGACTTTACCTGGCTTGCCTCTTTAACGTATGCATTCATGTAAGCACTTTTACGGCCTCGTATTCATTATGAACATGATGTATCGGAACTAACGACATATCTTCTTCAGAGCGGCCGAAATTAATGTTGGTATTGCTTGTAGTTGCATGCCGGTGGTGTCTATGCCATTACACAACAAGATGGCCAAAATTACAACCTGGGACTCGTTTATTAGAGTTATCACACGCCAATCGTCCAACTATGGTGATCGCACACATAACTCCAGCGATCATTCTATGGATATTCCAAAAGAAGGATCCCCGAAAATTCCACAAGCTACAGAGGCAGAATTGAGGTCATTTATGCGCAGAACTTATTACCCCCGATCTAGTCGAATGAGTTATGTGCTTGTTGCATATGATAAATTCTCTTCAATCAAAGACTACCATGCGCAGCTAACTAACCTCACTCGAACATCTCAACCAAGCCATATCGATGCAGTCTAGCCCTCAGATATCTCTATATGGCAGCATCTGAATTTGGGAATAACCGGCTATGAGTAATAATCTAGGATAAGATTTTCAGGGATACATCTTACCCGAGTACCATAAAGTGACTCATTGCTCAATATACGTCGCTTCCGACCTGAATGCTACCTAGTTTCTATAAGGGATCAAGTAACAGAGCCACATCCAGCTGAAAGGAATTATATCCGTATCCGACTATGTTACCGGACCGCTTAAGTAGTATCCTTGGTTTCAGCGCCTGTATCACAGCGCTGCGATTTAGATCTAGGACTCGGAGCCCGATTACGCGTCTAGTTACCCAGGCGGTTGCGGACTTCATCGCACCCCTTGCTTCAGGGCTGAGTCCTACAGTTGCACAGAAGATTTGTCGGGCAGGTCAGCTTACTTCGCCTATCAAGGTACTTAGATATACCGAGCAACACACCGTGCCCTATAATCAACGTTTATCACAGACAATTTGCTTCGCTCGGCAAGTTTCAGCTATACTAGGCAATCTTGAACGACAGGAGCGAACCGGGATTCCGGGTTTAAATCCCGTTATCCGATCGCTCCATCAATCCACCTCACTATCTCCGCAGCCACCTCATCGCTATTCTTCTCCATCATCATCATATGCCCATTACCGTATATACCTTTCTCAGCTAGCCTCATATACTCCGACTTCGCCACGCCAGCCTGCCGCAGGAACCGAGCGACGCCCCAGTCGTACTGCGCATGGTACGATGCCTGCGATGTGACCACCAGTACCCTCACATCCTTTAAATTAACAAGCTGTCGTGGTGGCGGAGACTCAGCTTGGAGCGTACAGCTTGTCAAGTTGGGCCCCGGCGCCTGGACCTCAACTTTAGCGAAGTCCGTCGCTGGGTCCGTCACCGGCGGATCGTACGTGATCGGCGCCATCGTAATGCCGTACTGCGCGCCGGGCCCCGGCATAATCCCCATCTTGGAGAAGGGCGGCCCGACCGGCTCTATCGCCACGATCATCTTCACTAAGCTCGGGCGGATGTCGGCCACGAGCCAGGGAATGGAGCCGCCGGCTGAATGGCCGACTAAGATGGCGGGCTTGCCGATGCGATCGAGCAGCGCGGCGCACGCCGCTTGCGACGCGGTCTCCTGTGCTACGGGATCGTTGAGGATCGGCAGCGTTGAGCGGTAGAATTGGTCAAATATGGGGTCGCCTATCGTTCCGGGGCCAGGCCACTGCGTGTGTAATTTCGCTTGTGGCCATGTCCCGAGTGTTTGGCAAGCGGTGAAGACGGGCTGGATTAATTCGGCTTGATACGCGACCATGGTGCCGTTCCCGGGAAACCACTTCGGTAAAAGGGGTTAGTCATTACTATTACGATAAGGAGGCCCCGGGTTTTGAGTAATATCCATGGCATTGACTCCCCAGTTAACTTTATTAGAAGGGTTTACCCCTGCCAAGGTGGACTAAAGGGGGAGGGGGAAACTCTCGATATGACATACCGGACTCCGACCGCGAAAGGGCTGGTCAACGAGGTAGCATTCAAAACCCTGCGATAGGAAGTACGAGGCCCAGCCTGGCTGTCCATCAGGCTTAGTGAGCCAGTCCTATTCTCAGATAAGCCGTCAAGAACAACGCCGTATAAACCGAGACAGGGGGGCTTATGATTACCCACCATGCCAGATCTTGATGCACCGTGTATGAATACAACAGGCAAGGACTTCCTTAAGCTTTCGTCTACTTCGGGTATGAGCCTTTCGACGTACATCTGCCCCTGGAGCGAATGGTTGCCCTTGGCATCAGGTACATATTGCCCGCCTACGTAAAACACCTCCCGTCGGTGGAGCGGGGAGGGATTTGTTTTTGTGCTGTTCGCCATGGCGAGACAGACGGGTTGTATCAAGATATGTATGAATAGACCAAGTAATGATTTAAACTGCATCTCTAGTCAGTTCGTAGGCAAATTCAGAGGCTAGGTATGTTAAGGTGCGATGTGAGTGCAATAACGATCAGAATGCCCATCCGTCAACTTACTCACGTGAATCAATAGTTTATCGAGGTAATATTTATTTACGATCTATGAGCACAGCATGAGCATGTAAGACGAGATGAGGGGACGGCGATACCGATACCACACCATGCACGTAAGAGAGAAAGAGAAAGAGAGAGAGCACCAAGTTCTAACTCGGTTCAGGTTAACTTAATTCAGCTACAGCGGCTATGCATCTAAACTGCGTCAGATTTCCCCGATATGTAGCCAATCACCCGCGTTATTCCCAACCGTCCTCGGCTCACCATTCTCCGGTAGGTAGGACCTAGGTACTCGACTCGGGAGGGGGAAAAAACGACGACCAAAGACGGCAGACAAGCAAAGCAAATAAACGAGGAAGGGAATCATTTGCGACGAACGACGAATAATCAACCCCCTAAACACCGACCGACCTACGCCCTCGATTTTCGTACACCCTCCCCCTAGCTAGCCGTCCCCACAAAAGCGGGCGGATCTAATCCCGCCCTTAACCTTCTAGCTCGTAAACAGGCCCTGTAGTCACGGGATCCTTCTTGGCGTCATCATTCTCGTTATCGTTAGGACTTCCCTTCTCGGCCTTCATGCTGCTCGGAGCGGTCGGGCTCAGCGGCGAAACCAGCGGGTCCTCGGTCTTCTCCTCGTCGATCCTGGTCTGGCTTCCCGGCGACTTCTGCGCGTAGTTACCGTGCAGATGCGGGTTGTACGCGCGGAACGAGCGCTGCGGCGACATCGGCGACGGGAGCTCCGAAGCCGCGGGCGAGCCGGGCAGTTCGCTTGCTCGCTTGAGCTCGTCGGCGGCTAGTTCTGTGCATGCTGAACTGCTTGGGTCGGTGGGGTCGGTGGGCAGATCGGATTGAGCGCGCGCGTTGTCGCGGAGGATGCCCTGGCGCTTGCGCAGGAAGAATATGAGGTATAGTAACCCCCCGAGGATTATGGCACCGAGGCCCGCGCCGATGCCGATGCCGGCTTGCGCTGCGGTGGATAGGTTCGTGCCTGTGGGGGTGCTTGACGATAGGTCGGGTTGGTTGGAGGGAGGGACGACGGTAGATGGTGTCGTGCTTACTTGGGCTGGAGGACTTGTTGACTGCGAGGGGTTCCAGAAAATTGTCGAGGCTAGTGGCGCATTCGGATCGGTCACAGGATTTCCTGCGCTAGATGGTTTGTTCGAGGACGACGAAGTCACCGTTTTAGTCGCTGTGTCTGTCTTGACTGGTGTATCAGTCGTTACAACCGGTTTCATCCCAGTGTACCATGAGATCGATCCGCCTAGGCCCGTGGGGAGCTGCGCGATGTTGTCGAGTACCGGCTTGTCGGTGAGGACCTCGACTTCTTTGGAACATGTGCATGGGGTGGGAGGGTGAAAACCTGGCAAGTCACCTAGCTCCTGACATCCGGCCCATATGTTCGTATCGTACTTGCAGTTCTCTAACCCTACCCATTGCTGCTTGTCGAATCCACCCTTGGAGGGACATGAGGAATCCTTGTAGTCCGGGTCGGTGCAGCCGGCTATGTATGTGATGTCAACTAGCAGTCGCATATTGTTAGCACTACCCTAAGAATCAGGTGGCTTCCTAATACTGCGACGGGCAGGTAAATATTGTGTTGTATACTTACAATGGCGATGGTAACATGCTGAACTACCTAGACAGATATCTCCCGCGATACAGCAGGTCCAATCTACGCCGACGCCGACGTTACCGCAAGGGATGTAGTCGTCCTTCGCTTCCGTATTGACGGCATAGTAGCAGGTGCCATTCGAGATACTAATATCAGGATCCGATTTATAGTGTCTCATGTTGGTGAATTATCTGTACCCAGATCGGGGTACAGTGCGATACAGTGCGATAGGGTTGATGATTAAGGTGTGGTCCGTTGTGAGGAAGGAAGAACGGTTATCGGTTATTCCAACCTTGAAAAATTGGATGTGGAAAAATGGAAAAATGAGAGAAAAAAAATTAAAAAGGAAAGAAAGAATGTTACAATTTCCATACATCAAACCTCGAAGGTTGTACAGGCCTGGAGATTGTTTGGTGCTTTTAAAACGAGGGTCTAGCAGCTCTAGGTGCTGGCTTGTTGCAGACGATATCCGTCGAAATTTGTTTGTCAACGGCACATGGCAACACGGAGCAACCTTGAACCAATCATACCCACCGTTTGGATTGGTGTAATGCTTCTCTCGGGTTTTCTATTATGATGAGAATTTATGGATCGGTGAAGGTTGAATAGAATTGGATATATGAGAAGGAGGCAGGTGCCTAGTAGCCTAGGTACTTAGTAATCCATATGCTAAATGGACTCGTTGCACCTTCTCAGACAGCGCAGTCTTTCCTCCTTTTATTTCAGGTTTTTTTTTCATAATTGTACTACCTCAGGTTTGGACTACAGGTTAAAGTTTATATATAGGTCTATCATTGATGGATTGAATTTGCCTTGACCCGTTGCTATGTCTTTCAATGCTCTGTTCCTCCATCTTGCATTTACTAGTATCCTACCACTTTCACACTCTAATTGAATCGGATGTACATAATAGGTATGTAAATCATTCCATCTCCCCTGAGAAATCATACTATAGCTAAATTAGAAATATTGACTAATATCTATGCCAGTATCCGTAAGCTTCTTCGGTATTGGAGGTCTAGATAATACCTATGTTCCCTGCGTCGGTGACGAAAACTATACTTCCCCAGGTATATCAGACACGACCCCACGGGGAGAAAATCCGCATCGCAGACTCATTGCAGAATGGAGAAACCGACAAATTGGTCTCTCTCTTAGCACCGGTTTCGGCGACCGAGAGATATCCGCCCGGATGGAGCATCTCATGTACGCGTGTCTTCCGGGCGAGATACTCGACGTCGTATCCTTGGCAATTCAGATGGAAACCGGTAGTTTCGATAACGAAGTAACGAAACCGCGAATTATTGCATTAGAGCCGAAAGAAAGGATAATAATATACAATTCCCTTTTACTAATGCTTTATTAACAGATCTAGCTATAGAGTTGCATATCCACATGTTACATCCCCTTTGAATATGGGAGGAGACAGGTAGGCCAGATATCGAAACACGGTGGTAATTTGAACATATCTATTCTAAGTATATACATTACGAATATACAATATGCATACAGCTAACATCATGCAGTTTCGCATTTCTCATTATCCAATAGTCAACACCCCTTTTTTTTTCACATACGCTTACGCCTTACCAACCTCGACGGTAAACGTTTCCGTAAGCGGCTTATCAACCTCAACGGTAACCACGTCCTTGGCGTCACGCTTTTTGCATCCACTCTTCCCACCGACACCCAAGAACGTAACCTTGGTGACTCTGAGCTCATCCGCCTTGTACCCGAATGTACCGCTGGCGGTGAGCACGCCGTCAGCGTACTCGAGAGTAATATCACTGATTCCAGCTTGTTCGATGCTCACGCCGTCGTCCAGGTATAATCGGCCACTTGCTTTTCCGTCCTTTCCTACGGGAACTATAATCTCGAAGGGCTTGGTGCGCAGCGCCGTGGTCGTATTAGCCGACTCGGCGCGTACCGGCACGATCACGCCACCCCGGAGGTATAGGGGTAGATCCGTCCATTCCTGGTTTTCGACCGTGATAGCCTTGCCCTCGCCGACAACCTTCTCGTGTGTGTACCAGTCGTAGAAGATATCGTCCGGTAGGTATACGTCGACACTCGTGCTGTTTTCCTCTGTGACGGGAGCGACGAGTAATGCCGGGCCGAGGAAGTACTGCAGATCCAAGGGGTATGTGTTCTTGTCCTGCGGGTATAGGTAAAAGAGTGGATTTACCATGGGTGTTCCGTCGACGGTTTGTGCTTGCAAGGCTGTATACATGTAGTCGAGTAGGCGGTAGCGGATATCAATGAACTTGCGCGCAGATACCGCTGTAACGTTCCAGCGGTAGAATTCCTGGGGGACCATGTCTAAACTGTTGTGGTTGCGATAGAACGGCGAAAATGCTCCAAGGGCGGCCCATCTCGAGCAGAGCTGCTCCGTCGAGTTGTCACCGAATCCGCAGGTGTCTGCACCGACCATCGGTATTTGGTACACGGAAGCGAAGGTCATCATACTTCGGATCGCGAGCCTGTAGTGATTCCATGAAGACAAGTTGTCTCCTAACCAATGGCCCACCTTAGTACCAGCGCCGGCAAATGTCGAACGCGTGATGATCATGGGGCGCACTGTAGGTCGTCGTTGAAGCATAGCTTCGTGGGATGCGATAGACATCATAGAGCCGTACATGTTATGGGTATCGTACATGGTGAGTCCATTCTGATGGATTACATCGGTGTTCACGGTCTTGTTAGAAAGACCACCTTCAGCTGCATTCCAGCTGTCTGCGTTGGCGGCTTTGTTGTGGATCGCATACTTAGGGAAAAGGAGATCACGGTCGGGGAGTCCCATTTGCTTGCCCTCCTCTGTCTGGCGCGGGACTACAAGATGATTGAAGTATGCCGGTGGCATGCTGTCGCGGATTTCGAGAGACCTTACTTCGGTCTTTGCGCAATCAGTGCCTTCGGGCTGGAAATCGCAAGAAAAGCCTGGTAGGGTTCGAGGATTGGCCCTTACTGGTGGAGGCTCCGGAGGGTAACCCACAGCCGAAGCATCTGGGTTATCACAGGGGAAGAAGCAAGGGAAGTTAGAAGGCTCGTTCATATCGATCCAAAGTGCGTCAATATCGACACCATCCTCAGGCGAGAAGAAAAGAGAAAACTCGTTGTTCCAATAGTTGCTGATGTTCGCCGAGAACCAATCGGGAAATGCGGTCACACCAGGCCAGACGACACCCTTCCACACTGAGCCGTTCCCACGGAGGAGGAAGATGTTGTCGTCAACACCTCGCTGGAAGGCAGTCGGGAAGTCCTGGTAGGCCACAGCTGGATCCACCATGACGACGTAATGTTGGTCATGCGCGTGCAGGTAGTCGACTAGCTCGCGCATCTTGTGCAAGGGGAATCTCTCTGGATCCAGGGAGAATACCTGATAACTATTAGCTCACAGACGATTAAGAATTGCAGAAAAGGCCTACTCTTCGTCGGTACATGTAGTCAATATCGGTCCACATCGTTTCCAATGGAATGCCAGCCTGGCTATAGTTGTAGACTACCTCGGCTACGTCGAAGACGTCCTGGTATCCATATCTGCAATTGTGGTAGCCAAATCCCCAATAGGGCATCATTGCAGGTGTCCCAACAATTTCGGCGTACTGCTGCGCAACTTCAATCGGGCTCGGTCCAGGTACGAAATAGAAGTCGAGAACACCACCGAGTGTGTTGTATTCGAGATACTGACCAGACTCGGCCGTGTTGTTGATCATAATGTCCATGCCGTTTGAGTTCAGAAAGAACACGCCGTGTGTACCGGATTCACGGTGTTCATAGTACACGGGATGATTTCCGTACAGATTAGCACCTTCAGGAACGGCGTAGGAGTCCTGCGACCAGAAAGTTCTAATGTAATCAGTGGTATTCAACATGAAAGGATCCGAGTGCTCGCCAAGTCCGTAGAGACTTGGATTCTCAGGTAGCTTTGTCCTTAGGCGCAAGTACTGAGATTCGAAGACTAGGCTGGCGGCTGAAGTGTCGAAGAGAACCTCGCCCGAGTCCGAACGAGATACGGTAAAGGAGAACGGGCTTTCGACGAAGTCGAATTTTAAGGCGGATTGTGCCTCTTTGGCGTCTAGGACTTCAGGTCGGGTGAAGACGGTTTCGGGAATCTGATAGACACTGTTGGCAGCATCCTGGATTTTGACATGAAGTCGCTTCTCTATAAGCGTATTAGCGATATACCCGTGGATTTCCTTGCACAATAGCCCAACATACCTGTGTCATATGAGACCTCCAACGTCAGGTCCTTCACATCCGTACCGTACACATTGCAAGCCGCTCCAGCCAGAGTTAAATCAGCAGTTAATCCCGATGCTGTCTTCACGACATTCGAAGCCTTGTAACCGGGGCATGAAGTAAGAGCGTTGTCACTCGGATTGTCCCTTCTCACAACGGCAGCGGCTGAGACCGCCGTCGCCATGAACAAAAGAAGACTTGCCATCTTGAGGTAACTTGTATCACCCCCACGCGTGAGAGGTCAATATAGTTATGGCGAGACAACGACTACCACGTGGAAAATGCGTAACCCGACTCACTGGTTCACCATTCCGAATAGCGCGGTGCCTCATGGTTCTTATACACTTGTACTCACCGAGCTAAGTCCCCCAGGTTATACGACCCTTGCCGTAGGATCGTGAAATTGTTTACCTACCGCAGGTGTCTCCAATCCCCGCATATACCCCAACATACCTCATTCAACTCCGACATGCTCCGCTATACTCCGCCATAACTCCGCCCTAAAATACACTGGCAGCCTGCTTAGGCTTCTAGGAACAGGCGTTAAAATTTCGAGCCAGTGGAATTGGAGTCTAATCGTAAAGCCATCATTTAGGCCAAATGAACAAAAAATGCGCTGGAATCGGCGTTCCCTCGGTCACCCTAAGCTTCCAAGACGGACTAATTCGCTAATTAGGCCTTTTCTTTGTCCTCATGATGGCGTCTAGTAAAATTAGGCGGGGAGAGCGGAAGTGCTAAGAGTTTTACTGCCTTTTCAGCCAGCGGCCTTTTCGCGGAGCTTCCACGGACCTTTCTAACAAAGGGAGAGGTAAAAGACTTTTTGTCCACCTTGGCAGGTGCTAAATGAGCAGAAATCTCCCCACAAGCTTGTCTCCGCACCGAGCTATGAGAGCTTCCCCGCAGAGGCTCCATCGCGTATTTGTTTTTGGGGGCGGTGCCCAGCCAATAAAAGCGCGAAGAGGGCGCTGCTAGCTCGTTTCCTGTTTGCTTTTTCCCCCTAAGATGAATGCTGTGGGGAATATGGGTCATGCTCGGTGTAAACCCCCGCAGGATCATTGACAGCGGGCTTGACACCGGAATTCGCCGAGGTATCGAGACTGCTGGGTTGAAATCGCGAAGAGAGATCTCAAAAACCATAAGAACCCAGGTGGAAGCCGCTGGTGACAATCCATAGATAGATCGATAGAGTGATGATCTGCCATATAAAATAGAGTGATCATCCCTCTCAACGTGAGCCTCCAGCTTCCAAGCGTTTTGGGAAATTGCATGCGAGAAAGGCGCCGAGGTGGGAGTGAAAAAGTGCTTGGCAGCAGCAGGCGTCACCCATGATGCATCGACATCTTCAACATCTATCCTACCCACTGCTACGTATAAGCAACAGAAAACCATTAAACAGCCGACTCGTATCATCACCGTCGTCTTGGCCGGTGAAATCGTGCCCGTGAGCCAAGTATACATACCCCTTACTTAACTAACTCGACTGATCGATCATTCAATCTCAATATCTTACGTAGATCTCCCACCGCAATGGTCCACCCCGCGTCCGCCACAGAGCCGGGATCCATGGTATCGGCACGAAACGAGATGATATATCTCCGCCAAAGGAAAAAAAGCAAAAAACTAAAGATAAGAGAAAGGCCTGCAGGCGATTCATACCTACGCAGAAACAACCAAAACCATCGCATGATCGTCGCCAACACATAACTCCATACGACCGAATCACCGGATGTATCAGGACTTAAGACATCAGAATGTACAACTCGAATTGATCTCGTTGATCTATATAAATATACCATAAGCCGCACCCAACCCGAGCCGTACGTAACCGCGCCCATACCCAGCACCAAGCCCCAAAAAATAACGTAAAAAAATGCGCCCATCCCCGTTTCCCATCCCGCTTGTCTTTATGAATCAGATAAAAAAAAAGGGCCACCCAGGATAGACAGAGTCCAGTCCGACGATTCAGCTCATCTCGTATCGCGCAAAAACAATAATAAAAAAAACAGCAACAGCAGGAAGCAGCCAGCCAGCCAAAGCCATGCTCGAAAAGTTGGTGAAAAAAACAACAACGTAGAAAGTGGTATATATAGTCGTACAGTCGTTCCTATAGCTTTTCGTGTTGCGCTCGACGGGATAAAAAATTTTGGCGAGGTAATATCAAGATAAGAAGAGAATGAAGAACAACAACAACAACAACATGAAGCGTCAGGTGAGGTCGTGCCGCGTATCTAGTTCGAATACAACCGTTCGGTGAACAGAAAGGAAATTCGTTAAGAGCTGGCCTTTTCTATGCCTTTCGCGAAGGCACATCACCCCTATCCGTCCGATACCGTTTTAACTCGAGACTTTTCCTTCGTCCAAATGTTTCGCCTTATATATATATCGTGTTTCGCGGAAATAAGCTTGGCGTCATTCGTCAATATCCATTTTATCCACCATCGTACTTGCTGCTACTATCGTCCGATCTTCTTGATCTTGATCCCTGTTTCGATCTCTTTCTGGGTCGCGGTCATGGTCTCGGTCCCTATCACGCTCTCGATCACGTTTGTTTCCATCCGATTGGTATTCCACATTATTTCCACCAGAGTCCCGTTCTGGGGGATTATTGGTCCCTGTACAGAGTCGATATTCACCGTCGTCCCTGCGCTCGATGATACCTTCATCTAAAGCCCATTTTGCTAGTAGACGATCGACACCAAGCCTTGCTGCCTCGCCCTTTTCCATATGCCTACCGACATGCTCAGTCCACTCGTCCCATGAGGTAGGCCCTTCGAAAAGACTGGCACAGTCTGATTTAGGGCAAGAGGACCTCTGCGGAGGCTGCCTACGCGTCACAAGACACGACTGTTGCATCTCCTTCACGTGGGTCTCCCAGTCCACCTGTAATTTGCTATCACCCTTGGCAAGCGCCTTCTTAATTGCAAAGGGTGCATGCATGCGGCGAAGGTGCTGTGTAAAGAGATCTTTACGGTTAAATTCGTTCCCTTTTCCTTCAACCGTACTCTGCGGACATGATGAACACCGGTAGTATTGGAGACACAGGTGTTGTGATGCGATATGTCTCTTCCACTCATTTTTCGATCCGAAGGTGCTTGTGCAACCAGCGAATGCGAAGGCGCACGGAAATGGTCGGGTATGAGCGGCAGCAATATGTTTACGTAACGATGAATAATCCTTGAACGGAGCATGGCTGCAGTGATTACAGCGGGTTTCCTGTTTGGGTGCTTGTTTTTGGAGTGATCGGCGTGGCTGTTTAGGTCGTGATGATGGTGGCGTAAATTCGGGGTTATAAGGAGTTTCATCTACCCCAGATTCATTCGTTTCGTGGGACGAAGCCTCGTCATGTCGAGTAGATGTAGCATTATCCGCCAAAATTGGCTGCGCGTGCGCGACAGAGACGTTTTCATTACTTACGTGCCGAACATGGCTGAGGGCCTTGAGTTGTTCAGCGGCTTCCTGCATCTCAGCAGAATCTTCGACATCATTTTTACTGGATATGACGGTACCCGGCGTTGTATTAGTATATGCCATACTAGGAGTAGCAGAGGGCTGGGGTAAATTTATTGAATCAACCCTTCCGATGCTCTCTGGACGAATCGGTGTCTCTGGTCGTATTTGCGCATGAGTAGGAAGGTCATGTCGGCGAGCAATCGGCGTACTCGCGATCTCCCGAGCCTCGAGGAGCATCCGACCATCTTCCACATCCTTCGCCGACGCCCTATTGACAGAGACCGATCCAACTAAACGATTGTATAGGTGGGTCATATTGTGAGAATTCACATATCCTAAAAAGCAACAGACCTTATCGTGCTGCACGACATTCCATACGGGTACAGGCATTGATATGAGAAGCATGGTGGGCGGACCAAGAAACATGCCTTCGACGGCGATCTTTGACGCGATAGCTGGAGCGTTATGGATCCAATGATTGAAAGAAGACATATCCGGACTGGCTTCGCCAACGAACGTTGTGCAAACTAAGACCCTCGGCTCCTCAAATGTCAAATCTGCCACTGCACTCGGGTGGATAATGGGATCTTCCCGGGATGCTCTGAGCAATTGGGCATCTCCGTCGATCCCTGTTCGTGGAGAACGTAATTGCGCATCGGTACCTGGAGGAAGAGGGGATAGAGAGATACCCTGGCCCTTGCCAGGACTTATGGTATATAAAACAGGTAATTTTTCGGTGAACGGTAGGCTTTTGCTGGCTCCATTGGTTAATCCGGACGCCTGTATTAGTTCTTGATGTCGTTGATGTGTTATTTCATGATATAAATTCTCTGCCGTAAATGGCCTACCACCACCAAATTTAACAAATGCCTCAGTTACGTGGGAAGTAAATGATCGCAAATTTAGATCCCGGGAATAGTGCTCGGGAGTGCTCGCTGCGATAACTTGCTTGGCGCTGCCGCCATCCGAGACAGATTGTTCTTTTGATGCGCAAGTATCAAGAAGTAAAAGAATATCGGATTGCGCCTCTTCGAAAAGACAGCGGAAACCACTCCACTTCAGTTTTAAGTCTTTTCTTGGGGTGCTGATAATGTGTCAGAGCGTTCCTCATAGAGGTGGGAGGTAACCTACCTTGCCCAATATAGCTGATTATCCACGCCCATATAACCATACCCCGCGTAATATATTATCAATAGATGGTCGGAAGCTGCATTTTCGAGGAAAGATGACACACGAACACCTAGCTTAATGCTAGGATTGTCTACTGTAGGTATGTTGAAGCATTCGGTGCGGTAATTATATCGTTGTCGAAAGACCTGTTCGAGAGCGGCAAGATCGTGTTCGGCGGCATTGTCTTCTTCCCAACGTAGAATTAGGACGGATGCCTTTGTATACGGCGACTTTTGAGTTTGCCTATATATAAGCATAGCGGCATCTTGAAGGTGCCTCGCGAACGACTCAAACTCATGCCTCTCTGGAGGCGGTGGAGGGACGTCCTGGACTTGATAATGCTGCGCCGGTTGAGTCTATTGATGTGAGTCCACGACTCTAAGGTCACCAATTGAATATACCTACAGGTTCATGAGGGAATGGCGGCGGATGAGGAGGACTGGCTTGAGCCTCAATCTTGGGAGCCAGCCTTCTCTTCTTTGCCGCCGGCTGATCCATCGAATGTCAATTGGCGGCAGAAGACGACGGAGACTCTCGTTCAAGATTGGAATGATGGGAGAAGTCGCAGCGTCTCAGCAGTCGGAAACCATCTATGCTATGATGGGGACGCCAATGGTTACCAAAGGAAAGGTGGTTGACGGCGGGATGGAAAGATTGGGAATGATCAGGCTACGGGCAAGGCTGATTCGGGGGGGTTTGGTTGTGTCGGCTAGGCCTCGATGCGGAACCTTGGGAAACCCCCTAGTCTATGCCAAGATACAGTTTAGGTTCATATTTATGGTTAAGTTCAATAAAAGTGGCAATGCGGAGGGCGCAGCGAACAAGCTCCAATCAACCTTTCCCTTATTGGGATAGAAAAATACAGTTGCCTAACAAGCTCCAATAGTTTTGCTAACTTTCCTTACTAAAGACCCCGTTACGCCAAAAAGTATCTTTACTAGTAAGCGCCACCAATGTTTATGCGTATGAGCAAGTTATTCAAGCTCGAGGTCCGATCATTACTAAAGAAGCAGCCTCCGCCTTGCTCGTTTTTAGTAAGAGCCCAGCAAGCGCGACACAAGATTGATTGACAATGTTGTTGACTTATTTCTATTGGTTCGATTTATGCGCTTCTATATTGACTCTCTACACAATACTACACTTTTGCATTTGTAAACGATTGGAAACCAGGAAGAACCTGATATATTAATTCCAATAATAGACATGCCAGCGATTTGCTACCTACCTAGATTTGCCAGATATCTAGAAAACAATGACACTGAATTGCAATTGTACATAGACCTGGATAGGTAACTACTAGGTAGGTATGGCATCGGGGGATACGGGATAAATATTTATACTAATTATCATTCAATACTACCTGCCTAGGTATTGAGGAAGGTAGATACACCGACTCATACATATATATAGCTGATGATCTTTTGTATTCATTTCTGGGTATAATAACGCAAGTTCATATGTACTTGCCCTTCAAACTCCTGTGGAATGAAACCGTCCGTGTCCTAGGACATCCTATATTCAACTCACTTCCCTTCCGAGAATCCAACTTTTCCCCTTCCTTGGCTCCCGGATTTCCAACCACTTCCCATTAAATAGCGAGTCCTGGACCCTAAGCACCGAATCCAGCGCTATTCAACACAGGCCCACTTTCCGCCACCGCCATGCAGCGAAACTCATATCCAATGTTCTTAGATTCAATTTTTGGGTGTGGTAGTGTGCTCAATGCCGATCTTTTCCTCAGAACTAATGAGGTTGCGCTCGAGTCTAACGATAGACCGATCATTGTGCGTCTTCCAGGCCGGAATACCGATATACTTGATGGAGCCCGGACTCTCGTCCTCGAAGATGGCCGCGACCTCTTCCAGAGTCTTGTTGGAGGTTTCGGGGAACATGAAGAACGTATGCCAGAACATGGTGAAGCAGAATACTGCAAATAGGACGTACGTCTTCCAGGTGATGTTAGCAAATGCTGGAGGGACGAAGTATGCGAGAGCAAAGTTGAATGCCCAGTTAGCAGATGTAGCAAGAGCCACGGCCTTTCCACGAACACGGAGAGGGTAGAGCTCGGCAGGATACGTCCAAGAGACGGGACCCCAAGTCGGCGCATACGATGCCACGAATAAGTAAGTGCTAGCAATGACGGCCTTGGCAGGCTTTCCACCGATAACCATAGAAATAGCGGCGGTATCAAACTCGTGGGGAGCAGGGGGGTGCGAATACACTGCGAACAAACCGGCATTGATGCAAAGCCAGAGAGTCATAAAGAACGCGCCGACAAGCATCGTTGGGCGACGACCCCACCTGTCAAGCCAGATGAGAGCCGGAATTGTCATGACGACGTTGATAATGAACTGGATACCACTGGAGAGAAGCACATCATTGCCGGAGCCGGTCATCGTAAAGATGTAAGAGATGTAGTACATCATAACGTTCATGCCCGTAAGTTGTGACCAAATCTGGGTGAAGAGACCAATGTGAGTTCGGTTGATCATCTTGGCTCGGAATAGTTCGAGGTAAGACACGTCTGCGTTTCGGCGCTCGAAGTCGACCACTTCCTTAATATCGGCCATTTCCCTCACGACGAGTTGAGCGTGCGGGTCACCTTTACCGTGAACCAAAGCCAGGACTTCGTGAGCCTCCTCCCAACGATCATGCTTCGCCAACCAACGAGGCGATTCAGGGAGGACGACAAGACCAAGGAGAAGCAACAAGGCGGGAATCATTTGAAGACCCCATGGTAAACGGAAAGCAGCCTTGCCGTCAATGAAACTACATCCGTAACACACGAAGAACATAATTGCGATACCCCACGTAATTGCCCATTGTTGCATACCAATAAAACGACCTCTCTTCGACGGTGGCGATATTTCGGAGATGTATACGGGGACTTGAGCGGAGCAAATACCCACGCTGATACCGTTGATGATACGACCGACAATTAACATAGGGATATTCTGAGCGGCGCAAACAATGATGGATCCGATAATCCTATGAGACAAACATTGTTAGACCAATTCTTAGAATTAGCTACACCACATCATGAAGCACATACCAGATGACGGCACCAATTTGGATAGAAGTCTTTCGACCAAAGATATCAGTGATGACACCGGAAGCCAAGGCGCCGAGCCAGGAACCTCCAGGCATGGAGGCAGTGATTCCGCCCTGCACGACATCATCCGGACCCTGGCATGCGCCGGTTGTCGGGTTGTTGCCCTGCGATAGTTAGTACAACAGTAAGGCTAGCGGTAGTTTTTAGGGCATAGGCCGACTAACTTGTTGGTTGAATTGACATTTGTAGGGTGCAGTAGAGATGATAGCACTCATAGACGAGATATCAAAACCGAATAGCGCGCCACCTAGTTTTTCACAAGTTAGTCTCTAGTATAGGGGTGGTAGGACAACTAGGTACCCAGGACGGGTAGCAAGACAGTAGACGGGAAGGTAGCAGATAATAGTCACAGCTTACCTATAACGGATATGGCCGCGATAAAATAAATGTTGCCAATTTTCTTCATGATGTCTGAGACCCCGCGTGGTCTATTAGCGACACATATAGGATACTAGGTAATTTAGGTTTCTAGGGTGTGGAGAGATGAGGAGAGATGAGGAGTAAAGGGAGCTGGAGTAAGGCTGGAGTAGGTAATAGTCAAGAGTCAGAGAGTTCGGAGTGAAAGTTGAAAGAGAGGTCGATCAATTATTATATGCGAAAGAGATGTCGCTTGGGTGGCCAGGATCCGAGTAGGGAAACTTTCCTAGGATGTTCATCCTTTGATGCTTGCAACAAAGCAGATTGGTCACTAGACCTTCCTCTGTGCTCCTGTGGCGTCTTTTCCGGGGGAGATTGCAGCCCGCGAAGAGGTGAGAGTAGTCCAACATTGAACCAGCATGGGCAACATGGGATGCTTGGCTGAAAGCTTTCCGCGTGTGGTGTGTGTGTGTGTATGTATGAGGTACGTACTTCTTAGTAGAATGCGGATCCCCAGATTCCTCCTTTCTTGGATTTCCATAGGCCCACCTAGGCTCATACCACGGTGTACCCAGGTAATAACTATTGGACGTTTTAAGGCAATCGACCTAGACCCATCGATCCCATCGAATTCCGTGTCGTTAAGCTACGAGCCCGGCTAGCTCGTCACGAGACAAGGAAATCAGGAATGCTTTGAGGCTAACAGCAAGGGCAAATCACGACCTTACCCTGGTTCTGATTTGGTCGACATTTTCCCATAACTGATACATTGCCCGAGCTCGTACGTGTATGTCTGTAAATACACCCATACATGTGCGGTGTAAAAGTAGGTACATAACGATACCAAACCTTCCCAGCACAGTGGGACTGGGGAGCTTGGGGGACTTTGGGCTTTTCCATAAAAGTTTTCAAAGGTCACACGCGTGCTAATACTTCCTGCTGTGTCATATGCGGGTAACAAGCCAATCCACGGGAAAAGAGACAAGCAGCAAACGACGATTATTGGCTGTTGGAATGCTTAACTTGGATGACTAGGATGAAAATCGCATGGGTGCGGATGTCTTAATACTAGTACACCGGTACATACGGTATGTGGTATGTGGAGCGTGTAGAGTGCCGTCTAGACTAATAACATCCCGAGGTTTCGGTTTTGTCATTCTCGCGCAAACCATCTCCAGCTCGTCTGATCAAGGCTAGAAGATCAGCGGCCAACTTTTGAACGAAATCAGAACGTTCTTCTGCAGGCTTTTGGATGCGAGGGAGAGCCCAATTCCTCCAATTCCTTCCAATTCCACGTCGCGATGCAACCGAATCTTGATCTGCATTGACGCTCCCACCTTTCAAGATTCCGGGGTAGAGGTAAGGGGACGAGAAGAGTCTTGAGTGACGCCTAATTCGATTCGTTGTCGAATTTGTCTCGGTGGTTTTCCCCGCCGTAGTGGGAAGGTGCTTAAAAACAAAAGTGCTTCGAGAATAATTGATACATGTACCTCTACCGATATTAGGTACAATTAGTGCCAATGTAGTTCCCGTACTCGCTGGCACCTGATAATGGGATGATGTCAGTGGTCCAAGAAGAGAAACTAATAAGGAGCTAATAGTGACGCTCTTTCCCTTCCCTCCATTTATGCGACGTTTACCACGGGCCGAATAGAGCTTGGGGAGAGCTAGGGACCCCGGTTTCCTCCACTGGGGAAGGCTCGGGGCTGTCGGGGTAATTCATGGAGAGAGGTAGGTACTCGAGCTTTCTTTTCATTGTTCCATTTATTCAGGTCTTAAGTTTTTTTTTTTTACATGTTACATTGAATTGATTGTTGTACCAACAAGCCCTAATTTCACGCTCAATCCCAACCTATGTCTTTTTAGTTATCTTCCTTCTCTTTTTTTCATCTTGTTTTTTTTTTACCCTTTCTACAAGGGTGATCATCATGTAGCGATCTAATGATCTGACTGTGCCTAAGATTGAATACATATGGAGGAGCATTGAGCAGTCAGCTCGTAATATTTGGTTACACAACACAACGGGCCGTTTATGTGAATACTAATAACAAGATAAGATCCTGACCGCTTTGCTAATACATAAAGTATACTGTATACACATGCAGGATAAATCCCTAATCTAAACTTGCAGGCTAGGAACACTCTCACCCGAACCATTAATACTCTAACCCATCCGAGGTATTGCTCCATTATCCACAGACTCGGAGCCGAGCCGTCCTAGGAGATGTTGAACGTTGAAATACGCTAGTTGTAATTACCTAGGCGACCTCGGCCGGAAAGGACGCTTGCGGTTCTTCGTTCTGAGTTGTGCGGCAATGAGATTTTCCCGGTCTTTGACAGAATGGCTATCAGTCGGTGTTACTCCGTATGTAACCGATTCCTCGTCCAGTAAAGGAAGCAATCGCCACTTTCCTATTCGTGATTCAGCCGCACTGACACGAGGCCAGGCCTGCCCATCGTCCACGTGGGAAGAGGAGAAAAGGACTTTAGGGGTTACGAGTGGACAATAAGCAGCACGGAAACGCTACAACGCGACGTTGCACAACTTGAATCCTTCAAGTCCTATGTACCTACATACCCTTACGCCGGGAATCCTAACATGCTAGGACCGTTTCGCAGCCAACTAACTAGTAGCCCTACAGTATGTTTGGTCCGGTGCGACCAAAAAGTGCTTAGCATTGCTTAGCACTCCCTAGAGCCGGTACCAGCAATAATAGGGTGACTAATAACACTTTGACGGTGTTTGTATAGTGTGCATCACCATCACCATATTAACTACTGCAGTGGAACACACGAGAACAAACAATATAAACTCGAAATCCTGAAGTGATGCGCACATTTGATCTAAAGTTGAAAAGCACCAGACAATTCTTCGTTTTACGGAATGCCAAAACTCTGTCCGCCTTGAACTTCACCTAAGTCTTGCTAGTGGCCTGCGACATGAGATGATATCCAAGTTCTTGAGCCGGTGAACCATTGCGATCCATTCAGCAGAGGGTTCATCAAATTTCGAAAACAGATGGATCCATGATGCTACTAATATCTTAAATATGTTTGCAATGTGACTGGAATAGTTGGCATCGCTTGGCGACTTCAGTCTTCTAACCACTAGCAGTTACTCCATGTTACGACTGGAATGCTATTGGACAAGCTTCAAATGCTCCGGCAACAAGGTGGGCTGTTCTCGTCTGCTTAGCACTCGAAAAGTTTGCTCGGGTTAAGCCTCGCCGAGTATTTTGATAGCTAACATTTATAGCTTCAAAAGCTCGGACGTCGCCTAGGGAGCCTTCCGAATCCCAAACATTATGAACTCGTTTATCTCACGATCGGCAACTGGGGCCGTTGACTTGGCGGTCATCGGGTCTCAATACGGTGGTCGGCCAACCTTGATGCATCCGCATTCCGAGGGCGATGTCTAACATAACGATGTATACATGCGTTGTCGTCAATAGGATTTAATTACGACTACCTACCTATGCAATTTTGGGAGATTTCCCGCTGTTCTCGGGAGTAATGCTGGTTGCCGAGATTAGACTTCACGTTTCTCGAGGGATGTCTAACACACCGTTCTGCAACAATCCTCGAACTGATAAAATTAAGCGTCGGGTGTATTGTTTCAATATGGCTGAGACCCTTTAAAGAGCTTGCAGAATTATCGCGTTCGTAGAAGCTGAGAAGGTAACAAAAATGATCACGGACCATGCTCTCGATTATGACTTCAAGACACAATTAAGATCATCCTCAAGTTCTGAAATCTATTATAACAAACCTTGGAACCCTTCGACGCATTGTTTTCTTCTATGCATTTTTCTTAATTAAAACCCGCCATATTTCGACCTACAAATTCTCACCCCAAAAGCCGTGAGCAAACTACCTACATGTGTACCGGCCGAAAGTTTTGAGTGCTGATCCCTTAGGAGTGTTAATCATCAAGTTTTCTCCTGCATAGAAGATTTCTAGAAAGGTCAGCTGACAGCCATTTTCAAAGTCACAAACACGGAACCACCCTGTATCTCTAAGTATACTATGATAAACAAATGTGGAGTGACAGTCTTCTTACCTTACATACCAGCTTGCTTACCTACTGCTTACCTACATTCGATTTCCATAAGCTTGTCAGCTTGATAGGCAATCTTGACTGCGCGCAATCGAGAGGTTTCTGTAAGACGGATATATAATTTGCCGACCTGCTAAGATGTCAGGATGTCAATCATCGAAGAACGAGACTACGAAATGCGCAAAGTCGAACGCATAACGGTGGTGGCAATGGGATCTACTCCATTTCTCAGCCCTCACCAATGAGAACGCACCTTTAACCAGCACCGCCACGATTTTCAGGTCTTCGAGTTTTGCGGATTCTACCCTTAGCGCCTCATCCAAAAGAGAATGCTACCCAATGGACCTTGGAATCTCCTATAAGCTTGGCCATTAGAAGAGAAGAAGCCGAAGAAGCGGGTAAGATGAACAATTTCGCCATGTTTCTAGCTTGCTCGATATCCACGATACGCACATATCTGTATATTTGAGCATGACGTGCATCTTTATTTAGCTGGGACGAGTAGGATTCAATGGGATGTGAGATCTTGATGGGTTTCGACGGATGAGTATCAGATACTGCACATGTTTTCGTAATCCTGGTCTTTCAAGTATTATCTTGAATGTTTCCCCAATTGCCTTTGGAGTGATCGATGATTGAATTGAAATCCTTAACGTTGCACGTGGCTCGTAACCTTGAATTAGACTCGATTCTTTAGTCGGATAACAGTTCGTAAAAGCCGGGACCGGGCTCAGGTACCGTGCCTTCCGAGACTTTATGTAGTGGGTACCTACTAGAAACACAGAAGTATGAGAGGCCGCCTTTTTACGCGGAAGTAGCTGTGACGTTTTTAGTGACTCGAACTAGACACGCACAGCCACAAAAAGACTTGCGCATTCTAAGCAGTGGAAGCGGCCCTGGAGTATACAGACACATTCACACCTGCCAGTTGTTGGCAAAGTCGGCAAAGTCACTTCCACTATGCTCTGAGACGATTTGACTCACAGCAACTAAGAAGAATAGGCAATTTCAAACTTTACAACGTCATATCAAAAGTTGCGATCTACCCGCAATACCTGGATTATATTCACTGACTTTTTATTCATCTTATCTTTGCACCAGCTGCCGACGGTGGCGGTCACACTCAATTCGGTTGCCTGCTTAGGTACTCGCAATTAAGTCTGACGTCGTCACAAGACGAGGGTACGCGAACAACAGCGGGGCCTGTCTCAACGTATTTTTCTTCGTATTCCCGACCTTGCCATTGCCAACTTTTCATCATCAACAATAAATTCAGAAAATAGGAATAATCATTCACGCGCGACAAAAACGATGGAGTCGGAGGGACATTTAAAGAGGAAAGACACCACCAAGGGTCCTCCGTTGAGGATATTGAGCTTAGGTAGGTTCACGATTGATTACCCCGCCAACTTGATACCGCGTATTTGCTTTAGGCACTAACCCCGACGTTTCGCGCCCATACAGATGGCGGAGGAGTACGTGGCTATTCCATGTTTATCATTATCCAAGAACTTATGCTCCGGACCTACGTCGAAATCGAAGGTCGAGCGCCGCGACGCGATCAGATCCCGAAACCATGTGATCATTTCGACTTAATAGTTGGAACCGGCACGGGCGGCTTAATCGCCTTGATGCTAGGGCGTCTTCGATTAGACCTGGAGCAGTGCAAAGAATTATACGTGCGAATGACTAGGATGGTATTTGAGTCCGATAAGACTATTGTTGGTATACCCTATCGATCAACACTATTTAAGGCATCTATGCTCGAGCGCGCAATCAAGGAGGCGGTAAGGGAACATACTGTTTCCGACGACGAAGGGAACGATGGGGCATCATCAAGCATTTTCAGTCCAGTATCTGCTGTGTCGCGGTCTAGCGCCGCTACGAGTAACTTTCCCCGACGACATCAGAGCAATGCCAGTACCGTCAGTTTCAGCGGTCGCAGTCCAGCGAGCCAAGCCCGCTCAATATTTCGTGGCGGATGGGGAGATCCCGACGCGCAGCTCTACGATACTAGAGAGAATAGAACAAAGACGTAAGCTTTATCCCTGTTAAATCCAAATTTCTCAGCACAGCCACTGACATTTGTAGTGCTGTTACGGCTATGTATAAAGGAACCTCTAGGGGAGGTTCTGCTGCTCTTTTACGATCTTATGACTCGAGAAAAGAGCCTGCTCCTGAATATGATTGTAAGATTTGGGAGGCTGGCCGCGCAACATGCGCGATCGGATTGGCATTCAAGCCGGTCAAAATTGGACAGACCGTATTCCATGACGATGGAGCTGGGACGTTTAATCCATCGCCATATGCCCTTGACGAAGCTACAGTAAACGAATGGCCGGGACGAGACGTGGGTGTGTTTGTCAGCATAGGGACCGGAAAACGACCAAGAGGAACCGATCAAAACTCACATGTCTGGTATGAAGGCTTCATAGGTGAATATGCGGAAGCGAGGAAGAAGTTGATACAAAAGGTGGAGGGCTGCGAAGCAATCCATGAACGTATGAAGAAGGAACTTCTGATGAAGAGGGGGGTCAACATCGAAAACTACTACCGATTTAACGTTGAGGTTGGCGTTGGCGAGTTTGCTATGAACGAGTGGGATCGACTAGGAGAAATCAGCACGGGCACGAAAAGATACTTAGGAAGAGATACCGAACAGAGGATGGTTCAAGAATCCTCAACAAAATTAGCCAAGATTAACAGGGCAAAGCAGAGGTTTGAAAGGCTCAGCAGCAATGTACCTGACATCACAACCCAGCCGACCATGGGTTCTCTTAATGCTCCATTGGCCGTAGAACTCCCCGGGGACTTCCCTACGTCATTCCCAGCTCGGAATAGTCCTCCAAGTCGGCAGTCGTACGAGTCCGGCATAGACCGCCTTTCGCTTCCTGGATCCGGAGCCGGTCCGGGTAGCACGCCGTCTTCTCGTGGTTCCGATCGCGTTCGGCCACCTACCAGCCAAGCGTCCCCGCCTCAAACGGCCACACGCCCACAGCAAAAACCGCCCGCCTCTCCAATTTTGTCTCCAGCAGTCAGGCCCCCTCCTGATGAAGAGCCAGACCGTCTCGTAGTGACCGCACCCACCCCGGCACAGTACCGCAACGCAGCCGGCTCTGATAAGATTGCTATCACGGGAACTGATGAATACCCACGAAGACCACAACGAGATCCTGTCATACAACCCATGATACAGCCATATCAACCACACCGTATCGAGCCGCCTCCGCTACCTCCGAAGACACCGTTACCTGAGAAGCAGCTCGCAAGTGGTCGACGTCCTAATGGAACTCCTCTCCCGCCTTATCCTATGGATGAGGAGGGCCCTCCACCGGTAGTCAACATGGCAAGAAAACCAGAATACAGGGGTAGATAAGCAAAAACAATAACGATATTGAATTAGCATAGAAGCTACGTGGTTAGTCGTCGGGTCAAGTCTGTTCGGCAAATCCATTTACGGTCCGGCGTCTGTGGGATAGGATATTTCACGTGGCACTGATGATTGATGATACCATTCGCGCATAAGGAGTTATATGAATTTTCTTCACGGTGTATGATGAGGTTTAATGTTGCGCAAATGAGGATTACGGATACCCTTTCACGTTGGGATTAGAATCACGGTACATATTCGCTCCATTACAATACGAATAGGTAGTTAGGCGGGCAAATGATTTAGTTTTACCGCCAGAAAAATTTTGCTCTACTGTGTCTGCAGATTTGTGGGATGTTTTTTTCTTTTTTACATATTTAGGTATGTGACGTGGCTACCCATTCTTCGTTGATGGAGCCGGACGTCTACGTTCTCGTTGGTCGGCGAGGAATCTTATTATATAACATATTATGATGGGCTCACGTCTTCTGGTAACGGCTTTGCGGCTCTATTGCGTGACACTTTAGTTGAGGCAAGTTTGTCAATCTTGGGTAATGCCGTAGGTGATCCTCCCGCCTCGTTCATCACGTTTTCCGCCAACGAGATCTCGTCCAACTGTTTCGGATCAAGCCACTTTCGAGCGCCCTTCTAGCACTAAGAGAGCGGCTTATAAACGGCTTAAGTACCTAGATGGCCCAGGTATCTGTACATACCCTATAAAGTACCGAACGCCGTGGCGTTTTGCTTTCCGTGTCGCCCGCAGCCGGTGAGGCGTATATCCTAGGCATGTCTCGGCAGTTAGGAAGAAAAGAAGAAAAAGTTCGAAGACTTTCAGATTTTCGTGCTGCTTTTATTGGTTGACGGACGGAAGCTAACGGGCTAGGTGGATTTTGTATGTGCTCGGCCGAGATGATATCACAGATGACGGGTCACATTTCCAAACTGACCTTTTTCGTTGACGATCATCAAGACTAATAAAGGTATAGCCTCTGTTATTCCCGTTACGGCACTCCGTGCCGCTGTTTGATGTAGCCACCGCCGCTTCCTACGAGCGGCGAGTAGGTAGTTAGCTGGCTAGTAGGCTAGTAGAACAGCTAAGCGTAGTTCTCTCTACCCAACTGTGCCGAGATGGCACACTTAGTTGGAGGTCATAGCGATTCAGAATAAATGGAGTTCTCATCCGATTCTTCCTTGGATACGAATATGTACATCATACCCATTCAATAGCAAAAATTCCGATACAGAACTTTTCCACTTTATTTCTGCTGTGCCGGAATGGTTCCGTCGATCCGTAATATCTCAAAAGCAGAGCTTAAATGCCGCCGGTATCTTCTTGGACGATGAAATGATTTTTAACATCTGCACCTAAATTCCTAACCATGCTCTTCCCCTCTAAGCGCTTGCGCTAAAGAATTAGGTACTTAAAGTCGACCAGCCCTATGTTTAAGCGCCATTTTTCTGTCTTGCTGGCCATATTATCCGCATGAATATTTTGAGATCAGTCTATTACAAGCTGAGGATAGTGCTTACCAACAATGACATGCAATCTCTGAGATCTCGAGGAGATACACGCATAGCAGGGTTCGCTAATACGGGGATAACTCAGCCTGCTGCTTGCATGGTGTTTAATAAGAGTATCGAACCAACCCCTTCTTTATTGATCTTCCTAAGTAGTATTCGCAATTTTAAGCCTTCTTCTTTCGGCGTCGATGTTTACTACCTATGCAGGAACTTTGGACTTATTAATCACGCACACGTTTCGATTCGAATTGCCTACCTACGGACTCGCCTAGCCATGTGCTTTCGTTCCTCTCGCCTAACATCCCCTGCGTGTCTATCTATGTATGGCATCTGCAGGTTCGAAAACGGTCCTCGAGGGATCTAATAAGTTTCAGAACTCTTCACGCACCTCCCAAACCCCCCTACCCTCCCCCATGCCGCCGCTAGATTAGTCCCTAGCACGTCCCCCGCGCCGCACGTCTAGGCCGCATCGAGCGTGGAACCCTTTCCCCCAATCCAATCTCTCGCCCCTGGCAGCAAGCATGCCAGGTCGGTTCCCCGCCAAGGCGGAATTCTCGCCTCTCGCACCAACAGCAAAGCGCTGAAGCTCTGCTCATTGGCCAATCCGCCCTGCTACGCCGCTCCCTTACGCCCAAAACGTGCGCGACGACCACGGCGGTGCGGGCTGCCGCTAATATTGGACCTGCGCGAGCCCTGTGGTGGATGCGCCCATTATCGATCGCCGGTTTGGCGTGATCCTCGATGTGCTTGCTGCTGCTGTGCCTCTTTTCGCTTGCCAGCAGGCAGGTTTCGATCCCGTAGGTATGTATGTAGGTAGGTACATCAATGTTCGTAGGACCGCTCGCCGCGGTGATCTTCGTCTCTTCTTTTTTTCCCGCTCGTTTATACGAAATTTCTGCTTTTGCTGTCGCTGTTGTTTTTGTTGTTGCTGTTGGATCTCACGATGCTGGGCTGGCTTCTGATATCTCCCCCCAGCCCGGTAGTACTAGTGATATTAGGAAAATAAAATCCCACGCGCCCTTTGACGGTTTCCCGCGTCGTCAGTGACGACCCTTTGCGGGTGTTTTCCTTGTATTTTTTTCTGTATTTTCCAAGCTAAACAGCGTCATCCCTTCCACGTTCTTTTTTCGTATTATATACCTACCTATTACATAGGTGGATCTATATACCCAGGTAGAGAGGATGAGTCTTCCTCCGAATCACAGAGACTCGCAGCCCGGGCTCGAGCTCGCGCCTTCTTCCGACCCGGAGGTCCTCTACCGCCCGAGTGACCCGTATCCCATAGCCGTGCCCGGCCAGGCGCCTGTACCATATCCAAACGAGGGAAGTCTATATACCGCAGATGGATCATACGGCTCGCCGCCAAGTTCCTACGGATACACGAACGGGGAGAAGGTGCTTCCACCATATCCGTCGGCTCTCGAATCCGGAGTTGGAGCAGAAGCAGGAGCGGCGGCGGGGCCTGGGTCGAGAAAGAAGTTGTGGATTATGATTGGGGTTTTAGCAGCGGTGGCCGTGATCATAGGCGCGGTCGTCGGTGGTGTGGTGGGAAGTAAATCATCAGCGAATGGGGCAAAAGCGGCGGAAAGCTCGGGCTCGACATCTTCGCCGAACAGCAGCAATGGCAACGGCAATAGCACGGGCGCTAGCGTAAACACGACATCCGTGCGACCTTTGACGAGGCTTTCGGTGACGGGCCGACGGTTAGCAGGGGATGGCTTCACGTCGCGGCTTTTCTGGCAGGGGGGCGACAACCATATCCGGACGTCGAAGTACACGAGCACGGGAGGACAGTGGTCGCGTCCGTTAGTTTTCAGCGGTCTCGATGCGAAACCAGGCACACCGATCCCCGCAACCATATACCTACTCTTCCCGCAATTCGAGGTGTATTATCTAGACTCGAAGAACACGTTCCGAGGCATAAATTTCGGCGAGGACGAGACGGCGCCGAAGACCGACAGTATCGAGACGGATCGCGCGGCTTTTACTATAGATGATGGCACGCAGATGTCCGCGTATTGGCCGTATATCATTTACCAGAACCCGAACTCGACGTTCCATCGCCAGGTCTTTGATTCTAGGGGTATGGGATATTTCAACGATACCATGCAAGGGTGGTTCGACACTGATGTGGTCCCGCTCGGTGACAACAGGACTGGTATTGCAGTAGTGCCCACAGTGAAGGCATATAAAGGACCGTACGCTGCGGGCATCGCGTATCGAGACCAGGATGGCCGTCTATCCGTATTTTCATTTGGTGGTGACGATACGGGGATCTCCTGGGATACTGGTATGTTGAGTAATTTCTGCGGTTAAACCAAGTTCATTAATGTACTAATATCAATGTAGGAAGCCCCAACATCCCAATCCCAGCAAGGACTTCCATCGCCGCGATCGCAGTCGGGCGCCCTAACAGCAATTCAACAAACACGTGGATTTTATACCAAGACGCGAACAACAAGATCCAATGCGTCTACCAAGATGATGCGAACGGGTGGAAGGGGCCTCAGGAGGTAGGCGATGCGGACGCGGGCACGGACATCGCGTGTCTGACAGAAACAGTACTCGATGAGCCAGAACAGGTGCTATTATCGGAGCAAACGGATATGAGGCGGTGTTATTACCAATACAACGGCGCGATTCAGGAGAAGCGTTTAACTTCTTCCACCTGGATAGATGGAGATACAATTCCGACGCAATAAAAGCATCAGTATATAATTCTTTTCATGAACTAGTTAATTCAAGTAATAACAATACCGATAGGCTTGTATACTATCTAATGATATAGTTACCTACCTGCATAAAGCTTTCCGGCAACTGCTAGTAAATGATGGTTGCTACTAGGAGGTATGCAAAATCACCAGCTCAACACTTTCGTGGGTAAGGTTACGTTTATAAAATCATCTAGTTTTCTCTATCGTGTACAGTGAAAAGCATAAAACATACGGGACTGGTTCCCCTTTAAAGCCCCTCCCGCCCCCGCAAACTCATAACCCAGACTGCTAGTTGTCATTTTAAGGACTAACTAGTAACTTAGCTTTGATCATCTTCGTCTACACTAGAGTGTGAAGCTTGTCCGTTATCTATCGCCTCGCCCGTTACAGTCAGCCCATCGAGTATGATTTCGCCATCAGACTTCTGACCAGAGTGAGAGTCAGGCTCTGGTCCTCCAGACTTCACTTCTTCGTCAGACCCCATGGCTTCCCATTTCATACATAATGCGGCAAGGAAAGAAAGGCCACCAGCAGCGATTATGATGGCGAAACAGCCCTTGATACCGTCGGTAATTGCACTCATGACCATCGGTTTCACCGTTGTTGAATTGCCGCTTATGAGGATTGGCGAATTAACACCTGCAAGCAGCTCAAAGATTTGTTCATCTGAAAATGAAGACTTCGCATCGCCGTTACTCAATGATTCCTTTAGAGACTGGAATCCTGTATCCATGAAGATCACTCCAGCGAGGGAGAGCGATACTGCGATGCCGCCAAACTTTGCCACATTACTGAGCAGTGCAAGATCCAGTCGTTCTTTGGTAGTTTCTATAATGGTGAAACCCACTGTAGTTGCTAAATGCCACAGCATGCCGATACCAACGGCAACAAGAGCTTCAAACGCCATCATAGATGACTCCGGTGTCTCATCAGTGAGCGTTTGGAATAAGCCGCCGCCAATTAGTAGGAACATAGAACCGATCATGAAGAAGATTTTGTAGATGCGGTAACCGGGTAGTAAAGCACCGCTTAATATAATAGCAAAGACGAAGATGCATACGAGAGGTAACAGTCGGGTTGCAGCATCCAGTGGACTCAGACCTTCGTGGAAGGCAAAGTAGATAGGCACGTAGTAGAGTGCAGCACCGTAGGCTGTAGCAGCACAGGTCGTGCATATCCAGTTTAGCAGCACTGTTCGGTTCGTAAAGAGTGAAAATGGGGATACAATGCGCTCATTAGGTGTCGTTCCGATACTGTACGCTTGCTGGACCGCATATGTGAATGCGAACAAGACGAATATGGCCCAGGAAGCTAGGGCCCAGCCGGCTCCCCAAATTCTTGCAGACCCTAGAAACATACAACTGAATGAGAAGGAGAAGCAGACCACGATATGCAGAAATATCCCGAAGCAGTCAAATCCCCTGACGCTCCGTGGTCCGAATTTCTCATTCAGTATACAATAGCGTGGCAAGCAGAATGCTTGTAATATGAAGCTGATGCCACATAATGGGATCATTAGGTAGAATGCCTAGGCAGTATTAATGTCAATTTTTCTTGTCAGAACATCTAGTATGAAGGGTCACCACTACTCACCCAGCGCCATGTAATCTGTTCAGTGCCGGCGAACACACCACCTGCAGCTCGCATTAAAATTATTGTACTAGAAGAGAGACTTCGAATCTCAAGGATTGGAAGTACACGAACCTATAACTGGACCTACAACCAAACCAGCGGCGAAACAGCCGGCCATATACCCAGTTACAATGAGGCACTCGTAGGGAGAACAGAGGATGAGATTGTGGCTTAAGATGCTTTAGATGCTGTCAGAATTATCAATATACTTTTAACGGGATGCGGGAAATATGAACTTACCCTTGGTAGATAACGCTCGCGCCCCAAGCTGTACACATACGGCCGAAAATAACGAGCACGAAATGATGTGCGGACCCGGAGATCGCGGCTCCCATCATCATAACTAAAGTAAACAGGAGACTCAGTATCTTGAAGTCTACGATCCTTAAAAGCTTGTGGCCAAGAGGTATAAAGGCGATGATAGAGACGGCATAGCCAAGTGCGAGCCAGGGTAGAGCCACTATACTCCCAAAGGCTTGATAGATAGCGGGCTGGAGATTTGCAATGTTGCCGACATCGTATCCTTATTTGCAGTATTAGAATTGGTTTCTAGAGATACTAAATTCAAGGGTGTAACGCAAGAACTTACCGTGAACTAGACTCAAGAAGCCGTTCGCAAGCAGCACGGTTTTCCATTTCCATTCTGGTATGTTGCTTCTAAGACGGTGACGTTCTACAGTGGAAATTGATCCGGCATCATGAACCCGTCCTACGTGGGGATTCGTCATATTCGCCGTATCAAGTGCTGTAGGCGAGGACTCGTCGGGCGAATTGTGATGATGGGATATTTCCGTATCTTTTTCCTCGCTGTTTTTATGGGTGTTCGTCAAAGATGGGCGGTGTTTGTTGGCATCGAGATTCATATTAGCAGAACTACCAGTCTTCAATGGTGATTGATGTCCATTTTTGTGGCTCGACTGTGTTTTGTTGGGTTCAAGTTGTCGGTCTACAGAGGATGAGCGTGTGGCATCACGACTAGAGTGACCGGAAACCATAGCGTTGGCAAGTATATAGATATCTCGTCTCGCCTCCGATGAGGCTCTTGACTTGATAGGCTCCATAGTGATGGTTTATTAATACAGATAATTTTCATAAAAAGTCCTGTACTAAATGATCATTGAAAGAAGATGTGTAGTTGAAAAAAGAGCCCAAAGTTCGAGAGACATGCCATATAGGTAGATACCTACCTCCTAGGTAGGTAGTACAGTATATACGGTAGTTCCTGCACAAGCTACTCCAGGGCTCATTTGAGATGATTGCGAAAGAGCACCCGTATCTCATGAAAGCTGACAGAAGCGACGGCGGACACTTCTGAGACTATGGTCCTTAAGGTTCTTACGTACCTAGTACCTAGTAAATACTACGGAGCTAGTATTTAGGGGCAGCCACGGTATATATAGAAATCTTAATGAATGAGTCCCGAGATACCGTCAACCATCCCCGGACTATTCTCAGCCGGTGCCAACGAATACGGGCCGTCATCTCTTCAGCCATCCGGTAGTCCGGAAAGGTGACCGTTCGGAGTGGATATTTGACTAGACCCTATTTTCCCTAGACCGATGATTTATAAAGCTCGCCTTGTTTATGACTCGGTGATATGATATCGCCGAATAAGTACAATTCAAGATTTTGTTGCTGAATTGGAAAAGATCGGACTTAGGGTTCCATTAGAGTTGTTACTGTAGCATTTCCGGGTTTGTCGGGCGTCTCACAACTCCGAAAAAATAATATTTTCAGAGCAAGCGCAAGTTCCTGAATCATTAATAATAAACCCCTATTCCTTCTATATATCTAACTTCCTAGATATCCACAAGAATATTACCTGAATATCCGATATTGATTTGTCTCTGATACTTTAATCAAGAAACACACATTATTCGCAACATGTCATCCTCTTACAACGAAGCGACCACGGCCGATGAGCTCGTGAGAGATTTCGCAGCTGAAATCAAAGGAAAGGTCATTCTAACCACCGGAGTATCGCCAAACAGCCTCGGGTCCACTTTCGTGGAAAGTCTTGCTGAAGCCGAGCCCGCCTTGTTGATTTTAGCTGGTCGCAAGATTGAGAAAGTCCAACAGACAGCCGATGCTATTTCTCTTGCCCACCCAAAAGTGAAGACTCGTATTCTTCAACTCGACCTGGGTTCATTTGATGCCATCCGGGAGGCCGCAGCAACTGTGAATGGTTGGGAAGACGTCCCGTATATTGATGTTCTTGTCAACAATGCCGGCATTATGGCGGTGGAATTTGCCTTATCTCCGGACGGCTTCGAATCCCAGTTCGCCACTAATCACCTCGGCCATTTCCTATTCACAAACTTGATTATGAACAAGATACTAGCTTCTAAAACCCCCCGAATTGTCAGCGTCAGCAGCGATGGTCATCGTCTAAGTGCGATCCGCTGGGGTGATTACAACTGGAGAGTATGAGTACCCCTAACATTCAAATAAAACCATGACAAGTTTGCTCACGTCATTTAGAACGGAGAGACGTATAACAAGTGGTGTGCCTACGGTCAATCGAAGACCGCTAATATGCTGATGGCCATCTCTATCGCCGAAAAACTCGGGCCACGAGTACTTGCGTACAGCCTACATCCCGGCGTTATCTCAACTAATCTTGGTTCGCATATCGATTGGGCTACCGACTACGCAAATTTGAGTATGGCTTACCATCTAGATATTAGTCTTAGACTTACCAGCTAACATGTTTATAGGGAAAGCTGATCAAGAGCTGGGAAATAAGGAAGGTTGGTCTGCGTTCAAGCCCAAATCCACCCAGGCAGGAGCTGCGACTCATGTTTTCGCGGCATTCAGTCCAAGTCTCAAAGGTAAACCCTTAAGTTACCATTTCTAATGTTTCTCGCATCTATGTTTCGTTACCTAACCCTATGTTAGATTACAACGGCGCTTATCTCCAGGATTGCCAAGTTGCGGACCCCTGGGTTCATACAGTGAAACCATGGGCTACCAGTTCCATTGAAGCCGAAAAGCTGTGGAAACTGAGCGAGAAGCTTGTAGGGCAGGAGTTTACCTATGCGCCGTCTTGAATGCTTTCTGAAGAACCATTGATACCCCTGGATTATTGTACAATAGACTTTACTCCTCTCATAAGGTCCACACGAATTGAGGATTTACGTTTAGACGACCTGGCTAGAATTCTTTTCTTAAATGAATAATATGAACTTTTATACAGAGGTCTACGTCAAGAGTCTCGCGTATCAGCCATGCTCCTTACCTAGGTAGTGCGAAATCAAGATTGGTAATTGCCTAGGGTAAGATTTGGATCTAATAGTGAACTGACCGCTGGACTTTAGTACCTATATAACCGTTGTAGCTCAGGGAACTTGGCCACTGAAAAAACCCACCATAGGTATCTACCTAGGTAGTGCGGTACGAGAATGTTTCACCCGCACTCCTGCATTCTCCAGGCTCAATCCTTTCTTATAGAGGATTGAGCGCTGCTTAGCGCTATCGTTATAGGGGTTGTATTGATCAATTATAGTGAGTACTTAATTTCAACTCCAGATTACCACTTCTCAACTCAGACCTCATTCAACAACGGTTCAACAATGCCTAATAGCTTGAAAAAACTATTAAAATAATACTAAGAGCAACACTTCTTATAAATTAGAAACTGGGTTAAATTAAAATTGTTCGAATAAGGAATTTAATTCTATAAGTTATATCTGTATGCAATCAGAGTCTATAGCTGTTGTTGAGCTATTGCTGAACTGTTGCTGAACCTTCGTTAAAAAGAGGGGCTAAACAGCGCTAAGTCCCTTAAGTCTTGCAGGGGATCTAGCGGTAAAACCGCCGTCGAAATTTGGCACGTAATGGGTGTATCTATGGGATCTATAAAAGTCTTGTTTATAGAAATTCTCAAATGATAGAATAGGTAAGTACCTATTAGATGGATATCAAGTATCCATAGACCCATTATATTTAATTTTAGATGATCTGTTCCTGCTCTGTGCTGAAGTGATCCCAAGAAGGTGCCTAGTACCTACCTAGGTATATACCTACCTGTATCGTTAGGAAATTTCGCCTTCTACTTCTCGCGCGGTCTCGATTGACGTTTAATACGACTTATGATGAGATCACCCATCACTTTAATCTATTCTTCTTCGTTTAATTTGTGTACCTTATAATGTCTCTTCTCGTTGATACTACCTCCTTGCATGTCGGCTATATGCAAATTCTGTGCTAATTTAAGATCTCCCATATGCTCCGCATTGCAACCATTAGGTGAACTGTGGCGATGTCTAGAAATATATATACCATCTCCTCATACGACATTGGGGATTCTGGTGAAGTTAGTCGAGCAACACCTATTAAATCTAAGGAGAAAATAACTACCAAGAAAGGGGCAACATAGGTAGTTATAAGTTATTTCTTGGGTGCGAAAGATGTATTTACTTCACGCACTTGGTGTTATTGTACTACAGCTGATCCTGACGACGGGTGCTGACCATGGGGGATTGAATACGCAAATGTACGTAGTACGCCTGGAAAATAGGTACCAATTAGACAGCATTTTCGCTAATCTTGAAGTTGACTTTAGGGAAAGGGTGAATCTCGCCGGAGATCTAACTATAAAATCCGAATCTATAGTTGGATTAAGGAGAAAGATGATCCTTCCAGACAAAAAGCATCGTAAGAAATCGATGACCACAGGGGCTAGTCCATGCACAGGAGATTCCAAGAAGCCAATATACCAAATATCTGGTTTCCAATTCAATAAGACAACTATAGAAGCTGGAGAAAGGGGTATGACGCATTTCCAATTGGACGATGTGGTGAACAAGGCAACTATTCCGTGCACAACGCCATTTTTACAGGACACGGACGAGCCAGTATGGAATGAGTGCGATGGCGACTTTGATGTAGCAAGCCCGAAAACTACATTCCAATATACGCCATCGAGTAGAGAGCTTGAAGTCAATCAAATGTGGGTATGTGAAACGGAGAATAGGACTCACCCGTAAGTCTCATCAAGGCCGCCCTGCTTAAACTCAATAATAATATCTCGTAACCTCTAGTCGTCCTTATTTTTCATCAGCGACAATTGATCTTACCGAGTTGCTTGAATGTATCGAAGATGAAAAACAAACCAGGTGTACCGTTGCAGATGAACTGGTGTCTCCATTTACCGGCAAATACATAACCCCAATCTGGACTTCTGGGTCAATGGAAATAATTCCCCCTTCTGAGAAAGAGGCCCCAGGCACTCCCTGGAATCCAACCCCATGCATCGGGCCATCGTTCAGTTACCCGAACTGGGACGTGGAAGACTTTGCCTACGAGGGTGCTAACGATGAAAGCTCCGTAAGCTTTCGCTTAAATAACCACGGTAATAACCAATCGACAAAATGCACAGTTCCAGAAGGCGAATGGGCTAGCTGTGACAATTCAACAAATGTTCGGTTTACTGAGGATACCGGAAAACTCTCAATCAGACAGAGTTGGGTTTGCAACGGAGGAGACCGATATTCAGAAAAGTACTATGGCATGTTTACTCTCAAACTCAAACTGCTCGACTAACATTTTATATTTCAGTGTGACATTCAAGGCAGTCGGCAGTGCATCCATCGATAATCGGTCATCCAACTCTACTTATATCAGAGGATCATTAATTGAGCCTATTGAACTAACTCCAAACGTTGCGCCAGAAGGAGTTAACCATCCGGGCTGCATTGAGACCTCCGAAACACCATCGTGGATAGTGACATCGTTGGTGTGGAATGAGAAGTGGCGAGACGGATATAACTCAGGCAATTTGACTGCTACTTTTCGTAATCCTGCGAACGGCTTCAGTCTCTCCTGCACAGGGGATGGCGAAGAACTGAATCGTGATGGGAGATACGGCAACGAGAGATGGTGGGGATGCGCCTTGGCCACTTCTCCCTTCAGCAATTATAGGGTTGACACATTGATTAAACTCAACCCTCTTACAGAAGTCTTCTCCATAGACCAGCGATGGTATTGTAATGGCCACGACAGTAAACTTCCGTACGTATGACCGAAGCGCTCACGTTAGTAAGAAGGGGCTGATTAAACCCAACAGGGCCAAGTTAAAAGCAGTGGGAAATGTGAACACCACATTGGAATGCTCCTGGACGAATGAAACTTGGGCCAAGTCATTCATCAAGACTTGCTATCAAACGGAGTTGCCATTAGAGGTCCAAGGAAGCGTAATGGAAAAGACAGAGCTTCCCGAAAATATATTCTTCGAAATGGCGCCTAGCGGTTATAGTTGCACAATTGCCTCCGTTCTCTCAACTCAATGGAGAGCAGAATGGATGTCGGACTCTCTTTATACAAGCCCCACGTTTGCCAACAACTTCGAAACGACGGATCGATTCGATATTACCTTCGTCGCTTTAGACGGCTTCCAAGGCGTGAGATATAAAGATATTTCCCTTACTCCTTTCATGCGCACGAGCGAGCCCGGACGCTGGCATGACTGCAAGAACTACGAAACAGGCGAGGAAACATCTAACGTATGGGCAAGTCACTCTCTCGAATGCAAGTGGCAGCTCGATCTTGCGACAGGTTATTTCGCCATTAATCATACTTGGTTCTGTGATGACAAGGATCCAGAGTATCCGTAAGTTCTCCCCTTCTTAAGATTTCCTCCACTTTACTTCAAATTCAAATTATTCTAATATTCAAATCTAATAATGGAAAATCTAGAATCATCTTCAAAGGTTCTGGAAGTAGATTCTTTGACTTTTCCTGCTATATCGATCGTCGTAGCGATGAGATTTCATGCAACCCGACCGGGTTGAATGTCGCGCCAGTATTACCGACGTATTTATCCTGGAGAAGCATTCCGGCTGCAGAGCTTAGAACTTAATGGTGACAACGGGGGAAATTTTTTTTATAATTATTCATGTTTTATTTGAGTTCAATTCAATTGGAATTGCTTGAAAACCTTAGCGATAATCCAGTGTTCCAAGTTTGACTTCAACACTTTCAGGAATTGATTACTACAATTAGGTATAAGGAGCAATGCGCTATGATCCACTAGAGCTGTACCACTGATTAGTGCTAAGTCGTAGTGAGCTTAGTGGAGATACAGGCTCTAAACCCCGAAATGCACTGGCTTTAGGGCTATCTTCTGTGCTGTGTTCTACAACTAGCACTTTCAAGGTATAAAAATAAAAGAGGATACTAGGTAAGTATTCAAGCACATAGGTAATCTATGATTGCAGTATTAACACATGTCCGAGTTCGGGGACATTTTAATTTTTATTTCTATAGCTTAAGCCCTCAGCTACCTTATAGAACTCCTATATTCTAGGTAGTTCGCACTGCTACACCTATCTTACTAGGTACCTGCCTAGGCAGTTGGGTACCAGCTTAATAGTAACTTTGCACTTCGTGGCGTTTTCTTTGAGGGATACCTGGCCTAGGATATAGCGATTATCCACTGAAACCAATAGTGAGCAGGTCACTGTTAGGTCTAAGTTTCAGCTAGAACTCAAGAAAATACAGCATCCACCAATTGCTTAGGGGTAACCTGCAGCACGCTTACACGCGGGAAGACCCTTGTAGGCTCACTTACCTCTTTAGGGACTCTCGAATTGTATGATTGGTGGGCACTACTTGTGCCGCCGTGCGGGACCGAACGCCGTGCTACAGTACGATGCTCTATTCCGTAAGCACTGTGAAGTGTCGGGTACCTTGATTCTAGGTGATTCACGGTGGAAATAGTTAAGGTAAAAAGGTTCCTAGTAGGAACTAAAAAGGTACCATAGGAGCTTTATCTATGTGGACCGTTTTATAATAAATTGCCTAGGTAGACATGGCAGCTCTAGCCCCACGGAACCTTGAGAGGTTCGTAGTGTGTGAAATGCCGCGGAAAATATAGGGCATGCTCCTCATGTCCTTTTTTGGCCTCCGTTAACGCCCACCATCCATGCATATAAATCAAAGTCAACTCCTAACCTCCCATAACCACGGCCGTGGTTCCAGCCTTTTTCTCTCCGTATCCACCTCGGAGAACCACATCGGCGAGCTTTACTTCGTGTAGTAAACGAACGGACCCGTGGTTCCGTTGACATAGTACTGCACCTGGGGCATCTGCTGGACCGTGGCGACGTACGCGGGCTGGGCAACGTAGGCCTGCTCCGCGACGTAGAACTGCGGGGGCGGGTTGGTTTGGGCGGCTGATGCGCCGGCCCAGAAGGGCGATTGGCTAGGGTAGCCTGTTTTTGTGTTAGCTGTACCTGTACTGGTCGTCGCGGGGAGGAAAAGCAAAAGTAGGTACTTACACCATGATCCGGTGTTGCCCTGAGGAGGGGGGGGGATCGACGGCGACACTAGAGGAGGGTTCACCCAGAGGTAAGGCTGGGCAGGCGCTTGGGCGGGAGCGGGAGCGCTTAATTCTAATTAGTTTGAATCTTTGGGAGTAAGATAAACGCAGTCATTTGGATGCTTACGAGCTCAGGAAGTATAAAGGTTGAGGACGTTGATTACCCATAGCGGCGGCGGCGCGGGCTCCAATAGGTGGAGCGATGTGCGATACGACTCGAGGGTGTTGTGTCTGTTGTTGGTTTTGGGGAGGAGCTGCAGATGCGTCTGGGGTCTCGGGTGTATGTTCCGCGGAAGAATCTGAGTCAGTCGCACCTTCGACACAACAACTACAAGCTCGGGGAGGTTCAGGTTCAGGCTCAGGCGCAGCTGCCGCCGGAGTTGTGGGCGGATTGGGAGGAGGGCCGGAAGGAGGTGGTGCTGCAGCTGCAGGAACAGGAGCAGGATGCGATTTCTGTTGTTGTGAGTTGCCTGCAGTAAATGTGAAAGGTGCAGGCGAAGAATTTGTAGGCTGGCGAAATGTTGAACCGTCAGTGTTTTGCACGTCTGTCCAGTCAGCGAATCGGACACCAAATCGTCCTGTGGGATTCGCGTTCGAGGTGGGAGCGCTCATGATTCGTGTGATACCAAGGCCGGAAATGGTTACAGTGGTGGATGTGCCCACATGCACGCTGAAATTTTCTGCTTGTGAAGAGTCTGTAGATGTGGTGGAAGTGGACGGTGTAGACTGTGCGGGTGAAAGTGGGGTGGTCGCCGGAATGGGGGGAGCAGATGTAGTCGCGTTGGTATTAGCTGAGGATTGCTGCGTAGAATTTTGGCCGCCTACTGTGGTGCTAGATGAGCTAGATGAGCTAGATGTAGAGGAACTCGTGTCGGTCTGGTCAGAATCTTGATTAGAGGCGTGTGTGGTGGTAGAGGCGGTACTAGTTACCGGCTCAGTGGTTCCTGGGTTAGGTGAATCAGTATGAGTATCAGTAGCGCCGGCAGTTTGCTCATTAGCGCTAGTGTCGTCTGCCGATTGGTGCTCTGCGCTATGATTTTCGAAGGTGGTGTTTTCATTGGCCGCTGAGTGCCCTGAGGTGCCATTTGAAGCGTTAGTGGAAGCCATCGTGTTGACAAACTGACAATACAAGTGATAGATTCGATTTTTTTTCTTATTAGCTTGCCATTAGTTAAGTTGGGAACACGGGGATGCTCCGCTCTAAAAATTTCAAACCTAGGTATCTTGTTGTTTCAATGGAAAGTTTTCATAATACGACCTAGTAGTATCCATATATAATGAATTGGCAGGGAGTGATTTGTTCAAGAAGTAGGTAGGTGATGACAAAAAGACGCCCTGCCAATAATGGTGACTGTTATTTGAAGCACAGGAGATAGGATGGAATGAGTCGACAAGCAAACATAGACCCTCAGCTATGCGCTACACCACAAGCACTTCTAAATATAAGCAACCGTCTGCGAGAAATGTCAGTAAATTTTTCTTTATTTCCTACACATCTTCGGTCTCGACCTAACCCCTCGAGTTGGGATTGCCTCGGGTGGCATAACTATGGCAAACATAAAAAAATGCTAGCAATTCAACCTATGATATACAGTGGCACATGAAGATATGGGATACGCCTTAACAAAAAATAATAATATTCATACCCCGAAGAAGAGTGTATGTGTTATAGACAAGATGGATCCGTTCACTTATCCAAGGCGACTTCACCAAACATAGGAGCTATGTATATTGAGAAGCCAATAGTGATGTTTGCCCGTCATTAAACCTCGGTGGTCGTAAAACATATGAGTCATTAGGTTGCTCCAACTGCCAAATTTCGTCTCATTATTGAAGTGTCGGCGACTTTATTTCCCAATTTTCTTTTAGGAATCGTGACACTAAGCATAGGCCTCATGAAATCATAGCCCTATTAGCACAGAAACATCCCATGTGATTTTAATAAATTACCAACAGGGCACGAAGGTCAGGGTTAAAAGGCTAGAAGTGTGCAAACTGAAAGATACGGATAAGCACCATGTGGCGTTTTTTAGTGGCCAAGGTCCTGAGTGATAGTAATTATCTACTAAAATATAGTGGATAGGTCACTATCAGCTTTAGGCTATTATAATGCTCCAAGATTGTGACCATTGCTTATTTGATTATGCACTGGGTAAGGAATATGGTTGATAGGCGAAACTTTCGACCCCGACATTCGTAGAGAAATCCCATCAAGTTTATGAGTATGTCGTCTTCTTAGGATGAGCATTAGAACGTGGAGGAGGAATAGGAATAATGGCTGGCTCTGGAGCATAGTAACCCCTCACTTCTCTGAAGGGTTCTGGCCGAGGCGCTGGCCTAGGTGCTGGTGGTGAATAGTAACCAGATACCTCTGGATTGTCGAGGTTTGTCGTAGCAGGGGTCGCTTGTGCTGAATTGGACGCGACGGGCGCTGGTTCTTGCGCGTCTGTTGAACTCGCCATTGACGATCGAGGTGAGAACTCAACTCCCCTGAGTCCTTCATCTCTAGTTGTACTTTGGGTGGGTCTTGCTCTTCTGCGAAAGAGCCCACACAGATAGTCATTCGCCATTATGATCCTCTGACAAGAGTAGATGGGATGTTAAAAGCATGCACCACCACCTATGAAAACGCCGTCACGTAAATACGGTCACTGACAGCTCATGAGCCTTGTTAGTCTCGAAGTTTGATCATAGAACAGGTCAGGAATACCTACCTGGATAAATGCTCGACGAAACAGACGCTAAAATAGCAAATAACGAGCGACAAGTAAGAACATTTCAATTCGGACGGCAGAAAGCTCAAACGACGAGAGAATGATCAGAAATGAAGAAAATCGTGAGTGAGGCACAGCAGCTGATGCCTGAAGGCAAGCAAGAAATAGTAGGTAGCAGGGGGTAACTGCAGGCATTTGATTGGTCCTACCGAAGCGAGCTGGTTCCTCATAATTGATAGACTATGCTAATGTTTCAGGCAAAACAACAAGAGGCTACTAACATTTACCATCCTGCGTATTTCATTGGCTATGATGGTGATAGGACCCGCCCACCCTTATCGCCCCTAATTCAATCTGAATTCACCCCTGTCTCTTCTCACAAACCTTTCCCTTTCCTCCAAACCGCTCCCAACAAGCTTCCTAAAGAAATAAAATAAACAAACTAGAAGTAATTAAAAAGACATAACCCCTCCATGCGCGAATCATCATGCTTGTCCACACCCTCCCAATTCCCTCCCCCCTCACCCTCACAGCCGAACCTCTAACCCCCACCGCCTTCGCCCCCTTCGGCGCCGTCCTCGCAAACCCGGCTCCCGAGACCCGGCCTTCAGCTCCGGCCTCAGCTCTTCCTCCCGGCTATGGCGCCGTTTCCGCTAACCAGGGCACGGCAATCCAGTACCGCGCCCTGGCGCCTCCCCTAAGGAATCTGTACGCACAAGCGCCTAGCCGGAAACCCGCGTCCCCGCGCACCACCATGTTCGTGTGCGGCGCGCGTCAGCTCGTCCCAGATGAGCGGTCTGGTGCCGGCCTCTTCGAGGTCAAGATCCTTGAACGCCATCCTTTCACCACGCAGACATTTATCCCGCTAGGTGCGTCCGGGGTAGAGACTAGGTACCTGGTTATTGTGGCACCGAGCCGCGCCCCTGATACCCCGGATAAAGACTTTCCTACGCCGACGGGAGAGGGGCTGCCAGGGAGGGGTTTGCCGGATTTAGGGGGCTTGCGCGCGTTTGTGGCGACGGGCGCGCAGGCTGTGACGTATGGGGCCGGGACGTGGCATGCGCCGATGGTGGCGCTGGGGCCTGCTGGGTCGGCGATTGATTTTGTGGTTGTGCAGTTTGCTAATGATGAGGCTGTTGAGGATTGTCAGGAGGTTGCGCTTAGGGTGGGAGAGGGGAAGGGGGATGTTTCGAGGATAATGGTGCAGGTGCCGCCCAGTAAATTGAGATCGTCGAAATTGTAGTTTTGGTAGTAAATGTAGGCAGGTGTTGTTGGATAATAATAAGGTTTGACGTTGTAAGTTACCTCTAGGTATGTGCCCCCTGAAGCAATATGGAGGTACTCTTACCTTTTACCGCTTAAGTTGAAGACATTCGCGTGAGCAAACCTTGCCCGAAGCTGATGCCCTCAAAATTGATGAATACTCACTTATTTGCAGTTATATGCACGAATATCCAGATCACGTATTTCACGGCGTTGTTTATATAGGTAAACACTCGATTAAATCCTCGCAATTTTGTGACTATCTAGGAAACGAGAGGTGAGGCAAGGAGGAAGTCGCAGCGAATGTACGTCCACGGTAGTGCACCTAGAACAGGGGCAAGTTCTAGGGAGATAGATGGTACGTCGTAACTGCCTGTGACCTCTCCGAATAGCGTCGTAAAGAAAAGCCCCACCATCAGCCACCATTGATGTCAACATACTTTAGTCACCCATAATTTTCGTGACTTTTTTCATCCTTTTCCATACCCTCTTTCCTGTTCGTCTTTTCTCTTTTTCAATTTCTGTTTTACTTATCGCGGACGCCTTAACGATTACTCGAGGCAAGACGGCCGCTTCGGCGGCCGTCCGACAACGTATTACTCACTAGTTGAATACGCGTCACCTATTTTAATGGGTTAGTCATATATTTCAATTCATTCTTTAACGCGTGAGATAGTTTCGACTTACGTTGACCACCTAGTTGATTAATACTCAATACCGACCGTGCTGAGCCAGCTCTGCTCATTCATGACCTTCCAGATCTCGTTCTGCGTAAGCATCGACCTTACTCGTTGTTCCCCATCCGTGGCATCTCCGTTGGTCATCTGCAAAGCGCCTGCAGAATCGGCCTCTACCATACCTTCGACTCTCAAGTTGACGTTCTTATCTTTGGCCAAGGGAACGTGCTCGAGCCTACCAATAGCCTCTCCGGGACGCACTAGGATGTGAGATTGTCTTCGAAGTTCCAGAATGTCAACTTCGATGGTGTGGGCTGTTACAAAGTGACACACGTGGACTACCTTCTCCTGGCCGTAGCGAATACATCGACCCTTCGCTTGTTTCATGTTGCTGTCATATGTTTCCTGCAGGTCTGTCAAATGCGGACATGCGAATATGACATGGTTTGCATACTGAAGGTTCGTGCCTGATGAGGTCGAATGGTCGAGATCCAGGATTCTGACCTTCTTGGTTGGTCCTTTAGGATCTGTAGTAAACTGAATACCGGTTTTTTTAAAGACCTTCATCAACTCTTCCTTCTGGCGATCGAACTGGACGAATAGGATTACCATATCATCATGGGGTATCCCTTTGATGTAGTTCACAATCATCTCTGACTTGGAACTCATGCCGGGCATCGGATACTCTAGTTGCATGCTGGACCTAGGGTCAAGGAATCGTCGCGGCCTGTTGATAAGTGCTAGACTCTTGGTGGCGTCTTCGAGGAGCGATTTGCAACCACTTGCATCATGACGACTGCCTTCACCGCAGTACGTCAAACCTAGATGATCTGCACAAATCACATGTCCACACTCACAGACTATGTGAAGCTCAAGTCTAGGCTTCAGTTGTCCGCAACTATCACAGCGCAAATTTTCGTCCTTCGAAACGAGGTTCTCTACAATCCGTTTCTGCTTGATGGCGAGGTCAAGCTGTTCGAGCGCTGCTCGCAATCCCACGCAAGCATCACTAGCCTCACTGCCAGTGTTCGTATATTTGCCTCCTCGGATTGTCTTTTCACCACCAAGTGTCGGATATTCGGTGCGCGTAATCGCTCGGGAATCATTCATTCCAACGTATTCTGAATCGTCGAGAGTTCCTGCATAATGGTCGTGGAGTTGTTTCTCCAGCTCACTGCGCTTAACATACGGGGTCGATATTACACCGAATGATCTTAGAAGGTTATGGAGAACGGCCTTGGTGTGAGTTTTTTTGGTCGAAGGCTTTTCACCTGGAATTGGTCTTCGCGCAGGCTGAGTTCTCTTTTGTCTAAATTTCTCTAGACCTTTTCCGTTGTCGCCAATAAGTCTTATCAACTCATTCTTGTTTGGCGTCAGTTGCTCGTCAGGCTCGGCCGATATGCCACTATGGGGTTTGAAGAGGTCTTTTAGGAGATCAGCGGCTTCTCCATCTTTCATATCCTTAACCTGTTTGGCTTTCAGATCAAAATAGTCATTCCACGAAGACTGTCTCAGCTTGTTCAGGAAACCGAGGAAATTTTTGTCATCGTTGCAGAAGTTCGGGCACTTAGCAACAAGCTCCTGAAACTTTTCTTCGTACACACCAACGTTAAGCGCTTCGAAGCGTTTCCTCCATGCATCAAGTCCGCCACAGTTTTCGATATCCCGGTTCCAAATATCTCTAAGCATCATTGAGATATCCTTTACAATAGTTGTAGCGTTGCTATGCGTGGACTCTTCCTCGTTATCGAGAATTCTCCACCCCAGCCAAATTCCTGCATCGTTGTAGGTTCTGAAAACGATGATAGCTCGTTGGACTTGGTCACATCGCTCCTGAAGAAGTGATTCGAGCGACTGCGAATCCGAACTACAGGAAGATTGAGAAAGAAATAGTGTCATGCTGACGTCCCTTCCATTTTCAACCCATTCTTCGGGTTTAAGTAGCGTTTGAAAACGAGCGCGGCTCCCCCCGGGTAGCATGTTCGCATCCAAACCACATGCGCGCAGATCGTGCTCGAGGGTCATGTATTGGATAGATTCCTGCTGGCTCAGCTCACACACGATCACCTTTTCCTCTACTGAGATACCGCCAGCGAGCCCTAGGTCTAGGGGATTAGAGGTCGCAAAGGTTTGTAAGAACTCTATCGCCTTTTCATGCCTCTCGCGAATGCACGAATCAGACATAAGCTTGCGATTTTGCAAAGCCTCGGCGTTGGTCTGATCACCGAGAACTGGGCCTTTGGTGATTTTTGGCATCCCCGCACGCAAGTAGATCGGTCGTGCGACATTAATGTTGATGAGACCCGCGATATCATGTACGGCTGCAAGGTCTTTCGTCGTCGGGGTTGCCGATAAAATCCATTTGGCATGCGCTTCACAGTTGGCGAAGAATTTCGTTGCCGTAAAGTTTTTGTACGAGAACTCGTCGTATACCGCACGAGCAAACGTAAAGGTCTCGAGAATATGAAGGAATTTGCCTTGGTTCATCTCTCTTTCTAGTTCTAGCCACGTGGCGATCCGGTGAGATATTTGGACGTTTATCTCCACGCCCTCTTTTCCGGCATTTTCTTCTCTCGTACCGCGCCCCTTCGCCCTTCGGCGAGATAGGTCTGAGGCATAAAGTTTATATTCATCGCTGAGAGCTTTGGTACGTCTGTCCATGTCATCCCAGATCTTCGATAAATCAGGGTTGGGTGTACCGAACATAGCGGCCACATGAGCTCGGGCCGCGGGAGCAGCATCCTCATACCAATCTTCAAAAGCACGACTGTAAATCGAGTCTCCGTCTTTAAGTGGGATTAGGTCCGGCGGGTCAAGCGAAGCGGATAAACGAGCAAGTCTCTGGTGGTATCGTTGACCAAATACTTCATTGTTCACCAGGATGATTCTTGCCTCCCGAAGCCTTGTTAAAAGAGACCAAGTAGCGTCATCCTGGAGATCTGAAACCGACTCGATTTTGACAACGTGAGCCGGCTCCAGTGGAAGAAATCTGAGAGCTTCCTGGGCCCATTGATCGACTAAATGGGATGGGCACACCACTAGAGTGGCTTTCAAGTAGTTCCAACCTGACTGTCCAGCCCTACGCTCTTGGAATGATTGCAAATTGTCGAACGGCTCTTGGCAATGCGCTACTGCTAGCATGATAATGGTTTTGCCGTAACCTACGTCATCCGCAAGTACGCCACCGTGGTTGATCACGATACGTTTAGCACATCCAACCAATCGGAGTTTCAGCTCGGACACAATTTCCTCTTCAATTTCCTGCTCAGTGAATTTCGGATCACCTCTCTCTCTCTCAAGAGTCCAGGCAAGGGATTTGAGTTGGGATCTACTCAATTCCCCATTGAATGTATCTAGAGCAGGTTCTTTTGCGGATGGGAATTCTTCTAAACTTTTCAGCGCATTTCGAAGCGGTTCGAACTTATGTCGACCATCACTGTCGGATTTGATTTGGATGTTCTGGGATAAGACAGCATTGCGCTCGACTCGGACACCCGCGGTTACTTGAGCATTGAGGTTCTTGGTAGGAAGCAGGAAGGATGCAGCCTTTTGTGCTAGGGCCTTGTGCCGGAGCAAATACTGCACACGAACAACGTACATCTTCCCATTGTCGACTAGGTCGGGCAGAACCTTCACTCTCGGCTCAAAAATTGGAATTCGCGACTTGTAGCGCTTCTCAAAGTCTGACATCGCATCTGTCAGGTGGTGGCCGACATATCTGCTGCCAACTTTGACCCATCGTACCGGGGGCAGTTGACCATACGGACACTCGCGAGGACTTGCTCCAGCTATACCATTCTTCCAATCCTCTAGGTTCTTCAGCCAGGCCTCAACGTCTTTCAACTCGAAACTAAGCTCTAAACCTTTAATTCCAGCCAGTTTGACATCGAGATGCGAGATGAATCCATGAAGATGATGCAAGTCAGCCTTTGTGACAATGGCCCATCCGTCACTGGCCTCTTTACACTTGGCCTGATACATGGCGATTGTTCTGTATGTATCGCATTCTATCTCTCTAGCGATCTGAGCTTCGACGAGAACTTGCTGATCCGGTTCCTTGTCCTTGATGATAGAATGCTTAGAGCCAAGGATTTTGAGGTTCTCCATCCCCTGCAAAATCTCATATTCTTTCCTAGTAGAATGATGGACACTTTCAAAGTGAGACTCACTCCAGTATCCATCTACATAGGCCTCAACAGTGCCAGTTTCCTGTTTGGTCATATTGTTCCCAGGGTTAAATTTGATCACGACTTCTCGGTATTCATGGCTTTCTAGTTGACGGCAAGACTCAGAAACGACAAAACCGTCTAGATCTGGTGTAAGCGTCCGTGAGACGTCCTTGAAGAGAAACATCGCCTTATTTTTTTGGGCGTGGAGGCTTTTCTCTGGCCCGTCGCAGTCAGGGAAGTGCTGATACTTTCCACGGGCACGCATCAGGCCTAACTGCGAGTGGGAGAAATCTTCGCACGTTGGTTGTATGTCCGCGATCTCCAAAGTGTCCTTGTCTTTTAGAACTAATACGCTCATTCGTATGGACATAAATTTCCACGGCATCCAGACATGCGGTGCTGGCAACACACTCAAAAAAGTTTCCAATAACTTAGCCGTTGCGATTGGCTGTGGCGCCCGAACATACTTCGCAGCTAACTCGGGGTTGAAACTCTCCAGCACGTTCTTAAGAGCGGTTCCTATTTCACTCCATGGATCCAGGTACAAGTACCAAGTGATACCGCTTTCCGATAATTTTGCTCGGACATCAAATCCCCATTGGCCAGAGTAGCAGATTGTCACGACTTCCGTGACTCGGACACTTTCATAATAGAAAGTAACATCCCGAAGTCTCTCGAGGGCACCCGGAACATCGGCGATGGTTGCCTCCTTAAGAGGCCTTTGTGCTGTTGGCAGCCAATTTACGTTTATCATGTCCCTGATAGTCCCAGGGAAATATAGCATGACTGCTTGTTCCACTTCACTGAGCAATAAGTAATCCCACGGACGTTGCGTCGGCTTGAAGCAATGCCGCGGGTTTCCGGCACACCATCTACAACGGATGGTAAAGCAACGGGCACACTTGACGAAGTCACCGGTGCTATACTTGGCTGCTCCATTGCAGAAGCAATATCGGCGACACTTAGCAAGAAGTTCCTTGGTGACTTGTAGTGTGATAGGCTCAGCGTCTGTCGTGCTAAACCCCACCACTCGCTCTAGCTCAGAGTCTTTGGCTACCCGAGGTTCTGGCTTGCTCTTCAGTAGGAGTGGGCGGCCTAAATACTTCTGCAGACCCCCTGGCAGCTGGGAGACTGCGTAGATGAAAGCCAAAAAAACAGCGCCGGCCACCGTGGTAGTCATCGCGTTTCCGCCTAGATCGCGTAGCTGGTCTTGGTTCTCTGTAGCAAACTCGACTTTATGCAGAGGCAATCCTTGAAGGCACAACGTCTCGAATCCAGATATCATTCGACACTGGGCCGACATATAATGTATGCCAGACGGCGTTAGGCATCCAACTATTCCGAATGGACTTCCATTCACAGATCGATGTATATTCTGACTTAGGTCGGAGATACGAGTCTTGAAACGGGAATCGTATACCCAACGTATTTTGTCAATCCAATAACCCCCTACTAGGGCCCGCAACAAATTGATCTCCATACAATCCTTGACACGGTCAGGGAGGTATTGTATGATGCTTCGGTCCATGCGATCATACGGTTGTCCGTTTCTCTTAAGCCATTCTGTCAGATTGCTATGAGGACCCAGGTTTTCTTCTCTGCGTACTCGATCGTGGATGAGCCTCGAGCGTGACCAATTACTGCTGTCCTTGCTCATTAATGAGGTCTTCTCCGAGTCATCTTGTCGGGCTCGCTCAGTCAGAGGGTGTGCGGGAGGGAAGAGCCACGATTCAACATGGCTAGATGCTCTTCTTGGCAGTACATTCGTGAGGTAATCCCACCATGTAGTTCCGATCTTATCCGCATCAGTACTGTTTTTTTCCTCCTCTTCGGCCTTATTCTTGGCCTCCTCGGCCTTCTCCTTACTGGTCTTTCCAGTCTTTTGGGGCTTCCGACCATCTTCCTTTTTCGACTCTTTCTTCGGCTCCTTCTTAGGGTACGTCTTACCCTCTGCGAAGACATTATTGTCTAGTGCGATAAGATACCCCCGATTTCTCGTCTGAGGGATATAGTAATCCTTAGTGTCGAGTTTGCCGTGAAAGGCAGTGTACCCAAGGAACGGAAACCAGACATTCTGGGTCTCAGTCCATGGAGCTCCCAACACATTCTCGAGGATAACCACCTTGGGTCGATGGTCTCGGATGTAACTCATCATAGAGAAGAATGTCTTGTTGGATGATCCCATATTAGGTAACGCCTCAAGGCAACCGAGGAAAAATTTGTTGATACGCTCATGCTCGGTGTCATTGTAGCCATCGCCCTTTGCGAGCTTCACGATATAGCTATGCTCGGCCTTGAGGTTTTCTGCTGAGTAACCCGTTTTCTTGTTGGTATTGAGATTTGAAAACTCGACACAGGAACAACCCGAAATGAGGACGTCAATGTCGCCAGGGATTTCTTCAAGGGATCCCATCGCCGTGGGGCTAAAGTCCTAGGTAAGTTATATGAATAGCGAAGCATGGAATAAAATGAAACTTACGCCTTTCCATTTGTAGGATTAACGAAATCTTGTACGTCATTGAACACAGTTGCGTCGGTGTTTCGCATGATGTACGCTTGCTTGAAACCGACAATCTCGGCACTGAAGACATGCAGGAATTGAAGAAACTGTCTTCCGGGCTGCAATCGTTCCCAGGAGTCCCGAAGCATTTCAAGCGCGAACAAAGGCGCTTCGGTGCCAGAGCACATCGTCGCGACGCGCAGCATAATCTGGCCGTTCTTCTACTCGTCTATTAGTAACTCAACGTTTTATACTTGGGTGGGATGAGAGTAAGGACGCGTCCTAGTTAAATACGTACCTCATCAAGGAGCTCGATTGACTTTTTTGCCATATCCCAGAATGCGGCATCGATATCTGAGATTGGTGGCAAAGTGAGGTCTAATTGGTTTTTACCGCCACGTCCATCCGAAGAGGGGTCGGCAGATGCCTCATCTCCTCCCCCATCTTTGGGCGGATCATTCGAGTCATTACCCGAAAACCTTTCGAGATTATCACTTGACTCTTTCGAAGCTGAGGTTGAGGCCTCGCCCTCCTCGGCGGGAGTACGAGGATTGGTAATAAAAAACTTATCAAGTGTCTGGTTACCAGCGCCAGCAGAGCCTTTGCGAGCTCGCTTACGCGAAGCCTGCTTTTGCGGCTGGGCACCGCGCTTGGGCGGCATGATAGCAGATTCAAATCAAAATATGATTGAATCAAAGTACAGAGAATTGGGGTGGATAGTAAAGGTGTATGATGAGATAATGAGCAGTATATGCTCAGGTGATGCGAGATGCAGAAAGGGAAAAGTCACGTCCACAAAACACAAAGGTTTACGTGAAGGTGGTATTGTGGGTGGGAAAAAAGAAATCAAGCAGTCTAGGGATCTCAAGACACGTTATTGATCGATGGACTCAATAATCTTGACGTGTTCTTGTGATTCTATGGCTAGGTGTGTGTGCATATGCAAAGGTTTGATGCTTACAAGATGAGGTTGCATATGCAGATGGAAAGCTTTGGTATGGGAAAAGAAAAGGTTGATGGTTGAAGGAAATGAAAGTTAGGCGGTGGGGTGATGAAAGTTGGAAGTGAAGGAGAAAGGAATTCTCAGAGGGGGTATTTATGGATTCAGGTTGTGGGAGTGATTAAAATTCTCTGAAGCAAGATCAGCAAAATACTTCAGTACTAGGGAAGGTACCAACAGTACCTCAAGCCCTAAGTACCCCAATACATACTAGAAATGTCATAGTTCGCCTAATGGCTGGCAGACAGGCGACAGCAAACTGAGAAGCGGACCAGAAGCGGGACTGGGGGCAGAGGGCACTGGCCGGAAGACGTTCGTTGGACCCGCGTGCTCCCGCCTGGTGACAGTCATGAGGTTTCGCGAGACCCGCGAGACCCGCGTCTTATCAGCTCGTTTGCTGTTCACAGTGGCCACAAGGAAAGAACTACTAGGAGCTCGTTATTCTAGGGACCGCGGAACGGTACTAGTGAATATGGAAGGGTCCGGAAGACGGCCAAGGATCTGGACCTCAGCTATGGCAATCAAAGGGTGAACATGGCGGAGGCTACAGTTTAACAGATCATGAGAGCCGGGAACCAACCAACTAGGGGGCGGGGACTACGTACTCACTGGTCCCTGGCTATCAAGAGACAGGAGGTTAAGTAATAACACCCTCCTGTCCAATCAACTCGTCAATAACTTATTGGATACTCGGCGTGAGAAAGGATACGACATCGCCGGGAACACCACATATTATGGGAGGGAAGACAAGGGATATCAGCCCGCAGAGTCTGGGAAGCATCGAAAATCACTCAATCTTACTACAAACCCTATCAAGTCTCAGGGTACGGGTTACGAGTTGGCAAGTGAGAAGTTTGATCCGTCGAAAGACATCAAGCTCAATAAGATCACCCAAGATGTCAACTCCGAAACGGGAGCAACCACCAGTGATTCAAAGGGCTCTTGGTTTGAGCCAGTTGGAACAGGGGCGTGCTGGCATTGACAATTTATCCAGTTACGCTACTCAAAGAGAGCTAAGGAACAGCATGGATGTTCAGGCTTCTTACAACTACGTAAAGAATGGACAATGGGCGATACTCCAGAGACATTCACGGAGAATTGGATGAAGCCTTATGCTGGAGTTAGTTATGATAGGGGGTTTATGATAGCTCAATATCAGTCTATCAATAATCATGCTTTAAGATCTTTTCGTGTTAATGGTGAACTAATAAGAGAACACTACCTACCTACCAAGTTATATGGTGTTGTGACTTTGCTAAGACATGAGATGTGAGTTTCTAACTAATGGTTAGTTAGATGAAAGGATAGTGCTTTTAATAATAGTTGGTCACTTATCTACCAGCTAGAAAGATAAGCTATGCTATAAAGCCAATACTACGTTAAATACCAAAGGATATGTCTACCAAAGGATATGTCTAGACTCTAGCAATGGAGTGTCAAAGCTTTACTAGGGGTGAAATTCCATCATCATGAGTAGAATGAGGGCTTTATTCACCTCAAACCTTCATGGACTCTAGAAACACTCTCTCGCATGATTGATTATGAATATTCATAGTTGCCGTTTGTGAGACTGAATGAATGAAGTCAAGATAGCATTCCCCCTTACCTAGTAGTATCTAGGTAGTCACGTGCTTTGTGGCTTGCGAAAAAGGGGCGCGCTAACGGAGGCGCTAGGGTTACTAACATTAAGTGGCGCTGTGGCTTTTCGGAGTTTTGTTACGCCTACCCCCTTTCTACCTAAAGGGTACAGGCAGACAGGTACACTATCTAAATCTCATCTACTTGAGTCTTGAGTTACCTTTTCGAAAATTACTAGAATTGATTCCTAAACTTCTCCAATGATAGCTATCATATTGAAGGAGTATATCTGCTATCTCATATCGGATCTCCAAGGATCCGTATATTTTTAGAACGAGTGGGCCACCTGCCTGCACCTGTCGTAATATTCGCTGTAGCTTGCTACTGTATTTGGTGGCCGCCGTCGCATTAGGACGCCTCATCCCTCGACTAGCCCACTTCGATGGGTGATTAGCAACTCAGCCGCACCGCAGCTTGTTTTAATGTCTAGCCGTTATTAGATTTGTTAAATTACATATTCATCATCACATTTCCTCTCTGTTTAATATATACCTCAAGAAGAAAAAGACCGTCGTCACGTCGAGTGTTCGGTTCAAGATGGGGTCAGTCCTTGAATCTACAGATATCAAGAATAAGCTGGAGGATCTATCTGGAGTGATCCTGAAGCCGGGCGAAAACCCATATAATGCGCTGATCGAAGCTTGTAATAACGACCCAGTTGAGTGTGCCCCTATCCCGTAGCTATCTTATGCAAGGAAACGTAAATAGCGTCAGGCAATTGGAAAGCGATACCTCTCTGCCAAGAATGTGTTATGGCTATTCATGTTTCCTAGACCAGAAGCTAATAGATGCCCAGGAAAAAATACAAGCATTGTATGCTGCGCATCGAGTCAGGCGCAATGCGCAACAGAGGGACAAGTTCCTCGCCTCTGACTACAAGGAGTTGATCATCGATCCATATCTCTTGCGACTAGAGAACCCGCAGATTGAGCCAGGCTTCGGTTAGTATTAGAATATGCCGGGCTGATGATGGAGATTCACGTTTCTCAAGTCAGAAACGGTGCCCTACTTGTTTGAATGAGTGCTAACTTTTGGTAGTATGTTATAAAATATGTTCTTAATATTATCTAGCCTGTATCTCATGTATTAGCCTAGAATGGCCCCTCGGTGAAAGAAGTGTCGAGCTTTCGGTCGGGATGTTAACATATAGCAGAAAGATACGAGATATTGCATGACCTTCTGGGGTCGGCCTCCGATTCATGTACTAGAGCTCGCGGAAGTGATTCAGGAGAAACTAAAAGCCGTTTCGTCAAGTAAGCCATTATTCCTTTCCAAGTCGAAATAAGGGGCTTGATGGCGATGGGGCCAATAGCATCCTTGCATCAACTCCTTTTTATTTTGATACCTGTCTATGTAACGCGCTAACATGATATATAGAAATATGGCTCATGCCCCTCCATCGCATGCACATAACCACCCTCGAGCTCGCCTTCTCCCGAACCGCCGAAGAAATCGAGGCGCTCAAGGAAAGCCTCCGGCCCGCCATACCGGGTATTGCAAGCTTCACGCACCGCCACCGGTCCCGCCTCGTGAAACCCATGATTTCGTATGATCTGTCCGCCTTCGCTCTGTCATTCCTCCCGGCTGCTGGCGAGATATCGCTCTCGCCCGCTCCCACAGCACCTGATGCCGTCGAAGTGCTTAAACAAGGGGATGGGTACACGTACCATCACCTCAGACGCGATGTGTGGGAGCAGGCGAAGGAGGCTGGCGTTACGGTCAACTCGCGGTATATAGTGCCGAGCGCGCATATCACGCTGGGAAGATACTTGACGGACGAGGATCATGCGACGCCTGAACTGAGGTTGAAGTGGGTTGATGCCATTGATGAGATCAATGCTTGGTTGGAGGCCGAGGTGTGGGATAATGCTGACTCGGAGCTGGTAGGGGAGTGGGTTGTTGGACAGGAGAGAGGCTTAGATGTCCGTGTTGGCACTTTGTGGTATGGTGGTGGTCGAACTGTTCAGATGGGCGAGGGATTCTAGATATTTTATGTTAGATCTTTGTTCGGTTATATTGAAGTTCCCTTAGATAGGTACCTATAGAACATTGTTCTTAGGGTTCAAGATCCTAAGCCATAGATAGACAGTTTCGAAGTCATACATACTTTGCAGGTATCTTAGAGATAGAATACAGCTGGGAATGCACCTAATGATGTGACTTTAGTGATTCCGGTATACCAGAAGCTTTGATAGAGCTATCGAAATTTAGTCTCATTTTCGGGAATGGGAAGTCACATTAGGGAAGGAACGAAGGACGCAGCTTGGACGCGCCCATCACACCCCTTTCACGCGCTCCTGCCGTCTCTTCGCCGGCTCTTCGCCGGCTCCCGGACCACGGCGAAAGACTTATATAGAAAAGTTGTCACCAACCTAGACATCCAAGAAGTGGCTATTACTCATGAATGGCGCAAGCATCTATGGAGTAGAAGTTAACTCGTCCCTCTCCCATTAATTTGGTACGGGGAAAACCCGGGTGCAAGTCCCGGTGGGTGCAAATCATTTTTTGGAGGTTTCGAGTTCGATATTATTATTTTTTATTTTCTTTTCTTTTTACATTCTCTAACCACCATTATCCTGGCCGGTATTTATCGTCCATAGCACACCCATGTACCTGATATCCCATAAAATTTATATTATCCCTCTACTATTCAACTACAATACATCCAAGCAGCCAAGATCTCTACACAAGTCAGATGTATCAAGACGACGGGAATCTATGGATATTACACCCAATATAGTAGATAATTCTTTAGGAGAGCTAGTTTCAAGAGTCAGCAATGTCACCAGAGTCAAGATTACAAGGTCAAAAGTCATAGATATCAACATGATCACAAAACTGAATGGCCAAGAAACATGATTAAGAGTGCTTATGGAGTAAACTGTAGATTTTAAGGAGTAAAGCTGACCTAAACCCCATGCCACGCCGAGGTTTTGGGGAATATCATGAGGACTAGAAACGGATATCACAGTGAAGATGCCAGGACCATGATCTTATTTCCGAATATCATATAGCCATTCATTACTCCAGTATCGTCACTTCATCCTAGCATTTATCACATACATGATGGCAGAATTCGTAAGAGCAGATTCGGTTCTGTTTTGACCTATCTAATGCTCTCAAACCGAGGATCGAAAGACTCCCGTCGCCAGTGAATGCCCGGCCATGATAAACCACCCTATTGCCCTAAAAGAAGTACGTGCAACGACATAAGTATGAGAAATGCGTTTAGAATACCAGGGCGGCACCCTTCGTCTTCTTGTCACCACTAGAAACCAGTTAGTACACACATAGCACGTTGATCATAGGAAAATCAGAGTGTACGTACCCGAGCTCGAAGTGCTTGCATCGCTTAAGCGCGAGTTGTAGCTTGGTCTTGCAAGCAACGCATTCTAATCGTAGCACAACCTTCTTTGTCGTCTTGGCCTTCTTGTGGAACACAGGCTTGGTCTGACCACCATAACCGGACTGCTTGCGGTCGTAACGTCTCTTTCCTTGCGCGAAGAGAGAGGCCTAGGTACGAGTTAGATATCGGTGGGAGTATACGGGTGTTGATCGTTGATCGGGGTCGACGAGGTCGGGCGCATAGGAATTGGTATGAACCTACCTTGCCAGCCTTGTACTGAGTGACCTTATGTTGGGTGTGCTTGCGGCAGTCCTTGCCCTTGCAGTAGGTCTTGCGGGTTTTCGGAATGTTGACCTAGATGAAATATCCTGTCAGCTTGCCATTGTATAGAATCGAATTGCAAAGTAAATCGTGATTGTCTGCGCCCAGAAACAGTCGATCGCAAGGTGAGGCAGTATTCGTAGAGCCAACATCGTCCGAATTCCTACATCACAGGGAATTGCAGGCGATAGATATCGAGTTGTTCATTGTCGCCTCAACCGTATTGTTCGTCTCGTGTCGTATTTTCGTAACTGTACCGTATCCTCCAAAGTTTCCTTCGCGAACGTTGTAACATAGCCCAACCATCGGAAATCGTGCAATTTATCTCCAGCAATAAATCTACGCGATTGAAAGCTGAATGAAAACATTATTTCACTTACCATTTTGACAGCGGTGATGGGGGCTGTGGTCTTGAAAGGTGTCGATGATTGATGTGTGGGAATAATTTCGTGGAGCTTTGCTGAAATCGATTTTTGCGCGGAATTGAGATGTGTGCGTGATAAGGGTAAACTACGGCTAATTTCGATAGAGGGGAAACTGCTATTATTATTTGGGACCCGGTAAAACCTGTGGCTGGTAAAAAACCCCAATCAGCCACTTTCTCGCACTAGCCACATTGTCGGAATTTTAGAATTACACTGCATCATGGATCATTGTTGTACCAGGGTGCCACCACTGACCTCAAACAACAACACAACATCAATTATTGGCTACTGTCGGTGAAGAAGTTGTTACTATCCAAGCTCAATGACTGGTCAAACGTGGCATACTATTCAATGCCGTCATATCCATATTTCTTGACGAAACTATGTATGGAACTAGATAAGGAATCTCTATTCTGCGAGCCCTACGATCGCCAAAACATCCCTGCGACGATATCCGACAGCCGGACGGCAAATCATATCAGCCTTTTTCTACCGGTTTTCTCTTCACATGCTGCCGCCACTAGGAGCGGTAACTAATAGGCTCACCGAACTCCATAATTGCCTTTATTCGGTCATAGGACATATTACTCATCTAAATGACTCCGTTCGGAACTAGTTTCGCAGCGGCAACGGACGTGGTGATCTCGTCTTATGCAATTAGATGCCGATCCCACGTCGAGTAAGTGAGTACGAGAACGGGAATACCCAGCCAGCTACAACGTTCATAGGCCAGCTTACTTGTACGAATATGTACAATAGTAATAGTACATAGTACAAGGATCAGAAGATAAAAATTTATCGAGATCTCGTATCGCCCAGCCATTGCTATCCAATTTGCCATCCTGGTAAATACCCACTGCCATCAACATCAACATCATCGTCATCCATCGGGTTTACGCCGTGAGACTACGGTGCCACCCCCGGGACAAGCCGTTGCGTTTTCTTCGGATCGGGCCCTCACCGCCACAGAGTTTCTGGACCTTCCAACGGGGCCTTACCATTGAATATGGCCTACGTCTCCATCATAAGTAGGCTTCGAAGACGACTTACTGGCAAATCTGCGAATCCTTGGCAAAGGCTTCAAAATTCTTAAATTAGAGGGCGTGGAGACTACGACCACAAATGCACCAATGGGACCCATCGCCGGCATTGCAGCCGGTTGATATCCACCTAAAAAGTTTTAAACTGCCATTTGCTATGCCCTATCAAGCTAAGTTCGGGGCAGTTGCCCACCGATACTCGGCGTAGTAAGTCTTCGTCCCTAGACTTGACCAATATTGACCGAGAGAAAATAAATACAGAGCCCGATAGGTTGTATCACTGTTACCCTTGCGGCATTGGTTAGTATTCGCGTAAATAGGGGGTGATTCCCTCTTGCCAGTGCTGGATGAAGTCACTCACTTCGTTCTCTTCTTGCTAAGTTTTCATAGCTGTATTATGTTCAAAAAAGACGATCCTTAATAAAGACGATTAACCCTCAATTCTTAGAGTCTGTCTATTAGCTATCAGCTGTGAAGCTTGCTGTCGTTTATAACTTAGACATTGCCTATGATGATACCAATACTGTCGTCGAGCTCATATTTATAGGCATACATACCAAACAATCCTTCCTGATGTTCGAATCCAAGGAAACCGACTTCCAGCCTGCTCACCATGGCGGCCAGAACCATAACTCGCCCTCAAGCTCATCCTCGAGTAACTCTTCAATTCACTCGGGGGACACAACAGAATCCATACGGCCGGCGGCGCGGCCCGATGCCGATGACGGGGAGCTAGAGCGGTACTCGACACACCAGTCCATGGGACCGGACATGCCAGTTGAACCGGTCGACTCGGTAGTAGATGTACCGGACGAAATTTACGACAGGCTGCCGCCGCATAGGAAGCTAGTCATTGTCCTCCTCTTGTCGTTCTGCTCGTTCCTATCACCTGTATCTAGCACATCCGTGTTGGCGGCGACTCCCGAAATAGCAGCCGAGTACTCCACGACAGGTTCCATCATCAACCTTGTCAATGCCTTATACATGCTATTCATGGGCCTGTCGCCTATGTTCTGGGGACCCCTAAGCCAAGTATATGGTAGAAGATTGGTAGGGCTTTCTTATTATCAATCTCGTTGAGATGACTAAAGAAACATATCCAGGGACGGCCTGTAAGAGCTAACATGTTTGACTATAGATAACTCTAATAACGGCCGTAGGGTTTCTTGGATGTAGCATTGGAACGGCGCTTTCACCTAACCTAGGGGCCTTTTTCGTCTTCAGATTGCTGACAGCATTCGAGGGCACATCATTCATCTTAGTCGGCGCTTCCGTCATTGGGTCAGCAATACCTTCGTTACCATTGAAATGCAACATCATAGTGTGACCAGACTACTTACTAAACCCCTAGTGATATTTACCGTCCAACGGAACGAGGAACAGCTACAGGCTGGTTCCTTTCCGGGACTCTAGTAGGACCGGCCCTCGGCCCATTCATAGGCGGCATCATCGTCACTTACACTTCGTGGCGCGTCATATTTTGGCTACAATCGGGGTTGGCCGGCGTCGCTGCCGTCGGGTCTTACTTCTTACTACCCGAGACCATCTACCACATGAAGATCGACGATCTCGTCGGCTACACCGGTGTTGCGAAGGCCAAGGTCGTGCTTGGCATGATCAGCCCTTGGCGCGTGGTACGGCTATGGGAATATCCGAACCTGTTTCTTACCGGCCTGTCGAGCGCGTCCTTGGTCTGGAATATGTATTCGTTACTCACACCGATCCGCTACGTCATAAACCCCAGGTACCATCTCACGACACCTATGCAGGGCGGTCTATTCTATCTCGCGCCTGGCTGCGGATATCTCGTCGGTACATTCGTCGGGGGACGATATGCGGACTTCGTGGTTAAGAAGTATATTAAGAAGCGAGGCGTTCGCATCCCAGAAGACCGCATGTACTCGGCCCTACCTTTCATGGGCATCGTAATCCCCGGCTGCGTCCTGATCTACGGCTGGTGCGTGGAGAAGGACGTCGGCGGCATCCCGCTGACAATCGTAGTACTCTTCCTTCAAGGTGTAGCGCAGCTCTTCTGCTTCCCGTCTTTGAATACATACTGTCTAGACGTGATGCCGGGTCGCGGGGCCGAGGTCATCGCAGGGAACTACGCGATGCGGTACCTGTTCGCGTGCGGCGCCACGGCCATCGTGCTGCCTGCCATCAACAACATCGGCGTGGGGTGGTTCTCAACGATCAGCGCGCTGTTCGTGTTCGCGGGCGCGGTCTGCGCCTACGTGTCGATCCGACGGGGCGGGCAGTGGCGGCGCAGCATCGACGCCAAGAGGAAGAGGAGAGCGACGAAGAGGATCCTGGACGAGAAGAACAACGACGACGACGACGGAAACCCCGCGAGGATTCTGGGTAGTCCGGCTGACTCCGACTCCGCGAGAGGCAACCCGGTGACGACGCCCCGAGCGCGCGAGAAGAAGGAAGAGGTGTGAGATCTTGGCGTAGGGCATACGCAGACACGGCAACGGCAAAAACATTAAAGAAAAAAATAGTCGTAATTAGAGTTGGCCGAGTATGGCCGTAAGCTAGCTAGCTTCTAGATCTATGTAGCTTAAAGTGATAGAAACTTAATACATACATGCATACGTGCGTAATGGTACATGCGTAATACTTTAGCAAGCCCGCGTGCGCTGACTCTTACCTGGGGAAAATGGAAGTGTGGCATACGAGTACGATTCTTACCCGTCCCTCGCTGCCTCGTCGTGGTGGTGTACCAAAAAATGACCACTCCTGAACGTTGGAGGCTGTGAGCGAGAAGCTTATGTTGGATCCTTGTACGATCTACTGGTGTCATCTCGCAGTTTGCCGTGATGGGATTGCTGCGAAGCTTCCGATAGGCCATTTTAGAAGTGGTTTGCTTACCTGATAGGGGGTCGTACGTACTATGCAGACTACCTGACTACCCAATATTTTAAAGCTTCATTTCCTACTGTTATACACGGGTTGGCCACGTAATACCCGTCGACTTCGACATGTTGGTAGGCGATCGTGATGGATGGCGGCAGTGTTTTTAGTTATCACACAACGGAATGCGGCCTTGACGTATGTAGTCCTACCAATGTTCGACTAGAAAGCAAGACAGGAGTTGGAAGATCTCATTTCACGTTATGTGTGCTCAATCACCTGTTCTGGTAGCAAAGCGCAATGGCTGTGCTGTATCATCTTGGATCAGCAAGCATTTCCCCATTGGTATTCAGCTGATCTTAAATATTTTGACACTTACTAGTCAAGCGTCAGAGAGGGACTCTCGTGGTCTTTTTTTGCGCTGTGATTTTTTTCCGAGTACGATTAATAAACTATTGCCAAAAATAACTTAACCGATAGCTGATTTGCCTTGGTGTTGATGTTCTCGACACCATTCCATATGTGCGCATGAAACAACTCCGGGATGCGGTGCACACATCGTTTCATCTTAGTCCGGACCGGATTTTACGGTCCACTAACACAATAAGACGGTTCGGAAGCGCTGCATGAGTCCCACATGATCGACACACACGGCTTTGTCCTGCAGTTCGTTCGACCGATCTGTGAGACGGCTATTGTCACTCACCTGCAGGAAGGGCAGAAGGGACATCGGATGGATTCTTGACGAGGATAAAATAAGCTGCTGTTAATGTGTCCGCATGGAACGTTCCGCTTCGCCATCCCACGTCATAATCGTCGATCATCTGGCCCGTTACCCGCGCGCCGGGGCTGACGCCAAGGGTTCATACACGGTCGGCTCTCTCGTGCGTGAGGATAAGACGACGACGGATTGAAAACCGACTCGCTTATAGCCAACAACGGAATTTCAGACGCCACAGCAAGCGCCGAAGCAACTTGCCCAGGAAGAGATTGGGATATTTCGCAATTGATCTTCGGGACTCTACAATGCTATACTAGCATAATAAGCGATGGAACAGAAGTATCAGTCTAATTTTGCGATTGGACAGCTTGTCCATTGTCGTACATGAGTTTGCCTCCAATTCGATTAATAAGTGGGAGCTGAATGAGGAAAAAAGGACATTCGTACCGAAAGGCCCGCAAAAACTTGCTACAGTACTAGAATCATGAAATTAACTTGTTTCGTATCTCGCTTGACGTGATTGAGTCTAGATTGATTTCAAGTTTTTCCAAGTCAATTGGCAATTCTATTATTCTAGCGATTTTTGAGACCTGAATAGTCGATGTCTAAACTCTCGTAGTTGTAAAATGTAAAATGTAGGTATGACGAAGAAATCAAGTGCGACTGGCTCTAATTAGCTTCTCTATGCAGCCACTGACTGCATAGTACGGAAGCCACTTCTAGAAGCAATTTCCCTTTCGAGACTAGAGGTTCATACTGACCCAAGATAGTAAAGAGGCGTACTTTCCTTGCACTTCCACACCTTAAAATGTCATATTGTCGTACAAGTCTAGTCCAATTCAAGCTGGATAACACTTTAGCGGCCGAAAAACCGTTATTTGTGTCTCAAGCCTCGATCCCACATCTCACGTTGTGCGTCCTTGGCGATTCATTCTCCTGGGCTGCTTGGCTGCCATGGTAGATTCTTGATTGCTTGGCAGATTCTTGGCGGTAGCGGGAGAATCTGGATACCTCCCAATTTTAGCGAACCCCACGATGATGTCGATCCTCACCTCCGCCCTATTCTTTTCTAGTATCTATTGGTGCTGTCAAGTTATTAAGAAATTGACAGCCTCATACCAAAAATTGACTTCCATCCTTGTGTGTCGTTTAATGAAAAATTGTTGCATTTTCAGATGACAGATAGCTGACAGGCAAAAAAACACATACCGTGTAACAATCCTATTAAAATTGAGGCGCGCAAAGTGGTGGTTTCACGACTCGAGGCGAGGTACAATCAGTTTGTGAAAGTGGTGATACAAATATACCTCACTTTCGAGCTAGTAGAAACATGTGAAGGAAAATTGAAAAAAAAAATCGCCAAAAAAAAACCGAAAGGTTGAAAATTTGCTTGGAAACAATGACGTAGGAACTCAACTCCTGTGACATCTATCCACTAGTAAGATGTTTCCACAGTTAGGGTTCTTTCATACTGTAAATAATTCATCACTGGCTGGCTGGAAAGAATATCCATTGTAGAAAGAGCTAATCAGGGGCAGTGCAGTTGGTTCTTTCAATGCGTGTTTCCGATGATGGATTTCATAAAGGTTATTTGATGAGAATCCACTGTCTGTAACGCTAGCGGCGACGATAAAACATGGGGGTAACATGGACAGGACCCGCTAACCTGCATATCGAGAGCTCCATCTAGCATAAAACCCCTATGTATTCCCCTGTACCCCTGTATTCTTCTTCTTCTTGGCAATGGAGCCTCATCCAGCTTTATTTCCATATCTAGCTGCCTTCCTAGGATTGGTATGTAAACATTTATCGAATACGACTCAAGAAAGCCAAGTAAAAGGTTGTATCGAAACAACTGGGAAATCAAGAAATATTCCATAACTCCAATTTCTGAGACTGTTTAGTGAGTCTCGGAGTATTCTTTTCGCAGGTCAATGAATGGCAGGTAGGCACATTTACCGCATCTTCATCAGGTTTACGAAAGCTGCGGTCATAAAGTTTCCATCGTCCCCATTTAGCCATTTAGCGGTATCTTGGGACCCAATTCACTCTAGAAGATGGTTCTTTTATATGCGGACTTACATGCCATACGCCTGTGGACTCGTCATACCACCACACTGCACATCACTTTTAAACAAAAAGGCTAGATTTGCAATAAGATCCTTGGCGATGCCGAGAGAGTTTTGTAGATAATGCATTAGGAGTCCCGGAATCCCAGTTGGGGACAAGCATCGTCACGGTCTGACCACAGAAAGAAGAGTGCTATGTATTAGTGTATTCTGTGTAGTATGTATCACAAGTGTATTTTATTATTATACTGTATTCTATTCTGAGTATTCCCACATTCGCTCCACGTTTTTTGAAATTCAATTTCATCAGTGAACCAGAAACAATTCCAAGAAGATCAACATCCCACGTCCCACGTCCCCTATTTTTCTCCTTTTCTTCTCTGGTCCACGGTTACATAACCAAGTACAACGGTACAGCAGGCACTTACCCATACAAGTCGTGCTTTCCTTGGCTCCCGATACCTAGCCGTCATTGGAACTGGAACTGGAACTGGCAACCAAGTCAAAGCAAACTCACGAGAGAAACGTCAACCACCGCACAACTCTTTCCTCCTCAACTTTTTCCCCAACCTTTTTTCTCTTACCTATTCCAATTTTTCTTCTTTCTAATTACTGCTGAACCAGAATCTTTCATCTCACCATCCAATCCTTCGCGAGTTGGCGTGTTTCACTAGATCACTGTCGGAACATCATATCACGCCAACTTCACCGTTCCTACAACCTACAGAACACGATACGTACCTTGTTTGGGAAGATCACTCTTTTTTTCCTCTCATCTCCATCTAATAATAATCCAAAGCCCTCTTTTATTCGTCCACTCACTCAACAATTCACATTGAATCCTTTTTCCTTATCCAATCTATTACCTGTCGCCGCCAAGCCTGATATCTCGGAATATCAAGGATCTGCAGCCAGCTGTTTTCTCAACTTCAGTCTGGTGTTTGATATACCTGTCACCGAATAAGCTAGATGGTCATAGGTGACCTTTGACGCTGGTAGGAAGCTGAATTAACGACATCGCAAAAGAGACGATTGCTCTCTTCAATTAATGTACTAAATTAGAAGATTGTCATTTTCGATGCTGAGCATTGATCACTGAGCTTCTTGGTTCTAGTAACCTCACGGAATATGGACCGGATATCTACTTACGTATCGAGGAAGTCTGGCTCATTTCCTAGCTTTATGGCTCGAAAAAGTGAGATATATCTACCGGTCACGACCAAGCCTCAACCTAAGTTTAGGGTAAAAGCGTTATTAGGTCACTGCCTCTATCGAAGAGTGGTGATATGGACTGTAGTGATAATCGTCTTGTTATCATTCACACTCTTCAACCCGAGGATTACTGCACGATCACGAGACGTATTCGATCTAGTACACGGGAGTAAGAGCGGGACTAAGACAGAACCTCATATCTCTGAGAGCATAGGCCTACAGAAGCAGGATGGCCAAGAGGACCGCATACAAGAGCTAGTAGAACAGGAAACGCCAGCGAGCGACTTGGAAGATCAGGAAGAAAAAAAGAAGGAGAAGGAGAAGGAAGAAGAAGATAAGTCCAAAGGTCCACATTGGTTGAAGTACAAACAGTGAGTAACATTCACAGTAAGAACTCAGAATTACTTACTAATATTCAATACGTAGTCTTGACGGATATTATAATGGTCTAAGGGCTCTTGTACCATTTTCAGCGTACCAGCCCGAATATCCTAAACCATCGCCTACAGGACAGGATTCTGAGCCTTCACCTATTTCTCTTCATTCCAAGCCTCCGCAACCTAGTGTATATCGACCTCATCCAGACTATGATTCCGATGAGTATCAGCAGACGTACGTTCCAGTAAAACGATGCTATATTGACGAGGACAACAAAATCCCTGCTCCAGACCTATATGCGTACAATGGTGTCCCGCAAGGTCAACCAAAGGCGGCTATCGGATCTTACGAAGCATTAGGCCTTCGGGAAGACGTTTGTTTTGATCGTTTTGGTCGCTATGGGCCATATGGTCTTGGATATGACCTGGAAGTTGGCGGGACGGGCGAGGCTCTCGACACTGAGCATGAAGGTAGTGAGACTGTCTGGGAGAAGACCGGCAGAATTAATTACGAGGGTGTCGACTGGGCTGCTGCGCAAGAGCGATGCTACATGGCCAACGAAGGTCGATTCTTCACTGGTAACGAAACCCGAGATTTCGAGCTAGCCCAAGCTGGTCGTCAAAGGATGGACCGAATTGCCATCGTGATACGAATCTATGTCGGCTTCCAGTGGACGAGCCACGCCCTTCTCAACTTCCGCGCCATGATTAATGAGCTCAGCTTAAGGTCAGGTGGCGAGTACGATATTCATTTTCTTCTACACGTTCGTGATAACAACGCACCCATCTGGGCCGACCCATCGACAGTTCAAGGTATCCTCGACGTCAACGTTCCTCCCGAGTTTCATGGACTCTGCACTCTTTGGTCAGAGGCTCAAATGAAGTTGTATTATCCTGGTAACTTTGGCGAGACCTTTGAGAACCCGTCGAACGGTGATATTCATGGTGTTTACCGGTCCGCACACATGCCTCTTCAGCACTTCGCGATGATGCATCCTGAATACGCGCACTTCTGGAACTGGGAAATGGATATGCGTTGGACCGGATCGTATTATGAATTGTTTGATAGACTGGGCAAGTGGGGCGCGAAGCAAAGCCGTCAAGGCATGTGGGAGAGAGCAAGCAAATATTACATACCTGGCCTACACGGAAGTTGGGAGAACTTCACAGAACTTGTCGAGCACGAAACTCGGTCATCGGGAAAGCGGCCGATTCTAGGACCGGTGGTCTTTACTGGAAAAGCTGGTCTAGAAGATGGTGATGTTTTCCTACCGTCAAGCTGCGCTACCGGGTCGGACATGGCGCAATGTGGCGTTGGCGAGGATGCGGACCTCATTACACTTAACCCACTTTTTGATGCCGACCAGTCTGGTTGGGTATTCGCTGGTGACGTAACTGGTTACGATAAGCAGTACCAGAAGCCACCAAGAAGGTGTGCTATTGTGACTGCCTCGCGTTTGTCGCGCCGCTTGTTACGTGTAATGCACGAGGAGACGTGGCGCTTGCATCACAGCATGTTCAGCGAAATGTTCCCGCCTTCTATGGCATTGCACCACGGCCTAAAGGCCGTGTACGCTCCTCATCCAGTGTACTTGGACCGCGATTGGCCCCAACAAGAGATTGAAAATGCCTTCAACGGTGGTCGAGACCACACTTCGGGCGGCCATGGTTCCCCATTCGACCTGACGAACGAGCATAACCATAAAGGGACAAGCTGGTACTATAACAGTGAATTTGCTGGGTTGTTATGGCGTCGATGGCTTGGCTACGCTCAAATGGATGGGAGAGGCAAGAATGGCGGTCGCGCCGGCGAAGGCACCAAGAGAGGCGGACAGAAGGAGGAAGAAAACCCGAAGAACTCTGGACGATTATGCCTGCGCAGCATGCTAGTACACCCGATTAAGTGGGAGAATCCTGCCGAGCAGGACTAGAAGTAATATTAATATAGGAGGTCAGTTTTCTTTTATACAAAGTTTAGAGGAGCTTATCAAAGCACGACTATGGCCAAAACCAGACGGACACATAGAATGGGACTACTGGAATCATGGCATCAAAGGAACAAAGTCCTATGAGGAACCATTCATAATGCCCGGTACAGGGTACCACGAGGCAATGGCATATTAGGGGCGTTCGCATATGAGGAGTCCGGTGCGTCAGTTTTACCACCTGAAGGTCGTTCGTCAGAGGCATCGCGCACGTTGAGCAGGTCGTTTGAGGAAGACCGGCTATATTCTTTTTGGGTTCGACGTGTAGCCCTTTTTGTACATTCATATGATGCCGACACTGAACATGAACCATTTGCGCAAGCGTACTTCCGACGAGGTAGAGACCCAGAATCCGATGTTGCGCGGAGTTAGTTGCCTGACATAATGGAGGAGATGTGCAGTGTCAACTGTATGTATATAATGGAATATGGGAGAAAAGAGCCTTTGCTATATGCCTAGACGGCTTTCTCGTGAGCTTTCTGTGAAATGCACGCCCATTGCCTAAGAATATTGTACTTAATCGTAATTAATAATCCGTAATAATCTCAAGATGTCTATCCTCAAATGGGTGTGGTCAAGGGAGATTTCTCCATCTTCAGCTCCCAGCCTCCATCCTAACAACCCCAACAATTCCGACGCTAAATCATTCCCGGACCAATAAGGGCATAGATATTTCCGGAAAACCGATAACTCCGTATATGCGGGTCGGATCAATGCAGTCGGCCAATAAGAACAGCAGACAGCAGCTCTCGATCCGATCACAAAAAGTTTTTGAAAACCACAAGTTGATCAATTTCATGAAACTCATCTAATTCATTCAATAGTTTGTTACATGGTGATATTTTGGTCTCCGTTGATAATCAAATCCTCTTGCACTACATTTACAGCCTTCCCAAGAATATTTATCACTTTATGCCCCTATCGAATTATTGTCAGTATGTAACAGCCTGTAGGTTGTCACAGGAAGTGTTGATGGTAATATTCTTACTTGTTCGGCTTCAGGCTCGAGGGGAAGCATGGCTTTGCGAATCGCGTTGACGACGGTGCTATATCCCTCGTCCTTGTCATTCTGGAACTTGCAGATTCCTATATGGTCGGTCTTGAAGGGGGCGCTGTCGCCGCAGCCTGGAAGCTGTGCTGAGTCTGGCTCGACGATCTTTATAGGCTGTTAGTAGGTAGGTGCTTCATAAGGTCAAGTTGGACGAGTGCCGTACCTGGACCAACCCCACGCCCATGCGAGTCTTCAAGGTCTCGAAGTAGAAGAACGCTTCTATCCTATCCTTTGGTTCCCGAGACACGCGTCGCTTGTTCAGGTGCTCCGCGAACGATCGCGTCAGCTCGTCGAGCCTCTCGGAGTCGACGCCTAGCAGCTTCAGGGTGTGCTCTTGCGTGTTGATGCCGAACAGCTTGACTACCTTTCGCGCGATCTCGGCGAGTCGTGCGGAGGACGATCCCCGGAACGGCGTTCCGAGGAAAATCATCCCCCGCAGGTTGCTGGTGATCGATTTGATCGTGGAGGATTCCGGCTTCTGCTCCCCGTGCACGAGGACTTGCGCTGCTACGAGCCCGCCGAGACTGTGTGCGATGAAGACGATGGGGCGGTCGCTCTGTTTATGAGGAAGTGTTGGTGGTTAGTGACTTTGCGAAGCAAGTGGAAAAGGAGTTTCTGCGCTTCACCCACCGTGTTCGTGTTAGATCGCTCAGCTGCTAGCTTTGCACAGAGGTCATTGGCGTCACTATGGATTTCTGTGTTCGCGACGCTTGACTGGTCTCGGTGGGCGATTCCCGTATCATAACCGAAGAGGAAGATCCGGCTGTCAGGTATATCTTTCGGGAGGAGGTCCTTTGGCCAGAGGACTCCGTCCTTAGTCCATGTTCCCAACACATCTCCTCTCAGTCCGTGGATGAATACGATACTTCCGTTATGTCAGAAAGGGCTAGTGTTAACATAGGTTTAGTGACATACTCGACTTTGGCCTGGGCCGAGCCATGGACTTCTATGAGGCCGTGGTTATCCATAGTGTCCAGTACGTCGCAATCAGCTCAGCTTTGCTATATTCTGTATTTAAGGCAGCTGGAATCGAAGGATCTTGATGTCTATCGATAGGGTTCCTTAGGGGGTTAATAACCAGCTCGCTTCAGTCATACTCCAGATCCAGAGCCTCGTCTAAAACGGCCCCCACCCTCCATTAGGTCAGCTGAAGGATGCGCTATGCATTGTCACACACAATTTATCAGCACAGTATCTGATACCGTACGAGTCCGCGGCGCGGTCTGCAAGAACGCCACCCTCAGCATCGATCGACAAGAAAAAGTCCGGAGCCTGAGCTACATTTGGACTAAGGCTGGCAAAATACGCCTAATTACGCACTTCTTAGACCGCCACTCGTCTGCCCGTCATCTCGGATACGCATATTGCGACGATCTGGTACCTATTCACCGAAAGAAAGCCTCCTTCGGCTATCCTTCAGGACCAGTCAACTTCGTTCGCCCCCCACCACTATGTTTAATGGCTAGTAACACGACATAACAAGGCTAGCCATTCCCAACCCCCCTGACTCCCCTAGTGAAAAGTAGGAAGTTTCGGGATTTGATACTGCCTAACCTATGTAGGCACAGATAGACAAGGCGTGGCAGAGTTCATCATTACGTAGGTAGGTACTGGGTACGTATCATTTCCATGCATAGGTAGCAATATGGCTATCGTTGACAGACATGGAGGTAGATGTTGGTTTGTTGAGTGTCTATGTGAGTACTGTTAACAAGAATCCAAGACGAAGCTATCTATCGGCGTCCTGAGCTAGCTACCTCTTCCTCCTCTTCTTCGATTTTCGTTCATTTTTAATATCGTTATGATCGCTCTCGGTATTATCGTCAGAGGAGTCCAAGTCTGAACTACTCGACTCAGACTCTACATCCCTAGCCGCTCTCTTGCCCTTACTACTGCCATTCATTCGAGACGAATGATTAGACGAACTCTTCGAACTAGCCCATTTATTTACTCTTAGTTCTTGATCCATAGCTATCTGGTTGTCGTCTTTGTCCTGGCTGAGCTCCATGAGATACTGGTCGAACTCTTTAGCTGTCTTTGCGACTTTCCTGAAATGCTTGACGGTCAGGGTTGGAGGCTCGTTTGAATCTTTGGCCTCGTATTTGGCAATGGCAATTGCTGTTTGGAAGGCGTTGCGTATTTGCCTAGAGTATCGGTCAGTCTATTGCCATCTAGGTAGTTAATACCTAACTTAGGGTTTAAGTACCTTCCATTCCATGGGAGCATGTCTTGTTTCGTCAGGTGCTTGTAGTGCTTCGCCGCATACTCCAGAATCTCTTTCTCCTGGAGCCGAAGACCCCCCGATTTTCCCTCGAAGCCTTTGTTTAGACCGTTGAGGTTGTTCCTCCAGATTTTCAGCGTACTGTCTTTATCTAATCTCGGATAAAGGAGTGCAAGGTGTATGCGAGACTTGAAGGCCCTGTCGATTGTGCCGACCCGATTCGTCGTAAGGAAGAGTATCCCCTTTAATATGATGTTAGGTTTCACAGGCAGTATAGGAGCATGTATGATAACTTACACTGTAATACTCGAGACTGCGAAGAAAAACTAGATGAAGAAAGTTCATGTCAGGCGAAGCAACTCTTCGTGGGGGGGGACTTTTATCTTACCTGAGACAATAGCATTGCGAGCGATGTCCGTATTAGCAGTTCTCCTTGCGAGGAATATACTGTTTGGTCTTTAGCCCATATTCCCTGTTCAGCCATTTGTCTATCCCGGTAGGTACTTACTCAGCCTCATCTAATAGAAGGACACAACCCCATTTGTGAGCCAGTTGGAAGTTTCGCTCAAGGTTTGTCTCCACCTTCAATGCATCGTCACCTATGTCGCCGCACGTCACAGGGAATAGAGGTCGTTGAGTGTGGTCAGCAACACACTCTGCGGTGCTTGTCTTGCCTACACCCGGTTCCCCGTGGAGAAGAATGATCAAACCCTTGCCTTTGCCTTGAACTAAGTCTACTCCAGAGAGAGCGCCATCCGTAGATGGGGCACCCAGAGTGTTTGACTTCTGATGATTCTCGACCAATGCGAGGACAGTATTCTTCATAGTTGGATCAATGACGAGGTTCTCCCAACCGTCTGTATAGTGGACGTCCTCAATTAGGTTGATGTCGAAAGTCGCCCATCTGCGTGTTCGGAGCACAAACCCGAATACCTTCGGTGGTAGTAGAACCATCTGATCAGTAGTCAACGCCGTATCGTATCCAACCATCTCAAGAGCTGGATTGCGCTGCTTTTTGAAGTGCTCTCGATCATTCTGGTCTATTTCAAAATCGTTGTATATGATATCGTTGCCACAACATCCTGCATTGCCGCACACTTTGCAATGCAGCCAATTATCGAGTAGTTCCCGAGGATCATCATCGATCAAGTTGTCGACCCCAATTTTCGGTTTGTTTTCGGGTTGTTCTATAAAAGCGAGCTGGAAGTCGATGATTACCTCAGATTCAACCTAGATCACACTTTTAGTCACTGGCCAGCTTTCAGTACCAACATGGCATACACACCTGTTCCTGGCGCTTATCAAGAGTGAGGCCAGTATACTGCTTATGTGCGGTCTTGGACGGGTTACAAAGTTCTGCGAACTTCCTGCCCCTCTCAAGTAGTTTATTGCGCCTCTCTTCTTCGTCCTCGGCCATATACTCAAGCGGTGCAACTGGGAGCGAGGTGATGTCCCTGGCCCCATCGAATCTGCGAATCTGAAACGTTTCATTCACAGGACCGTATTGGACACCGTCGAAGCCGACATAGAAACATTCTAAGATGAATGACCCGCTGGAGAAGCCCTTGTCCTTTAGTTTCTCGGACGCGGGATTAGATGGCCCAGTTAGCTGTGGCGACAAAACTTCGCGACCACCTGTCACTTTAATGATTCGATACCTCCATCAAATTAGCTGAGTGCCGTCTTGTGTTTTGAAGACACTTACAATTGCATTTGGTTAGTGCTCGTATCCAGCACCTCTCCTCCTGTCTTAAATATGTGCCAGAGATCATCGAAGAAGACTGTGCTTGATTTGTTCTTGATCTGAAGTGCATCTATTTTCGGTTGCAAATGGAGGTCTAGCATTTTACAGAGAAGTTCTAGGTGGTTTCGAGCTTCGTCCGCCTCTATCTCTCGGGCTGCAGAGTGTAATTGTAATTCCGTCGTGTCCGGCTCCCCGTTAGGTACATTCTGCCCAGTAGGTCCTATTTACCCATTAGTTGTAAGATTCATGCCTCATTTAGGTATCTCTCCAATAATTACCAAGTAACTTTCTTTCTAACTCGTCGAGGCGAGTCCGTATACTCTTAGCATGAGTAATCAAAAGTTTGAATGGCTTCATGAAAACTAGGATGTGTTCATGCGGTCCGACGACCGTACTGAGTCCGGTGATATCTTTGAGTAGCTTGATAAGAACGCGAGATCTGATACGAATTCGATGGGGAGCACGAGATCTGTCGTGCTTTACCGTAATTGAAGACCTCTCAACCTGGTCAGAATCTTCCTGCGCTGATCCCGTTTTCCAGCGTAGGCCATCTTGCTGGGCTTTGGTATTTGTATGGACAGCATGTACAGCTGGTTCTTCCATTAGCATCTCGATTACATATCTCGATTTTGAGTCTAGTTCTGGTCTGTGCCTCCATGATGATGACGATGATTTTGGATCAACGTCTGCAGTTTTGCCGAATTCAGGCCAGCTCAACTTCTTTATCTCTACTTTATTGGATGGGGGAGCTAAGCCTTCTTTTAACTTAGCATGCTTGGTCGGTTCGTCAAGAATTCTGCCGAGTTTCTCCTCGATATCTATAATTCGATGCTCAATCAAATCAGCGTAGGCTTTTGATTGCTGTAATCGCATATCAGCCTTTTCACGTCGCTCATCAAGCTTGTGGTTGTAACCGCGGTATCTGGAAAAATATGTTTTTCGAGCAAGTCCGTGAGCATCTTCCTCCTTTGCTAGAGCTTCATTGTCTTCATCGACCTGTAGTTCATCTTGGTCCTTTCCTAAGTTGTCTTTTCCGTTGTTTGCTCTGGCTGATACTTCTGGTAAGTCTGTCGTTGGGAGGGATTCGTTCTTATCTTCCATAGTCTCCTCAAAAGGGATCTTTTTCGAATCGTTGAGCATTTCTGGGCTATTTGCCATGGTAATGGAAGTCATTCTGGCTGCTCGATTTGGGCAATATTTGAGCAATAATATGCTCCCCACAATGCAGAACAGTACAACAGAAAACGAAGAGAGAGAAATGTGCTAACTCGGCTTTTGGCGGGGATCTCAAAGCGCGGCTCTTAAGATAGACCAGTGAGGAGCTGCAACTCAGCCTACATTTTGGGAGTAATAAATCAAGCATTGCCCTTGTCCTTTCCGTCATCTGCAGCCTGTCGCCAATTCTCCCAAAAGGGGTAGCTGATCATCTGTGATGGTAACACAAAGACTTGAATGATTGGTCCGATTTCAGCTGAGGCTGGTTGGTAAGCATGCATATATAGACAAGGTGTCCTATTGGTGTATAGCTCGCACTGTCATGCAAGTCTAGGATCAGTTATCGATTTGGTGTGGAATATATTAATAACTTGGAACCATGAGCACTGGGGGCCATGTATCTACTCATTAGTACGTACCTAGCAGGCATACTCGAAAGAAACTACCTAATTTACGCAAGGATGTACTAATCTATAGTAATTATAGCGAGTTATCCTTTTCTCTGGCACTTTCTTCCTGGCTCAATAATCTCCATGGCTGAAGTTATGAATACTAGTCATGGGAACCGAGAATCGGAACTTGAACAATCTCGGCCCGTCAGCTAACGCAGTCAACGGAAACGTCGAAGTTAGAGACCAACACATAAACCAAAGTCGAGAGGTAAATGTGTCAATAATCATCAACAATTGTACACACGAGACTATACTCAGAGAACCTCCGTTAGCACCAACAAATGCCGCCGCTGCATTCCTTGGTCAAGGGCCGCGACTTGGTTCCGATCAGAGGACCGTCGTATTTGATGATCGGCTTGGTGAATATATATACACTGAAGATTCAAAAAGCCTGACTACCTACCTGTATGTATACTACCTATATACCATAAAGTTGAATTCGCTAACTTAAATAGTTTCAATCTATGGGATAAGACTCTACCTTTATTGAGTCAGCTCAATGACATTGAATCTAAGTCTTGTATGAAATCGAGAAGCAAAGGTTCCCGAAACTTATACACCCCCAGGGACCCCTTGGAGAGCGCAGAGATTTCGATTCAAGAGTCAGTAACAGAGTCATTACGTTACTCCAAAAATGTCTACACTACTCGGTCGAATGTCTCTACTCTCCTCATTGATATAAAGAAAAACTTGGTATATTATATATCCTGGATCAGACTACTACCGCACGACGGTAAATATGGTCTTTGTGGTAAGGGACCCATTACTTCTACCAATACATGTACCTACATACCTGAGTATCTATCTAACATAGCTCCTTTACAGCACCGTTCGAATATATATTATCTGTTGGTCTCGACTTTCAACTTGTGTACTGAATGATGCCTAACCCGATGTCGGTAGGACGTATCAAACAGCACAAAGATAGACTCAACGACCCTTAAAGTGCTGGCCGATATCACCATTGCCTTCTCCCAGGCCAAGGACTATATGAAACTCTATACAGCGCGTCAACTAACGATCTCACTACACGAACATACTGCCGATATATTCAGCAGTCTAGTAGTGCTACTCGAAGAATTGCTCAATTGTGCAAGGTCTAAGATCAGTCTGACAGGTGTGTTGCTTAGGGCTCTAATAGGTACCTAGACTCAAATATTAACCCCATACAAGATAAACAAAAGCACACCTTGGAAATTCTAGTTAAGTCATTCAACAACTTCATCGATAAAACCGACGATGTGGCTAGACGTACGAATAACTCCACCTTGCATGACGGTTACAGTTTACGTAACCGAGATCAGAAGCTTGATATCCTTCATCATTTCGTGGGGTTACTCGAGCCTCGTGCTAGCAGATGCCAGGATGTATCCGATGAGGTGGGCACGGGAGTAGAGGAATATCGTAAGACTCCCTTACATGATTACGATATGTCTATAAACACTCACATCCTGCAGAACATAAACTTGACCGATTGACACGGTATCTGGCTTACGATGGAGATCAGACTATGAAGGACATCCAGAAACTGGCATTACCACAGGACATTGAAAGTTATCATATGGATAGGCTGACCGGGCTGACGAAACAACCCGAATTTCAAAGCTGGTTGCAGGAAGACAAGATGTCAACTCGTCTACTGATACAAGGAAACTTCGAAACCTCTGGCATAAATTCGCCTCTATCCCACTTATGTGCTCGCTTTCCGAACGAGTATCTCCGCAGAGGCCAAACCGGGATCATATTTCTTCATTACTTCTGTCGCATTCAATTGAGTCGCAGAGGAATGATGGCGAATGCATGCGATATTGCGAGCAACTTAATAGGTCAGCTTATCCACAACTCTCAATTAGCATCTCACATTCGTATCGGCTATTTGAAACCGATGCGTATGAAGAAGATCAAGAAGCAGAACTTCAAGCAGACCATTCAGTTGTTTTTTGAAATTCTTAGTCAGATTAGCGATGAGAGTCTTGTCATATTCTGCTTCATAGACTCTATCTCGGCCTATGAAAGTAGTAACAAGCTCAGAGAAACCCTTGAATTCTTCGAACGACTTTGCAACTTCCTCGAACCAAGATCTAGCCGAAAGAGAAAAGGAGAAACAAGAACCAATATTATCTTCAAACTTCTCGTGACGGAGGCAAGAAGGACGAGTCACGTTTACAAATACTTCAAGCGGCCTGGAGAAACCTTGAACATGCACGAATGATTGATCATGAGAAAGACAATGGCCCTGGGCTCGATTATAATGAGTTATGTTCGTAAGGTACATAGATTATGAAAGGAATCGTGGAAACAATGCCTGTGTGAAATAGCCATTGTTAACAAACAGCCTCGACCGAAAATCGTGTATATAAACCCGAGCCGTCCTCGTAGAGCTCGAGAAATCCAATTCATCATCACCATCACAACAAACCAACTCATTCTAACTATCTCCCTAAAAACTCAGAACCCTAAATCCAAACACATAACTAAATATCCAAATTCTACATCACCATAACCATGTTCCAACAAATCAACCTCACCTCCCTCCCCCTCTTCAGCGAGCTCGAGCTCCCCCAATTCATCAGCGCCGCACCCCGCGGGTGGAAGTGCTGCCAGGACGGGCAAACCAACGCCATCGGCACGGAGAAGTGCCGGCGATGCGAGCACAAGAAGTGTTCCGACTGCGTCGTCGACTCGGTCGAGTCCGATGCCACACCTCTCAATGTCGATTCCGACTCCGACTATGAGTCCGAGTAAGTCAGTAAGTCTGCCACTAATGTGTGCGCGTGTAAGATAAGTATTCCATCCAATACTCAAAGTGACTTATCTATGTCCATCTGTTGAGTTACTCTGGTAAGTGTCTAGATAGATAGACAGACGTGCACCTAAAGAGCCTGCCCGAGGCAAAAAGGGCATTATCTCCCGAATTGTTTGCTGAGTTTGACACTCAGCAATTCTAGCAGCGTAGTGCTAGAAGTATTTAACTCCAGAAAATATAACTAACTCCACCCCGAAACTTACCCCTGATATTAGTCTTCGCTATATGTATACCTATGTCTTAACGTGATATGATATTATAACCATGCAATTGTCCTCAGCTTTCGAGCTGAAAAGAACCGGCAAGTAATCTTTCGTGTAACCTCCCCATGACATGATTTTCGTAGTCCCCTTCAAAGACGCCGACGAACAAAGGACCCGCACAAATAAACACACACCAAAACACCATTCTCAAAAGAAGCAGATGTAACGAGGAAGAATTGCAATATATTCGTATTATACCGATTGTACCGAGCCCCTCCGCCATCCATCCCGCGATTTCATCCACTCGTATGCATTCGTCTTCAACTTAATCCCCTACCCACGTACCCCAAGGCGACAAACCCAGGACACAAGTACGTACAGGTAAGCAGAGAAAGCCACCGTCAACACGAGAGGAAACATCGCCAAAACCACCAAACCCCAACCCCTCCCCCTTTTCCCACATTCGTAAAGACTAAGTAGTTAGGCGCAATATAGACAAGAACAGGGGCAGCGACCCCACCAACCCATCATCAGCTCGGCGGATTTAAAATAAAAAGAGTCAGACCCATTCATCCCCCATCCGCCCACCCATTCAATCAATCAATTCCACACGCGCCGCGGGAAAAAAAGGAAGAACGCAGTAATCAAACGTCAGGTAACTTCATACAAGCAAGCTCATCATAACGCGTCTCAACAGAAAAAAACGGGGAGCATTCAAGAATGTACTTCGAATAGTAGACGGGGAACACTCGAAAAAAGGCTACCCCTCAAATTCCTAACGGATGGCTGGGTGGGTGGGTGGACATCGCGCCTCGATCGGAGGGGCCACAGCCGTCGGGAATAGCGAAAATCGTCTTAAACAAGGAAGTAATGACCGGGGAATCGGGTTGGTATCAAGAGGGCAGGGAAAACAAGTAAAAAAAAAAGAAGAGCCGGACGCCACGAACGCCTCTAACGCCATCTCCAGGGGTTTCCGAACGATAAAAATAACTTTGGCCGGGTTAGGGCGGCATTTGGCGGATGGTATGTAGATGATAGATGAAGGTGTAGAAATAAGAGCGCGGGGTTAAGATTGAGCTGTCGCTATCGCCATATGTATTTATGGATGATTGGATTGGCCTCTCTATTTCTTGAGCACGGCGTCGTAGATGCTCAGTATGCCGGTGATGGCGGTACCGGTTAAGATACCCTTGTAGCCACCGTATATGGCGGTGTTGATGCGCGCGATGGATGTCTCGTCTATCCAGCCACCAAAGGTGAGGCCCTGGTTGTAAACAACGTATGAGATCAGAGCCTTGGTAATGCTGAAAGATAACGGGTCGACAACCGGGTCATATGCGTGAGAGCGACGACCGACGCGACCGTGGTGGGAGCTGACAGACAGGTTGATAAAGTAGCCGGCGATGCTAGGCAGGATTGCGCTGGTAAAGGCCCAGAGCAGCGCGGGCGACCAGAACGAAGACGTCAACAACAAAAACATATCCGGGACGAAAACGGGGAAGTCCTTAGTTCCGAGGAACGCTACGGCCGGGATAGTAAACGCGTAACGGTCTGCCAAGATCTCGGGGCGCAAGAAGTAAAGCTCGAATACGGAAATGGCGAAGAGCACCGAAGTCACAGTCGACAAGCTCTCGCGCGTCGCCTGGGTTGCTTCAGTAATGCCGGACTCCCTGTATAAGGTCGCGACGCGTGCCTTTACGGCGATTGTAGAGCGGTCGACAGCCTCTGCGACATCCGCAGGTGTAGCGGGTAGTGGGATGCGACTTGCGAGAGAGAGCGCGCGACTAGGGGTGCGCGCAGGAGTACGCGCGACGGCAGTGGAAGGCTCATCATCAGAGCTGTTCAATATCGTTAGTGGATGTATCTAATAGCTGTCGCAACTCGCGACGCGACTTACTCGATAGGTGGAGGAGGCATCTCGTCCGCGGCCTTGGTCGCTCGTCGTCTCACAGTCCTGGGTCTCTCCTGTACGTCATCATTGGCCGGAGAGATAATTCTCATGCTCTTCTGATAGCGATTCTGATAGTAGGGGTGGAGCTTGGGATCGAGCGAGAATACTTGCTCGTTCGCACCCAGGTAATCGTCGAGGGCGAGCTCGAGCTCGGATTTCTTGAGGGATTCGAAGCTATTTAAAGAAACAAAGCGATATGTTAGCCATGTGGTTCTTGTCTCGGAACGGAGCGCAATATTGGTAATCGTCTCTTATTGCCGTCCCGCATTCCAGACGGAGCCGGAGACGGAGAGGGCGATGCAATTAATGATCTATGATATCTCACGACGATATCTGTATATCGACGAGTCACGGACATTTTGCGCAATGACATGGCACGGCAGGACAGGATTGGGCATCAATAGCAAATTAGAGATTGGTATTCTAGTAAAAGGAACATACTTCTTTAGACCATATTGTTGAGCGATCTCAACGAGGTCTGACTTTCGCTGCCTCTGCAGCCAAGTGTTTGCACCGGACATTTCTTAGGTCGCAAGGTCGCAGACGTGGGGAACGGGGGAGAAATGGGATTGATGGAGTCGCGCAGAACAGGCGATCAAGATACGATGATTTTCAAGAGATTATCAGTAAGTGGTCCGTGACGTGACTGGGGGGGCAGGTATATCGATGGATGATGATAATGATGGGATATTGATTTGCACCGTGTTGCGTATTGCGTATTGCGTGTTGCGAGGGGCGCGCGTGTGTGGTAATGGTGGGAGGGAAAAGAGGCTGGCAGGCCGAGACGCTGGAAGCTGGCTTGTTTATGTTTTCTTATTTGGGGCTGTTGACGTGCAGGTGCTTAGGTAGTGCCGTAGCTGGTGCAGGTGCAGGGTCGAGTTGGTCGAGTTGGTCGAGGACAGCACCGGTGGAGCTGCCACTTGCTGCTCGACGGTAGGCTTTTTGCTGGGATTGTGCTGGGGTCTTGATGCGTTGATGCGTTCGTTCTTACCCCGGGAGAGCCCGGGAGTGACAAGTCTGCAAACTTATAGCAGGTACATCCAGTAAAGTATCAAGTATTCCGTTTTAGAGTGGGAAAACAGGGGACTGCTAGTCCACCGCGTTGTCAGCTCCCGCGCTTCCACTGTCAAGGTGTCATCGTCCTATTTAATCGTTGTGAGAGGTGGAGACGAGAAAATTTTAAGCTTCGATGTTTCATCAATTCATCAATTGAAAATTCAAATCCTTCAGAAGTTTTTTTAATTGGAGGTTGAGGAGTTTAGTTGTTTTCATTCAGAAGTTCGGATGATGCTAATGAGAAAGTGATTGTTGGCCTTAGGGGTATTTAATCTTTAAGGGGACCTATACTGCCTGTCTAGGTACTTACCTACCTGGCACTTGTATATTAGGTAATAGTCAGTATGTAGTTTACGTAGGTATTAAAGAGAACATAGTATATTATTCGAGAAGCGCATTTATTCCTTTTCATGAAGCTTTTTTCAATTCATATAATTATGTAAAAGCTTCCCAACTTTATTCCATTTGCGGCTTTTATTTTTCCTGGTGATGGACCCCCTTATACCAGATGCTAAATCATAAACCCCTCTTCTCCTATAAATCAACCCAATTGACAAATCTCTCGTCGCCTCTCTTTACTAATCTAATAGGAACGTATTTATTGCCGTGGAGTTTAAGCGTGATCACGCTTGTAGCAAGTTTGACAGTTTCCCTCGACTTTCGTTGAGCCGTCTTATACAATTTCGCCTTCTGGTCTTTGCTCATGTTGGATACTTTGTCATCGTTCGCCCACTCGTCTACCGCAAGCTCAATGCTGTATTTCTGGAAGATGACTGCCAGAGTGGCCACTAACTCCACGATCGCCATGCGTCGACCCAAGCACGCTCTTGCGCCGTCCGAGAAAGGGATGAATGAGCCCCGAGGCGGGTGGTACAGTTGGGCGCTAGTGTCGGATCCGGCGTAGCCGCCAAAGTCCTCTGTGTCCGCGCCCTCAACAGCGGTACTGGAATCCTTTGCTGATTCCGTTTGGAACCATCGTTCGGGTACAAAATCGTCTAAGTCCGTCTCGGCATTATTTATTCTACTCGGTTTATTCGGCCAGTACTTGGGACTGCGTTGCGAGGCAACGACGACTAAACCGATGGTTGTATTCTGAGGAAGTGGATGCTGCGTTCCTCCAATAGTGAGAGACTGACCCTGCGCTGAGGTAATCTTCTTTGGTATGTCAACTACAGGAGGAACTAGCCGGAGAGTCTCATTGATAGCAGCGCCGACCATTGACCCAAGCAGAGGGTTAAGTTTCGCATCATAGTCCCATGCTTTTGGATCCGTGTCGCCTAAAATATTGTCTATATCCCGTTGTAGTCGCCTCTGCGAAGCCGGGTTGGTGGCCAGTTCAATCATGGCAAAATGAAGAATGTTGGCCGTGGTTTCATGGCCTGCCACAATATTAATGAAGGCATTACCGATGATCTCCGAATCGGATAATCGTGCGATCTGGGATCCGTTCTTCGGGCTTTCCCCGTAGCTCGTCCGGACCAGCGCGCCCATTATATCTAGGCCTTGTTCCATATAGTCTCCATTCCTCACATCCTCGATCTTATCTTGCAAAAACTCATTTAGGTAGCCTACAAGATTGCTTTCTGCTTCTACGGCAAGTTTTGCAGTCTTGCTAGGAAAGTTCTTGAGAATCCACTTTGGCGTGATGAGAAGCAAGATTAGATAATCTAGAGTGTGCGCCAATGCTTTTACAAAAGTCATTGTGTGCCCCTCGGGAGCATCCTGTGTGGCGTACTTGGCCAGTCTCGGATCAGCGTCTGCCGGGAACTTTTGGCCAGGCCACAGGATCTTGAGACCAAACCCGATGTTTGCGATGATGTTAAGCGTGAGAGATGCTGTGTCCCGTTCTAACGTATTAATTGTCTTGTTTCCTAGCCCGTCGGAGCCAAGCCACATGTTCATGAGCCCTTCCGTCTGACTAATGGATTCTTTAAATACTAGGGCGGCATTCTTCTCGTTGAAGGAGGCAGATGTGATCTTGCGGTGCATGCGCCAAGCGGCGCCTTCCAACGTTAACACGTTCTGGCCATACTGTCCGAGGATTGCGTAGGCTTCTGTTGGTTTGGGGAACGCTTCTCGCTTCGATGTAACTTGATGAAGAACCTCTGCGTTTTCGGTATAGCATACAACCATACCCGGCGAGACAATCAAAAAAGTGTCTCCCAACTTAGCGAATAATTTATGGTTCTCCTCATATTGCCAGTTTGTATATAGAATACTGAGTCGAAAATTATTAGATTGTTGACATCAATACTATGAATACCGGGGGTTCTCACGGTTCAACCTGTTCCCAAAATTGGCGGGGCAGGAGTTTATACATAGGAACCCAAACCCCATTTAATATTTGCCCTATTCGATTCCAGGGACTAAGGGCTATGCGGGTATGTTAATATTTTAAAAAGTATAGTTTATATTGAGACCTTTAGAGAATTGAATTCTAGGTATGGTCTCTTAAATAGGGGAGTTGAGTTTGTTGTAGTTGTACTTACGGACGACATAATAAGGTAGACCGGATCGTTTCGCGGCTGCGATATTATTCCTGAGTCCCGATACTATGTTGAATATACAATATGAAATAGCTGCACCTAGCAGCAGAAATATCGTGGAAACCATCAGAAAAGTTAGCACTATCAACCGTATTTGAACGTGGTCCACTGGCGTTCGACTTTGCGCAACTAGCACACGGCGGGGGATTAATTTAAGTCTGTGCCGACTCTAGCATAGGCCTTAAAGAAGTGTCGAGGAACATGAATTACTATGGATGTATTAGTTATTCGAGGAATGGGGGGTTCTGTTCTCTAGATTCAAATGTGAATTTGTATGCTCAGCAATAGGACTTGCGTGAAAATTTTATCAATTAGAAAGATTATGGTGTAGGTAGGAAGATGAAGAAATAGAATGTGTAATCATTAAGAATATATTGGTTTAGGGGAAGGGAAGGAGAGGTCATTGCTGTTGGACCTAACGTTTCGGGTCCCTGACATCCCGTGCGCTATCCAAGATGCTGCATCCGCAATCCGCAAAAACCGTCTGATGTTGCCTCTTACATCTTTAGCTCTCCGCATATAGTAGGTTCATAGGAGCTATTCTCGTGCTAAAACCCGGTTGAGAGGCAACGTTTTTATTACCGCCACATCCCCCTCAATCCACTGGCACTGGCACTGTCTCCTGGTTTCAAGCCTTACCCATGTTTTGAGGATCAAATCCCTTTGCATATCTGTTTACATCTCCGCCTATCTGTAGACTAATATCGAGTCATGTATCCATACCTTTTTGAAAGAAGGATTCGCCAATGATTATGATTATATCATCTCTCATCGTATATGAGATCCATCCGATCTATTACCTAGTAGTGTTGGCTACACTAGAGCTCGCCTGGCACCCCGTAGGAGGTGCTGCGCTTTAATTAGCAAAAATACAAGTAATTGCGTATGTAGCGAAGTACTTATACGTATAAAAACTTTCTATACGATTTACATATAAGAATACTTGCCAAGGCTGCCATATTAATGAAGTATTTAAGATAAGATTAGGAGAGAATCTTTCGGAATAAAAAGTATTTTGCTAATACCTGGTCTTTTTGCTACTTAATTAAAGCGCAGCACCCCCTAAGGGATGCCAGGTAAACTCTATCTAGTAGTGTAGCCAGCACTAATAATGAATGAAGATGGTTTATTTTAAGAACCAGTTTCGAAGTTCAATTTGTATTACTTCCAAGACTTCCGGTGATACAATAAACGTTGTGGCGTCTATGTAGTACAACTCTATTTAACGGTTTCTTGCCGAATGTAGAACGCCACTTCCGTCGCTGAAGATTTTAGGGATCTCTCCGGACTTTAGCCGAAGCTCCCAATCAGAGCGTATGGAGCATTGGGCGGAGGCGCCGGAGCGGCGTGGCTTGTGTAAGATGGCTGGAGGTGGCTAATATAACAAGGTGGCAGGTGACGAGGTTATATCAGATCTCGGAAGGGATCCGATTGGATTCCTTCTCTTTCCTTTCTTTTTTATGATATTAGATAATAATCCAAAGCAATTTAGATCCGAGGAGTTACTCCCCGCGCGGAGCGGAGTCGCGGGCAATTTCATCACTGACGTAATTGGAGCTGAAACATCTCCAGACTCACATTACTTAAGTATGGTTGCGTCGATCCTCTTCTGAGTGGCTTACAATTATCACACCTAGAAGCTTGAAGAACAACAACAAAAAGATCAAAGCGAAGTATGACCTGGATTTCGAATGTTAAGCGATTACATCGCAATAATGTCTCAACTCTGCGTAGCTCTCCGGTTGCCGAGATCTCAGGCGCACTTGGTGATTTGGGGACTCTCCTCCCGCTAATGATCACCCTCGCCGTCAACGGCTCAATCTCGCTTTCTACGACACTTGTATTTTCAGGTTTCTATAATCTCGCAACCGGTGTTGTATTTGGCATTCCCTTGCCAGTACAGCCAATGAAAGCTATCGCAGCAGCAGCTATAGCGTCAAAAGCCTCAGAACGCGAAACCGTGGCGGCAGGCAGCGTCGTAGCTATCATCGTGTTACTATTAAGCGTCACAGGTCTATTGCATTGGGTTACACGCATAATTCCCATTCCAGTCGTTAAGGGTATTCAGTTCGGCGCCGGCCTTTCTTTAATTATTTCGGCAGGCAGCTCTCTACTACAGCCTTTCACCCATCACTGGACATTCGCCCTGGACAATCTCGTCTGGGCCTTTGCCGCCTTCCTGCTGCTCATCTTGACGCAGAGGGCATCCCGATTCCCGTATGCGCTAATCATTTTCCTCGTTGGCCTAATCCTCGCTATCATTTCCGTCGCCACGAGCCACCACCACCATCTCCCTCATTTCCGCGTCTGGCATCCATATGTTGAAATTCCGAAATGGAGTGCGGATGCTATCGGGATGGGTATCGCACAACTGCCACTTACAACGCTGAATTCAATCATCGCCGCAAGCGCTCTCGCCGCAGACCTCTTACCTGACTTACCGACTCCTAGCGTTACTGAACTCGGCATCAGTGTCGCTATTATGAATCTTCTGGGATGCTGGTTTGGCGCTATGCCTGTATGTCACGGAGCCGGCGGACTCGCAGCACAGTACCGATTTGGTGCACGAAGTGGTGCTAGTATTATTTTGCTAGGCTTATTCAAAATGCTTCTGGGAATCTTATTCGGCGAATCATTATTGGACTTACTGAAAGCGTTCCCCAAGACCCTACTAGGTATTATGGTCATCGCGGCCGGCTTAGAGCTGGCTAAGGTGGGCCAGAGCCTGAATTATGGTGCCCCGGATTTGTGGGAAGCCTCAGTTGATCAGCCTCAACGTCTGCACAGAAAACATCGGGACGTTTCGGATCAGGAGAGGCTGGAGAGATGGACTGTTATGCTTATGACTACGGCTGGTATCCTAGCTTTCAAGAATGACGCTATTGGATTTGCGGCTGGGATGCTCTGCTATTGGGCGTACAAGTTTGCGGATTGGGTAGAGAAGAAACGAGGACATAGGTCGAGTGAGAGGGCACCGCTGTTACACACTTGAGTATTGTGTGTATCAATTTTCCACGTGTGTTCATTTATGCTCATTTCACGAAAGCAGGCGAACGTATTCTATGGGGTTATGGGTTATGATAGCGTATTGGGCGATGGTTATATGAGTGTGATTAGGAAAAGTTAGATACGTCGTCTTTTAATTGTGTTTTAATTGAACATCAATCGGAGTTATATAAGGCCACTCTACCAAGTACCTAGCAAAAAGATACTCGCGTTTCAGTTTCGGTTACCACTGTCACAAACAACTGTGTTTGTACTTCCAAGACAGGTGTTCTTACCATGCCTGACGCCGAATAAACTCACATATTTCCGTACCTTTACACATAGTATATCTCTTTGAAAGATTGTGTTTGGCAACTATCAACAGGATACGCATGAACTAAATAAAATTTACTCGCACAGTGCCCCTTTATACTTGAAATGCTTAATTATTGGTGTTGGATACATAATGTATCCGCCTAACAAATTTAAACTGTTTGACTTCAGAACTATTTCGTACCAAGAGCGTAAAAATATGATTCCGACTCCGGCACCATACCCCAAAGTACTTAGTTACTTCCCAAGTTAAATGCAGATGGTCTTAGCGTCAATATTGAAGCAGGGAACCCAGCACAGCTAACAACCTAAAGCGTCGATTAGCTTGGTTTTGTCAGCCAATGATAGGCGGCCAACAAGCTCTACCCGAACTTATCGAAGGTGCAGAACCATTACCATTACAGATTAGTGGCTCGCAAGGGTGTTAGCGGGGAATCAATTTGCAAGGAAGTTTCCTTCTGTTTGGCAGTTCTGGGTCGCTCTGGCACTGTCAGGCCACTGGCATTTGCTGTATTTTTTTTACGTTGCGGGAAGGCGGTCACCCATCCTAATCCCTCCCGACTGGGCAGTACCTTACTCCATCGTCACCCTTCACGCTTTTCAAAGCTTCAAACTCCACAGACCGGCGAGTCATAGACGAAGGAGCTGTCGTCAATTCAACAGCGATGACTTCGTCCAACCTTGCCGCGGCCCATTTTGGTCGCCAGCCACCACATGGTTCTCCCCAGCCAAGTATGCCGCCCGCAGCCGATCGAGATCCAACGCCTGCGGCTACAAATCCCGATGCGAATGCGCCAATACAAATTTTGAATCAACGAGACATCTACCGCGACGATCCTCACGCTCACGATGTTCACTCTATGCCCTCGCCCCCTACCGTTTCCCCCCTATCCACTCCGGCGGCAACCCAAATGAATATTGGCGATAATGACGATATTCCGGATCTCCCTACCGGAGCTCTACCACCTACTAATGGCGCCACCGATTCTTCTTCGGCCGTCCAGATAGCCTCTGTTAATCTTGGATTAGCTACCGACAACTTTCCCATGAAACTTGGTCATGCCCAATTACAAGACCAAACGCCCCTATCGCGCAACCAAGTCCAAGCCGTTGCGACTACCGACCCCGAGCCGACGAATATGGACTATTCGTCACGTACCATGAACTCTAGCATGAGGCATAGTCAGGGTACTATCGATCCAAATGCGTACATGATGAACATCTCCCAGGCTCCCACACCTGTCTTTCAGAATCCAGGTCCTTCCATCGTGGCCCCTTCTGAAGTCTCGCTACAGGCTTCGTATACCCAGGAAAGCGATGTTGTAACAACCAGCGGTGACCATACATCAACTAGCGCGAGTCAGAAATTAGAGTCGTTTGCCAGAATAGAATTTGCCGACAGTGTATTTCAGATGACCACCTACGCTGTTATCATTGGTCGCGACCAAAGGGCCATGGACCAAGCCAGGAGAGACGCAAAAAAGGAGTTGAACTATAAACGGAAAGTGGAAGAGAATGCAAGGAATGGGTTACCACCCCCCACGCCTCTCAACTTTGATCGAGGTAAATTTAGTAAATCCTACGTTAGTGAAGAAGGCGGTATGCTAGGTCCCGAGTCCGACGGAGAGGATAACGAACAACCAGCCAGGAAGCGCCGGCCGAGTTCCTCGCATAGATCTCAAAACGGTGATGATGATGCCCAAAGCGATCATGTTAAATCGAATAGGCAATATGTCTCACATACCCCTGGAGCGGCTGCGGTTGATTTGGGCACCTTGCAGCCATCGCCATCTCACATCCCCTTCGTTGGTATCCATTCGCCCGGGCCAGATATTGCGAATAAAACACGCGGCATATCAAGACAACATCTCAAAGTTGAATTTAATGAGAAGAGAGGCGTCTTCGAGGCCGTTGCCCTCCACAAAAACGGGTTCTTTTGTGACGATAACCATTACGGACTCGATGATCCGGTTACCCTTAGGAGTGGAGATAGGCTGCAAATTAAAGATGTTGAATTCAGGTTTGTTGTTAATGGCGTTCAACTAGGCAAAACTGGCGGCGAGGAATACCACGAGGAAGAAACATCGAGTAAACGTATGTCTATTGGAGGCAAGGAGATGAGTTTTGATTTTGAGCACTCGGATCATGAGAACTTTCGGGATACGAGCGAGGAACTATCGGATATTGAAAATGTGCCAACCCCTCCTGCCGGGTCCGCCGGGTCCGATGATGGTGAAGGAGACCAGGACGAAGATCAGGAAGCGGTCGACGCGCAATCTGACGAGGCAGATGAGCCGATGGCTGACGTGACCGAATCAACTGGCATCCAGGACATGGCTCACCCCCAATTTATGACTCCTGATCTTCCCAAGCGTCGAGGCCCGGGGCGACCCCCTAAGGATGGTATCATGTCGAAGAGAGAGCGACGACTGCTGAAGAAACAGATGCAAGAAACCTCTAAGAAGACTATACCCCAAATTCCTCTAGAAATACAGAGCGAGAAGATAAAACGGCCAGTGGGTCGTCCTAGGAAGAATCCTCTACAGGAGGAAGGGGAGAAGCCAGAGAAGAGGAAATATAACAAGCGGAAGCCGAAAGAGGATGGCGAAGAGGGCTCTGATGCAGATAGACGTGCGAGGGAGAAGAAAGAAAAGAAAGTCCGACCAAAATCTCCGCCGTTGGAACTTCGAAAGGAGGACTTCACTGAGGAACAACTCCAGAAGCCGACGAAGAATTACGGTGTTTTGATTGATGAGGCATTGACGAATGGGCCTCCGGACGGACTGACCCTCAAGCAGATCTATAAACGGATTATGTCCAAATATCCTTGGTTTTATTTCTCTGCTGAGACAAAGGGGTGGGAGAGCAGTGTTCGCCATAATTTGATTGGAAACGAAGCCTTCAAAAAGGCCGAGGGTACTGGATTATGGTCTCGCGTTCCTGGTGTAGAGCTGGACGCTGGAAAGAAGCGCAAGCCGACTTCTCCTGATCGACAACTTGGATCAGCACATCTACACTCGCATATGCCGACGCATCAACAGTACTACCAGAACGGTTCTTACATGCCAGCGAACAACCACGGGTACTCTCATAACATACCCAACTACACAGCCGACCATAAACACTTACAAACAGGATATCAACCTCATGGCCAGTCTAACCAAACCCTTTCTACCCCATCCTCACAACCGCTCGCCCAGCAAGTATACCCGTCACAGACTCCGGCACCTGCACAGTTGCCTGCTGGGTACCTCTCCAGGCAATCTAGCAATCCTCAACAGAGTACCTATAGCTCACCTTACGCAAAACCACCTCCTCAAGTTAACCCTCCCATTAAATCAGAGGCTGCTGCTACGCCCAACCCTCAGACATTGCCTACAATGCCAGTACAACAGCCCGCCGTACAGCCTCCATCCCAATACCAGCAGCAGGCTGTATCAAATGTTCCTGATAGTACGACACGGCCGCCACTATCACCGGAGATCGAGAAAGCTATCGCCCAATTCAGAGCAAACATGCTCGGTGTCATATCGAAACAGACCCACCACGCTGCGCAAATCATTGATTCGGCTATAAGTCGTGCGCGAGGCTTACCTGTTCATACCAGTGTACCTCCAACCTTCGAATCGGTTGAGAAGACTCTAATAAACGCAGTATCAAACATGATTAGCGAGATGCAAGCTAAACAGCAGCGGCAAGCGACGTCCGCATCTCCCGCACCAGCCGCACCTCCTGTTGCAAAACTAACCCCGGCACCAAGTGCACCAACTCCAAGTCCAGCACCAGCAACCAGTTTAGATACCGAAATTCAACGGAGAGTTAGGAATTTCCGAGACACAATGGTTGTCGCTCTTAAGAAGAAGACAGACCAGGCAGAGGTTATTGTTGACTTGGCTATAAACCGAGCACAAGGCTTACCGAACACTGGTCCCATTCAAGGGTGGGAAGAAGCAGACAGGCTGATGGTCAAATCTGTTACACAGATAATCGCGGACGCGCGGAGGGCCCATAGTCTCCAATCGCAACCTGCACCAGCAGCGATCTCTCAGTCAACCCCTCAGCCTCAGCCTTCGCAACAAGCCCCGCGGCAGGGACCATCTGCATCTCCAGCTCCAGCGCAACCATTTACGCCTACAGCAGGCGCTCAAGCCAACTACGGAGCAGCTTTCAATGCCCCCAGTACGCAGCCCCCTCCGCCGACGTCAAAGCCAACACCACCATCAATATCTCGCCCTGGTGTCACAATTCAACGCCCAACCCCAATGGGTATTGCACGCCCCGGGGTGAGTCCAATATCTCGACCCCCTGTCTCCCGCAGGGATTCCGCTGTCGCTTCCCCGTCGGTGCCGGGTCCGACTGCAGCACCGCCAACGCACAATGTTTCTAGTCCGGCACCGCCAAGTGCAGGTGTTGTTGACCAGATTACCGGACAAAAGCGATTATATGATGACGCGTTTAGTAATAGCACTGGTCCCACCGACAGACATGAGCCTATCCAGACCCCCGCTCCAGCACTCTCTCGCGATAGTGTCGTTGATCAGATCGGGCAAAAGGGACTATACGATGGTGGGGTTAGTAACAGTAATGGAGGTAAAGAGAACCCTAAGACTATCGCACCGGCACCTCTACCCAACATGTACAGTCCAGCACCCCCGAGCGCGGGCGTTGTTGACCAGATTGCTGGTCAAAAGAGACAACTGGACGAAGGGCCCGGAAGTACAAACTCGGAACAGCCCGAAGCTAAGAAACCGGCTCTTTCTTCGGCCTAGAGGCGGATAAGTAGAATGAGCAAGTGTTTACTATATGGTCCTTATGCGGGTACTAAGGATGATTGCCGCGCTTATATGATGGATATCAATCGACAATTGGGACTTCCTTTTAGCACCGCTATATCCTTGCCTCGGATAATATCCAGCATCGAATTTTGGTCTACTGCAGCTGAGCGTATACCCATTACCTACTACTTCTATACCCCCAAGGGAATCAAGACGAGAAAAAACTAGGCGATCGGAAGTTTTTTTTTCGCGACGAGTTTCACGAGATACGAACTTCTCTTCTCTTCTTCCACCCTTCTATTGGGATGTTCCGTAGCATGGATAGGTACTTTTTTCGTGGAGAGAAATAGAATACTTGTAATAACTGGCGTATCTTCTCGACTGGTGTTTGTTTGTTTGCTCTTTTTTTGTTTTCTAAAAGTGGCTGTACTTAAGAGGCTATGAGAGGGGTTCCTCTTCTTTTTTTATTATTATCTTTGTTTGCTTGTTTTTCCGGCATGGGGTATATCCAACAGTACGCGAAGCGAGAAGAGAAGCTGATTTTTAAGACGTCGAGGTATTGGAATTAGAGGGAGAAGGGGGGAGAGGGGTGGCAGGGCTCAGAGTGTGGTAGTTAGGCACCTAGGTAGCCGTACGTTTTATCCGTCGGCGGCGGTGGGCATTGCGTAGAATTTGTACGCTGGGGTGGATGTTGACGTGGGTTGAGTCGGTAGTTAAAACGTAATGCGAAGAAATACAGTACGTGCGTATCGTACGCTTCAGCTACCTATGTGTCTTTGGGGTATGAGCATGGCTTGGGTGATTCTGTTGTGTGCTGGTTTAGGAAGCTCGTCGTTTGCATGCGCGGGTCGGATGGGGCTTGGCTACTGTGAAATGGCATTTGCTAGGTACTTGAGTGGAAGTGAAAGACGAAGGGCTTTATGAAGTTATATCAGACGAGGTACATAATGTTATCAAACATCTGCTGAAAAGCAACACGTATCAAAGTGCTAGGTTAATTAAGATCATGGCCGAGTCACCACGCTGGAGAAAATAGATTCCTTGAATGGTAAAATAATCAATTCCGATCCAAAAAGTCCTCGGAGCATATATAGCCCCTATAATCTTATGGTATACATTGCTGTTGAAGATATCATGTATATAACAAACACCGATGTTGACCGACTGTCAGGTTCATCGTAATCCCGTATACTCCCCGTAGCCGAAAAAATGCTCCAACCAGGTTGAATCCGTTGAAGCCAATGCATGCACCCACTCGCCCTATGCAACGCTTTTTCTTTTAGACTCTATATCTATCTAGTATGTCTAGATGTATCTAGGTCGGTCTAATATACCACTATAAAACATCCGCTGGTACTTTAAGCTTAGAAAAGTCCATCAATTTCGCCCGTCTCAGTATCGACGTCAACGTTCAAGTATCCAGGGGCGGTAGGCAATCCCGGAATCGTTTGGATATCGGCAGCAAGAGCATACCTATTGAATGTTAGCAAATTGTCTAGGGGACGTGATTATATCATTGTACTTACAGATAACCAGCACCTGCGGCCATCCTCACATCCCTAATCGGGACAGTGAAGCCGGTCGGTGCACCCTTAAGATCTGGGTCATGAGAGAGCGAGTACTGCGTCTTGGCAACGCAGATGGGGAGGTTACCGAAGCCCTGTTTCGTGTACGTGTCGACCTTCTTCTGAGCAAGTTCGCTGAACTCGACAGCTGCGGCGCCGTACATCTTCTGGCAGATTGCTTCCATGCGCTGCTGGATAGTACCCTCGCTTACATCGTACAGCAGCTTGAAATCCTTTGGCTTTTCAGAAGCAGCGATTACTCCCTTGGCAAGGCCGATAGCACCCTTTCCGCCTTCAGCCCAGTGATTGGCCAGGATGGCGTCCTCGGCACCGGCAGCAATAGCTTCCTCTCTCACGACAGCAACTTCAGCATCGGTGTCAGTGGAAAACTTGTTGATGGCCACGACGACCGGGCAGCCATATGACTTAGCGTTCTCAATGTGCTTCTTAAGGTTCACGCAACCGTTTCGTAGGATTTCGACGTTCTCTTCCTTGTAGACAGAGTTTAGAGGTGCGCCAGGGGCGATGGGTGGGCCACCACCGTGAACCTTCAAGGCACGAACTGTGGCAACGATAACGACGACATCTGGAACCAGACCCGAAGCACGGCACTTGATGTTGAAGAAACGCTCGCCTCCCATAGTAAAGTCAAAGCCAGCCTCAGTTACGGCAAATCCGGCCTTGGCATTGTGGTCCTCATCAGGTTCGGTACCGGCCAACTTGAGTGCCATCTTGTCGGCAAGAATAGAGCTGTTTCCGATGCTAATGTTGGCGAAAGGACCAGCGTGCACAAAGACAGGTGTGCCCTCCAACGTCTGCATCAAGTTGGGCTTGATGGCATCTCTCATGAGAGCCGTCAATGCACCTCCAGCTCCGAGATCATCACAAGTGACCGGGTCTCCTGATCTTGACGTGGCAACAACCATTCGGCCTAGTCTTTCTCGCATATCTGCGAGGCTTGTACTCATCGCTAGAATAGCCATACATTCACTAGCAACGGAGATATCGAATCCGGTCTCTCGACTCTGTCCCTTTTCGGTCGGTGCGACACCAACAGTGATGCCACGCAAGTGACGATCGTTAACATCGAGTACGCGTCGCCAGGTGATAGTTTCTGGGTCAATATCCAACCTGGCAAATCGGTGAATTTCGTCCTCGGTAAGTTCATTAGGATCAGTCTTGTCGATTCCTAGCTTCTTTAGTCGTCGGAACATGACAGGTGCAAAATTCCTCTTCCCGTTCTTTGCAGGCACAAGTCTTCGGTAGAGAGGACCATCCTTCTGCGTATTCTCGTGGAACATACGTGTCTCGATAGCAGCGGCGAGAAGGTTGTTAGCTGCTGTAATAGCATGAATATCTCCGGTCAAGTGAAGATTGAACTCATCCATGGGTATGACCTGACTGTATCCGCCGCCAGCTGCACCTCCCTTGATGCCAAATGTAGGACCTTGGCTAGGCTGTCGGACGTTGGCGAATGTTATCCGACCCAAGTGCGCTCCTAGAGCCTGTGCTAGACCCATGGTTGTGGTAGATTTTCCTTCGCCTAGAGGAGTAGGAGTAATACCAGTTACGACAACATAACGGCCATCTCGACGATGCTCCAATCGCTTCAATAGGCTAAGATCGACCTTGGCTTTGTATGCACCGTAAGGCTCTAACTCGTGATGCGCAATACCAACTTCTTCCGCTACTCGGGTAACTGGCTTCGGTTGCTGTGATCTCGAGACCTCGATATCTGAGGGGACAGGGGTGCGTAGGTTGAGAGGAAGAGGGACTATGCGTCTCTTCTTTTGCCGATCGAAGTACATCGAAGTAGAATCAACGACGTTTTGCAACAACATGGCAACAGTCATGGGACCGACACCGCCAGGAACTGGCGTAATGAACGAAGCCACCTGGGAAGCCGATTCAAATTCGACATCGCCTACCAGCCGTTGGCCGGACTTCCTGGATGCATCAGGGATGTAATTTGTACCGACATCGATAACAACGGCACCCGGTTTAAGCCATTCTCCTTTTACGAAGGCAGGCTGGCCAATAGCAGCAACAACAATGTCTGCATTCTTCAATTTCTCTTCGACGCCCTGGGTCTTAGAGTGGCAGACAGTGACAGTTGCATCGGCATTCTTGAGCAGGTAGCTCACTGGGCTTCCAACGATGTCGCTTCGACCTAGGACTACAGCATCCTTGCCCTTGAGATCAACACCTGCTTCCTCCAAGAGGACCATGACTCCCTTGGGAGTACAGGGGACGAAGAATGGGTGGCCACCCTTCTTGGCAAGCTCGCCTATGTTGGTGGTACCGAAACCATCGACATCCTTCTCATCTGCAACTGCAGAAGTGATGGTATACTCATCGATTTGCTTAGGGAGTGGCAATTGGACCAAGACTCCATGTACTGCAGGGTCATTGTTCAGGACATGCAACTGTGCCAAGAGTTCTGCTTCGGTGATATCCTCAGGGAAATGAAGAAGTTCACAGGTAATATTTGCCTTTTATGAGTCACAAATGTTAGATCACAGGATGATATGCGAGATATGATATTAAATTGTGAGATCCTACCTCCTGAGCGGCCTTGAGCTTCATTCGGACATAGGTCGCTATGAGACAATTAGTTGCGGCGCAGTTTACGAGGATAAGTTGAGTCACGACGCACATGAATCAGATCGATCACCGACTAAGAAGCAAATAAGTTAGCATTTTGACCAGGTATAAGGGTAAATAATCATTATGACAGTTAAAGCACCGACCCTGGATAATCTTGAGACATGGCTGGTACTTCGGATTAGACTTTTGCTTTTCGACTATCTCAGCTGCGAGTCTCTCCCGGATCTTCTTCGCAATTGCTGTACCGTCCAACCTAGTAGCAGCCATGGTGGGGTAACTAGTTGAACTGGAAAAGGGTCTGCAAGAGGCACGCGACAGTGAGGTAAACGACCAATGTTGTCGTTGCACAATTCCTGATGAGGCACGACTGAATAAGCTTGTACAACCTAGTTGATCCAACCCTGAAGAAGAGAGTGTGGGCTGTCTAGGTTGTCTAAGTTGTCGTGAGTACGCTGAAAACCGGGCGGTGAAAGATAACGGAATTGGGATTGGAAGATCGCAGCTAACATTAAACAATTCGCAGCTTTTTCGGGATCCGCAAAGCGGAGTTTTCATCGGCCGAGTTACACTTGTGACTGGTCGAACCTGTCGAAACATGAGTTTCTTCCTTCCTCGCAACGCTGCTTTTGGAGTTGCAGGAGGATGAAAGCTTCTTCCGATTAACCCAACCATGCTTTCCCAAGATTTTCTTAGCTTCTTTGACCCGAAGCTGTGCCGTATCTTTCCGTATTCCTTAGTGACCAATGACTCAATAAAATCTGGTGCTACTAGTGGCGTAACACACTATGGATAGAGTTTGCTTTAGGGTACAGGTACGCTGTACTATACAAGACCGGAAGTACCGATGAGAGAAAAGATCAATGCGGTAGTTGGCACCGAGTAAAACAACTTCTTCGCTCAGAGACTTAAAAATGTAAAGATATAATGCGTGTAACACAAGATCAACAAGGAGCAACTAGATGATTTATACTCCAAGTAATATAAGTAAAATAGAGATTGATGGCTGTCGCAGAAAGTTGCCAACTCTATCAGCTGAGTAGTAGTAGTATGGACTTCATCTTGCTCACTCCTCCACCGGTTGTCAAAATGAGTTGCATTATGGAAAGTTTCTTCAATGGCACGCACCAAAATAGAAAATATGCTCTTGAGATGAGATGACTCAAAGACGATCCTGATCACGGAGTCTAGTCTCTTCCTCAAACGAAAGCAATAACCCAAGGGTCAATATACTATTATCTAATTCATCCGTTGTGACATCCATGACCAGTGGATACATGGGTGCGTATTTTTACTTTTGCAAGGGTAAATAAAGTACAGTACCTGGGCTGGCTTTGAAGACTAAATATTTTGTGGGGTTATGATTGGTTATCGCAACCTTGTATTTTCCTATATACCGAGTCACGTGGCTATGAGTAACGTAGGTGGGGTCCAAGACGCTGATAGGTTATCGAAAATCTGCGAAATCTTGCCCCACGCACAAATCATTCAAAAACTCCATACAAACCACCTCTCCATCTTTAGGTGACGAGATACCAAACGAGACACCGCAAAGATGAGGCCTATTCTTCTGTCAGGTCACGTAAGAAATGCCTCCATAGCCGACATCTGGATGTTACATACTGACAAATATCTCTAGGAACGTGCCTTGACCCAGATCAAGTATGCCTTTCCCCGCGTAAAGATGACAATATTGCCCCGCGACGAGATCGTCAAACTAACCATCCCGCCTCCCTCAGATACAACCCCGACGGCGACCTTCTATTCTCCGTATCTAAAGATCAGCAGATTTGCGTGTGGTTTTCCCACAATGGCGAGCGACTCGGTACATACAAGGGCCACCAGGGTGCCATCTGGACCGTAGACGTGGACCCGACGTCGACATTCATAGCGAGCGGTAGCGCCGACAACACCATCCGCCTGTGGGAGATCAAGACTGGCCGCTGCCTAAAGGCTTGGGATTTCCCTACCGCCGTGAAGCGCGTCGAGTTCAGCGACGATGGCCGACAGCTCTTAGGTGTTACGGAGAAGCGTATGGGTCATCTCGGAACTATCGTTGTTCTAGACATTATACCCGACGTCGACGCGGAGCAGAGCGATGAGCGTGCCCTTACAATCGTCTGTGACGAGAGCAAAGCCACCGTTGCCGGCTGGAGTTACCTAAACAAGTACATTATTGCAGGTCACGAAGACGGCTCCGTCTCGCAGTACGACGCCAAGGTAAGCCGAGAATATGCATAACATAGGCAAATATTGGAAGGTTCTAATGGGTTAAATTGGTATAGACCGGAGAACAACTCGACAATGTCCCTGTACACGAACTCAACATGCAGGTGACGGACCTCCAATGGTCGCAAGATCGCACCTACTTCATTACTGCCTCCAAGGACAAGACCGCCCGACTGATGGCCGCGCGCGATCTCGAGCCCCTAAAGACATACCCTTCCGATACACCTCTCAACAGCGCATGCATTACCCCGAAGAAGGATTACGTCATTCTGGGTGGTGGCCAGGCAGCTATGGATGTCACTACGACCGCGGCCCGTCAAGGAAAGTTCGAAGCGCGTTTCTACCACAAGATTTTTGAAGACGAGATTGGCCGTGTAAGAGGTCACTTCGGCCCTCTGGTAAGCCAACAATCCCAAGTCACTTTTTTCTCACTATACTTCGGCTAATAATTTGATAGAACACTGTAGCAGCGGATCCCACAGGCAAGGGCTACGCGAGCGGCGGAGAAGACGGCTACGTTCGAATCCACCACTTCGACAAGGGATACTTCGACTTCCGGTATGAGGTTGAGCGCGAGCGTGATAACCGACTATAGTATAGCGGCCCTCTCGCCCCCATCCGCAGAGTCCCGTCTTGAAGTTCCGCACCACCACCGCGGGACTGACAGAAACAACCAGAGCAAAAGATACCGGCGTTGTGTCTTCCTTTGATTTTCGTTTTAAAGTTCCGTTTTTTTCTCGCAGCTATACTTGCATCCGGGAAGAAGGCTTCGGCGTTTGAGGGTCCATCCATCCATCCATCGACACTTTTGTTGTTGTTCCATTAGGCAGGAAAGAGAAAAAAGGTGACGACAACTCAGGGTTAGCTAGGTAGACATGAGCAATTCCTTTTTGCTTATAATCGATTTACCTGATTTTGAGAACGTACTTGCTTGCTTGGTGTAACGTGGCGATGTGATTAATAAGTGATGAATAACTTGAACATGAAGTGATTATTAAGTGATTAATAAGCAATATGGCCATTCGGCGTTCTTGAGGTCGTGAGAATTATGTCAATATAACTGCATTAGAACCACACAATGTATATCACAAGCAGAGATGAAAACATATCCATGGATCAAATCCTTTAGCATATCAAGGGAAGTGGTATCTTGGATGAAATTTGACAATTCCTATGTCTAGTATTTTTGCAAATTTGGCCTGAAGCTATCGAGGATTTAAGGACTTGAGACAATTGTAACCTCCAGCTTGCAGACAAACCTCAAGGGCAACCTAGACAGCGATGTTCTACCGTAGTAGATGTGGTGGGTACTACAAACGCTTCCCGGAAACTTGCGATTGAGCATAGCCATGGCATCAGTGCAATTCGTACAGTTGACTCCGTCGACCAAGTAACCCAACCAGCGTAACGCCATTTCCATTCCTTCCTTTGCCATACCACGTCAAATGAAGTTATTCTATAGAAGAAATCTCTCCGTATCAAGCGTAAACCGTGCCTACTCCATCAGTGCGAATTTTTCACTTCTTCTTGCCCTTAGCCTTGGATTTGGGAGCAGGCGCTGAGTTCGTAGAAGCAACGCTCGATGCTCGAGATGAAGGCGTGGCGGATGTAGTCTTGCTGCCGCTACCCTTGACATTATCTAGTGCCTTGTTCTGATTTCATGTTAGCGATTCATCTGTAGTTACTAGTAAAGACTCTCTATGGACATACCTTCACACCAGTCTTGGACTTCTTTTTAGCCGGAGCCATGCCGAGGATGCTATCCTCGTCATTTTCTTCGTCATCCGGCTCTCTTTTGCCCTTGCCGTTAACCCCATTTGCCTTCGACGGTTGCGCGTCTTCGAATTCCTTCACAATAGTAGTGAGAAGGGTAGTACAACGACGACTAATCTCGATAGGTGTCCGGCTGAGGAAAAACCAGTCAAATCGGAATAGGGGACTTTCTCGTATCTCGTCACGGATTCGCTCGTAGACGCCTTCCGAATCGATGCCATATCGATCTAACATCACCAGGAGGAATCTATCCTCCTCCTCGGTATAGACCTTCTTATTCGTCGTAGAAACAGAATAGTTAATCTTCATCTGCTGAAGTGGCACTCGGTATTGTTGCATCTTCTTTCGAAGCATCTTGCGCTGATGTTCCGTCTTTCGCATACGCTCCTCTCCGGTATCAATTACTTGCAGATACTTGTTGTAATCCGCTATCTCGGTATATCGTTGCCAGAAGACCTTAGCGTAGGCCTTAACTTCTGCAGGAGTCTTGCTGTCAACTTCCTCTGCAATTCTTTCATAATCTTGCCGTCCGTAGCGGCCCGAGCCGTTGATGAATTGCTGGAAGTCTCTTTTATTCCATTCACCGAAACCTTGGCTAGACAGTTTCTGTTTTTCTTCCTGTTCGTCTTCGGCCAGGGGCGTAGCATTGTCGATTTCCTGCTGATCCAATGCTCGTTCAGCCTCACGCTCTGACAAGTTATCGTCATCCCCATCAGCTAAGGGAACCTTGTAGCCAATTTCCTTGCGGTAGAAGGCCGTCTCCCGGTCCTGGAGATCACGAAGTCGTGGAGGGTAGAATTGGTAGTCGTGAACCGCAACCTGCTTGGGAGCCCTCGGCGCCTTGGGCTTGGGTTCCGCTTTGGTGGTGCCATAAATAGCTTGTCTGTAGAACTTGTCGACGGAGTAGGACTGCTCTTTGCGTTCACGCTTCGCGGGATTGATCCAGTTCACACCAATATCCTTCTTCTTTCCAAATATCTCCCCATTCCATTCGTACGCAGACTCCGACGAGAACTTCTGGAGATCATCGATACCTAGCTTCTCGTACTTGGCACTGAGCTCCTTGGTTCTGTTTTCTCCCTTGGACAAAATTTCTTCGATATCGTCGTCGTTGAGGTCTGTACCCTTGGCTGCCATGCCGGTGGCTCCCTTTGTCTGGAAGACCTTTTCTGCGCCGTGTTGAATCATGTCGAGAAGCTCATCCTTAGCGGCCGGACCTTTAGCCCCTGGATGGGCACGTCCTTGCTGAATGACCAGCTGATCAAGGCGGAGCTTCTGCGCAGCTCGTTCAAGAACCTTTTCCTCTATGGCGTTTTCCGTGACAAATCTGTACACAACTACCTGTTTCGTCTGACCGATTCTGTGAGCACGGTCCATGGCTTGTAGATCAGCCTGAGGATTCCAATCGCTATCATAGAGAATAACGATGTCGGCACTCGTTAGGTTGATACCAAGACCACCAGCTCGTGTGGTGAGAAGGAAAATAAACTTCTCGGAGTCGGGCTTGTTGTAATCATCAATCGCCGCAATACGATCTTCGTGTGCAGTGCTTCCGTCGATACGACAATATTTGAAGTCACGGAATACACAGTAATCCTCAAGGATGTCTAGAAGACGACTCATTTGCGAAAAGATTAAAACACGGCTGCCCTGTACCTGTAGTCGTCGTAGAAGTTTATCGAGAAGGGCCATCTTTCCAGAGTTATACACAAGGTGCTCGTCGGTAGTGTAAGGTGGACCCGGCTCAGCTCCTTCGAAAAGGTAAGGGTGATTGCAGCATTTTCGTAACTGCATGACGATGTTGAGAAGTCGGGTCTTCGATTCTCGCTTCCCACCAGCACCGTTGACAGCGTCGATGTCCTTCTCAAGAATTTTTTGGTACCATTTGACCTGCATTTCTGACATGCCAATGTAAAGATTGACCTCTTTCTTGGGCAACAAGCTTTTCTCGACGTCGGCCTTGACACGACGTAACAGGAAAGGACGAAGCACGCGATGGAGCTGCTGGACTACCACATCCGAATCTTCACCCTGTCCTGAAAACCATTGGTCAAAAGCTTCACTGTCACCGAAAACGTCCGGCAGCAAGAAATTCAACAGTGCCCACAGCTCGTGAAGATTGTTTTGCAGAGGGGTTCCGGTAATCAGAAGTCGATTGCGCGAGTTGAACAAGCGGATGACTTGAGATAGAGATGATTCTTCGTTCTTGATACGATGTGCTTCATCGATGATGATATACTCCCAAGCAAATTTCTTCAGGTGGGCTTTTTCTCGAAGGATCATCTCGTAACTTGTAATGCACACATCGAATTTTTCGTCGATCAAGCGCTCATTGATTAGAGCGTGTCGCTCGTCCTTAGCACCCTGAAGTACGAGAACATTGACTTCTGGTGTCCATTTGGCAAACTCTCGCTTCCAATTGTCGAGTGTAGACTTCGGAACCGTGATTAGGTGGGGACCCTTGATATCCATAATATGTCGCAGGTAACCCAAGAAAGAGATGGTTTGGAGCGTCTTTCCCAGACCCATTTCGTCAGCGAGGATGCCGGAGATACCGTTCTCATGTAGTGAAATAAGCCAGTTCAAGCCGGCAATCTGGTAATCTCTCATGAGGCCCTGGACGAATGGCGGTGACTCTCGAAACACGGTCTCTGCGGATCCGCCCTGCCTCTCATCTTTGAGAAGCTCTTCATCTTCTTCGGCTTCCGTGCGGCGAGCTCGATCGGTCTCCGCGCCACCTTGACGAACACCCTTCTTCTTTGACTTCGCGGATTGTTCATTCTGACGATCGATCTCGTGCATGATATCACGAATCTTAGGATTAGGGTTTGTCTCAATAAAGTGTCGGAAGAGATCGGTCAATCCCAGAAGGTAGCGAAATCGTCGAATACTGTCATCTTCCTATTGTCATGCAATTATTAGTATATAATTCCAGCTTAAAATATTTTCAGTCCTCTTTCTGGTTACATACCTTGGACTCGCCTAGCAAGTCATGCTTCTTACCAAATATACTTCGTCGTAATTGGTTAGCCTCCGAGCGCTTCTTACGGCCATCGGCCTGGTCGCCAGCAACACTGCTAGCTGTGGTATTTGGGTTCGTATCAGTATCAGTCTGATCAGGGGTATCGTCAACCTCCTATCTGAAAGTTAGTATACAGAGTAGGCTAGCATGTAACAGGCGGTGGCCCTTCAGAGCAACTATAATGGAGGCGATTTCATTAATAGGATAAAACTTACCATTTCGTCGGGTTGAGCTGTGACAGGCTCTTGCGCATCTGACATGGACGCGTCTGTGTCGGCAGCGCTGGCTCGAGGACGAGGCGGAGCCATGTTGGGAGATATATGGCGGCAGACGCTCTACGCGACTGTGACGCGACGAACCGAATCAATGCCTATCGTAAAACGAAATCACTTGGACTTTAGTACAACACCTTCGGGTCGTTTAAGTGTGCATAGATTGATCTGCAAAGTAGAGAGTCGAATGGACGTAGCACGTGTCCGAAACGAACGTGCTCGAAGTTGTGTTGTAGATGGAAGTGGTTGTGAATAAGTTGTGTAAAGGCGAGAGGTCCAGCAGAATTTAGAGTAGAACAGCCAAAAGAATATCTTGAAGAAAGGTGGGCCAATTAGTGGGTTGCTGATACCGTACTTAGATTAGCTGCCAAGGCTAAAAACCGTCAAGAGAAGCTGTAATAGGCAGATGGGTCGTTTGGTCTGTGCGCAATCCCACCCAGATGGTATTTCGGGTTGTGTATGTCAGAGAATGTTGTTGTCGAAGATGTGGGAAAGATGGTAAAGTTGTTGAAAGAAATGTTTGGTGGATTGTGGGGACTTTGAAAAAGATATGTGTATGTTTCAATTGGAGAAAATTGGCGAGAATTAGAGATATCCAGTACCATGAAATATACCGGAAGGCACCTATGTTGTGACTACCATACTTTTACTATGTAGAAACTCTATTTGGGCGAGTTTGTGAAGGCTTCAAAAACCCCTGTTCGATTTCGAGAGTGCAAGTATGTAGGTACCTAGGTACTAACCAATCAAATGTTTATATAAGCATCATATTCATGATTGGCCGCTGAATGTGTAAAGCCTCGAATTTGAAAACCTTTACAGAAGCACTGGCACTTCAAGTCATTTCATTTACCATCCATGGATATCAGATGATCATATTCGCTGCTCTGAACCTGGCTCAGATCATCTACATACTAGGTAAGCATCAACATCAACTTTCAAAGTCTTCTCAATGCCAATTGAAGATAAGATCGGTCTATAAGTTACAGGGGGAACCACCTTATGTAATGTTCAGCTTTGAAGGAGACCCGGCCTTCGGAACTTGGAAGCTGGAACTGACTCAGCACTGAAACTTACATAATACCTGCCAGGTCACGAGTGTCTCCACTGCGTGATAGGCCAGACCTGCCTGTTATGTAATCTAAGTCATGATTACACACTCTCTAAATTATATTATATTGTTCAAGGCGCAATCGCTACCGTCGAAAACAGTTTTATTCAAGCGCAAAGATGATGCGTCCTGAGCGAGCAAGGGCAACGTTCAATGGTTCAACGAGTGTCAGAAATGACGACGATTATGGCAGGGTTCAGTCCCTGGCAGGTGCAGTACAGCATCAGACCCGCTTGCGGTCTGGGCGATTAACTGCAAGAAATGTATTCTTAGTCCAGGCAAGTATGTTTGACTTCTGACCCGCTTTCTTAACCTTGAGCGCAAAAGCTTTCTAAGCTGACAACGGCATAGAGTCACACTAGAGTCACACCCGCCGCAAGGTTAAATAACAAAAGAACCTAGTTCAAATATCGGCCGTCAATCAAATCTTGAATCATCTGACAACATTGAAGGAACAAGGAAGACCAACAACTCGCAGCAACTCCACGTAGCATCTCAAAGTTCACAATCGTAACCATTCAGATTATCTTCCTAGGTCACAGCGACATCTGATCGTCCCTCCTTGCTTCATGAAGTATGAAGCCTGAAGCCCGAAGCCTGAGTTTCCCCTAATAAGACCGTCACAAGTCGTCAAGTCAGGTTGCCCCAGACATAATACAACCCTAGCTGCACCTTCCATTTGCTGCTGGCTTCGGTCCACCAGTGACCAGTCGGCACAAGCCTAGAGCCTAGCCCACAACCTATCCCCACCAAACCCAACGAAGAAAAAGAGAAGGATCTAATCTTCAACCCTTCTCCGGTCTTCCTGGCCCTTTGACCGCCATCTTCTCACTAGAATCAGGCACCTTTGCTTCCTCTTGCTTTGATATATTTAAGTCAGCTAGCCTCTGACTCAATCTATTCCATCTCAAGTCTACAATGGAGGCTTTGAGGGGGTCCTCGCCACCAAAGAATGCCTCTGGTAACGAGTCGCCGGAGCAATTACTCGACGCCTTCAAAGCCGCGGCATTATCTGTAACCAAATTATATAAAACTTCGGCGTCTGCGCAAGCCAAAGCCCGTAGTGACGGCTACCAAGATTGTCTGGACGACCTCCTAGCCTTCCTCGATAAAAGTCATATCGGCCTTGGAGATGGTGAAGGATGGCAAATTCGTAAATGGGCGACCGAGCGATTAGATGGAAGGGATGCGACGCAGGAAAGCGAAGACGAAGTTGACAAAACTGAGCCTGCGTCATCGCCAGAAATTCATCGTTCAGGTATTCAATCGCACCTATCCGCAAACCGAACCGAACCCCACGTCCAGCATGATCCTGCACCCCAGTCAGTTCATATGCAGCTATCCACCGCCGGTAACGCCCCGACGGAAGAACAGCAAATGGTCGCCGTCCCAACTCAAGAGAACTTCACCTTTCGATCATCGCATCCATACCCTCAAGAATCGTACCCGAACCTAGAAAATCTAGATCTTTCCGATTCGACAAAAACGAGCGAAAATTCTAACTCGGTTTCCTCCACTGTCCCTATAGCCCACCCGGCTCGGTCGCGCGCTAATAAACGAGGACCGAGGGCGCGGCCTACGAATCAACTCGGAAAGGGCGCTGGCCAGAAGCGCACCATCAACTTCGCTGAATTGTTTGACGTCGGAGGTGTTGCATTTGGCAAAGATATGTTCGGAAGGGACGGGAAGCGGAGTCGCCACACATAACGAAGAGAAAGCTCGAGGCTTCATGACGACCTCGAGTAACGACCTCGAGTAGATAGGCATCACGAGTCGACAGGTTCTCGGCTCTTGGACGGTGTTTATATGGACGAGATCCCCATTAATTACGACGCATGATGGATTGAAGGGAGGATTCATATTGGAACAGGACATTGCATGGGAAGCACCGGCAAGCATTTCGAGGCGTTGAGTACCTACTTTCGTACGGTTCATTACTATCCTGGAGGGGGAAGGGAGAGAGAGGCGTCCAGGAATTCTTCTACTTGATTTCCTATAGACGAAGGACAATACCAAACCAAACCAATCAACTGTTCAATTCGCATTTCCGCAGGAGGAACTCCTCGGGTTTCTACGGCAATATGCCGCGCTCGCATCACATTAGGGATGCAGGATGTCAGGACTGGGATGAGTTATAGTACATAGAGTCAATCACTTGTACATTCGTCGAAATGAACTCATAGAAAACGGCGATTCTTCGTGATATGCTAAACAACATTGATAACCGTAAAGTTTGCACCCTCGGCTACTTGAACTCTTATTCTAACTATCAAGTAATTGATAAAAAAGTCAACTCTCTTCATTATATGTCTCCATTGGTACTATCTATGGTGAAATTGGTTCTCGATTTCTTTGGTAAAGTTTAGAACCAACCCCCCAGACGATAAAGCATTGTATCGATTCCCAACGGGTACTTCCTAGCCGATGTCTCATCTACCCGCAAACAATGACGACGGTAATTAACAACAAGAACAATGGGGAAATCCGTCAACTACTTAGCACGATATGACAACGCGTCCTTACCTACGCGCGAATAGCGTGAACCCAGGGATAGCTTTGACAACAACTTAAACTTAAACTTAATGTTGGGTTATTAGTACTATACTGTGCCTCATAGCTCTTCCTAGCACTTGGGGAAAGCAAACAATGTCGAATTTCCCATTTATCAATGAGTGTAGATTATCTACTAGGTAGGTATATATATATAAATTTGAGGAAGGTGGGATAATATTGTCCATGACGGCGTTGAATTCGGCTACTTCTTCAAGAGTTGTTATACTCGGCATATAGCTATAGTATATAACCCAGGCAATTATGCTTGTTATTCAAGATCAATTCTATGCTTCGTAAATGTTCATTTTTGGGTTGATAATGCTATGTAATAATATGAACTCGTCTCCATAGATTGTTTACTCGACACCTAAGTACCTATCTAGATGAGTTCAATGCCAGAACATTGAATCCCAAACCAAGTGTAATGAATAGCTTCTTCAACTGAGCCTTCAAGTAACCAACAAACTCGAAGACACCATCCAATACTATGCAATTCAGTTTATTGCGCCTCTACCTAGATAGCTATGCAACATCTCATATACAAATCCATCCATTAATCCAACAAAAACCGTACCGGCGGCGCCTCCACACCTCCATTACTCGGGCAACATTAGTGTAAGTATCAGCAGTCCTCAATCCTCGATCGACAGCTTAGTCTCCAGCCACTTCGTGAACCGAACCGTCGGCGCATCCACCGCCCTCCAAAAGACATCCGCGGCCCAAATGACAAGTGGGATATTAATAGCGCCTGCGAGCACGGCGCCCCAGTTATACGCGGCGCCCTCGGTGCCGGTGAGGTCGTAGGCCCATTCCTCAACCATGTAGCCTACGGTATGCGTGACGGGTCCGTGCATTAGGTATATGGCGTAGCTGATGCGGCCGAAGTACTGTACCACGGCTGAGTTGAAAAACCGTTGCCACGAAACCGAACGTGCCGTGCAGAATACGAATATGATCGACCCGATCATCTGGTAGTATCGGTACTTGTCTGAGAACCATTCCGGAACATACGCCCCGAGAGACTCCCAACCGGGGTTACCGTCCGTCCCCGCGTCCGGCTCGGACATTAGGTATAGGGCCGGAATAGAGAGGAGTGTCCATAAGTAGTTACATGCTTTTCGCTTTTCGGGAGCGGTAGTGGGCACTTTTTCGAGCGGGAGTAGCGGTTCGGGAGTAGAAGTTGGTTGAGTCGAGTTCGGTTCGTGGGCGCCCCTGATGAGATCCAATTCGGCGAGCGTCATACCCCATAGGAATAGGAACATTTCCCACTTATCGCTGCGGAGGACAAACCACATAAGGAGGGCCACGCAAAGAAACCGTATACCTGTTCGCAGTCTAGCGGTGCCAAACATCACGAGGAACAGCATCATCGAGCACCGGAACTCCACGGGGATCGTCCATAGGTGAACGTCATAGCCAGTCGCGCCGCCGAACTTCTCCCAGCCCCAGACGTGCACGAAGTTGTACATCTCTCCTACCCAATGCCGTAGCTGTTTACGTAGGGTCTCTTCCAGAACGGGATGGTGCTCTATCACATTATGCATGTAGTCCCGGTCGCTGGCGAAGTCTCTAGTCATCTCGTAGATGCCGAGACGAAGTAAGATTAATACGCCGAATGTCGAAATAAGTGGTGGGAGGTATAAGCGGAAAAATCGACGAAAGACGAATGAAGTCATGGTTCTCGAGAAACCATCAAAGGAACGACTTCGAGTTTGTTTTAATGGCTTAAGGGACAGGGCGTATCCTGATATGACAAAAAAGATACAGACCATGGACGGTCCGCTGTATAGTAGCCTAACGAACGGGAGCCTCCATATTTCGTAGTTGACGCCATCGTGGCCCCAGCCTTCTGCTATCTTGAAGGCCGTGTAGAAGTAGTGGCAGAAAAAGACAAATAATGCGGCTAGGCCTCGCATGCCGTCGAGGTAGGCGGTAGGGTGAAGCTTCTCTGTTCGGAACCGTTCACGGGCACATCGATGTTGGATAAAACTGGGTAGGAGGAACATGCCCGTCCTTAGCATCATCGAGCTCCATGATGATAGACGCAGGCCGTTGCAGTAGCTCTTTGCCGTAGCGGCCCATTGTATCGTCGAAAAGCGGCCCTCGAGATCTATGCGGGCGCTCTCGCTTTCTACGTCCGATAAAGATCTGTCGTCGATGAGAGATAGCTTCTCCTCGTGGGAGAACGAGGCCCGTGACACCGCATAACCATTCATTGTCCGGCAATGTGGTGAAAGAAGTGAAGAAGTTTTTGGTGTGAGAGTAATACTCTCCGACTACGAAAGTAAAGATTCTCGAAGAGTGACTTAGCCCCTGACTAAACGATAGACTACAACACAGTGACGAGCTAGGAGAGCACACCGAATAGTTTCCGCTCGTCCATCTGAAGCTGTGGAGGTCACGGACCAGCTCTAACGATGATCGTGTTGTATACCCTGTCCCCAAGGGATACCGATCGTCGAGGGTTGAGGCTGACATATGTACATAGTTCTATCCGTCCGTTTATTTGCCTTTGGACCTGTTCATGCTGGTTTATTAGCATCTGAAACAGAACCAAATCCCCCCTATTGCCACTTGGCATAGAGAAGAAATAAATTTAGCAAGTTTATCATGTTCAGATGGCCACTAGCACTAGCTCGCAAGCAACACCGTTTTGGTAGACGAAACAAACAACCCAAACATGATCCTGATGGAGATTTTGGGTGTGGAAATGGTATGCCCAGTCTACCAGTATGTCTCGGGCATAACTAAGCTGTGGCGCTCCAATTCCATGCTATCTCCCATGTTCTACTTTGATAAACCTTCAGAGGCGAAATGGACTATTGGCGGTCGAATCCGTGGTCGGTGGAACGAAGTAGGTCACAATGAAAGGCTTCAAGGCTTTCCGAATAGAACGGAATTATGTGGATATGTGGATATGCGGAAATCCAGGGTGAAGAAGTTGTATCGGCTCCGGTGTCCCCGGCCAATGGATGACCAAATCTGGTGACTTTAGTGGTTCAGTTGGAAGGGATTGTCGTCATACCCATCTGATCTAGAAAGATTACGGGCTCGGCGGATTCAATGGGTTTCTTGGGTCTTTTGGATTTCTGGGTCTTTCTGGGAAAATATGATGATCATTGTCACGCATTGTGGAAATGTGACATTTGAGGTTTGGGTACTCGCTTGGTTCTGAGCGGGTTCTGCCTCGCTAACCGTGTCTTGGCGATGAGATTTACTCTGGTTGGGGTGGACCGGTACAGGGCGCTGTTGTTTGATCTGCAGGAACAAAAAGCTTGGTTTGTCGGTTAAACAGCTTGGATGGGGAACAGTTCATTGCTCGGATCCATTCTAAAGCATGGTGAGCGTGGGAAGCCGTGGGGGAAGTTCCCAACGTTCGGTTATGACCGTTGAAACACCTAACGTCTTGTTATTGTTAAGAGCTTGAGAACTGACGTCTGCTATGAAACGGGAACTAAAATAAAAAACAAAGTCTATTATTTTTAATATGGGGCTTACATAATAAACTTAGTCCGAGTTCTGCGCGTGTGTGGTTACACAGATCATGTAATGGCTGCATGGGTCGTGGTGGTGTGGAAAGGACGAACCGTTGAACCTTCTTTTCACCAACCTTGGAATTTAGAATTATCGATTTTATTCTCTTCTACTATTTTATTTTCTCCGTCCGTCACATCATGCATCGTAACGAGTCACCTGTTTGATGGCACCCTACACATACACATATACGCCACATACACACACAAAATCGCTTCATCTGACAATCATGTCTAATTGAATTAGGTATTACGGGATTCGAGAAAGTTTCTATCCCAGATTATCTACATTCGGTCCTAATAAGGACTCGAAGCATTACTAATACCACTATAGTAATTAATCCACTTGAAGATTTCGGTATGCCAGACCAAGCTGTTCTCCTGCTTCAAGACCCAATGGTTCTCGTCAGGGAAGTTGAGTAGCTTGCTTGGTACGCCCTTGGTCTGGAGCATGTTGAAGAGGAGGATGCCTTCGCTAACAGGCAGTCGGAAGTCCAGGGAGTTGTGGACCACGAAATGCGGCGTTGCCCAGTTATCCACGTACAGTAACGGATTCCACTCATAATAGGGCGATCCGGGCAGGAATCCGGTTTGGTTGAATGGGCCAGAGAAGTCGTGATTCATGAACCATAGCTCCTCGCTTGCGTACTGATTCAGAGTAGACGTGCTGCCGTCGTGCGTCACCAAAGCTTTGAATCGTCTCCCAAGTTCATGTCCTTGGATCCTAGTGGGGGGTATTTCCGTCAGCAGCCGCACGGCCATTTGATCTTACAAAAGTCAAAAATGCTTACCAGTTGGTCATATATCCACCAAAGGACGCGCCAGCTTCGATACCGTTTTCCGTGTCAACATACTTCAGGTTCTCGTTGACGTAGTCCCACACATGCACCAAATCCCAGTACGGGTACGATCCCCAATTCCCTTGGATGGCATCTGTCAAGTTTTGACCCCAACCTGAACTGGCTGTCGGGTTTGGTGCGATGACGACGTAACCTTGATCCGCCCAAACCTTGAAGTTCCACCGCGTGGACCAAGAGTTAAAATGCGCGCCTTGGGGACCACCATGAGTGATGAACGCCAATGGATAAGTCTTGCTCTCGTCGAAGCCTTCCGGATAGACGATCCAGGCCTGCTGCTTAATTTCGGAACTGTTGCTGGAATAGTAAAACTCGGACACGTCCTCAGGCTTCAATCCCTTCAGAGCGGGATCGACTAGATTGGCTTGGAAGTAGGTCTTGACGACGTCACCTTCGGGCGAGATGGTGAATATATCACGACTGGTCCATATCTTAGTATCAGACACAAGGATCGAGTCGTCAGGCAAGACATAGAAGCCGGAAGGTACTCCTTCATTCGTAATATTCTTGGGCGTGTACGAGTCGCCGGCGGTGAGGGGAACTGGAAATATGCGTTCTCGGCCGAGGTCAGGAGCGGCGACGAAGATCGTTTCCGAGTCCTTTGACCATGCCAAGCTATCGGGTGATCTATCCCAGTCATGAGCAAGAGCTGTTACGTTGAAGTCATCCGAGTCCGCATTGGCAACATAAAGGATATTACGATCCGATTCGTATGATATCCCATTCATCTGGAAATACGCAATATGCTTTCCCGAGGGAGAGAATCTGGGACTCGTAGCAGCACCTTCGGCATTAAGGTACTTGGTAGTTCCCCGGGCATTAATCGCCTTTGCGTCCTTCGAAGTGCCGTTGAACGGCACCGTGTAGATTACATCGGTAGTGAAATTGGCCAATGGGAGCGAAGGATCCTTCGTTAGGAAGACGACGCTGCTGCCATCAGGTGAGATATCGTAGTCGCTCTCGTCACTTTGGTCGTAAGGACTTTCGGCACACGTAATATTGCAGATTCCAGAGATATAATTGGTCAACTCGCCGGAGAAGGAATAAGATCCATTAGCTCCTTTCAGCACACCGCCAAAGACAGCGTTCTTTTCCTTGTCGAGCCATGTGTCCCAATGTCGAACATAGGTTGACGTATAAATCCTAGCCGAGCTAGCAGATGCGCTTGCAGTTTGCGCGTTGTATGCAGTGCCGTTAGGGAATGCCTTGGTATACACTAAAAAGTGAATATCGCCGGATGGGACCTGAACGGCTTTGAGTCCCGAGTATGGCGCAGGCAATGAAGCGATCAATTTGGCATCAGCTAGGGAGTTGGCATCCGCAGAGTATAAACTTATACCACCGTCATCTTCGGCGTTGGTACCGTTGACGTATATGATGCTTGACGGGGTTGGGCCGACAAATACAACTTCTGAAATGTCAGAGCCGGCGTGCCAGAGGGAGATGTCGCCGGTCTTCAAGTCGAGCTTGTTCCAATGCGACGCGCGCTTTTTCGTCTCGAACGTGTAGTTTGAAACCGTATAAATCGCGAATTCCTAACAAGAGGTTAGTGTGTGCGTGGGGAGCGCTGCGGGACACTAAATACGAACGCCACTAGGGTTTGGTGCGGCGACGCCATAGCGGTTCGCGGCAAGCATAAGCTCTGGTGTAATGCCGAGCGCGGTAGGCAGGGCAGCTAAAGCTACCTGCATTTGAGATTGGAACCTCATATTCGCTGTGGCACGACGACAACAACCTTCTGGACGCCGATATGTGTGAATTGGCCCGAGCAGGTGAAGGTAAACAACAAGGTTTCCGAAAAATTAGGCTCAGGGCATCATCATATAGCTACCCGCAGCTAGGATTGGGAGCTATCTGGGCGGGGGTCACACATAGATATCAAGTAAAATATCAACATCATGCACGTAGATTACATCGCTATCTCTTGGAATTGCGCCATTGATGCAAGTCCAGACCAGGTCCTAGAGCTGGAATTCCAACATTCCATTCCCGCGTCGACCGAACCGACCCAGGTCCGCAAGAGGAGCTCAGCACTAGAGAGCCCTATCAGCATGAAAAAGGCAGGTGAAGGCAAGCAGCCGCAGGTAAGAGCTTGGCACTCTCGTGTCGATTAGCTTCGAGAATTGCCATTGGAGTCATTCGTTCAGCCAGCAGCTTCCGGATCCAATAGGCGGACGAAAAGTCAGACAGGGCTTTGGGCTTCCGCTAACTCTCATTCGTGGTGGGATGATGCGGGAAAAAATCTGGACGCTGCTGTGCTGACGTTGGACCGAACGAGCACTGAGGACGACTCCAAATTTCCCCATTCTTATTCACACCTACGCGAGATGGATCTACTACCAGAATAGGAGGTGATTGGCGTCGGAGAGCACGCCAATGCAAGGGGCAGCCACATCGCACAATCCGCGGTGAATCGCGTGCTGGACCCGTTCCCGTTCCTTCGGAATTGCTCAGAACCGAGGATGCATGGAAGGGTCACGATAGACTCAAAATTTTCTCATATTCTAGATCTAGAATTGGAGAATCGGATTATCGAGGTTAACAAAAACACACACAAAAAAAAAAACAGACCTATTTACTCTGTACAGTAAATACGCACTGCATAGTAGGATTCTCCAGAGTCTATTATCCGAGCATTATATCGCCAGGGTTACTTTTCATAGACGTCATTGGCTGACCTTCATGCATTATACACGCCTTACTCAGATTTCTCGGATCAGCGATATCAGGTTCGATTAAAATCAACTACCTCCTAGCATAATCATCTCCCATTTTCAATCACGCCATTTTACTAATAAGTCTTCTTACCACGCCTCGACTTCTTCGTCGGGGCATTGTACTTCTTCGAGTAACCACCCGTCCTTCTAGTTAACGACGTAACATTGCGTGTCGGGAAGCCCTCCCAGCTCGTGCCATACGTCGCAACAGCGTGCGCGATAGCCTTGCTCGTCGCCTCGAAAGCCACGAGGTTCAAGTTCGTCACGTTGTCGGCCGCGGAGTGGTAATTCGGATCGTACCAAATCCCGGCTGTGCCGCCAAACAGCGTAACCTCCTCCTCGGTCTTGGTGCCATCAGCCCCGGTATCGAGTCCACCGCTGGGGACCCCGGCGTCTAGGAAAGGTCCGTAGTCGCTGCGTCCATTAAACTCCGACGGCACGAACGGCAACTCCTGCGCCGTATACCAATCCTCGAACAACTTCTCCACCTCAGCCGACCCGGCAGGACCGGAGAGGTTGAAAGCACTGCCGTCCCCATCATATATACCCAACACGTAATTCGGCGACGCGATCATGTCGAAGTTGAGGTACAGCCTGATCTTATCCAGATCCGCCGGTGCCGCAACCCTCACGTAATGCTCCGCGCCCAACAACCCCTCTTCTTCGGCCGTCCACCACGCGAACCGCACCTGGTTGTCCGTGGTGTATTTCGCCAAAGCCTTCGCCACGGTTAGGATACCACATGAGCCGCTGCCGTTGTCGTTGATGCCTGGCCCTGCGTCAACGGAGTCACTGTGTGCGCCGAGGAACAGCACGTTTGATGCGTCACCGCTTTTGGAGGACGCGATCACGTTGTGTGAGGTTAGGTTCGCTATGTATTGCCAGAAGTCGCCCGATGAGGTTACGGTGGTGCCGTTGGCGATTTGTGAGACTAGACGCAGACCGTCGGCGCGGGAGATGCCGCCGACTGGGATCTGCGGGTTGGGTGGTTAGTCTTGATTGTGTCCCATAGGTAAGTGGGCAAATAGGTGAGTTCCTTACCAGGTCATTCACGCCGCCGAGCGTGCCGGCTGCGATGCCTACGTCCGCGTTGTTGTAGATGATGGCGCCGACAGCCCCCTTTTGTCCAGCTAGTGTGATCTTCTGGACGAAGGTGCAGTCGCCTCGCGCGATGAGAGCAATTGCTCCGGTCAAGGTTTCTGGGTGGTCCACCTGGTGATACAATTAGACCATGGTTACGATACGAAGTGCGAGTGTGACATACAGCATTGCAGCCAAGATTGGCTACGGTAACCAAAGGTACATCCGTCCAGGTTCCGTTCTTTCCGAACGAGAAACCCCCCGCTTCGAGCGTCTTGCCGCCGACCGACAGTTCCGCATGGGTCGCGAGAGTCACCTCGGTCGTGAAGTCCTGCAGCTTGATATCATAGTAGTCGCCGAGCGCGCTGAGCTGGTCGGAAAAGTACTGAACGGTTTTAAGATGACCTTCCGTACCGTGCACCTAATACAGCACCATTCATTAGTTTCATTCCCTCCTTTCTCCTTATGAGGTAGGCAATTGTAGGACGCACTCTGTTTCTTCCCGCAGTCGAATAGGCTATGTCCTCTAGGTCCTGAGCACAGCCCAACAAGTCATCCAGGAGAATGGCATCTACTAGAGCTTTCTAAATCGAGCGTTAGCATTCTAGAGTTAGAGTTAGTATTTATAGGTTTATTGTCTTACATCTTCGACTAGCGGTAACTCGCGTTTGGCGTAAGTGGTGCGCCTGATCGGCTCCGCGTTGCCAGTAAAGGCGAGCAGACTCGCAGCCGTGAAGGCCACGGTGGGATTCGATAGCTTCATGACTTCTCAATGGCACTAAAGTGCTACGTCAGAACAAATAGCAGTGACAACCAGAGTGAACGAGCATCCAAGTCACATCGAAGGCTTTCCAACATATTTATATAATCAATCAGGTAGCATTCTATCTCTCTTCGCATTGTGCAAGTCCAGGTTCATATCTGAACTCGCGTCATTAGCTCCTGGCCATTGCATGTGGTCGATAGCAACCCTTTCCAAGACCATGGTTTGCCATCGCAAACACGATACGGCTTCGATTTCGCCAAGGCGTGGCAGTTGCTCTACCTTCCTCATCAAGGGCCGCCAAGTGTGACTACGCGGGGTGAGCAATTCGGGCCTAGAAGAGATTACGAGTTCTAGATGCATTTACTGCATGAATCGAACTTGTAACGGTAAGTAGGTAGGAAATACCGCCTATCTGTTATATAGGTATATACCCAGGTATGTAAGTAAGTCTACGTGCGGGCTTTAGACGAGGTATGATATAGATGATACTGGCCTCGACACCAGCCACGTACATATAAACCCTATTGGTCTATAGCAGCCATTGTATCGACTGAGTGAACACTAAGGCGGATAGCGTTACTAGCACTGCGGCGGCAAGCACACCGAAAATCCAGAATGGGGATATCCTGTCGGAAACCGACCCGGATGCGCAAGGTGGGATTTCGTAATTTCGTTTGTCGGAGTGCCAAGTCGTGAACGATAACACTAAGGTAGGGATTTATGGCGCGAGCTTGTTGCGGAACTGCGGGTCTAACTCGGAATGTCCTCAAGATTCTAGAAATCAGATTCGAATTTACCTCATAAGCTATAAAACAATGATCACATTGCTATGTAGCTAGGCGTGGTAAGTTTTACTTAGCAAACATTCCAGTAGAAGTGATTCAATTAGTCAATATGATAGAGATTTTAAATTCATTTGTTTCAGTAGTAAATGGTATAGTCGCTATAAAAACAGCGGATGCAAATCTATGCGTGATGTCGTTTTTCTCGTCATACACAACCCTCCCAGAAACGCCGGCAACTCCTATTACAAACATGATGCTTCCATCTATCTTATCAAGCCAACTAGTTGTCTAACCAGTCCAGGAAATCAGGCGTAAAGTAGCTGATAACAATAGAAGCGCCTGCTCGAAGTATGCCTTCAGTTACTTCGAATGCCATCGTTTTGAGATCGAACACGCCGGCTTTTGCAGCAGCGTGAACCATCGCGTACTCTCCGCTCACGTGGTAAGCGGCAACGGGACGACCCTCGCTTCGCTCCTTTGCGTCACTAATAATGTCGAGATATTGAGCGGCCGGCTTCACCATAATAATATCAGCTCCCTCTTCAATATCTCGAAGTATGGCTCGTCGTGCAAGTCCGCGTCCTCCAGGTGGCAGCTGGTAGCATTTTCGGTCACCAAACGAAGGCGCCGAGCCAGCTGCGTCTCTGAAGGGACCATACAGACAGCCAGAGAACTTGGCAGCATATGACATTAAAGTAATCTTGTGTGCAATTCCCTCCTCTATCAACTTAGCCTTGATAGCGTGGATACGACCGTCGTTCATGTCGGATGGTGCGACACAGTGGGCGCCAGCCAGGGCGTAGGCAACAGCAACGTCGGAGATTCGATCTACAGACAATTGATTGTTTAAAGTCGCATCATCCTTGAGGATACCACAGTGACCATGTGATGTGTATTCGCAAAGGCAGACGTCAACGGTGATATAGAGGTGAGGGAATCTCTGTCGCAACAAGCGGATCCCTTGAATGACTGGACCGCTCGGATCGTCGGCTGCAGTGCCTAAAGCATCTTTGGTACCGGGTTTGAGAGGGACTCCGAAGAGGATGACTGATCGAAGGCCCTTGCGCACCAAGGGTTCTAGAAACGGAACCAACTTATTCAATCCCCAGCGTCTTTGGCCAGGAAGGGAGGGAATTAGGGATTCATCGTTCTCGATATCCGAAATGAAGATAGGGTAAATTAACATCGACTGAACCCGAATTGTTAGTTTATTGAAATTTTATCTTATTTGAAAGGATTAGCATACCTTGGTCAATTGGCGCTCAGCTTGCCATGCTCGTGCAAGAGGATGGTGGTAACCGCTATGAAGTTGACTGGAGATGTTGCCGGCAATGCTCACACTTGTGGCCGCTGTGCTTGCGTACGATTTCGCTCGAGAGATCTGGGAAGCGCCGTCGTCCATTGTAGAAACTGAAGTGGTACCTCGGGGCTGACGTGGGGTATTGACATCCCGAATTGTGAGGTCCTGAACAAGACTTGAGAAGGACATCTTGCTGAATTTATGTTGAATTGGACGGAGAGAGAAAAAAAAGGATGCGAATTGGAGATTGGAGATGTCGGGTTGAGCGGATTGCAGGAAGTCGGTTCGACTTAAGAGGCGCAGGTGTCAAGTTCAAGTTGACCTGTAGGAGAGTGGAGTAAGTCGAACGAACACCGAGTCCAGCTGCAGTCGAGAGTCGAGACCGACGATTTAGATGTAACCGTCCTTCGGTATAAAAAAAGATGTGGTTGTTAAGTAGAAGCTAAATGAAAGAAGTGGATTTAAAAGTAAAGAAATAGTAAGTTTGCGACGGAGAAGTCACGGCTTTTGAAACTTTTTGAAACTTTTGAAACTCACGCCAGCTCGTGCTTACGATTGAGTTTTTGCCCCTCGGACGAAGACCCTGGAATAAACCCCACCGTTATTGACCTTTTTAGCAAATCGAACCTTCGCGCCTTCTACTCTATCTGTCTACCTGCACATAATATTACCATTTTACGGAAGTGCTGGAAAGGATTGCCGACATTTGCCGTGTATCCAAAGGCAAAGCCGCCATTCGCCAATCAAATTTGCTCGATTTGAAAATATGTCTTATCTAATGCAGGTAGTGACATTCCCGAGGTCGCACGCAGCACTAAATCGTGTGCCTATCAGCTCAATTACGTACCTTTACCTCTATCGATCTCCAATAATAAGAATATTACTTTTTCCTTGTACAACCCCAACTATCCCATGACGCTCAAACAGACAAAATATATGACTTATCAAAAGCCACCATGCAGCCATGTTCACAATAAACCCAATCTTCTCCAGACAAAACTCGCACCTCCTAGAAAAGCTGTAACTCCAGTGAATACGATGAGGCTGCCATAGCCGCTACCATAACCAAAGGCCGCCGTATCTCCTTTCCATGGAAGACCCTGCATTAGACTCTCACTTAATGGGCCTGACACTACATTGCCGATGCCCCGACCTGCAGAAAGCCAACCAAAAACCATACTCGGGTCTATATAGCCCTGGCCTGTTGCTTCTCCTTTGCGGACGATGTCGCCCATAATACCAGGCCATGCAGAGGTGTACGATCCTGCAAATAGACCATATACGACGCAAAAGAAGTACAGAAGTGGAAGGGATGATGACAATCCCCATATAACCAAGGCACCAATAGTTGCACCAATGGTCGATAATAGTATGCATGTTGTGACATGGAGGCGATCGATGAGCCATCCCATGGTTACAGACCCGAAGACGGCAGCAATGTTTACCAGAAGGATCGTGGTCACTGAACTGTACGAAGCCGTGCCGAAGGCGCTGCGGGCATAAGTAGGGAGATAAATTCCCGGCAAGAAGTATCCCGTCGCTTCCACGACATTTGCTAGCTGGTATAGCCAGAAAGCCGGGATCATAAGCAGCTTCAAGTCGAATGGCTTCATATGGCTCGTTGCCGAGTGAGGTAAGCGTGGTTTGATGAACCATGCCAAAGGAGCCGCCAGTACGAAAACCAAGCCAGCCCAGAGTCTCAGTGTCGTCCTGAACCCAAAAGAATGAAGTAGCCATTCTAAGAGAAGAGGTAATACGACTCCAGCGAGTCCTGTACCTGACCACATAATGCCATACGCTAAGCCTTTACGTTGCACGAACCATTCATCTAGATACTAATGAAATATCTTCGTTAGCGACGTAAGTATTACTTTAAGACGACATTCACTTCAAAAACTCAGAGAAGTGCCGTTCTTTCCAACGACCATTGGGGAAACATTGCTTCCACCGTCCCATATCTTTTACTTACCACAATACAAGGAGAGTACGCGACCGTACCACCGATGGCGTAAAGAATTCCTTGGGTAGCGATGAGTTGCGGGACCGTCGTCGAAAACGAGCTCATTGCAAGCGAGAGGCACATAGTAAGCAAGCCAATTATAGACGTATATCGAGCCCATTTGGTAAAGAGGCGACATAGCCCCATCATTAAAGGCGCGGTGAGATACATGATACCCATCGCGCAAGTACCAATGATTGTGATATTTGGCGAGCCTGCGAAAGGCTCATGCGTGCTATAGTAGTCCTGGAATACCCCGAAGGCAAATGGGAATCCTATCGAAATGGTTAATAGCTTGCTACTACTTTGGCAAGAGGATACTGAAGCTTACCCCATACGAGTGCTTCAATCGCCCAGCATGCTGCTAGGAAAAGCCATGCATCTTTACCACCATCGACAGGTGGTAATGAGAACTCTTGTCTTTCTCCTTCGGGCTGTAATTCGTTCTGCTGATTTAGCTCTTCGACTGCTATTGTCGACGCACCGACCCTTGGAGTCGGGTGGGCAAAAGCCTCTAGTTCTATATCACGACTCGCCATATAGTTACGAGCAATTTATCATACCAACAATTTCTTTATGAAATAGCAGTTCGAGAAACCAAGATGGGCCATCTACGCAATACAAGTCTCGGGAACTGTCCCGATGTGAGCTTTACCTTTATAAATTCTCATATCTCCGGTAAAGGAGAAAAGGAGTGGAGAGGCCTATTATAAACCGACCGACATTTGGCACTATTCACTTATACCCATATAACATATCGGCGCGCCCTCCGCATAATCGTTATTTAGACGACTTCTTGGTCAACTCGATTTGTTTCTATTGGTAGAATGCCCGAACAATTCAATAACATGCAACCCACCTACCTATTATTGTATCCACACTTTTCCGAGATATCGGGAACGGTTACGCTATAATAACAATAACTACTAAATACTATATACCTAGTCTAGGGCTCTAAGATAGTGCTCTCAGAATTAAGGCCATCGGTAGATGGCTAACTACCTAGTGGTGGGGACCCATTTCGACAGTTGTAGGTATGTCATAGATCTTGCTAAATATAACTACCGTAGGGGCTGATTAGAAAAATCAGACCTCTCACAGCTTTCCGAACAAACCCCATAGTTAATTGTGATACCACACTCCACTGTGTCACCCCTTCAAGACATCTTATTACTCATGACGATCCTGGCATCAATGGTATCACTTGCTCTAAACTTCAATATGCTCCTTCTTCATCAAGATATCTGCTCAGCGAAACGCTCAAGGGCTTGTCAGGTTCACTTTGATCTTGGTCAGGTCATCACTTGAGAAGCCCAGCTTATCCGTGATGAATTGTTCGAAGCCTCCGTGTTCTTTCTGCACGCCGTCGACAAACGCAGCCCAGCTCGAGGCTCGCAGGTTGATCAGATTATAAAAGCCCGGTTGGTCGTGGCTTTTCGCATTCGTGCCCTTGACCGCGAAGTCTAGGAGCATCAACCGCACGGGTTCCGTCCCTATCCGCGATAGCAGATAGTCTAGGACCACGACATCGTGCGGCGCACCGGCGAGGGTGAGTAGTAGACCCGCTAGAACGCCGGTCCTGTCACGTCCGGCTGATGATCAATACACGTCAGCGAAGACCCCGCCTAAAGCCTACAATCACCCTATCCACCAATACTAAAATGTGGGAGCATAGCAAACGTACCAGTACAATGCACCAAGAACGGATCCTCCGGACGATCCCGAATATGTTCTAGAATCGCCTTCCAGCTCTCCCGGTACACATCCACAACCTCGAGATACATCTCACGGTACCCCTCCTCCCCATCCCCCAACGCAAAGCGGTCCAAATCCGGCGTCGTATCCGGCCTCGAGCTTTCGATCCAAGTATGTTCCACCCCATCCAACACAGGGTCAGGCGCCTTCCCGCGCTCCTCCGGCGACCGCAGGTCGAACACGCGCTTCACGCCCATCTTGCCGCCTAGCACGGCCTTCCCGTTCTCCGACAGCTGCGCCAGCGCGCCGGACCGGAAGACGTACCCGGGTTTGAGAGGGCTGCCCGGGACCAGCCCGATGTCCCGCGTGTTGAAGGTGCCGTCGACGAAGACGAAGGGCGGTTGCGTTAGCACGGGGATGTATTGGTCTTTGGTTATCTCTTGCGAGACGTCGGTTTCGGCGAGCTTGAGGAGCGCGGCTGCGTCGGCCATGGTTGCGATTTTGCAATTGCGGTTGTGATTTCGTTGGCGGGGTTTGCGTTTGTGTTGGGTGTTCTTCTGGTTGGTTTACAGAAGCTTGAAATATGAAGATTCAAGGAGGAAGGGATGATATGAGTGTAAGCACCTTTCTACGGAAGGAAAGGAAGCCCGGCCCCAGCCCCTGAATTACAGCGACAGAAACCTTCCGAGGCTCCTTCCATCTTGGCTTATAGCTTACAGGGGATTTCCTCTATTTTACAGTGACGTTACTTGGGTACCCCGCCCCCGCGTTACCCGTCCCCCGACTCTTGGCTGATATTAACGTAAGCCCTTGATAAATCGATATCGCACGTTAACATTACCTAATATGTAGTTAACTCGGAGTTTACTCAATGGAGGGTTTCTTATCACAACGCCTCAACGAAAGTGATATCAAATCTAGAAAATGAACAATTCTAATTCTTCAAACTGTGCTGGTTTGCTTAAATATTTTCCGGGTGAAAATATTTTTTTTGTTTCGCTGTAGGTAAGCATGCTCTGTCTTTATTGATCCCTTCAATCCACACGATTTCTAACTGCGCTAGATTTAACAGCCGGATCTCTCGATGAGCTACATTTCTGTTGCTGAGATAATATAGCATCTAGGTCCGGTTACACCGGCTAGTTAGTCATCATGGATTGGCTTCGTCTTCCTCGGTTTGGCCGTGATACCGTCTGGATTTATTCATCAACTGCGATCGTCGCTATAGCCGCAGTCATCACGCTACGTCAGGGAATAACAGACTACATTCAGGCGGAGACTCACTGCTATCAATCGGTGCGCACAAACTCGGCAGCAGAACCTTACGTAAACTGCTTCTCTGTGTCACCTACCGGAAAGTTTTCTAAGGTATTTAAAGCCGGGGAGGATACGGGGTTTGTCAAGAATGCGAACCCGGGCTTCGCCATGCCCGGCTTGTGGGACGGACACGGACACTTGCAACAATACGGAGAGTTTTTGAATTCGGTGGACCTCTTCGGTTCCACTTCCATGGATGATGTCCGATCTCGTGTGTTAAGCTATGCCGACAAGAACCCCAAGGCCGGATCGAAGGAGGAGTGGCTGAGGGGTATCGGATGGGATCAAATGGCTCTTGGGAAGATGCCGACTGCCGTAAGTTGGCCTAACCCCTATATTGAATTGATTAATATTCGTATACTAATATTGCTGAAGGATGATCTAGCAGCGGATAAGAGACTTAAAGATCTTTACATCATGCTCGATAGAGTAGATGTACACTGTATCTGGGTTTCCCAAGCCGTCTTGGACCTACTCCCGGAATCCATACCTGATATTCCTGGCGGTGAAATTGTTAGAGAACCTGGCATGGGCGTCTTTTGCGATAATGCGATGGACATGGTAATGGCTCTATGGCCTAAGCCTAATAACGAGAAGAAACGACAATTCGTGAAGAGCGCCATGGGGAAGTTGAATGAAGTAGGACTCGTGGGTATTCACGATGCCGGAGTTACGCCAGGCAATCTGAACCTGTACAAGAAGCTGGCAGGGGGTGATGACTGGACGGTGCGAGTTTATGCTATGATCGAATGCGACGAACGCAACACATTCTGTCCCAATGACATTGATCAATACTCGAGTCTAGACGGCTTCTTGAGTATTCGGAGCGTGAAACTCTTTGCTGGTAAGTCACCCAAGAATTCTACAATGTTTCAGACCAATCTAACCTGAGATAGATGGGGCCCTCGGAAGTTGGGGTAGCGCCCTTATTGACCCCTATACTGATCGTCCAGATACGTCAGGATCTTTACTTGTCAACGCCTCCGAATTAGTATACGACACAATCGCATGGGCCAAGGAAGGTTACCAAGTCAACATCCACGCAATCGGTGACCTAGCCAATCGAAACGCCGTTGACGCGATTGTTACCGCCCTGAGGCTTCTTTGTCCCGACGAGCCTCTCCCAGTCTGCCAATCTTACTATCGCTTTCGCATCGAACATTCCCAGATCATTCACCCAGATGATCAGGCTCGAATCCATGCTGTTGGAATCATCCCTTCTATTCAACCCACACATGCTACAAGTGATATGGCATACGCAGAGACAAGATTAGGCAAGGAACGTACCATGAAAGAGGCATATCGAATGCGCTCCCTACTTGATGTCAACCCCGTTTTTGGTAGCGATTTCCCAGTCGAGCCGCCCAACCCATTTCAAGGTATTTATGCAGCCGTCACAAGGCGCAATCCACATACAGGCCGAGGGACAGACGATTCTCCCGATGGATGGCACACGGACGAAGCTCTCGACTTGGACCAGGCAATCAGGGGCTTCACTGAGGGTCCTTCGTATGGCGGGTTCATGAAGGGGAAGACAGGTGTCATTAAGCCGGGGGCCTACGCAGATTGGGTAGTCCTGGACAGACCCTTAGAGGAGACAGATATTGAGGATCTACGCTCCTTGAGGGTCAAGGAGACGTGGGTTGGAGGCAAGAAGGTGTATTCTCGGGAATGATGAGGTGGTTAGCAAGCCCAATCACTGGGTATATAGAGAAGAAAAAAAACAGGATACTTGATGACTTGGTTTGGTTTAAGTGAAATCTGACGATCCTATGTGTCTCTAAGAATGACTTGCAGCTAGTGAAGGTATGTTCAAATATCATTAGGCTTGCACGTTGAGAAAAAGGGATAAATATTTTAAGACCGATCAATAAATGACACTGAACAGTCAAGACCAAATCGAAAGAAAAAAAATAAAAAACAAAAAAGATAATTGTCTGGAGTTGAACCAAAGACCGACAAAAAAGTGTTTTGCACCCACCGGGATTTGCACCCGGGTCTTTCCCTTACTTTCTTAATGGAAGGGGAACGAGTTAACTTCTACTCCATGGATACCTCTCATTGCTCTGAACGCGCGTAGGTGACGAGCTAGATGTTTAAACCGGTGATTCTTTTTATTTATGAGTCTTTCGGAGTGTTCCCGGCCGAAAAAGCCCCGGTTCGCGGGCCGTTGACGAAGAAAGGAGGAAGGAGCGCGTGAAGGAGATGTGAGGGTCGCGTCCCAGTCGCGTTCCTGTATTCTGGCTTGAGGTGCCTGCCTATGTTGAATGAGGTGGGATATGAATATGCATTTATCAATGGCTCATTGTATATCTGCCTGGGTATTGTGATAAATTCTTTCATATATACTAGGTAGTATAAGGGTAGTTCTTTGACGTAGGATATCCGACCTCTACCTACTATCAGTCAACATGGTCTCTATAGATGTTCCATTATACATGTTTGTCAGGTATACGTATCCAGTAGGCATATAGAGAAATCGACTACATACGAAGGTTCGGGCCAGGGGTTTGGACCATGCGTAGAAAGCTCTAATGGCCCAAAGCCGTTTAAATTGGAATATTATCTTACCGTGTGGCGTTTTTCTCCAGTGGCTAAGCCCCCTGTAATAGGCTAAGCTATAGTGGTTATCCACTAGAATTTAGCGAACGGATCACTACCAGGTTTCGGCTTTAGCCTAAAGTAGTACAGTATGAAATAGCTGCTTATTTCATCACGCACTGGGTAAGGGACGTGGCTGATGGTCCAAACTTTTGGTCCGAACTTTCGTACAAGTCGACGAGTTCATCTTCACGCTCAGCTCTTGGATACCTCGCGCGTTTCTCGGAGTGGGGCGGCTTGTCGATGTTTCCGGTCGGCTTATTCTCGCTCCTCCAGGTCGCTTCAGAGCTGCGACTTTCGACGCTAGAGTACAATTCTAATCTACTTGCTAGACATATTCAGGTTTAATGCTACTAGTTACTATAAAGAGAAGAAATTCCTAGGTATATATAGTGCGGTAAGGTGGGATTTTTCTAAAAAGGGGTGTGCGCTCGAATATCAGCAATTCTAACAACTCGGAATACACTCATATATTTTATTTCTTTGAGCCTTCTGTTAAAATAATGGGACGGCTCAAAACCATTTCCACGGAGATAGAGATCCAAGCGCCGCCCACTGTTGTCCGGTGGATAGTATGTAAGACTACCTGGATGTTTTGGAAATCTTGCTAAGTACCATACATTTAGTTCTTAGACTTTCCACGATGGACTCAATGGCATAAGGGGTAGACAGTTGAACTTGTTGACTCTAGCAAGAACCCCCTTCAATTAACGACGGGGGATCGTCTTCGAATCAATATGCATGGAATGGTATTTCATCCGACTGTAAAGGTAAACCTCCTATTGTATTTGTCCGTTGGTTCGTCATTTTCTGATTATCGATTTATCTAGGAAAACTCAGTAGATTCTTTTCAATGGGAAGGGAATTTGACGGGAATTTTAGTTGGGAGACATCAATTCAACTTTGCACAGAGTAAGAAAAACCCAGGCGGCACCACATTTATCCAGACGGAGGATTTTGAAGGTATTTTGACTTTCTTGTTCAAGCAAGGGTCGAGGTCAACATTAAAAACCATCCGCAACTGGGATTCATTCAATATCGCTTTAAAAAGGGAAACCGAGAAGTCGGCATACTAGGTAGGTACCTACCTAGTACTTACATAAAATAGTCGGGAAGGGTGACCAATATGTTATGCTCTGGTATTATATTGTGAGCCAAAATATCCCCTGCGCCGCTTATATAGGCAATTGACATAAGCGGTGGTAAGCGATCGATGGCGACTGTGTAACGCAGGGGATATCATTTTTATTGTAAGATGAAGTATAATTAGCCCACTAAAGGTGATTATTAGGCCTTGAATTTGTAGTAAATAAGTCCTAGGTATGCTGCGTATTTACCTCCCTAGATGTACTTAATGAAAATATTGAATCGAAAAAATTGAAAAGATAAAGTGAAAAAAAAGAGAAGAAAAAATAAAACAAGTGCCTAAGAACCCGTTTCGAACCATTAGCTCAAGGTAGTTAGTTACCTATGTGTTCCAACCTCTTGCGCCGCAAGCGGTTCATACACACGGTTTTCTAACTGAGCTAAGCTCGTATCAAACAAGTCCTTAGGCAATTGTTACAAGTCACCATGTTCTTTTGATATATTAACTTACTGTAGCGCATTGTACATTTTGATTTCTCGTCACCTACCAACCTAATTGCTGGCGATTAGTAAGCATTGATGTCGTCCCGGAGCTGCACACAGAACATTGGATTATGTCATCATTTACATCTGAACTTAACCCGGTAGCCCGGCTGCCCGGATAAAAAATACATAATACTATTTAGTACTTACGCCCTAAGAGATAAAGGAGTCGTCCGCAACGTATATCATACATCTAATATGTATTCGACGCTCACAGCGCGAAGCTTAGGGGTAATGCAGCCCTTATTACATGCTGAACCAAATATACCAGCAAATAAGAACGTTCTCCCTCACAAGCCCCTTTAATCTGATTGGCTATTATAGCCTACCATTTTCCATAACAGGTAAGTATTGAGCCAAATCTATCCTTTGATTGGTTGAACCGGATGAAATCGACTTGTATTTGCAGGGGTATACCCTGACGACAGCTGAAATGATCTAATAACCTTCAACTTGGCGTGTATATCTAACATTTTGGAAGGGTTTATTTCTTCGTAGGTTAGGTTTTATGATTTTTATACCTCGGCTATAATGCATCTTAAGTTGATACTAACTTTATTTTTTTTTTAAAAAAAATATTAAACTTATTGCGTCGCGTAAGATTTGGTTGCTTTAAGTACTGGAATAGGGAACAACTTCCGCCAACCCATCCGATCAAAATGTGCAACATTTTTGCGAACACTTTCTACAAAATCATAAAACAATATTCATGTAAACCCTTTCGGGTTATCGGCATTGTATATTAACTTTTGGATTAAATTTTGCGGGGTTCCCGAATTCCCATTTGCGGCTCACCGGCTCAGTTCCGTATTTCCCTACTGGGTCCGTACCTAGGCAGACGAGAAGGTACCTACATACTCGGGGAGTGACTACTCGGCACGGCACGAGACCTGGCGTGTATCATATTTTTCGACGCGTTTGAAAGCGCCGACTATCTATTTTTACCTCCATAGGTAAGCAACGGGATTCTTCAGGACTCCCCTCTTGTACACGCAAACACCAAACCAACATTTTCTTCAGATAGAGAAGCACGTGTTCTATCCGTGATATCATTATCGCGATCCTTGTCGAAGATCTTACCAGAGAATTGGTATTCAAGGTTGCATCACATTATTCCCAACTTGTATTGACAGAAGCCGGGGGACGACAGCAGCATCCACTCGACGATCAAAATTACAATATCCATACAAGTGGGGCGCCATAATGAACCCGGGACTTGGCCGTCTCTCACGACGACACACATCTTGTTTATCTGAAGAGAGAGCGATGTGAACCATCATCATTCCATTCTCAAGCCATTTTGGCGTCGTCACTCTTTTGCAACCATTGACCGGGCGTATCGCCCATAATGGCCAAAGATTCGGGGACCATCATGTCCCTGGTCGAGCGCTATCGTCCTTCGTTATTCGTCTTAGCTTCGCAGGTGGCCGCCGCCACCCTGAACGCCGCCGCGAAGTACGCCGAGACTAGACTCGAGCAAGTCCATCCCTTCCAGGTCCTCCATGTCCGCATGTTGATCACCGCCCTCGGATGTACCTGGTATCTCTGGCGCACCGGCGGATCTAAGAAGTCCGACCTCTTGTTCGGCACGCCTGACGTCCGGGGCCTGATCTTGCTGCGAGCCCTCGGCGGTACTTGCGGTGCTTCGGGTTTTTTCTGTACGTCCTCCCCTTTTGATATCGTATTCCTATCTAGACTAGCTCAAGTACCTAGTATTCGGCGGGGCTACTTGGTATACTAACTATCGACGCTTAATAGTTTCTATGGTATATTTGAATCTTAGTGAAGCAACTGCTTTAAATTTTCTTGGTCCTCTAGGGTCGTTGATCCTGACTCGTTATCTGTCATTCGCTAGTGTCCAATGGACTGACTGCCTCGGCGCCGTTGGTGCGCTTGGGGGAGTCGTACTCATATCCCAGCCTGAAGAGATATTCGGCACGGTACAAGCTGCCGAGCGTAATGTCTCGGCGGATGCCACTGCCAATATGAAGGGCTTGGCTTTTGCCGTGCTTGGCCTCTGTGGAGGTGTCGTAAGTAGTAAAGATTTAACAATTTCACGAGTTTTGAAGCTGATGCCACGTTAGATCACCCTCACGTCGATCCGCTGCATTGGAAAGAGGGCGCACCCGCTGACCAGTGTTAATGTATTTGCATGGAGCTTGGCAACTGTGAGCTGGATCGGTCTTATGATAGTTCCAGGAATTACTTGGCCTAAGAACCCGCTCACGTGGCTTTGTCTAGTGTACATCGGCACCTGTGGCCTTGCGATGGTGAGGAGATTTGAATTATTATTTTCCTGAAATTTTTAAAGGGTTCTAACGTCAAATTTAGGAGTTCACCCTCACCGTTGGAATATCCAGCGACTCATCCTCAGCTGCTACTGTTATGATTTATTCTCAGATAGTTTGGGCTCTGATCCTGGACCGCGTCTTGTTCCAATCTACGATCAACCTCTGGGAAATATTAGGTGCCGTTATTGTTATTGGCAGCTTAACTCTTGTTACCCTGACCGGGAAAAGCCCCAAACCGGATACTGTTGAGTACAAAGACATAAGATGTGAAGACGAAGAGGCAGGCAGATTGAGTTTAGAAGAAACCCATGCCGAGCCAACCAATGACAATCCACAAGAGAATCAACAAATTTCTTCAACCCCGATGACCAACTCCGAGATGACAATTCGAACATGATCTTCCAAATAGATCGATGTGACTGGGGTATGGCCTGGAGGATTTCTATTAACAACAACATTCACTCGTTACGAGTCACTCATTGAAGATTTTCTTGGATAATGCATATATACCCGGTACATAAATGAACAACTATCGATCCTGACTACCATTTGCAAAAATAGGGGGTGATGGTGGCTTAGTCATGAAGAGTCTAGACAGCTTATCTCCGACTATCGCCCAACCCTAACCCTAACCCCAACTCCTAGCAATTACCTAATCAACCCCTTTCCACCAAGCGTTGGTGACCCTAACATGGGCTTGGACTCTTGGATAAAGAAACATGGTTGGTAAAATACATTCTGAAGTAAAATTGAGTACCTAGGTAGCTATGAGGATATCTATCGTGGAAGCTACTAGGTACGCCAGTGGAGGACAAAGGCTATGTCCTGTTCAAGTAGTTGATCGAAGTTGGAAGAAGAATCTGGAGAGGGTTTGAAGCTACCTATCATAGGTGCAATTCAACGGTACCTATGAATATTGTGCTAAATACCTATGTAACGATTCCCAATGACTGAGAGCGTAGTTTGATACAGCTAAACAAGTAGCGCTGTAACATTATCTGTATTCGTAAACCAGTCCGAAAGGTCGTCTTCCGAAGCATTCGGTTTTGCGCCCCCGTTTTGCCACACGCTCTCCATGATATCAAATGCCAGCTGTATCGTTCCGAACGCATTTAGTGGTTGTAGCATCGCCACGGTTTCGCGCATAGACCACCGACGCTCCGGTTGCGAGAGGCAGCCGGCTACATAGAACGGCCACGCCATCGTGCGGATACGTGTTTTTGGCGATATCTCCAAGTATAGCAACGCTATGATATTGCCAACATGGACTTGCTTCGGAATTCCGGAAGGCCCATCGTCCTCCGCGACTAGAGATAGATAAAGGAGTGCTGCGTGACACCAGACTTGTGTAATCAAGGAGGTCTGGATAGAAATTGTTTGTAGGGTCTCTGTTATAAATATTTCAGGCATCATGTCCTCTCCTGATTTAATAGTCTTAACTTCCTTCTTAAGGTCATAAAGATACAGTTCCAACGCCTTTCTGATTTCCGTCACGCGGCGGACTCGTTCCTCGTGATCGATAATTCCGGCTCGCTTGCATTGATATTTCCACGCTTTCAGCATGGATATCTCGGCTATTTGTACCAATACCCAATTTCGACATCCCACGACACCGGAGAAATCAATAGGTGGGTAGGGGTCGTCTTTGTGGCCAAGAATACTAGGGATGTACTCGTAGAGTGTAGGCTTCTCATTGCGTACAGTGCTGGCAATTATGTCATCGAATATTAGAAGAATAGTGCTGAACCGAAACCCCGCTTGATCAGGACTGCTCACTGGGAATATTTGGGAGGGTACTATATGGGATCCTGGTCCCAAGCGATCTATGACGGCCTCGAAACTTGAACGGGGGTTCTCCAATCCATATGTTGCGGTTCCAAGGACTGCTTTGAATATCGTTCGTGCGATATCAAGGTAACTCTGACACTTGCTAAATCTTTGAGTAGCAGCGCTGAAACGCTGCATTTGCATAATGGCTGTCATAGTATGTACAGCTTCGGGTAGACGGTCTTGGATGCCTGTACTGATGAAAACATCCGGCCCCTGCGTCAAAATTGTAGCACCCTGACTCATTTGTGTGACTGCCGTCTCATAGAGAGCGTTATTGTCAGCCCAGCTCCCTATAAGGCCAAAGAAATAGGAGCCTTGGCATACGATAACTTGTCGTAATAGCGGATTATTCATCGCCATGTCCAATATCCATGATTTACCGCCTTGAATAGGGTTGGAACGGTAACATGGGTACAGGAAAGGAATTCCGTATTCGATGTAATAGTTGGCCGCAAGGGTTTCAGATCTTCCAAAGGGAATGGGAGTTGCATTATGAGTGTCATCACTAGGAAGCGAGCAATCGGATCCTCGCTGAGACTGCATAGAGGAGTTCTCTGAGTATCGTTCTGCTGCATCATTCTCGATAGATTGAAGTACGACTGTAGATGCCTCTCTTAAATTTTTGGGCAATGTGCGATCAGAGTCGGAATCGCTGATGTCTTTAACTTCGTAGAAGGTAAGGTCCATTTCCATACTGCTAGAATGAAAACTGTGAGATAATTAGTACCGACGAGTTCTAAGCAATAGTTATTCGTTTCTCCAGTCAAAGATATTGGCTATATGTCGTCCGATAGTTTTTTTATTGAAAAAGAAGAAATAATGGCCAGGATTTCTAAGGAGGAGTGTTATTATTTTTTTGGTATACACATTAACACCGTAAACCGATGTAGGAGGCGGAAAGCGCACTGGGTTAGACACTGCAAGTAGACTCTGTCGCTGCCTAACGTCTAGGCATAGTGGAAGAAGGCGTGTCTCAAACCTGTAGGGAAGGAACAAATGGTATCCATTTACGCAACAATTTTCCTTTTGCTACTCTTTAATTTTGGAATCAGTTTAGGTATGTATTCTATGGAAGCTATTAGGTGGGCTACTTAGGACCTTGAATGTTATTGTATCCCCTTCCACGATCAATGCCAGGAGCGTTTCCGGGAGTCACCTTATGCCTTGGCGTCAACAGGCAGTTTATTTCTTTTCCAGGCTGACGTTATTGCAGACATCACCGAAGACTTCTAAAGCGTGACCAAGATACTCCTGGACCGTCTTCACACGAACCGTCATATCTTGGCCCAGGGGTAGAAGACTTTCAGCTTCGTGGCCTTTGCCAACGCCCTCCCCAATAACGACCTCATACAATGCCTTCATGGCCTTGTCTTTATCACCATTTGGTTTGAACGTGCCACTGGACATAATTTGGATCATCTGATCTGCTACAGACCCCTTATAAACATCAGGGAGGGGAGTCTTGCCAACGCGGGTGGCGTCGCCGAAACTTGTATTGAAGGTCCCAAGCGTGACTGTCAAAGTACGAATGCCAAACGGGGCAACTTCCTTAGCAAGGACCTTAGACATTCCTAAACGACATTAATAAGCATAAATATGCAGTAGCTGAGGATTACATGTGGTAGTTACCATCGAGGGCAGCCTTGGCTCCGGCATAACCACCCATGCTATCTCTTCCTTCCAAGCCGGCACCACTGCTTATATTTACGATGACGCCGTATTTTCGCTTTCGCATGTGCGGTAAGACGGCACGGATGAGTCTGACGGGACCAAAGTACAGAGTATCCATCTGTGCTCGCAGTTCCTCTTCGGTGAGAGTTTCCATCGGGCCATAAATCGAATATCCGGCGTTGTTTACTAGGACATCGATTTTGTCTCCTGACTCCTCGAGAGATTCGCTAACATATGAAGTGTTAGTAATTGCACTGCACAAGACCTTTGAGATTCTCTCGTAAGATCTTCGCAAAAAGCGATATGCTTACATGAACTTGTCGCTATTCTGATTATCAACGTCGAGCTTAAGCCATTTGCTACCGTTTCCGTGAGCGTTGACCTCGGCAACGAAATCTGGGTTACGGGAAAGGTTGCGGGAAGTTGCGATTAGCTTGTGGCCATTGGCGAGGACGAGACGGGCCAAAGATTCACCAAAGCCTGAGGAGGTCCCAGTAATTAACCAGGTGAGAGGACGATTGGGCTTGGCGAATGTGGTCATCGTGAATATATATCTCAGTCGTTTTCAAAGTGATTTGTTTTTAATGCTCGATGTCTGGGGGAATCCGAACGAAGTATTCTGTGTGATATGACACTAGATATATATATTTGAACATCGATGATCGTCACGGCGGTTGTAGAATATTGCTTGGGCTGTAACGACCAGCCGCTTCAAAGTATCGTACCTTAACTCCAGCCTCGCGTCTTCGACTGATGGTGGCTCCGGGGCGAGACTGGTTCATGGTTGTATATCTGTTGGACTTAAAGTTAAGTCCGGATTCAACGGTGGTTATACGGGTTAAAATTGGCAGCCTTATCCCGTTCCACGCTGGTGTTATAGCTAGAAAACTATACGACAAGCTATTCGATGAATTGTGCGCTCAACACCTGTTAAATTCCATATATACTTAATGGAAATAGGAATAATAGACATCAAAATCAAGAACCGTCGCCTAAAAAAGAAGCTCACTTGGTAACATAAGAAAGACTAGTTAGTCATTGATAGTAGCAATCAGCCTACATGATATCTTATAATTGGCCTTGTTAGCTTGAAAGGGGGCATTAAGCCAATTAGGCTTTAAGGTCTAAATAAGGGGGGAGACCTCCTTTTATACAGCTAAATCCCGAGAATATTATACTTAATACCCTCAAAGACCAAGGCATCCTTGGAACTACCTGAGTAGATACCTACCTAGTACCTACCTAGTTACCTGATTGCTGATATCTATCGTCAATTATGGCGTTACCCCGCTTGCTGTTGGGCTTGAAGATAGTTGTTACGCTGACTGGTAACATGATGGTACTGTCTAATTCATGGATATTTAATCGACAAATGACATAAAATAGTGCTTCAATGATAAAGTTTAACCTATGAAGATAAGTGGCTTGAAATAGGTATCGGTGGTTGCCTTTGAAAGTTAGAAAGTTAGAGAGGGTTGTGAGGCGAAGATTTCAGGGCGTAGATACCTACCTAGGTAGGTACGCATCATTGAGATAAATTAGGGATGACAGCTGTCAAGATAAGATTATCAGTCATACAGCTGCGGGACAGTTGTAACGGGATTGTCGGGAATCGGTCCACTTTTAGGTACCGGTCCGCCACATTTTATGGTAGGGGCGGAGGCATTATCGCTAATTGTGAATGACGCGCGGGAGCTTCCCTCAATTTTTTAGAAGCATCCAACATCGCATATGTCATACTTATACCATACACTTTCCATCTTTCTGATGAGGCTGTCGACAGTCCTAGCCATGCACAGGCGAGTCAATGCTTTAAGTCATTATGCCGACTATATTACATGCTAACAGTCATGTAGTAGACTGATCCATATAGTCTAATCCCCCATTATGCGGTCGCAATTGACCCGCCATGTCTTGCGACGCCTTCTTGCGAGCGACGCACACGTTCCCCTCCTTCCCCTCCGCTCCACCTTCGTCCTGTCTCGGTCCCGCCCGACATTCCGTGTATATCCTGTCGGATCGAGAGTAGTGAGGACTATTCAGAAAAGGACCTTTGTCAAGGAATTCTTCGGCCAAAAGAGTCCAAGGGCATTGAAGCAGCTTGAGACCGAACCGGGATATGCAACCCTGCTCAGATTCCATGCTTCGGAGAACATCGGCGTCCAAGATAGTAGACGACCTCCCACACCGGACGAATTGGTTACAGCATGGCGGGAATTTTTTGCATACAAGACCCGGCACCGCCGAGCAGTCAACTCCACACAGGCATTGTCTGCTCATCGAGTGCTGCTACATCTTTCCAGCTCTTCGGCCAACTCTCGGTCCGCACTTCTATCAAAAAGCGATCTCAGGAATGCTATGGAGTGTCTGTTAAAACCTCCGAGAGACTATTTTGAGCACCATGTCGATTTTTCGAAAGAAATATACAGTGAGATAAAAAAGCGAGGTGCACATCAACCAAAGGATTTCAATATGTTGTTAACTGCCCTGTCACAGTATGGGAAGGCTCTTGAAGCTAGAGATATGGTTCTAGAGTACTTTCAATCTAACCAGGATAAGGAACCTCTTGATGATCGACTGAGACATTTCATACCGGTTATTCAAGGCCTTGCCGAGGAAGGCCGTGAGCCGGAACTCTTAGACCTTTTTGCAAAAGCAGAGGAGGCTGGTTTTGAATGTGAAGAAACGGTTCATTGTGTAATGGCCACCTATTTCGCAAAGAAAAATAAGGTTGAGGAAACAAAAACTTGGTTCAACAAACCAATCAAAGGAGGCAATTCTCCGCTTCCTACAACATATTACGAAATACTTCGTTTTGCACTTCGCAATGGGGAAAAGGAATGGGCCATGGGAATTTACCAGGATCTCATTTCCAAGATAGAATCTGGTTCATGGAAAAGTAATAAAGCTTGTTGGGATACCGCCTACCAATGGGCTATTTTGTTACTTGGGAAAGGGATGGATCATATTGAACATATGATGAAAGTCGCCCACGATTTCAACCAGGATGACCCCGAGTCTCAACCCAATATAGAAACGGTGAATATGCTTGTTCAAATCGCCACCGACAAAAACGATCCGTATATGGCCGAACGTTTCATCGCATTATCGAAGAAACTTGGGTTTGAACCAAATTGGAAAACCTATATACTCCAGTTAGAGTATCGGATCCGCGCGAATGACCTTGATGGCGCGTTTACCGCTTACCAAGCCCTCGAAGATTTGGACGTATCAACGAAAGATAGAGGCATTGAAGCGTTGAACTCTCTTATTCGTGCCATGTGTGCCGTACCAAATCCGGTCTACGAACGGGTTCTTGATGTCACAAGCTACCTCGAACAACAACTCGTGACGTTAGAACCCGAAACCGTCGCTTCTATCTGTATGGCGTTTCTTAAAAATGACGAGACCTACGAAGTGATAGACACACTATCACTCCACACTGCCTACTACAGTGTTGTCGAGCGCTCGATGGTTCAAGAAGCTTTCGTCAACTACTGTCTGTATAAGAAAACCAGCACAGCTCGAATTTGGGACGCATACTCTTTATTACGACAATTCTTCCCCGAGACGAAACCCGAATCTAGAGTAAGGATCATGGAAGCCCTTTTTGAACGAAATCGTGCCGATATGGCGGCACATACATTCGGGCATATGCGCGCAATCGGAAATCCGCGTCTCCGCCCTACCCTGGATACTTACGTCCGCTTCTTTGAAGGAATCGGCAAGTGTCCTGATGAGGAAAGCATGAAAATTGTCCATAACATGCTAAAGATGGACACGACGATTCAACCTAACACGCTCCTATATAACGCATTGATGATCGCACATGTAGCATGCGGCTTACCATATCAATCTCTTGATCTCTGGAAGGACATCACTACGTCTCCCGAAGGGCCTTCGTACGCCTCACTCGAGATTGTGCTTAGGGCGTACGAAATCACACCCGATGGTGATGCGCTTGCAGATGAACTTTGGGGGAAAATGCAGAGAATGGAGATCGACATACCAAGGCATGTCCATTTCGCATACGTGGTGACAATGGCGGCACACAGTCATCTTACGAAGGCCAAGTCGCTCTTGGAAGATATGGAAAAAGCGTTTGAACAGCCGCCCGACTCTACCGAGTGAGTAAATCAAGTACAAGCAGATGACGGAGGACTTATAACTAACATTCACGCAGACTCGGTCATGTATACAATGCGCTACCTTCACGGGAGATGAAGGAAGAGTTCAAGACGTGGGCGGTAGAAGAATACCCAAAAGCATGGGGGCAACTAAAAGCAAAGTATAAGAAACGAGACCAGGAGGGCCTAGCGGTATTCAAGGTCCGTCGTCGGCCATGGAAGGCCTGATTTTGATGATGATGTAAATGAATTGATCTTTGTACAACACTATTCATACATACATCCATGCGTCTAGATACTTCTTGTCGGCCTCTCTGTATATAGGTGGCATCTATACAAATAAAAGAGCACAACAAGTCGTTGTACATCGAACCACCCACCCCAACCACTCGCTGCTTATCTGAAGGGCCTTGTGGGTGTGACGGCGTTCTGCTCGTAGAATTTGAACGTGTCGCGGACTAGAAGCTCGGGGTGCTTGTGAACACTAGGATGCAGGCCCAAGCCGATGGCGCGCCGGATCGCCTTCGCTAGTTTCCTCTGGTTGGGCGGGCGCAGTCCCGTCTCCATCGACCTCCTTATCCTGCCGTGCGGCGTGATGAACTCCGATACGACGGAGAAATTCTGTCGTGGTCCGTTTGTTAGCAATGTTACTTCAACCCTTCCCCTCTCCCTCTTCCATGCCACCCCTTATCCCTTATCCCTTATTCATAGTAGAAGAGTAGTTACTTACGCGATACATATCAAGAGGGTTCAGACCCAACATGTCAACGAGGTCCTTCTTCCGCGACTGGTTGCGGCGCCACTTGCCCATCTCGGCCGGGCTGAGGTCGTGCGGCGAGTACACGTCGCCCGACCGCCACCGCCGCGTCATCTGACGCGAGTACTCGTCGTTCTGGTTCCGCTGCTTCAGCTCCTCGTCGATGTTGCGCGCGCGCTGGCGCGTGCCCCGCAGGTTGTCGTAGATGTCCTCGTAGATCCCCGCGGCGACTTGTGTGGGGTTCGAGACTTCGGAGGCGCGCGGGGGCTTGGCTTCGTCGATGTCGAGGAGTTGGGAGGTGGTTGTTGGGGTGTTTGGGTGGACTGTGGGTGGGGGGTTAGTTGGGTGTCCTGAGGGGGGAGGAGGGGACGTACGGGTTTGGGAGGGCCGGGTGGTTGATATGCTGGCGAGTTGGGGGCGGAAGAATTTGGTGGGTTGTCGGAGGGCGGCGAGGATGGGTATTCTGGGAGGCATTTTGGGCGATTGATGTGTTTATCGACCTGTGTTGGCACTTTCAATGGCACTCCTTCATCAGCGTTGAATATGCGATTCAATGCTACAAATTGACGCTAGAAATTTGGTCGGGAAAATGAATTTTCCAGTGCAAGCTCCCGCGGTGGATCCACTCACCCCGCAGGGTTGCATGTGCATGCAGGGGTTTAACTCTTATCGGAAATCTAGAGTGGGTCTTAGATTTTGATAAGAAAAATAAATTGTTCTGCCAACCTCAACCTTCAACGTCTTTCTTCTTATCAATCACGAATTGACCGGCAGCCATCATGGTCCGACAACTCAAGCACCACGAGCAGCGCTTGCTCCGGAAGACAGATTTCATTACTTGGAAGCAGGATAACAACCACAGAGATGTTCGTAACGTCCATTCCGATTGATTCGAATTTATTACTGACTCTTCATGCGCTCGTGGTAGGCGGCTGTTATACGGCGATACATGATCCAAAAACCCGAAGATTATCACAGATACAATCGAATTTGCGGTGTACGTGTTTAAGGAATCGAATGGTGTTTTAGGAGACGAGGACTAATTTTATCGATGTAATATAGTCTCTGCGCCAACTAGCACATCGCCTCAGTTTGCTTCCCCCCGAAAGCCCCACGAGACGGAAACATGAGGAGCTTCTCCTTAACAAGCTCTACGATATGGGCATCCTATCATCCGCCTCCAAACTGTCCAATGTTGAGAACAATGTCACGGTGTCCGCGATGGCGCGGAGAAGATTGCCAGTGGTTATGACCCGATTACGAATGGCTGAGACGGTTCAGGCGGCTACCAAGCTCATCGAACAGGGACATGTCAGAGTTGGTGTCGAGACTATTACGGATCCTGCATTTTTCGTTACGAGAAACTTGGAGGACTTTGTGACCTGGGCCGTTGGCAGCAAGATCAAGCGAAACATCATGAAATACCGCGACAAGTTGGATGATTTCGAGCTGCTATGAGGCGATGGGAAGGGTTCCAATTGTTTCACCTAGGACTGGGTACATCGTGATGATTAAATGTACTTGATTTGGTTCATAGCATGGCGTTTGAGGGCATGAAAATACAGTATTAAGTCTATTTGTTTGACTAATCAGCTATGATACGTCTTTGGTATATACCTGTATTTGGCTTGGTTATTATATCTATGCATGTAGTGATGTTGATTGGTGCATCTACTGTGCACGTAAGAACGGTAAAGCCGAGTTTAAAGAAGTCCTTTGAACTCGTCAAAAGTACCTACTATGTACATAGAACAGTACGTAGAATATCGCGATTTGCTACTAGGTACCTAGGTACCTTACGTATTTTCGAGGTCTCTTAGATTTATTCACAGTATGTACATTGTAGATACCAAAATCGTGAGTCACTGATGTGAAGAAAACGTGCAGTCACCACTTACCACGGACCCACAGCCGGGCTGATTCAATCTATCGTACAGCCCACGAAAAAAACTATATATACACGCGGCCGACGGCCAATTTTGATTTCCTTTTCCCTCTTTCTTTCCCATACCCCCCAGGCAATTTTGGATAGAGATACCCCGCCAAGTACTAGCACATGGGATACGGGTTAAAATGTGCTTTTCAATTTTTGGGTCAATTGTTGCTAGTGAGTTACAGCTCAATTTTTGGAAACCAACTCACCTACTGGGTGATTCCTTTCACTTTTCATTGAGATCTAGGCCTCGTGCCGTGACTTAAGGAAGGGTGTTCGACATCGTCACTGCTTACTAAGTATTGAAAATGTATATCACGTGATGGTTTGTACGTGCCTACGCTTTCTTTTCGTGCAAGGGCAGTACCCACCCTGCCACCTTGGCACCTTGGTAGTAACTTTACTGTGGCGCGTTCATTCCTACCTTTTCTACCAGTCATCAATTTCCCAATATTTGTATATATCAATCTCGATCTAGATGGATGTTGATTTGGACATGATTTACATAATCTTAGATTCTCAAGTTTGTAAAATGTCCCCGTAAGTAATGAGCATGGCTCGATCTCCGGACCCTATCGTCATATCAGATGATGAAGCCACCGAATCATCGGAATCAGCACATGAGCCTACTACAGCTACTTCTACAAAAAAGCGCAAAATAAAGCCGAAAGTCTTGGATAAGGTTGAATGGAGTGACGATGACTCTGAAGTCACCTATGAGGCATTCAAGAAGCGCAAAGCGAACCGGAAGTCATCATCTGTGAAAGGTAAAGGCAAGGCCACTGCAAAGGGTCATGCGCGTAATCCTGCTAGAGCAAAGAAGGATAAATCTCGCCAAAATGATGACAGTATATCATCTGCAGACTCCGACTTTTCGGAAAAAATACTTCCTCAATACATACAGGATCGTCGCAACCAGTTTGATAAGAATCGTGAAACTTTACGTGAAGGCGGCCTCCGACTACCACCAGATTATTCGGATGTCTACTTTTCGGATGATGAAAAGCTAGCCGAGTTAGAAGAGAAACCTCAATTCGACGAGAGGAGTGGTATCAAACCATGTCGCCCATACAAAGATGTGGTTCTAGAACATTCAGCTGGTATTATCCCAGCCTCTATTGCACAATACCTCCGAGACTATCAAATTGAAGGAGTCAAGTTCCTTCACTACCTCTTTGTCTATCAAAAGGGTGGAATCCTTGGAGATGATATGGGCTTGGGTAAAACCGTCCAAGTTGCTGCGTTCCTTACCGTCATGTTCGGTAAGACTGGAGATCGTCGTGATGCGAAAAGGATGAGGAAATTCCGACGAACTAAAGACGATTGGTATCCTCGCGTCTTGATCATTTGCCCTGGTTCATTAATCCAAAATTGGAAGAACGAACTGGATAGGTGGGGTTGGTGGGAAGCTGACTTGTACCACGGCGCCAATAGGGACGATATTCTAGGCGCTGCACGAGCAGGAAGGCTTGAAATCATGATCACCACATATACTACTTACAAAAACAGCCGTGATCAAGTCAACAGAGTACCCTGGGATGTTGTCGTGGCGGACGAATGCCATTCAATCAAGGATATCGCAGCCGGAATTACACAGGCGATGAATCAGGTCAACTCCCTTTGTAGGATTGGCCTGACCGGAACAGCGATCCAGAACAAATATGAAGAACTCTGGGCATTGCTGAACTGGACGAACCCCGGGCAGTTTGGAACACTAGGGGAATGGAGGGATACGATCTGTAAGCCACTGACTATCGGTCAATCGCATGATGCTACTATTCCCCAGTTAAGCGAGGCCCGAAAGACTGCGAAGAAACTTCGCTTCAATCTCCTTCCTCGGTTCTTCTTGCGTCGAATGAAGAGTCTGATCGCCCACCAGCTACCGAAAAAGAGCGACAGGGTTGTGTTCTGTCCACTTTCTGATCTACAGCGCGAAGCATATGAAAAGATTCTCAGTAGTGAGGTTGTCGAGTTCGTCCGGTCCGCCTTCGATTATTGCCCATGTGGATCGGGTAAAAAGCGAGGATGGTGTTGTTTCAAAGTAAATGCGGACGGGGAATCGTGGAAATCACAGGTGTTCCCCATCATAATATCACTGCAGAAGCTATCAAATCATTTTAACCTCATTATCCCGCAAAATTCGGATATGCCAGACAAACACAGACGAGAACTCCGATTCCTTCAAGCTGCGATGCCAGATACGTGGAGCGAACATTATGCCAGCCGAGACTCTCTACTCAATTTAGCTAATCCAGAATATTGTGGGAAGTGGAAAGTCTTGAGTAAGCTCCTGAAGTTCTGGTACGCTAATGGTGATAAAGTCCTGGTCTTCTCACACAGCGTTCGGTTACTGAAGATCCTGCAACACTTATTCAACAACACAAGTTATACATTTAGCTATCTAGATGGTTCGCTAAGCTACGAAGAGCGTCAACAAGTAGTCGACGACTTCAATTCAGACCCCAATCAGTTCGTGTTCCTAATCTCAACCAAAGCCGGTGGTGTTGGTCTCAACATCACATCAGCCAATAAAGTTGTGGTCATGGATCCGCATTGGAATCCATCTTATGATCTTCAAGCACAAGATCGCGCCTATCGAATTGGTCAAGTCCGCGATGTCGAGGTATATCGTCTCGTTTCGACAGGTACCATTGAAGAAATCACCTATGCAAGGCAAATTTATAAGCAGCAACAAGCAAATATTGGGTACAACGCTTCTAACGAACGTCGCTATTTCAGAGGGGTTCAGCAGGATTCTGAACGCAAAGGAGAGATTTTTGGACTCCAGAATCTACTGACCTACCACGGCGATCAAGTCGTTCTTCGTGACATCGTTAACAAAACGAATATCGCTGAAGCTAAAGCAGGCGTTAAACTGATAGACATCGATATGGATAAGGCAGCTAAAGATGCTGAAGATGACCAATTCATCAAGAGGGAAGGCAGCGCTGATGATGACGAAACGGGTGGCCTTAAACTACTATCTACGCTTCTCACTAAGGACGAGAATAAAGACGGCATCTTGAAATCGGCCGGTGCGCGGAAAGTCACCCATATCGATCCTATTCAAGCAATCCTTGCTTCCGAAGGAGTTGAGTATACGCACGAGAACTCGGAGGTTGTTGGCACATCGAAAGTTGAGGATGAGCTATCACGACAAGCGGAATTAGCCGCGAGTCAAGACTACGACCCGGCGGCTCGTGCTCTATTCTTCAATAGCCAAGCCCCTTCAGCCGAGGGCAGTGCTAACGTTTCGGTCGAGTACGAATATAATCCTCCGGTAGATGTCCGGCAACGGCAATTCTGCACGATGGCGAAGACCTTCGGATTCCCCGGCGTGACGGAGTTCGCCTTGGCGGTCGAAAGTATGACCCAAGAAGAGCGAAGGAACTGCCTGGAGCTCTTCTACAGGAAACGTACCGAGAAATTAAAACAACTAGATGAAGTCACCGAGTCTGATGTTAGCTCGAAAGTAGAGGAGGATACGAAAGAGGATATTAAGATGGTGGATGTCAAAGTCGAAAATACTAAAGATGCATCAACTGAGACCGAGGGTGATACAGACAATGAAGATGTTAAGATGGAGGAGACTAAGCCTAGCACACCAGCTATAAAACCGGAAACAAAGGTTCAGTCTCCTGCTATTCGGGATTTGAAGAAGATTAAGAACGAAAGCTCGCCGACAACGTCGAAAAGAGCGTCTTTGAGTATCTGGCTGTCCGACGACGAAGGGGACGAGCTATGAGTTTTCTTGTTTATGATACCTTGAGCCGTATTGAAGATCTGGAAGTCTACAGGTTACATACGGAAGGCAATGCAGTGCATACTTGGCTAGGTGTTTATGTGGCAGGATGGATGGAATTAGGAAACGTCGTCCATGTGCTAATATTACTATATTGCACTGTGGTTCAATCTATCCCATATGTTACACAACCCGCATCCGGTGCTTGCCGTAGCACGCGGAAATTACTTACATAAGCGAGGCAGGGGATATTTTGTCTTACGGTCCAACACAATGGCATTAGCACATGGAGTACCTCTCCTGGCTGGGTTTACGCAATTCAGGTTATAGCTACACGGAAACTAGCCTCACGGCTACTATATAGACGGATAATGATACCTAAATTAAGGATGCAGACACCGTCCATGAGGACAATCTTCGGCACCCGACATGTGGTTTAATAACTCAGCCCTTACGTGGATCATTTGATTCCTGTGCGCTCGGGCATCGAGGGAGGGCAAGTTACAATACGTAAGCTTATGTGTCGTGCCATACAATAAGCGACTTGACAAAGTATTGTAGAAGGTTGCGATGCCTTCTTTCAATATCTCCTTTTAAGATATCTCGGTTAAGGCGTTCAGAATTTGCATATAGCCGATGCTTAATACCGCGATAATTGCATTAACTTACGTAAACCTATTATGTCATCGTCAACGCCAGGTTCACGGTCCTCGCCAATATTCATGGATGAACAACACCGCCGTGGGAATAAGATATGATTAATCTTATATGAGGCGCAAGCCTCGAAATTGCCATCGTATTACTCATGAGGCTTAGCAAACACTTGTATACTTCATACGTGACATTGCTTTTTGCTCTGAGGAGTCCTACCTTAGCACGTTTGAATTATATTGTACGTCTTCCGCCTTCCAATAGGAATTCAAGGAGTCTAAATCGATGCATGCAACATTCAGGTACAAAGTCATCTGTGTAACGTTTGTCCAAGTAGATTTGTGGAGAATGCCTGTGTAGATCTTCCGCTTTTCCCGATAAGTTGGTAGCACAAGATGGAGTTACACATGTACCTTGTATCTTCTCGGTACCGCTTCCCTCGCTGAGGACGCTGTAGGGAGTTAATTCAGTCAATGAGCTGGTTAAATAATGGAAGGCTTGGCCTGCATTGTATTAGAGAAAGGCTATGTTCGTTCCACCATTGTGTCATTATCTGGTCAGTCTGGTCAGCCTCCTTTTTTGTTCCTGACAGTTGCTAGCTAAAGTTTAAAAGGTTGGTTGCTGCGAATTAACATTCCATCGGGGATCGACAGAAGCAAATCTCCAACCACAACTACCACAACTACCACATCCTGCTCTCAGCTTAGTGATATTCTCCAATACTTTAATACTTTAATACCTACATAAGCCATCTTCTCCACGGGGCGTTTTTAAATCCTTCATTTACGTCAAGATATTCCCGATTCGGCTTATCCTAATTTTCCAAGTGCCCTATAGACGTCATCTTCGCTCCTCTGTGGAACCGATCTTCACCCCTTGATCGTCCACCTGCAGTCATTCATTCTTGTCAAGAGGAATACACTCACAAAACTTGTCATCTAGCCACCTAGACCATCGACATTCGTTCAACAAGGAAACCCGTAAATCCATTAATGATGAAGTCACTCGTTCAAACACTACTATTCACGACGGCCACCTGCGCCACCATACGATCCAGACAAACTGATGGTCAATGTTGCTTTCAACTCGCCTCAGTAGGGAAGGTCAACGAAACTGTGTTGGAGGACCATGTCGGGGATTTACTCCTGGGTGGTACCTTTCAACAGGGTGGGTTCTGTCTAGATAAGACAGCCAAAACTATACAAGATAGTTTAAAGCACAATTGCTTTATGAGAAGCCCGGATTACCAGTTCGAATGTTACCAAGGTGCTGTTGGTACCACTGCATTCGAAGTCACGAAACCACAGGCAGACGGGAAGTATTATCTTACTTATGATAACGGTCCCGGTACCTTCTACGCTTGCCCAATCCCCTCGGGCACAGGCAACGAACAGACCTATGATATTTACTCCTCGGAGAAAGCAAATAAGGATGGATGTGTCCCGGTCGCGTTAGCGCTTACGAATGAGACACCAGAGTGCGCCACCAGCAGTGTGGCTGGCGATGCCACTCCGACCCAACCCCAACAGCGCGAGACTTCATCTCAAACTTGCTCTATCGCAGCTTCAGCGCCGTCTCTTTCCCCTTATAAGCTAAAGACCGGAAACTCATCGACATCCGCGGAAGCCAAAATCACACCCATAAACAGCACAATATTCGATTACACCATCCCGAAGGACTTCCTCTCCAAGACCGATTCGAAATCGTCCCTATGCGCCCTCCAATTCCGCATGCCGGTATGCACGTCTCTTCCCAAAGGATACCCTTGCTACAGCTTTAGTGGGCTAGAGCAAGAGTACCTATCGGACTCCGGGATGGCGTTTCACCTCGAGTCCGACGACGGTAATGCGTCGTGGAATAGCACGGAAGTGCACCAGGTCTTCCCGGGAGATAACACTATCATCGGTACTTTCGAGTGCGGGGAGAAGGCCGACCGTAAGATGAGCTGGCATGTAAGCAGCGTTAGGGAGTTCGCCCTCGAGTTCCTGCAGGCTGGCGTTGGCGAAAACGCTGAGTTTCAGGATGGGATTGGCGCCTGGATTGTCCCTTGCCAGTGAGAGGTTGAAGGACCGGTTTGCGTGAGGTAGGCATGGAATATTGCTTGCTTCACGTGGGAGAGCATACTATATCAGGACTCATGTGTCTTCTGGCTTTGGGGGAATGCACGGTAGTGCGTAATGAGTTGAATGCTGATGGGATCAGTGGTTAGTATGGCCATCGTACGCCCTATTCGTTGCAGATATACTTAGATGTCTAGGCAGGCCGCAAAAGGCTTTGATACATAGGAAATAATACAAAAAACTGATTATAGATGCTTAGGTACCTACGTTTAAGGTCTCATCGTAAGTTGCACGCCGAAAGAGTCATTGAAACATCCTATCTCGGAGAAAGCTATTTGCATGGGGGTTGTGATATACTGCCAGTAATAAAGCTTCCGGCGCTATCTTGGCACCAGGAACGCGAGCACAGCAATCCGACGAATCATCAACCTTAAGAATAGATATGACCTCAACACTAATATGATAGTTTGCCTAGAGTTGGGGTTGCGGGGGTTTTGACACTTCGGTTGTCGTTCGCCGAGAGCCTTGATTTGTCGAGGTGATGGTATATTCGAGCACGTCAACGCGGTGATATATTTCACAATCCCCACTTTCATGAATCAGAGACGCGCCGCGCCAGTCACGACATCGAGATATCATCCCGCATCCAAGATAATTATCAGATTCAAAGACGTGATCTAACTCTAGATCTGCACAAAGGGAAGATTTCATCCAAAGAGATTGAATCCAGGACTATGACGTTAGAATGGCTGAGCTCGCGCAATTTACCAATCGTCCGGAGTCGGCAGGAGATAGTTGGTATCTCCACGATGGGCTTCGGATACATATAAAACCTGGGGTAAAATGGATTAAAAAACCGTTGGTGTAAAGCGCAATTCCTTACTGAATTTTATAAATTTTATCAAGCCAGCGATTGTCGTCTGTACGTCTTATAAAATGGCTCCCTCAGCAACAGAAACTGTTGTTCCAATTATCGAGGATATCAAGCAGAAGGCCATCCCAGGCAGCCAGAAGGAAGTTATCCAGAAGGACCAGAAGGTGGACAGTGGTGCAGTTGGCACCACGGACTTGGAGGATGATGAACTTCCTAAACTTGAGACAGCACACAAGGAACCCCTGAAGTTGAGCGGTGCTCTCGACCAGTTCAAGCATTTTGATGTTACACCTGTGATCGGAAGAGAATATGTAGACGTAGACTTGGCCGAATGGCTGCGTGCCCCGAACTCCGATGAGCTCCTCCGTGACCTAGCCATCACAGGTATGACCCTTCCGGCCCAATCGTACTAGTCGAGAAGAAGATGTGGGCTAACAAGTATTCTCCAGTGTCTCAACGTGGTGTCGTCTTCTTCCGCAAACAAGACAAAATCGACAACGACCTACAAAAGGAGTTAGTCCAAAGACTGGGCGAGCTATCCGGCAAGCCAGCCACCTCGAAGCTACACATCCACCCCGTCATCAACTCCGGGCGCGAGGGCGGCGGCAAAGACGACGAGATCAGCACCATCTCATCGCGACAAGCGAAGAAGCTTTATTCCAAGAACATCGTATGGTCCGAGACGAAACAGACGCAAAGGAACCAATGGCACTCCGATATCACGTTCGAGCCCATCCCAAGTGACTACGCTCTGCTACGACTGACTCAACTCCCCAAGACCGGAGGAGGTATGTTTTAAGCCATAAGCGAGAAAGGAGAAGAAGAAGAAGGAACTGAGCTGACACCAAACAGACACCCTCTGGGCCTCAGGCTACGAGCTCTACGACCGGATCTCCAAGCCCGTGCGCGGCTTCCTGGACACCCTAACAGCATACTACGCACAGCCCGCCTTCAACGAAACCGCCACGCGCAACAACTTCAAGATCTACTCCGCCGAGCGCGGGGCGCCCGAAAACATCGGCGAGGTACTCGAAGCGATCCATCCGGTCATCCGCACGAACCCGGTAACAGGGTGGAAGAGCGTGTTCGCCGTCGGCCACCACGTGCAGCGGATCCACGGGCTGTCCGACTACGAGTCCCGCTCGCTGCTGGACTGGTTCACGAAGCTGATTGTTGAGAACCATGACTTGCAGGTCCGCTTGCGCTGGCAGAGTGAGAATGATCTGGCGATTTGGGATAATAGGAGTGTTTACCATGCTGCTACCCCGGATTATATAAATCAGGGCTTGGGGGAACGCGAGGGTTCGAGGGCGGTGAGTTTGGGGGAAAGACCGTATTTTGATCCGGCGAGTGGGAGTCGGAGGGAGGCTTTGAGGGCGGAGGCGGGGAGGACTTGATGGTGTGGGTTGGGGGTTTGGTGGTTGTAGTTTGGATGTTGCGTGAGGGGCTTCTAGGTAAGAAGATGGGTGGCGGTGTGAGGTGTGAGGGGACTTGAATATCTTACTTCTTTGGTATACATACGTTATCAAAGGGTCCTCACTAGGTATGGTTACCTGGGTAGTGGAAGAGGGCTACATGAGCCTGCATGAGCATACGACCAATTATAGAGCCTTGGCTCGATGTTATAACAGAAAACTTTTTCTTATTATAGGTGACGTGAAACAAACCCACTGCCCTTATTAACATGTTAACATATAGGTATTTTATACCCCAACGATTAAGAAGTTACTTACGTCAATTTTTGTCATCTTATAACAATTCATATCTCTTTAATAACATAAAGAATGGATTTATAATACTATGTAAGTTACCGATCAGTTAATATAGGGGTAGGTATCATGGTGTCACAACCCCTGAACCAAACGTTATCTGAATTATAACTTAATAAATTGGCTATATACCTACTTATAATCATCATCTGCAGTAAGACAAACATATAATAAAAACCCACTATATTTCTATATAATAGCTCACGATTATAATATGTAGAAGGGGTTATGACGGCTTCCTCATGCCTAGCCCTCCCTATTTATAGGATTAGTCATCAGTGAATACTGTTTTACGACTTGGCGTCAGTGACGTCTTTAGGCCAAGAACAAACATTTACTTGATCGTTTCGACTACCATCTAGCATTTCTAAGAATAACAAAAGGACCTCGCGTACATGACTCCTTCACCCATGCCCCCTCCATCTTGTTTGCGCGCGGATCTACCCGCAGTCATAGCATCCACTCTTCAAGTAGCCAAGATGCTACGAAGTATGCGTACTATGATGTCTCATAACAGGACGACGAACGAGCGAGGGACGAGGTGGCGCCCACATACAGACTCTCATCGTTCCACCACGAATACATATCTTCCTATACGTCGCTGCATCGGGTCCGACGAATCACTGGCATCGGACCGAAGCAACACGCTCGTGGGATGAGAGTATGCCGCAGTGTGGGCACGCAAGCATTGATAGACGAAAGAAAACAACGGGTAAGGCGACATTCAAAACATGGCCGTCCAACCAACGCGTCCTTCACGAGTATGCAGTGCAACCCCGTGACCTTTCTTGCACGACATCGCTGCTACGTACGTTTAATATCCCTCCATATATAGCTCTTGTTTTAGAGCCCAAGGCGACCAATATGACCAAATTGAAGGGGAAGAGATGGCATGACTTCACTGGCTGTGCTCTGCGTCAGACATGAAGTTTCCGAGGTGAGAGAGACAAACTTATAAATGTTGAAACCGTGCGTCAAAAGGCATTGTGACATTGCATGCATTCTACATTCTACATATGCAAGGATTTGCGTCTCAGACCAACAACTAAAGATACATGCCTACCTAGTTGCCTACACATACCTACATACATATGCAAGCACTGATATGATTTTCTGCGGGTGCAGCAGGGGGTAAGACGATACACTATTCCTGATCGACTATCTCGCTAGTCTTGGAATCTCCATCGAGCTGCCAAGTTTGCAGGTTCTCTGCTTTTCTACTTGGAATCGACAGGTGGATAGTTCGAAATTGGCCGAAATCACGAACCGTTCTTTGACCAAGGACCACCTGCAAAAGCGTGGCTACAGGGATACCTTGCCGGGGTTCTTTTATGAAGAGTTGCTTTGCCGAGTTGGTACCCTGGCCTCAGACCCTGTCCGCACCCTAAGCACTTTTCTCGTGATGCCCAGCGTCAGGCCCTCCTGGACCTCTAGCGCCCTCCAGCCTCAAAAATAGTCGATTTGGTCGTTCGGGAAATTCCATCGAAAACCCATTTTCCGGCTTCTCGATGACACCCTAAGGCATGGAAGAATCGGAAACATGGCAGTATGGGTTATGTAAGCCGTCGCACCCTTGAACCAACATGGTGTGGTCGAGATAAAATCCTCTCGCCAAAGCAGTGATCGGCGACATGGGGCGGGAGAGGATCCCGGATTGGTTGAGAGCAGACCACGTCTCAAGTGTACGATATGTTACGGCCACTGCGCGGACGAGCACGCGAATCTCCGATGCTTGAACTGTCGATCGTCCTTCGTCGTCCTGTCGTTCTTGTCTTGACTCTTTCTAAACTAAAGTGCAAAAGTGACGGCGAGTGCAGAAGTGCCCATATTCTTCCCGCGTATCCTTCTCATACCCATACAGACCACACCATACGTACATACTATCCCTACCTATACATTCCTGACAAAAAATAACGAAACATCCTGGGAAAAAAGGGGGGGTTTCTCAAGGGTCCTCTATCATCATTTGTCAACGTACAACGGGCAGCTGACCCTACTTAGGACAGCAAAATCCCGTTGGGCGAGGAGAAGGCAAAAGCGACGCGATCTCTCCTCTCTTTGAACTGCCGTCTGCCAACTTGCCCCCCTTAGCCTTAAGGGATCGCCTTTGCATCATCCACCTACGCTAATTTCTTCTTCCTCCCGTTCGATTAGACTAGACTAGTCGAAGCTCGCTCAAGGGTCGTGGGCGTTTCCCATCGTTAGCTACCCCACATCCGTCATAATTCCCCGTCTTTAGGTCGGCGAACTTGCGTCTTGGCTTGGGCTGGTTAGTCACCAGGCATGCCGCAGCATCCGAAAGCCACGGCCGATGAGCCGGCAGCGGAGAAGAACCCTACAGCCGAGCCCGCGAGGCCAACTGTCGGCCCGGTCTTGTCAAGCCCCACGGATAGTGCCGCTGTTACACGATGGCTGGAGTCGCAGGTACGTATCACGATGCCATCACAATTAGTGTTCCGTTGTCGAATCTGACATGCAAATTCTAGCCAGATATTGATGCTGAATTCTACGAGTTAGATTCGGCTTTGGGCGATGATGCGTGAGTGAAAAGAGCCAAGACCTCGATGTTGAGGGGTTGATACTCATGATTGGAGTAAAATAGTATGAGTTCGACGGCCTCGTTGTCGGCCAGCATCCTCGAGTATCGCACGATTCATGGACGGAGATTCCATAGCCAAAGGGGCAACACAGACTACTGGTACTGTCCTCCTCTTCCGCTACGAATAATTATCGGGACGCCAAATTGACTTTTCGCCTTTTCGGCACTGAATCTCTGTAGGGGACCCAACGATGAGATACAAGGGAATTCCATGGACCTCTCGTAAGTGTTACATCCCAAGTCGGACCTAGGATTTGAAGCTTACTCTTCGCTGTGCCTAAATAGCCACCACACGCTTACGCTACTAATGGGCGATAAGCTATTCTTCGCCCCTATCGGCGACGACCCGAAGAAGGTGCTCGACGTCGGATGTGGAACAGGTAAAGCATGCCGGCTTTCTATCTCTCTGCCCTAATTTCTACCTAACCCAATACTAACTCAAACCCCAGGACTCTGGACAATGTAAACCCCCAATCCCCAATCCCCCATCCCCCCCTAACCCAGCCCAAAACTCCCTTAAATCTAACCCCACCCAGAGACTTCGCCGACGCCTTCCAAGAATGCGAAGTAATAGGAACCGACATCTCGCCCACCCAACCCTACTGGGTACCCGTAAACCTTCGTTTCGAAATCGACGACTGCACCACCGTCCCCTGGACCTACGCGCCGCAAACCTTCGACTTCATCCACCTGCGGTACCTCTTCGGCGCCATCCGAGACTGGGACTCCTTATACGCCGAAGTCTACCGGGCCCTACGCCCAGGAGCCTGGGCGGAGTCCGTCGAACCATCAACGTACGTACGCAGCGACGACGGCTCGATCCTGGCGAACGACGGGTCCGCGTTATCGGAATGGGCGCCTTTATTAATGGAAGCGGCGCGGAAGTACGGCGCGCGGACGTACGAGGGACCGCGGCCGATGCACATGGTTGAGGACGGGACGATCGTCAAGTCCTTCGAGCGCGCCGGGTTCACCGATATAGTGATGCAGAGCTACAAGTGTCCGCTCACGCCCTTTTCGCAGGACCCGCATTTGAGGGAGGTGGGCTTGTATGCGAGGTCTGCCATGGAGGAGGGTATGGAGGGTGAGTGTTACTGCCTACCTATTTATCTCTCTGGTCCCGTCTCCCGTATGACGCTACTAACCGAAAGCTTTGCTTTCTCTTCCCGTAGGATTCGTTCTGTACCTCTTCACCAACGGTCTAGGTTGGTCTCGCGAGCAAGTGACGCTATACCTGCACCGCGTACGTCAGGAGCTACGCGATACGCGAAAATCGCCGTATATAGAAGTCCAGGTAGTGTATGGGCGGAAGCCCGAGACGCCTAATTAATTGGTCCTATATGAAGAAGATAAGCATCGAAATCGGTTAAGGAAGGGGGGATTGATGGACGAGTGACTAGGCAAAACGCACTCGGAAATCGCCCCGAGGCTATATATTCGGTATCGGGTATATATATTGTCTGCGAACATAATATCTAGCGTTTAGCATTGCATAGGGTTAGCTCACAGGGCTGACTGTGCGACGGAGTAGGAGACCAGCATACCTCTAGTACCCATATCGTCTTATACCAATATTAGAAAGGGGCAATTCATCCCCTCATCCTCAACACCACAAATAGCTAAGCAAGGCCATCGACAGTCACATAAGCCGAAATCTCCTATTTCAATAATGATTACAGTTGCACAGCCACTCAATAGAACAAAACTATGTCATATTTCACCAATTTCTGATTTCAATCGTCCTCTAGCAAGGCCAGCTCCAGAATAACACCTCTAATATCCATCCGATCCGATCCGATCCGTCCGTCCTTATCCCGTGCCAGAATTATATGTTTTTTTCGTTGGAAATTCGTTGAGGTTTTTGTACAGACCCTAAACCATGATAGGGTCGCGCTGCGATTGCTGTGCCGCTCCCAAAACTAATTATATCCCGGTAAGGTTGGCTAGGTGCCTATTCCCCCAGGATAATCCAATCAGCACGAGCCTGATGGCCAAGCCTATTAAACGCCTTACATCCGTGCCAACGATTTGGGAAAGTCTATTTCTTCTACTCCCAGAAGGAAAAAGCGATTCGGTGCTACTCTACAAAAGTAGAGTGCCGACTAAAGTGAAGGCACCAACAACGCCAGCAACGGCAAAGATGCCCATGTCCATTGGCGGAGCCGGTCGGCCACTGCCATTTTTACCCGATGCGGTTGCCGTCACGGATCCGGAACCGGGTGAAGCAGTGCCTGTCGACGTACCTCCGGCATTCTGGGAACCAGCTCCTTTTAGACCCGGTCCAGTACCAGCTCCCGCAGTCATGTACTATGAGTTTGTTAGTTTTTTTTCTGTAACAGTAGCCAGTGAGGACTGTAGCAGTCTACGTACCTTGACGGCCCCATTAGGGATGGCGGGAAGTGCGCTTGCACCCCAGCCCTCGAGATCCCAAGTATCATCGACAGTCGGGCAAGCAACCGACGCAGTGGTTGAGGTAAACCCGCCATTTCCGCTGGGCGTCGGGTATTTGCTCAGAGCTGACTTGAAGGCCGAGAATTCGGTATCCTCCTTGACCGAACTAGAAGTTCCGGAGAGTTCGACAATACCGTACCCATTCCCTTCCCTGCTGTATTCGTACATCAAGCCACCCGAGTACACACTAGACATTTGATCGCTCATCAACGCACCCAACTCCTCGAAGGTACGGCCGTTTGTTATGCAGCCCCACTCAGACAAGAAGATGGGTATACCGTAACCAGTAAAGTTCTTAACCTTCTGGTCCCAACCCGACTGTTGGAAAGAAGACGGAGCACACCAAGAATAATCGTTCTACACCGAAACAGTCAGTTTTCAAGGTTTTTGTTAGCGATTGAGAATACTTACAAAAGCGAAGAAGTCGCTCCGCTCATCATCAGTACCGCAGTTGAAGTACTGTGCGGTCTGCATACGATTCTGGCTGACATCGGCGGCGGAATAACCAACAGGAATCTTGCGGTACTTTTGGGAACCAATGTACTGGCGCATATCACGAGTGGTAGCTTTGACGTAAGGTGCGGCCTTTACAGACTCAGGCTTATCGTTGATAACTTCATTCCCCGAGAAGAAAGCGAGCGTGTTATCGTACTTGGCAAATTCGTCGATGGTGGCAAAGATGCTCTGGAGGTAGACGTCGTTGTATGACGGGCCGGGCTTGTCTCGGTTTATGGAGTACTGGGGGTTGTTGACGTCGAGAACGAGGTAAATGCCTGCATCGTTCAAAGCTTGCATACATTCTTTGTGGTTGGCCGAGTTATCTACAGAGTAGACACGAACCGTGTTGACACCGAGTTCCTTGAATTTGGCGATGTCTCGCTTGCAAGTGTTGGTATCAACGAGAGGATCGCTGTTGGCGGAAGAACCACCGGGCTGATAGTCGATGCCTCGAATATAAAATCGTTTATCACCAGCCCAGAACGCTACCATTTATGATCAGCTTCCGTTGTCTATATACAAGGAGAGAATTGAGGCTATACCATTGCCAGACGCGGTCACGGTGGGCAAAGAGTCAGCGCGTTTGGGGAGTTCCGGTTCGGTGGGAGTAGGTCCTGCTTGGACAATACTCGCCGCCGCCAAAGCGGACGCTATAGCGAACGACCGCATGATGCTATTGTAACACTATGTAGTCAATTGGCTGTTATGATTTGAGGTTGGTAAGTGATGGTATGGTATTCGTCAAGCGAGGTCAAGCACGTATTGAATTACAATCCCAAACGAGTGAGGGTCGCTGAAAGAAGAATCAAGATCAAACAGTTTGCGAAGATGAATATATCGGAAGACAGTGAGACAACATTAACGAGTGAGTTGTCCTTGAGAAGGGGAAGAGTCAAGATGGAGTAATAACGAGTGGAAAGGTCGAGAGGTGGAAGAAAAACAAGTCTCCTGACGTGGGCTTAGGAATGGCAAGAGGAAAGGTGCGACAATGCTAAGATGTCACTTCCCTTGGCTTTAAAACATAGTATTCTCTGATTCCTCAGAACAAGGAAAGGGGCACCCAGCAAAGCAAGTAAAAGCAGGGTATTGGTCACTGCCACTCGGGAACAAAAGGGGAAGGAGGGTGTGTCTCCAACATCGCCACAGGTGACACCAATAGCCGGCATAAAAACGAAATTCACCCACTCATATTCCATAACTCTGGGTCAAGAGCAGCGAGTGGCGTTCCTAGTGTAAATTGACGTATCTGCAGGAACGGGTATGTACCGTACCGTAAGTACCGCGCGACACATTTGATATAGAGAGTTACTTCTACATTGCCACATATGTACAGATAAAAATAGCAAGGGGCTAAAGACAAAAGACTAGGTAAAATACAGTCATGTCTTAGAAAACAGCCATCCCCCTGACTTGGCCGAGTTTCTTTTATCGACATAGGATTACCTATGGAACCCGTGGGAGCCGCATATTGAAGTTAAGGGATTATGGATGCTGGGATACGATCAACGGCAAGGAGGGTGGTCGTAGAGATCCGGATGCACCTGCTACATAGTATAAGAGTGGGGCCATACGCCGCAGTTAATTATTAGTTCGCCGTCATTGCTCTCTGTTAAAACTAAGGTATTACGAGATCCACTATTTCTTATAAGCTGGCGTCTTATGTTGACGACCTAATTCGTCGTATTCCTCTTCTCCTTCAGCCAAGTAAAATTCGTATTCAAAATTGGAGCAGTTCGTGATCATCGCCAAACTTTCTCAACACCGTAACATATTCTTATTACTTAACACATCTGCACATTTGCACAGCCTTCCTCGGGTTTCAAAGTGTTTTATTTCCAAAACTAACCATTCCACTTCCACCGTGTTCTGGTTGTCGAAAGCGCCTACACTACAGATGACAAACGCATACAACGAGACATACAATCCGAGCGTTCGTTGGTAGCCACTAGATGCACTCTAACTCATGCAAACTTCCCGTTTAGGAATTGACTTTCACTGACATGCTGCAGCCGTTCGTTCTTGGCTTCCGGACTACCGCATCTGGGTGGGTTTTATGCCGTCATTTTAGATCAACCATTGCTGGCAGGCCAAGTTTAAAACCTGATAATAGCCCGGCTGTTGGTCCAGTTAAAACTGGTCTAGTGTCAAGGGAGTATCACACTACGACCACGCACCCACCATCGTATTGCTGGCTAGCCGCTCCCTCTAGCTACAGCAAGGCCAGTGTCCCGTACGGGAGCGAGTTTATTATCAATTTGCATAACAGACTTCCCAGTTTCTAGGCATATCCCAGCATGCTGTCCTTCTTTTTACCTTCATAATAGCCAATTGGCTGCCACGTAGCTAATGGAAAATGGATTTACATTGACAGCAATACTTACTTGACACAGCAGCACAGTAAAATCTAGCGTGTACCACATGAGATTCGGCATCTTTATTCTACATATAATAACAAGGATATCGAGATCAAACATGAGAATCAGTTCTCGAAACGACAAAGAACATTCGGTCGAATTTCGAAGAAAAAATAAAGACATCTGAATCGTGCATTTTTTATATGTAAAGGCATTCGTTTATATACTAGGTTGAGGATACATCTACTCTCTCCCTGTTAATATCTAGAATGATCGCCAACGCCCCTTAGCTCATATCATACAGACATCCAGAACCCCATTAGTATTAAACAATATTTTGTACTCCCATTCCTTTATACGTGCCTCCTTCATATTGCTTGGGCATCTCGCTTTTCTATAAGGGCGTGGGATCTCAGGATGAGGTCTGGGGTGGATTCGATGTTTTAGATTGTTGCATCGCGTTCCTATGTATACAATTAGTACTTCGCTGGCTTACTATAGTCGGCGGGTATCCACGCGGGCCATGCCAATACGTACAGTCTACCCTCTAGGGTGTGGAGAAGATATAACTCGGCCTCGTAGGGTATATAACCCAAAAGCTGATCTAGGATGATGAGCGCTGCCATGAGCGAGTACTTCATCCTAGTGATGTGGGCTTGAAGAATACCCATAAGCTCGGGGAGGTCGAGAGTCATGATGACTTTCCCGCGACCGGTTTCGACAGCTTCCAATCGGCTGTCGAGGATGTCGTACATGTCCTCCAAGAACTGCACGGCGCTGTTGACGTCTTCAAACATCGCACTCCAGCGGCGCTTTTCGGCATCCGGGAAATTGAACCGGGCCTTAAAGCTCGTGATAAAACCGGTGAAGTCGGCCTGCAGATTGTCTAAGTCTCGGTCGGCTTGGTTTAGATCAACTCGAATTCGCATCCCCAGGATGCGGTCTTCAAGTTTAACCGGATTCGGGCCGCGGGAGCCTCGGGTGTACTGATCATAGGGACCGTACTGTGGAGGAGGCGGAGGAGGTGGGCCTCCGGGTCCGTAAAATGGCGGAGTGCCGTAGTGCCAACTGCCTGGTTCCGGTCCAGACTGGTATGACTTGCTCCCGTCCCGATGGTCGCTCTCTGACCAGTCTTCGCAATAAGGCTTTCGGTTGCGATTCGGCTTAGGCTCGTATTTGTCCCCTTTCTTGCTGTGAGTTCGGTCTGCCTTCGGTTTTGCGCTGCCGCGGGGATTGTGTTCTTTCTTACCGCTTCGTTCGCTTCGTTCTTTCCGCTCCTTGCGCTCCCTGTGTCTGCGGCCGGAATCGCCATCTTTTTCGTCGCGCCGGCTGCTGTCCTTGGCGCTGTTGGCACGATACTGGTCGTACTCTCGTCTCAAGACATCATCACGGAGAATTTCCCAGGCCTCCTGGACCTGCGTAAATCTCTCGTTATTCTCGGGCGTGTTCCCCCCTTCCGCTTTATCCGGATGCACTTTCTTGCATAATTCTCTGTACGCCTTCTTGATATCTTCCAAACTCGCATCGCTTTCGACCTCTAGCGCTTTGTAGAGGTCATGCTTGGGAAATCTCGGGCGGACCATTATTGAAGATTCTCTTGATATATCGCGATCTATGTATTGTTGATAAAAATCGAAACGATCTTTTCGTTTTCGGTTTGCAGTGGTGGGAAGCATATTGGCAGTATTCGGCGGCTCGCAGATATCGTATAAGTAATGATTTGAAGCTGTTAAACAGCATAAGTGTAGTGAAACAGAGCAATGTGATGCAATATCCTGTCATGGCTCGTGATAAACGTTTTATTACAATTCGAAGTAATCAGCAAAGATCAGAACAAGGTCTTTATCTATTATATTCCATGTTTTGTAACTGTGTGCTCGCATTTGGATGATGCGGTACACGTGGGTCGTTACCATCAACCTGTCTATTCAAAACTTACTACGTGGATGATATCGAGCCTCGACCCTTCTAAACGGTCATCGTAGTGCCAAGCGCCGAGGTCAACCCACGAAGATGAACGTTAAATGTCACATGTGGATGCGCTGGAGATTGCCTACGTACTAGAGGTGAGCGATCCAAAGGGTGATGGGTGGAATGAATCGGCCTTTACACCAAACTTCAGAATGAGTTGTGGCAACAGGTCATCGCTCCAATTAAAATCGCGTAAGCAACCGGGTAACCTTCAATGATAGCTCTCTAAGGTGATCCAGTGTCGTAATTTCCTGAATTGGCATGCAAACATATTAATGCATAGCTGCCCGGGCAATTTGACGGCACATGTTGCGGCTGAAGTGCACCCCGGGCATACAAGGCCTGTCTGCCGGGTCTATTAATATCGTGACTTCATACTGGATAAATCCACCTAGGTAGAGGGAGAATACCAATCACGGGAGAGCCTTTGGCATATAGAAGATCTTTCCTTGGAATCAAACATGGCTATTGTAAATGGGGATTTTTACCACTTAGGGAGGTGATGCAGATTGCTTGTCAAAATGAGAATTCCGCCCTTGGTATCATTGGGCTATCCAACCGGTTGGGAGGGCCTGCAACACCTACCACAACTATTGACCAAACAGTCATGGACCGTAACTCCGATGATTGGACAAACAGATCCTCAAGGGCTGTCGTCGTGGCGCGGTAGGACTCCCCTGAGTAAAATGCAGGAATAAGATAAAGGGTCCTCTCAAACTGTAATAAGCTTATTGTCTGCAAATCTTGGGTCGGATCTGCTCGGCAGAGTCCTCACATGAACATGAAAAGCATTCACGAGGTGGATGCGAGCAGCTGAAGATGCAGACGTTATTTCGGGATTGCGATTTCGCTGTCGTCTTTTTTAGGCGACGATCCCTCATCCACAGCAAATACCCTTATATACACAAATAGGGTGTCTCCCGGTCCATGTCCGCAGAAATTCCCTTGGTGAATTCAAATAGGATAGATATCCGGTCGTTAGAGCGTTGCCGCTGCTTCGACTGCACCCGAAGCTTTAAATGTCGCCTTATTCGTCCACCTGATCTCAACGTTGTGCATCCATTCCATATATCTTGCCCAACCTATGCAAAGCGGTGTTAGAGACGAGGCCAATTTAGGGGATAGCTCGGAACCATACTCCAATAGGCAAATTTGCGACCGAGATATTTACCAGCAAAGGGCACCAAAATCATGGTCAGCAGCAACTGGAGCTGCTCTATGCTCTGTTCCCATTCCCTCTGCGCATCGTAATCGTCTTCGGACGTGAAACTCTCGGTAGAGGTGGAAGGAAGGGAATCGACTTCGTCGTGGTCGGAATCGGGAACGTCGGGTATGGTGAATGAATCTGAGAGAGACATGGTTCGATGATGATCTCAAAGGTTGAGGAGGCCAATGCTAAATAATCCAGGCGAGAGAGAAAAGCAGCGAACGATGCGCCACTGCTAACAGACCCGATGCATTGAGCCCCTACCAGCCTTCAGCCTTCAAGCGACCTAGAACCGAGACTACAAGATTATCCCCGATATACAACCCAACTGAGTTATAATATTTGATATCGTCGAAATGTTGAAATGGGGACTTTACTTGTGGCTGTTGCAACTTGCAAGGCAACTCGGAAGCTATTAGGTATTAGGTACAGCGTAACGCAATACGTACAGGTACCTCTTTTTACGGATCAACCTGGAACATTTAAATGCATGGTCCATATGCCGACCGATCTTGACCTCTCATTGGTCAGATACCACTTAAGAGTGGAGAAGTAGGGGAAACGTTATTTAATGTGGGGGTCAGGTAACTCAGTCAGCTCTGTTAAGTGTGCTGAGTCACAAGCTGGCAACGGGCTGCTATCAGCTTGGGCTCGCTAGGGGAAAGAACCCCTCTATTGGAAGTCAAAATGCATGTTCGTCCAATGAAACGACGTAGAGAATAGAAGGCGAAGAAACTCTCACCTGTTCATCGTAGGGCTTGAACGTCATAGGATAAGGCCCTGCGTCCTTTCTGTTTCTTCTCCTTTCCCAAACTTCAAACCCGACTTTCGTTGGTTTTTGTTACCATTTCACAAACACAAGGAGTCAAGCTAAAGGAAAATCGCAAAGTCGCAAAAGGGGAAAAGCTTGTTAATATTTATTTCCCACCATCCACCATCCGATTTACAGAACTCCCCAATATCAACCCACCACGCCGTCTTTATCGCCACCACAAGTGATATCGAATCTGATATCGAGCCTGCAACACATTCTTGATTTGGGCATCGAGAAACTGGCGCTGGAGTGACACAACCGCATAGGATAGTTTTAGCAAAAGGCAAAAATTAAAATCAAGCAAGATGGCTGCACCAGATGCGACAGATGCAGCAGATATTGTAAGTTTGAGCTTGGCTCGCCTTATTCCTTTTACATTCTCCATTCTCCCAAGCCTCCTTTTTAGGAACGCGGGATGGACATTGCCTGATTGATTTCGACCTCACGCATTCGATCGGGATCGGGGCCGGCGTTTCGCGACTTCCAAGGTTACAAGCTTTACTGGTAACACCCCTCCCTGCGACATCAGCAAGGAAAGGAAAGAGAGACAGAGACGGCAAGAGACCTAAGGTACAGTGGTTTTTGTACCCGGCCAATGCCCTAGCCGCGCTGGAGAACCTTAAAAATCACCCCACGAGCGATATAGGAGGGGGGTCTAGCGAGGGAGGGACAATCTTTGCCCCTCCAAATTGATATGGGATAAAGATGGCAAGTACTGTGGGCAAGGGGCCCCACCACAGTATGACACCGGGCCACATTGAAAATTCCGAGACTGCAGCAATCACACTGGAAGAGTCATACTATCTATTCTACATATTTCACAACCCTCACATAACGCCTTTCAATCGACGACTTCCTTAGCGCATTCGATCCGATCCGATCCTATCCCGTCTGGAACCCTCTTTTTTAGCTTTTACAGTCTAGTCTAAATTATTTTACTTCTAAACAAGATTCTAACCAACAACAGGAACGTCCCTCCATCCCCGACCGCAAGCAACGAAAATCCGTAGTCTTTAATTCCGAAGCCCTCGTAGTCGAAGCCGACGGTAAAATTAGCACCATGGCTTCCGAAGAAACCAAGGATACCGCTATTTCTCATACTCCCCGTACGCCGCCGCTCTCAGCAGCTCTTGGGGCCTTTACTGATTCGAAAGAAGCTCCGGTCGATGACGCCGCCCCTCTCACTGAAGATGGCGGCCTCGATCTTCTTAAGAAGAAGAAGAAGAAGCCTAAGAAGACCGAGGATGGAGAAGGGGAGGCCGACGGTGCAGCTGACGGAGCTGATGCTGGCGGCGTCGACCTCCTCATGAAGAGGAGAAAGAAGAAGAAGACCAAGGCCGAGACTGATGAATTCGCTGCTAAACTTGCAGCGCTCAATCTCGACAAGGAGGGTGGTGACGCAGAAGGTGCTACCGACGCTAAGACCGAGGAGCAAAGCGGAGATATGGAGAAGGGAACTGGTATCTGGAGTCACGATGAGACTAAGGCAATTAGCTACGACTTGTTACTCGGACGCTTTTTCAGCCTGCTAGCTCAGAAGAACCCCGACCACGCCTCAAGCGGCACCCGAAGTTACAAGATCCCGCCTCCCCAGTGCTTACGTGAAGGCAACAAGAAGACCATCTTCGCCAACATCCAGGAGATCACCAAGAGAATGAAGCGAAGCGAGGAGCACGTTACCGCCTACCTGTTCGCCGAGTTGGGTACGAACGGTTCCGTCGACGGAAGCAGACGATTGGTTATCAAGGGTCGATTCCAACAGAAGCAAATCGAGAATGTCTTGCGAAAATACATCAGTAAGTCCCTCTTATCACGAGAATTTAGTCCTCGTCGTTTCTAACTAGCGATAGTCGAGTACGTCACCTGCAAAACATGCCGATCTCCCGACACAGAGCTCAACAAGGGAGAGAACCGTCTCTACTTCATCACCTGCAACTCGTGCGGATCCCGTCGGTCCGTCACCGCCATCAAGACCGGTTTCTCCGCCCAGGTCGGCAAGAGAAAGAAGATGCAAGGTTAAGCTGCGTTTCGCTAGCACGGTCCCTACTGTTGATATGCCAGGACTTTCTGTCTTCATATGGGTTCTTCGCGCGGCGTGTCTGAGATAGATGCGTCGCTAGGTAGTTACTAGGCGGGCTAGACTGAAAAATGGCAAATGGGAAAAGGCTTTTTCATATTTCGCAGCGAATTCTATGTTTTATAAGATTGTATGTGATTGTGATGTTCCATGTTGTGATCCTTCCGAAATTTCGTGATTACGTGACACTCTTAAACGGCCGTACGGACTTTACTAAACACAACATCTATCTATCAACACGCCAATTTCTGGTACTAACTATTGAGGAAATCTACTATCTTCATGAATAAAATTGCCTTATATACACGTATGCGAAATATCTATTAGATCTATGGTAATTGTATATGAAATTGCGACTCTACATCTCTCGACCGGAAGGCAGTGGGTTATAGACAACACCCCTTATAGCTGGTGAAGTCCGATCGCTGTTTGTTTCGTACAAAGCAAGGGATTTGTGTATTCCTGGTTAATTAAAAACGCCAGTTTCAAGGCTCAGGGTTTACTGAAGCAAACTCGGTGGTGTCGTACTCGAGAAGCTGTTCTCAGGGCTTGGTATCCACTTCATTAGGAGGTTGAGCCCGTCTTTACTAGGAACCGACCAGCGGTAAGAATTGATTTTGATCTCTTAGTAGGTAGGATGATGAGGTCTATGAATAACGTTTTGGATGATATGTTGTGGCCTTGAGTTTTGCCCGCTCGGGAAACCGGTGGTCGCCAGGTAATTCCGCACAGATCTCCCTGCCGTGCAGCTCCGAGAGTTCTCTGACTGCTGACAATTCCGCTGGCCGAATATTTCCATCGATTTCAGATACCTGTTGTACCTGGACTCCATCTAAAGAATCTTTTTGTATACAACAGGGCTTCTCCTTGAATGGCAGTCTGGTTGCCAAGGTGTGGCGTTTCTTCCATCGTTTCCATATGACGAGCGAAGTGAGTAGCATGAGGAAGACAGCTATGATAGAACTGATTATGACGATGTACGTTTCAACCCAAAGACCGTTTCCCCCGGAACTGGAACTGTATTTGAGTACCGATAACGATGTTGTTGCAGCTGTGGTGATCCCAAAGCCTTTCGCGGCCCGATACGAAAGCGACGGCGATGGTCCTGACAACGCAATTCTGCTTATCGATGTCGGTTGGCCTGACGCCGAAGTCGCAGATGGAATAGGTGAGCTTAGTCCATCGAATGTGACGATATTTGACTCATTGCCTCTATGGTCGAGTTTAAGGGGAGCCATTGCCACTTTCTGGTTCGTCAGGTCAATGACGGTATAGACTGAGCGAAGCAAATGACTGCTCAGAAATCCCACGTCGTAACCTTTAGCTTCGGAGATACCAAATCTGCACATGTCCTCCCCAAAGGTGTTGAATAGCTGACGAAGCTGTTTGGATGGCGGGATGACTAAACTTGCCATGGTAACGTTGACTTTGAAAGCTTCTGGTCCGCCGAAGCCAAAGGTGAAATACCCTTCGCTATTTTTCATATTACACGGTATGACAGTGTATTCGTGGGTTCCAGTCTCGTCGTATCGAATAATAGCGCCGGTTATGTTTCGTATTTGCGCTGCAAGGTAAGGCGAGAGCCATAGATCGTCTCCTAATTTGATACGGACGAACAAGGGACCTTGAACCCAAATTTCATCCGTCCCTGTAGGGCTACTAGCTGAAAGTGAGGTCATTGCGATTGCCATAATCGGTCCCTCATTACTAGTCCCGTTGAACGTCCGCCGCGATGTCGCTGGTAAAGCTTCTAGGCTATCTCTGTTATATGTATCTAGACTGACGAGTTCACCTTCGTAGCGACTTGTATCAATAGCACCTAGCAAGAGTCCTCCTGTAAATGAATCTAGCAACTATATATTAGTTTCATATTAGAGAATTATTCATAATTCAATTAGTTATCTTCATATACTTACTTTCATCTTGCAGCCATAAACTGAAGGCAGAAGCTGGAATGGAATCTTGGAATGCTAAATAATCAAGTAGGCTGTCCCAAGTATTATAGAGATCGCCAAGAAGGTAAAAGAACGGTAAGGATGGCTCTATATTATCTGCTGCTGGCGTGTTGCTTGGAAGTGACGCTATATCATATGATAGGTGCATAATATAGATCGCTCCGTCTTCACCATTGAACCCAAGTGTGTCTATGAATATAACCCCGCCCGAGTGGTCGCGATCGCTACCGAATGCGTCATATGAATCAAATGTCGAGGATAAATTTTGGTTGACTATATCATAATGATTAAAATAAAATACGCTCGATAGATGTTTATACTACCTAGGTAGGTAAAGTGGGAGGTAACTGACACGATCCGAATTGACACCCGCCGTAAACGTCCGTAGTGTTGGCGCAACTTGTTGAATTTGTGGACGGTATTAACGTATAATTTGTGAAGAAAGTTTCGAATTCGATCCTCATAGTTATGTTTTGACCTGGAGTTCCGACTTGTACTTGAACTGTGTATTCGGACACATCTTCTGACCACTGTAAATCGAGTAGAACTTGGGCAATTGATAGTTTGAGAGTAACTAAGACAGTGAGTGATCTTAGTAGATACATCTCCCAAAACTCAATGCTGGAATGACATGCTAGAATAACAGAGGGCCAAAGCAAGAGGGGGAAGAGGAATATTCCAAAGCCAGCGGAGTAGTGTCTCTCATGTTGGATATTGAATATCGAGAATTGGAATCTCCGGGGAGCTAATATAGATCCAGCCTGATACTACAAGCGTTTGTCTAATGAATACCACGGGGTATATATCCATCCGTCACAGAAAGAATTGGACGGCCGATTATTGGTAGATTTTGATATGTGCTTGGTTTCAATGATAGGAGTAGGGTAACTGCATGTATGAGCCCCATTACAAGCCTCTAACCGTCTGATATAGTCAAACGGCAGCTGATCGGGCTTCGAGAAGGTGGCTTGCGGACGAAACAGAGATACAGGAGACCCATGAATAGCTGAGCATCCCAGCAATGCTATATGACGAGGTCATGTTTTGATTAAAAGTAAGGAGAGACATTTGTAGAAAGAATCGATGTGGATGAGTCCACGATGATAAATATCCATTTGCAATGAAATGACGAAGGAAAATCGGTTGAGCGGATGCAAGATCCCTCATTTCTCTCACCTATTTACCTACCTACCAACGTCACTCTATCGAAGTCATAATGGTAAACGAATCTTCGATTGTCAAATCGTTTTTTCTAAGAAACGTATATTATGTCACAATGCTTGTGATGAAAAGGGTGAGTGATTCTTGAGGTAATCAGAAGTTGAAGTTGGAGGAAACATCGAGCCACATAAGATATAATTGGTCGATTAGTATGCATTACCAGCTGGCCGTTGCTATCTGGGCAACCAATCAAGCCCCATTTCACCCGATGCCAGCCGTCAGACATGCTCGGCATTAATCTTAAACCTATGTGTAACCCGTTGGCCGCAGCTATGCGCGTCTCATTCAAAGCTACCACTTTCACACCCAGACTCCTGACCAACATACATGAACACAGACGCCTGAGAACACAACGAGGCTGGATGTGAAACTGTCCATGTGGTATCACATTCGTATAACTTGCACCAACTCGCCAATACACAACCGGAACTCTACTTCATTCGGCTTCTTCCCCGCTCGCTCATCGGAGACAAAGAACTCATTCTTGTGAACCAACATGTCGCAGGATCAGCTGCTCAAGGGCCAGTCCGGTTTGCCTGTAGATAACCCGACCAAGTCGTACTGGCACAAGGAGCCTTCGGCTAAATTGTTAGGTCATAGAACGACGAAAGAGTTACCCCGCGTCGCCGACGTTGTTATCGTGGGGAGCGGCATCACGGGGAGTTTCGCCGCTCACTTCTTGAAAGAGCAACGCCCCGATCTAGATGTTGTAATGGTCGAGGCAAGAGAGGCTTGCTCGGGGGCTACTGGAAGAGTGAGTTGATTAATGAAACTTGCATCAAAAGAAGAGTCTAACTAGACGACCTGTTCTGCGTATCATGAACGCCCCCTTTTCCAAAGTCTCATCCACGATGAGACCTAGACTATATATAATCGATATATTCAGAGATTCGGCCCTTTTACAACATATAATATATACAACCTCACCCACCTACCTACTTGACGTTTCATTTCATTGCCACATCGTTAACCCTTAAAACATACATAAGAACATGTCTACTAACTCATCTACCGCTCTAGAATGGAGGTCACTGCCAACCCGCAATCTACGCCTCAGAGCCTCACATCGCCTCCTTTGAGCTCCGTAATTTCATCTACCTCAAGGGGCTAGTCGAGGAATTTTCAATCCCATGTGACTGGCACACGACAAGCGGTGTACACGCCTTCTACTCGCCCGTGCTATTCAAACTAGTCCGTAGCAGCGTCCAGTATCTCATCGACGAATACCCGGACCTAGCCGCCAACGTAGCCGTCGTCACCAAAGGCAAGCAGAACGAAGACGGTAACAGCGATCTAGAAGGCACCCCAGCCTACCTCCTCGAAGGCGAGCGTCGGGAGCTCACCCTCGACGCCCTAAGGGTCCCGCACGCCGAAGGCGCCATCGTGCAATGGAACGCAGCAAGCCTATGGCCATACAAACTCGTCGCCTTCGTGCTTGAGCGTCTTCTCGCCACAAACGACAACAATGAAGACGGAGCCAGCGGGTCCTTCAACCTCCAAACCAACACCCCCGTAACGGGACTCTCGCGCGCCGAGCCCCCTGGCCTCAGCAGCCCAAGCGGCTCCAAACCAACATCGATATGGACAGTCCACACCCCGCGCGGCACAATCTCCACATCCCAAGTGCTCCTCGCAACAAACGCCTACACCTCCCACCTCCTCCCACAATTCACACCACTAATCGTTCCAACCCAAGGACAAATCTCCGCGCTCGAGCCCCCGGAGAAACCAACAGTACCCACGGACCCGCCATTGGACATAAAACACACCTTCTATATCGAAGGCGAGCCGGACCAGCCCTTCGAGCGCGACGACTACCTAGTGCAACGCCCCCCCGCCTCCGCGTCGCTAATCTACGGCGGAGGCCGACGGCACGCCAAGGGTCGGGGTGTCGGGGTATGGGATGATAGCGCGGTCGACCCGGCTGTATCCTGGTATCTGCGCGGCGAACTCGGCTCCGTGATCGATTTATCTCTACACCATCCCCCATCCCAATCCCCCACCAAAGAGCCCAAAAAACACAAACCCCTCCCCAAAAAACAAGACCTACACCCAACCCACGAATGGACCGGCATAATGGGGTACTCCAAAGACTCGCACCCATGGGTCGGCGGCGTGCCCTCGTCCGCAGGCGGGGGGGACGGGTTATGGTTATGCGCGGGGTACACCGGGCACGGGATGCCGAACGCGGTGTTATCAGCGAAAGCGGTAGTCGACATGATGTACGGCGACGAAGACGGGGAAGTCGATCTGCCGCCCGAGTACGAGTTAACCGAGGACCGGCTGGCGCGGTCGGGTGTGTTGGATGAGGTTGTGGATGTGGATGCTAGGGGGAGTTTGTATGCTGATTTTGGGGGGCGATAGGTTTTAGGGGGGATGGGTGGATGGATAGACTTAAGTCGATATTTACAGTGTGTAGGTAGTTGGTTATTATAGATACCTGTCTAGCACATATTAGACTCCGGAGAATTCTAAATGTAAATATAGAAAGATATAGGTAGATGAGTACCTTACCTACGTAGATGACATCTACATTTCCCATATTATATAGGCACATACCCAGTGAACAACATACTTATATCCGGACATGAGGTCTCACGTTCGGCACAATGTTTCATTCATTCGTGATTACCTGCTAGCTACCTGCCAACCAGCATCGAGCACTGCTTCCAATATACCGACGAGGGCTACCTTATCTTGCCTGCCTGCAGGTTCTGATCGCCCTATCACGCAACGCAAAGCGGGTAAGCTTTCCATTAGACATCTGACAAGACCAACATCTAAAAAGCCTCACGAGTATTATCGCCCTCACCTTCCATTGTCGTGTCGCGCGCGGATCCTCGCCTCCTTCCTTCGGGGTATAACAAACTCCATTTGGTTTCCCTCACGTTTCATTCAATAACTCCAACGCAGATGCTTTCCCTGGTTCCGTATACCCATCCCATTTTTCTTTTCGCGTCAAAATGCCATCCCGTCGGCTATTTCATCCTTGCCGAACCTTTTCGTGTCCGGTGAAGTATAGGGTTCGTGAGTTTCCAGTATGTCTAAAAAAGGGAATCTTGGGCGCCTAATGTCGCCCGAGAGAGAAACGAAATTAGCGGAACAAATTCGTGATGAAAATTGAAACCCAAAATTAAGTCCAAGTCGTCCTAGCTAGATTCTAGGGCCCCTTTGCATCAACATTGTCGAAGCTGCCTTGAGCAGTTCGAGAATCTCATATTGAATGAGCAATTCGTAGATAGTCTTCACAGATGCTTGTTTGTGATATCGTTGACGAGCTCGAAGAGTCAGATGTGTCTTTGGGAGGCTGGTTCTAATCGGCCTCGGCCAACTGCATGATCAACTTGGCTGCCATGTCAAGGAAAGGGAAGGGGCTCATAACGGCCTTCTCCTCCAGAAGAGTTCCGTCGAGCCTTTCGTAGCCGGTGCACTTAAAGTCCACAAGGTAGACTTTGTCTTTAGGGTCCATTTCATAGATCTGAATATCCATTCGCATCCAGACGAAGTCTTGCTTGCGCTTATCCATGACCGAGTAGACGAAAGTGTTGTCGTCGGAAGCAGCTTCGGCAGTAACGTTACCAGAAGAAATTGACGTTCTTCGTATATCTAAAAGTTGATTAGGCTAAGAACTCGCAAGTTGAAATTCGCTGGCTTACCATCTTTCTTCCAGCGACACACTATATGCCAAGGATCGGCGGGCAGCCTATAATATTTGATGGGGTCAAACGTCTCCAAGTCAATTTCGTCAATCGACATGCCCTCATACGGATTACCCTCCTCTTCGTTGGGCGTCTTGGCGTATGGATCTCTAGTACAATTAGTATCTCTTAAATAAACCACACCCATTGCTCTCTATGACACTTACGCAGGATCCGGCCCATGCACCTTTTCGTAATCCTCATCTACAACCCAGGTAGCACCAAGCTTGGATAAAGACTTGTAGATGCAAAGTAGAGCTTCAAATGGGGCATTTCGGGATCTTATACCAAATTGCCACCGGACTTGTTTGGTTCTCTTCGGGGCAACCGGAGTCATGCTCTGTGGATGAAATTGGCTATCGTCAAGTCTCATGGCGCTCTTAGAGTGTGGCTTGAGGCGGCGGGCGGCTTCCTGCTGCTCGGCAGGCGTTCTAGGCTGCAGAGGAACATCGGGCACTGGTTGAGCATCTAATGGCTCTTCAATGCCAGCGTTCTGACGCTCAAGATATTTTTTGTGTAGCGAAGGTAAACTTGTTGGCAGAATTCCAACGTGACTCACGTATCCGCGAGGAGAAGAGCTGGTGATTGTCGAGGTAGTCGAACGAGCCGAGTCGGCAAGTGGGCTCGCTTGAGATTCACTGGGGTAATCAAACTGAGATTCCCGCTTACTGTCCAATGTTGTGTCACCCAAGGCTTCTGCAACACTGCGCATTTGCTCTTCGCCTTCCATATTTGGGGGAGAGGTTGCAAAGTAGGGGTTGTCGGCACCCGTTCCGTAAGCAGCTATAATGCGTCAGTGATACTCCGAACTCCCTCGGACGGAACTTGCGACTGGGGAATGCTTGATAAATATGAGTGACTTACGATTTACTTGCATGAGCTTATTCTCACGGACGATCATGTATGCATCCTTAATAGCAGACGGTTCATCGGCTTCAAGGGCTTCCTGAACATCGCGTTTGCCGTAACCCATTGTTTTACTGATCTTCTCAGTAACTTCGTTATGGAGTTTCTCCTGGACTCTGGGGGGAGCGTTGGGCGCGATATCACTTGGTCTAATAGCCCGATTAGGATCCACGCCAGTATTTAGAAATTCCTCGACGGGAGGAGCGAGGTAAGGAGGCAAGTCCTTCAAGAACCAGGTATCTTGTCTGATCTCGTCGATGATGATGCGTTGCACAGGATTAGTCTGCAACATTTTGCGGATGAGATTCGCCGCATCGGACGGGACCCAGTGAGGAACAGTAAAAACGCCCCGCTGGATTTTCGAAAATAAGCTGGGAATATGGTCGTCGTCAAAAGGCAGCCTGCCGACCAACAGGACGTATAGAATGACGCCACAACTCCAGACATCAACTTCCGGCCCAGCGTACAACTTCCCACTAATAACCTCAGGTGCCGCATAATTAGGACTACCACAACTGGTTTTGAGAAAATTTCCATCCGTCATAATATTGCTCAGACCAAAATCAGCAATCTTTACGTTGAGATTATCATCGAGCAAAAGATTCTCTGGTTTTAGATCTCGATGCACCACCTTATGTCTGTGGCAGTACTCAACGGCGCATATCATCTGTTGAAAGAATTTTCGGGCTTGGTCTTCAGGGAGTCGGCCGTGTTTAACGATGTAATCAAAAAGTTCCCCACCGGCATATTCCAAGACCATGATAATCTCGGCTGGAGTCTTAATCACAGTGTAGCTGTCGAGAATCAGTTAGCGAACTGATGTCTTTGGAATTCGAGAGATAGGTGTTTGAATTGACCGTAACACTTACAGTTTGATGATATGGGGATGTCGGAGGAGTTGCAGATATTCGATCTCTCGTTCGACGCGACCTACCATATCTCTACTGATCAACTTCTTACGCGCGATAATCTTGAGAGCCACCTTTTGGCCGGTAGATCTATGCACCGCCAGCTTGACCTTTCCGAAAGAGCCTTCGCCTAATGTTCTGATTATATTGTAGGCGCCGATTCGCTGGTCGGTTTTGGTCTTCTCTCGATTCTGCGATGCCTGCTCGGAAAGCATGCTAGCAGCTCGAGCTCTGCCATTTGAGCCATCGGTCGTGGGGCGAGTGACATTGATTTCGGGTACTCTCGCGCCATTATTCTTCTGTCGGAGTAGGGAGGGAGATAGGGACATGGAAAGTTCCTCTTCGTCAAACGCTCGGGAAGTCATCTTGTCTCGAAATGACTCTTGATGTCTAATTGATGGCGAGGTTGATGAGAATCGTCATGGAGCAACGTTCAACAACGAGGGGCTCTCAACTAGGGGCCAGTAGCCGGGGTCGGGGAACAGGGGGATGGGAGTGGAGGATAGAGCTGTAGGGTAGCGATGCACGCTTGGCAAGACTCTGGGTCTTCTGGGATTCTTGGCACCAACTGCAGTCTCATTAGTGCATTCGCTAACCCTGACTGGAATAGCACCTGAGGTATCGGGTATATGATGATATGTGAAGCGGATTTAATGCGTGTTTGCCATGCATTTACGACTTAAAAAATTGGACGGAAGTATTAAATTGGCTATTCCCCGTGTCTTTAATGTGCCGAGGAATAATTCAGGTACTAAACTTAAGACTTGTTGAGTGAGGTCAGCCTGTTACTCGCCTTGAGGCTCTAGCTAACGGGTCTCAGAGGGCTGAATTGTTGGCTCAATAAACTTTTTTTTCTGTCCGGATAATATCAATGATCCTGGAAGCCTGTAGGAATCAGACGCTTAGAAGAATGAGCTTACCTTAACAGCAGCTGACAGTCTCATCTAAGTCCAAGCCCACGAGGTAAGGGATTGATTTTATGTAGGAAGTTGGGATTGGCAACTTTTAAGACTAATGAGAGAAAAAAAGAACCTTAGAACTAAGCACAATTCACAATGTATGTAATGCTGGAGGAAATGACGGCCCGCCTTATCCGATACTATTGGTAGCCACTGCTTGGAGTCTAGAACTCACATGTCAGTGTCGAACGACCTATGCAGCTCTTTCCTGTTGTCCCAGCCTGAGAAAGGAGCCACAAATCCGCTTAGGGTTAAGAAAGTCCCAGAAAGAGCCACTAGCATACGTGGTTATGTACGCTTACCTAATTGGCAGGTATCGTCAGGGCAAGAAGTCTTTGATTTGGTGGCTTTCTGTGATACAGTGATACCTGCCTCTGAGACAATGGGCTTTTCAAATTATTCTTAGCCAATAGATCTTGAGAGACAAAGTTTCAATACCCCGGTAATGCCCAGCAATTCCCACGATCTTCACTTGAAAGATCTAACACAACAGGGACGTAGGTATGAATGTAGTCAACCTGTGGTCCTGTGTATCTTTTTACAGCCAACAATACCTGGGCATCGTTCTGCCTCATGACTGATATCAAACCCTTACAAACGTACTACGTACTATGGAGGTACCTAGGCATGGTTACATCTAGTTTCTATTAAGCTTTATTTTCCATCTTGACAGTAGCCTATTGCACAGTACAATAACATTTACCAACTAACCTAATACACACGTGTGTGTGTGTGTTAGGATGTGTTAATAAAGCAGCATATGTTAGGTATATTGAACTCTTTGTTGGGGATTGTTAGTTTAAACGGGACTCGGTGCTCTGTACGAAATACATACCAGCTTATTACATCATCCCTTATTTTCTTCCTCTTTCAGCCTTTCGACAAGTTTTGTCCTGAGAAAGTCACTGAGACCTAGGCTGTGCAATTGCAGATGCATGGTTAGCTGGGATCGGAGATGCCAATTTGGGGATTCCCGAAAGCTTACATTCCCTCGTTGGTAACGATGCGATAGGTCCCGCTGGGCTGGAACTCTCCTACGATATTTCCAGAACCATCGACCTCGATACTACCAAGAATATCTTCCGGCCATGCTATTCTGCCGTAGTCGGGTGGATTCCTCAAATCGCTGAGATGGATATGTCCTCCTATACCTGCACCCCCAGCGCCTCCTTGGGCACTTGCTCCGCCGCCGCCACCTCCACCGGCACCCCCTCCCCCACCTAAGCCGGCTGCCGACCCTTTCGTACCTCGCTGCTTACGCTGTTGTGGGAAAAATGCGCCTCCTGAACCGAGGGTTGCCCCGCCAGGCCCAGCGAAAGCGTGGGCCTGAGCTAGAAGATCTGGATCATGGGCAGCATAGTTTCGAAGAACTTCGGTTAAGATGGACATGAATTCGTAATTCTCGGAAAAGGACTGGGGTGTTGGCGGTAGAGCTGCTGTAGAGCCAATGGCTAATCTATGGCTAGGTGGATTGGTATCGAGAAATGTGAGAAGGTGTCCATTGTCTACTGTAGCATTGGGAAACACTTTCTTAAAGAGCAATCATTGTAAGCGATGAATTCCAATTTAATATGTGGATGATATGAGGGGTTACTAACTATGTAGGGGTTGTTGCTTAATGTAGAGATGCCTCGATATGAAAACAGAGCCCTACATGTTGGAGTTATTCGAACTCGCGATAATAGCATCTTGAAGCTATAGATAGGCTGTTCTAAAGAGTGACACGAAATTTGCTTAGGAGCTTCGAAGCTGGAGCTGGAGCTATGCGATTTTAATTCTCACTGACGTAGTGTGCCCTGCTTAGCGTTTTAGCGCTTAGTGTCAGATAAAAGGTACCTGCGTACTACCCCCACACGCTGATTAGTGGAACCCTGTAGGTCATTAACGCGTAAATCGCGGTGGATGCACTGGACGCGCTTTCTAATTCAAGACCCATTGAAATATCAGAATACATGTATCAAATCGTCGTCAGTACAAGATTGAGTACACATTAGGGGCCATAGAAATGAAAATCTATACTGGCCGAAACTATTCAAAATGCAAGGAAATAAGTCCCTAGCTGCGTCAATATTCGCGCCGAAAACGCCTGGTCCCTCGAACCCAATTCCATCTTCGTCTCCGGCTTTTGGAACACCTGCCCATACTCTCAAACCGTTTGCTATAGCGCCACCAACCAAGGCCACCATCCTACCGATTCTCCTCCCGCCCGCCACTTTAAGACCTCTAGCATTCCGAACTTTCACGAAAAAGCACAGCTTAACTCTAACCTCGACCGCCCTACAAGAATTAGCAACCTTCATCGGCCGACATTGCGGTTCAGGATGGCGTGAAGAGGGGTTAGCGGAGAAAGTCTTAGAGGAGGTGGCTAAGAGCTGGAAGAACCGAAATGGAGGCGTTATAGTGGATGGTTCCAGTCAGGAGCTGAAAGAAATCCTGAAAACGCTAGAAGGAAATATGAGTGGTGGTAGAATATCAACAGGACGGGAACTAAATCGACAGAATAGTCTAGCCCTAGACTCCAGCCAGGAGCTCGATTTATCAAACACAAGACTAGGACTAAGGCCGGCAAAGCATCTATCTCGCAATGACACCGAAACAAGTTTTGGTATATCAGGGTTAGGTGTTGAAGAAAACGAGCCGGACGAGGAAGGCTTAAATCATCCGAGGCATTGGTTGAAGGTTGTGAGTGCATACGATCAACCGCGCATGCTATACAATGTTACAAAAAAACACTTTGAAAAGTACATAAACACACACCCCTTAACTATTTATAGGATATTGAGGCTTACAATACTCCAAGGGACCCGTCTAAACCATCTCTAATGCCACCAGCATCCCACAAGACGACTTTATTCCGAAATAGATATAATGTCATACACCAAAGACTTCTCCGAAACGAATCCTTTCAAAGCTCGACCGTAGCCACCACAAAAGCAGCCCCATCCCTAAAACGATCTAATTCTTCCAGTCTCACGACCCAACAAACCTACAAAATCACACCAATCGCAAACCTCCTCGGCCGACATGGCAGCCACCATATGCTTCTGGGTCTGCTATCGATCCTACCAACAGGTGGCCTAGCGATAAGCGACCTAACGGGAACTATCTCGCTCGATCTATCGCAAGCCGTAGCCCTACCCGAAGACTCGGCATGGTTCACTCCCGGCATGATCGTACTCGTCGACGGCGTTTATGAAGAAGAGGAAGAATCAACAGGCAAGGGCCTTGGCGGTAGCAACGGTGTAGGCGGCATAATCGGCGGCCGCTTTCAGGGTTTTTTCTTAGGTCAACCGCCGTGCGAAAAGCGCAAGGCAACCCTCGGAGTTATCAACGGTCCCGACGACCACACCATCGGTGGCGGGTTCGGATGGATCGACTTCCTAGGCGTAGGAAGTGAGCGTGCCGTCGGCTCCAAAATGCGCAAACTGGAAGCGCGTCTCGCCCGACAAGCTCGACAACAGGCTGCCCTCGCCGACCCCGACTCCACCATCACCTCCACCTCCGCAACCCCGAGCCGCACCCGCGTCGTCATCATCGGCGAACTTAACCTCGACCAACCGCGTGCCCTACAAGCCCTACATAAAATCCTAACTCTCTATTCAACCGAGCCCGAGGGCTCCACACCCATGTCTTTCGTGCTCGCTGGCAACTTCACGCGGCACGCAGTCATGGCTGGGGGAGGCGCTTCCGGCGCCTCGGTAGAGTACAAAGAGTACTTCGACGCGCTAGCCTCCGTGCTCTCGGATTTCCCCACACTTTTATCGACATCCTCATTCGTATTCCTCCCCGGCGACAACGACGGCTGGGCCTCCGCTTTCGGCGGAGGAGCCGCCGTCCCGTTGCCTAGGGGCAAAGTACCGGACATGTTCACAAGTCGCGTCAGAAGAGCGTTCGCAGCCGCAAACGCGGAGGCGGGGATCGCCCCCGGAGGAAAAGAAGGAGACGGAAGGAAAGGCGGCGAGGCGATTTGGACGACGAATCCGAGCAGATTATCTGTGTTCGGTCCGAGCCATGAGATCGTGCTCTTCCGCGATGATATGTCGGCGCGGCTGCGACGCACGACGGTGCGGTTGAAATCTTCCTCTAGATCCGCGGAAGAAGAAGACGAGTCTGCGCACCCGGACAATGATGACGACGTGGATATGGCGAATGCGCTCGACGGCGCGGATTCAATGGACGTTGATTCCGCGCCGAACAGACACGCGAAATCCGACCCGGAGATCCCGCACGACGTGCACTCGGCACGTAAGTTGGTTAAGACGGTCTTGGATCAGGGATACCTGTGTCCCTTCCGCCACGCGATTCGCCCTGTGCATTGGGACCATGCCGGCGCGCTGCATTTATACCCGCTGCCGACGGCGATGGTGCTCGCGGACCCGACGGCGCCGCCGTTTTGTGTCACGTACGAGGGGTGTCATGTCATGAACCCCGGCGCTGTGCTGGTTACGGGGCGCAGAGGCGTGGGGCGGTGGGTTGAGTATGAGTTGGGGGGCACGGGACGGGTGAGGGAGTGTTTGTTCTAGAGGGTGAGGGGAATGTGGGTGTTTATATCTGAAATGTTCAATGTTAAAAACTTGGAAGGCATTCGTAAACGTGATGATGATGGATGGGGCATAGCATGGCATTCTGGTAATAATACGAAATCACGAAATTCAAAACTTGGGAGCCCAGTCTAGGTACGATTTTTCTTAAAAAGTAGAGGGGCAAGCAGAGAGAAGTAGGTTGATCAAATTTTATTAAGACCGTCATGGGACATTAGTGTACGTTTCGGCTCGTTTTCTCCACAGCATCGTCGTCGTCTATGCTGGTGTGTGTGTTTGTGTGTTGGCTTGCAGCCATTAAAAAGGGCGTAAGCAATCTGGTAAAAGTATGTACATAGAAAAAACCGCGCGTGGCCACAAGCTTCACATATGCACTGCTGCGCTCCAACATCGAATCGAAAAAGGCTGGATATTCCTGGAGATGCACGATCCAAAAATATGTATAGGGGTGTCTAAATGATGTACTATAGAATTGAATGTTAGTTATGGGAGAAATGGAATGTGTGCGGGATGTTAAGGTGCGAGGCACTTACCGGAATAAAAAGGTACGGAACCTGTCTCTCGTATTCCTTCCACGCCTCGCCGTACTTGGTTTGGCAGCGCTCGATATCCCGCATGGCGCGATGCGTGATCATGCAGCAGAAGAAGACGGGGTAGAACCAGGGGAAGGGGCTGTTGAAACCCGTGATCAAACCCCAGCTGATGGCGAAGAACGCATCGCACGTATAATGCAACTTGCGCGCGTATCCCCACCAACCGTCAACGAGAATCTTGTCGCCGGTCTGCGTATCGATGGTCTTCGGGTTATCGATGTATATCCAAGGTAGAGCCGGGAAGGTCTTGCGCTTCTCGTGGTTCCCACGTTCTCTAGCCCGGAAGGCATTCTTTTGTCCGTTGGCCTGATCCCAAACAATGTATACCATTAGGTACGTAACAAAGAGTACACCCAAGGCATACTTGTTCCAAGCATACTCCGACGGGTCGTGGTTGGCGAGGTAGAGAGTGCAGTGGCAATACGAAAGAGGGACACCAGCCATGTTCCAGAAGATTAACATAAAACCCCATTTCTCGTAATACATATCCCAAGTAGTAATGATAAGCTGCTCGCCCTTAGAGCAGGCATTAGCGTAGAGATAATGAGCCATAACCAGGAACATGACCTCTCCCGAGACGTAACCATAGTTCTCGTACTGACGCGCCGCAGCCGCGGAGCTGAGTCCAAAGAGGATGAACCAGGGAATGCGAACCTCGTAGAACATCTTAAAGTCGAGAATTCCAAACATGCGGGGGTTAAGCTCGGCTCCCATGAAAAAGTCGTAGATCGGGTAACCCGTCATTCGGTGTGTCGCACCGCGGATTATGGCAGAGAAGTATGCGACAAAGGCACACAAGAAGCCGGAAATGATAGCGACCGACAATATGGGACCGAATTCGTCAAGGAAGGTGTAGATCTTGAACACACCGCTGAAATGGCAAGCAGCCATAACGGCGATTGTGAAATAGAAGCTGGCGTAGGCGGAGCAGTAGTACGGAAGCTGTTTGCCTCCCTCGTGAGGAAGAGGCTTGCCTTTACTCCAAACACCGGGCATGAGCATATAGCAAGCAGCCTCGAAGATGTAGTATACCCAGTAGATCTTCCATGCTCGTAGAGAGGGGAATGCGCCAGTGTAGACAAGATCCCACATACGTCGGCCGAATTCAAGAAGAGGCTCGCCATCCTCAGGTAACGGCAATTTACCATCATAGTAGGTAGCACCGATCCACATATAGTACATGAGAGTAGGAAATCCAATCATGAGAGCCAAGGCACCGAAACTACCTCCAAACTCAAAGACCCCAGAGTGGTCAATTTTGGGGTCCATGCCCGGCTTCCAACCATCGACGACCTGTTCCTTGGCGTGACCATTTGCGGTTCCATTTGTATGTCCATTTGTATGCCCATTTGCGTGACCATTTGCATGACCATTCGTGTTTCCATTAAGTTTTGGTTCTTTTCCATTTCCATTGGCATTATCATTAAGAACAGCAGACAACTTCTCATCGGGAACAGGGCTGAATTCTTCGTCCTTCGGTGCGACATCTGAATCGTCTATGTTCTCGAGGAATTTGCCGGTTGTCCGACGTCGTACAGATCTAGACCTGGTCGATCTGCTTGTGGCAGTTTCGGCAGCAGAACTTGAGTCGCCATCATCAGACGCGCCGTCAATAGGGGGAAACTGGGATTTCCGTCGCGTCGAACGGCGACCAGGAGTTTCGACCATTCCATCGAAGAGTTCCTTTTTTCTACGATTTAATTACTAATATTAGCAAATGATGTTCTTGATGTTATATCTGGTCACACATTGGAAGGTACATCGCCCACAATTCTATCGCGAATCGTGTTCTTTTCTCACCGTACAACATAAACAAAAAGAACACCAAAAAAAGGAGATAAGAGAATAAATAGATAGAAATTCAAACATACCTAGGAGTCGCACGTAAAGAATATCGTGACGACATTTCTCAATTAAGACGAAGGACGTGAAATAAAAACTGAAGGAGTGGACAACGGGCAAGTCAATGCTCGTCACTTTGGAATTGGAAGTCGTAACGGACAGAAAAGCGTAAATGAGACCCTGTTCATTCCTCCTCTAGTCACTTTTTTTTAATGTTTTGGGATTGGACCTTTTTTAATTTTCGCCCGCTTATTCCGGTAGTCAGGGGCAGCCCGCGGAGAGCGGCCGACGATCGTATTGAACTTTAACCGAGGACCCACTCATTTATAGTGCTTAACCTTTTTAAGTTCAAGTTCTCTATAGATCATTATGTAATCCATTGTCTCTACATTGTCTCTTGTAATTGGCAGTGCACTAATATTAAGCTATTGAACACCTCAACTTTTATGAAACTTTCCTACAGCTAAGACTTCAATAAACATAATTGAATCAAAAACAAGCCTGAGTCATCCACGTCCAAGTTTTCCATCATACTCCGATCAAAAAAGATGAGAAAAAAGATGAGTTTACGAAGTACACATCAGCAGCTTCATCTACCCAAGTTTATCCACCACTACTAGGCGACTGTGGTCTTGATCGCCGTGGCCATATTCTCGATCTGAGTCTAGGACTACCTTCTTCAGGACTCCAACAGTCCAACTCAGACCTTGAGGGGCTTTCGGGGCTGTTGATGGGTCTCATCCTGACCGCTTTTCCACGGAATATGGCGTTGGCAAGCCACCGGGTAGCTGCGGGTCATCGTTGTGAGCTGTCTCGGATGCGTCTGGTTCTCGGTGGCTCAGCTCAAAAACCCATGTATCTTTGTTGGTTTGCTTCAGAAGTTCATTGAGAGATTCGCTCCGAATCGCTTTATCATCAGTAATATCGGCATCCGAGCTATGCTTCTAGTAATTTACCGATATCCATACGCACGCCATTGCCATGATCGACTAGGCAGTCATTCTCTAAAACAGAGTTAAACGACCTGGACCCAGGCTTGAGCACGAGAAAGCCCTTTCTCTAATCTCTCATTTGTGCTTTGACTCGATGTTGGGCGTTTGAGACGAATACCATCCTCGGTCATTATTGCTTCAACCCATTTTCCTCCTATTTTCGCAAATAGAGGTTTTCGTTGGCCTTGACGCGGAGGTTCTGGATGTGAAGTATGCGATTCGATCGTATCGATAACATAATCCTCCAACTCGTCTATTTCGGGCAATCTTTCCGACGGACGCTTGCGCCTCTGACGTTTAGCGAGCTTACACCTCAGCTTTCTAGCCGTCGACGCATAGTTTATAAGCTTCCCTTGAAGCATTTTACTGACAGCGTTAGCAATCGGGCATCAAGCGTTGTCTTAATTGGCCTACATCTCGCCGTCTTTCCCATGGCTTCTTATTTTCTCTTCGAGTTTGAAGCAGTTCGAGATCAACAGAAGATTAGCTATTGCGCTTTGGATGCTCAGACGTAACTCCGGTACATCCGGCTTTTTCCAAAGCCATAGAATTCGAACCCAAAGCGTATTGAATGGCGCAGCATGAGCGCTGTTAATTTCGCCAAAGCGCGCCACAAGATGAGCGAATCCGTCCTTAACGACTTCGCATTGCCCTGTAATCTTCCGGATTAACGCAACCCTTGTAGCATCGAATCTCCGGTCCAATTTATCGGCAAGCTCTTTAGTTATATCGTGAAAATAGCACAACAAATCAGTAAATACGGAGGTTTCGAGTATGAAAGATTCGATCTCTTTCGGTGCCGAGCGTATGGTATTTACACACGTACGCAGGTTTCCTGTCAAGTTCACCATAGTCCCGCTCAATTGCATGATAGCTGCAAGGCCTCCGATCAGTGTAAGTGCTTCGGCCATAGTACTGAATAACTTATTAGATGCAAAGTTCCGAGGATGCTTTTTCGACTTATTCGCGAGAAAGGACAAGAACTTTGTTGGTATATTCTATTCATATTTTCAGCCTTAATTCCAAACATTTCCACAGTCAAATCTGGTGGGAACATAGCCCTCGTTGGCTGGTTATCTGCGAGAGGCTTAGAATAGAAGATGGAGTAGGAACTCCTTCGATAATTCGATGAGCGGCCAAGGGCGATGGCGTGATGGCTCCCCGCATACCCCCAGGCTGACTATGTCCCCATAAGGCGGGTAGTTTTGAGGCTCTATGGTCCGCCCATGCGACTTCGACCTCAACTCAACATCTCTAACACAAAGAGAACTCGAGTTTGTAGTCTTGCTGTTCTTGGTGAACCTGCAGCATTATAACAAACAGCTGTTCATAAGGTCAACATTATTTCACCAAATTTCGCGTTATAAAAAGAGCGGAGTTTACGCAATGCAAATTTCTGGCTCCGTTGGTTCATTGTCATATCTTTTGAGGTTGGGATACGGACTACTACGTTAGGGATTTCATCAGCTTATCATCCCTCGCAAGCTCAGCTCAGCAGAAAAGGGCGCGATAAGGCTCTTATGACAATTCTACGCTGTAGGAATACGCCGATGCGGGGAGAGCTATTCTCCGAAAACGATTACGACAGCTGAAATTTCCGGCTCCATGATCGCAAGGTCAGATCTATCGCATTCGTAAGACACTAACTACAATAGCATCTAGTTCAATCAAGAATCCGATAGACGTTCATATAAATCGAGGCAGTCAGATGCTAAGTTTCTACCAGGTTATCGATTTGAGTAAAGTATTATTAACACCAGTTATTAGGTAGACTGTTACAATAAGGGTTTAGGTAAACGACACATTCCCGGGTTATCTTTTACTAACTAGCACTGCTATAGATAACTGCTATCGTTTCCATTTCCGGAAATATATCATTGTGGAGTCGACGCCCAAAGACAAGGCTTACGGCAGTACCCGTCCCATCACCTACATTAAGATGGACATTATCACCACCATACAGGTATTAGAACCGGAATCGTCAGTCTTCACCGATTGGATGTTGCGTATAACTTCACGCTAAGTCCGACCCAGCGACCGATATGGGGTCGCGGATAGAAAGCCACGCGGAGGGCGCATGCCTACCAACCCAGACGTTCGCCAGATAAGAATCCCCGCAAAGGGCGCAATCCAGTTAAGACCTTGACCTTACAGTAGTTTGATGAGGTTATGAGATTATCTAAAACGTGAACATCGTCGATGGCAGTCCATCAAAGCGGTCAAGTTGCCCCCATTTCGTAGGCAACGGTCTCCCCATGACAGCTACGTAGCTGGCGTTCTCTCTCGGGTCCTTATCTTAGCCACCTACCACTTCGGGGAGACGTATTGAAGAATACCACCATGAGGTAATCCTATCAGCACCTCGCAGACCATGCGAGGCTAGCAGTGTCTTTCGTATCGAGATTCCCTACGCCCTATTCTCTATCTACTCGACCGCGAGTAAATGTCATGGCTAGGGCCTTGCTTTCGGCCCGGGAACATGCGATAGCGGCTTCTCGTCAGCCCGCAGAGATTAGAATCGGGTACTGGCATGACGGTCAGCAAATGGACGAGGCTCGGAGTATATATATATCGTAGCGCAGTTAATATAGGTTATTCTTGGTTTCCCGATCTGCAGCTCTGCCCGCTTCACTTTAAGTCTCAACAATGTTCTGGCTAACCCTCGCCGCTCTGGCGAGCCAGGCGACTTCTGCTTCTGCCTCAGCTCTTCCGGTGAAGCTTGAGACTCGCACGGAACTCAACTCGCGCCTTACGAATATTCACATATCGATTGATACCCCGATCGATGGCGAGGTGACGTATACTTACGGCCGTTGCAACAACAAGGCCCTCCATGAGGCTCACCACACAGTTGGCCGAGGCTCGGGTGACAAGGACTCACGGATGGTATGGATTCTACCCGACGATGCCTGGTTCGACGGATGCATCTCGGCATGGGATGAGTTAGGATCCTTAATTGGCCGTAGCGAGCCGCAGCGACTTAGCAGGAGGAAGTTGAAGAGACGAGGCGCTAACACCATTGAGATGACGAACGCCACCGGCATCGATGCCTGGGGGCCGTGGTTCGACGGCGTCGAGCTGCTCAAGAACAAGGAGATCAGTGCCTTCGACGCTCAGCAGGCCAAGTGCAAGGAAGTGGCTATCGTGGGAGCAGGCATGTCGGGTCTGATGACCTACCTGGTTCTCACGCAGGCCGGCATGAAGAATGTGAAGATTATTGAGGCTGCTCAACGCCTTGGTGGAAGAGTCCATACTGAGTACCTCACCGGTGGTCCGTTCGACTACTCCTATCAGGAGATGGGCCCCATGCGATTTCCGGAAACGATTGTTTATTCGAATGAGTCTTATAACATTACGGATCATCAATTGGTGGGTTATTCTACCTTCTTTGAACCTCAATTTCACCGGAGCAGTTGAAATGTGTCCTGGTGAACTCTGAATTATGTTACTAATAAGAAATAGGTGTTCCAATTGGCTCGTGAGATGAACAAGATCAACAACTACAACAAAAACTGGAGCGTTGACTTCATCCCCTGGCACCAGTCTAGTCCCAACGGACTGTACTACCACAACGGCATCAAGCTGGACAATGGACTACCACCAACCGTCACCCAGGTTAGCAAGAATGCTTCTCTAAAGGTCACTTATCCCGAGAACCCGTCAACTTCGGCTTTGTCAAGCAAGATCGACGCTATCTCCGCAAACGAGACTTTCATGATTGAAATCGCGACCAACATGTTCAAGGCCCACAAGGATTTCTTAGGTAAGTCACTAGATCGATTGCTTGTGTTTAGAATGATATACTCACAATAATTATAGTAAATGGTCTTGGTGGCCTCGGAGGTGATACCTGGTCCGAGTTCGCGTATATGGTGAACTACCTAAATGCAACCCTGAACGACACCGACGTGCTTGGCGGCGACTCAAGTTCATTCTGGGACTCCGTAAGTCGACTCTTTAAGTAGTACCAGCCTCTCAACACTAACATAACCAAAAGCTCTACGAAGGCGTATACTTCGACGCCGCAACCTGGCGAACCATCGACGGCGGTCTCAGCCGCCTCCCCACATCATTCCACCCCCTAGTAGACAAAGTCACAACCATGAACCGCAAGATCGAGCGCGTAGAATGGCTCGACGACACCAAGAAAGTGAAGCTACAATGGCGCAACAAGTTCACCGACAAAGTATTCCAAAACGCCTCGTACGATTACGCCGTCTTCGCGCTCCCCTTCTCCATGGTCAAGAAGATGCGACTCCCATGTAAGCCCTCATCCCCTTTCCCCCATCCCAACCCCTAACAACCAAAGCACGTACTAACCCCCCTTTCAGACCTCCCCACCACCATCTCCAACGCAATCACCAACCTGCCCTTCGAATCCGCCTGCAAAGTCGCGCTCGAATACAAAACACGTTTCTGGGAACACTACGAGAACCCGATCTACGGCGGCTGCTCCACGTCCACCGACATCCCAGGCATCGGGTCGATCTGCTACCCGTCATACTGCATGAACTGCAGCGGGCCCGCCACAATCCTCGCGTCCTACGCGTCGGGCGACTGGGCCGCGCGCTGGGTTTCGGTGCCTGAGGCCGAACACGTGCAGTACATGGTGGACGCAATGGTCGAGATCCACGGCGACGTCGCGAGGACGCAGTATACCGGCAAGTATAACCGGCGCTGCTGGATGCTGGACCCGTATGAGGGCGGCAGTTGGGCGAGTCCGACGATTGGACAGCATCAGCTTTATTTGCCGGAGTATTTCAAGACGTATAATAACGTGAGTCTGCTTCCCTCCTTTGCCTCTGTTTTTTATTATATGGGTTAGAAGGGGAGTTTGCTAATATTGTGATGTAGATGATCTTCGTTGGCGAGCAGACGTCTTATACGCATGCTTGGATTGCATCGGCGCTTGAGTCGGGTATCCGTGGTGGTGTGCAGTTGCTCCTTGGTAAGTTTACCCCGGTTTGCTATAGCATTTAGATCTTCGCTAATAAACATCTAGAACTCGGACTTGTCGACGAGGCTAAGGCCACGGTTGAGAAGTGGATGGCGAGGTGGATCGATGTTGTGAGTACCTTTCCCCCTTAAAGACGTTTCTTCATAGAGGCTAACAGAAGCTTTCACAGTAAAATCAGAATTTTTTCTTTTCAAAATATACACCTATAGATATACATATAGGATACCACCGTCGTGTGGACGACTGATATTTATTATGAGAAACGTTTAGCTGTGATGAGGTTATGACCACGGTCATCGCCAGCGTGCATATGAGATAAAAGTATATACTATTGCCATCTAGATAGATAATGTAGATAGATTTAATTCATAATACTTGTCTACAGTTTTCTAATCAGCGAATACGTGGGCTTTATTGTCATAGTACAGGAGGTAGTTATGATGCATACCCCTTAATTCCTCCGTCCATCCAAGGAAATAAAATAATTTTCAAATAGTTAAACATTAGATCTCTCAGAGATCTCTGTATAAATGGCATAAACCAAAACACACTGTTATTGGTATAGCATACCCCAGGTCCCAATTCCCACCGTTGGTATCGAAGCGACGATTCCCCAAATCCGATTTTCCTGACTCCTATACCAGGTATCCATATATCCGTCATACCCATATGTCCGTCAAGTCATAACATCTTAAAATCATAAAAGAACAACAATATCTAAACCAAAAGGATCTCCGTAGATTTCCTGCCTTCCAGCGCCTCGCCTTGCATGAACCCATGGAGATACGTCCCACCAACAAGATTATAGGTCGTCTGCCCCTCTTGCTTAGAAAGCGTAGGTCTGAGGATTAAGGGTACTCTTGACCCCTGAACAATCCAAACCAAGTCCCCTTTCTTGCAGGAAAGTGTGCCACACCCCAAGTGCCCGCCACTTGTCCTGAAGAGACGGAGATTTAGAGAATGGGTAAACGAGGTCTCAAACTCGTGGGCCATATCCATCTCCTCCTTTGATGGTTCGTGTGAGCAAAGTCCCATCCAAACTTCGAAAGATTTATCCCAAGGCTTTTCAATCGGCACCTTGCCACGGGGGCCAGTATCTAAGAGTTGAGTTCTCCAGAACGCATCTTTGTGGCCCTTATCTGGGTAGTCTCGCTCAAGCTCTCCTAGAAGGTCCAACCAATCACTGCAGTCCTTTGTTTCGTTGACATTTTCTTTCGACTCCCCGACTCGACTGATCGTGTCGAATTCAAAACCCCGTAACACAAGGACGTAGTTATCACGAATCTCTCTGAAGCACGATAGCTTGCCAGCAGCTTCATACCTAGTATACCCGGTGATTCTGAGGCCGAGGTCCTTTTTCACACTCCAATCAGGCACCCAGGACGGCAAACCACTGACGTGTCGAAACTCGTCACCTTCGGCATGCGCGAGGACGTGCAAGTCGTTCGAGACTGCGAGAAGATACTCGGTAACCTTTGTATAGACCTCCGAAACACTGCAGTCATATTCGGGGTATAGCATGGGGTTGTTTTCGTTCCTAGGTCCTGCGAGGCCAATGAGCGAATACACCTTGTCATGGTCGTCTGATGCTTCGTAGGTGCGACACCTAATTAGACTGCGAAGTAAGACGTCTCCGGTTCCATTGAGGATGTCTCTTTTGATTTCAGCCAATTTCGCGGGCTTCTTGAATGAACTTTGTGATTTATACGTGTTGGCAGACGTTCGCTCAGCCATGAATTTTGAGATAGAAACCATCGTCTTCCAGTCGAACTCGTAATTGCCGCACAAAACAGTGGTTTCTTGAGCTAGAACAAGTTCTTGAACCACCCAAGCCCGAGTGAACCACGTCCTCTCGAAAAGCGAAACGAGTGCCATCCAATGTTCATGAGAGTTTGTATGACCTAATAGATCGGTGTTGTGATTGTTTTCGCATGCTTGGGGGTTGATAGAGCGCAAGTCTTCATTCGATAAATCGTCCAAACGCCCTATTAGTTCATCTGCTAATGGTGTAGAGTCATCGGCTGCACCTAACCATACAATCACACGTTCGGCCAAGCGGTACACATCCGCCATTATACTGACTTGTTCGCCACGCTCGTCCTTATCGTCTTGATTGATACATATTGCGTCGACCCAAAGATCTCGATAATGCCCACTTTCCCTGAGTTGCATCAGACAATTTAGTAAGTTTCTTGTTATTGACAACTCTTTGCCGTTACAGATTATGGCATGATGCCTTTCAGCATTCATGCCAATCTTGACCTCATGCTGAGTCGTAGGTCCCCACGTGTATGATAGAGCATCGTAATTCACAGTTTGAGTCTCGTTTAATTCGACACTGCGAATATGGCATTCTAGTAAGCCATTCAACCCTCTCGTCGGAAATATTCTAAGAACTCGAATGGTTTTGGAGGATTTCGTGGGGATGCCATCACCTTGAATGTCCAGTCCGAAGTTATCGTGGTAGATGCGAAGTGGCACGGTTGAATAGGAAAACTGTCCCAATTTCTCGTCGACTTCGACTTTCGAGGATTCGGAGCGCTTGTAGTTCGAGTGTTGGTCCCTTTTAACCCGTTGTATCCAATGCTTCCCTAACAATATGCAGCCGTTGAAACAACGCATTTCAATAGGGGATTGATTGCTTTGTTCTCGAGGGAATGCCTGCTAAGAAGAATCGCATTGTTTGTCCGCAGTCGAGTGAATCGAGGCAAACAAAGACGTTTTTGTTTCCGGTGGCCTCGAAGATTATATTGTATCACCCGACCCAATCACCGGTCAGTGGTGGCGCAGTTCACAATTTAGAGCTGCAGGAAAGCGCTTGCTATTCTGTGAATCAAGGCGGCTGTGTCTAAGGCCACCATCATTATCTCTACTAATCCGTGAGTAAGATCAAACTCACCGGTCATATAGGCTTAGAGACATCCTCGGAATTATCTATTTATTCCAGACCTGTCGCGATGCTTGGGCATGTTTTACTTTTATTGAGCATAGTCTTACTTCTCGCATCTTGGCTTGTTAAGAATATCAAATCCTGTAACGACGTCAGCGACAATAAAATCAAAATGAAGGTCATGAAATACACAAATGTGCCGGGGTTCTTCCTCCATGATGAAGAACCTGAAGGCCCGGAGTTTCGTGCAGTAAGTATAGGTCTCCCCAGGATGCACGGAAACGCCACACGATCTAATTGAAATTTAGACAACGTTCCCCGATCTAGGACTGATCGACCGCCCCTATGAAACAGACGCAAGTTTTCGTAGTTATTGCAACAGCCTTCCCGCAGATCAACGGGCCGCAATACCTAAAGACAAGTGGGCGCGCTTTGAGTATTTCCTCAAGCACTTGAACAAGACTGGACAGGGCAAAGCTGAGTGGAAATTATTCTTTGTCGTCAGACATGGCGAGGGGTTCCATAATGTAAAAGAAAAGGAGGTAGGGAGAGCCGAGTGGGAGGTAAGTCAACCCAGCACTCTCGTGATGTTCGCCTCAGAATACTAAACCGTGAGTATAGCGTCATTGGTCGCGCGTCGATGGCGATGCTCTTCACAATTGGGCCGATGCTCGTCTTACAGAGTATGGAAGGTCGCAAGCAGCTAGTTTAAGTCAGGTCGTCAGCAGCGATAAGCCTTACCGTCCCCAGAGCGTATATTCGAGTCCCTTGGCGCGTTGTCTTGAAACGACGGACATTATCTTCCGAAAGAACATGCACGATAAGTATATCCAGCATGCTATCGTCAAGGAGAATCTTCGGGAACGCTTCGGAGTACACACATGCGACCGCCGCAGCAGGAAAAGCTGGATCACAGCGACCTTCCCTTGGTTCACGCTTGAGCACGGCTTTTCAGAGAAAGATGAGCTTTGGGAGTCGCATCGACGAGAGACCGAGGAAGAAGTCGCCAGACGAGCGAGGTCGGCTCTGGACGACATCTGGAAACACGATAGAAACAGTCACATTGCGATCGCCGCGCACTCAGGATTTATCAGGGCTCTGTATGCTGCTATCGGCCATCGCGCAGTGTGGGTGGCGGCTGGTCAAATGATGCCAGTTTTCATCAAGGGAGAAATGGTGGAAGTCTAGGATCAGAGAGAGAGAAGAAATGGGACGCAGAGTGCATCTCATGAATATGCTTTCTGGTTTTAGGAAGGAGAGAAGGCGTATCAACTAATATGGGGAAAGAACGAGGGGACGAGTGCTCTTTCTCTCCTTTTCTACATCGCACATACCCAGAGACAGATGCTCTTTCCTGATTTGATTTTATAGGAGGCTAATTGAATTTCATGCATGGAGCAACTGAGAATGAATTTTACCAGAACTTTGATTCTAGTCTCTCGTACCTAGTAGTATACCGCCACCAATTCATCTTCGCGATCCCTCACCCCTCAAATAAGAGACTACCAAACTTGTGATAACCCGTATATTCCACCTTCTCATTTATATTCCAGCCCACCATGTTCGCCCGTCTCCGCCCAGAACAAGCCCCTACCCCCCTCAAAAGCGACTCTTCCGCTCGTTTCAAATCCCTAAAACGTCGTCTCTTTGCCTCGGACGAAGAAGACGACGATATACGCTCACCTCCACAAAAGCGACCCAAGCAGGGACATTACTCAATTACCCCCCTCTTGAACAAATACAAGAATCTCGCCGACGACGAAGACGACCAGCCCTCAACCCGCCAGCACGGCCGCCGTCGTCATCTCAGCCCATCCCCCGACTCCGAACTAGTCAAGGAGCTCGACGGTAAGCCCTTAACTCGCGCACTGCCAAACCACACCACTAACGCCGACCCAGACCGGTACACCCACCTGCGCGCCACAATGCATAGCGCAGCGCTGTCCTCGCTGTCCACCGCCGAACACGAACTCGCCGCCTCCAGCGAGCGTTCCATCCGTTCGAAGCGGCAAAACCTCGCCTCCATGGAATCGCAGCTGAAGTCTCTCGTCGCGCCTCTCCGGGACTTGACTGTGGACTACATGGCGACGGGCGAGAACGGGCTCCCGCGCACCGTCGCCGTGAACATCCGCGACGCGATCAGTGCTTTCGAGACGAGCTTGGAGAAGACGGTGACGGAGCTCGCGGGGCTGTGGGAGGAGTGGGAGGAGACTCAGGTGGAGATCGACGGGCTAGCTGCGGAGTTGGGTGCTTCTTCGCGAGGGGATGACGGTGGCGTTGGGAAGGGAGTGGTGGGAGGAACCGCTTCCGCGCGTGATGAGGTCGTGGTGGGGATTGCTGCGGATCTGGATAAGGCGAGTGAGGATGTCGTTGAGGAGATGGCGACGTATGAGGAGGTGAGTCCGAGACCCCGGATCTGGAGTTGTTGTTTGTTGTGGGAGTTGGGAGTTGGGAGTTGGGAGCGAGATCGGAGACTGACTGATGTTTAGAAATTCCTCAAGGAGATCGGGAAGGAGGCTGGGAATCTATTGCACTCTTTCTTGAATCGCTAGAGACGCTGCTGGGCGAATGGGTTTCGGTGACGGAGTAGGAGATGCAGACTAGAGCTGGGACATGTATGAGTGGCCGATGTGGACGTTGAAATTGACAGAATTTGCGCTGTGGCTGGCTGACTGGCTAAGTTTTATGACAGGTAAGCTCTCTGAAGTTATAGAAACTTATTACCGATTATGATATGTAAGAAATCACAACAATTGGGAAATCTCTCGTGTCCAATGTTATCTTGTAATGGTAATATGCATTTAGCTCATGTCAAGTTCTATCCACCAGATTTTAACTAATGCAGTTCGTCTGCTCGAGGCGATTCGCCGCTCATTCTAGGGCTGTGTCCTTAAGAAACTGTAATGAAATTGGCTCCGAATCTCATGTAACACGCATATGTTTTAAATGACCTTCTAGCCAGTACCTAGTCCATTCGAAATGTCCGTCATCTCTAGTCCTGTAATAACCATTGAAAAATGAATCATAATCCTCATGAATGCTATTATTATACCCGACCCTGTGATGTCATATCGCGTCTCCTAGCTGACGTCGTGACCCGTAAATAAGAAGGCGGAAGGATGAGAAGCAGGAACTCGCGCGTGCATGCCTTTTCCCATGAACGCTTGCCCCCAAACGAAAATGCAGCAGATGGCGATCGTGGCGTCGTGTACCGAATCAGAATGTCGCCCGCCCGGTGTTGTGTAACGCCATGTCTCGGATGTCGAGTATGGTGCCGAAGAAAGACTTCCTCCACCTCAGCTCCGTTTGTAAGCTTTTTCGCGCCCGTGGAACCGTTGACTAAAATATTCGCCCTGATAGAAAACGTCTTAATGTTGTAGTACCTGTTCAAAACCTTCGTGCGATAGTAAACGGCCTAAGTTGCGATGAACGGTACGTATATCTATGACACAACGTCGGAAATTTTGTGTGGCTGGCTTAGTGTTCCTCTTGTACGACGACACCCCACGGATGGTCTACGTTTCCGTACATGATGTCTCCGAGCCATTTCTTCACCTGGAGAGTGTACGAACCGCCTTCGCCTGCCTTTCCCATGGGAATTTGGATATCTTGTCCGCGGTGGTGGATGAGCGAAACTGGGCAGACGAAATACTGTAATAAAAGTTAGTATTTGATATTACGCTGAGCTTTTTAAAAGTGAATTTAGGATGACTTACTGCTGTGCCAGCAGCAAACGACTCCAGAAGTCGTCCCTCTTCGTTGGCTTCTACTACCTCTTGGATGGTGTATTTTCTCTCCACGATCTCAATCTCGTCGCTTAATCGCTCGCGGATAATCTGCAAGAGACTGCGTCTGGTGACACCGTCTAAGATCAATCTGTCGTCTAAGGGAGCTGTAATGAGCTGAGTCTTTCCCTCCTTGCTCTTCCATACGACGAAGAAATTGCTTGCTCCGGCTTCTGTGCAGTAGCCTTCGTTACCATACAGCCATAAGATCTGGCCAAATCCCCGTGCGCGGGCCTCTTGGGTCGCCAAGAGAGAGGGACCATAGTTTGCGCCAACCTTAGCGTATCCGAATCCGCCAACCCAGGCACGTACCATGTCGTCTGGCGACGTGTGAAGTTTCATGCCACCAGCTGGTGAATCTAAGATTGGCATGAAGGTAGCCATGATGTAAAGAAGAGCTTCTGTGGGTGCCTGGACACCAAGCTGCGATTGGGTTCCGATGAGCGTCGGACGCAGATAGATGAAGGTACCTGGACGTTCCCGGGGTAGCCATTTGGGTCCATCTACGGCCATTAACGCTATGAGTAGCTTTTCTACTTCAGAAGGTTCGAAAGTTGGCAGGCTGATGCGCACCGAGGATGTGAGGAAACGAGCGGCATTGCAATCAGGTCGGAACAAACGTAGTTTGCCATCGAACCCACGGTACGCCTTCAGACCCTCAAAACACTCGGTGGCATAGTGGAGTACGGAAGCCGTCGGCATAAGCGACAAGGGGCCAAAGGGTTTAAGTTCTGGGGTCTGCCACCCAGACTTTGCTGTCCATTTAACGGTGATCATGTGGTCGCTAGCGACAGTTGCGCCGTCGATCGAGTGGACTCCCGGAGGAGGAACATCACGGGGCTCCTTGGTGAAGGTATATGTGATCTTAGAAGCGTTTATCTCATGGAGGTTGGGTTGAGAAACGCCGTTGCCGTTTTCATTCGACGATTGGGTAGTTTGGCCGTTGGTGCTACCGTTAGTATGAACGTTTTCGGTTAATCTGTGGTCAATGGCAGAAGAAGTCAGGTCCAAGTCCTGTTCGCCATCGTGGACAGTCGAAGGGATCGCAACAGGAGTCATGGTGTTTAGGTGAAAGGTGGTATCGATGACGGGATTTATTATGGAAAGGATATCAAGAGGCTAAACTCGGAAACGTAACAAGTTTAACAGGCTAAGATAGAATACGTTTCCTCTTGAAAGACAAGATGCACTGGGATAGGTGAAGGAAGAAGAGACGGAGTTGGTGAGATTAAGTAGGGGAAAGTATAAATATGTAGATCAAGCCGGTACCGTGTTGAACTTTTTAGAGGTCGATGACTCAATAGCCAATGAGACACCTACTAAGACGTTTCTTCGCTTGAGGAAGATCTGTGCTTGTACCTACTGAATAGTGTCAAGCTAGCAAGCCGGAACGTTCATTGACAAGTTGCATAGGGCGTGTGATCCCTGTTTGCGGTACGCTTTGGACCCGTTGAAGATCCGCCAACCCAATAGAATAACGGAAGCGCAAACTTTGCAGGCTATAAGTCTAGCCAATTGGTCCAGACTTTGACCGATAAAACTAAATAGCCATCGTACTAGTCCATAATACCACCTACTTCCATAGAGTACATAGTTTCCACGAGGTTGGAACCGATTTGGACGCTACGTAATTAGTGAGGTTGTATAGTCTCTTTTTCGGGAATATCTTTAGGCTTGTGTCCGTCAGGTGGGCGAACTCGCGGGTGACACTACCACTTGTAAGGTACCGAAGTAACGCATCTAAAGTTGCCATTTTCTGTTGGATCTAGAATCTGTTGTGTGTGGATCATCGTATAGAACAACTAGACGCCGTGAAAATCTGTTGAAGTTTCGGTTTTATACGGCGGCTGAAAATCATGTGGAAAGTGGAGCACATCATGGCATCTCTTATCTCTAATTCGACATAGAAGATGCTGTCGATGTCGAAAACTCCCTGAATAGTCTGAGGTAACTCTCAACATGGGTAAATCGGGCTTCCGCTTCTCGGGCCGCACGATTCTTTGCCAAGTTAGATCCCTCAATGAGTCAAGAACAAGAAAAGAGAAAAAAAACCTGGTCCGAAATCGCAAAGGACTGACGTCCCTAGGTAGGCATGTAACTTTTATACATGGATCTTCCAAGGTTCTCCACAGCTATACATCAATCAGACGGTGGCAGGATGGACACGCGTTTTTTCGGTCTGAGATTCTAAAAGCCGGAGCTAGATGTTGAAATAAAAAAGGGGAAGACCGAGGTGAAGTCAAGACTGTGGAATTTGGCCGCTCTTCGGCTAACGGAAACTTTGGAATTTCTTAAGGTTTACGCCATTATTAGTCTTCGGGAGAGCCGAGAATTGCCGCATATTACCTTAAGTGGCCGCGCCTGCCGTAGTAAGACCTTGGCGGCATCATAAATTGCTATCTTATCGGTGCAGTCATGGGCTTAAACTCGTCACCTTAATGGCCTCGTACTTCGTATTGTTCTCGATACATCATTCTGCTACTTACGTACTACTCCATATTCATCCACATATCCATCCATATCCATCTATATCCATCCATCCCGTCTCTTACATACATGCCCGCATATATTAATGACCCCCTCAAACATGGTCTCGTCCAATAAATATGTTACAAGTGTGAATCCGGCAAGAAATCCTTATCTAACGCAGCCAGCCGCAGCTAATAAAGGGCTTGTGACTGGATAGCTTTTACTAATCAAGCCTTTGCCGCAACTTCGGCCGGTTCATAATCTCTCCAGATTAAATTCTCGGGGACAGCCTTCCATTGCATTTCATCATCAAGAAGTTCCGTTGCCTTGCTCCACTCTTCTCGGACCCGCTGAGCTTTCTGTTCGCTCCTAGGCTTAATTACCGCTTCGAAGGGTTCGGGTTGAACGAACGTTCCGCCATCTGGAACTAGCGCGTCTATGTTAGGAATAATCTCCTTTCCGGTGATCTCGTCAATTGGTCTTTCGAAATCGAAAGCCCAAAGTAGTCTCGACATGGCTAAGAAGAGAGATCGGTCCGCAATATGCATTCCCTGACATAGCCGACGGCCAGCACCAAATACAAAGTGATCGCGCTTGGACGCGTCCTGGTTGTTCGCAGCTTCTACCGAAGTCTGATTATCACCAGCCCAACGGGTTGGATCGAATTTTCGAGGGTTCGGATGCCGCTTCGGGTCGTTTGATATTCCCCTTTATACCCAGAGGAATGAGCTAGCTATTCCATATGTTCGATTAGATTATTCCTCACTTACCAGACGTTCAAGATCACACCGGCACCCTTTGGGATCTTGTAACCCATGTATTCGTCATCACGAACAGTAGCATGTGGTACACCAAGAATCACAGTTGGCATCCACCTCAGACTCTCTTTCATACAACCACGAATGTAAGGAAGATCGGGGAGGTCGTTTAGATCCGGGAGCCGGTCTCCACATACCCGATCGATTTCGGCTTGGGCAGCTTTACAAACTTCAGGGAAGAGAAGCATGGCTTGGGACCATCCTACTAATGTGGCCGATGTCGTATCCGACCCGGCTTCTAATAATGACCCGCTGACATAAGCGGCAGTAAGATCTGAGAAGCCTTCCTTGTCTTGGGCTCGAACAAGGTCGACGCATAAACACGGCTTTACTATCGTCAGACGTCCCCTCCGAAACAGAAAAATAAGATAGAGTATCTGCTCACTTTTGCTTCGCCTATCTTGACCCTCTCTTTCGTTTCCCGATAATGCCCTAGGAATAATGCAGCTTCTGCCCGGTGTAACTCCTGCGCATGCCTTCTCATCGGCAAGAAAACATCCGGAAGATGTCTTAGCAGAGGGAAGGCGTTGAGTAAAGCGGCAGCACCTGACCCCATGACGTCGCTAAACCCCTCAAAACTCTATACTTCAGTGAGCCATAAAATCTTACAATAGCAACTCGGTGGCTAGGCCTACACGGAAGAGCTGTTTAAGCCTTGGGTCATCATTGTTAATGGTGCGGAAGCCAAATAACATTTGCGTCGACAGAGAGTTGGTGTATCTCCGGAAGTGGTGAATAAACTGACTAGGAGTTTCGAGAAAGGCGTTGAGCATCGCCTTGTTTTCTAGATCCTGATACGGAACGTATGTTCGGGCAGCCTTGATATTGAGGCTATTGTGTACAAGTTTGCGGATCATACGCCATTTATCGCCGTACTCCTGTGTTACAAATTAGGTATCACAACGTCGTCGAACCCTAGGACACGTTCATTCATGGCGTACCATTAACAACATTCGTTCATTCCCGCTGACTATTCTCCCAAGATACACACCCGACCTTGAGGAGTAATTGCTACTTCGCTTGTCAAGCAGGTCCTTGATCGCTTGGTCAGATGAGAGAACGATCATGACATTGGTCCCTAGAATTAGTGAGTATACCGGCCCGTATTCTTCAGCCCACTTTTGGAACTGCAGATGTGGCTTTTGTTTTGGAATTTGATGTATATTTCCTATCAGAGGTAATGTCGGCGGCCCCGGAGGGTATCCTTTTGGTCGTTGCCCAATCCTACCTAATCGGTAGACAAGAAGCAAGATTGTTGCCACTACGGCAGCAGTAGTCATCGAGATAGCCATTATTTGGTGTTTCAACAATGCGAGATTACTTATTCAGATCCAAGAGGTTTATCCAAAAAAATATTAATGAGTTTCTACATATGTATATATGTATATGCTATTTCGTTGCGGACTAGGTTGTTCATCATTGGTATCTATATACGACTATGCGGAGTAAAACATCTCGCGTTACTCAGATTCTAGCGAAGCGCGGGGTTCTCTACACCCATACCATCTTATCATCATCATAATTCACCAGACGGCGCTTACATGCCCAGGTGGCTAACCATTGGCTTCTCTATACCACGCTAGAATATGGCAACTCTTTGCGAGGATTTGTTTCTACATTAGTGCGAAGCCATGCCCGATATCAAGCTATACAGCCCTTCAACATTTCTGATCAAATACATTCATTTCACGGCTTATCCGAAACCGCGGCCTTACGTATCTCCCAGGTAAGTATCAATCTACAAAAATGTCAACATATTTCCACGGCAAGTTTTGTAGCTACCGTAGCTACTATGGGGTAGAAAGCCACTTTGAGTCCTTGCTGACATCCATGTCCCTGGGCAAAGTAGCAGTATGCAGCGTTATGCAAGTGAGCCTGCGGAACTGCATACTGCATTTTGATTCCCCAACATGGCTGACACACTGTTGGAGACTGAGACCTCAGCTACAACCGGCCTATCGGCACTTGCGCCATCACAGACGATCGGAAGCTCGAAGCTATCCGCGTTAGGTGCCACAGCACTTGGCTTTCCATCGCCAGATCTCATCATCATACCCTACTGGGCTTCAAAGGGATCCTACACCCCTTGCGTTAATATAATTCCAAATTGCTATGACATCTTGCAGTGTAGACTACGTGGGGTTATGGTAGAGCTATTGGATCGGATTTACGAGGCTCTTGTTGCGATATCAGCTCATAGGACGAGTAGGTGCTTAGTAGGGCGAATTAGATCGTGGCTTAACTCACGGATATCAGGTTGGAAATATCAACTTGGCTTAATAAATACCCTTCGAGGTAATTACTAAGTGACTATACATACACGTAGAAGTTCCCACAGCTTAGAATCAATTTGTTGAGTTGGAGAAGAGACAGATGCGCTGTTAATTCGTTGCCTATACGATGCTCAATAGCGTCAAGCCACCGGATGTTTTACATATTTCTCTAGGTGCTTCATCCGATATCATGATATTAGTAATGCACCTTACACAGTGCTAAGTAAATGCGTTAGATATCCCATCATATCAAAACCAAGAACTCGCTACACACGAGTGCGAGTACCAGGTAAATTCAATTATGCGTAGATATATTGAACCTCGAAGCATTGCAAATCTTCTCGGCCGTGAAGTTATTATAAAGCAGAGCCTCACTCAAACACCATACTACCGAAAACAGGGACCAGTGTATTCAGGCAGTTCCGGGTTGACGGCTCCGGGAAACTCTGGCCCGACGCAGGTGAAATGTAACCTTCGCAACTTGTACGTGTCCAGAAAGTAGCAAGACCAATCTACCTATCTAGATACTCAGTAGAATGTATGTTTAAGTCTCGAGGGAAAAAGGAAGTTATGATGATGTAAACAGTTCACATGCGGCGTAAGGCTAGTTTCCACCATCCGCCCTATCGTACAATTACCTAGCGTACTGTCTCTCCAGCTGTGCAACCACACTCCGACCGGGCAATTTCGCGCAGTGTATCACCACTTCCGCCACCGCCATGCCACCAACCCGTTACACGAGCCGGGCTGTGGACCCCTCACCACTCGGGTCACCCCTAACCCTCCCCTTCTCCTCCGTCGTGTTACAAAACCGATTCATGAAAGTCGCAATGACGGAGCGGCTGGCAACCTGGGACCCCGATGACATAAACGCAAGCGGGATCCCCACGCAGCAGCTCATAGACCTGTACGGACACTGGGGCGACGGCGGGTGGGGGACCATCGTGACTGGCAACATAATCATCGACCCCACGCATCTCGAAGCCGCAGGGAACATGATCCTCGCGTCCTCCCCTCTCTCCTCTCTTAATACCCAAACCGACCCGCGCTTCATCGCGTACCAAAAACTCGCTGCAGCAGGAAAACGCGGCGGCTCCGTCTTCCTCGCACAATTAAACCACCCAGGCCGGCAGACCGAGTTCGCGCTCCAAGAGAACCCAGTCTCAGCATCAGACGTGCAACTAACGAAAGGAATCGGGGCGTTGTACGCGTTCGGCAAGCCGCACGCAGCGAGCCTTGACGAGATCTCTCACATCAAGGCCGCGTTCGTGCACGCCGCGGCGTACCTAGAAAAAGCGGGGTTCGACGGGATCCAACTACACGCCGCGCACGGGTATCTGCTAGCGCAGTTCCTGTCGCCGACGGCGAACCTGCGGACAGATTCCTACGGGGGCTCGTTAACGAACCGGGCGCGTCTGATAGCTGAGATCGCGGACGGGGTGCGCGGCGCGACGGGTCCGGATTTTGTGCTCGCGATTAAGATCAACAGTGTCGAGTTCCAAGACGCGGGGTTCTCGACGGAGGAAGCGGCGCAGTTGGTGGCGCTGCTAGAGGAGCACCGATTCGATATCGTCGAGCTTAGCGGCGGCACGTACGAGTCGCCCGCATGGCACCATAAAAGAGAGAGCACGCGCCGGCGCGAGGCTTTCTTCATCGAGTTCGCGGAACTGGTGGCTCCACATGTCGAGCGCGCGCGAACCTTCATCACTGGGGGGATCCGGACCGTAGGCGCGATGGTAGATGCGCTGGAGAGCGGGTTAGACGGAGTTGGCCTAGGGCGCCCAAGCGCGACGGAACCGAGGCTGCCGATAGAAATACTACGAAATGGACAGAAAGGGTGTATCAAACCCCTGGTGGGCGACACAAACGTTCTCGGAGGGGAAGATTCTTGGGGTGTAGGTGCGTCATTAGCTGGGGCACACATGCTCCAGATAAGCCTGAACCAGCAACCAATAGACCCGTCGGATCAGACTTCGATAGACGGCTTCCTTAAGGGCTTCGAAAAATGGGTTGCAGCATTCCCGAAGAGATCGAAGAGAGAAGTACTCGATCATGTTAGGATCGAGACGGTAAAGCCGAGACCTTATGGAGTTGTAGAATCGTCGACAGCTTGAATAGAGAGGCCATAAAGCGATTGCGCATGCAAAATATTAGATCCGAGACAGACCCCATAACAACACTACAGATATCATGAAAAATCTTCCGTTATATATGCCTAGATACCTAGCGGTTATAGTTGCTTTGACAAATCCGCCAGCGAGTTTGGGGAAAGCCTTGATTTGCGTAGCTAGGTGAAACGGGCTATCAGGCGTTCTCAGCTCGCAGCTCGCTAGATCAGGTAAACAGCTCTTTCTAGTCACTGCTTACTGATTTAAAACACCTGCTGGCATTCTTAGGTACATATGATCGGCCTTCCAAGTAGTTCTCGCAGCCTATCACCCCAATGCGTGGCAACGCTGTGCATTTTTTCAACTATCATGACGGTATGGTGCCTTAGAAAAGGAATCGGGTTATAAGGCATTGAGGTGAGGATATGAGTTTCGTAAGGTAGATTTTCTAAGCCATAACCAGCGTGATGCGGATCTTAGTGTCGTGGATCAGGATTTAAAAGGGGTTCCCAGACGGTGTTTCATTGTGATACGTGGCTGACCCGGAACACCGTTGGGGACAGGCTTGTTTACTAAACAAGTTCAGCTGCCCCTTGCTCCGAATGCACAAAAAATTCTAGTGTGCCCCAAACCGTAAATTACCCATATTGATCAAAATAGTTGCACCTGCTGGTGATCAAGTGTTGCCTGTACGCTAACCCGAGCGGACTGAGACCGAATTATCCGAGTGAGCGATAGTATAAAGTACTGTACATAGCTAAGCTTCCGATATAATTATAGCTGTAGGTTGGTCGTAGGAGCTCGGCTAGGACCGCCTCTCAGGTGCGCAGACGAATTCTTGAATAGGCTTTGCCAAATGTAGGCTTCGCTAAGCAATAGCTCTATATCTTTCTCGGTCCAATCGCGAGTGGGCAACGCCTGTAGGAACATCATGATCTCCTGGAAATCCATCTTTACCAACTTGGTTGACCATTTCACGAGAAACGCTGCACAGACGTATAAGTGAAATTCTGAGAAGCCTTGTTCCTCAGCCTAAACAGAGTTAGCGACGCAATGAGAGAGAATACGAAATACGTACTAGGTAAGTATCCCACATCCGAATGGTGTTTCGGACACTAATCTCTCTCATGAGAAGGCAATTCATCCAACGGAAACTAAATTGAATAAACTCTACATGTTCATTCTCAAGGTGCTTTGCGAGTCCTTCATCGATCCTAGCGGTAAGATCCCGGAGTGCAGCAACTTGTCGTTGAATACCAGGTTGGGCAACGATGTAATGATCCTGAATTCCGTCAAGTAGTTTCGTCAGGCACCAAAACGAGTCGGCTTCCACTGCGTCCAGCACGGCCTTCGGCAGTTGTCCCGGGTCCATGCCACTTTCAATGTTGCAATCCGTGATGTATGTGCCTAGAAAAACTTCCCAGAAGGGAGTTACCAAGTCATTAATTCCTTGTACGTAGCCGCTCGCTGGGTGTCGAATAGCCCAAAGGTATAGTATTCGCTCTAATGATCGTTGTGTTGCTTCATAGCTGTATAGCTCAATGTGAGGATTAGTCCTGGGGACATCTATACTGATCTGATGCCATATCGCTTCATCAAGACCTCTTGATCGACCACTAGAAGCGGGGTTTGCCCCTCCTCGTTCGAAAGCTTGACGCACGCCGTCAAGATATTCTTTCCGCTTTCGTTCGAGTGTTGCGACACGCCTTTCGCTGCTAGTTGGTAGATAACTTAACAAGAGTTGCCATGTCATAGCCCGAACTTCTTCAGGGACACCACCCCACGCCAAAGCTCTGAGATCAACCAATGGTATCGTGCTAGCCTGAAGAATCTTTTTGAATTTGTTGATTTTCGTTATACGAGAATTTATGGCATCGATTTCCTTGGGAGTTGCGTTGGGTGGGGTCGCTGGATGATCGATAAGATGCAGAGCATTGGCTGGATCTACGTTGTATGAGCTACCTTAACAGTTCTAGAAAATGGAATAGGGCTAACCTTTGAGAATATCTTTGTATTGTGGTCTAAGGATTTTCCCTTCACTCTTCTTCGGCATCGGGTAGGTCGATGTTGGTCGTTCGATAGCTATGTCGGCACTATTCGAATAACGTCTGTTTGGCAAACCAAGCGCAGCATCAAGGGGTGTTGTTTGGAAAGGCGAAGAGGAACTACTTTGGGCTGCTGCTGCTGCCCGTCGAGAGCGACGTCGCATGTTAGACAAGCTTGGGAGACCAAACTCGTCTCCATCATCGTCTTCGTATCCAAGCATATCGTCCCCCTCAGGCATTTCAGGGTCCCCAACGTCCCAATCTCGATTTGTGTTAGACAAGAAGCTAAAATATGATTTCAAAGGAGGAGAAGATAATCCAGATGAAGACTTTGGCGGTGGTGAGCTGACGTCGCTAGTTCGGAGTTTTTGCGAAGAGGAAGAAGGAGGGGTTCTTGGTCGGGATGAGGAGCCAGACAGAGTCCTGGTGTAGGGCGCTAAGTTAGCGAAGAGGCACAGCTATATCAACTCTAGTAACATACAGGTTATCTAGCTTGAGCATATCCGCATGGGAGTAGGCGGCACCGACGACAAGATTGGGATCTCGGCCTACTCTCTTCGGGGTGCTTTCTCTCTGAGCACGCCAGAAAGGCGAAGCCGACCTAACTCGATCTTAGCTGCGACAGCCTTGAAGTGGCATGAATATGTGGACCTACTCAGATCTATCTATCGAGAGGGGAATAGATATTAGCGATCTCGTTTCTCTAATATTAAATGAAGCGCCCCAAAAGCGCATTGGGATGATGGATGATGTGGGGATTGGATCGAAGCAAACGGATTGCACTCACCGACTTGAATCATTTCCTACGTCATTGTTAGCTTTGAAACATTGTTCTCTTTGATATTGACATATTCGAACTAACCTGCTGGGATGGCGGCTTCTTGCCGCTGCCCGAGGATGAAAACATGGCAAGGGGAATGTTGGCGCTCGATCACAGCGACATTGTTGTTTGGGTATGAAGTGCGATTCAACCGTTGACAAGTTGACAAGGGCCAAGGCTTGGGATACTTGGATGTTGCTACCATAGGATGATTGAGCTAATGCAGTAAGTAACCTTATGCCCCTCGATAACTTAAGCCACAACTTAAGCCTCGGCAGTCGAAGATACTTCACTACTAGGTAGATACTTAATATATGGTATTATTAATATAATCTATCGCTAGCAATAGGTACCTATGTCAACCTAAGTACATACATATGTGATTATCCCTACCTAGTATGATAATAAATCATTTCAAAGATGATATCTTGTATCATATATGATTTACTACAGAGTGCTTATTTTCAGCCTTTCAATATTAAGCTCCATAAATAATAACAAAGAATCGAATCTAAAATAAGCACCGTAAGGCAATTGGTACTAGATACTTTAGCAAAAGGCACTAATCAAATTGATTAGAACTAGTCTAACCACATGTGCCTAGGTGATAGAGAAAAAGTGTGGCTTGATAAGGTAGTCACAGGTGAATACCCCAGGACCCCACATAACCACAAGCTATAATTAATTTGATTGGTGAATTGTTTGTGATCCGTGCACGACCATCGAACCTTCCTACCAGTACAGTTTGAAAGTTTGCCTGCCGCCGTCCTCGCGTCTCCCATTGGTTTAAGATTTCTCATGTCGTGTCTACGGCAGGAAGATTTAGAAGGCTACAATTCTTTCCTCAACACCGCTTGCTTCCGATTTTCCTGATCGGAAACTAATCGGATTCTAATCAGAAATCTTTCGTCACATACTTTCTTCTAACGTTCAATTCATCTTCATGTGTAGTCCCTCCCCATATCATCTTCCTAATACTATTCCTTTATGAACAGAGTATCGCATGGTCGACCGATTGAATTAGATCACCGATCTTCTCTTTTCTAGTTCAATCATTTAGGTCGAATCCAAGTCAACATCCACTTGACCATTTTCGAGTTTTCTTAAACGCGTCTATCAAGTGAATCACGAGATTTTTCGCCATGGCTGAAGTAGAGAACGAGAATCTGGAGATAGATCTCTTCGCAGACTTGTAAGGATGACATTCACTTGAACATACCCGTCAATTCCTTTTGTATACGCTCTGCGTACGCCTTGCGCACATACTTACCCATCTGCAGATACGATGACGATGGCGCACCAGCCTCGATTCCAGCAGCAGCAGCACCTGCTGCGCAACCGTCGAACCCCGTCCCTGCCCCAGCTACTACTTCGTTCAACCAACAGCCAGCAGTAGAGTCCTACAGTAGACCTGAGAACGATCAAGACCACAACGATGTAGCTCATACGATTGAGGAGAACGGCTATGGTGACGAATACCAAGATGATAATTATGATGACGACGATGATGTTGATTTTAACTTGGGTAATGGTCCTACTGGTGCTGTTACCGCAGTTCATAATCACCAAGATGACTCTTCTGTGTTTCATACTACCCGAGGACCTAGTGCTAAAGAAGACGGGTAAGTATTTTCCCTTTAGATCTTGTTTTTGTTTCTGTCCTAGTTTTCTGCCAGTTTATTGGCCCTAAAAGAGCCCTACTTCGTCTCTCGCCTCTACAAGACCAGGTCAAAACGGTATTTAGAGCATGCTTAGATGCTCAAAGCTTTTGGTTCGGGAGATGCAAGCTTCCTTGTCATTCTTTGGGTGGTCGAAAGAGTATAAGTTTTGGTATCCTAGGGCTTCGGCTAGGAGGACTTTGGTGAACAGGAGGGCTATTTCTGTCTCGCTAGCTGTCTTCGATATGGAGACGTGATGATGGTGTGCCAAGTCGGTCGACACTCAAATGCATAGCCAAGGGGAAAAGCACTCCAGCCGTCCAGATCTCAAGAGGGGCATTGTGGGAAAGAAAGAGGAGATGAAGACAATGGAGGAGTCACTCTGCCACCTTAAAAAGGAAACCAACGATAAAGGTCGACTATAGTCAGTACAGAACACTACTACTACTGCCCTTCCGTAGCCACTCATCAGGGATAGGCTCATAAAGCCCACGAAGAACTATAACTTTGATGGCTGTAACAAGAATTGGCAGCGAATAGCGCTCGAAGTCATGTCCTAGCTTGACGATAGCAAAGAGACGATCAAAATTCGACATTTCAGACATCACCTGCCATCACCCTGCCGTTGTCTTGTTCTGTTGAGCGGTGCTATTTAGGCCTCGCTCCTCGGATTATATCACTGGCCCATGCATCATCATCACCTCCATCTGAACTACAAGATTCCCACCAAGATTTTATCCAAGATATCTCGTACGCAATATCAGCCACTATGGATATATGTCTAAGAGCCAAGAGGGGGGAACTATATACTACTGCTCTCTGATAGCGAAGACCCTGAAACTGGCCGGCAGTTCTTAGACACCAATACCCTCCCCCTTGTTCAGATTCCCGACCGACCGGTTTAACCTATAGATGATGACGAAAGGTCAGAAGGTTGACTGTACGGACTTATAGCCAGCCACATGCGAGTCCAATGAGTTTGCCAAGTGGCCATCGCGCCTTGTTCAAACTGCATATACTGACTTGTTTTCGTCGACTATACGCACTTTTTCTGCCGTAATCATTTGTGATACGCTGAGACTAACAATGAGTTTTGTAGTAAAATGTTCATTGGCGGCCTTAACTGGGAAACCACTGACCGTAAGGAATCCCCTTGCATCTTTTCATCCGAATCCAGTCACTAATTTTCTACTTTTAGAAAGCCTTCGGGACTACTTCTCCCAATTTGGTGAAGTGACAGAATGCACCGTTATGAGAGATGGCGCCACAGGCCGATCGCGTGGATTTGGATTTCTTACGTTCAAAGACCCTAAGACAGTGAATATTGTTATGGTCAAGGAACACTTCCTAGACGGCAAAATAGTAAGTTTATGCAAAGCTTCATATGATCACTTCAGGTGGCTAAGAACTAACGCGGTGCTTAGATTGATCCCAAACGAGCTATTCCTCGCGACGAACAAGAAAAAACCAGCAAGATATTCGTTGGAGGTGTCAGCCAGGACACCACTGAGCCCGAATTCAAGGACTACTTCGCTCAGTTCGGCCGAGTCGTCGATGCTACCCTTATGATGGACAAGGACACGGGGCGGCCCAGAGGCTTCGGGTTTGTTACTTTCGAAAGCGAAGTCGGCGTTGAAGCATGTCTCAGCACTCACCTAGAAATCCACGGCAAGCCCATCGAGGTGAAGAAAGCCCAGCCACGAGGCAACATGCGTGAAGAAGAAGAAGCTTCGAGGCGAGGCAAGTTTAGAAAGGGCGGCGGAGCAGAGGAACAGCCCAGCCCTCAGGCTCAGATGACCAGCCAGATGGGCCAAGGGGGAATGACGCCGCAAGTCATGGCGCAGTACATGCAGCGGATGCAACAGTACATGACTATGATGCAGCAGCAGATGGTCATGAATAGAGGTATGGGAATGGGAGCTATGAACCCCGCCATGATGCAAATGATGCAGATGCAACAGATGCAACAACTTCAGCAGCAGATGACCCAAGGTGGAGGTCAGAATTCCTCAACTAACCCGATGACGGCAATGGCCAACATGAATCCGGCTCTCATGCAACAGATGCAACAGCAATTGCAGAGTCAAATGATGGGCAACGGAGCTTCTGGCCAAGGTCAGGGCCAAGGCGATGGAGGCCAACAAAATTTCAATGAGTTCAATCAACAGCAAATGTTCAACCCACGCGGTGGTGGAAGCCGACGTGGTGGCCGTGGAGCATATAACCAGAACTATGGTAACGTGGGCGGCGGAGATCCAACCTCCTGGGAAGGCATGTACGATGATGTTCCGCAGCCCAACTTTAACCAAGGGGGCCGAGGAGGATTCCATCGGAATAGAGGTGCCCATCAGTCAAGTCCCGGACCGGTCGATCCCACCCATGCACCCCCGGCCAACGCACCTACGGGCCCGAAGAATGCAGGCAAGCCTGGTGCAAATTATCGGGGTGGAGGACGAGGTGGTAGTCGGGGCTTTCACCCTTACGGCCGCTAGATCCGTCGTCCTTAAAAGGGTTACTATTTCCCATACATCTCTCTCCGCGTAGCTGTTCTTATTATGAACGAGGAAATTGCGCTGGCATAAGCTTTCACGAGCTCATGAGTCGATGAGGCCCCCATGAGGCAATATGCACATCGAACACGATTATCATCGCTCTCACCAAATACCATAATTAACTATTTCTTCTCGCCACCTCCGACGTTTGCAAGTGACACCGCTCTACTACAACGGTCATTTGTTTGTACCCATACTTTACCTTTCGCATGATATGATGCAGTTTCGCAGACGTGGACACCCATTGAGGATATAACCTGGCCCTCTTGGCTTTTACGGTGAGAGAAGAGATAGAGGCTTCTCTCTGTGCAGATACGAATTGGCATTGCAGGGGTCCGGTTCACTGGCTAGGCTGACTTTTGCGACTTTCACTCGGACAGTTCCATCGTTACACGGATGGGCGGTCGAACCCGGTTGTATCTAAAAAGGGGTTCTTTGCTATAGCCCGTAATAAATGCGATGTCTATTGCACGCGCGGTTATCTTGGTGTTTGAGAATGTGAATTGTGAGATTTAATGCTTGATTGTAAGCTTGGTACAGTATGTGATGTGGACTTCCTAGGGGTATTGTCGTTAAAGTAACCATATAACCCAGGGTCGTAGACTTATTGTACTAAAAGTTAGATGTAAATATGTTGAACTCCTATATATTCACGCTATTGGTAGTGCAGATTATTAATGATGTCTATTAACTAGGTACCGTCGAGTTTTAAAGAAACCCACCTCCATAATACTCTACATAACAACTACATGAGGTCGCTATTCCCTCCCCACTAGTCTCTATAAAGCCGCGTGAACCCTTCCGCAGGCGGTTGCAGCCAATTCCGCTCATCATACTTAGCCCCCTCACCCTCAATAACATGGAACGTATATATAATCCGCCCTTTCTGACTCAAATTCCTCTCACTCTTATGCAGCAAATTGCCATGAATCAGCACCAAATCCCCCGCCTTCACCTCCCCCATCACATACTCCCCATCCTCGCCCTTCCCCTCCCTCTCCCCGTACTCCTCTCCAACAGGGAACCTCGGCCCCTCATTATCTATAAACTCGGTTCCCCCGGCTTTCGCGCGCGCAAACCGCTGTCGCACGGGTGCCCAGCGATGGCTTCCTGGCAGAAAACTCAGACACCCGTTCTCGGCCGTCGCGTCCTCGAGCGCATACCAGAACCCTACTGCGGACGGCGGGTCCGTGTACAAAAACGTCGAGTCCTGGTGCGCCGGCACCGCGCCCCCGATCTCCGGCTGCTTGCAGATGACCATGCTCTGCAGACACCGGGGGTCTCTGAACCCCAGCGCCCGCGCCACCGCCGCGGGATGGCTTTCTTTACGGCCGGCGAGTACACTGCCTCCGCTCGACGCTGCTCCCAGTAAATCCGGGTTCAACTCTGGGGAGAGGAGAGAAGCGAAGGGTGGGGAGAGCGAGTGCAGGAAGTGCCCGATTTTGTTGATGGCGAGGCTTTTGGGCTTCGTGAGAGAGCCCGAGGCGTCGAAGGCGTCTTCTTCGAAGAAGAACCGGATTTTGTCCCCGGATGTTAGGAAGTAGGAGTCCCCTACGTGCGCGGACTTCTCGCCCGTGCTGAAGCGCGTCATGGGGTGTTCGGAGAGCGAGAAGTTGTCTAGTAGGCTATGGGTTTCGTGCAGCAGGGCTTGGACTGTGGTTGGGGGGAGGGCGTGGGGGATTATGAGGTACCCGTCTCGCCAGAAGGAGGCGAGTTGGGAGGTGGTTAGGCCCCCTGTTGGGGTGGGTGGTGAAGTGCTCATGGTTTGGGTTGTGGATTGTGGGTGGTGGGTTTCTACGGACTACCGATGATGGTTTTCGGTGGTTACATTGATTGAGTAATACAAGTGACGCAAACGGTGATCGGTTGGATGAACTGATATCGGGGTGCGATAGTGGGGTCACGGAGCTTAGGTCGGGACTCTTGTCGATAAGGACGCCGAGATGAGGGGTTGTGATAGACAGTATGGGACACGGTGGAAGCTACAGTTTAAAAGCCGCATACAGACAGTGTCGATACTTCCTACCTAACATCCATGCCCGGCAACTCTAACCGATTCACATTTGGTAGGTACAGATTTGGACATTGTGCATCGGGACAACTTTCTTATTTATTCTTAACAAACAACTCTCTCCTTTATTTGCAACCTTTACAAGTTAGTTAAGCGTGCTTTACCATGAGTTCAGAACAAGAAGTCCTATCTGGACCACCAGCCCCGGAGCTTTTGGACGACCGAATTTGGGTTGATGGATGTTGGGATTTCTTCCATCATGGCCATGCCGGTGCGATGCTGCAGGCCCGCCAACTCGGCACGGAGCTATATGTCGGTGTGCACTCCGACGAGGCCATCTTGGAAAATAAAGGCCCGACAGTCATGAATCTGCGGGAACGGTACGGATAGCTCTTCCCAGATCGTATTCTGAGGAGCGTTCTGCTGATCCTGGGTTTTATATAAAAAAGACTATCCGCGGTGGACGCTTGTCGCTGGGTAACTCGATCCGTCGCACACGCACCATATGTCACGCAGTTGGATTTCATAAGTCACTTCGGCTGCAAATATGTGGTGCATGGAGACGATATTACCTCAGATAGCAGCGGCGAGGATTGCTATCGTTTTGTGAAAGCAGCAGGTCGTTTTAAGGTTGTGAAACGTACACCGAGTATATCGACGACTGATCTCGTCGGTCGCATGTTGCTATGCACCAGAACGCACTTCATCAAATCGCTAGAAAAAATGCTCTTGGGCGAAGAGGGTAGTGGTACCGAAGCTGAGAGAAAAGCGGAGGGAGATGCTATGCTAAAGCGTATTAATCAGTACGCGACTGACGAAAGTGGCAAAAACCCTGGCGCGGATGTGTTCTTCTGGTCAGCCTCCAAGGTCTCCAAGACAGATGCCACAGAAGAGAAAGGCTCGTTCCGCCCACTGCTTAAGGGACAGGGTCCGAAACCTGGCCAGAGAGTTGTTTACGTCGATGGAGGCTTCGATTTGTTTTCTAGTGGACACATCGAATTCCTCCGTCAAGTTTTCCTCAAAGAGGAGGAGTTGGCGAGGAAGGAAGGCTGGTATGACCAACAGGCTGTTAATGAGCGCCGCGGTAAGGGTGCCGATTATGGTCCAGTTTTCGTGGTTGCCGGAGTGCACGATGATGAGGTTATCAACTCTTGGAAAGGAGTTAACTATCCCATCATGAATATTTATGAGCGTGGTCTCTGCGTGCTTCAGTGTCGTGTTCGTAATCTTGTTTTCCTTGTTGTATTTTCTGATGAGACGTCGCTGACTGTATTAATAGTATGTCAATGCTGTAATATTCGGCGCCCCCTTCTCGCCGACGAAATCGTATCTCACGAGTTCTCCATGGGGTACCCCTGATACCGTATACCACGGTCCTACATCGTTCATGCCGCTTTCGTACGACCCATACGAGGCACCGAAGGAGTTGGGCATCTTCCAGGAGATTCCCAGTCATGAATTCCAGGATGTCAATGCCGGTACTATCGTGCAACGTATCATGAAAAGCAGGGATCTTTATGAAGAGAGACAGAGGAAGAAGGGTGTGAAAGCCGTCGGAGAGGCTGCACACAGACAACGAGAGATCCTAGAGGAGGAGCAACGTCGCAAAGAGGAGAAGATAGCAGCTGAAGCGTAAGTATATACCTACATGGCGAGTTCTCAATTGGGTTTCATTCTATACGGGAAATAGAGGAGAAATAAGCAAAAATAACGAAGCCTATTGGCTTGTAGTGATAGTGGTAGTTAAGAGCTCACGGCTTGAATAGAGTTATCTAACAACTTCAGTCTTTAACCTCATTTCTTAGGTTGCGACTCAATCGGAATTTCCGATCCGAAATCCATCACATTTATTTCTTTTAATTCATTTACCAATAGAATACAACCAAATATATTATCATTATAGGTTGACTATTTCAGCCCATGGTCGTACCAACATTCAGCTTCTTGAGCAAGTGTCATATGTCTACCCAAGCAAACGTAAGAACGGTTCGTCATAAGTCACATTGTTATGAGCTATAGTAGCAAGCTGAATATAGCTGACGGAACGAATGAACTCATGGTTATATGCCGTTTCCCGCCCTACTAAACGCTTGATAGGTTAGGCTACGCTTACGTGAGGTTGCAGAAAGCAAATTCTTGAGTGAGACGGGCAGAACGGGTACGGATATATGCGGGTAAGCAATGCATATCATAGCGAATAGGCAGACAGGTAACTGCTTCTCGTTAGAATATCAAGCGCTGTATCTAAGAATATGCTGATGTATCTGGTAGGTACCGATGACTCAATATTTGCGTCGACGAATCATAGCTTCGGTTCCGCATGTGAGCAACATTGATCTGAAATGTCACATCCCGAGTATTCCAGGAACGAATCCATCAAGCCTTGAGACTACTTTGAGACTACCTTGTAGGTAAGATAGTAAGCTATCGTGAAGGAGGATAAGCGGTGTAATTTTTATTTGAAATCAATGTTTCAAAAATAAGAAGTTGGCTTAGGTACGTAAAGGAAGAAAACATCTAGAAGCCATTTGAGGGTTAGAAGCGAAGTAAGAATAAGCCCTGGAGCCCTTGTCATCTTTATTCTGTCAGTTTGGAGCTCGGGCCAACAGAGTCTTTCCAGAAGAAGGAAGGAGCGTGGGCGATCCCGATCTAAGTGACGTGAGAAACAACCTTGGAAACCCCCTTCTGCCTGAAGACTATTAACAGGTTTCACAAAGACAGACTCATTGTTTGCGCTACACGACTTGACGGCAGCTACACGTCAAGTACACACTTAGAGTATGCGACAAGAGCTTCAAGGTTATCATTATTTTGACCAATTTTTGATAATAGTTTCGATTTAATTGTGTAGGGCTTTGTTTCACCTGATACTCCCTAGGGTGTGTTTATTTAATTTCCCATGCGTAACTAAATTGGGTTGCATCATATCGACGGCATAAGCAACGGCTGCTAATCATTATATTTGATACATTAGGTACGTAGGTCGGTACATCGAGCATAAGTTCCCACACACTCAGCTACGCTGGAAAGCTGCAGATAACAGGTACCTACGTTGTGACACGGATACCCTAAGGGCCCGTGCTCCCTTCTGGAAGCTGCGAAGAATGCAAAGAAGCTTTAAGGAAAAAGGAGCTGGGGCCAAATAAAGGCCTCTACTGAGCTTTAACTGGGGAATGGCGTCCTTGATCTGCCCCACTCCCCCCAAAGTCTCAAGGGCTAAGAGGTTAAGCGCAATTCAATGATCTTCTTTCCAGTCCCAAACCCAAGAACTCATCCCCCCCTCAAATCGTCACTCTTTTGCCACGGACAACCCGAAACTCCAATACGAAGATACTGAAATCTATCATATTATCCTTCTATTCTATTAGATCTGTTCAAAGAATCACTACACCTATCCGTTACATACTAGAAATAGTTACGCTCAGGAGTAAAGAGATTGATCGTCTTTGCTTCTACCCCTCCTCATTCCTGACTCCATCTCCATTTCCATCAGGAGTATCCAGTTTCCAGTATCCATCTTAACTTTCTGCTTTGATAAGGGTGGACTGTGCTCAAGTATCGTCGTCCGTCTCGATTGTTAAGAATTAGTTACGAGTAGGGGTGGTTGTGTCAATTGTATCCTTGAATAGTAAGTGGATTTGTCCCTACCTTGAGCTTTATCGCAATCCCGTATAGGCCCTCTTCCATCTCCGCCTCATTTAAGTCGCCCCAGTTCATTCAGCTGCCGTTTTCCTATTGTTTTACGTGTATACCTACCTTTTTGAGTCCATTCTAGTTCTGACTCTGTTGTTAATCATTGGAATAACTGCTTGCTTACGCAGCGCTTGCCATCTTTCGCATTTACATTCTCTTTACAATTTAGAGCATAGCCTCGTCTTGTGTTGCACATACCACGTCCACCTTCGTTTAGCGCCTTGTCATTTCTCAATTTCTTCATCATTCATTAAAAGCAGGCCATCTGCTGATCCTAGCTGGATCCACGAAAAGCCTGAGCTTCTAGAATCTAGATTAATGGTCGGCAAGAAACGCGAATCCTGCGTGCACATCCCCTGAGATCACTCCCAGGTAATAATACCACTAAACTCTCGCTTCCTTCGTTACATTCCGAAATCTTCCATCTAGCATACATCATCCTATCATTTACTCAACTGCATCCTTCTGCTGAGGCATTAAGACGTTCGTTGGTTGCCTTAGTTCTGCCTCTTTGCCTTATGCGACATGTCTCTGCCTGCTGCTTACCAGAAAGAAATAGAATCCCTCGTGGACCAGGTTCGACTCAAGAATCCGATCGATATTCTACAATTCTGTTCCGACTACTTCCTCCAACGTCTCGCAGACGAACGCGCTGCCCACTTTACGCGAAAGACTTCATTGGCTCGTAATATTGGTGTTATGTCGGGAACAGCGTTCACGAGCCCTTTTGGGGTGAACTCAAACCCTTTCGGTGGTGACGGAACAAAAGTTGAGGCTAGCAGTGGACCTCCTGGAGGTCTCCTGAACGTTGTAGAGGAAGATGAGAATGATACGATTACTTCCCCTACGACTCCATCGTTCGGAGTCCATAATACGTCAGGCGGGCCTTTTCGTGGTCCGTTTGGAGGCGATGGGTTAGTAGATGGGCCTCCGTCCTCTATGCGAACACCACCAAACCCCGACAGCTATCCAGCCCAGTACAACTTTGGTCGCCGCACCTCAGTCTCCGCCGAATCGCTGAAGCCTGTGGCAGACGTGAATGACAACTGGACTCCCCCATCATACCCAAAAACACCAGAGCAGCTACAGAGGCTGAGGAAGGCTATCGAAAACAACTTCTTGTTCAGTCATCTCGACGATGAGCAAAACGCCCAGATTCTAGGCGCTTTACAAGAGAAGCCTATCCCAGCTAAAGATATCAAAGTATGATTAATCTCTTCCCGTATGCTTGTTAAATGCTAACGTTCATATAGGTTATCATCCAAGGCGACGCGGGTGACTACTTCTACATTGTCGAGAAGGGATCTTTCGATGTGTACGTCAATCCCGCCGGCGCATTGCAACCAGGCGCGGATGGGATGGGAAGCAAAGTTAGCAATATCCAAGCCGGAGGTTCTTTTGGTGAGCTGGCCTTGATGTACAACGCACCAAGAGCTGCTACCGTAATTTCTTCCGACGCTGGTTGTACTCTATGGGCACTTGATCGCGTCACATTCCGTCGCATTCTCATGGAGTCTACTTTCGCACGTAGGCGATTATATGAGAGCTTCCTAGAGGAGGTGCCGCTCCTCTCTTCTCTTACGCCTTACGAGAGATCGAAGATTGCCGACGCGCTGGAGACCAAGAAGTTCCCGAAAGGCTACACAATTATCAGGCAGGGTGATATTGGGAAATCGTTCTTCCTGTTAGAAGATGGCGAGTGTGATGCATACAAAGATGGCGGGTCACAGTCCGTTAAGCATTATAAGAAGGGCGACTTCTTCGGTGAGCTTGCGCTCCTAGACGACAAGCCCCGAGCGGCGGACGTTGTCAGTACAACCGAGGTGAAGGTTGCGACGCTAGGAAAGAACGCATTCCAGAGGCTACTCGGACCTGTGGAGAGTATCATGAGAAGAACCAGATATGTGGGTGTCAAGTCGGGGGTTGAAGATGTCGATCCCCTACACGCGTAATCCTAATTGATTGCCTATTTTGGAGTGCTCAGAAGTGAAGATTAGATACATGATACTCTAGGACAGGAAGTAGTCTAGACGGATGGCAGCATTCTTTTCGGAGGAGGCGTTCTCGGAATTACCCTCGTTTTCCTTGTTAAATAGGTTTTATGATATTCATTGATACCGTATTAGAAGCATTGTTATTAATGCCGGAATCGCCTTGTAATAGATACTTGACTCTCTTGTACCCATTTGCAATGCCTTCGTATGTTGCTTTCTTTTGCCTTCTCTTGCTTTTAATGCCCTTAAAGTATCATCGTACGGTTCAACCACCCAGCACCATCCCATAACCGCCTACTCCCCCAATTACACAGCGTAACCTCACATAAACGACCTCACCCCCCACCCCTCTGCCTCTCCAAAACCTGCTGTCTCAACCCCTCCGTCGCGACCTCCGTCTCCAACACCCGACTCACCCCCCTCTTCCACGTCTCGTCCAGCCCCTTCAGCTCCCCGCCCACCTCGTCCTGCACCCGCCGGCGCTGGATATTCACCACGTCGATCTCCCGCTTCGTCTCCGCTAGCTCCCGCTCTAGCGCTTGCACTTCGGCTTCCAGTTGCCAGTTCCCGACTAGCCATTGGTTCTTGCCGTAGGTGTCGAGGAGGTGCAGGTGCGTTTGCCGGCTGGAGAGGTAGGTCGAGGATGTGTAGGCGCGGGAGAGGCTGGTTTGGAGGGATGATAGGGTGGTGTTGGAGGGGGAGTTGGGGTTTGGGGAGGAGGGGGGCGAGGAGGCTTCGTACCGGGTTAGGTCGATGCCTGTTAGCGGCTCTTTGGCGGAGATGCGGTTCAGTTCGCTGGTTATTAGGGGGGTGAAGGTTGGGGTGTAGACTGGAGGGAGGGTTGCTGGTGTGGAGGAAGATTCCGGAGGGGGTGATGATGAAGAGGCTTCGGCTGCGATGAGGGATTCGGCTGCGGCGCGCTCGGCGGCGGTGGGTTCTGCGTCGACGTCTTGGGGTTGTTTGTTAGTTGGTTGTTTGGGGTGATGGTGAAGGTGAGGAAGTCGGATGGGAATGAGAGGGAGGCTTACATGGCAGCGATTCGTGGACGGTTGTGCGTATGGACGACGACATGTTGGCTCTCTTGTTGGCTTCTTTGTCTTTTGATGGGTGTCTTGGGATCGAGTTAATTGTCGCCAATTAAATAGGTTTAATTGGAAATGTATTCGAAGATGATAGCTTCGCGACGGGAATTTCGATATCGTTATCGTTATCGATGAAACGTAAGCGGAACAGCTGGTGACAGCTGCTGCTGACTCATAACAGTGGAGCTAGTCGGGAACCGGCAGTTCGCAGCGGAGTCCGCATTTTGTTTGAGTGGAGTGACACAGCAGGGGTCTGCCGAAGCTTCCAATGACGTACTTGTTTCGTATGTAACCTAGCAGGATGCGTTGTACCTGCGCGATAAGTGAAAGAAGGCATCATCTATTCTATTTGGGTTCCTTAGTGGATCCGACATATCTAACGAACCCTTAGAAACCTTAGAATCTTCGATATTCATCATTGCAATTTGTTCGGCGAGGGTCTTCGGCCGAGTGACCGCGACAACGTATTTACCCAGCTTTGAATTGCTGCATGTTCGTGAACCCCTGGAATGGACCTGACGCACTGTTTCGTTTTATACAATCGCCGCGACAGATCCTTAGTCGCTGCGTTGAATGACTCGCTTGTCAGCCTCTAGGTGGCTCATATCCACCAATATAATAGGAACATTGGGTCCTATCTACTAGGCCTAGTGTACAGAGGAGATACAGTTGGTCAAGATGAGGTGGGCCAAGCGAAGTAAGAAAGCCGGGGATTCCTCGCCGTTCCCAGAAACGCGACAGGATCCTACTGTTAGGGCTCGACATCCTATCCTTTCCAACTTTAATATTATCGTACTATTTGTTACAATATTTGGGTTACTAGCGACTTTTGTCCCGGTTGGTTCGATAACTCGTGGATGGACGGCGAAGTTATGGACAGGTATTCACGTTGGACAAGACCCGGTGACAGAGGCACATAACAGTGATGAATATGTTATCGGAGTGGGCAAGGCTGATATTACTGGCCCTTGTATTGAGATCAACTTGATGGGATATGCAGACCCTCACCAGATCGGAACTGGTTTACGTCAACGTCTCTATTCTAGAGCTTTTATCGTAGCTGATCCCGCCAACCCATCCGATACCTTCGTCTATCTTGTTTTAGATACCCAGTCTGGTGATACGGCAGTTCGATATGGCATCCTCTCAGGCCTACATGACCTTGGGCCTGAATACGAGAACTACGGCCACCACAACTTAGCTGTGACCGGAACTCATTCTCACTCAGGCCCCGGGGCATGGCTCAACTACCTCTTACCTCAGATCACAAGCAAGGGTTTTGATCGACAGAGTTATAGAGCTATAGTTGACGGCGCCATCCTATCCATTCGCCGTGCTCATGAAAATCTTGCACCGGGACGTCTTAGTGTTGGATCTACCAAAGTCTTTGGAGCCAACATCAACCGCAGTCTTTTCGCGTACCTCGCAAACCCGGAAGATGAACGTGCAAGATATAATGTCAGTTCTGAAGATGATGGATCTGTGGACAAAGACTTGACCCTATTGAAATTCCAGCGGATATCTGATGGCAAAAATATTGGTGTTCTGACCTGGTTTCCTACCCATGGCACTTCTGTGCTTGGAAATAACACATTGATATCTGGTGATAACAAAGGCGTAGCGGCATATTTGTTTGAGAAGAGTGTTATTAATGATGAGACTGCAGCTAAGGGATTTGTTGCCGGCTTCTCTCAGGCGAACGTCGGTGATACTAGTCCTAATGTCCTTGGGGCATGGTGTGAGGATGGTACAGGGCAAATGTGCAGTTTTGAGAATAGTACTTGCAGCGATGGCAGGTCTCAGAAATGTCACGCTCGAGGTCCTTTCTTCAGAGAGAACGATGAAGGCACCTCGTCTTGTTTCGAGATTGGGAAACGTCAGTTTGAGCCTGCTCGGAAACTATATGATCAACTCAACTCGGCATCAAATCCAGTCCACGGAGGCTGGGTTAAAGCTTTCCACACCTTTCACAATATGTCAAACCACCAGTTTCAATTGCCCAACGGAACAGAGGTCATGACTTGCCCTGCTGCATTAGGCTACTCCTTTGCAGCCGGTACCTCTGACGGACCAGGCGCTTTCGACTTCACGCAGCATAGTAGCAATCCTTCGAATACCTCACCGATATGGCGTGTGGTCGGCGGCATGCTCAAGGCGCCATCAAAGGAGCAGATTGCCTGCCACGCTCCCAAACCAATCTTACTCGATGTCGGCGAAGTGTACAGTCCGTATCAATGGACTCCTAACGTGGTTGACGTACAAGTCTTCCGTGTTGGACAGTTGGTGATTATTGTTAGTCCGGGTGAGGCCACAACCATGGCTGGACGGCGTTGGAGGAATGCCGTCAGCGATCGGATCCTGTCGTCCTTCGCAGACGAGACTCAATCAACACCACCCGTAGTTGTTCTGGGTGGTCCTGCAAACAGCTATACGCATTATATCAGCACGGAAGAAGAGTACGGGTAAGTGATTATATTCTTTATTATTTTATTTTTTATCGTTCTGAGGTTTCAATGCCTGCATATCACGAACATCACTCCCCAATTTTGACTATCATATGACGCTCCCGTACAGTATGTCTCACACTGAGGGAAATTAGGATTCAACGATACGAAGGTGCGAGCACACTCTACGGGCCGCATACCTTAGCAGCATACATCAACGTTACCTTATCCTGGATTCCTTACCTTAGTTCATCGGCTAGCAGCCGACCACCAATGGGACCGGAGCCACCCGATAATAGCAATCGAAGTCTTAGCTTCATCCCTCAAGTCATCCACGATTCGCCTCCACTCTTTAAGAAGTTTGGACAGGTCAAGCAGGATGTAGAAGAGACATACCAAAAGGGCAGGTCGGTAACAGCGACATTCGTCGGCGCCAATCCAAGGAATAATCTCAGACTCGAGCGGAGCTATGCCGTAGTCGAAAAACTCACCAAGGCTGCCGGATCGCCGGATGAAACGCTAGACGCATGGAACGTAGTCCGCGACGACCGCGATTGGCACCTGGTATTCCGCTGGCGCCGCACTAGCGAGCTCCTCGGAACCAGCGAGGTGGAAGTAACATGGGAGACGACGGACCCGTGGGCGGAGCCGGGGCGGTATCGGATCCGGTATTTTGGAGACGCCAAGAACTTGGCGGGGAAGATCACGGAGTTCGAGGGTGTCAGCGGCGAATTTGAGCTGGTTCGATGATCGATCCGATTTAAAGCAACTGCCGAGCTCCAATCAAGTGCCCTGCAAACGGCAGCTAACCCAGCTCTCCGGGATTGCGTTTACCTAATTTTAGGGGCATGGGTGTCATGCATACTGTACATACATACAGCGTATGGGTATGTATGTATGTGCCGGCACCTAAATGTGACGGCACCGCTGCCGCTGCAGGCATGTTTGTTTAGGTTGGCTTGACACGAGGTATGGAAAGTTCGAGCACGCGGACACGGACTCGGACATGGACACGGGAATGCTGCATAAAATGTAAAATGTTAAAATAAAATATTAGGTATGTATGGGAAGAGCAAAAGCGAAAATAGAATGTGATATTGGCTTTTGGGACGGCTGGGTTAAGCGGGCTTGGTGTTTCTCGTTTCTTGTTTTTTTGCTGTAATGTTTTGTAATTAGGTACCTACGATAGCGGTGGAAATTGTTTGAAATTCTGATTCTGTGGTATGGTACTCTTCCTTACTAATTAGAAATCGGTCTTGGTAGGTGTTTCAATTCATGCGCGTTTGGACCCTTTGACTTGAGGAGATTAGCGATTGTGAGGCTATACCGTTATCATAGAGACATGAGATGATTCATCGCATGTTGTTCGAGGGGTCTAGATGGTCTGGGCTGCTGGGCTGGGTTGACCTTGAAAGGTCACGAACTTGGCGGCGAGGTGAGGTGGGGAGTGGGATTGTCACCGGGTATGTATGTACCTACATACAGTGCCTGGGGTTCTAGACCGGGTCTCGTCCATGATCACATAGGTACATGCATCCATTCATCCGTTTATGTTTAAGGTACCTAGGTGTTTTGTTTTGTTTCGGTGTGTTAAAACATTGAAATTTGAGGCGTTACTTAGGTAGTAGTATAGGCTACCAATAGCGCTTCCTTACTATTATGACAAGCGTAGTAATAGTGATATTTCGATTGGAGTATTGGAAATCCCTTACTTGGCTGCGCGGGAGATCATTTGCGGGATGTGCCTGATCGACCCGTGTTTATTACGCGTCCTACGCGTAAAATGGCTTTTTGGTTAATTAATTAATTGGACAGCCCTACGATCTTCGGGTACGTATCACGAATGGGCAATTATAATTTACAGGAAAGCAAAATTTGTACAGCGAGATTTAGGTAGGTATTGATAGGTTTAGAACTTTTGTTTGTTTGTTTGGGTTGAATTGGGTAATCTCTCTCTGCATTCCTACCTATGTATTCCTAAATGTACTGTGAAAACTCCCAAGTCGCTTGGCCGGACATCCATCCCCCTGTCTCCTACATACAGGCACGTAGGTGGCAGCGCGGAGGCGCCTACGGTGCAGATTGCAGAACGCAAGAGGCGCAGATTCTGCCAATAGTAGGTCCGAACGACCCGTTGTCGTTTGTGGAGATCCCGTGGGATGATGCGACGATATGTGCTGTCACTGTAGATGGGTAGTAGTATGGGATCGGATGCGAGCTATATTGCAACGGCCCTACTCGGCATTTCTGTGGGCTCCGCCTCAATTCGACATATGTATGTATCTCTCTCCTTTCTCTTAACCCTCAACGGAGCGAACGGAATGCGTGATTTTTAAATGTCTCGTCTTTTTCGAATAGGTGGTAATTAAACAAGTGGAGAGGTATGTAGGAAGTATTGGCATTCCACCCTTCCTCGTGCATCTCTGTCGTTGTTGTTGTTGTTGTCTCATCATCAACCCATCGAAAGGTAAGACAAATAACACTATGCCCATGATCACGAACCCTCCGACGGCGGACCATAAGGCCGATTCCGCCAACCCGCCAATTCAATTAATGTATTGAAATGTATACAGTATAATACAGTGTAATAGCGTACAGTTTG